CAACCCCAACCCCAACCCCAACCCCAACCCCAACCCCAACCCCAACCCCAACCCCAACCCCAACCCCAACCCCAACCCCAACCCCAACCCCAACCCCAACCCCAACCCCAACCCCAACCCCAACCCCAACCCCAACCCCAACCCCAACCCCAACCCCAACCCCAGAACTTATTTAATTAAATAAATATTTTTTTAATTAATTATTGAAATAAAAAAATAATGAAAGATTTTTAAATTAATTAGCAAAATCATTAAAAAAATATTTGTTTGATTCTTTCAAATTTAGAATTCTATAACACGTAATTCATAAATTCAAATATTTTGAACAGAAGAATATTTATTTTAAAATTGATTGGTCCTTATTACCATTTTTGAAATAAATTTAATAAGATACAATTAAATATAAAGTATGAAATATTTTATAAATTATTAAACTGGTATTAAATAGCTAAAAAATTAAAACAATTAAGATTGTTGATATTTTAATTTTTTTTTTTAATTTTACAATAACAAAAACAATTTTTAATATGTTTTAAAATAAAGAAATGTTTGCTTAATTATTTGATTGTTTCCTTTAATTTTCGAAATATTTTATTATAAAATTTTAATTAAAAATTAAAGAAAGTAAAAAATTTTTAATATGAATAATTTTTTAGAAAAAATTACATATAAATTTACAAATTTTTGATGTAAATATATTCTCAAAAAATAAATTAATATTTACTTAAAGTTCTTTAGTTTGCTTAAATGTTGTTGGTTCTACAAAATTTGGTCATATTAACTTGAAATTTTAATTATAAAGATTCTAAAAATAAATCTATAAAGCAATAATAATAATGCTATTAAATTTATATTAAAAGCATTCTTTGCATTAAAGAATTTATAATCTACTTATTGTATATAGTATTTTATCCTTGGTTCATGTAAGTTTTATTTTTAATTAATCAGAAATTTGTAATATTTTTTTAATTGAATTATTTATACTTTAACAATAATGAATTAATTTTGTATTTGGTTAAAATTTTTATGGAAAAAAAAGTTAAGACATTAAAATAGATAATAATATTTATCCAATTAAATATATTTATACTTACTAAAATTATCTAATTTTCAACAATTTTGATTAATTAATAAAAGAAATAAGATTAAACTAAAAAATACATTTACCTCGTTCATGTATGATGGAATTTGCATAATATTCAAATAGAGAGAATACAGAAATTGAGATAATGATGTATTTATTTTAAAAAAGCTATGGAATCACCGCAAAAAGCTAAATAATTTACACTTTTATATAAAGCTAGAGTATACGAATCGTAAACGATCAAAATTATATTAATAGAAGTAAAAAATTAAGCAAAAACCTATTCATTTGAATTTTTTAATTTTAATCAATTATTATTCTTTTTCTGCTCTGTATATAAAAATATTATAAGAAATTAAAATCAATATCTTGATTTTTTTCCACAAAAAATTTTTACTTATTTAAGGAAATCTTGTTCCTTAAAAACACTCATAAATTATATTCTCAAAATTAATCTGATTACTGAAAAAAAAAATCATTTGATCAATCAATTAATTAATTAAAAGAAGATAAACAATCAGTTTGTTAGGAATACACCATTAATTATTTGCTATGGGAAACGTATGTTAAAATTAGAGAGAACAAACAGTTTATGAAAATAGGGATAAAAGCCCAAAAAAGCTTTAAGCACGCATGCCAAATAATTAAATTTACAATTAGCAAGATCCAACTTAATCTGAAATTAGAGAGTTCATGACTGATTTAAATGGAGAAATTTAAAATCAATAATAAGATATATATATGTCATCAGAATTTTAAAGAGCATCACAAAAGATCTCAATAAGCGATTTCAGACTTGAAAAAGTAAAGCATGCAAACACTTTTACTAGCAACCTAACCCTTTTTTAACAATTCTCTTTTTTTTGAATGTATTTTTCATATAAAACTTAGGTACTAGGAAAAGGATCATTCGGTAAAGTAATGCTTGTTACTCATTTAGTAGAATGTAAAAAAGTTTTAAAATTATTTATTTTTTATAAAATCCTATTATAATCTATATTTAAAATTAGTATAATTCTATTTTTTAAAAAGAAAAATAGTATGCTATGAAAGTTCTTCTGAAGAAAAGTATAAAAAATGAAAGATAAAAAAGACATACATTAACAGAGAGATAAATTTTAGAAAAAATAGACCATCCCTTTATTGTTAAGTTGCATTATGCATTTTAAACGAACGAAAAACTTTATCTTGTATTAGATTTCATGGTAGGAGGAGAATTATTCCACCACCTTAAGAAATCAGGAAAGTTTTCAGAGGAAGTTACTCGTTTTTATGCATCATAAATTGTAATTGGTCTGGAACATTTGCATCAACATAAAATAATCTACCGTGATCTCAAGCCAGAAAATATATTATTAGATTCTGAAGGAAATTTGAAGTTGGCAGACTTTGGTTTATCAAAAATTGGCGTTGATTGTAAATACTTCGAAATTTCAATCATATTTTAAATTGTTAACTCAACGATTAAATGATATTTTTAATCATTTTTAATATATAATTTTTGGGAGTAACAAAATCTTCTTAAAAATATTTCAATAAAACATTTATTTCAATTTCTTTTTTTTTAAAAGAAAATGCTCCTGCTCATAGCTTATGTGGAACACCAGAATATCTTGCTCCTGAAATAATCACAAGCAGTAAATTTATTACAAAATTTAAGAATTCCCAAAATTTAATTGAATTTACTTATGTTAACTGTTTTAATATGTATTTTAATATATTTTATTTTTAAAATAAAAAATAGAGGTCGGACATGATAAGACAGTAGATTGGTGGAGTTTTGGAGCTTTAGTGTATGAAATGCTTACTGGATCACCTCCTTTCTATTCTAATAATAAAAAGTAGATGCTCCACAATATTATTTATGTAAATTGAAAATTCATTTTTATTTAGAAATAGTAATATGTAATCTCTATATTAAATAGAAACCTATTCCTATCCCAAAGAACTTATCTGACACCGCTAAATCCCTTCTGTAGTAATTATTAGTAGTTAATGTAAATATAAGAAAATTGCGATTTAAATAAGGTATTAAAAATAATTTTTTTATGATAAAGCCAAAAAATAGATTAGGATATGGTGATAATGGCACAAGTGATGTGAAAAATCACCCCTTTTTTGCCACAATTAACTGGGAAGCAATGAAAGAAAGGAAAATAAAAACCCCTTTGAATATAAATGTAACAGACGAAAGAGATACAAAATATTTTGATCCTTATATTCTCAAATAATAAGCTGTGGATACTCCTGTCTCATATAATCAAGATTTATTCAAATTTTCTCAATTTACTTATAATAAGAAGTAATCAAAAATTTAGAATTACTAAAATATAATAAAATTAATAATTCTCAATTCATTAATTAAGTTATTCATTTTTTTAATTTTAATTTAAATAGAATTGAAGAAGTTTAAATGGGAGAAATTTAGAGAAATGATTCAAGCGAATACTTTGATTTAAATGGAATGTGTTAGCATAAAAAAGATAAAGTAGAAAATGGAGAGGATGAAGATAATAGTGAAATTTAAAGGGAGAAAATATAAGAGGTTTAGAAAGCTCTCTAAGATTAAACAATTTCATCAGATGGAAAAACCATAGATTAAGATTTAAGTGAAAATATCTCCTTTTAAGATTAAAATTAATAAGGAGATTAAAGTAACAATTATAAATAAGAAAAAAATGATACTCAAAAATCAGATTTAAATAATTTACCTGTTTAAGGTCAATCAATTTTAGAGTCATCTGATCTTAATTAAAACCCTACAATTTAAAATAAAAAATATTTACAAATTTAAAAGAATAACACTTTCAATCAAGTGTAAGATACCAATCAGTAAATCTAATAGGAAAATATATTTACAAAAGATATTGACATAACAAAGCAATCCACCTCATAAGATAATAATTAATAAAAAGGATATTCTAATATAAATGAAACAGATGATTAGTTTGTATAAAAAGAAGGAGAAAACCTTACAATTTCCATAGATAATAAAGATGTAATTTTTTACTTAATTTAAAAATATTTATTAAAATCATTCTAATTTTAATAGTAAAATAGATTATTTTAATCTGAAAGTATTTAAACTAAAAGTTAAGTAGATAAAGATATTGAATAAACGCAATAAATTTAATAAAACATTTAATAGCGTGAATCTATAAATTCTCAAATTAGTTAGGGAGATAACTTACAAGAAGATATAGCATTAATAACTAAAGAAGATAAGGTTTAGAGTGAATAGCAAATGAATGATTCTAAAGATTAAAAAGAAACTGAAGAAAAAAACGACATTAGTATTAAGTAGTTGTAAAATAAAGAAGGTGAATTAGAAAATGAGTAAATAATTGATTAAGCAAATGAAAAATAAAATACTCATACTTAATCAACAGATTTATTAAATGATGAAATCTAAAGCCAAGATAAATAATAACTTAATGAAGTAGAAATAAATAAAAATTAATAAAAATCTGAAGAAAACGACGAAGTTTCTGATTAAGTAAAGGAAAATGAGAATTAGGTGATAGATACAGTTTAACCAGATACTATACTCACAAATAGTGAAATAAAGACTCATGAATTAAATGTTAATAAACAATCAGATTCTAGCTTAAGCTAAACTGATAAAGCTACTAGTTAAAATCCTGAAGAAATAGCATAAAACATTAATTGACTTCTGTTTTGATAGTACTAAAATATAAATAAAATAAATTTAGTAATTGTCTGCATTCGATTGAAATTAAAATAACAAAAAACTTATAATATAAAAAAACTAAACAATAATTAAAAAATAAATAAAAAGAATGATTATTAAAAGCAAATTCTATTTTAAATTTAAAAAAGATATTTATTAATCTAACTTATACTATACTCATCTAATGGCATAATTTCAAAAAAAAAATAAGTCTGTTTGCTAAATGATCTATATAGAGGCAAACAAGTAAAACATTACATCCCACATTCCATTTCTTATTTTAATAAAAATATACTAAACCTTAAAATAACCTTTAACTCTATGTTTATTTTTAAATATATTTAGTATTAATATCTTATAGTTAAAAAAAATATTTTTACTTACCAATTTTCTTTAATCAAAGTTAACATTTTGAAGATATTTAAAGAATTATTTTTATTTAAAAACTTAAACAACTTGCATCATTTAACTTACATATGTAACATAATTATTCTTCGTTAATTTTTATATTTTATTAAAATAAAATTATTTTACATTTAGAAAAAATACAAATAAATAAGTAAAATAAATTACTTTTATTACCAACAATGCCTTTAAGAAAAATATTTGTTATATTACATATGTAATTAAAAAGATGTAAGTAAGTTTCTCTGCCTTTATTTTTATCTAATTTCTATCATTTCATTAGAACCAGTATAATTTAATGAATATGAGTAAATATACAGTACTAAAATATAATAATTAGAATGACTCAATTACTTTGGCTATTTTTCAAAACAGAATTAAAAATAATGATTTAGAATTTCTTTTATTTACTGCCTTTTTATAATTTGATCTGAGTTTACATTATTAGGAAGGTAAATAAGTAATAGTAAATATTTCATAATAGATTTATATAAACACTATTTGTAAAATAGATATAGTGGTAAAGGTCGAATAAATACTTCGATTCTGACTATTTAATATTTTTTACTTTAAAAAGTATTTCATTTAATTTAATTTAAGTATTATACCATTAAAGTTAATTAATAGTTGATGATAATAATAATTAACAAACTTTTTTTTAATTCAATATATTTGTTAATTTATGAAGATTCATGAATTCTGAAATTCCTAGAGTTTATATGAGTAAGCTACAGCCTTTAGATTAATCAGACGATGAATACTAAGTATAAAAGCCGATAAATAATATTTCAAAGAAAATTGAGAAGGATTTAACTAGTATTCAGAAAGTAAACAATTAGAATTGGAATTAGTAGGATTAAGATATAACTTTAATTGGTTAGTAGCTAAATAAAAATCTAACAAAGATCTTAAAAAATGAAGAGGAAAAAAGTAGATAATCTATCTATGATAAAGAAAATACTTTTGAAAAGACTTAGATAATGGTATTTTAAGGTGTTGATGGAGATAGTGTAATTGAAGAAGATATTTCAAAAAACTATTTGGAATAATCTAAAAATGTGATAGTTTAGTCCCATCACAACGATCCAAAGGAATAAAAATTCTAAAATTTAGATGAAATGCAAATAAATGATGTTAACTACACTTAATATAAGATTAATGATGAGGAAAATGTAGAAAAAGATCAATTAAAGGCAGATGAAACATAAAAATATATAGAAAATACTTTTAAAAGTTTAATCGAGTCTTAAAAATAACATTTCTAGTAATAACTTTAAGAAAAATAGTAGCAAATATCACATGAAAATTATGAACCCCCATAATGTCGAATATGCTTAGAAGTATAGGAAGAAGATGAAAATATAAATAAATAATCTTAACAAGTTATTTTTTAAACTGTATCATTTGTTCATAATAGTGAGCGTGCTGAAGGGAAATCTGACCATATAAAAATTTAAAATGGACCGTTAATGAGTCCTTGTAAATGTTCAGGTTCATCTAAATACATTCATGAAAGATGTTTGAAAGAATGGATAAAATAAACTTATGTTGATTTTTCTTAGGCTCAATGTGAAGTTTGTAAGCAGAGCTATGTTCAAAGATTCCAATTTGAAAAAAAATTTAATTGCAATCCTACTTTTTTCTGCTCTCATCCAAAAAAAAAAATTTTCGGATTTATTTTATGGTTGCTGCTAATTCACTTTTTTATAATTACTTCAATTCTGTTACTGATCGATATATTTTAATCTAACTAGGATAGCCATTTCTTTATAAAAAGTAAATCAAATACAGCAGAATACATATTACTTACAGTTGATATTATTTTAGATGCCACCTGTTTAGTTTTCTTTAAAAAATATTTGATTGGTCTTTTTAAAACTAAAAAATTAATTGATTGGCAGATTATGAATTTTACTAAACATCCTAAAGAGAAACACCCTAAATTAATAGAAAAATATTATGAAGGAAGACCTAGTAAAGACGCTAACTCAGCTTCCAATAAAAATTTGTAGTTGTAGCTTATGATGAATAATTCTATTGATAAGCATAATAAAGCTAACAGTGTTCATAATATAACTCATGGGTAGTCTATGGCATTAAATTAGTCATAAGTTGGTAAACCAAATAACAGCATTTTCAATTCTTAAAAAATGTCAAGGAACAATAGCAATTACTAGTAAACTGTTAATTTTTTTGCAAATATGGGTGTAAGTGAAAATATTCTAAATGATTATATTAATAACCAAGAGTTGGGGTTTGATGATTAGCAGTTTCCTAATAAAAGTTAGTCTCATCTAGTATTTCAAAAATGTTCCTCTTAAGATGGAAATTAAGAAAAGGTATTATGCAATTAAGATTAATAAATACACAAAGAAATGCACTCTTCATTAAAAATAAGAATACCTTCTCCTGTAAATAATAATCTCCAATTCTAAAATATCACAGCTAGTGAAAAACTAACAACAAGAAAATAATCGAATAATTTCTTAAGTTTGCCTTTTGATGAGAGATCTCCTGATAAACTTAACGGATTTAGTACTAATTTTGGAAAAGCTGAAGATAAAAGTACAAGAAAATGTGCTAACAGTTAATGGCAAAGGCACATCTTTTTTGCTAAAGATCAATCATATGAGATAATAGTAAAACCTTCAGAAAATTAAGATAAAATTAAAGAAGAATCAAATGAAAATATTTCTAAAATAAATGATTAAGAAAATAATCCAGATAATAAAAAATATCCAAAAAATAATAAATCTTTACAAAAATTTTTTGAAAGCACGCTTGAATCATCAAATTAGGAAAAGTCAAATATTGAAAATTAAATTTAGTAATTAAAAAAAGCTGATAATTAAACTTAAATGTATGGTGAAGAAGTTGCCAATAAAAACTAATTAATATAAGATAAAAAATAATTGTTTAGAGTTTGTGAAAGCATGGAATCAAGTAGTGATGAAAAAATAGACTTAAAAAAGTTAAATAATGAAAGTAAATAAAATAATTAAGCTTAATAACAAGAAAAAAAATAGGTATTTACAGATTAAATTTAGATTAAAAAATAAATACCAAAAGTTATCAAATAAACAACAAGTTAACAAAGACTACAAAATATATTATATGAAAAAATACAAAAATAAAATCCATATATCAGTTAAGAGATTTTGTAAAATTAAAATTAATAAAATTAAAATAGTAACCTCAGTAAATAAAATTCAAAAGAAAATCCCGCCTAGCTATTTAGTTCTCTGAATACGTAAGCTTAAACCTAAGAATTAGGAGAGAGTCAAAAAACTTAGATTAATAATAAATCATTTTTATCATCTAATCATGTTTCTATATAAAAGGGTTTATCTACTGTTAAGTCAAATGACTCATTTAAAGTAAAAACATATATAAATAAAAATTAAATTATTGACGAAAACATGGAAAATTAAACAACATTAAAAAAAGAAAGTAATCATTGTATAAAACCATCATTGTAAACTTAAACTATTGAAACGTAGGAGTCTGGTATCTAAAAAAATATTTAAAATCAAAATTAAGACATCCAAAGCGAACTAAAAATAAAATAAATAGTAAATTAGCTGAATAAAGAAGACATGCATGTTGAAAGTTTAGATTAATGATGAATAAAGCAAATTTCATCAATTAACTAATAAATAAATAAATAAAAAATGAGTTTGGTTTAAAAAATAACACTGAATTGAAGAAAAAACATAAATTAAATTAAATTAATTTTAATAAATTAAATAGATTATAATATTTATACAATAACTTATTATATTATGCAGATTTATAAAAATAAATCATCAAATATATTAAAATCTCAATAACAAAAATACTTATTATCCTATCTGAATAAATAAATAATTAATTATCATAATCATCTAAATCTATTCATATAACTTTGCTTATCTAGAGCTGATTATATAGCTTTTTCTTCTGTCATTTTATATTCATTTTGTTTTTATTCTATTTCATAATTATGAGCCTATACTTTTTCTTGCTTTTTTCTTTAAAAATCTTCTTCTCTAGCTTTAGCTTTTGAAAAACTGTCTCCTCCCATTAAAAATTCTTCATCATAGTCATCAATTCCAGTGTTATCACGATTTCCATTTATTTTATTATTAATCATTCTTTTCTTTTCTAAAATAGCTTCTTTACCAACTTTTTTAGGGACTAACTCATCCAACAACTCTTCTTAATTTTTTCTTTCCCTTCTTCTCTCATACTTATCTTACTCGCGTTTAGACTCTCTTTTATTTTCTCTATCATATTCTACATCGTTTCTAGTTTTTTTTGCATCCTAATAATCATCATATTTATCTCCTCCTTACTCTTCACGAATAGCCCTTCTTAAAGCCTTTTTGTGATCTGTTTCATCATTTTTAAAATCATACATTTAGTTTACTCCATTTAATGCCTCTTAATATTCTTTGTACAATTTCGATACTTATGAATCATCATTTTCTATTTTCCAAAATGATTTTTGTTTCAAAAGTTATCCATACTTCTCTTATAATTTATCTTCATCATAGTAAATACTAGATAGATCCTATTTATTCCATTTTTTTACAAATTTTTTGAAGTATTTTCTCTACTTATTCGTACTTAAATCATCAAAATATTTATTTTTTTTCTTTATTAGCCAAATGCTAAATGTTTTATTCATTATAAAAAAATCATCTTCACTTATCTTGTTAGATTTCGCCATTTCTACTTTTTTTTTGAGTTTAAATTGATATAAATTGATATAAATATGAATAATTATAAAATAAATTATTTACAAGATAAAATTTTCTGTCTATAAAATTAAATCCAATAACTACTTTATAAATTATCACAATGCTAAAAAATAGAGTAAAAAAATATAAACTGTTTTAATTTAAAATTTTAATTGAATTTTAGTTTTAATTTTTAATAAAAGCAAATTTATTTTCAATTTAAAGCTCTTATGTTCAACACATATTTTATCAGTATTCATTTTAATTTATTTAGAGAGATATTAAGTTTGATATAATTTGTTTAAATAGATATTTTAAGTATAAAATAAAATTTTATTTGTAACTTTTTACAATATTTATTTATGAATAAAATTAACAAAAAAATAATTTCATTTTAAAAATAAAAATGCTTAGCTTGAAATATTCTGAAAAATTTACATATTGAAATTATTGGCTATATTTTTTATTGCTTACATTACAATAAAAATTAATTATAGATATATTGCGCAATTCCTAGTGATTTATTGAATCATTCATTAGATTTCTAAGAAAAAAAGATATTTTCAAAAAATTTAAGAAATCTAAAAAGTATTTCAAAAAATTAATTAATTAAAAAAATTCTGATAAAAATAATTAAAATAAGATATACAGTAAAGTTAATTAAGATGGCTGATAAGAAAGAAATAACTTACCAAGAAGTTGCCAAGCACAACAAGGCTGATGACTGTTGGGTTATTATTGATAACGGAGTTTACAATTTAACTGAATAAATGAAATCTCATCCTCCTGGTCCTTTCATGATCAAGCTTTTCGCTGGTAAGGAAGCTACCTGGCTTTTCAAGAGAGTTCTTTTGCACTCTGAAAAGGTTTTCAAAAATAAGGAAAAATATAGAGTTGGTACTCTTAAAAGAGTTGAAGGTGAAAAAATTCCTAATAATGCCGAATTATTCATAACTTTTGCAGTTATTATGTTAGCCCTTTTAGTTTTCTTCTTATTAAAGTGAAGCAAGATATTTTGGTATAAGAATGTTGAATTATTGACTTATATCCTAAAAATATAAAATTGTAGTTAATTTTTATGTATAAAATAAATAGCTTTTATAGAATTTGTTTATTTATAAAGTAAATTATTAGGATAATGTTTTAAAATATTTTAATTTTAGTTAAATCTTATAATTTCACATGATTTTTATCTATTCAATTTATAAAAACGGCAAAAAATAAAAAATGATTTGTTATTTTTGAGAATACACCAAATATTGCACTTTTTTGGTGAGTCTTGATACACGTATCTTAAAAGTATTCACAATATTTATTATCAATAGACAAAAAACAAATTCTTTATACGTGCAAAGATATTTGAATCAACATCATCAAATTTTTTGTAATAATTATGAGTAAATTCTGGTGAATTAGTTAATTTATTTTATTTGAATTTGTTCAAAGTTTAAACCTAAATAAAAAATAAATTACAATTAATTGTTTATGGTATAAAAATATTTCCTATATTAAAAATCTAAATATTATAAATAAAATTTAAAAATATTTTATTTTGTATAAGATAAAGCTGAATCAAATAAAATTTTGAAAAATGATATAATAGAAGTTATATCTTTAAAATTAATATTTTTAACTTATTAAAAACCAAATATTTTTTAATTTCATTAATAAATTATGTTGTTTTAAATTTAAATAAATACTTTTAAAAAATATTGTTTCTATTTGAACATTAATTTCATTCAAATTGCTTTTATGAAGAAAATTGAGAACTTACAACTATTTCATAAAATAAATTGTTTATATATTTATTAAAATATCTTGTTAAAAACCATTATTACAAAAAATTAAAATGGTCTTAACTTATAAAACGAATAATATTTACGATTTTTAATATATATTCAATTTTACTATTAAATTTTAGATAATTTCTAAAACCAAAATTTATTACTAATTAAGATTAAACTATTTTAAAATAATTTGGATAAATTTTTTAGATACTCTATTAAATAGAATTGAAATAAGAAAAATTTTATCTTTTTTATTTATTAAATTGAACAATTTTAAACACTTTAAAATGAAAATGAAAAAAAAATCAATTTAATGTAAATATTTTAATATAAGTAATTTATTTGTACAAAAAAATAACACAAAAATAACTAAAAAATAAACTAATAATTTTAATTTAATGAAAAATTAGAACTGTAAAAATATATATTTAACATTTTAAAACATAAAACACATAACAAATATTTCAATTATTAGGTTTCTAATTTTTCCAATTAAAAATATATGTATATACTTTGCTCTTTCAACGGATAGATCTAGTTGATTTTACTTCACTTTTTTTTCTTTTAACATCAATACGCTTTTTTTAAAGGTCTTTTGTTTCTGCTGGAATCAGATTTAATCTTTCTTTTTCTGGAAGTGAACATTCCCATATGATTTGCCTTAATTTTTCTATAGCTTCTCTTAAATTAGAGTCTTAATCTCTTCCAGTTTAACATTACAATATTAAATAATTATCTTAATTAATATGTTATTGATATTATGACTTAAGTCTCTTCTTCACATCGTCTTCAATCCATTTAGCAGTATCTATGTTAAATCTTATTTCAGCCTTGCTATTTGTTTTGTTGATGTGTTATCCTCCCGCACCTGAACTCTTACTATACCTTATTTCTAAATGCTCTTTTGGAATTTAAATATCTTTTAAATTTAATTAAATTTAGTCAATTTTAAGATTATTTTCATATTTTTTAAGCTCATCCTCTAAACCAACTTTACTTTTATGTGATTCTATTATTGTATCAATATCTAACTATTTAGGTCTCTTACTAAATGCAAAAAATTATTACTAATAAAATTATTTAAAACTAAATGACCTTATCAAATATTTCATGAGTTTATATTAATTATACTAGTTAAATACTTTAATTTTACTTTGCCAAACAAAATTATTTTTTAGAAATATGTTAAGAATTTTCGATATTATTAATTAATGTAGAAAGGAGAACTAAATAAATAATCAAAGTAAACAATTTTATAGTTTTTTAGAATTAAAATTTTTATACACAAACATACACACACATATACATCACTTATCAATCATAAATGCAAAATTTAAAAATCAAAATCAAAAAAAAGGTAATTTTTTTGATAAAGTATTAAAATATTTATAGGTTCTACAAATAAAACCTTTTTATGATTTGTAAACACTATTTTTTTATTACTATTTCAATTTTTTGATATTTTTTTCGCTCCTAAAATTTGTTATTTTAATTTAAAAATTATTGATAGAATTAAAAAGAAGATACTGTGTAAGAATTAAATACATAATTATTAAAACCTAATATAGTTTGAAATTTATTAAAAATAAGTAGCAAATATTAGTAGACCCTATTTAAGATTTTCAACAGCAATTAAATTCATGTTTTAAAAGACTAGGGCCAATAAAAGCGCACTTCACCCATGTAATTAATTTATAGTAGATAAATTTATATAGCTCGAAAGATAATAATAAATGAGAAGAGCCACAAATATGAATTTTACTTATTCAAAAATAATTAAATCTCTTTAAAAATATCCTTTACCAATACTATCAAGTAATTATTAGTTAGTTTAAAACAAAATATTTTATCAATCCAATTGAATTAATTATTTTAAATTTACAATTATTTCTTCATTTCAAAAAGGATAATAAGCTCTGCAGTTAGAAAATGTTGGAGAAAAAATGGCTAATTTGATTTATAGCTTGATTAAATCTCATTATAAAGATTATTTAAAGAATCCTAATCAGGATTTTGAAGATGCAGTGTGTTCAGATTCAGACGAAGAGAAAAAGTAAACTGAGAATAATAATAGTAATAGACATAATGCAAATTCTAAATCCAATTCAGAATGCTCTTCAAAAAATTCTACTAACTTATTTTAAAAACCAACTAATTCCTTTAATTCTAAACTTTTGAATAGAGAGTACAATAAAGATAAGGATTTTGAGGAAGATATTCCTAAAGACTTTAATGGTATAAAAAATACGATAAAAAATTCTAAAAAATAAAAACCTTCAGCTGAAGAAGAAGAACTCAGTAAAAATAAAGGAACACAAAAAATTATTTCTTTATTGAGTGATTCAGAATAATAAGAGTGTAAAATTAATAAAGACAACACTTTGTATAATATCCTCAGTTAATATGTAAAGCCAGAAACGAAAAGCGATTTATAGAATAAACTAGACAATAAATAAAAGGAAGACAATCTAATTGAAAATCTTAAAAATAAATATGAAAATAGCCCTATAAAACTAAAAAGCTTGGAAACAAATGAATAAAAAAATAATTTAAATGTTAGCAAAAATTAAGAAAACAAAAATGAAGATGGCCTTAACATTAATGAGATGGAATTAAATTTTAATGAAAAAGAAGAAGAAGAAGAAAATAATGATAATTAGTAATTTAATAAATTTAAAAAAATATTTGATGAAAAATAAGATTATGAAGATGACGCTTTTAAATTTTAAAATGATATTCTAAATAGCTTCAAGCTTAATAGTAAAAATAAATTGTAAAGGTAATAAACTAATTCAAGTAATGGAGGTATGAAAAAAATATAAATTGATTCAGATTAAGAATCAACATTACCTTAGAATAAAGAATCATCCTCTTCTTCTAAGAAGTCTTCAGTAAAACCTTAAAACGGAAATATTTCATTTCTTAGTGAAGAAGAAGATCTTAAAGTAATATAAACATTATAGGATTCATAAAACAAGAAGAAAAGAAAATTTAACCCAAAAGAATACACAAACAATTGGGCTATACTGATATGTCTTTATTGCTTAAAAGAAGAATTTAAAAAGAACTCTGCATCTATCAAAGATATAAAACAAAAAGCTAAATCAATATCAGAAGAAATCGATCACTAATTTTAAATTAAAAATTTCAACCAAACAGACTCTCTTCTCAACAATGATCTAATTATTGTGTATAATTTTATCTAATTTATTCTTAAATTAAAATCAAAAATATAAATATATCCCCTTTTTCTTTTAGAATATATACTAATTTTATTATGAATTAATCATAACAAATATAAAAATATATATATCAAAATCAATATTCAAGTACAAATAGCAAAAAATCAAAATTTTTAAAAAAATTATCTTAAAAATTTATTTTTTTTGAAAATAAAAATTTTTTTATTTTTTTAAATTTCAAAAAATTTCATTTGGTTTTTTTAAAATTTAATTTGGTAAATCTGAACTTATAATATCTAATACATAATATTGTTAAAAATATTAGATAACTAGTTTAAGGTGAAAAAATATTATCTTTAACAAGCACTGGTATTGAATTATCATAGAGTTTATATCACAAGCTTGTTGCTAAATCATTAGCAGGAATTTAAGAAAACTCCTAAGAAAATGCAAATAGTTAATAAAAATAATATGATTTAAACTAAAGTTAAAATTAATCAATAATGGAAGTAGAAGATTAATATGTAGAGTAATATGAAATTAAGAAAATAGAATCTTAATAACCAAAGAAGATAGAATAATATGAAAAAATGAAACTAGAATAATATGAAACAAAGAAAAGAGAAAAATATGATACAGAGGAAATAGATAAAAAACTAAATAATTAAAACTCAAGATTATAAAATGAATTTGATGATTACATGGATAAACTTGATTGTGATAGCAATTTTAATAACATTTTAGATTTTTTAGAAAAATCTGAACAGCCTATTAATTATTCAAGATCAAAAACAGCTTTTTTATCTTCTAATCCTGAATCACTAAGTTCTAAGATGGGTAGTATTTACAATCCTCAAAATAATAAAATAAAATTTGAAAAATTTGAAGAGAATTTTTCTGATAGGAATTCAGACTACGATGAAAGAATAAAAGAGTTGGATCAATTTAATTCTTAATTTCCCTTACCGGTATAAAACTCTAAAAAAAATAAAGGTACAAAGAAAGAAAAAAAAGTTATTGAGCCTTTATAGTAAAGAAATATTTTCAAAGAATAGAAAATAAAATAACTTTAAGAAATTGAAGATGATGATATTGAAAATGAAGCTATAAACAATTCTCTTCCATTTTCTAGTAATCGCTCTATCCCTAATTAATTATCTCTTGGAATAAAATAATCAAATGTTAGTTAAAAAATTGTAGAAAAAATATCTCTTAATAAAATAGCTAAGGGTAAGATTTCTAAAAATATATATTTGCTATTTCTCTTATTTTAAAATAGGAATGATTAAGGAGTATGAAGTTTATTTGATTATTGATATAAGAGAAAGAACAGATAAAAACGAAAGAGATTTAGCTATCAAATAAAAATTAGAGGAAAATGGTGTCTGCTGTAAAATAGAAAATATATATTTAGGTGATTTTTTATGGGTTGTTGATATAACAAGTAACTTTCAATAAAAAATTGTTTTTTAGAATATTTATTTTTAACCAAAATTCTTCTAAAACAGCTATCGATAACGTGACAGAAACTTATGTATTAGACTATGTAGTGGAAAGGAAAACAGGTGATGATTTTGCTTCAAGTATTTAAGATCACAGATATAAGGAGTAGAAATATAGGTAATTTATTTATTTATATTTTATTAGTGTAATGATTGCATAATTAAATTTCCATTAGATATAAGAAAAGTGGGTTGAAGCATTGTTACTATCTAGTTGAAGGAGATATTAAGAACACTAAGCATTTATCAGTGTCATAAAGTGCTATTGAAACGGCAATAATGACTACTTAAATGATTGATAAGTTTAAAGTGCAGAGAACTAAATCTTTCCAAGAAAGTATGATATGGATCAGTTGTTTGCATAAAAATATACTAAAACATTTCAACGAATACATATCAAGCATAAACGATGATCATATTTTAAATTTTTAGTATACAATGTCAGAATATCAAAAAAATAATAAAAAAAATGGTAATTTAACTCTTAAAGAATAGTTTGGACATTTTTTAAGATCTATTAATGGATGTGGAGCTTAACAAGTTTAAGTTCTTACAGAAATCTTTTAGACCCCAATAAATCTAATATCAAATTTAGGAAGTTAAAGAAATTTACAAGAAAGAATAGAGTTAATAATAGATTAAACAAAATATAATAAGAATTAGCTAAAAGCATAAGGTATGGATGCAAGGGTTATTTCCAAATCTTTAGCTACTTCAATAGCAATTTTATTTGGTGAAGACAAGTATCCTAAAGAAAAATTAGAAGATGGTGCTTGATTAGTCAATCAGTCAGTCAAATCAATTTAATTAAAAAATATCAAATTTATTAATTAAAATCATTAAATTAATTATAATAATAAAATAGTGTGTATTAATTTTAAAAATGTGTCTCTAAATTTTAATGGATGCTTAACTTCCTTTAAACTTTTTTTTATGTATAAAATTTTCTTAGATTTAGAGGTTGGTTGTAGTAAAATAAATCAATAAAACTAGCTCAACTAATTATTTTATTTAAATACTACTAATTAATATAATATAATTTTTTAATTGCATTCAGAAATGTTAAATTGTTTGTTAATGTAAGTTAATATATATTCCTATAATATTTTATATAAATGTTATTATTTTTAATAAATCTTAAATTGTTTTCAGTTTTTTATGTTAATGATAAAACTTTCTTTTAAGTTTATCAGCTAGCATTAAAATCAATTAATCTAGCTCAACTAATTATTTTATTTATATTATTCTAAAATAATAATAAAATTTCAATTCTACATTCATACATTTTTATGTATTAATGCCACTAATTGTTTTAAGCAGATAATATTTGTTAAAAATATTCAATTTGGTTATTATATATATGGATAATGAATATCTTCTAACATTTAACTGTTAATAACATAAAATGAATAAAACAGGTTTAATTAATTATTTTTAACATAAATAGACTACATTCAGACGTTTTGATATATTATTTTGACTGCATGTATTCATGTAAATAATATTTGGTATAAACTTGTTACATTTTTTAATATCAGTTATTTTAATTATATATTTTTATTAAAAGTAATTATATTTAATAATCAGTATGAGGAAATAAGTTCTTCATCAGGTTGAGGCTCGAAAACAGAGAGAATAAAATCAACCCAACCAGCAGCATTCAAATCTTAACCATCATTAATAAATGCATCATTGGCGAACATGGAAGGAGTACCAGTAACTGTTAAACCGCTTCCTAGCTTGTAACTAGCTCTAGCACCACCGTTGTAGTCATAATCATTGAAAGAGTCCAAAATTTCTTATGAAGTGACATTGTAAGCTGATAAATATTAAGAAGTATTATCTGCAATCAATTAATAGATTTGAGTAGTAGTTAAATTAAGTGCATTGTAGTAATCAGGTTGATTTTCAAATATTTAATCAACATAAACGAGAGTGGCTTCAGCTCCCTTAACATCAAGGACGTATTTGAACACTTAAGCAAGGCTATTTATAAAAATTTCAAAAATTAAAATATGTTTTTTAGAAATGACAAAACTTTTTGAATTTATAAAATATCCTAAACAATATCATTTCATCAAATTTGTTTATGTTATAAATAGGCAAATAATTTGACTCGATGAATCATATTTAAAAACATAAAATCAAATAAATAGCTCAGAGCTTATTTATTATGAGGGTATTTTTTGTAAATTATATTTGATCTTAAAATTACTAGAAAGCATTGTAATGGTAGGGAAGGGGCATGATGTGATAATTAACTCTAATTTAGTTAACATAAGCTGCAAGAGTTTGGTTATTTAAAGCAGAGATCAATTCTTGATATGTGTAGAGAGAGTCAGGGCAGGTTAAATCATACCAAGCATCAATAGTCAAAGTGGCATTAACATTACCAAAACCGACGCCATCAGGCTTGTCGGGAATTGGAACGTATTGGGTGGCTGAAGCAAGAGCAAGTATGCTTAAAATAACAAAAACTGAAGATCTCATATCTTTGTAAATTCTTTTACTTTTATTCAAAAACAAATTTTATAATCTTTTTTATTTATTTAATTGTCTCATCTAAATCAAATTTAATAAGCATTCATAAACAACAATACATCTATCAAAAAATAAATGCGAAGATTGCTTTTTTTCGTAAGTATTTCCAAAAATCAATCACTCTAATTTAAAACAATCCAATTAATCCATTATGTATTCTAATAGATAAATTCTGGAAATTTTTTTTTTTATGTAAAAGAATTAATTAATCAATTTAATTGAAGGCCATTCAAATCCATTTTATTTATTATTTGAGTTATTTATCGCAAATATTCTTAATTTATTCTTTAAGAATTGATTAATTAATTGCTCGATCATTCATTGATTCATACATTCATTCTCTTTTGTAAAGATAAAAAAATGGTATATTTTTATAAAATAATAAACACTCAGTAGGCACTTTGATTTTTTTTTTTGCAATAGAAAATTAAAAATGGCGAAAAAATATTAATTTATGGAAATTATGCCAAACTTGAAATGATCTTTAAAAATTTTAAGTTTTATTTTAGAAAACAATTTGTTTAGAGTTTTTATTTATTTAAACAATTATGGAAATTTAAACACACATTTATTTATTTAATAATATTATTAATGATTGATTGATCGATTATTTATTTTTGCTTTTTAAAAATTATTAAAACTATGAAGCAGACCACAGTATTTATCTGCTCTAACTACTGAATATGAAGTTAATAATATTATTTAATTTAAAAAATTTACAGAAGTTTTTGATAAGCTTACTTTTTAACGAAATAAGAAGAAGGGTTATTTAATTAATAATATTATTAATATTAACTTAAATGGAATTAGAAAATTTAGTGCCTCCTTAATATTAGCAAGGCTATTTAGAAAACAAAGAAAGACTTTTCTAACTAAAAAATTTGGACGAGAAATGGAAACTCTACTAAGAAAAAGAAGGAGTTAAGCTTTACACTAGAGAAATCGAAGGTCAATCTATAAAAATGTTGAGAATAGAGACTTCATTTAATGCTTCAGTAAAAGAAACATGCTAACTCTTGTTTGATGACTTAGAAGAACTAAAAAAATCTAAAGAACCAGTGAAAACAGCTGAAGTAATTGAAGAAATGAATGAAAGAGGTAGGATCGTTTTCATTACCACGAAACCAAAATACTTTGTTAGTTCGAGAGAGGTTTTACTTTATATGAACTAGGAGACTATAGGCTAAGAAGAAGGAGTAGTCTAAGTCTAGGTTGGACTAGATAGTCACCCTAACGTGCTAACTAATAAAAATGCTGTGAGAACCACAACTCTTTTGGCAGGTCATTTTATTCAACCTGATTAAGCTGACCCGTCTAAAACTAATGTAATATTTATAATCCATAATATTTTAAATGGTTCAATTCCTGAATTCGTCCAAAACATGGTTGTATCACATAACTTAGGAGGTTATATATATTTTAAAAATTTATGTGAGTAAAGAGCAAAAACAAAAGAGCTTTTACCACCTATTCAAGTAGAAGCTTAAGAGTAACAAAATATTACTAACAATTCCTAGTAATTAGAAACAACATAAGAATCTGATAATAATAATAATAATCAGTTGAGCTTTGAAGAAGCAGATGAAATTAAAGAAAAGACTCAGTCTAGGAAAGATTCCTTCTGTAATTAAGAAGACTACGACAACACAGCACACTCAGAGGATCAAAAAGAAATACTAACTACTCATAACAAAAGCTACAGGTAAAATCACTTAGAATAGGTAGATAATAATAATAGCGATATCAGTAGTCAGTTAAGCATTAAAGATAGTAATTCTTTTGAAAATTGACTCAATAAACCAAATAATAAAAAAAAGCATAATTATTTGTACTTTAAAGTTATTTTATTTGTATTATGTCATTTTAATCACTTAAACTGATTCAATTTTTTAAATTAATTTTATATAATTACCCTGAATTTATTTATCCAAAAAGAATTTTAAAAAAGTAATAAATTTTTTTAGTAATCTTTTAAAAAACAAAAAAACTAAAAAGACAAAATCCATTTTTCAATAAAAATTGTAAAATTTTTTTAAGCACTGAAAAATTTTAATTAAGCATTTTTAAATAAACCTCTTTAAAAAATGAATATTTTTATAAAACATTTCATCATTTAATAATTGAGATTTGTAAAAAAATTAAAAATCAGTTTATTTAAATAAAGTTTTTTGCCATAAATCCTTTAATTTTTAAATTTTAAATGAAAGCATTTAGTAAGAATTTAGAATAATATTATTAAACAAATAAACAAAAAATGAATAATTCATTTCTGAAATAAAAAATAATTTAATTAAAGAGTTTTTATATTTACACATATTTTTATTTCAATTTCTAAACTCGTTTTTTATTTTATTTATTTATTTAACTAATTGTTTTAATATTGTTTATAAATTCAATTATTTCTATTAATTATTGCTAATTTATTGTATTGTCTATTTTTGCATTTTTAGAGGATTATATTTATTTTTTCATTATATACCAATCTATCAAAACATCTATGATCCCATCTCAATTGCTTTATTTACAAGTCTCACAAACCCTTTCAAATCTAAACCTGCAAAACCTTTTCAAAATAGAGTAAATAAATATATCAAAATACATCTTTTAATCATTTACTATCTATCATTTCTCCTCTATAAAACAAAAATACTGCAGGAATACCTTCAAGCTATTTTTAAGCATAAAATAATTAATTTAGCTTTTCTTTAACATCTTACCTAAAATCCCTCAGCAAATTCCTAATTATAGTCTACGTTAATCTAATAATATTCATATAACTATTAATGATAAGGTGGTATTTATTCTCTTTATGCTTAAAGTTATTTGCAGGGAGGACACCAACTATTTAATTATGATTTATTTTATTATTTTTTTATAAATTTAGATTTTTACTAAATTTCCAATTTTTAAAACTTACTCTGCGAAAAACTCCAAGAAAACTGGCTTTCTGCAGCCTAAGATCTTCATTTCATAGTCTTAGGCACTTATTTCTTATGCTGTTTAATATTGGTATGTGTCTTCCTACATTTTTATTTAAATTGCTTAGTAATTTCAAAATTGGTGAGTAAATATAATTACAATGTATCAATCAATCAGTCTATTTTATAATACGATGAATTAAACTCAAATTTTATCTTTTTTAATAGTCAGTCAGATATTAAAAACATAATTAAATATATTGTATCTTTAATTACTACATTTCAGACACATCATTTTATTAATATTTCATAAACGTTAAACTTGTAGTAACATATTCTATTGTTAATTTTTAAGATTATAATCTTTAAAATTTGTTATAAAATATGACATTAAATATATTTTAGATAATAAAAACAAGTATTTAATCAGAAAAAGGTATTTTGTGTATATATTTAGCATATGATATGAAGTTTCTAGAATAATAACAAAGCAAATTAAAACACTATAAATTAAATTTTTAATATTTAACTGATTTAATAGCTATTTTGATATCTAGAAACAAATCTTATTTTAATTAATCCTCATCTTTTTCAGTTTATAGGAACACCAGGATATTATTTTTTAAGATAAGTTGTTAAATCGTTATATGCCTGATCTTATGTGTCATTAAGAATTTCATGATAGAAACCTAGTTTATTTTTAGAATCTATTTCTTTTACTGCATTAGTTAATCTAGTTTAAATTTATTGCTCAGTTTCAGTACCTCTATTATATTTTATTAAATTAAAAACTCAGCTCTTATGCTTAGTTAAAAAATATATTTATGATTTACCTTCCTCTCAATCTTTATTCTAAGATTTTCAATGATGGTACATTGATAAATACGTAATTCCAGCTAGGGAATTTTTTGTGTACTTTTTCAGCTCCTTAAACATCAATATCAAGTACACATATCTTTTTTATATTTGCAATTTTATATAAATAATCTAAAAGCTATTAACTAATTTTTTATAAAATTACTTTTCCTTTATCCATAAATGAAAAAACTTGTTTTTGTAAAGTACCATAAAAATTGCCATGTACTAAACAGTGTTCTGCAAAGTTATCTTAGTCAATTTCCTAATAAAGTAATTAAATTTTTCTAAGTAAAATACTAATACAATTAACTATAATTTCAATTTTTAATAATAAAGATGAATTTTGAAACAATTTTCATGAATTTATAAGTACTACATTTTGATACTTGGAATTGATAATTATGTAAATTTTTAAAAAACTTAGTCATTATTTCAGTATTAATTAATTACCTTTTAAAATTCTTCATGGTTAATGAAGTAATAATGAACTCCATGAGCTTCACCAGGTCTGGGTTTTCTAGTGGTGCAACTAACACTTAAGTCAAATAAATTAGGGTTTCTACTTTTAAGCATCCCATAAAGTGTTCCCTTATTAAATAAACATAGTTATTAAAATACTATTCAGATCATTAATCGAATTTTTTATAATTTTATTAAAAAATGATGTGTTAAGTACTTTTCCTGCTCCAGAAGCACCAGATAAAACTAAGGGATTTAATTTTTGCTTGGTTTAGCAGAAAGCAGCTTTGCTCAAGAATATAGTATTTAATGATCTGCTAACGGAATTCATAATTAAGCTTTTAAAGTCAGAAATATTTGATGTATCAGTCATGTAGATTTTAATCGTTAATCTTAGATTTTAATTTATATCTATAAAAAAATAAGTAATAATACTTTTTACTTCAAAAGATCAATATTTTATTCCTTTTTTATTAGTATCCAATTAAAATCTTAGCCCTTTATTTCTATCTCAAAAGAAAAACCTATTCAGTAATAAATTCTTACAAAAATGGTCTAATAAATAAATGTTATTATTATGTCGATTGTAGAAGTTTTTAAATAAGATTAATTATTATATTTTTTTTATTATTTATGTAGATAAAAAGTTATAGTCCTATGTTAATTATTTGATTAAAATATTTATATATTTTTATACAAATACTATTATTATTAATATGTTACATTTACTCAAATAAAAACAAAATATCATGTTCATACTTTCTTTACTCATCTTAATATGAAAATACTTCTCATTTTTAAAGTCTTGTTAATATTTTTTGTGGTATAAATTTTGTTCAAAAAAGTAAAATTTATTGATATATTTTCTTTAAATTTAACCTCAAAATATTATTTTTATTAATTGGTTTTTTAATTAAAATAAAAAATTATCAAACAAATAAATAAATAATTTTAGTTTAATTTTTTTATATTTTTTGATTTTTGCTATTTTTTTTCTTTATGATATATTTTAAATTCATAAATTTGTTTTTTTAAATTAATTTTATATTTAAAATAAAATAACTTGATAAATCTATTTTTAATGAAATTCTAAAAAGAAAATAAATAATAAATTATTTTTAACTAAACCTTTTTTAAAGTTGCAATACAAATTATATATGTAAATCTTTAAATATTCTAAAAACAAACAACTGTTACAATACAAAAATAAATTATATTGTGGATGCCAATGGCTAATAATTAGTGATTATGCTAATTGAAGGTTTAATCAGAAAAAGTTCTAATCAACTTCTCTTATTTGAACAAATCAATTTTTTCAGTAAAATAAATAAAACTTTGTATATTAAGCAATTTAACTTATAAATATACTGTAATTTTATATTTTTAAAGTAACAATACATGTTTTTTGAATATAAATTCATAGCTTAATCAATATTTTAAAAATAAATCAAATATAATATATAAATTATATAGTAGTAATTAAATTATAAATCAGATATTTTTACATTTTAGTAATTTTTTTTGTAGTATATATTTAATTTTTTCAAAGCTCTGAGAAAAATAAACTTTCTATTGACTTGTAAACACCAAGGATAGAGGCTATTAGGAAAATAAAGCAAATTGAATATCCATAAATCTTTCTGGATAGAGAAACATTAAAATATTTCATGTAACATAATTAAGGGATTATGAATTGCAAGATAAGAATTGCAAAGGAACCTAGCAATGAGATAATTTTTGCTAACTTAACTGTCAACAGACTGATTATAAAAATAAATAATATGAGTCCATAACGACATATATATCTTTTAGCAATGGCCATTTAAGCATTAAACAAAGTTTTATAATCTGATTTATCATACCTTTCTTGGCAAAATATTTTTTCTTTAAAGCATTTTAGGTTCTCATAAAGTTGAATAACTACATAAAACTTGAGTGGATAAGAAAGTAAAACTGATATCGTATATAGTAATCTAGCAAGCATTCCTTTTAGTGTCTAAGGTGCGAAATTAATGAGGACTATACCATCTACATATTCTCCCATAGCTAAGTGACCTACAATTCCAAACATTAGATATATAGAACATGTAAAAGCTGTAGAAAATTAGAAAACAGGCAAAAATTTATGGGGTTTTTCCATACAGTCTCTGACATTAAGAGCAACTGGAATAATTTATAAGCTATAAACTACTATTCCAAGAGCCAGGAAGAAATGGTCTGTTCTCCATAAGTCATTTTTCTATCTTGATAGAGTACCAACCTCTGAAATGAAATTCAAGTCAGTATAAAACATAATTCCAATTCCAATTAACCCAAAAAAGAAACCTATTAAATTTGTTTACCAAAATAAGGATAAATGATTAACAGTGCTAAATGGAAAAAGAATAGCGAATGCGACTAGAGCAGCGATTAAATGTGCCTATTCATAGCTTAAATTTTTGATCAAATAGGTTTAAATTATCTAAATGATGTACATTTCAAAGAATATAACATATGAAATGCAGCCTCCTAAGTTATTTATCAAGCCAAATACTCTACAAAACATTTAACCAGGGACTCCATAAACTTTATGAGCTATATCTGTTATGGAGGCATTTAACTTTACATAAACACGCTATTACTCATTCTTTAGAATCATATCCTTATGAATTTCAATAACTAAATGTATAGAATACACAGTGAAAACGGAAGTAAATATAAGTAAAGCACTACCAAGTACAAGCCCAGTTAAATTATACACATAAGGAAGAGCTAATATACCTACACTAAAGAAATATTTTGCGAGCAACAAAAATGATTAAAACTCAGTAGAGCTTCCTTTGTAGTCGATTTTTGAAAAATGCCTCTTTAATACTAAGTTATTTCTATTGACATCAATAACTTTAGGGTAATAATAGAGCTAATCCTCATTATCTTATGTTTCTGTATTTATTTCATGTGAATTAAATGATTTATCGAATATTTCATTGCCATCCTCTTATGGTAGCTCTTCACTGAATGTAATATCCTGATTTGAAGCTTCAGAAAGCTAACTTATATATATCTGACTCTATTGTCGGGATGGAGCTTTACTAAACGTTTATTTTAGTTCAGTTTCTTTGAATTCAACTTTAAATGAGGAATTTAAACTGTTCATCTCTCTGGTTTTTTTGCCAAAATTTATTTCTTTAATTAATATATAATAAATTATCAAAGAGAGACGAAACACAATTATTATTTTTAATCCAATTAAATAATAAATGTGAAAGCATCAATCAAAAAGAGAGAGAAAGAGACTTCATTCAATTCACAATATTTCGTGTAAATATGACAAAGGAAATGCAAATATACCAATTTATTTTATATAAACTTGTTGGAGTTTTAAATTATTTTGTAAAGATGCTGATGATGTATAATATTTCGAAAAATATGCACAAAATATTGAAAATATTGAATTTTAAATCAATCATTTTTAATTTTTTTGGTATTAGTTTTTTCCACTAATCATCACTTTTCTGGAGCTAATTTGGATAAAAAATCATAATTAATTTCATTTGAAAGTGTAAATTCTCCCAATGTGATAATCGTGATAATATTTAATTGTTAATTATTAAACAATACGTAATTTTCTCTATTAAATCTGAATACATTTTTAAATTTCCATACAATTATAATTCAAAAAATAGTGTAAGGGCAAAGCTATTAGATATTTATTTTAAAATATTAAATATGTTCTATTTTTTAATAAAAATTTAAAGTAACATTATACAAAATTTAAGAATCTTAGAATTTTTTTAGGTTTAAAGGTATTTTAGTTATTTATGGTAAATAATCGATAGTAAAATTATAAAAAAGGCCATTTTGAGGAATTATTAGTAAATAATTTGAATAGATATTACAATTTATTCTAAATTAATTATTGCATCCCATCAATCCAATTCAAAATTTCTATCTAAACAAAAAAAAGATCTCAAAAAATAAGATTTGATTTTTTATGTATTATGAGTTCATAAAATTTTTTGATCATATTTCGTCAATTGATGGATTAAATTTTTGAAAAAAAATAGATCAGATTTATTTTATCTTCAAAATCATTATTTTTAATAATTAATTTATTACTAATAAGAAAATGGCTTAGATAGTAATTAAAAATTTCAAATTAATTAATAAATACTTAGTATTTCGTTTATATTTATTTTAGGTTAATTTTTTAACCAAAAAATTATAATGTAGATATTTATAAGATACAATTTTTTATTAAATTATATTTGTATTTTTTACAGAATAAACAAAAAATATGAACTGTAACTCTCTATTATAAGATCCCCTCTCTTCCTCCTCCATTTAGAAAAAGGGGGTCTTATAACAAAAAAAATAAGGGGTCTTATAATAGTGGGAGATCTTATTATAAGGGGGATCTTAAAAAAGAGAGTTTACAATAATTAATTTAAAAAAGTAATTATAGAAATTAAAAATAAGCATTTTAACTTTTCATGATAAATATTAAAACTTATCTCCATTTTTAAAATATGAAGTTTTTTAATATCAAAATATCTTTTCAATTAAAAAAAAATGATTTTAAAGAAAATATTTATTATTAAAACAAAATAAATGTAGAAATATTTAATTAAAATGCTAAATATAAATAATTGAGTAATATTAATTAAAATAAAGTTAACATCAAAAACAAACTTGTAAAATCTTAATATTTATTCTAGAAAGAAGTAAAAGAAATTTCAGAAATACAATAACTATAATTTAAATTTTTAGGAAATAAATATATTTTTTTAGATTAGAATTTAAACTTAAAATTTCAAATTAATATTATTTATTATCAATTAATAAATAATAATAATATATATTTGATTGATCAGCTGTATATTTTTAATTATCTATTATATTAAAATCGAATTTTATTATTTATTTATTTAATTATAAATAATGATAATTATAAAAACTATTGTAAGAATTAAGCTAATTAGTAATATAGTTGAATGAAAGAAAATAGAATCCATTTCATAAGATGAAAAATATTCGTTTTAGTTAGTGTGATGAAAAAGAATATATTCAAATTTTAATATGAAATCATGGTCGAATTATTTATATTTATAAATAGAAAATAAATAAATTACAAAAGAAAAATTGAATATGATAAGAATTGTAAAATAAACTTTTTTTTGTTTTTGATTTTGGTTTATAGTATTTGAAAGGTAAGAAAAAATAGATAGGAACATCAAATTAAAAAAATAAAATATAATAGTTTTTTAAAAAAGTCATTTTGTTTAAATATTTAGATTGATTTAAAATAATTAACTAATTAGTATGAGAGGGTACCAATAAAAGTATGGAGGTGGATAAGGCCTTTAACCAATTACTGAATTAGAAAGTGAAAATCATACAAGCATGTATATTTAGAATTATAATTAATTTGGGCTATAATAATCAAACGGAGGAGCATTCAATAATAATTTTTAACGCAACCAAGGAGTACATAATTAGTAATAATAGAATTATAGCAACCCTAATTTTGTAAGAGAAGAAAATTTAAAATATATAGATTTAGAGAAAATATTTAGCGATACAGACGATTCAGCATCTCGCATGAATGATAGTCTTTTAGATGATTGCGATAATTTAGTACCCAAAGAGAATTAACGCTAATTCTAACAAAATGTATTGAACTAATTTCAAAACTACAAAACTTAAACAAATAAAGATTTAACCAAGAGTTATGGATAAAATTATTAAAATGATAAAACTTTGGATTTAACTTTAAATTTAACTAGAAACTACAATTCCGGTGGTGGAAACAATATGATTCTCGGTGGAGCTCACGAAAACTCTATAAATGATAGCTTAATGTATATAGTTAATGAATTAGGTGGTGACAGTCGTTTTCGCCAATAAGGAACGCCAGCTTCGATAAATAATAACAATAATAACAATTATATTCATAATAATAACTAAATAAATTTAAATGATACATAAGTCATGTATTAGAAATATGAAGATACTGTTAAAATGATGAGCTAATTATAAAAGCAATTAGGAACTTCTGTTGATAGCAATCAAGCATCTCAATTACTGCGCTCAGATAGATTTAGGTCTAGTATAGAAAGCAATAATGAAGCTATAAAAAGATCTCAAAATCCATAAAACATAGGTAGTACTTCTTAATAGCAATTTTAGTAACCTTAAATATAATAGACATACTCGTCAGGAAGCAATTCAGGTGGTAATTCACCAAGTACAAATATATAGTACAACTTACGCTAGCCGAAACCATAAATTGAAAATAACAAAACTTAATAAGGATATAAGCAGAACGAAAAAATCACCTAAGGCCCATCTATTACTAATCAATATCTCCCAAATACCTAGAGCACGTCTATTTCATCAGACTATAGACAAAACCCTAATTTTAACAACTCAAATGGGTACGAATAATAATTAGCTTACTCGAATCTAAATTAAAACAACCCAGCTCTAAAATATTCTTTGTAGTCACCTTAATAAAATCAAAGTATGAATAACAGCAATATGCAATCTTAGTATTTAACTCCTTAGAGCAACAAATAAGCTACTAGTTAATTTGGAAATAACTCTACAGTATTTTCAAGTCCCTAAAGCATTTAATCATCATAATTTTCAGCATTTTAGGCATAAGGCATGAACCCTAAGTAAAGAAGGATATTTAATATGGAATAAAAAGCCATTTTAAAATAAGCTGAGTAGCGTATTTAGCTATCTAACGATCCATTTTTATATTAAAAGAGAATGGAGTAAGAAATTCTAAGCGATAGAAATTATTAGAAGATGGTAGAAGAGGAGTTGCCAGTTTTTTGTATTAATTGCGAAGAATATATAAAGCTTAATGACGTAGATAAGCATGCCGAAGGAGAATGTGAAGCCTTTTAGAAAAGGAAAGCGTAGTAAAAATAAAACCCTTCAGTGAGTAGTTATGGTGGTGGTTTTAGACCTGGAGAAGGTGGAGATTCTTACTTAAGCGAAATTACTGAAAAGATTGTCTAGATTGAATAATAAATAGGATCTCGTCTTGCTAAATTAAAATAGTAACCCTATTCTTAGTTAAATAATTAGTTAATAGAAGCTTCAGATGCTGTCATTCGCTAGAGCTAAAGCATCCGCTTTAATAACGAAAATGCGATTTAAATCCACCATAATGTGTAATAAATTTAACTTTAACGCTAGCAGATAACAGTTTTGCACAATGACAGCAAAAATGTAGGTATGCTTATCCTTTGGGATCGCTTAATTTTCCTTGCTGACGAGAAAGCTCTGAGAGTAAGATACTTCAAAGAAAGATAATAAAATTTAAATTTAAGCATGGCAAATACTTCTTAAGATAGAGAAATCATGATGCTTGAACAGGAGTTAAAAAAACTAGAGAGCTTAACATAAAAGGAAAAAGAAAAGGTTTAATATTGGAAAATGCAAAGCGAAATGATGGAGTAAATAAAAAAGTAAGATATCAACAACCTCAAATACATTAAAGATAATCACTCGTATTAGATTATTAAAAATCTATAATCAGAGAGAGATTCTGAAACATAATCATCTGCAGGATTGTCTTCTTAAACAGGAGATTTTGTTATCACAAATTAATTGTTAATAAATAATCCAGTAACATAAAACGCTGAAGATCGCAAAAAAATTTTCTTCAAAGAAGCCTTAAATGTTAAATTCAGCTTTCCTTAAAATCATCGTTCTAGAAATGTGGATTTACAATAACTGTACGATGCAGCTATTAAATAAAATATTCCATAATAATAGTGGCCAGAATTTATACGCAACAGAATGAACTAAATATGATCACTTAACAATCTTCAAATAACTAAATAACTAATAGTGGATCAATAAAAATATTAATAAAAATTAGAAATATCTCAATAATGTTCATCCAGCCATTAGTCAAGTTCGTTTTTTCAATCAATCAATCAATCAATAAACCAACCAACCAATCAACCAATAATTTTATGTTATTTTATTTTCGCTAGATTAAATTCTTTGCTTTCTTTCGTATAAAAAATTTACTTTTATTAATCAAACCACCATTTATTTATATTATTACTAAATAAAAAATGCAATTCATTAATTATCTAACCGCCTAATTTTGTATTTATATATGTATGTAAGAAAGAATACATCTGTGTAAAAATATGTAAATTTATATCTTCTTAAATAAAATATTTATTTTTTATCACACAGTGATTGATCTAGAAATTATTTATTTATGATTATAAATTAGAAATAAATATCATTCTAAATTTCAAAAATTTTTAGTTATCAAAACTGGATTTGGCCTTTAAGATGATTAAAACTTATAAAATGCTTATTAAATTTTGCTTTTTATCTTAAAATATGTTACCCCATCTATTATTATAGTGTAAACTTTCTTTTTACGTAATTAATAATAAAATCATCCACTTTGTAGGAATTCAAATAATTATTAAAAACCAAAATTTAGATATTTTACAAATGATCTAAAAGTATCACTCATTAATTATTCAAATACAGGAAAAAAGGCTGGAAAAATTTTAATCATGTTAGAAGAAATTCTGCTTTTTGAAAATCATCAATAAATTCTATGTTTTAAGATAAACAAATTACTAGATTAAATATGTGAAAGTTCTTCAATAAAATTTTTAGGATAGCATCAATAATATTTTAAATTATATTATTTGAAATAGAATATGGGATTGATATTAAATAAATCTACTCATAGATTCTTTTTTATTTTATAAATTTTATTGAATATATTTTATTTCTACAAGTTACACATTAAAGTATGTAAAATTAAGAAATTTTTAATACTGACCATCTTTATGTCATATACATAAACACAATCGATAAAATACTATCATCCACCGCTTGAAAACCATAATGAATTTTATTTATGCAGCTTACTGTAACATTTTCTAAGAATATTTTTAAAATAAAAATTGTTTAATAAAAAATATTTTATTATCATTTTTTATATAAAAATTTATTCTTTTTTTAAATTTTAAAAAAATCAATTTTTTAATTATCAAGAATCAAGAAAAACTTGTAGTCCATTATGAAATTTTAGTCATTTTTGTTCTTATTAATTAAATGATTATAATTATTTGGTAGATTTAGTTAGTTACTAAATAAAAATACTCTTAAACATTTTATTTCTTATACTTTTATTTACGAAACTAAAATCTTTAACAAAATATTATATGATTAATTTTTAAACTAACTGTATTATTTATTGCAATAATTAAATAGTAATTTAGTAAATAAATTTATGAATAAGTTGTATAATTAAATAGAAATAACAAAATATTTGAAATAAATTCATACATCATTCTAATTATCAAAATAGTTTTTTAGTTTACAAATATTAATAAGTAAAATATAACAATTAAAAATGTGGTCATATCATACATTTATCCATTATTATTATTGGTAATATAAGTTCTTTTTTAAAAAATATCAAAGTATTTTTGAATACTAGCATAAAAGTAAATTTATCAACATTGATTTTAAATATTTTAAATCATTAAAAATGTTTTAATATAAAAAATTATCTTTTTTAGTAATTAATCTGGTACGAGTGTATTTAAAGTTTATTTGATCCTTAAATTAGAAAGTATTTTGAATTTTAATTGCTATATTAGTATTCCTTTTCTATAATTTTTAAAATAGATTTTTAATAAATAGTTATATACTTGTTTGAGAATTTATAAATTATAAAAATTACTTTATTTATCTTATTTATTTATTTCAGAATACATAAATAGATTAATTGATTTTGAGGTGATTTGCGTTAATGAAAGAAATTTATTAAAAATTCACTGCCTTGTTTTTCAATTACAAATATTGTGAATATTATTACCAAAAAAAAGATGATTATACCAATCTATTCATAGAGCTCGAATGAACAAATCGTAAAATATCAAATAAGAAAAAGAAAATTTAGAAATTTTAAGTCTAGCCATACATAAAAAGAAATAAAAGGAAGAAAAATTAAATCAAAGTAAAGTTAGTAAGTACCAAACAATTAAAAAAAGAAATCAAATAAAAAGATTATTAAAAAAGATTGGTTATTTAATTAAAGAGTTTTCATCAAATACTGCTACTACTACTTTTCATATCTAAATATTGATTGACAATATTCAAGCAGTAAGCAGAAAAGAAATATTTAAACAAAAGTTAAGACAACAATTAGCAAATATAAAATTTAGTTTAAGCTATTAAAATAGTAGTTGTCTACATCTCTCCATCATATATTCAACAACAATCTTTAATTAATATTTTTTAGTGATAAAAGCGCAAAAATATAGGACATAAAAAAGGGTTGATTCTAAAAATTAAAATTAGGAAATACATATATCAGATATTTAATAATACAAAAGGAGATTGGATATTTTAAGAATTAGATTATCTTATCTTTCAAAAAGATATAAAAATAATAGAAAACTTTAAGTTTAAAGAGAAGTACAGCAAATTTGAAACAATTATCTATAAATATCTTGTAATATAAATAGTATTCAACATTTGAGTAGGTGTATTGTAAGATATTTACTTGGAAAACTTGTGTGATTTAATTTATTAAAAAAGGAATACCTGTATTTTTGAAGTCATCGCTCTTATTGCAGCCTATTTGCTGGAGAAGCAGGAGTAGTGATGAGAAATAGGAATGCTTCAACTGTTAATTATTTGAAAAAAAAGAAAAATGAATTCTTTCGTATATCTAAAAAATTTTTTTCTTGGTAAATTTATAATGTTACCACTCAAATATAGTTAATTTACTTAGTGGTTGCTCTGCTTTGTTTTATTGATATTATAGTCGCGATTGTAATGGGAGTTAAAGCTTGGTACATATATCTTCTTTCTATAATATAAATAATATAAGCCTTATTTGTTATAGTAGCAGTACACTTTTATCCCTTAAAATATGAAAGCCTCAACCTACTTGGCTGTATTATCATTCACACAATATGGAGCATTTAGTAAACTTTAATAAATACTGTAAATTAAGCTGATAATTCAAATTCATATCAAACTTCTTATTACAAAGGAGAGAAAAGAGAGAGCTTAGGTTATGTATTAGGTATTCTAAGCTATTTAATGATTCAAAATACAAGTAATTTTAATGTTAAATGTATTTTACTGGCATATAATTTTGTTTTGTATTGTGCTTTTAACAACTTGGCACTTTACAATATTTAATATATTATTGCTATTTTTTTTTGCGCATGCTACAATCTTTACTGCGATGAATAAGGTAGAGAATAGCTAATTCGCGAAGCTGAGTGGATGTTTAAATTAAAAAATGTCATACCAAATTCTCTGCTTGTTGTGTAGTTTGATAGAAAGAAAAAGGACATTGATTTGCATATGTCTAATGAAAAGGCCAGACATGTATTTAATTTAAATGGGACTACTTTAAATTTTATAGATTTTTGTCAGCATGTTACTATCCAAAAAAAGATAAAAGAAGAAGTTAACGATACATTATTTTATCTTGAGTAGTCGAATCATAAAAGCAATAAAAGTGGAGTTGGGATAGTAAACTCACTACACGAAAGCAGAGCTCCAAATTCCCAATATAAATAAAAAGAAATTACGCTCCAGAAAAAAACTAATTTATACGAGTTTCTCATTCAAAGGTTTTAATAACTTGATGATGAGTTACTACAAAAAGAAATTCTGCGTTAAAGTTCTCTACAATCAAATGACAAAAAATCTACAAAAACTAACTTGGCTGCAGGACTTCCAGTGAACTAATAAGGTAATAATGTAACAGAGTTTACAAATAAAATTGGAGGATAATAAGCATCGAAATCTTTTTTTGGGTAATCTAAAACATTAATAAACATGATGACTTCATAGAAATCACAAAGAAAAATGATGATGCCACACCATCCGTCAATCAGATATAAAGACTATTCTAAAAAATTTGAAGAATACAAATGCGTTTACCATAGGAATTCATAATTAGCTCATCAATAGCAATCACCCTAACTAATTAACTAATAAAGCAACAAATTATACATAGAGGAGGATATTAGTGATGTTAAATTCACTATGAAAATATCTATTTATGTTTGTATAGATGACTATTTTATTGTCATGTCTTTAGACGACTCTAACATTTCAGAAAAATTTTAGAATCAAACACGCCTTTCATTTTTCTATGAAGAGTTTTGTAAGCAATCACTCCTTAAGTCTACAGACCAAGTAGTTTAACTTGTGTAAGAAATAAAATAGATTACAAAGCAGTGTCAAATAATCACTGAGCTCGACGTAAGCAGATTTATAAATAGTAATTTATATCTTGCTGAATCTGGATTATCTAATAACTTAAAACCTACAAACTCAAATTAGAATATTCCTTAACCAACTTAAACAACATAAAACACAGCTGGAAATGCAGTCAACGGGAGTCACTTGACGAACCCTACTTCAACTTCTTAGAAAGGTGTATATTGCATACCTAAAAGGTAACTTGATAACGCATTGCAAAGTGGTATCCTAGCAACAACTGTCATAAGTAATTTTGTAAACTACTTTGCACTCCGATATAAAAAAAGAACACAAATAGATGAGAAACCTTTTTCTATTATACGAGTTATTAGGAATGTATAAAGAATATTCTAAAAATAAATAGACTGTAAATCTATTCAAGTCTTAATTAACTCTCAGGAGTCTCACTTTAGTAATCCCAACTCTAATATTAATGTGAATAGCAACTTAAATAACCATATCTCTTCTGACATTCGTGTATTTATTAACAATTAAAATAACTAAGCCAATTCTAACAACCACAACACTTCAATTATAAACATAAACAATTTAAACAATAATTCTGCTATGAACAATAACTTAAACAGTAGCAATATTTAATAAAATATGAGCTTTAGCAATATAAGCTCTACAGTTATAAATCATTTAAGTAGTAGCAAAGATAATTTTAATGTTCAATAAAATTATAATAATAATAACAACAACAACATTAACCACAACAACAACAATATCTCTATAAGAGAAATTACTAATTAATAGCCAACTTTTTAAAATAATACATACACAAATTAACTTATAGCTTACCAAGTCAATTAAAAGTAATAATGTGATGAGATAACTAACGATGAAGCAAAGCTACAACACCTTATTTTCAATTTATTTTAAAATGCAGTAGAAAATACACCAATGCATGGAACTATAGCATTTCTTATATAAAGAGATTAATAATTAGATAATTGTATAAAGATTCGTATTCGTAACAAATGCCATAAAAATTTCAATTTTCCTTTCCTCGAGCTAGAAGAAGAAGGAATAAATCTAGGTTGGAAATAAATGGCTTAAGAGTTTGATTAAAATGGAAAAATTTTTTTTGGAATCAGAATGGCAGCAAAGCTATCTTAACTCATAGGACCTTATAATTCTCTAAAATTCAAGGAAATTAATAGCTCCGAGCTATAAGCTGAATTTCTTATTTATGACTATTCCTATGAAAAAGGTATTTTTAATCAAAACTCTAGTACCTATAAATCTTATGAATCCTCCAGCTATTTAGCAAGTGAAAAAATGAGCTAAGAAGTTAAGCCTAAGCGTAAATCAACTAAATAAAGATGTAACTCTGTAAGTTCCTATAGAGTTAGATTAGACTCTATGGATTCCTTTGATAAATGGATAAAAATGTAAAATCTGGAATCTTAGAAAGGCTCAAACACACTTCGAATACGCAATCAATTAAAATATAAAAACTGAGATCATAAGCTTTTTCGCTCAGCTAGCTAGCTAATAATAAATAAATTTTGACAAAAACATTTTTAATTACCAAAAAAAATGTGAATAATATATTTTTTCATTACATAAGAATTACTTAAATTACATAAAAAGAGGTAAATAATTTGACTAAAATAAATAAATTAATTCATAATCTTAATATAAATAAATTCACTAATTAATTACTGAACAAAAACGAAAATTTAGAACTAATTTAAATTTTACTAACTAATTTAAACGACTATACTAATAATTAATAAAATATTTTTCTTTTGTTGTTATCAACATAAATGTATACTAACTGTTTAATTAATTTAAGCAAATTACTAAAAAACCAGAAAATAAACTAATTCTCCTATTGATTTATGCATTTATACTGCTTTTTATTGTACTTAAATAAATATTTTGAATGATCTTATTTATAATAAAAAGTTAAAAATAAAATAATATACTTAAATCTCAAATAACTGATAGAAACTATTCAATTATTTGAACTACATTAATTTTATTTGTAATTTCTCATTTTATTTTTAAATTCTAATTATTTTCATTTTTCTTTATTTCTAAAAAAATATCATTCTAAAATTTATACATTTATTTATAGTAAATAATTGATAAACCATAATTAATTTTAATTGTTATAATTAAAAAACAAAATTATTTCTTGACAACTTGGTATTTTTAAGGTTAAATTTGTAAAGATCTAAGTTAATATATAAATTAGTAAAAACTTAATATCACAGGTATATGTTGTAATCTTAATAAAACTATGTCTATTTCATTTTGCTAATTAAAAAATTTCAAAATACCAAGAAAAAAGGTAAATTAATTTACTAATCTATAATTACAATATTTATTTTTAATATGAAGTTATGTTATTTGATTAGAAAATAGATAACTTTTCATTAATTTCTTTTCTATTAAAGTCAAACTTATTTTTTCACTTTAATATTAATCGTTCACTTTGATATTTATCTTATTATTTTTATAAAGGATATATCCAATTTATAACAATGTTTTTTACATTATTTTTTTTGGTTAAAATTATGATGAAAAGAAAGAGATTGAAATTCATGATAATCTATTTTACAATCTTTTAATTTTATATTTATTTACAAATATAATCATTTTAAAATATTAAATATTTATAATAATATAATTAAAGATATTAATAAATACAAATTCATTTACATATATTTAAAAAATAAGCTTTTTGATATTTGCTTTAAAATTATTGTAATCTAATATTTAATGAAATTTTGAAATAAAGAAAATAAACAAATTTTAAGAACAATGCTAAATAAGCGTATTACACTATGATCAATTTAAAAATTGCTAAAACTTGTATTAAATTAACTTATAAAATAATATTAAGTTTAAAAACAATTTTTATATAATACAAACATTTTTTTTTGAGAAATTTAGATCTCTAATAATCAAATGCATATTAATTGAAAGTAAAAGCAAAATAAATTCAAGTTTTACTGCTTAATAATAATCTTAAATAATATGAATGCTAATCAGATTTTTTTATATAGTCATCAAAATCATCAAAATAGGCTTATTATGAATTTTTGAAGATACTTTCTATGGAATTTTAATGATTGAAAATTGTTAAAAAATAATTTTTTTACTGTTAATTTATGGCTTTTGATGAACATATCGCAAAAATCAAATAATAATCAATGATAATAATAAACTAAAAAATTTTTTTAGGAATCTAAATAGTTTATTTGTGTATTATTTAAAAAATTAATATGATTTAAAAATATTAATAGATTTAGATAGAAGGCTTTTAAAATATTAATAATTATTTATTTGCAAAAAATTTGATAGTTATTTCATTTTTTATTTAAATCTGATAATTATCCATTATTAAAATAGAAAAATTCAAAGACTTAATTTAGTTTACTAATTCATAAAAGGAGAAAATATTCTTTATTTTCTAATTTGTGAAAGAAAATTTTTAAGCTCCAAATTATCGCAAACAAATTTAAATTTTCATTTAAATTTAAACCAAAATTTATCAGTATTGAAAAATGTTAGAGACTTTGTTTAATATGAAGTTTATAATCTATTTTTACCATCATTCTAAAAGTAATTAAATTAAAAATATCACCTAATTTTCACAGCTATTACATTCTAAAGAAACTAATTTTAGTTAACAATTTTATTAGAATGAAAAGCAAAAATACAAACGAAAAGCTTTTATATATTATTTGTTTTTTAGGTAGACAAAATATTTTTAAGTTTCTTTACTTAATATTCAAAAAAAATTTATTTTTTCTATGATTTTACTGTGTAATAATTTTGATAGAATAAATAAATTTATGATAAATTTTCTTCATTTGTCTTTAATTTAGTTCGAAATTAAAATATCTCAATAGACAACAAGTAAGTTTATTAATCTAGTCGAGGTGGAGTACATAAAAAAAACTTTAAGAGAGAGAAAAAGCTTAAAAAGTTTAAAAATTAATTAAAAAATATAAAAAACAATAAAAAAGGCATAATCAAAAAACTAAAAGAAAACCTATCTTTAAAAATGCCAGAAACAATAACAAAAGTTGTTGCAAACTCTAAATGCATCGAAAATGAATTAGTTGCTAACATTCCTGATGCTTCAAAATAAGCTACCGAATTGAAATCAATATCGAATGAGGAAAAGCTCAGCGATTAAACAAGTTATATAAAAGAACAATAGAATTTTGATAAAAGAACATGGGATAATAAGAAAGACTTCATTTATCTATAATACTCAGACTCTATGTCTTTCGTAAACATAATTATAAGTCTCTTGTTATGGGCTTTTCTGTACTTTGCAATTTCATAGGCTATTGGTAAAGTTTTAGGATGGATCCTTTTTGGAGTTTGCTATATTATTTATTTAATAGAATGCACTAACTGCTCTATTTTTAGAAGCATACTAAACAGAAAGCATGAATCTGAACATGTAGAAGCATACATTAGCTCATTTTTAAATTTAACTCCTATGATTGCATTTGCTGTTAATAAATTGGTAGCAGTATAATAAGAGAAAAGCTAAGAAAACAAATAACAACAAAATGATATTGAATCTTAAAATGTATATGAATTACAAATCTAAAATAAGTCAAACTCAAATAATTAAGAAAATTAATAAAGTATTTAATTCTAGTAAGAAAGCATCCATTTTGAGTTTGAAAAAGTCAACTATGAATTAATTAATATTAATGATTTAATGGGTAAATATAACTCATTTAAATTAAGAATTAACTCTATAACAAAAATATCTGACGAATATTCATAAAATTTATGGTCTAAAAAGAAAGAATAATTTAAACAAGAGCAAGAGTAGATTAAAGGAACTAAAATAATAAGTACAATTTAATATACTGATTTCAATAATTAAAAGTACTTGCTATACATCAAATCTTCCTTTATTTACCACATTTTTGTTCTAACTTATTCTTTCTTATCTCTAATTGGTCTCTCTATTCTTTTTAGAATATTTTATAATGTTTCAGTTCCTACAATTTAAGCTTAGCTTGAAAAGAAGCTTACTTGTTGATTACAATCTTAATTAAAATTTTAATAAATATAAAATAAACTAATTAAACTTATTCAATTTTACTATCTACCTACATTAACTTCACACTTACTAAAACTCAAATATCTAATTAATGTACTTCTTTATCTTCTTTAATTGTTTACCTGTATTTCTCAATTTAATTTAAATTTAAAATTTGCAAAATAAAGTTTCATTTATTAATTTCTTATTTAAATACTTTCTCTTAAACCCAAAAATTAAAGATTTTTTGAATAAATCTCAAAAAAAGTGAAAATAGTTATTGTTTAAATTTAAGAAAAAATCTATTTTTAATTTGAAAATATGATTTACTATTATTTCTTATACATTTTATTTTATTATTATCTATCAATTATGAAAAAAATTTCGAAAATATTATAAAAAATTTTTAATAAGATTAAATTTTTAAAAAAAATACTACATACATTTTTGATTATAAAAAGAATATTAATTTATTAATAGCAATTTACAACAAAAAGAAAAAAAAACATATTTATCATACATTTTAATAATATAAATTATTTATTTTTAGTTTTGTAATTACTTTCATTCTCTTGATTATTTTTTTAAGTTCATTTAAAAGTTTCTTTCAATAAATTAAAATTACTTTTATTTAATTTTAAAATATTTTTTTCATTAAAACTAATTGATTATATTTAAATAATAAATGTTATTGATAGATATATAACATTATTATTTTATCTTAAGCAAATATAAATTGAAAATTTGAGCATTTTTAATTTTATAATAGTATATTTATACTATTATAGACAGTTTAAAAGACAAATAAATTGCAAATGAATGTTTCAAGAAAATTCTGAATTTTAGTTTTTAAAAGGATGAAAAACATGAATATGACTGATTTATAAATTTTTTTATAAAAAAATAAATATAAAAAAAGGTATTTTGGAAAGATACAAAGATTATTTAGTAAAAAAGTGGCGAATTACTAGTAGATAAATAGTTTAATAATTGAAATTTTAGTGGAATTAATTAATTTTATTGCACGCAAATATCTTAGAAATATCCTAGAATATATATAAAAGAAAATATTAAAAAGAATAGAGAGAAGATTTTGCATAAATACTCACTGTTCTAATTTATCATGATTTAATTGTTATATCAAACATTAAACAAATCTTTCTTATAGAAAAAAAAAATTAACCAAGCAACATACTTTAGCTTTTGTTCAACAATCATGTCATAAAAATTAGTTTAGATTAGATCTCTTATGGCTCAACACGGCCTTAAGGCTTATCTCGTTCCTCACGATGATCAACATAGCGTATGATAAAAATTATTCACTCAAATATATGTCATTTTATAATTTTCTCGTTAAATTGCAATTTCTAAATTTTAAAAATTACATTATTATACATAATATTAGAGTGAATACATAGCAAGCTCAGATGAAAGATTAGCTTTCATCTCTGGATTCAAAGGCTCAGCTGGACTTGCTCTTATTAGTGATACACATGCTTACCTTTACACTGATTCTAGATATTGGATTGCTGTAATTTTATTTTTTTTGGAATTAATTTCTACATACTGTTGGTTTTTAAAACAATATCATATCATCACAAATTCGAAAATATTTTTTATAAAATATTAATAAAGGCTTCTAAGTAACTTGAAGAAGGCTGGGAATTAAAGAAGACTGGCTTAGGTAAATAATTATATTAAGTTTGAGATTAAATAAAATGAATTCATGATTTTTTATTAATTTGAAAAGGTTTTAAAACTTGGTTTGCTGAAGCTGCTGAATAATAAGCAGGACATAAAATTGGTTTTGATCCACTTCTTATTTAAGCTGGTAAGAAATCATTATATTAAAATAGCATACTGAATTTAAATAAATTGAAATACTTATTTTAAAATATAAATAGATGCTGTTGAAAATAGAACTAAGTACTTTTAATAGCACAATATCTAATTTGTTTCTGTTTCAGAAAACTTGGTAGATGCTGTTTGGACTGATAAACCAGCTGATTCATTAGATAAAGTAAATACATAATTTTGATAGACAGTTAAAAAATTACATCTATCTTATTAAATATTTAGATTTTCAGACATGAAGATAAGTATGTTGGCTAAACTGCAGCTGAAAAGATTGCAGTTATTGGCAAAGAACTTAAAAACCTTGGAGCCAATTATACTCTTTCTGCCAAACTTGATGAAATTGCATGTACTAAAAAATTATAAACATAATATCTTTAGGTTATTGAAGTTAATATAATGCCTTTATTTTAAATAATTAGGGATTCTTAACTTGAGAGGTTCAGATATTAGCTTCAATCCTGTTTTTAAAGCATACTTGATTTTACATTATTGCTTCTAAACTAATACTAATAAAGGAACACTTTACATTAACGACTAAAAAGTCCCTGAAGATATCCGTCAATATTTAGAAACAATTCACATCTAAATTAGACCATATACTTAAATTTTTACTGATGTAACAACTATTGATCAAAAAATAGCTATTCATAAGGGAGAAGTTAACTACAAAATTTTAAGTTCTATTCCACCTCAATTTGTTGTTGAATAGACTGGTACAGCAATTATTAATAGATTGAAAGGAGTCAAAACAGCCACTTAAATTCAAGGTTTCAAGACCTGCAACATCAGAGATGGTGCTTCCTTAGTAAGCTATTTAGCTTGGTTGGAACATGAATTAGTAGTCAAGAAATCTACTTAATGGACAGAATACACTGCTTCTTAAGTTTTAGATAATAAGAGAAGAGCCAACGAATTGAATGTAGGTCTTTCATTCGATACTATTTCATCTACTGGTCCTAATGGTGCTGTTGTTCACTATCGTGCTGAAGAAGCTACTGCCTTAACACTTAACACTAACTAAATTTACTTAGTTGATTCTGGAGCTTAATATCAGTATAACTTAATTTTTTTTAACTGTAAATTTATTTTATTAAAATTAAATAGTGATGGAACTACTGATACCACAAGAACTGTTCACTTTGGTACTCCTACTGATGAAGAAAAAGATGCCTACACAAGAGTCCTTCTTGGTAATTTGGATATCTAACGTGTTCAATGGCCTGCTAGTTCCAGAATTGGTGGTTCTGACATTGATGCTCTTGCTCGTAAGTATTTATGGTAAAAGGGATTAGATTATGGTCATGGTACTGGACATGGTGTTGGACATTTCTTAAACGTCCACGAAGGACCTCATGGTATTAGCAAATTTAGAAGTGAACCTCTTGTTGAAGGAATGATCGTTACTGATGGTAAATATTACATTAAAAATTATACAAAACTAACTAATATTATTTTTTTGTTAAAAATAAAGAACCTGGATATTATAAGGAAGGTCATTTTGGTATTAGAATTGAAGATGATCTTGTTGTTGTAAAGAAGCCAACTGAAGGTTTCTTAGGATTTGAAAATCTTACCCTCGTCCCCTATGACAGAAATCTTATTGATTTAAGTTTACTCACTTAAGCTGATAAGGACTACATTAATGCTTATCATTAAAAGGTAAAATTGATAAAATAGATTTTTTAAAATAAAAATTTGATTTTTAAAATAATTTAGGTTAGAAGTTTGTTAGCTCCTCTTTTAGAGTCTCAAAATGACCAAATTGGCCTTGCTTATCTTAACAAAAAAACAGCTGAATTATGAAATATTTATTGATAATTAATTAGATAATATTAGCACATTAATGTTGTTTTGTATATTGGTTTTTTAAAATTAATTTTTAAAATATTCTCAAATCTTTTTCTAAAAAAATTTAATAAATATTTTTAATTAGTTTTGTTATGAATAAAATGAGCAATTTTAATTATTGAAATATATTTGAAATTTACTGATTTTATAAATTTATAAAAATATATATATACTATCTTTATAAAATATTATGACAAATTATTTTATAAAAATTTTATGTTTTACTAATAATGGAAATTTCAAAATATAATACCTCATACTTTTCAATCGAAATAAACTCTTAAAATAAATTTATGGTAAATATCTTAGAAAATAAGAAAAGGGTTAGTTTATTTAATATTCAGTTTTATTAGAGAATTATTTTTAATTAATTTTTTAAAAAAGGATATTTATTCTAATAAATTTGGTATACCATCCTAATAGAAAGGGTAAGAAATATTTAAATACTAATCTAGTTTAAACTAATTCAAATGGCTTTAGAATAAAATAATATTATTGTGCTTCTTTTGATCACGAGTGGTAGCTCATTTATATCAACCTTATCTATTATAATATACAGTTTTATTAGAAGAAAAATAATTAAATCTTATCCTTATGAGCTAGTTTTAATGCTTTGTATTAGTGATTTTTTTTTCAGCTCTACAAATGTTTCAAGGACTATTTGGATGCTGATAGATCCCAATGCATACCTAAGCTAAATTGGATGCTATATCATGGGTATATATGTATAAACTTGGATGCTTAGTTCATTTATATGTACTTCTACCATTTAGTATTCAATATATATGAGAGTAATTAAAAATAAAAAGGCTCATATAAAGTCTGCATTTAGAAGATTTTGGGTAGTAAATTATTTAATCCCATTTATAAGTGGCATAGTTTTGTTTTTGAGTGGGTCAATAGGACATGTAGGACCCTTTGAAAATACTTTTTGCTTTATTAATGCAGGAAATTAGCTTAAAACAGATATAATTCTATTGGTATTTTATTATATACCATATATTACTATCTTGGTATTTAATTCAATAGTAATTGGATTGATTGTTAATTATTACAGAAAGTTATAAGATACATAAACTTGTGTTATTTAAAATGAATATAAAAAGCTAATATTCTATCCTATTATTTTAATAATTTGCTTCTTTCCTATAATTATTTCAAGAATACTTGGTCGTTTTGGAATTTAGAATGATGTATTTCTTTAAATAGGTTTCATCATTGATAATTTAATAGGATTATTGAATTCGATGTTTTATTTTATTGTCTCTATTAACCCATGCTATTTAGAAAAATTATAGTAATAGCATATCTCTAAAAAATAATAAAATGAAGCTACTTCTGATAAACATATTGATTAAAATAACCTATAATCTTATTAAGCTATAGATTTATAGCAAGGGATTCTTTCTATTAGTAATGGCAAGTTAACTTTTGAAGAGTCTGAAAAATCACCTAAATAATTAAATATTGACTAAAATGAATGAGATTCACATGTATTACTTTTAAAAATATGAGAAAGTATTAATTTTTTTTAAATTATTCTATTTTTAACATTTATTTCTTCTTTCTCGTGAAATCAAAATACATTTAAAATATGTAATTTATGCTGTATAACACAAAAAAAGCAATAATAAAAAAAATATTTAAATTTAATTAATTAATTAAATTCAAAATATTACTAATTTTAATAATGAAAAATGTAAAAATAAACCTAAAACATAATGATTTTTCATCTTTTTTGAGATGTTATATTTCATCAAATTATCATTTTTTTATCTTACTAATCAAACAAAAAGTATGTTTGCTATAAAATTATTATAAATTAAAATTTTTATTTATTTGAGATGCAATTTATGATTATCTATTTTAATTATTTGCATATTAATTAAGTAATTGGTAAAATTTAAATTATTTACCATAAATTAGTAGTGTTAAGTCTAGAAAATTAATGAATAGATAATTGGTTTTCAAGTTAATTTTAAAGGATAAAAGTTAATCTAATCGCAAAATTAATATGCTAATCATATTAATAAAAAATTTTTTTAACACAATATTATTCCTGAAAATTTCTTGTTTTATTATCATTATTAATATATTTATCTTAATTAAAGGCAATAAATACATTTAAAGTCAAACAAAAAATTAAAAATTCTTTGAATTTAACAGATTACAATTAGTTAACATATTTTATTAAAATAAAAAATTGTAAAATTTTGTTTATATTTCAATATAAATTAATAATAAGTAGGGAGGAGCTAACAAGTTTAAAAAAATTTTTAATAAGGATAGATTTATTAAAAAGAAAGGAAATGAGTGATTAACAAAGCTCTGCAACAAGGGACTCAATTGATATTGAAAGTTATCATTTATAGAAAGGATAAAAGCTATTGGATCAATCTTAAAATTTTAAATCTGAAAATCAATCAGATTCTTAATTTTAAAATGGGGCACTTAAAAATACAGATAAAAAAGGCTATAACTCATTTAGTTAAGGCTATTCATGCATTTGGCGATTAATTTGGTTTCACTTTATAAGCATGGTTAAAAAATTAAAAAATATAGAATAACAAGGAAGAAGAATAGAAGTTGATGATCTGCCAGAGCTTGAAGATCATGCTAAAGTAGAGTATACAGCTTACAAGTTGAAAGAAAAAATAGAAAAATTAGACCCTGAAAAAGTAACTTCTTTAGGGTTTTTGAAAATAATTGGATTGGCTTTCAAGAAAAGTGTGTTGGCAATCATGACATTTTTATTTTTAGAGAATATAACTAAATTAATGGTTCCATATTGTATGCAAAAACTAATTTAACTTGTAAAAGAAGGTGATATTTAGTAAGCATCATTATGGGTATTTTTACTTGTATTTTCGAGCTTTTTAGGGATTACATTTGGTTAAAATGGTTGGACAGGCTCTTAAAGATTATGCGCTCAACTGAGATTAGGACTAATCAATATACTGTATTAAAAAGTTAGTAACTTATCAGCTTTCTCAGTTAAAAAAGCTAATGTAGGAAAAATTATTAATATGATATCCTCTGATTTTAGTATTTTTGAAGTTAGAGCTGTGAATATATTCACCACAGCTTTAGCTCCAATAACTTTATCTATTTCTTGTGGTATGCTTTGCTATAGAATTGGATATATTGCAATACCAGCCATTTTTCTTATGATAGGACTTTTTCCACTTTAAAAAAAAATAGCCTAAGCAGCGTCTGAATATACAAAACAGTAGTCAAAGCATAGTGATTAAAAGATAAAGCTTTTTTCTGAAATGATGGATGGTATAAGAATCATAAAAATGTATGGTTGGGAAAAAGCTTTTAATTCAACAATTAATAAGTTCAGAAGTTTAGAGGTAAGAAATACACTAATAAACCAAATTATTATGTATATAGAGCATGCATTTAGTTTAAACGGTCCATTGTTTGTAGCTCTGCTTTGTTTTTTATTTATTGACATGTATGAAGATAACTTTCTTGATACTGCAATAATATTTTCAACCATTGAACTGATAAATTTAATCTCAAACACTATTATGAAGAATGTAGGTTATGGATTAAGTTTTATATTTGAGTTTAAAGTTCTTGTCTAAAGATATATGAGTGTTATATCTATTGAAAATGTATAGATGAAAAGCATTGATAATCCTCACATGAAACCCAACTTAGCAGATAATCCACCTTCTCCAGATACACTTGTGTATATGAAAGATTTTTCAGCATATTGGTAGACTGAAGATTTAGAAAATCAAACACCTGTTTTGTAGGACATTAACTTTACAATCAAAAAAGGAGAAACTGTTTCTATCATTGGATAAATAGGAAGTGGAAAGACTTCCTTCCTTTTTGCTATAATGCAGGAGATACCTCGCTATAAAGGTGTTTACTATTCTGTTTCTCAAATTTCCTTTGCCGAATAGGAACCCTTCATTCTTTAGGGAACTGTTAGAGATAACATTTTGTTTGGTAAGTCTTATGATGAAAAATTCTACAAAAAAGTTGTCAAAGCTTGTTGTTTGCTTGATGATTACAAATAGTTTTCAAACGGAGATCTAACAGTTGTTGGTAATTAATTTAATACTTTTATTTAGAATTAAAATCTTAAATAAATATTTTTAAACTATCTATATATTATGAATAGGCGAAAGAGGTTCAAATTTAAGTGGAGGATAAAAAGCAAGAATATGTTTAGCAAGAGCAGTTTACGCAGATACAGATTTATATCTGTTAGATGACCCTCTTTCTGCTGTAGACTCTAAAGTTGCTAAAAAAATATTCAAAAATGTTATAAATGGAATGCTCAAAGACAAAGGAGTAATATTGGTCACACACTAGCTAAATTATGCTCTCAGATGTTAGAGGATTGCAGTTTTCGAGAATGGAAATATTATTTTGTAGGGTAATCCTAATGAGATAAATTTCTCATAGACCTCTTTGGCAAAGCATATTGAGAATATTGAAAATCATCACGTAGAAGATGAAAACTAGTTAGATATTTCTATGGAATAGCAAATTCTTTAAGAAATTTAAAAGGAAGAGGATGAATAAGACAATGATGATGAAAATCAAGACAGTTCTACTAAATAAAAAGATATTCAAACTTTTAAAAATGACAAAGAGATAAATAATGTTATTAAACCAAATGAAGATAGAAATTCTACTATTTTCTCAAGCAGTGGAAAAAAGGAAGACGAATATCCAGTTACTAAAGATACATACATAAATTATTTCTTAACAAATCCTTCACCTTGGATATTTATGCTAGTAGTCTTTACATTTATTATTTAGGAATTCCTATTTACTAGCTTTTACAAGTCTCTCTCGCTGTATGAATACGAATTTAATCGAGAATAATTCTATGCTATTTCTTTTGGAATCTTGACAGCATTTTTTGTATTTAAATTCGTTTAATGCTCATTCATGTCTTACTTCGTATTACAGACAAATTAAAGTCTTACTTAAAAAATGATCAGAAGTATTTCTTAGGCTAGACCTATTTTATTTGATGAGATTCCTTCAGGACAAATCATAAATAAATATTCTACTGATATCTCAATATTAGATAAAAATTTGCCTGAAGCAGCCCAATAAACAGTTGAAGGTGTATTGCACTTCATTAATCTAATTGGCTCTGTAATCTTCATTAACTAGGTATAAATTTTAATTAACTTTTGAAAATTTTAAAAAAAAAAATAATTTTTATTCTAAAAAAGTATTTTATTATTCCTGGAGTTTTTGAAGTCTTTCTATTCTATAAATGGTTTAGATATATTAAACCAACTCTTATGCGTGCTAAGTAGCTAGATCTTGAAAATAAGACTCCAGTTTTTCAATTTTTCTAAAGCTCTCTAAATGGCATTTTAATCATCAACATATATGGGCAAAAGCAACTATTTTAATAAAAAATGGCTGTTCTTATGAATAATAGTATCAGGACAGCTGATATTTTTTGGTTTGTTTCACGTTTGTTCAGTGTTAGCATGTAGTATTTTGCTTTAGCTGTTTCAGGTGTTGGAATTTATATCATTTTATTCTTATCAAGCTCTGATAATCCCAAATTTGCAGAATCTTTAACCTATTTGCTGTTACTCACTAACTTTTTGCATATGACTTTGCGTGCTGTTATTAATATGGACACTTTTATGACAAGTAGTGAACGTGCATGTTCTATAATAGATTTACCAAGAGAAAATATTGAACTTAGTGATATTGACAGTGATTAATTAACCCACGATGATCACTAACATCATTAAACTTCATAAAATAGTTAAAGAAATAGGCATTATAACTAATTATAAAGTGAATAAAGTTCGGTATCAATTGAAATAGAAGATTTTAACTAAGAGCGTTTAAACAAAAACTCAATATAAAGTAATAAATGGCCATCATAGGGCAATTTAAAATTTGATAATGTGTTTATGAGATATAAAGAAGGAATGAATCCAGTACTAAAAGGGGTAAGTTTTGAAGCTAAACCTCTAGAACGCGTAGCTATTGTTGGGAGAACCGGAGCAGGAAAATCTTCCATTATTTAGGCTTTATTTAGAATGAGCGAAATAGACATTTCTTCAGAATAAGGACCTTCTCGCATATTTTATGATGATTAAAATACAAGAGATGTGGGACTTCATTTACTAAGAAGAAGCATTAGCATTATCCCATAAAATCCTTTTGTTTTTAGTGGATCTATCCGCAGAAATATTGATCCGCTTGATGAATATACAGATCAATAAATCTATCATGTTTTAAGAGAAACTGGTTTAAATGAGTTAATATCAAAGCTTCCATAAGGTATAGAAACTGATATGAGTGACTCGGCATCAGTGTTCTCTATGGGACAAAGATAATTAGTTTGCCTAGCAAGAGTTATGCTTAGACGCAATAAGCTGATGGTTTTAGATGAAGCAACTGCAAATGTAGACATGGAAACTGACCACTTAATTTAGGAATTAATTAAGGAAAAATTCTAAGATACAACTATAATAACAATAGCGCATAGACTAAATACTATCGCTGATTATGATAAAATTATTGTTTTGGATGCAGGTAAAGTTGTTGAAATCGATACTCCATTTAATTTACTTGCTCTACGTGAGGAAGATTAAACTATTACTAACACTGAAAGTGTTTTTGCATAAATGGTACTAAATACGGGTGCTAAAAATGGAGAGCAGATCTTCTAAATATGCAAGAAATCTTATCTTGAGAAGAAAAAGAACATTTGAAATATTAATTAAACACTGCTAATTTTAAGCAATCAGCTAATTTTTAAGTTTTGTTAATGCTTTAAAAAATATAAAATATTGAAAAAGAAATTTAAAATATAGCTAAGGAAACTTAGTTTAATGCAAATGATAGAATTGGTGTAGTTTGGTTTTGTGTCTTTATAAATTTCATGTATTCTTTATTAAAATATTTTAGATAGAATTAATCTTATAAAACAAATTTATCACCTAGTGTTTATTTTTATAAGTTTTAAATTCCTTTATTGCAATAAAACAAAACAAAAAAGCCAAGCTAAAGATATTCAATCAAAAATTATAATGTGTTATTTTCTTTAATAAATAAATAGAAATAGTTGTTGCGAATTCTCTAAGAGTTACCGTTTTTGTAATTTTTCTTTTTTTTATTCAACTTTATTTTTGATGAATTTTTTGTAATAAAATAAACAAAACATTCGTTCGTGCTTTTTTTTGCCAATTATTTTATTAAAAAATTTTTAGTTTATTTATCAACTTTAGCGTTATTATTATAAGCATCATCAAAGTTCTATTTTTGTTTAAATAAGATCATTTTCTTTCTTTCTTTCTGAGTTTTGAGAGTTCTAATTATATATCTTGATTGTTTGTAATAAAAAAAACTAATTTATTTCAAATATAAAACATTTAAAAAATATTAATTTTAAAAAGTTAAAATTGAAATTTTTAAAAAATTTTTCATTAAACACTTTGAATCAAAGTATCTAATAAATAAAATTTTATTGCAAATTTGATTGAAAGATCAAAAATAATTTTAAAATTTGTAACAAAAAATAAATAGTAAAAAATAAGTAAATTAATTAATAAGAACAAAAATTAAAATGATTTGGGAATTTAAAAATTTTTATTATTAAGTTCTTTTAATCCTAAAGCATTGAAGAAAGCAACTAAAATAAAATATATTTCAAAAGAATTTTGTAATAATTAAGGACTAAAAACAAAATTAAATAAAATAAAACTAAACTTTTATGGTATTTTCTTAATTCAACAATTTGTAAGCAAACATTTTAGAGGTAAAATTACTTAAGTCAAAATATGTTGTAAAAGACTTAATTACATATTACTATTTTTAAAATTTCTTTTATTTTTGTAATGTATATATGCATTTCAAAAAACAAATATTTGATAAAATTATAAGGTAAACTTTTAACTTTAGACATAATAATAAATATATCCAAGTTATACTTGATCAAAAATCATTAAACATAATAACCATTCAATATTACATAATTTAAACTCGAAAATGGGAGAATAAGACAGAGAATAGAGTTTAATATAGCATGGGTAGCAATAATAGAGAGATTTAGCTTAAAATCTAGAAATGAGAAGGTGGTTTATATTAGCTGTATTCTCACTATTTTCATTTTCAAACGCATCAGGATTTGTAACATTCTCTCCTATTATTTAGTAATCTTAAGACTTTTACAATGTCTCTCAACAAGATATTTTATGGTTAGCTAATTGTTACTATCTAACATATACTTTTCTTGCTATTCCTACACTTTATTTCTTTCGCTGGAGATTAGATTTTTCTCTTATCATAGGAGTATTTCTAAATGCCTTAGGAGGTTGGCTGAGATATATAGGCAATGATTAATATTCTTTTGCTATCATGGGTTAAATAGTACTATCAATTGCTTAACTATTTATTTTACCTGCCCCTGTTTTTATAGCTGAAAGATGGTTTGGTATGAGTGAAAGAGTTACAGCTACAGGTATTATGTACTTTGGTAATGTTCTAGGAGTTAGCTTTGGCTTTTTGACTTCTGTTTACTATGTTACAGATTCAAGCAAACTAAATACTTACTTATTTTATATGGCAATATGTCTTTCACTAGCAGCTCCTTTAAGCATTTTTGTCTTTAAAAATTAACCAACAAAACCAGCTAATTAGTCAAGCAGTAATACCAATAAAATTGACGTTATCTAAACTGTGAAAATGATATTTACAAATCCAAAGATTCTATTAATTACTGTATCACTTTCCCTTTATTTAGGTATTTCATGGACCCTTATTTCTATTATAGATATACTATTAAGTGATTATGGAAATGAGCAAATCGCTTTAATTGGTTTATGCATTAATGTGAGTGGAACTATTTCAGGAACTTTAACAACTTATCTGCTAGACAAAGTTATGCAAAAAGGATAAAAACCAAATTATGATCTTTACTTGCGTCTTTTTGCTACGATCTCTCTCATTTCTATCTTTATATTTTCCTTGATGCTTTAGCTAGGGCTTTAAGACAATAACAAAGTAATTATTTATATGATATGTGCCTTCATAGGTGTTGGATTTTAAGCTTTTATTCCTATTTCAGCTCAATCTTTTTTAGAAAATCTATATCCCATGCATGAAGTCACTTGCTTTACAACTTTTAACATATTTGCTAATATACTTGGATTTATAGGAAATATAGTAACATCTATTGATGGTATAGGAACAGCTGGAGCCTGGATTTTGGTAGGAATGATTATTCCTCTATACATATATTTAGTGTTTAAATATAAAACTAATTGTGCTAGATTTGATTACGAAATTAATTAAAATGAGAAATAAAAATAGATAGATTAAGTGTCATCTTATTCTGCTTATTGAATTCAAACAAGCAACAAGAAATTATCAAAGAATGAATAGCAGATTAGTTTAGAATGAAAATAAATATTAATTTTAAACATATAATAAAGTTAGAGCTATATAAAACAACAAAATATTAGTAAAATAGACTTTTAAATTTAAAAAATATATTAAAAATAAATTATCTGTTCACAAATAAATTGATTGATTGATTGATTTCAAATTAATAGAATTATATTCAAAGCAAATATAAATAAATTAATAAATTATCTAATTTTATATTAATCCACTTCAAAATTTTTATATAACAAAATATGGAAAAATATTATGAATAATGTAAAATAAATTTAATTATATGTTTTTTATTATTAAATTTAAAAACTAAATTTCTATATCAAATAAGTATTTATAACAATATAGTCATACATATGTAAGAAGTAAGTATTGTTCAAATCTTAATATCTTTATATTTCTTATATGAAATATTCTAAATTTTATTTTGTTGCTCATTCAATATTATTATAAGATTACTTCTAAAATGAAAAAAAATAACTCAAGATAATATATATATAAATACTTTAAGGTACTGATTGGCAAACTTTATAAAAATAGTATTTTTCAGTATTATTTTTTCTCTAAATATTCTTTTAAATTAAGTTTATGTTATAATAATAAAATAGAATCAATTTATAAAGATTTGTAATATAAAATTTCGTAAAGAGCTTAACTATAAAAAAATAAAAATCTTACATCCTTAAATTTACAGCTCAAGAGAATATTCTGAGGAATTTACCTTATTTTAAAAAATAAATTTCAAAAGAATTGATTCTATTTTAATTATTATAATAAAAAATAAAAGATAAAAGCTTTAAAAAATTAAATAAGAAGGAACATCTATTTATCTTTCTTTCAATAATGATCAATATCTCTAATCAAATGATCAAAAAAAGTAGAAATTTAATTTCTACAAAAAGTCTTTAATTTGTTTAACAAATGGGATTTGCAAACCTTAAAGTAAAGATAAATTACTGCGATAGCTGCAAAAGTAACTCAATGTTCAAATTGGCTGAGTCAGAACTATATGGCAAATATAGAAGAACTTTTGGAAAACACAACATTAATATAGAAGGAGTTTAGGCAATTGAAAAAGATGGAAGGTTTTAACTTGATTTGCAAATTGATAATTAACAAATACAAAGAATATGGGATAATAGCAAATAAGGTGATATTCATGAGGATAACGTGAATTAGTTACTTTAGATTGTAGAAGATAAAATATAGGAATTGAAAACTAATAAGTGAGAAAATACTACATTAAATAAAATTTTTTTTTATTCAACTAATAACTAACTAACTAAATAAGCTAAGTTATATATTTATATTTTTGTTTATCTAATATATAACTAAATTAAATTTGTTAAGATTCTCCTTATTTAGCTGCAATAAAGAATAATTATTTTTAAAATTATTTGATATTTTGAAAAAATATCTCACCCAATATACCCAAAAAAAATTAAAATACATTTTGTATTCAATTATTGTTTTATTAACTAAATTATCTATTGATAAAAATTTTGGCTTAACTGTTTGAGTAATTTATTTTATTAATAAAAAGATAAAAGATTTTGGGATTTAATTTTGCATTTTAATTAAATGAATTTCAAAAAATGTGAATGAATATATTTTTAAATAAATAAACAAAAAAATGAATGAATTAATAAATCAAAAAATGAATGATTGTGTGTTTATATATATGTATGAAATTTAATGTATTAATTATCAAATTTCGAATAGACAAACAAATATTAATGGAATTTAAAAAGATATGATTTGTAAAAAGTAATGATATTGATTCATAAAAAAGTAAGAAAGAAGTACAACATAGACCATGATATGAATTGTTGTTTCGTAAACATATATTTTAATATTCTTCTTCAAATCATAAATACTCAAAGCTATTTGAAGTAATATCGATTATAGGAATAACCTTAAATTTTGCTTGTATATTAGAGAAATCAAACATCAACAGTTAATTCATCAGCATAAGCAGAATCGTTAATGTTTTCAACAGCAGGAACAACCTTGCTCTTGAAATATTCCTTGAGGGCTTATAAGGTAGCGAGTTATTGATCACTATTAATATAAATATAATTAAATAAATTATTCATTATAAGTAGGAGTAAAATAAATAAATGAAAATATGGAGAAATGAATGAATAAATAGATTAATTACACTTCGTTCTTGAAAGAAGCATATTCTTGATCGTATCCAGCGCATTAATCTTAAACTTAGCTAAGATTTTAGTTGGCTTAGTCAAGGATAGCTTAGGTTTGTTGGATAAGACCAGCAAGTTAGGCTAATCTGTCTTCATTTTCTTAGATTTAACCTTAGTATTATGAAATAAGGTTGTTAGAATTATCAATAAGTTGTTCGAGATTTGCAATGTTGGAGGTGAGGCTATCAACAACTTATTAGTGTCTTTAGTCATTAGCAGCACTTTAGTTTCTTAATTCTTCTAATAAATCGTTAATGAGAGAAACAACCTTAGCAAGACTGGATTAGTCAACTTCGTTGGTGGAGCTAGCCATTTCAGTCAAGACGTTCAAGATGGGTTGAACGAAGTTGGAAGACTTGTTGGCAAGGTGCTTTTGGAGGAGAGTAACAACGTTACCGAATCTAGCCTTAGATTAGATGAAACCGGAGGGGTTAGTTTACAAGGTGGCTAAGAGCTTGAGAGCTTATTCACAAGCAGCAATAGCATCAGCGTAGTCCTTAGAGGATTCAGCATAAGAAGAGTTTTCATCATCTAATTCCTATTAGGCGTTGGCTAAGTTATTTTAGTTTTCAGCGAGGGATTATTATTCGTTGTTTAAGTTTTGGGTGAGGTCAGCAACGGCTTAGTTTCTTTAAGTTTATTCGTTTTAGTAGTTGCTCAAATCACTTTCAGCTTAATCAATGTTAGCTTAGATGGTAGCTTCTTGATCACTGCACCAGCCTCTTTGTCTTTGGATTTCAGCATCATTGTGATCTCTGGTATTTTCGAGTTAAGCTTCAATAGTGTTCAAGGCTTCAGCAATAGCATCTAATCTACCAGCACTTTATCCAGCACCTAAGTTTAATTAAACCAAAGAAGCAACGGTGTGACCGAAGGGGTTGCTCTTAATCTATTAATAAAAAAATTTAATGTTAATAAAAGTATTAAACATTTTAAATATTTTAAAAAGAGAGTCAGACAGACAGAAGAAAATTAATTAATTAATTAAAGCATATTCATTCAACTTTATGGTTGTATTTATTTTAAATGAATAAACACCTTCTTCAGAGTTTCAATAAATTAGTGAGCTTAAAAAAATAATATGGTGGGTATATTCTGTGTTAAAGGCTAGATGAATAAAAGGTTCAATTAGCTTAAAACAAATCTCAAACAAGCACCTGATATACCATTAAGGAAAGAGTTTGTTGGTTGCAATTTGATTGATTTCCAAAACGTTTATGTGAAAAGAATAAAAAAGCTTTAATTGTAAAATTAAAGAAGTTAAAAAAACTGAGGGATTAATGAATGAATCATCTTTAATTTAGCAAAATTAAAGCTAGTTCAATTAAATGCAGTTGGTTTTGATTGACGTTTATTTGATTAGTTGTTTTTACTTTTCGCATTTCTTTTCACACTTAAATTATAGAAAACCTCATTCTGTATGTTTGTTTGTTTGTTTGTTTAATCTTAAGAGGATAAGCGATCTTCTTTTTATATTCTTTGGGGGTAAGAGTGGAAATCTTAAATAAAAAAATTTTTGAATGTGAAGAGCTGTATCCTCCATATATTTCTTTTTTTATGCAACGCGATACTCCTTTTGTGTATTCGATTGATTAAACATCAAATTTAACTTAGTTGTAACTTCTCGTTGCTCCATGAGAAGTTATTAATAATTAAATTATCAGGTGAGGAGAAAGTGAAAGTAGGTGGGAAGATAAAATGCTTTATCTCATATTTGGTCTGATCTCTTTATTAGATTAAGAAATAGCTTACTTCAAGGAAAGCAGGGGTCTCGAAGACACTTGTGGCTTGAGCAAAAATGCACAAAGTAGCCAAAACGATAGCTAAATTCTTCATCGCAAGGAATCGAATATTACTTTTCTTTTGTTTTTTTTTTTCGTTTTTTTTAATTTATTTTTCTTTTTTGTTTATATAAAAAATGAGTTTTTGCTTATTAATTAATTTATTTTTTTCATTCTCTTTTGAAAATAAATAATGAAGATTGCTTTAATTAATAAAGAAAAACAAAAGGAAAGTCGGGGGAGAAAGCCAGTTGATAACAAAAAATCCTATTCTATTAAACCTCTTTGTTTTTTAGCCGTTTTCCGAAACAGATATTAAGTTAAAACGTAGAAATCTAATTCCTTGTATTTTGTATGCTTCCATTCATTTTCCTTAATCAAATTTTCTTAAACGAATCTTATTCTATTTAGATAATTGACGCTTTTATCTTTCATTATTATAATTGAAGCCCTCTCAATAGCATCATCCCATTTTATCATGTCCAAAAAAATATTCAATAACGCACTTAGGAGCACTCAAAACTTCAAATATAAATTTGTTTTTCAAAAATGGATTCAAATTACCCCTTAACCCGGATATGCTTTTAAATACAAAAATGGTAGGTATTGTTGTTATTACAAAGATGAAAATACTAAACTGTGATAAAAATTTATGAGCATGAAATATGTTCTTTGTTTAAGGATACCTACTTAAATTTCCATACCTCTTCAACAATTTAAACGTTATATTGGAGAAAGATTATGTTTAAAAGCTAAAATAAAATGATTGCCTTATATTGTTAATAATAAATATAAAATAAATACTTAATAATGCATACAATCACTTGATAAAATGAATGAAATTTTATGAGCATTAAATAATATTTATTGATTTTGCATTAGATGTTACCAGAATGTTTATGCATTCAAAATTTTAGATGAAGAAATAAAAGGCAGCAAAATTAAAAACGATTCTTTATTTGATTAAAAAAACATATTTTCTCTCCCATAGCAGCACCTTTATTTTGATTATCAAGTATTGATTTGTTATTAATTGAAATTTATTAATTTTCATTTTAAAACTCATTACAAAAACATTAAGTTATCAAATCGAATAGCTTATCTTGCTTGCTTTTTTAGATTGAAGAAGTAAAAACTTCAAAAACGAAAAAACAAATAATATTAAATCAAAAAATAACAAAAAAAACAAAAATTAAAAGGAAAACAATAATGAGATACGCTGCTCTCTTCCTTCTTGCCTTAATCAGCTTCAACGCTGTTTATGCCGTCTCTCTCAGAAAGAGCTCTGACGCCATGAAGACTTCTTTCGCTCTTGAAAGATTGAGATTCGTAATGACTCACTTTCATATTATCATTTTCATCAAGGAGTGAACCACTTTTTCACAAAGTCTTCATTTTTTTTTCGAATGACTAATTACTTTGTAAACCATAAATCTTAAAGTCAGTCGCTCCTTGAAATACTTTGCTCTCATTTTAGAATAAAATATAACTAAAAATGAAAGAAAAAACAAATGCCCAAGCAATCTAACATAATTTCATATTATTTTCTACTTGATTGCTAATCTTATAATATCAAAATTTTTATTCAACCTGCCACAGTGCCTTTTTCCCCTTTTGATACATAAATACATACATTCAATAAGCCGTTTTATTCAATAAAATTAATTTTAATAAAATTATAATATTATTTATTTAAAATAAGATCGGAAAGAAATCTCCTATTGCTAAACAAATTATCTCTGCTGTTGAATTACACTTAACCACTGGTGGTTTGGTTGATGATGTCATTGATTTAGTCAAGTAAGCCTAAGAAGATGTTGCCAACAGAAACGTTGCTCTCCAAGCTGAATACACTGCCAAGAGAGGTGCTTTGGAAGATTAAATTAACACCACCACCTAATAACTCAATGAAGAAAACGACAGATTAGCTGTTGTTAACGACGCCATTGATGCCCTCAACGGTTAAATCGACAGTTTGAACACTCAAATTGCTAACCTCGTCTAATAACTCTAAAACCTCTAAGCCAGAGAAGATGCTATCAACTAAGCCAGAGAAGTTGATGTCAAGACCTACGAAGTTAGAAAGTAAAGAGATGAAAACTCCCTCGCTGTCTTGGAATAAGTACTTGCTTGCTTTCTTTTTTGACTTTTTTTTTTAATAAAAATGAAAATAATTCTAATTCTAAACTTTTTAAATAATAAAATAGATCATCCAAAGATTACTTGCCTTATAACAAAGAGGTAACGCTTTCCTCCAAGTCTCCAAGAAGGAAATCGAAAGAATCTTGAAGAGAATCCCCAAGTCCAACCCCATCCAAGCTTTGGTTCAACTCTCCACCAAGTTCGACGAATAAAGATTAGCTGAAGTCATTAGCAAGCTCTAAACCATCTAAGCTGCCATCCAAGCTTCTTACATTGAAGATGCTAACGGTGAAGTTGCTGACAAGTAAAGATACGATGCTCTCATTTAAGAAATCGCCACCATCAGAGCCCAAACTCAATAATAATTAGCTGATGCCTAATAAGCTTTGAGTGATGCTGAAGCTTCCTTAGCCTAATTCGTCCAAGAATAAGGTAACTTACAACAACAAATCGCTGTCAACGAAGGTATCCTTGCTGATGCCCAAGCTGCCTTAGCTCACACCATCGCTACCTACGAAGCTAGAATCCAAGAAGGGTAATTAATTAATTGATTACATTTTTTAATATTAATTGTATTAACTTTTAATAACTTTCATATTTTTAAAAATTATAGTCAAGAAGCTCTCGCCGCTATCAACCTTGCTCTCGATGTTTTACAACAAAACTAATCAGACTTATAAGGAGTTGAAGATTTCTCTAATGCCTACAATGCCTACCAAGCTGGTAACAGTACTGATGCTGGTGATGATGCTGGTGATGATTCTGGTGTTGAAGGTGAAGCTTTCTGATATAACTGATGATCAGTTTAAATACAAACTTATTTCTAAAACTAAATAAATAAAGTTATTGTATTTTATAAGATACTTTGAATGTTTGTATTAATCAATTTTACTTTTTTACAAACAAATATAAATAAAGTTTTATATTAACTTATTTTCTTTCTTTCAAGTTTTTTATTTTAATTTAATATTTTTCAAAATCAATATTTCAACATCTAAAATAATTTTTACAAAAAAATGAATATTTTATTGAATAATAAATATGTTGCTATTAAATACTAGATGAAATATATAAACTAAATAAAGTTATATTATTTACTTGAAAAAATTTTAAATCTAATCTTTATTATTTTAGTTTTAAGATTCTTTTAAATATAAATTAATAATATCATTTTACATCTTTTTTTATAATAAATCTTCATATTTTTTAAATATTTTAAATAAATGATTATAAATCCAAATTTTTATCAAATTTGTTTGTTTAAAACTTTTAATAATTGTATTTAAGGTAAGGCTTTAATTTTATGATAATATTTGCTTATTTCAAAAATTTATTAACAGTTTGTATGAATAAAGTAACAGCATTTTAGCTAACTAAATATTTATTAAAAATTTGTTTTATCTAAAAATCTATTCAAATTTTTAAAAATACACATTTATCATTAAACCATTTGTTAAAATAAATGGTTTTTATAAAATACATTTTATGAAATTACTTATAAATATTATAAATATAAATATGTGCATACAAAGTACTTAAAATAGCCAGCTAAAACTTATATTAATTTTTAAATAATATATTTTCTTATAAAATTAAAATGGATTGAGCTTTTAAATATTATTGGTAAATGTTGAATTTTAAGATATTGTTAACAGTAACAACTTTTAAAAGCGAATAAACAATTATCTGCTTTGCTATCTTGTTATAAATAATCTATTCAGTTTATAAAAATTATCAAATTTTGTATCGAAATAAACAATAAAATTTATTTATTAAAATAATTGGATATGATAGTTAGAGTATCGAATAATATTAATTTTTGAAAGTTATCGATAAAAATTTAACAATCTATTTGTATCTAAATTGATTAAATAAGTTAACTATTTAATTAATTAGTTAATAATCAAATAATCTCTTTTTGATTTATATCTAAGAAATGTGATTTAATAAAAAATTTTGAAAATAAATAATTTTTATTAAATAGGAAAAAAATAATAAAGAAAAGTTGTTATTAATTTAATAAGCTAAACCATTTAGAAATTAAATAAAGAGTTTTCAAACCATTAAAACATATATAGATTTAAAATTATGGAAGGGCTGATTCATAGGTAAACTTTATAACATCAATCATAACTATAATGAAAATATTTTATTTTAAATTTAGCTTTATTTTAAAAATCAATTTTCATATTTTTTATATTCTAATTTGTAAAAATAGATTTAAGACAGAACTTTTGAGAAAGCTTGATTAGCGCTCCTCTAGCAAATCGGGAGTAGAAGCAACTTTGATTAAATCATTTAAGTTTTTTGACTTATAGAACAATGGCTTGCTCTCAAAAAATGAATTCTTTAGAGGACTTGCAAAAGTTGGAGTTGTTCCTGAAATAGATGTAATTAGTTAATTATTTAAATTAATGAGCATCTCAAAGCAACAATATAAATTAGCATTTAAAGAATTAAAATAATTTTTAATATTTTTTAATGATATTAAATATTTTTTTAAAATTCATTAGGAAACAGATAAGCTTTTTAACTACTTTGATGAAAACAAAACGGGAAAAATAGATTATAAAGAATTTACAGCATTTATTTTACAGAAATCTGAATCTGCAAAGTCTTAACAATCTAATTCTTAATTCGGTTAAGATTCATAAATTGATAATGCTTCTAGGTAAATAATTATAAATTCAAGCTTCAAACATTTAATATGAAGTGTAAAATAGGTATAAAAATTCTTTTTTAATTATAAATAGCGTATCATCTAAATAAAATATTGGATATACATAAAGCAAAGTACCTCGTGACGATTTATAAGAGTAAGGAAACAATTTAAAATGAATTATAAATAAAATTTTTTCTTTTTGAAATATTTATTGCTAGTTGTGAAAGATTCTACGAAAAAGTCAGACAAACTCTTTCACTAAAAGGGGCATCAGGTCTCTTAAGTTTTGCTTTAATGTTAAAGGTAATTTAATATTTAATGAATTATATCATTTGACTAAGAATTGTTAAATGAATTTAAATCAGGTCTTAGATAACACAGGAAGAAAAACAATAAACATAAATTAGTTAGAAAGTGCCTTAAGTGACTTTAAAATTTAGGAAGATCCTGCTGTTATTGAAAAAGTATTTTACTACCTTGATAAGCATAATTATGGTAGCATCAATTATGAAGATTTCTTGAATAAGCTAAAAGTAAAATTTAATATTGCTTGAAAAATATAATGAATTAATTGAAATTTAAATTAAAAAATAGGTACCTTTAAATCCATTTAGAAAAAGTCTAATAACTCAAGCATACACATTTTTAGATAGATCTAATTTTGGAGTTATAAACACTGCAGTTGTAAAAAGTTCATACAATCCTTCAAATCACCCAGATGCGGTCAACGGATTTAGAGGAGAAGAAGACATAAAATTAGAATTCCGTAGCTCATTTGAGAGTTATCTTGATTTAAGAGTATTAAATAATTTTATTAGATTAAATATTAAGATTTAAAATTTAATTTAGGATATTCATGATGACAAAATGACCTTCGAAGATTTTGTAGACTATTATACATTTTTGAATCATTTATGGGAAGGCGATGAATCATTTAAATAATATATCACAAATATCTGGAAACCTGATGTTAATAATAATAAGGGAAGTAAGTACAGCTAAAATAATTTCACTCCTGATAGAAATTAATTTTCCCCTCCTATTAAAAATACAATTATGGGAAACGATCATCTCAGTTAGTAAGTAAACTAGGTTTCTTAATTTGATTAGCAAGATAGAAGAATAAAGTAAGGAAACTTCGAAGATGATAGATATTCTTAATAGTCATAGCAATAGAATAATAATGCTAGACCTTTTGATTAGCAATCTTAATTATCTAGATAGAGTTAGGCACAAGGAAAAAATCAGTATGGATCAGTAGCAAATAATTTAAGATAAGTAGAATTTGATAGATAATCTCAGTAATCTTAGTAAAGATAAAGATAGTAAATCGGTCCAGCATCATAGCAAGTAGATTAGGATACTTAAAGTATGTGTTCTTAGGCAACAAGCACACGCTTCATGCAAGAAAATAATGTTTCTCAAAGATAAATAGAATTAATTTTGATAAGAATCAAAAACAGACTAGCAAGCAAAGGTCCCAGAGGATTCTTAACACTAGAAAGACAGCTAAAAACAACTGATGTTGATAATGATGGAAGATTAAATTTAGTAGAGTTTAAAAAATCAATCAGCAACTTTAAAATAGAAGTAACTGAAACAGAAGTTACCATTATCTTCAATTTATTTGATCCATAAGAAACTGGCTAAATAAGTTTGTTTGAATTCCTAAATTCTCTTAAAGGATAAATGAATTAATTTAGATTTAATTTAGTAAACGAAGTATTCAATAAAATTGATCAATATGGTGAAAATGTCATTACATTTGCTGATATTCAAAGGGAGTTTTATCCTAGAGCTCATCCTGATGTTAAAACTGCTAAGCGCCACGAAGATGATATAGCACAAGAATTATTTTCTACACTTGAACTTCATAATAAATTATATGTAACAAATTTTATTTATTTATTTCAATGCTCATTTTTACTAAATTTACAACTTTATTAAAATAAAAGAGTGATGTGCCAAGTAATGAAATTTCTAGAGAATAATTTATTGACTATTACAATAACATGAGTGCTTCTATATAAGATGATTAATTATTTGAGTCTATATTAGTAAACACTTATAGATTATCTTAATAGAATTCTTTAATTAATAAGTATGCAGGTAAAATAAATAATAAATAAATTTATAATTTAGAAATAATTTATTTAATCAAACATTTTAAAAATATAAGGCTAGAGAAATGCATTTGATCCTGAAAAGAAAGGATTTTTGCAAGATCATCATAGATTTATAGTAAATGGTGGTACAGTTTCATCAAATGCTCCCTTTGGTACCTCACAAGAACCTACTCATTATTCAACTTAGCTCAGACCTTATACAAGCAATTCATAAGTTGGCTCTATGAGAGGATCTCCTGTTAAATAACCTAATCTTTACCCTCCTCGTCGTCCTTAAACACAGTAACTATTTATTAAATATTTAGCATGATAAATACCTTTTTAAAAATAGGGAGCAACCATAATAATAACCTCAAAAAAATCCTCTTAATGAATTTAGATCTAAAGTTGCTCAAAGAGGAGTTAGAGGGTTCATTAAATTATACTAAAAATTTAGAAATGTTATGAGAGATAATTAGAGTGTTATTTCATATCAATCTTTTGTTTAAGCTTTGAATGAACTCCGTTTATAAATTGAAAATCCTTAAGATATATTTAATTAATTTGAAAGATAAGGATCTCTAGATCTAGAGGATCTTTTCAAAGCCCTTAAAGGTAAAATTGCTGAGCATAGATAGCAACTAATAGTACATTCATTTACTGGAATGGATAGAACCAGATGTGGAGAAGTCCCCTTGGAACTTATCAAATGTAAAATTACAACATAAAATCAAACTTTTTACAAAAATATAATTTTATTAAATAGAAACTTACGATAGCAGAGGTCACCCAAATGTTAAATTAGGAAAGGTATCCGATGAAGAAGCATTATAAGATTTTATTGATTCATTTGAGCTTCATATGCAAACTTTTGTAATATAAAAACAACTAATATTGAATTGATATTTATTTTATTTTATAAAAAGAACCCAAACAATTTGAATTAAGGAATAGTCCATTTCAATGAATTCTTTGAGTTTTATCACATCACAAGCTAATGTATAGAAGATGATTAATATTTCGAAATTATGATGAGAAATTGCTGGCACTTAAAAACTTATTGATCTTATTTACAATTAAAAAAAAAGAATAAATAAACCCATAAATGATCATAAAAATAATTATATAACAACTTAATTAATAAAAACTAATTAAAATTTTATACTTTTTTGTAAATAATTAAGTATCTCTTTGCATATTTATCAATAATGTTAATTAATTAAACCAAAAATTTTATAATAGTTTTGTTATTTAGCTTAATACATAAACTATATATATAAGCTGATTGTTTTCATAAGCTTGCTTGACATAATAATTCTATTTAAGTATTTGCAAATATTTTAAGTGAAATTCAATTATTTTTATCATTTCATTATAAAATGTATTAAAATTTTATTCATTTATCATAATCTCCTTTTATACGGAATATTTTTATTTTTAATAAAATCACATACATACCTTTTTGTCTATCAATTAGGTAGAGTTTAACAAATAAAGAAGGAAAATTAAACTTGAATGTATTTTATTTGAAATCATATGACTCATAAATTAATTAATTAATTATCTCATATTTTTATAAAGAAAAAATAATTAATTTAAAGGAAATTAATTAATTGCATAAATATTCAATAAACAGTTTAAAAGTGATATTTTATATAAAAGAAAAATGGCAGAAAGGATGAACAACAACACAGGAAATAAAGGAAATAACAATAATAATAGCAATACAAATAGCAATTATGTTTAAAATAATAATAATAACAAAGATGGAAAATTTAACAGATGGCAAGGATAATCTCAAGGAAATAGCTATAATGATAACAAAGATTACACTCCAAAAGAAAATATTCCAAAATAGCCTTACTAATTGAGAAATAAATTTCATTTATCTTTCATGAATCCAAATGATAACATTACCAATTTAAACTACGAAAAATCCATTATTCCTATTGGAGATATTGAAACCATAGAAGATTATTTTAATTATTATTGTCATATTTATAGACCATAAGATTTGTAATCTGGATCTTTTTATCTTTTTCTAAAAGATATCTAACCAATGTGGGAAGACTAAGCTAATAAAGGTGGTGGTAGGTTCAACATAAGAATGAAAAAAGGATTTGTAAATAAGATATGGGAAGATTTAATTATGGGTTTTTTAGGCGAGACTTGTGAAGAAAAAGATTTACTTAATGGATTTGTTTTATAAATCAAGCAAGAATAGGATATTATATAGCTGTGGATAAAAGATTCTTCAAAATCAAAGCCTTCTGCTAAATCAAAAATATAAACATGGATTGCTGAAACTATTGGATACGATCCAGCTTTAGCCTCATAAACTTTTATTTACTAACCTCATTAAAAGGAAACAAAATCTCATGCTGCCCATAAATCATCAGCAAATCCTGTTAGAAAATCTTGAAAAATGCTATAAATCTATCTATGTTTATTTATCTATCTATATTTAAATATTTAGAGAGTAATTAGTTATCACATATAAATATAAAATTATTATTCACTGATTTAAATAACTTACTGACTTAAAATATTTTTTAGGAAAAAGGGAATATCTAATAATATATTATCAGTTTAAAACTATTTCATTTTTACATTTAAAGATTTTATTACATAAGAATTTATTTAATAATGTGTGTATTATTATAAATAATTATATGGTTTTTAAGTATTTTAAGCCTGTTTGCTCTTTCAATAACTTGATTTAATTGGGATAAACAAACTAAATAATATTTTAAATAATTATATATTAATATACTAATGGTAATAATCATTAACAACATTAATATTTATATTAGCAAATAAATAAATGATTTAGATATATCTTTAACTTGTAGTGTGAAAAATATTTTATTACTGCTTTAATGGTATATAATATTAACCTTATTTAATATTTATCTTGACGAATAAATAAATGGATAAGTAATTTTTAAAGTTGTTGTGTTTTTTTTTTTTTTCAATTAAAAAATCTGATAATAAAAATAAACAATTTTTATATTTTTATATAAAATTAGTTGAATTTCAATGAAAAATAGCAATATTAAAAATTTTTTTAATACTTTTATCAACTATTAATCAAAAATAAGGGTTTGTAATATTTTTGATACTTATGTGTTCTCTCGATAATAAAATTTGATAGGATAAAACAACTAATATAATCATTTATACTGTAGCCAAACAAAAAAAATAAAATTTACTCTATTATTAATTTTTATTATTTGTTTATTTGTTATTCATTTTAAAATATTTAAACTATTTAAAAATTTTTAACACTTCTAAGCCAACTTAAGGAAATATTTTTATTCAAATAACGCTTCTCAAATATGTTTAAGTTGGTTAACCTTTTTACAGCAATAAAGAGTTATTTATCTACCCTTTTTGGTCTATTCTATAATTAATTAAAAAATAATTTTATGTATTATTTTGATATTATCCAGAGCTTTTAATATAGATTTTATTTTATCAAAGCCTGTATTAATTTGTAAAATTTCAAAAAATAAATGAATTGGTGGAAGAATATTTCTCAATTATATATTTGTTACAAAAATCTTTTAAAACTACTGGCTTTTTATATATTTTGGTGAAGTAAATAAATGAACTCAGATATCAATCAAAATTTATAAAATTTTACTTTTAATGCTTGCTTTTAAGGTACCCATCATAATTTTTTCCGAAAGCAGTGCTCTTGGTATATTTTTATTATTATTTAATTTAAACAGGATAGACAATTTGATACTTTTGAGGGGAATAACTACCTTTACTTTCATAGGTTAAATCTCTTGCATTAAGTCTCCTTTTATAATTTATTATTTGATTAAATATATAAATTATGTATGATAGCTTTAAAATTTACAAAACTGATTAATTGTTAGTGTTGCACATTTTTCTAATCTTTTCCTTTAAATCTTTCCTCATTTTCTCAACTTTTTTACTATAAAAATTAGAATTAGATTATAGAAAACAAAAAATAAATTTACAGAGCATCTATCCATTTATCTAATCTTATAGAGTCATCTTGATGTTTTACTGCTTCTCTAAATTCTTACTCTCTCTTTAAAAATTCATCTTAAGATGCACTTCTATTATGAGTTAGATTAGAGTTATTTCTTACTTCACGAATTTATTCTAATTAATTCAACAGATTTTCTTACATGTTTTTAGAATTTTATAATTCCCTTGCGAGTGCTTTATTTTATTCACTAATAAAAAAATAATAAGTATTATATTAGTAATTTTTTATAACTTTTTTACTTCAAGCTATATAATTATCCTACTAAACGGTTTTGCTGCTCATCATACTTTTCTGCTTCTTGGGCTAATACTATTTATAAATATATAATTAAATATACATTTTTAAACTCTTTTCATTACATTATTAAACCTCTTCTAGTGTATAAGTTTTCTTCACTTACTAAGCCTATGAGTTAGTGTTTCTAAAGCTCATATTATATAATTCTTATTTTTCAGCTATAATTTATATTTTTTTATTTAAATTACATTTTAAAAAAATTACCTTGCGTATTTTGGGCAGATTTATTTCTAATTGAACTATTTTATTATTTTTATTAAGGCAGTGATTCCCTATCATTTAAGCTTTCTATTTGGTTATAACTGACTGTTTTTTTCTAGTTTGTAGGCTTTTTAATCTAGTAAATAACATATGATTATATTTTTTTAGAAATAAGTTTTATTTAAGTACTGGAATAGGGGAATCAAATGAGTCATTTTATTTATATTATGCATTATTTTCTATATTTTATAAACCTTGTGGGGAACTAAATTCATCTGATGAATAAACATGCTAATCTTTTTATATTTATAATATAATATTTAATCCTACTGACCAAATATCAAAAATAAAATACCTTAGGAAGGACTTAAATTTAAAGAAGATCCTTTTTTCTATTAATAATTTATAAAGAGAGATGAATTATTTGTTAAATGTAAAGATTTGCTTTATAGAAATGAGCTTTTATTACATTTGAGGAGTAATTCATACAAAATGTGTCAGTAATAATTATGCGGCTATTTTATGATTTTGCTTCGAAAGTAAAAGATATTAAACAATTAATTAATTTTATAATAATTATTTGAATTACAAAGATTTTTTTTACCAGCAATTTTATAATTTCTATTATTCATTTGAACAGAAATTAATTGAAAATTTTTATTTTTTACATTTATTATAAAGAGAAATTAAATAATTAGCTGAATCTTCGTTCTTAAACTTTAATTAAAATAATTTCTAGATAATCAATTAATTAAAATAAATAAATCAATAAATTATTTTTATTAATTCTAAAATTTATTTATTTAAATAAATATTTTGAATTTATATTTTTAAATTGAAATTAACAATTTCACTATTTATCTTGTTTTTTACGAAATGTCTTTTATTTTTATTAAACTATTCCCAAAATCTATCTATTCACTTTTAATTTTTTGTAAAGAATTTTTTGATTAGTTTTATAATTTAAGAAAAAGAATGAATAATTCAAAATCATTCTTAAGGTTTATTAGCTAAATAATGTCTTTAATAATCTCTGATAAAAAAATAAAAATTTCAAATTTTTAATCATATTATTTAGCAATAAATAAAAATGAGCCATACATATAAAAAAACAATCTATTTATTATTATAATTATTCTTTTTTTATTAATTTACTAAATAGCTAAATATTAAAAAAAATAATCTTGTTATGATTCTTTTGATATTAAAAGAAATCATAAATTAATATGTCTTTTTCTTAAACTTACCTAGTTTCATTAGTTTGCTTAAATATAAAAAATTGAGTTAACATAAATTAAATAAATAACTTTAATAATATTCTAAATAGTCTTAGTATTATTTTAATATATGCATGTTTTATTTAATTATTTAGTTTAACTACTATATTATTAAATTACATGTTTAGAAAAATATTATATAAAACTCACTTCCTTTTAATAACAATATTCAGCAAGATTATAAGATTAATAGATAATACTTATTTTTATATTTAAAAAATATTTTTTAATTTTCAATCATATTATTTAATCTTAAATTGCATGATGATTTTAACTAAATTTAAAATGAGAATTATATACTAAAATCTAAATAGAAATTTATAAAATAGAAGAAAGTATTTAAAATACAAAAGCCATTTTAAATTTTTTATATTTCCATGTTGTAATAGAATATGTTTAGAATTTTCTATTATTTTCTAAAATTAAACTGATATTTTCTGATAGGATTTTCTATTTTAATATCTATCTTTAATCATTTATTATTTTATTTGGAGATATACTTTTTATTAATTAAAAATATCTAAAAGTTTCTATAAACGTTAACAGCAATAATTTAAAATATAGTAAAGTAGTTAAAAATGTCTTCCTTTTGCTCTTTTCTTTGGGGTGTTGCTATCGGATCTTCTGTAATGTACTAAGTATCTCCTAGATATTATAATCCCATAAAAAAGAATGTGATTCTCCCAACTTAATAAGAATTTAAGAAGTAAGAATTAGATGGATGGAGTATCTGCGGTACATTAGGTAAAGGAATTAAAAATTCAGTTGTAGAAATGTGGAAATAGTAATAATGAAAGAAAATAATTATTAATGTTAAGTACATGATTTATGTAATTAAAATAAGCTTAAATATATGAGTGGGTTTATTAATGTCTTATATATTCATCAATATAAACTGTATAAATTATAATTTCAAAAAATAGAAAAAAACTAACTTTGAGATAAAACATGTTTAAATATAAATTCTAATTTTTATAACATCAAAAATATTTTAATTATTATCTCTAATTACTCGGTTGATCAATTATTAAGGAAAAAAGCTATTAGTATAAAATTAAATTATTGATTGTTCAAATAAAAAACAATATTGCTTTTATATAAAGATAGATAAAGATATATTTATCTTAAATAGAACTTTGAAATTTTAGTTAAGCTTTAAAATACAAAGAGCCTTTAAGACTAGAAAAAATTTAATATTCTAAAAAGTATATTTTAAATTTAAATTTTGATATCACTATTTTTTGCTTGTAAGTTGCTTCTTTTCACTTTATTTAGTGAATTAAGAAGTTAAAAGTTAATATAATTATTCAGAAAAAATATTTTATAACCTTAAAGAATTTATTTCTGAGTGTTTATTTACAAAATTTGATAGAAATTTAAAGTTTATAAATCTCATAATTTTGTAAATAAATAAATAATTTCCTTTTTTTTCAAAATAAGTAAAAAAATTTACTAATTAAAATAGAGCTTTGAACCTTCTATAAATTTCGATGAGAACTATTTTATTGTTTAAAAATATTTAAGTATCTATTTATATTGTTATAGAATAATATTTAATTTATAGATTGTTTTCTTTAATTAAACTTATTAGCTAAAATATCTATTTTATTATATTTATTATATTGCTATTATTAAGGTAAAAAAAATCAAATAAATTTTGAAAAGTTGTTTTAGTAATATTTTTTAGATCATAAAAAACATTTAAATGTCCTATTTTTGCTATCTATTATTGGGTAGCACTATCGGTTCTTTCATAATTTACTAATTGCTTCATAGATATTATTTACTTATAAAAAATAATGGGATTATACCAATTAAATAAGAATTTAAGAAAACAGAACTAAATGAACACTCAATTTTTAACAAATTTAGATAAGGACTTAAGAAATAAGATATTGATATTGTAGAAATATGGAAAAAAAGAATGAAGCTAAAAATAAATTATAGTAAATAATTTATTAAAAAAATAGGTTGTTGATTTTAATAAAATAATTTTTACTATTAAATAAAAAAAAACTAGAAAAACTAGATTTAGTTAGCAAATTTATTTAGTTTTATATTATATATTTGAGTGAATAAATTTAATAATTTTAAAATAATAAATAAAATACTTTTAAATTTTGATAAAGTAGTTCGTATCTATAGGATGGATGCTTTTATTATTTTAGATTGCTGGATGATTAATTTTTTTTATATTAAATAAAAGAATAAACAACATAATTAAAAATAAAAATATTTTATTTTTATTTTTTGTAAACACTTTTAACAGAATCTTTTTTACAAAAATTTGATACAAAAATTTATAAATTATCAAAACAGTCTCAAATATTTGTAAAAAGATTAAAAAATAAAAGAATCAAATAAAAAGAATTTTAATAATAAAAATGTAGTCCTCTAAACCTTCTATTATTTTTGTTAACTAGCCTGAATAGATAATTGATGAAGCCCTCAAAAGCTAAATTAAAAAAAAGAAAGTTGAAGACTCTTTTGACTTGTCAAAAATATTAGAAAATCTTCATGCTATAAATATTTTTGAAAGTTTTAGAAAATATGTTCCTTTATCCTAATACGAACAATAAGGTGAGGAGTACTATAAGTTAAAGTCAGAATAAAATGTATAAAAATACATGAAATTGTTAGATGGCACAGCTCATATTATTGTTGAAGTAAGAAACGATGAAGGATTATTATTAAATTAAGAGAGCAAGGATAGATCTTTGAAAATTTCACTCTTTAACGAGGAATCCAACCATTTTACTGGATATCATTATGCATGTCTATTTTTAGAAGGTAAAAAAGATTAAACTATTAAGTAAATAATAGTTAACTTTTTATTATTTTTTATCAAAGAGGGAGAAGAAGCTTGGTTTATATTTGATGATGGATACACAACCCCATTTAGTTTTGTGAACACACTTTAGTCTTATTAAAAAGATATAGAAACATAATCAGTATCTAAGGTTTATAAAATAAAATTAGAAAAATTAAAGCTGTAGGTTAAGAAAAGAGAGTTCAAAGAAGGATAGGAAATAACATAAGAAGAAAGAAAAATTATTAGATAAGAAGAAATTGAAAATTTGAAATTATAGAATTAAGAACTTTAACATAAAAAAGAAGATATTACTGAAAAGTACTTCAGATAAGGAAAGTTTAATGAAGCTTTTTAGAAATATTAAAAGCTTGAAATACATACAGAAAATATTTACAACAAGTATGCTAAATTTATTGAAGATACTTAAGAAGACATAATAACTATCAAAGCACTAAAAATTTAAATAGCATAAAATAAAACAGTGGCTGCAATGAAAGCAAAACTATACTCAAAAGCTTGTGAGAGTGCTTAAGAACTACTTAAACTGGACCCTGAAAATTAAAAAATGCTTTATGCTTAAGCTAAGAGCCTATATAAGCTCTCATATTTTGATTAGGCTTATGTTGAGTTATAATAATACATTAAAAAATTTCCAGATGATGCCTAGACTAAATTAGACTTTGAATAGTATATAAATACTTGCAAGTAAAAACTGGAATAAAGTTAGAAAAACCAAGCAAAAAATTATAAAAAGATTTTTGAAAATATGGAATAAGAAGAGTAAAAAGAAAAACTAAGAAAACTAACTTAAAAGAGCATAGATGAAAGCTTAAAGTAAGATAAAGAAATAATTATCAATAAGATTCTCAACAAAGATGGATATGAGTTCAATACAGAGTTTGATTTGATATAAAATTTAGATGAAGATAGTTCTTAAAATAATATTTGATTTTTATTTTAAACTGTCATAAATAAATAAATACAAAAATTTGTCTTTTATAATTTATGTTTGTGATTGATTAGCTAATTTTGTATTCATTTTTAAAATAAATTTAATTGGTGTTTAAAATAAAATAATTATTCGTACATTTAATTAAAAAAATTATTGTTTATTTTTAAGCTATTTTTTGTGTTATAAGCAATTTCAATTTATTTATGGCAAAAAACAACATATTTAATGATAAATGACTGAGATAGTAATTAGAATTCAAATGCATGAAAGAATTAAGTTAAATAATAGATAAGCAAATCTCTTAATTAAATTTGTTTGGAAAAATCAAAAAAAGAAAAAGATAATCAAATATATATAAAATGAGTGGAAATACAAATAGCGATTTTAATAGAACTAACTATCAACATAAAGAATAAATTATAAGATGTGGTATATCTTCTCTTAAATGCTTAGACGGTGAAGATTTGAGTAAATAGCATTTGCAGTTGTCATTTTTAAATCTTACAAATTTAATATTTTGATGCTCTAATAAGTTTTACAAATAGTAAATTATTTAAAGATTAAGGTAATAGAAGGAGACTCTAACAACTTTAACAAAGAGACTGGATTGAATAGTAGATTAGAGAAAAAGAAGAGAGAAAACGTTAAGAAGATGAAGAAAAAAAGTAAAACTACAATTTATTAACTTTAATTAGTTTCTTTAAATAAACTAATTGATTGCATTTTTATTGCTAAACATTAATTATTATTCATTATTATTGAAACAACTTTTATTAAGAAAATGATAATAATATTTCTTATATTGATATACATTTTAGGGCTTTTGAATAATAAACATTACATATAAATATGATGAGAGGAGATTTGGAAGATAATTTAAATTAAAAAAGAAGAAACTGGGAAAAGAATACCAAAGAATTCAACATTTAATAAGTAATTAGCTAACCCTTTAACTGTTTTATAAATTTATTATAAATAAATACAATTTCTAATAAAAGCAAGCTTATTGATATTAATTAAATTATTTTTAATGCATTTTAATATATTTATTGATTGATTGAAAAAAAGATTAAATTGTTTATGAAAAAATAAATTATTTAATATGATTCAAACAAAACAAAGTAAACTAGAAATCTTTAATAAATTCATTTGTTAAATTTATCAAAAAATAGAGAAATGAAAAGTTAGATTATGAAAGATCCTCCCATCTTGATAATTAAGCATAAAATTAGTATCACATTACATATTGTAACACAAATAATTTCCAAACAGAAAATACTGGCACTTGTACAAGTGCATTTGGTCCTCATAGAGTTATACCTTATCACTGGAAAGGTATGAATCCTCAATAAAAAAAGGATATTATTCTTGAACAAGATTAATAACGTCATGAAAGAGAAGTATTTTAATTCGTTACATAAATAGAAATAAAAAAAATATTACTTTTATAAATAATATAGATATTGAAGAATTTAGAGAGAGATGAGGATAAGGCCTTTTCTAACTAAACTGAAGTAAAAAAAATTATTTATTTTATATATTTTTAAAGTTCTTTTATACAAAAGCATAATAGATTTATGTTGATCAACCTAGAAAGATAAAAAAATAGATAACATAGATAAAGAATGGATGAAATTAAAGAATTTAACCTATTAGCTGCTAAGGAATAAAAAATAAAACTTAAGCACATGTATGATTGATTGATTGATAGACTAAAAAAATATGAAATGGAACTTGAAATAAGCAAATATATCATATTAATTTTATAAAGAGAAACTTTTTACAGTAAATATAAATATAAATTAAATTCTTTATGTTAAGTATTTAATTTGTAAAATAATTTTTTAATTATGCAAATATTATCGTTCAATATATCAATCAATATAATTAATTATATTTATTTTCACTTTTATTAAATTATTTAATTATTTTTCTAACAATTAATTAGTTATTTAAATTAAATATTAAATTACTTTTTTTCATTAAATTAAATTAATATTTTGATTCTTTAAATGTATTAAAGCAAAATATTCAAAAGTTATGAACGAAACCAATTTTAATAAATAGAATTAACTATTAATACTTATTTTTTTTTTATAATACAAACTTAACAGATCGTAACATTATAATTAATGTTTTTATGAGCTTTATAATAAATTAATGTTAAAATAATACCAATATTAAAAAAAGGAAATATTTTTTAATTGATAAATTCAATGCCAAAAAATTTCTATGAAATATAAATAAATATTTAATAGTAAAATATTGATTAATTATTTTTTTTAATTATTGATAATAATAAATCAATTTTAATTAATTTCTGTTTTTTACTTTATCATTCATTTATTTATTATTCTTTTTTTTAATGAAAAATTGCAAAGCTTTTTATCCTTAATATTTTATAAGGCTTATTAATTCAAATTTTAAATTCATTTGTTGCTGAAAAGCTTTACTAAGAAGATTTTTAATAAATAGAATTTGATAGTGCTGGGTCAATATTTTATGATATTTCTTAGTCAATAAATTTAAGTGTGTTTTTACAATTATCAAGTGTTTGTGTATCCCTCTGGTGAATTTTATACTTTAAAAGTTTTAGAGGATTGTTCATTATTTTATCCTTTTCTGGTAAAAATGTGTCATAATATTTTTTCTTTATATTCATGTACTTTTAGTAAGAATTTGGCTCATTACTTATTGTAGTACTAGGTTAAACAGTATTTGTAAGAGTAGTTTATTTATTAGTAGATCTTGAATCTTCTTCTCCAGTTACATTTATAGAAGCTGACCTTTTCTTAAATTCGTTAAACATTGTGCTTGTTTCACCAAATACTCTATTCAAGTTACTTACAGGATTATTTTTAGGAGGTTTAGCCTGCTGTTATTGGTTAGACATCTTGAAACCACTTGTTGCCAAATGATGGGCTTATAAAGCACTTCTTAAGATTGCATCAGAATCCATTCTATTTTGATTGTCAATATTGTAGTTTGAAGAGTTATGAAATTAATTATAGCTACTCAGATTATTTATTTTATCTTCTTTTACTAAAGCACCTACTGAAGATTAAGGATGGTGTTAATTTACATTATATGAATTATTTTCCTTTTGAGCACTAAATAGCGAATTTTTGAATGAATTTATTGATATTCTGTAAGGATCTGATGCAGAATTCTGTGAAGATGTGGGAGCAAATCCTGTAGGATCTTTAGTATTTGAAAATTCTTGATATGCTTCTCTAATTTTGTTATTGATAGAAGACATTCTATCTTATATATCTTTGTTGTTTAAGTTATGAGGATTAGCAGGAGGATTTGAGGTTAAAAAGCTTGCAGATTGTTGCTAGTAACCTTCCCTTTGAAGCATATATCCATACTTATCAAAGGCATTACGAGAGTTTTCACGTGAAAATAAATTATTGTTAGAGAAGCTGTTATTATTAAGGTTATAGCTTGCTGCATTATGAGTAGTCTATTAATCAGAAAGGCGAGTTGAGTCTGAGTTAGTATCTTTAAATTGTTTTGAATAATTATGAAGTAAATTTGAATATTCTTATGCATCTTTCTTTAAAGAATTGATTATCCCTAATCTTCTCAATTTTGTGTCTGAAAGATCAAAATCACTGTCTTAACTGTGTGAAAATTAGTTGTGCTATTATTCATTTTATTTTTAAAATTTCATTTAATTTTATTTTCCTAAAGGCGGCCTGCTTTTATTAGAATCAGCAAATCCTAAACCACTTTCAGATTCTTCTCCATCTAAGCTATTTTCGAAAGTTGCTGTATCAAAATTTATTGTTCTTGGTTAGTTTTCGCTCGGGTTATATCTTTAAAAATCTGAATTATTTGGATAGGAAAAATCTTAGGTATATTTATCCTAAATTCTAGGAGGAATGTTTGAATTTTTTAAGTTATTGAGCTTGATATCAAAGCTATCTATGTTTAAATTATTTTTTATTTCAATTTTATTATTATTGTTCAAATACTAATCTTTTATTTTTAAGTCTTCATCATTTAGATCATCTAAAGTTAACTCTTAAATTTATCTATCTTAACCAGGGCTATTTAAATTAAATGAGACTTCATCTTTTTGGTCATTGAACATCTCAGCTCGCTTGTTTTACATTAAAATAATAAAAAGCAGGAATGAATAATAAATAAAGAAGTAAGAAGCTTTGATTATATTTTAATTTTTGATTTTGTAAATACACAAATTACTGATTATCTTTACCTTATTGAAATGTAATTTATTTGTTAACAGTATAATAACTTTTTATCTAAAAGAATTATTTATTTTTTAATCAAATTTTAAATGATTTAAGTTTTGAAATGATAAATAAAATATCGTTAAAAAGCAAATTAAAGACAAATCAATAAATTAATTAATTAAACATATTTCATCAAAAATAATTTATATGATTTTATTATTTTATTATAAAAAACAATATTTATGAGTAAATATTTTTTTGAAATAGTAAAAAAAAATAATGAAGGATGTTTGTTATATATTCTTATTATTTTAGAAAGAAAAATTAATACTAATCAAAATAGAACATAATCTATTCTGTATTTTATGATAAAATAAATCAAATTAATATTTTCTTTAACTTAATTTTTAAAGTAGAACAAAGAAAAAGAGACAGAAAGACTTCAATAATAATAGAAGTTTTATAAATATAAAGGATTTATTTAATCTGCTCTTTCTTCTAAGTTAGAATCATCACTCTCAATCGATTGAATACAAACAATTAAAATTTGAATATAGCGTTTGCTAAAATGAAATTATAATAAATGGAAGATTTTAGTTATTATGCTAGATTAATTAAAGATTATTCTACCAGAGATAATATAGAGAGAAAAAAAGAAGGCAGATACTCTTCTAAGAACACATATAAATATGATTCAGATATAAAATCAACTAAATCTTTTAGAACTGGTTTGAAAACAAAGAAATTTACTGAAAAGAAAGGTCTGCAATTTTTGAAAATTAGATTTTGGAATTATATGCCGAAAATAAATCCATTAGGATAGTTTAGGATAATTTGGGATATTTTTGTTGGAACATCTACCTTATACCTATTTTTTGCTATATCAGTGAGCTTATCGTTTGGCCAATCTATTTTGATGGATCACTTAGAAGCATTTATTGCAATATTTATTTTAGGAATTTTTATTGACCTTAATACAGGCTTTTACTAGTAGGGTATATTGATTAAAAATAGAAAAACAGCTGCTTTAAATTACTTAAAGTAGTATTTTATCTTTGACTTAATATCTACAGGAAGTCTTATAGGATAGCTATTTTGTAATGATTTTTAGTATTTTATAATATTCTTTTTTCTAAAAGTTAAGTATTTCACTAAAATAAGTAAAATTTTAAAAGAAGTTCTTCATATAAAACCAATATTTCGTGATATTGAGTCCTTTTTTAAAGTTATTTGTGTTATTATTTTTGCTGCTCACTTTTTTGCATGCATTTATATATCAATGGCAAATTATTTTGAAATAACGAATAATTGGGTGAGTAAACAAGGGCTAGATATACGTAGCTAACAATACTCTGTATATATTAGAGCATTTTACTATTCTACGGTTACTATGCTTACTGTTGGATATGGAGATGTCACTCCCGTAAACAATGCAGAATACGGTGTTGTTATATGCACTATTCTAATTGGATGCATTTTCTTCGGTTACTCTCTTAATAAGGTAAAATAATAAGAATTTATATAATCTAATTAACATTTTTGTGTGTTTATAAATATTGATTAGATAGGTACAATCTTTAGCGAAATGGAAGAATAAGAAAAAAAAATTATTAAAAATTTGTTCATTGTAAATTAATACATGGCAAGAAAGGATATTTAAAAAGATCTTCAATTTTAAGTTAGAGAATACCTAACTTATTATTGGAGCTAAAATAAGTAAAATAAATAAAATATATTTTTTTTTTAATAGAATATTTATATAATATATATTAAAAAGCTCTACGGAAAATAAAGTTTTAGAGCACATTATTGGCTCTTTGTCTGAAGGATTAAAGTAAAAACTATAAATATAAGCGACAAGAAAAGTCTTGAACTAATGTCCTATTTTTAGACAAAATTTTACAGATGAATTTCTTTAAAAAGCTTCTACTTTAATAAAAGGTAATGAATGAATAAGTAGTTATTTAATTTTCACATTTTATCTATTTTTATTTAAAAGAATACAGATGTTATCCGGATGAAATTATAACATTTTAAGGTGATGTTGATGATAGTTCAATATTTTTTGTAGAATAAGGAAGTGTAAATTGTTTATTTTCCTAATAAAATTATAAAAAGAGTTTATTATAAACAGGTAATTATGTACTTTTAAGGTCAAACAAATAATTAAGGAAAAAATGATACAAGTGTTGAGTTTAGAGAATTGACTAAAGGTGATACTTTTGGTTTTTATAGTTTTTTTACCGGGCAACCAAGATAACTTTCAATTAAAAGCGCTGGTTTTACAAGCCTGCTTTACATAGAAAGAGGACCGTTTATAAAATTAATAAAATGTAAACAAAAAAACTCCTAATTTTTTTTTCATCTAACATTTAACTTTTAAATACAGAGTATTAATAAGATTATGAAATATTCTGCACTATATGTGATAACCTTTTTACAGGTTATCTCTACTAGTAAGTTCACAGTGATTGCTACTGCTGTTAATACAATGACCATTTAATAACTGATTGTCCTAAAATACACCTCGTAGTTGATAAAGTAAGCTTATTTGTTGAAATAAAATATGTTTACTATTAATTAATAAAATAAATAAAGATTGAGTTAAGTTAAAGGGACATGAAATAAATAAGAGCTATTGATTTCATCAGAAAAAGAAAAAAATAGCGCCCTTTGATGAATGAAAATGCTGCAAATAATTTTATATAGAATTAATTATTTTACATATAAGCTTATCATTAGCTTTTTATTAGTTAATTCGATAGCTGGTTCGAAAGTTTAGAAGATGATGACGATGAAGAAGATGAAGAATTAGACGAAAATCAATATCAAGAATCTAACGATAGAATTTCGTTGCTTTAAGACCTATAAAAGAAGAATGATTAATAATTATCTATAAGTGTTTTAGATGAATCTTCAATAAAAAAGAGACATAACTAAGAAAATAAAATAGGTTTAGTTCCTTTAGACCAAGGTAAATAAATTATATAATCACTTGTATATATCCCAGACTAAAAAACGAAAGATATAAGTGAAAAAATAGCTAATTAACTACAAAACAATAATACCAACAAGCCAAGCACTCTGTTCATTAACTAAAATAAAAAATCTAGGACATCTAGTTTAACTAAAATCAAAAACCCTTCAAGTACTTAAACTGATGATTTAAATAGTAATGCTTTACAGTAGGCACAGCCTAATTACTAAAAGTAAAATTCAAATTAACTAGAAAACTCGATTAAGCAAAATCCTAGCATATTTACTGATTAACTTACATCTGTTCATATTAATGTTTATACGAATGATTAATAAGATTTAAGTTTAAACTCATTTTTGTAACCTTTTAAGCATAAAAAAAAATCTTTAGAAAACTCCTGTATATCTATATCTGACATGGATAAGATATAATCTATGATAAACTAGCAAAGCACATAATTTCTATAATAATAAGGTCAAAAGCAAGCAAGTACTACTTAATTAGGAGGTATATCTAATGTTAATTCATAGGCCTAAAATCAGTAACCATAATAGCAGTTTTTAAGACAACAATCTATTCATAAATAATAATAACAAATACTTTAACTTTTTTAAATATAACAGCAATCAATAAATTAGTAAATGCAGTAAATACTATAAATCCTTTAAAATAATCTTTAGTAGTCAAATAGCAGCTATGCATAGAACTAGGCAAGTAATAGTAATAATTTATAACAAAATATCTTAAAGAGGAGAGTATCTAACAACAACCAGCATAGTGTTTAAAATAATTTGAATATAAATTTTCCTTTCAATCCTATTCAATCACAACAATTACAGCAATAGCCAGATTTGTTTTCAAATTATGGTAAATCTTAAACGATTACTACTAATGATTTACTTAAATAAGCTACATAATAATCAAGAAATAAATAAATTCCTTAGAATTAAGCTTAATAGCTGGAACAAGGTGATAAAATGATACTTCTACAAAAATTAAATAATAATTAGATAGATGAAGCTTATGAAGATGATTGTAAAATGAAGATATTTATTTATTATTTTCCTGATTGGAATGCTGACAGTGTCCTTTAGCAAATTAATTTAGATAATGGATTATCAGTAAATTCTTCAGAAATAATATAACAAAATCGTCGTAATACGCTTAGTACTAGAAGAAACAATCCTAAAAATAAAGATTAAACTATAGCAAATAAACGTATAACTTAAGTAGCTTACCAAAATGCAAATGAGAGAAAAGTGTAAGATGTTTTAATTAATTTAAATTATGTGGGAAAGTAAGGTATTGAAGAGAGTATTACAAGAGATGAGGGTAGTTTACATTTCCCAGCAATACCTGCAATAATAAGGGGCTAACGTAAAGGTAATACTGTAATAATCCCAACAATATAAGAATAGAATTAATAATTAGCAGCACTTAAGTTCACCCATCAAAGCATTAATGATAAATTTATTGTTTTTAGAAAGTAAAATAATAGTTAAAACGAGTAAAAGCAAAATTTTTAAACAACTGATCTATTAAGTGATCATGCTTAAAAATTAAAATAAATGAAACGTAAATCAATAAGTGTCGATGTTGATGCAAAGTAATGGAAAAAAGTTGATAACCAGGTACTCCTTTCTTAATTTAACAATATGAGTAAAGCCTAATCAGCTGAGTAAAAAAATCTTCTAAGTTCAAAATAAGGGTCAAAGCAAACGATAGATCTTTCTGAAAATATATGCGAAAATATTGAAGATTCTAAAATTCCTATATCATAGAATATTGAGTTAAATTCAAGTAACTGCTGGGCTAGCTACATTAATAAAAAGTGGTGAGTACATTTTTAATAGTAAAAATCATAGGATTATTATAGTGTTATGATGATACATTGATTTATGTAAAACTTATTTTTTTATCAAAAAATTTATTTATTTAAAATAAAAATATCTGTTGTTATAAATATAAAATTTTAGATAATCATAACTTTATTATTACAATATTTAATGTTTTTTTGTTAGCTAAATAGTTATTTTCATATTTAAATAAGCAAATTTATAATGCATAGATAGAGATTTGAATCTATATTATAAAATTCATTACAAATTAAAAAAAATTAAAAAATAAAATTCATACACTAAAAATATAATTATTGCATATGTTTGTATCTTCAATGAATTCACTTTTGAAGCTCACTTAGAAAATACCAAAGAGTTTTTGTAATAGTAAATACTATAAGTTTAGTTCTCTAACTCGTGAAGGTAGGTAGTTCTTTCTTTATAGTTTAAAATCGATTTACATTACTATCTACTTATTGATGATTTTTTAAATATTAATAGTTTTAAAAGTAAAGATGGACTTATATTTCTCCTAGGATTAAGCTAAATAGTTTATAGTAAATTAAAATTAAAATCTTAAGCAAATCGAAAACTTATTGAAAGATGATAATCCTGATATCAAAAATGTAAAGTTTTTAGTTGGTGATTAAGAAATAGAAAACAAAGAAGAGTAATTGTTCTTAAATTTATCAATAAATAATGATTTGAAGATTATTATTGATGATGTTTAAACAACTTTTGAATTCGCAGATTAACTAAATACAGCTAATTACTTTGAATCAACAAAGTTAGAGGGAGAATTAGCTTAGCATGAAGTTCCTTATTAAGACGCACAAGTTATTCAATCATTTATTAAGGTATTTATTTATTTTGAAAATGAATTCAAAAAGAAAAAAATATTAAATAATAAGATTTTTTTTATAAAAAACGCTATTTTTAATGGAAAACTGTTAAAATTTAATTTTAACTTAAATATAAACTAAAATGTTTTGTAAAAAATTTATTTTATGAAAAATTTCTATCAAAAACGATTTTAAAATTAAAAAAAAATATTTTAAAATTATTTTTTATTATTAAAGAACTTTAAGCAAATACTAGAGAAATAAAATCCTTCATCGTAAGCTTATTCTGAAAAATAAATGAATGACGCTCTATAAAAGGCTATTCAAACATTCTCTGAATACAATTTTTCTAGCAGCTTTGAGAAAAATACCTTATTTGCTAATGCTCTTCGTTAGCAATATCAGGAAGGATAAGACATATTGCAAAAAATTGAAGATGAATCTAGAGCTAAATCTCTTTCTAAAGTCAAATAATTGATAGGATTATAAGTAGTCTAATTTGGTTTCCTATTTTATTTAACTTATGGACTTTATGGTTGGGATTTTGCAGAACCTGTTAGTTATGTTCTAGGGTTAGGAAGTGAAGCTTATATTTTATACCATTTCATCAAGCACCGTAAAAGCTTTAATAACCTTTATCTATTTGAAAAGCAATTTTAGCCAGTAAGAAAGAATTTAATTTCATAAAATCAAACTAATACTGAGGCACATCTTAAATTTCTCAAAAGCAAGCTTGATATGATTGAATCTAAGATTTAATTTGGAAGATCTAAAGAAAAATGAATATTATTTGTTTGTTTATTGTTTTGTATCTTGATTTTTATTTGTTTAAAAGATTTTAACAGAAGCTTTCAAAAATTAATTTTTATGGCTTATTCAATTTTTATGAAAAGGAAGTGCTTTTTTTCTAGAAATTTCTAAAAATAACTAAATATATAAATATATTAATTTTATAATGAAAATCATATCTACTCTCTATGTGAATAATTATATTTAATCTACTATAAAATTTATATTTTGCTGTAAAAATATTATTTTTATTGAAATTTCTTTTTCTGAATTATTTTTTTTAATATTGGAAAGATAAATTTTATATTAAAATAAGAAGATAGATTGATTAACTAATTGAAAGTAGTTTGGTAGGTAGATACATTATTGAATTTATTATTAATACAAAAGTATTAAAAATTTACAAAAATAGATTTCTAGCATAAGTTAAAGATGAATACATAGATAGAGAGTTTCATTGAGAGATAAAGAAAGAATACAATCCCTCAAATGTTTTAGAATAACTAAAGATATTAATATAATTAAGCAGATATAAATAAGTCTAATCCTTTAGGTTTTTTAAAATTGTAATATTTTTATTTTAATTTTATAAGGAGGAAAGAATAATATTGATGGCATTAAAATATAAATGAATCAATTTTAGTGATTTTTTTAAATAAGTTTTGTTTAAATCATGTAGATCATATCATATTATAAAACTTTTTTTTTGTTCAATAAAAGATGGAATTAACCAAAAGTTAAAGAGCAGTTGAAATAATCAATTTAGTAGAAGATGTAATAAGGAACAATTCCTAGCGATAAAATAATTAATGAAAAAATGCTTATAACTGAGTATTGGAGTTAATGGCTTGATCTAAATTAAACAGATTTCTTATAGTTGATTTAAAAGAATCCAAGATTAACTGTATAAGACCATCAAGATATATAAAGTTTGATTTTAGATGAAAATGCAAGAATGGGTAATTGGGTGTTAGGTATGAGTATATTTACATATGGTGTTTATTTCTTGGGATTAAAAAAACATGCTATGTTCTACAATCGCTTTTAAAAGAAGAGTCCATATAAAATAGTAAACTACTCTAAAAATGCTTTGGGGTGTTTATTAGTGATGTCAACTTGGTCAATAATATTAAAATTTTTTTTCGAATAAGCTATCCCAAATCAATTATCAAAAAAGGGATTCTTGAGTAAATACCACATTTTAAAGGAAGAAGTATATTTATGAAATATATAATATGTTTTTTATTTTTTATACAATTACTTAAATAAATAATTTGAATAAAAAATTATTGTTTTTAAAAAATAAAAAATTATAACAATTTATTTATTAATTCACACTATTTTATCCAATCAATAAAATATTTTTGCATATTTTATTTAAATCTTTTCAGACTTTTCATAGTTTTATTTATTTATTCATTTATTCATTTGTGATTAATTTTATTTATTTTTATGCAATTAAGCTAATAAATTTAAAGATATTCTAAATAAAATTATTTTTCAAAAGAGGTATTTAGCCTTCTTTTGCTATTCTAATATTTACTATTGCTTAGCATTCTTTTCTATCTCTTCTTCTAACTAAACAAAACTTGTAATTGTTTATAGTTCAAATTGAGTGCAAGATTTTTGTTTTGTAAAGAATTATTAGCTTTGCTATTAATTTTATTCATTAACTTGAGAATTATTTCTTGTTGTTTATTTTTATATAAATCCTTGTAGAGAATCATTATCTATAGGAGTAAAGAATGATGGCTGAAAGTTAAAAGCACTATACTAGGAAGGAATGATAGACTAAGAAGTAGTCCTGTTTGCTGTTGATAAATTTAGTTAACTGCTTGATTAGTTTAATTTTAATTAACTTTTATTTAATAATTATTGAGAATTCTGTGTTGAAGGTTTACTATTTTAAATTTATATATGTCCCCTTGATGCTGATCTTTACCTTATTTAACTATCTAATGTATATGTTTAACTCCTATCTCTTTCTCTAACATCTTTTTTAAGCTTTTTAATAAAAAAGAAAATTCATTTAAATATTGAAATTAATGAATTAAAGATTTATAATTACATTTTAATAATTTTGTTCAAGATTTGGAAAATGTGTTATTCTTTATGCATTCATATTGCATGACTGGATGAGACTATCAGGTGTCTTTAAGTTTATTTAAGTATAATTTACATTAGTTATGTTGGTTTACTGTTAATTTGTCGCTGAAAGAATTTTACTAGAATTTAAATTTTTCTAGCCATTTTAATTAATTTAAGTCTATTAGCTATTTTTACTTGTTATAAACTCTTCAGGTTAAACTTCGAACGATTTTATTTTATTTTGTAATTATGTGAATGAAGTATGTTAAGAGTATTAGTTATTTTTATTAAATTTTGTTATAAGAGGAATACCATTTTACTATTGTTATTATTTGTTCATTTAATTTGGGGATTATTTTGGAGTTCCTTGAAGATCATTTGAATAAGTTATATTACTTTTATTTTTACTCAAGCTATTTTTCCTTGAATTCTTCATTTAATTTTTACACTTATTTTCTTTAACATTATCTTGTATTATCAGGTTAACCCCAAAAATTTAATGAGAATCGCAGCTATTTATTTAATTTGAGCTTTTTCTTGAATTTATATTACTGTTTATTAGTGAAAATTAATTAGGAGAGCATACTTATTTTCCTCCAGTCCCCTTCAAATAAAAGCATAGATTTACTTTTGATGAATTGAGACTGTTATTAGCATTAATTGAATGTTCAGAATTATTCGCTAAATGACACTTTTCTTTCTAAGAACTTTAGTTTGTGGATTTATCTTGTATTTACTGATTATTTTTTTTCAAAATTTTTGGTGTTGTAGATATTTGATAATTATTCTTATTAAAAGAAGAATTAGATTGAACATTAGGCTAATTTTTTTGCTAAGGTTTAGAATGCTGAGGTAGGTTTTTACCTAAATTGTATTATCCTTCATAAAATTATTAGTATTTTGTTGGTGTTGTAATTGTTGAGTCGTTTTAATTCAAATCTGATTCACTGCTCTCAGGAAAACCAAATAAATTACCACAAGCTATAGTATTTTCTGATTACTCTTTCGAACATTACTTAATACTCTATTAACTATTTTAAGAGATAAAATTTATACCCTACCTTGGACTAAACCTTGTTGAGTTAGATAGTTAAGTTGTGGATGAATTAGTTATAAATTACACTTTCCCCAAATTGATTTATTGGTTACTTATAATTTGCTGGTTTTAAACGCTTTTGTTTAATTGACTTAACTCTAAGTTACTGGATTATAGTATACTTTCCTATTATTATGTATCTCTTCTGTTACTTAATTAAAAACTTTAATCTTACTGTTCTTATGTTTCATATAAATTCAAACAAATAGTCCTTATTGGCTTCACAGATCCTTATTTTGGATAATATTAATTGGCATTTTACTTTTATTATATTAAATTAGAGTTCACATATTAATCTTTTAACCTGCTTTTACTATTGTCGCTAAGATGCTATTCTATATATTCTTCCTTCAAATAAGGATCTGTAAATCTTTTGTGCAAATTTATTCTATCTTAGTGTTAGATTTAATTACTTTCATTAGCTTTCATCTAAAAATTAATATTTCTTTTACTTATATCTTTGATTCCATTCTGCAAATACTTTAAGTGTGAATTTTCAAAATTATCTGGTTACTTTTTATGAAATCTTTTAATTAAAGAGTAGCATTTGTTTTGTGGAGAGTAGCAAAGATCTCTGCTATCCAAATCTCCTTTAGATTTTTCCTTTTTTAGTGTTTAGAGCTATTTTTGATTTTTTGATTGCTATCTTGAATGGACAACACTTTAACTCATTGAGATATTTTATTATTTTTAATTTAAAAATTATTAAAGTAAATATCGTTCTAAAATTCATAAATTTGAATAAATGAATTTTTCTTACTATTTATTTAATTTTTGCATGGTTTGTATATCCTGAGCTTTCATTGGCTGGCTGGTAAAGATTTTTGCAATTGTTATTAAAATAGAACCATAAATTATTAAATGTATACTTTACTTCAGAATTCTTCACTGAAAGAAGCCAAATATAATAAATTTTAATGTTCAATCTCACTGGAAATTGTGTAATTATTAAACCTATTGATTATTAGCTCGAAATAATATATAATTTTTTATTAAAAAAATCCTATTTGAAATATATTAAAATATTCATTAAAACAGTAATCTAAAATTAAAATATATTCATATTCATCATCATAAATACAATCAGTTAAAATCCATATTTCAAATAATGATTTAAAATTACAAAAAAAATATAAATATAGAATATTCTCCAAAAAAATGTAATTATTTTGAAGTTTGTTTTAAAATTGAATTGTATAAATTAATTTTTTTGGAATAAATCTTAATTAGATATAATTTATTAGATTTTTTTAAATTGTTTTTTACTTGCAAAGTAAAATAATACAATATAATTAGTCATTCATTCGTCTTCAATATATTTTAAAAAACGTCTTAAAATAAATCATTTTTTAAAGACAGGATTAATAAGACAAATTTAAAAATAAATAATAAAATATTATAAATCTTAGTAAATAAAATAAATTAATTTATAAAAATATTTTTTAAAATATTTAATTATATAAATTTGAGCTATTTTATAGAGTTTCTTAACTAATTCAATATTAAAAGCTTTTTTATATTAATTAGAATTCTTTAAATTGTTAATTATTAGGCTTTGAAACAAAATTTCTTTTAAATAAATCTTAGAAAAGTATTAACTGCAATAAATTATCAAAAATTCAAACATAATATAGTTCTATTAATACGTTAAATCTTATAAATGAGCATTGATTATAATAATTAGAGAACTCTTGGGTATCTCTATAAGTTTAGTATATTAATTGAAAAAGCTGTAATAAATATCGGTGTGCCTTGCAAACTATGTCTTTTAATAAAAAGAGGTATCATTTATTTATCTTTCTCTTCATTTCAAGATTCAAATTATTTTTTTAATTTGTTTATTGTAGGCTAGCAAAAAATCAAGCTATAAAACACACCTATAATTGACCCAGCTTAAAAATATTGTTACTTCGATGAAATGATAGATTTAAAAACAAATGTATATAGAGATTATGCGAATAATACTTTTTGGGATAAGAAAGTAATTTTATAAAATACATTTGCTTTTTAATATTTTAAAAATATCTATTGTTTATTAGATTAGTTTTACACTTGTAATTGAATCTTAAAATGGAAATAAATTAGCTGGAATTGCAACTTATAACTTGGCTACTTTTCTGAATACAAATTCTTAAAGTAATCATAATAATTTAAAAAAATCATATCTAAAATTATATTTAAAATAATTTTTAATAGCTACTTATGAAGTCTTGAAACTCAACAAATGTCCTGATTAATCTGCGAAATTGTATATAAAATTTGGTTAATGCTTAATTAAAGAATTAGGAGAAATAGATTAACAAAGGTTATTCATTTATTTTTTTAATAAAATAATATAAATTATTTTTAAAATTGATTAAATAAATAATAAATTAGTTCATAAAATAGTTTGATATCTGACCATATTGATGATTTTCATGATATTACATTTTAAAGTTCTTCAAATAGGAGTATTCTATCTGATTAATCTTAGTAAAACTTAGACTAAAATCATACAAGCCAGCCAAGTGTTAAATTTGAAACGAGTTTTGGATCTTAAAACTAAATAAATATGCAAAATTAACAACCGTTAACTACTTCAAAGGGTATCTCAAAAAGTTTTTCAAAAGAAAGGATACCTATGTATGTTGATAAATAATAATAATTATTATAAGAGAAGTAAATTATTTAAATATATTTCTTTAAAATAACTTTAGAATAAATTTATTTTAAAATTAAGGTGTGATTAAAATAATGAAAATTTGTCGGTAAGCAACTAAAAAATAACTCTTCCTTAAAATTCAAAATAAAATTTAGACTAAAATAAGCTCTCTATATTGAATGATGGATAAAAAGTTTTTATTCTAGAATAACATATAAAAACGATGATGTAAGAAAAAGATCAATAAAAATAAGAAATACTCTTATTGAAATAGAGCTTGCAGTTAATTAATTAAAACTATTAAATAGTAAGATTAATTTTTAAATATTTTAGTGAAACACTTTATTTTTCATTATATTTTAAAAATAGAAAACACAGGAGTGTAATGAATATTAGTAAAGATATGAAGATATAAAAAATCAAAGGGACGATATAAAGACTAAATTGGATGAAGTAAAAAAAGAAACAGAAAAAATTGAAAATTAAGTATTTGGAAAAATAGAATTAATGAGAGAGGATTTCTGCAAATAGTTGCAAGAGAAGTAATCAGAATTAGAAACTCTTTCGAACCAAGTATTTTTGAAACAATTTAATATGAATTATAGAATTGTTTTGATTTGATTTGTATTTGAATAAATAATTAGTTTATTTATTTAGGAAAAATTTAATATTTTTATATATATTTTAATAAAAGAATAAAAATTTGAACACTAAAGTAAAGGAACTAATAAATGATAATAAAACTTGTAGCGAACGAATCTTAAAAAATGAAAGCACAATTAAATAACTTTAGGAATAGTTAGATAGCGTAAACTATTAGTCTACTTAAATAAATCATAGCAATACTGCAAATATAAATTAATTAAATATGGAGATAGAAAAGTTATAAACTTTGCTAAAACAATCATAAGAAAATATATAAAGATTAGAGTATAACAAAAAGAGGAAAGAAGAAGAGATTTCAAATTTACTTGCTGAAATTCATGATTTAAATGATGTTAATTAGAAATTTAAGTATCAGGCAAGTACTTAAAAAGAAGAAATATGTAATTTATTTTATCTTGATAATTGATTAATACTTTTTGTTTTTTTAATTAAAAGAATAATTAAAAAATAAAATCGAAGAACTTAATAATAATTAGATAGATTAAGACTAATTTGTTTCATTTTTAGATAAACCATCTTAAATTATATAATAAAATAACTAATCTATGAATATGAAAAGCTTTATCTCCAATACTTAAAATGAATTTCACAGCTGCATCGTTTAAGACTTTGAAGAATACCTTGAAAAAAGCGAATTCTATTAAAATGTAAATTAAAAAAGCTAATAATAAGACATAAAATCAAAAAGTATTTTATCTGAAGTAAAAGAAGAAAATTCTTTTGAGAAATAAATGAAAAAACACTAAACAGAAAAAGAATAAGATACAAATTGTATTCTTAAAATAATCTAAAAAGAATAACTATCTTAAAATGATTTAGAATCCAAAAATATCCTTTAAACTTAGCATGTAAAGTCAAATAGAAGCTTAGATCTAAGAAATTAAATAGCAGGAAAGCAATAAAGTTTAGATAAAGAAAATTTAGGCGAAACTGTAATTTTTTTTAATTTAGATTTTTTCTTTATCTTTAAAGCTATTATTAAATCAACTCAAATAATTTATATCATAAATTTTTTGATATTTGATCTAAATTAATACTAATTAATTTTATTTGAAAATATTTTACTATTTTAATCCTATTAAAAATTAGGTTAAGTGGGAGAAAATTGATTAGGATAATGCTTATTTAAAGTAATAAATGCAAGCTTTACATTAAAAGTTTGAAAAGATAGAGAATTAAATAACTGAATCTAAAAAAGGTTTACATGATGCTTTAGCTTTGGCTTTGAAGGCTGGAGATTAAGAGCTGATAATTAAATTATAAAATGCTATTAAATTATGAGAATTCAAATATATCAATATAATTGGATTAATTTAAATTAAATAAATAAATAAAAAATTTGTATATTCTATATATATTTATTAATTTATATAAATTAATAGATTAAAATAATTTTTAATGTGCTCATTTTATTGATAATTATAATTGCTGATAAATTTCTTCACACTCATTTATTGGTTTTTAGATATAGAAAATGTTTGTTTAAATAAATTTTTTATAGTTAGATTTATCACTGATTTAAAAAAAATAAATATGAAAGACTGTTATATTAAATATATTTATATAGAGTATTTATATAAATTAATGATATAATTAAATTGAAATTGATTATATTATATTATTTTTAATGTAGTCATTTGTTTATTATAATAGTTGATTATTTGGTTATTACTCATTTATTGGTTTAGCTATTGAAAATCTTTATTTAAATAAAATATTTTTATAATTAGATTTTTCATTAAAGTCTCTCTCTTTTGAGGAGAAGACATACATAAGCTATGGCTGTGTAGATAAAGTATAAAGCTATCATTATTCCAACGCAGGTCCATTTATTAATATCAAGACTAAGGTATTCAATAGGATTATAAGTGTAATTAGTATCAGCAAATTCATTTTAGACCATTGCATCAAAAGCATACATTGTTGGAGTCATGTATTATGCCCATCCAATCCAATCAGGAAGATCTTTTCTATTCTTAAATACACCTCCAAATAGAATTTATGGTGCTATGAAAGTTAAAGAAAAGGCCATTCCAACTTTTGCCTACTTAAAAAGAGAGCCTGCAAGTATACCAAAAGCATTACCTATGTTGGACTATAATACTAAAATTAACATAAAGAAGAAGAACTAATAAGCAGTTTGAGAAAATCCAACCATCCAGTAAATAATGCAGGAGTTGAAGCAAGCAAATAATGAGCAAGATATAATTTCTAGGAGGACCTTAGATAGGAAATATGACCAAGCAGTATAAAGATTTGAACCTTCTTCTTTAAGGAAAACTGGACGTTCTTGTACAAAACTTATAACTTAAGGATTCATGCTTTGAGCAAACATACCAAGATTAAAAATATATAGAATTTTAGCTTTTTAATATGTATCTTAATATGTGTCAGCATCGCTGGTTTGCCAGAACAGAATTCCTGTAAATAAACCCATTGTACAAATTTATATGAAACGTGTATTAACCATGATTCTATTTCTGCTTAATTATTTTAATTATCTTTGTATAAGCTTTTAAAGCATATAAAAAGCACCTACTTTATTTTAATTTTGATTATCGTCTATAATTATTCTACTTTAAGTAATGACAGGTTATGAATGTGTAGTATAAATAACTTGCATTTCATGCTCAATTTCTGGAATGATATTTTTACTGCACTCAGAAATCATCAACTGAATTTTACTTTTATCCGAAGTACTCATTTGAGCCATGAGATAATCAGCAGGGTTGTTGTAAACAGGACAAGCGAATCCAATTTTTGAGAAATAATTAATAATCTATTCGCGTGGACCTTGATAAATGAATTGACCTTCTGCCAATAGAGTAATCTTATCAAATAAATTCCAAATATCAGAGGAAGGTTAGTGAATAGTAAACACTATAGTTTTGTTAAATTAAATCGATAGATCCTTTAAGTTTTTTATGATAAGATAAGAAGTGAAAGAATCTAGACCGCTTGTGGGTTCATCTAAAAAGAGAACTTAAGGTTCTCCGAGCAATTCAAGACCAATAGAAACTCTTTTTCTTTCTCCGCCTATTTAAAAAGTAAAATATTTAGCTATTTATTTACTAAATTAAAATTTATTTACCTGAAATTCCTTTTGATAATATATCACCAATTCTTGAGTTTTAGCAACGCCCTAAATTCAATTGCTTTATAATTTAATTAACTTTAGTCTTCTTTTCTTCTTCTGAGCAAGTGAGTCTTAAATCAGCAGCGAATTAAAAGTATTCTTTAACTGTAAGAGTAGGTAAAAGATAGTCATCTTACATAACATAACCTGCAAATTTATTGAAATATTCATATGTGTATTATGCTCCATTTACTTTAACGCTTCCAGTTAGTTAGATTTCTTTTGTGTTTCTATATTTAGAAATAATATTAGAAAAATATAATTATTTTGAGTATTTATTTACTGTATTCTCTTAGCTAAAATGTTTAAAAATGAAGTTTTTCCAGCACCAGAGCTTCCTAGGATAGCATTTAACCCTTTTCCAAAGTATCCGCTTAAGTTATTTAATATAACTCTTTTATATGGGTTGGAGGTGGGTAATTCTGATTTATTTGTATGTTTGTATTTTTAGGGTGTATATGTTAGCTCTAACTTTTCAAAAGTTAGAACTGCTTCTTTGGCATCATGGTGTTCTTCAATAATATGAACTACTTCTGTATTAAGAATATTCATGAGTAATTTAGTTTTAGTGCTATTTATTTTTTTAGATTAAATTAGTATTTTAAATTAAATGATTATAAAAAAGTTATTAAATTAATTTAAGTGTTTGAATGGTAATCTAGCTTAATTCTGATAAATTATACTGACTTAATCAAATTACAAAATTTATTACAGAAAATCATAATATTTTTCACCTAAATTTTATATTAATTACAAACAATGTAAAACATTATTTATTGCGAGTCTAATCTATACTGATGAATTTACACAATAATCAAATGATTAAATGCTATTACAAGTGTAAAAGAAAAAATATTTTAGTACCAACAATTTAAACACTAAACAAATAAAATACTACTTTAAAACGTAAATTAAAAATTTGTATCTTCGTTATCAATTTTTCTTCTACTTTAATTTTCAACCTTGAATTTAGCATTTGCAGGAAATAAAATTTATCATACATAACTCTATTCAAGTAACAAGATGTTATGAAAGAAATAATTGCTTGATGAAAACACAAAATAATTTTTTTTTATAAATAGATAAAAAATAAAATGTAATATCTTACTTAAAAATAAATTATTTTAATTAATTGTTACATTTTTCTTCGAAATTTAAAAATATTTATTAGGTTTTAGAGCCATTAATTAGAAATTAATAACTATTTTTAATACAAATATAGTTCTACAAATAAATAGCTATTACTCACATTAATACACTTAATATATCAAAATTACTTTTTTTTGTCTATTAAAATTTCAAACATTTGCAAATCAAAATTTTTATATTTCTTACCAAATGCTAAAAGAAAGAATTATAAAATAAAATGGATTTTAGTGATAATGTTTAATTTGATAAAATATTTAAATCTTGATAAATAATAAAAATATTTTTTCTTATGAAAGCTGACAATTCAAGTAAATACGCGTTATAGACAATCTATCATAAAATGACTTAATTTAGGTAAAAAAAGGTATAAAAGAAAAAAATATCTTCTATTTCATTTGTAATTAAAGAAAAAAAGTAAATTGGTTAATAACTTATTTACATGAGCTTTTTTTTTAATTAGATAAATTTGAATAAAAGCCAATAGACAAAAAGTTTTGTCTAAATTATTAATAGCCACATTGAAATAGATTCTATTAATTTAATATTTAGAAAAATTCAAGCTTAGATATAAATACTTTTTAGCCATATTTAAAAAAAAAGTTCCATGAAAATAAAAGTTTATCTAATAAGCAAAAATTTAAGCATTTTATTTATATTTTGTATGCGTTATGTATATTATGATTGCTTAAATTTAGTTTTTCATCAAATTAATAAATTTAAATTTTTATATAATTTGATTTCTTATTCATTTTGTTAATGAATCAAAAATTTGAAAAATAATTTTAAAATTAAAAAAACCAAAATTTCAAAATGAAATGATTATTAAAAAATAAAAAATTGTTGATTTTTATTAAGTTTTTTAATAGATTCTAATTTAAAAAAAAAACAATTTCAATTTTTTTAAATATATTAAAAGTGTATTGCATTGATTTGAAAAAAAAAACATGATTAATAAAAAATGATTAAATTAATGTTTAGTAATCTTTAATATTTTTATATTATTAATAATTAATTATAAGTTCAATAAATTAGTTAAATTTACACTTTAAATACAATAGAATTATAAAAATAAATGATTACATTTTGATAAAAATTTTTAACTTTTAAAAAAATACTTTTTATAATTGTAATATATTTTTTATCAGACAGACATAGCTTATTAGAGCCATATCTATATAAATTTTAAAACAAACAATTAAGATATCTATCAAATAACAAAGCAAGAGTATTTCTATAATATTTTCTTATGATACTTCAACTTAGATTAAAAATGTAAATATTTCTACTTCTTTATGATGAAAATAATAATTTTTACAAATTTTTTATGGAATATTTGAATTCAATTAATAATATAATTTTTGTAAATAATTATGATAGTAAGTGATTTTGTTGATTATTTTTATAGGCTTATTCTGAAAGATTATATTGATATTTATAAATATCATAGGAATTTATTTAAATTGAAAATAATAGATTTAAAATATTTTTTTCATTTATTTTCTTTTATTTCACATTTTAGCTTAATCAATTTGATAGCATAGGCTAATAAAGAAGCATAATATTTAATCTAATTTTCCATAGAATGATCTATACCTATATTTGGAGTTGTTCCTAGTAGTAGTTAATCTTTTTCTTTAGCTATTCTTGTCCTTTTTTTAAGAGGAACTTATAAAACTCCTACACACTCTACTGTATTGTCTTTCTCTATATTAATAAATAGAGGTGTTGTGTATGCTGGTAGAAGAGTATTCAAATCGACAAAAGGATCATAAATGGTAGAACTTTGCATTGAGTTAATTAAAATTGGTTTCATTGAAGTGATTGCTTCTCCAATTACACCTTTTTTATAGCTGTAGGCTTAATTAGTTACAAGAGAAAAAAAAGAAGAGAAATTTGCTTATAAATCCGTAGGTTATGAAATTTACTTTGTTTATTTTATCTAAGCAGCTTCTTTTACAAAATAAAATTTACAAATTTCAACCCCAAATAACTCTTTAACCTAAGAATGAACTTTTTTTTCTAAAGAAATGAGATTTTCAGATTCTAAGCACTATAAGAAATAATCATTCAGCATATCATTATATTTTAATTAAATTTTTGATTCTCTATTTATTTTTATTTTTTTTATCATTTAACTCAAATAGTTAGCACATACGACACCATATAACTCTTCATCATATCCAAACCCTTCCACTTTGCTATTGTCAGATATTTCTAAAATTCCAATAACATCATTATCAATAATAATTGGCAAACAGAAAGATGATAAGTAACTCAATTACGTTACTTGCTAACCTTATTAGGAATTAGCTAAACTTTAAACTTAATTATGCTAGATAACTAGATCATCATCATTATCTTTCAATTAAATGTAAATATATCTATTTGAAATTTAGTTTTTCATATTTATTGGCAGCTTTCCCCTAATAATATCCTAGAAAATGCCTATAAAAAAATTTTAAAAAATAAGTTTTAGAATATGTATTTATTTTATTTTTTTTACCTTTAGCAGGAAGACAATTTTATTTTTTTAGTTCTTGATCATAAGAATACATAACACCTGAAATAGATTCTAAAATCCATAACCTGACAATCTCAGATTTAAATAAGTTAGGAAATTGAGCAGCCACACTCTACTAAATTTTATTTAGATCATCAAAATGATCAAATTCATGAATCAATTTCACTAACTGGGCTAACCTATTTGTAAAGTCTCTATATGAAACAAATTAATTAGCCATTAATGATACTAATTTATTTCTTTTCTCCATATTTTTGTTTCTGCTGATGTGAATAGCAAAGTTATTTGATCCATGCTCAATAATATCCATCTATTAAAAATATTTAAATAATAATATAAAAAATATAATTTAAATTAATTTAATTCTGTTTTATTATTTAAAAAAATATTTATCTAAAGATTAGAAAAAATTCTAATTGGAAATCTATTTAAAACAAAAAAATGATAAAAATTACAAGAATTTGAGAATATTCAAATTTTAAGCAATTTATTCTAAAATCCGTATCTGATGGAATAATCATACGTTTGAGTAGATTTAAGGAGTTTTACTCTTAGAATGCCTACTTTTAACTATTTTAATTACTATTTTCTTCTTGCTAAAGCTATTCCAGATCTTTTGCAGATATTTTTTTTTTCATGCTTTCTACTTTTTGGGTGAGTGTTGCTATTTTTTTATTTAGTTTCAATTCGTTTTCATTCAATCTTAGGATATCTATTTCTAAAGCCACATTATCTTTTTTTAAGCTCTCATTATCTTTAACTAAATCTGATAGTAGGATACGAAGATTATGAAGTGAATTTTGAGAATTACTACTTGTTTATTAGATCTATACTTAATTATTTGCATGATTTGGTTATTACTAATTATTAGCACCTTTTATTGTGGGCGAATTGATATTGCTTGCAGCTGCTCTTTCATTTGCATACTCAACAAAATTAGTATCTAAAATTAGTTCTAATCTTTATTCTAGCTATTTTATTGCTTTTTTATCAACCTTCATTTACTTTTCCTATTATAAAATTTTTCTATTAAGCTTATTAATTTCTATTTCATTGTCTTTTTTCATTTAAAGTAGCTATCTATTTTCTATTTATACATGATGCAACTAGGCTTATAAACTTTCTATTTACATTTTAAAGAATGATATTTACTCTTACTTTTCTTATTATTTAGAGTTTATTAATGAGAGCTTTAGTTCATTCTTAGCAGATTCGCTTAATAGGTCAGTAAGTTAGTGGACTATTTCCATTGGCTTTTTAAAATCAGCTTCTTTTTTTCCAGTACTTCTCAATTCTTCTTCAAGTAAGACAAGAGTCTATAATATTTAGTTCTTGATTTACTCATAATCTTTATTTATTTAAAAAATAAAGAAATTAAAATAAACATCTAATTTATCTAGTTTCTATAAAGTAAATTAAAATATAAGTATTGTGTAAGTTGTATTTATTTACTTTGTTGCATTTTTATGTTTTGATTTTTTATTAATTCATAGCTTTGTTTTTATGAATAAAAAGAATCAGAATGATTATTTGTCATTAGCTAGCTATTAATTTAATTTTATTGCCATTTAGGCGTTGAGACATCACTGTACAAAGGAGAGTTGAGCATGCTATTTAATTTTTAATATTAATTCTTTGAGTTGAAATCACTTTAAGAACTTATTAAAGATTTTTTGATTTCTGATTTACTTTTATAATCGAAATAGAAATTCCTTTTGTCTTAACTTGTTTAGGGCGTGTTTTTAACAGACTTAAAGTAGTAATTGTTTTAAGGAAACTATTAAAACCTATTTAAATTTTGTGGAATAAATAGCTTTTTAATCTTAGTTTTGCTTGTTTAATCAACTGAATTATTTTTTTAACCATTAATATTTGGTTGATTAGGATTCTGTTTTTTATTTTAATCAACTTAATCATTTTGCTACTGGCTTATTGGAGGAGTATGTTTATTTTATAAATTTTAATCTGATCCTTATTAACCTTCCTCTTACCTAAATATATTAATTAAGTCCTTTTATGGTGAATTTACCACTTCATTTTGGCTTGAAAGATTTGATAATCCATTATTCAATTAGCAAGAGTTATTTTTTTAACGATTTTTAACACTCAAACTTTTGTTTTTTTCTCTTGATAATATCACGCTATTTCTGTTTATTATATCAGGATAGTTGGAGGAAGGTTGAAACTTGTATATCGAATTATTCATTCAGTTTATTTATTCTCTAAACAAAGGTATTTATAGCCAATAAATATATATTAAGTGTATTTTTTTCTATGCTTATAAAATAACTAACTCTAATATTTTACAAAAAATTTAATAAATTAAAAACGATTAATTAAGAATAAGTTGAACCTAAAACAAGTAGTTTGTAAATTACTTGAAAAATGTTTTTTACTTGTTTTAATTTAATTTTAAAACAATTTACTTTTAAATTTTAATTTCTAAAATTTTAAATTAGATTGAAAAAAAAAATTAATTTAATGTTTGATTGATTCTTTCTATAAAATAAGAAATATATAAATGAATAACTAGATAATAATTTAGTTATAAAAAATGATTGAAGAATTATTAAAGTATTTATAATAATTCTATTATATATATTAACGTTTTGTAACTGCCAAGATAGTGAAAAATTAATAAATGAAAGGTTACACATGTAAGTATAACTCACTTGAGCTTAATGATTTTGTATTACTAACATTATTTTGAAATGTATGGCTTTCTGAGATTTATTAACTTCAGTTACTAATTAAAAAAATCTTACTAACAGAATATGTGAATTTTTCTGAATATGCATTACAATTACATTTTTTGGTATATTTTTTGTATTTTTAAGAAATCATAACTGTATTTATAAAAAAGATAATATCAAAGACTTTAATTACCATGATTCAATCTTATTGTAAAGCCTAAAACTTTTTGCATTAATATTTGATGAATTAGATTTGAAATTCAAATGAGAAAATTTAAAATCTAAATGGAATAATAAAATAATTAAATGGAGTGATTTTAAATATAAATGTATTTAATTAAGATTCAAATGAAATAATATAAATCAAATATATATATATTACATTTTTTAAATGAATGATATCCTTTAAACAAAAAATGATTACTAATGTGGTTTGTAAAAAAAGATAAATGTGAGTTTTAGATTGTTTTAAATCTTGTTATAATTTTTTAAAATGTAAGTAAGTATAGGAAATAAAAAATAGATAAGCTTTTAATTAGATTACACAATATTTAATTTATTTTCATAATTTAAAATTTTTAATCAAAAGTTTTACTTCATTAAAATACATTAAAATACGCATTATATTTTCGATTTACCCTGCAAAAATATTTGTGCTCTTTTGATTTATTTGAAAAGGGAAAATTAAAAATTCTTTTATGTTATGTAAATTTGAATTTAAAAAATCATCCAATTAATTTTTTGTAAGTTAATAGTAATCCGCTCAACAATTAAATTATTGTTTAATAATCAAAGGTTGTTTAAATCAAGGAGAATAGTTTTTTGTATTTATAGTAAATTATAAAGGATGATTTTGTTTATTATAAATGTCTCCTTATTATTTCTTAAAAATCATTACAGTATGGATCAAAAATACTATCTAAATAGAAAAATACATTTTCAAAATAAAAAAAGAAAATAGCTATTTGCATTTCAAAGGCTTGGTTTGCTTAGGGGTAGAAAGAAAGAAAGAAAGAATTAAATTCAAAAATAGGGTTTAATTTTTGAGAATATGTATTTTTTGAATTTAAGAGTAAAACTATTCAGTAATTATTCAAAAATGAATAGATCCTATAGACTGTTCGAAAATAATTATTGAGGGGTAATAATAAAAGAATATTTAAATTTTTCCTTCTAAAACATAAAAGAAATTTCTCAAGAATTGCTTAAATACACTCCAAATAAGCGATTCAAATAGTAAAAGCAATCGAAATATAGGAAAATTATTCATAATTCATTTTTCACTTTGATTTCCTAAATTTTCAAAGGCTCTTTTTTTTAACAAAAAAACACAATGAAATTACAAATAAATAATAAATAAATTAGAAAAGCAAGCCAGTCATTTTATTTAAAATCACACAATTTATTTATTGATTCTTTTTTAAAAGGATATTTTCTTAAAAAAATATGTAAGAGCTTCATTTGTTTTCCTTATTTATATTTAGTATCTCAAGATAGATATAATCAGCCTGAGTTCTATAAAATATTTAAAATTAAGAGTAATAAGATTCTCTATATGAATTTGGTCGATATATTTATGATTTTTAATACAAAAAATACAAATTTTAAATGTGTAATTTTTATTTTTTTGATAAGACTATTTTAAAAATAGAAATTAAATGCATTTATCTTTAGTAATACATGAAAACAAACATATTTAAAAAGCAGTCTATCTATGTTCTAATTAGTTATTCATTTTTACAAGATTAATTTCTTTTATATAGATTTCATTTACTAATGAGTTTTAATAAGAAATAGACAAATCCAAGTTTGAATTAAGCTAAGCTAGTAGTATCAAATTTTAAGTAACTCAAAAAGATATGTCCTATAAACGACTTTAAAATAGTTTGATTCATTAGACTTAAATGTTTCATGAAGATATAGCTATTCTAATATAAGTAAGGAGAACGTATACTGAAGATTTTACTGCTTTCTCTATATTTAAGTGTTTATTTAAATAAAGCTTGCAATTTAATTAAAGAAAATATATTAATATAATAATGTGCATTTAATATTATAAATTTTGTTATTTAGACTAATGTAAACAAGAAAACAAAAACCAATACTAACTATAATTTTTACAGTTCATAAATTATTTATTTATTCATTTGAAATAGATATTTTTATTATCGCGCTTTTATCCTTTTTTGCTATTCATAATTTATAATTAAAAACATGTAATATATCATATATCAATCCTATTAAATCCTTATAATAGCTAGCTCTAATAATTTTTTTTAATGTGCTGCTGAAAGTTTTTTTGTAGATTTTCATTTTAAGCTTTCTAGCAAATTTACTATTTTTAGAGCAGATTCTAAAGTTTTTTTCATATTCGCCTAAGCATTTTCCAATGTTTTTGGTGGATATTATATACCCAGCTATTTAAAAGGTTCATTTCCTTATTACTTAAACTCTTTTTCAAGTCTTTCTTACTCTTCTTTCAGATACTCTTCATCATCTTCTTCTTCTACTAAATAACTTATTGTTTATTTTTTTTTTGTATCTTTTTTCTCTACCTCTTCTTTATATATGAATTTTAAAGATTCTTTAGGCACCTAAACTAGCTAAAATTATTTTTTATTTTAGTCGTAGTTAACTAAAGCACTAGCTGGGCCAACTGAAAAAGACTTTGGTTGGAGATGATGATACAAATTATCGCTTTAAAAGCTAGAAAGTCCCATTTAGAGCTATCCTTCTGAATAATATTTATTCATTTAGTTTATTTCGCTTTCAATGGACTCTAAAATTTGCATTTTTTAACGAAATTTCTTCTCATTTTCTAAGGAGCTCTCTTGAATTTACTTGTCTGCAGACATGCTAAGCTAGGTTAGTTAAATTTTACTGTAATCTGTAGTTTTCAAAACTATTTAATTAGTAGAGTTTTAGGAAGAAAAAAAAAAGTTAAATAGAAGGATTAATATTACTAGTGAATATCTTTTTAGTTTTAGATTTTGATATTATAAATAATACACAATTAGATATGTGAAAATACTTAAAAAATTTAACTCAGAAAAAAAAAGAAGAAAGAATAAAGCTAAATTGCTATAAAAGACAAAATCATTTTCTCATTTAAAAAAAATGAGTAACCTTCTAAATAAATAAATAAATGATTTGTTTTTATTAGTTACATATGAATAAATTTGAAATTTAATGTAAACTATACAATTAATGTGCTTAATAAGTATTTATTTAGTACCAATTAATGTCAAGTGACAAATTATTTGAGTAGTTAATGTAAAATATGATTATTTTATTCAAAATTTAATGAATTTGGCATTATTATATTATTATGGTATTTTTAGTCTTATATTATTTACTTATCTTAAAGGGATGTTTAAATTTTTTTAATGAATTCTAATTTATTTGATTGCTTACTTCCCAAAAGATATTTTTTTTTATACTTATTTACTTTTCTATTAATCGCTTAACATAAGACTGACAGAATACTTAACAAAATTTATAAATAAAAATTCAAGCTTAACCAATTTTAGCAAATCCAAAAATTTCTAACCAAAGATAAGCAAGAAGAGAAGCAATTTAAAACCAATAAAATGCATTTATTAAGTAATTAACAAAGCTTTAAAAAAGAATTAATCACATTGTATAAATGGAAATGATAAATTGCAAATTCAAAAATTATAAATTCCATAAGTCACAAATTTTCTATGAATTAAATGTTAAGTATTTTGGAGCTTATGGTAAAAATTAAAATTGGGATTACATCTTTACCTATAAGTATTATTGTAATTTCATGCGTATAGGTAATATAATTACTTGATTTGATTTAAGTATTATTTTTTTGTAATGGATTAAGATTGTTTGATTAGCCTAAAAATTCTGATAAATATGTAATCAAATGTGATTTGTATTTTCAAGTTTTAGGAGATCACATACCTTTAAAAATGTATCATAATTACAAATTAAATAATTCAAAAAAAATTCATATCTTTTTAAAATAATCCTCTCTGCCTTTATTAAAAAGCTGCAAATTAGTTTGTTAGATATTTAGATATATAGATATTTGCAATCGTAGAGACTTTGTAAAGGTACCCCATACCAAATTAAAATAAAGGAAAGTAAATAGTATTTTAAGTATTTGTGATAATTTAACAAATGTAAATATTAAATTATTTATTTATTCACCCTAAATAAAATTATTGACAAGTAAATTTTACTCTTGATTCAGAATAGATATTCTATCTAAGTCAAGAAAAAATGCTATAAACGTTATATTAAAAGGAAACCATATTTTTACTCAGTATATGTTAATTTAGCACTGAGCATTTAGAGAAAATAGTTAACTTCTTTAGATTGGTAAGTGAATTTTAATGAATTTGCACTAAATTATGAGATATATTTTCCGAAATAGAATTATATAATCAAATAAATAAATTGCTATCAAAAAAACAGTAGGATAAATTTAATATACAAAAAATGAGGAATTATGAGACTAAAAATATTTTTGCAGCAAGCTTTTATCATAAATAAATGAAAACTGAGTGAATGAGAAAATGTGACTGTGCTTGATAAATAAATGTTCAAGTGCTTATGTAATTTATTTAAGCAATAGATTATTTCATAAGACTTTAATATTATAAGCAAAAGGATAGCAGAGTGTATTACCACTGATTACACAATTAAGAAGTTTATTATTTATTCCTTTTATTGATGGTATGTAAGTTCTGTTCAATAGGTAATATTCTTTTATATGCAAGTATTTTTTTTTCTTTAATCTTCTATTTGAAATCTTTTTATCTTAAAGAATTTGATGCAAAATACTTTACTTTTTTACTCCAGTTAATTCGAAATATAATATTTGCTTTACTTTCGATCTTGCTTTAATGAAATACAAAGCTATAATTTCTTAAAAACTGCTTACGACTTAGAACTTATTTTCTTTGTATTATTTTTCATGTAAAGTAGAACACAGATAAAAAAACATATTTTTTGAATTTTATGAAATATTTAAATAAACTGTTTCTTATATTATTCTCTTCAAAAAGCATACAATATGCACAAAAATATAGAATAAACAAAAAATATTAAAAAGAAAGCAATAAAAACATAAAAGACATGAATATTGTTTGCTCCAATACACTTGCTAGTCCAAGGACAGTGATGATCAAATCCTCTAATGCACACCCTACAGTCCATACAATGAAAGGTCGTGTTATCCAAGACAATCTCGCATAAGGGACATGTCCTAAACATATTTATGTTATAAAAATTAAATCAAAGTAAATCTATATTATTTGAGGGGGAATTCTACGAAATAAATATTTGTGGATATCAATAAGAGTTACTCTTATAAATACATGAAATTTCTAAAAATTTAGATAAAATTTCTTCGGACCATTGTATGTATACTCATAACTTCTTATCTATTTAAAAATGAACTAAATGTAAAGGCATTATTTCGATTCAGTAAAATACTTTGATTTTTTTTATATATTCGAGTTGCTTGCAGATAAAAAAAAGTATTTATCTGAAAAAGCTAGCATGTTTAATTTTGTTTTATTTTTAGTTAATAGAGTAAGAGGAGTCCATAAATTTAGTTTACATTTATAATAATAATTTATTCTAATCCTTTTATAATGTAGTAAAGCAACTCCAATTAAATGAAGTAATTTAAAAAAGCAAATTATATTAAATCTTGGGGTAAGAAGAATTTAAAAATTAATTGATATAAAAAGAAAGTAATATATAAAAATTTTATATTTGCAATTAGATTATTAACCTATTGATTGATTTTATGGATAAAAATTATATATTCAAATGTATAGCACTAACGCATAAATTGTAAAATAAATTCAATCAACCACTTAAAGTAGTACGTAAGCTATATTAATTTATAACAAAAAAGAAATAATCGCGAATTTTAACTATCTCCCTTTAAGTTCTAAATATTAATATCGTTTCTAAATATTTATATAACTTAATTTTTTGTGTTTTGTTTGCTTAAATATTATATGTTAAATTATTTTATTTCAATCAACAGCTAAATTAAGTTAAAATTTAAAATTAATAAGAGTTATTTTGCATATTCAATAACGCCTTTTAATTTTGACTGCAAAAATAAAATAATAAATACAATTTTAGACATTTTAAGGTAATTTATCTTATGATAAGTTAGCTATTTATTTATTTTATTAATAAAATAAATAAAATTTTGCTTTGTTATCGAGTTAAATTAAAATTTGTAATTTATTTTTAACTGTTTATATTTAATTCACCAATAGATAAATTTGTCTTTTGAAATAAGTATTTAGTAATAGTTGCTACATTTGTAATAGATATTCAAAAATTGTAATATCAAAAGATAGTACTGAGGTATTTTATTAAATTGAGGTTATTAATCAACTATTAATTTATTACTTACTATCCTTACAAGCTAAACTAAAGACTATAGAAAAAATAAAACTATGATGTTTAGCTTGATACTATTAGAAAGTTATATTTGTCATGCTTTTGAAAAACTTAGTATTTATGTGTAATTATCACTAATTTACTGAAATTAAAGTAACCAATTTTTATATTTCGAGTAATAAGAATATAAATAATTAATTTGTTGATAAGCAGATTCTAAAAGGATTATTTTTAACCCTAATTAAAAGCAATTATTAATCTTGTAAAATAAGAGTAAAATATTTGGATTAAATTTAAATTATGTTTTCATATAGGCTAAATGTATTCGCAATAATTAGAATAGTAAAATCTAAGGTTATAGTTTTTAAAATATATTTATTAGTTTCTGAGAAATTTAGCCTTAAATTCTGAATAATTATGATAGAATTACAGAGAAACAGAGGCATAATAATTTGATTAGCTCTTATTAGAGAAGCATTATAAAATTTCTTTTGTATTATTAAATGAATCTATTTATTGTTAAGGTTTAAGTGCGAGAATAGCTTAAAGCTTCTTACTCCTTTAAAACAAATATTTTTGTGGGGTTTAGAGTAAATAAATGTACTTATATACCTAAAATATTATATTTTCTGATTGACCTTATACGTTACAAAGCCTGATCATATTTATTTTTCTATAAAAATTAAATCGTCATAGTTCAATTAAAAAACTCATTAAAAGTTGCAAATTAAAAAATGAGTAATTCAAAAAAATTTATTTTTTTATTAAATTAAAAAAGATTGGCTGGCTGGCACTATAAAATAATATTAAATTTAATCAGTTTTTCACTAGAATTAAAGTTTTTCAGCCAAAATTTCAATTTTTTTAGCTACTATTTTTATTTTTACTATATACTAATGAAAGCTAATCCAGCCTTTTCAAAAAACTAAACAAAGGATTAGCATAGATACTTTCTAATTATAACTAATACATTAGCATGCATATCATCAATTAAAAAGGAATTGATAAAGATAGATATCTTTAATCTATCATCAAAAAGATTTTAAAATTTTTTGTGTCTTTGTTTAAAAATAAATGTATAGTGTAAGGATATATAAATGATTGGATTTAAGATATCTTCTAGTATTATTAATTATCTGCAAGCATTCATTAAGTATTTTTTACACTAAAATAAAGATTACTAAATTTGTAAATTAATTTTTTAGTCTAGTAAATAAGAATGCTTTTATAATTTTATTAGCAAAATAAGATAATAATGATTGAATAATTCAATTATTCATCTATTTTATTGATTCAACTCAATTGAAAATAGTAGTAAGAAAATTTGTAAATATTGTAAATTTCAGTAATCAAATAAAAACGTTAGTTCATTTCATTTATCTCATAAAAAAAATTATATTTTTGTAATTTTCATATTTTATTTGCGTATATCTTTTATGTGGGGAAGAGTGTAATAACCTAACTGCGTATTTTAAAAACTTGAATTCAATGAAAAAGAACAATCACTTATTTTAGGTTGCATTTAAATAAGTATATTCATTCTTTTATCGTTATTTTTATCAGGAAAGTATGTGCAGTATAAAAATTAAGGTAAAATTTATTTCCTATTAACATAAATGAATGTTATTACGTTTATTTTTAGAAGAAGATTGAAGAGCTGGTTATTTATTTATTTGTTTATTGAATTCTATAACTAGCTGGTTATCTTTAGTTGATTAAATGGTTTTTGGGTTTTTTTAAACAAAAAATTTAAAATGTTATAGAATTCATATTGATTTAATGTGCTACTAGCATTTTATGAGTATTTCTCTGCTTATTTTAAAACTTTCGTTCATGGATATTAATTGATATTTTAATAAGAGAGGAAGATTAGTATTGTTAAGCTTATAATATAAAAAATTAAATTTTTGTAATATCTTATTAAAATATATGAAGACAAGGTTAAAAACCTATAGTCTGGATATCTCTTTTTTAATTACTCTTTCTTTTTTATTTTTTAATAATTTAATAACTTAGTCATCATCTTTTGTAATTTTTTTCTGAAGATTTCTATTCATGATTTTATTTGCACAAAATCTTAAAAATTTAATGTACAGAAAATTAATTCGAAAATGTGCATTTATTTTTTATTTTAGATTCAAGTAAATTAATTATCTCATTTTGCATATACTTAATCTATAAATTTAAGGCTTAAGTATATACTATAGATCAATCCATTTATTAAAAGAATAACTGATTTAGAAAAGTCACGCATATCCATTTATTTATTAATTTAGAATTGTAAAATATATAATCAAACTACGATTTTTGTAAATTTCCATTTATTACCCTAAAACTTAGCCATTTTCACTGTCAGACTCTTTTTCTGTAGCTATTCCTGGATTCAATAGTGCCGTAATGGTGAAGAAAAACAAAAGAAGTCCCACGATTATGTATAGTATATAGTACCAAAGTTTATTTTCAAATGTGCTTGCAATATTTTCTGCAATTATATAGGCAGTAATTAAAATGCTTATCCACAAGCATAATGTCAAATACCCTATTAAATTATGTTAAAATTTAAAAATATTTTATGAAAATCATGAAGATGTATGAAAAAAAGTGAAATTGTTAGAATAATTTCTTTTAACTCGCTTCAAGAAAAACTGGTTTCTGAGATAAAATATTTGAAAAAAGATTTTTGATTGAATTCAGGTTATTAGCGCTACAAAAATATTACATAAGATATTAAATGAAATAAATTCTAAAAATAATATTTGTAATTGCTTAAATCAAGAATAAACTTAAATTATAAAGAAAAGTTAGAAGAATCTCCAATATACTATACAAAATAAAGTAAATTGAGCTAAAAAGTATCAAATTATATTTTTTAAATTATTTTTAATTGGTAAGGGCTTATAACATAAAACATTGTGATGCGTCCTTTGATTGAAATTGTGTTACAAAATAATTTAAAATTATAAATCTAAGATAAATCAATAGATATATAATTTTTTCTTTTGTTTAAGTATGTATCTGAAGTTATTAAAAAATTAGATTTTTTGCTATATGTTACTGTTTACAATTATCTGATTTAGTAATATTGATTACAGTGGGGATTCTAACAACTAATAATTCCTGTCGCTTAATAGATATTTTCTTGATAACGTATTTTCCCCCTATATTATTGCTTTTTAGATAAATTCTTATGAATACTGCTGATATATAGTACCTTTTGTATTTCTCCGGTAACTAAATATTTCATCATATAAATTATATTACTTGTCAAAAGAAAGCTTAGTTAGATAGATAGATAGAAAAGAATAGAGTTTTATTCATTTTATAAACTTACAATTTACTTATTATTTATTTTATGGCCATCTTTATAAAATCAGTAGCAGCCGCCATCTCATTTTTGTTTTATTTAAAAAGAAAGAAATACGTGAATTTAACTGACTGTAAGAAAAAGATTTTTTATATGCACATGACTTAAGTAAGTTTAATTCCTGGGTTAACTAAAAGATTTGGGTTTCATATTGCTGCAAATTGAAGATATTTAAAATAAAATATATTTCTTTCCAGTAAACAAAAATTTAATAATGAAATTGCCAAATAAAAAAATATTTTAAGTTTATATTACTTACAATAAGAGCTATTAATAGAAAAAATTCTATTTTTTTTCTCGATCATTGTAAAATAAAATTAAGTCATTTAAGATAGTAAGTTATTATCTTTGTTTTCTTTAATAAAGTAGAGGTCTTGCCGAAACCACAAAAATGATTTATCGAATATAGTACAAATTAAAAGTCATTATACTCAATAACTAATTCTCATTTTACTCAATAATTTCTTAAATTATATTTTTCTATATGAATTGCAGTCATTTTGCCATATTTGCTTATTGAATTGTAAAATTAATTTATCTATTTAACATGCTAAATTGCTTATTGATTTATTTGTAAGTTTTGATTTATTTAATCTATTTATTATTTAATCAACTAACCAAACTACTAACTAACTAATATCATCCATCTAAAGCACCACTTGAATATACTAATAATTATAATTAAATAAGCTATAATCGAAAATAGATAGATTACGAGCAAAAAATAACTCTTTCATAATTATCACTATTTTTATTTTAAATTAGTATTAAGTAAAATATACATATTATTTTTTATTGTTAGCCGCTAATACCATTTTTATTTTGCAAAAAATTAACGTTGTTTAAAATGAAATTAAGTTAAAATATATTTGATAAATCTTACAGTGAGGCCCAATAGTAAGAATCGGTTTATTTTTATACCACAAAATAGGCTTGTGACAGCCTAGATAAATAGGCAATTTAGTTTATTCATATTTCAAAAGTTATGTATCTACGCGACTAGAATCTAGGGCAAAAAGTGTTGCTGAAGTACTTCTTGCACTGCCTTTATTTTTCAGTGAACCTAATTTTTCATAGTGCTTTTTTTTATGAGACTAAGTGTCTTGATTAGGAGCAGCTGTTGAATCTAATGAATAATCATCTTCATAACATTAATTATTTTCTAAATCTAATTTTCTGTTTGCAAGCGAATTTTTCTTGCTGGCATCATCTTTGGCATATCTTTAAGCATCAAATTGCGAATTTGAGTCTCTAAAATCACTTCTCTTTTCGTTGCTATGATTGCTTAAATCTTGATTGATATTTACTTAATCTACAAGCTCTTATTCCATTCGTGAGACTAATTTGATAATGTTTAAATGTTTTTATATATTATGGCAAATTGTTTTGAAAATTCAGTTTGAGTAAAAAATTCTTCGAAAAAGGATTTTAAAATAAATCTACTTATACTATTTATATAAGGTGCTGTATCAAAAATTATTTTAATAGAGTATTAGGTATATGCTGTTAAAGATATTCTGAATTTTAAAAGAGAGAGAGTAAGATTAAATGCGATGAAAATACTTATTATATCCTAATAAATAATAAATTAAAAAAGGAAGGAATTCTTTTCGTCTATATTATCAAAAATTCCTTATGCTATTCTTATATATTATTGCTTAGTATTATGAAAATTAAAAAATCTTTCTATCACTTAAAAAATCTTCTCATTTACAATTTGTAGGAATGAAATAAGCTTTGTCTTTTTTAGCAATTTAGCACTGAATTTGTAAATTTTAGGTCCCATTTATTTATGAAAAAGGTTATATTTGCTTTATTAAAAAATGCGAAATACCCTATTTATTATTCTACTGTTCAATATTTAAATAATCATATAAAAGAAATAAAATTTAATGAGATATCTTTGTGTTTGTTTTAGAATTTGGATGTTTTTTTTTTTCAAATCAAAATACTTACAAAATATTTCGAACACTATCTAATCAGAAAATATAATAGATTAGATGAGAGATGAGGAATCGTACTTAAAAAGGCTTTTTCGTCTATCCTACAAAATAATTAGCCTTATTATAAAAACTTAGTTTAAATGTAAAAAAAGAATGATTAATTGTATATAACTGCGCTTTTTACATACATATAATTTGGGATTACAAATATATATATTTAGCAGAATTACCTTCTCACTTGTGTTATCAAAACAAAGATAATAAATATAATATGAGTGAGTTAAATTGTATTTTTTAAATATCAGAAAATACCACAGAAATGACTGGGAAAATTCTAATAACAAGAAAATTCTAGATATTTCATTTATTAGTAGCATATAGAAAAATAATTTAAATTAAAATTATTAATTTTATTCTATCTTTTTTTAAACTTAATATAGACTTTGTAGGAAGGGGCTTTTTTAAAACTTAAAGTTTTGTTTGTTTTATTTTTAGGCTTCAAATTGAGAAAAGCATTCAAAAATTATACAAAAATTTTAAATAATAATAGTTCTTTTCTTTCCCAAAAAAATCTAATTACTGAAATATTCTATTGCTTGCTTGACTAAGTGCGTGTTTGATTATTTTTTATTTATTTAGCTTACACCTATTTAAAAATTAATATACTTCATTCGTAGATGATTTATTTATTGACATGCCTATTTAACATCTTTTATAATAGTATGTATTAATCACTCGTTTTCTTAGCTGAAAAGAAATAGCTTTTAGATTATTAAATTACAATTATATCGTCAAAACTTTCTTTTAAATACATTTTTAAAGTCCTTAAGGATATAGCATTTAGCTAAAAATTACTCCCCTTTTACCTTTACGTCTATTAAGAAAAGTATGTTTTTGGATTTACTATTTTTACTTCATATTTTAAAGAGTTATTTGTAATTTACTTTCAGTAGCTAATATATTTGAAGTCTTACATGATTTTTATTTTTTGAGCAGTGGTGTCTATCTCAAATAATAAAATAAATAGATAAAGAGATAAACCGTTCTTTTTAGATATTAATTTGAAATATTTTGAGGAAAATGGCAGATTACATGATCTACTGAAATTATTAACAAAATTTTCCACGTAAATGAGAAGAGGCATAAAATATTTTTACTAAAAATGTAGGCTTATTAATAAGAAAGGTGTTCTGTAGAAAAAAACTTTGAGCTTCAAGCTATTCAAGCAAATTTACAATAAACTATAACTCTCTACTATTCTGACAGGATCTTATAAGTATCTGTAGTATTTATATTACCTTTATGTTCTAGAGAAATCAAATTAATTACATGCCAAATTTAAAATAATAATAAAGCTTCTAATTTGATCTTGATTATTGTAGAATAATATTCAGTCTAAGGAGCTGTAAAAGCGAAACATTTTTTAGGTTTCAAGCTAAGAATTATGACATAGCTTCTTACACTAGTTGCGCAGAGCAAATATTTTCTATTTCAAAAATACTTTCAGTAAATCAAAATATTGCTGAATCTTCAGCTTTTTATTGTTCAGTAAATATTTACAAAAATATTAGCTTTGTCAAAAAACTCACTTAATTAATTTTAAATTAATTATTCAAAAGCTTGAAAAGTTGATGAATTAATTACTTTTAATTGATCAGTATTTTTATTATTTCAATAAATCAACAATCATATTTTTTTTAATTATCAAGGTTTGCAAATACCCTTAGTAATTGCACAATCCACAGGCACAGTGACTCAAGGGAGCTAGCGATACTTACGCACAATGATATTGTTAAGAGATAATAGAGCGATAGATGGGAAAAAGGACGGGGCGGGGAGAAAATTTTTTAAAACTTCACTTATGAAAATCTTAGAATTATTATTCAGAAAATAAATAAAGTGGTAGGGTAAATTTTATTTCGTATGGTGGAAAATAAATAAATTACTCAATGCGATTGATTTTTACAGGTTTAATATACAAAATCTGCTTAAAACATCCCCATTGTATTTCACATAATAATTAGAATTAATAATCTTATTCCTTAAATTTAGCCCTATAAATTTATTCAGTAGAGTATCATAATCAAATCAGTAAATATGTAAATTTAGCATTTTGCATATATTTTGGTAGTATCTTCGCTTCACGTCTGTCTCTGAGTTTTATTTGCAAATTTCTTCCCTTTTCGCTTCGTCTGTCTTAAATGTCTCTCGTGATTTGATTTTATTATCTTAGTTAAAATTTTCAAATCAAGCTAAAGTCATGAATGATTTAATGTATATTTTTCTATGCTTTGAAATGAGCCCATGAGTCAAATCAATCTTTTTTTAGAGCTTATTTATTCATACCTGGCTGGCAAACAAATAAGAAAGCGAGTAATCAATAAAAAAAAATAGCAAGGAGTAAATCAAATTTTTTTAAAAAAGGAGGAACGGGTAAAGATTTTTTTTAACAATCAAATAATTAATTAAGATATACTTTTTAAACCGCTTGGGTAAAATTAATAAAGTGTTAACTTAATTAATTAATATATTAATTCATTCATTTATAGATTTTCTGCCTTTACATATGTAAATTATTAATTAATAATGGGAAAGTAAATAACAATCCTAAAAAATCACTTGATATCAAACCTTCGCATTGGCATTCGAAAATAATAATTAATTAATTCATAAAAAATTATTAATATTTTTACTACCCAAATAAAAAAAAAAATAATAATAACATAAGAAATTTTAATCAATCATATCTTCAAACAATAATTTATTTAAAAATGGGTAAATAACAACTTATTATTCTTTCTTCCTCCGAAGAAAAACCCAAACAATACGGATTACAGAAAATCATTTAAAAGAAGGATGGTTTCGCACTTCCTTTAAATAAAAAGAGATTCTAAAAATTAGAAATCGTTGCAAGAGAGTTAGAAGAAATATACAAATCTATGATTTGCTCTAACTAAAGCTTTACTTGCCTCTCTACTAAGAGTTCTATCGAAAGTTTCGATAAGTGCCCAGAAGATAAATGCCTTAGCATTTAAAATGATGAGGAAGATGATGAAGAAATCTACTCATCTTTCGATCTTGAGTGAATTAAAAAAATTATAACGTTTAAACTGAACTTTTAAAATAGATGCTTGTCTGTCAGACTTTCTAGATACAGTTTTTGTAGTTAGTTAGTTATCAAATCTGACTGACTATTGTCTATACTTAGTTCATTTTAATAACTAAATGCTCAGTTTGTCTAATTCCTACTTTACTTTCATATGGGAATAGCATATAATTAATTAATTATCAAATAGATAATTTATAAATCAAAAAAATTCATCCTAATTTAAAAATAATAATATAAAAAATAATCGAAAATTTACCTTGACAAATAATAAGTAATCAAAATAATTTACAAAAACTTAATAATCAAAAAATAATCAAACAAACAAACAAACAAACAATCAAATAATAAATAATAAATACAAAACCTTTCTAATCAATATATACATATTAAACAAACAAACATTATAATTATTAATAACAAGCATGATAGAATTGCCTATCATTTTTTGATAAACAATTTCATTCAATTAATTGTATAAGATATATCCAAACTAACATAAACAATAAATTATTCGCTCATTAGTTAGAAGCTTCTCAAATTCAATCAATACTCATATTTATTTTTATTTTTGAGACCAGCCTAAATTAATTAATTAATTTATTAATTAATTAAACTAAATAAAATTGCATAATATAATGACCTACCAAAAGATAATTGCAAACGCAATTAAAAACTATTTATTCTCCCTTAAACATGTAGATCTGATCTTATGACACAAGAAATATTTTGCTACAAATACTTCAAACCCTACTTACTATTTGTTTTAAATGTGCAACTAATATTTCTCCAAAAAAATAACGAGTAAAAATAAATTTAGAAGATTCTCACTTATGAGCTAAAATGAATGCAAAGCATAAGCTTAAAACTAATCCTTACATAATTAAAAAATACACACAATCAAACTAAATAAATATTTCTTTATAACAAATTAATATATAATTATTTTATTTCAATAAACCATTGTATCTTAGCTGATTTCCCTTCATACCTACATACTATTTGTCTGATATACCATTTTTCTTTTCAAGTCTCACCTTAAATCATTTTCTCAATTCATTCATTTGTTCATTCATTCATTCACTCATTAACTATTTTATTTTGTTAGAATTTGTCAGCATATATGCTTGTGCCCCCTCAGTTTTATAAGTTTTAGAATTAACTTTTTTAAATATTTACATCACCTTGAGTTGGAAGTAACTCAAAAAATTAATATGTTAATTTAATATATCCTTATTGCTGAAAAAAAATAAAAGGAAGAAGTAATTTAAGAAAACAAAAGGGAAGAATAATTTAAGAAAATAAGCTATGATCTGCTTTTAAAATTCACTTATTTTTTTTTATGTGTTATTTGTAACTTAATACCATTCATCACACAAAATTATATTACGAGATTAATAATCCTAATAATATGCTTCAAAAATTTTTTTTTTTCATAATATAATCTTAAATTACAATCAAAACTAAGAAAAATTCATAAATCAAATTCATTTCCTCTCTTTAACAAGCTAATAGCAGATACTAATTTCATAGAAGGAGATTGCTATATTTATTTGCTTATTTCAAAGTAATATAAACTTATTAGAGACTTTACACTTTTAAAAAAATATTGCTTAGTGGAAAGTTAGATTTTTTATTGGAAATTTATCATTTGCTTATTCTGGGAGAATTTTATTTTTCATTTTTGATAACTTTGATAAGATTAGAAAGCGAAATCAATCAAATTATATACGATAAAATATAATTATTTTCAGCTTGTTATTTTCAAAAGTAACCTTAAAGGGCTTTATTAAAGAATGATGAATAAAGCAAAATAAAGACCTTTTAAAATTTAAAATAATCTTCAAAAAAAGTAAATGTAAAAAACCTGAATCAAGCAAATTTAAATTAAGAATTAATCGTCTTATCTATTTTTTTTTCTGTGAAAATAAAGATATTAACTTTACACTAATAAGAAGAGTAAACAAAAGAAAGAAGCAGTAACAATTAATATTTATCATTGAAAATAAAAAATAAATTAATAAATGACTTCAAAACAATCCACAAAAAATTATAGAACTAATTAACTTACATATGCTAGGTAATTATTTTTACTATCACAAATAAGCAATATTTTGTCACTTTTTATTCAAAAAGGTCTTCAATAAAATGTCTTAAACTCCAGAATTGTTGTTTCTCCTTTTTAAGGCCTGCTTTTGAATGATTATATTTATCTATTTTAAGTGAATCAAATTGCATTTGGAATTACTAAAAGCTATTTTTAAATATTTTTTATTATTCAAACTGCTATTATTTTTTATTGTTTTGTCTATAAAGTGATACAGCAAATTTTTTTTCTAACTTGTCGTAACTATAAACTGTGAAGCTTTGATATTATTATCTATCTCTCAAAGTTATAGGTTGGGAGAAAAATGGAAAGAAACGCAAAAAGATTGGTTGAGTGTGTGGTAAAATTTGAATAAGAAACAAATCAAAACTAGAAACATAGAATTAGAAATTAATAAAAAAAAAGGTATTTTGCCAAATTAAAAAGATGTATGTATAATAAGTTTTTTAATATCTTATAATGATATTTACTTGATTGAAATGAGCTTGCATGCAATTCCAGAAATAATTTAAAAATAATTAAGTAGACCTTATCTAAATGATATTCAAAAAAGAAGTAATTTAAGAAATTAGAAGTTTATGGTGACAATGCTAAACGATTTTTAGTAAAAATTGTTTTCTTTTGTAATCTTAATCACCTACAACCAGAATTTCTTCAATTTACCATCCCATCCCATAAAGGTTATTTTTTCAAGTGCATACTCCTTATTAATTAAAGTATCTTTAAATATCAAGTACTAATTTTCTTGATTTTAGATAAATAATTGCAATTATTCTAAAAGTCTGTGAAAAATTTGGTCTCTTAATATATTTTTTCTAAAATGAAAATTATCTAAAAAAAATGGGCATTTAATCTAGAACGTTACAACTAAACGCTTCTTTATATGCTAGAGAGTAGAATCCTGAATTATTTCATAAAATTCAAGAATTTTAACTTGTAATAATATAATACAAAGATTTTTTAATAAGCAAAGTCCGTCCTGACCTTAGTTGAGTTCAAAATATAGAATATTTTTTAGCAAATTTTAATTTTGGATTATCTATTAATGGGAGTAAATAAAAGGTCTATTAATTTGTCTCTATGTTTTTATAATAATCTAAAATCTACTTTAAATCTATTTAAGTGATTGTGGTAGAGACTTAATTCATCTTCCAAAGTTGATATAATCATGTTTGTATGATGAAAGCTGATCAATTTTACGACTTTACTTTGCGGATGGCTATTTATGTTTACTAATGCAGTTTGATTTGATTTGATTTATTTAGGAGTGTTTGAATATTAAGTACTTGAATTCAGTTAGTAAATATCTTTTTTTTTTTGTTAAGATAAAATAGAGATAGTTAGATTTTTCTCACAATCTCTTCAAATGTTTAGGTAAAAATCAATTAAGCTCATCCAATCAAAATTAAATATTGATAAAAGAAATTTTATTAAGCAATAATAATCGATAGCTATTTAATTATTGTAAAAATCCATTAATTAAAAACCAAAGTTAAAATTTAAGCTAACCCTTAATTATTATTCCACAATTTACAAATTTAATAATAAAAACTATGTTGTCTGAATACCAGCCTTTTAATATATCAAATAAATTTAACATTTTTTATAAATATTTCAGCCAGCCTACAAAAAATGATAATGTAAGGTTATTATGTGAGACTCTGAGAGAGAATCTTCAATAGAAGTTAAATTAGTGAAATTATTTATGGGTTTAAAACATAGAAATAAAAACTCTAAAAGTTTTTAATGTATGAGTAGTGATAATTATCACTCAAATAGTATAACCTTTCCTATCTTCAGAAAGTATTAGTTTACTTCTAAATATTAGAAACCTTAATAACTTATATTAAATTTTTAGTTTACTTACTTCACACCTTCAAAAAAAGACAAATAAAATTTCTTTATTGTACAAAACTAATAAATTTATAACTTATCGTTTTTTTGTTTGTTTACTTGCTTCTAAAGGACTTTATCTGTTTACTGCTTAATACCTTTAGTGACCCCCAACTAAAAATTAAAAACATAAAATAATAGTTATTTTATATCAAAATCAGTAAGCTACATCAGATAGATAGAATAACTAAAAAAATGTAAAAATATTATATTTTAAGAATAATTAATAGCATTTAAAATTAATTTTAGTACTAATGAGATATTTTTAAATGAAAACTATGCTAGTTTGCAACATTTATAAAGATTTGCATATATTACTTACCAATTTTTTCCAAACAATCTAGTACCAACATCAGAAAAACAGCTAGTAAAATAAAAATGCAAATTTTTGTTTTTGTGGATAAATCACTTGTGATATGTTAAAAGATTTTGAATTATATACAAGCAATGAATGGCATAGTAAATTTATTAAAAAATATAATAATAGCATGCAAAATTTAAAACTTTGTAACCTCTACACTTGTTTTTTTTGTTTTTTTTTGAAATTAACAATTATTTCGAAAAATAGAACTTTTTTCCTATGAAATTTCTGTAAAAAATATTGGATCAAAAAACTTTTACTAATAAATTTGATCTATAATCAATATTTTTTAATCAGTTATGACCTGGCATCAATAATTAATTTATTTACTACAAACAAAATACTAACCAATTTTTTTAAAACAATATACACCTATTTCTTTTATAAAATATTATTTTTTATTTTTTTTCAATTTTTACTTGTTATATTTTTGATTACTCTCTTAAATAATCTAGAAAAAAATTCGATGTTTCCTGTTTTTTTAGAGCAAGCAAGCAAGCATATCAATACTAATTCAAATTTACAAAAAAATTAAATCAACTATTATTTACTATCTTAGTTTGAGCTAAATTTGTTAGAGTAAATTAATTATTAGCAATTATAAGCAAGTTAACTGGTATAATATTAAAAATACTATTTTAGTTCAAACACATAAGATATCTTTTTTATTTACACATTTCTAAAATTTATGTAGATATTTATATTTTTTTATAGTTTTGAATTAAGCGATTTGTTATAAAACTGAAAATGGTGTTTGTGTTCTAGAGAAAATTGTAATTTAGCAAAGATATTTAGCAATTTAGTAAGAAACAAAGAAAGAAATTTTCTTTTATTAATTTTTGAAAAATGTTATCTATTTAAGCATAGAATTTATTTAAATACTTCTAAGTGTAAATTAATATGGAGAGAATGTAAGATATAATTTTAGCCACGCACTATAATATAATTTCTCTTGCTAATTTATGCAAAAAAAGTATTAAATTGATAAGAATAGAGTTAATTTTTAATTAATATTGAGAAATAGTAAAATGTAATTTTAGCCACGCCCAATAATTTATTTTCACTTCTTGATAAATAAAATGAAGATTTCAAAATAGTAGTATAGAAATAATATTGTTATTTTAAAATATATTTATATAAATACTAGAAATTTTAATACAATTATAAATATTATGATAATACTTCTTTTTAAAAATATTTTATTTAAGGTAACAAAAGAGAAAAGTAAGTTTTATTTTAAAATCTAAATAAATTTCTTGCATTTCTTCATCAACTCTTCTTAATCAATTCAAAAATATATAAACTTTCGCTTTTTAGCAATCATAGCAATTCGAATATAGCTAAAATAATTGAGCTAATTATATGTTTTTATAAAAAAAGTAGGTATAGTATTTGAAAATTTATCAGAATTCAAACAAACAACAAGCAAAACATGAATTGTAGAAAATAATAAAAATGTAATTGTAGAGTAAAATTAGGAAATATGTACTTATATTCAAGCATTATTTTTACTGGATAATTAGATAAATATAGCTTAATCGAATACTATGATCTTTGAGAGAGAAATAATTTAAGGTAAAAAATATTCAAACAGTAGCTTGCGTTAATTTGAAAAATAGAAAAATCATAAAAACCACAAACGTCAGTAAAATAAAAATAAAATAGATGATTATAATTATAATAAATTTCACTTAGACTCATCTCATGCGCTTGAATATTGTATTTTTTGTTTTAGATAGAGGCTATAATAAAAATATATGAATTTATAATATTTTTCATAAGATATTTGTTTTATTGCTATATTTACTTGGAAATTAAATCAAAGTGGGAGTTTTGTTTCATATTCAATATTTAAAGCGAAATATGTTTTAATAACTGTTCTAATTGATCTACTATTTGCGTAAATTAAGAGGTATATATAACAGGTAGAAAATTACAAGCTTTGTCTAGTCATTTTTAAATCTTATTTTACTACAAACATTCAAGTGGCTAATTACTTACGGAATTTAATTTAAATGCATGTTTTTATTGAAAAAATGAAAAATCTAGACATTTTGAGCTTTTTCTTTACGAGTATGTTTCAAGTTAAATAGAGATAGTTTAAAAATACCTTTTGCACTTGTGTATCTTGTTAAATTTAAATTTTATTCCTAGGTGCATCTAAATCAAAGATATTAATTTCAAAAAAATTAAAGATACGCGTTTCTTTATTATCAGAATTTCTTTTAAATTTTCAAAAAGATATACTTTTAATAATTTAATCAGTGAATTATTTAATATATTTCGACTCAAAAGCATAAAAAATGTCTAAAAAATATATTAGCTTTTGTTATTGATAACTCAATTAGTTTTTTCATTAAATACTTAATTAATTTTATATTTCTATTGATTTATAATGCTAATACTTATGTTTTGCAATTATAATTTTTATTTTCTCTCACAAGAATTAACTTTTGATGTTTATTTTGTTTCTAAACATCTATTCATTTCCGATAAATTTTAGCACTCTATCTTAAAGGTACTAGAAATCAAATTTAAGAGTTGAAAGAGATACTATTACTTCTCTCAAAGATACTTGCTAAAAATCAGTTTATTAAAAGGTATAATTTTATAGGGATAAAAATGTTTCTCATTGCTTTACTAAAATAATTTATAACAACAATTATTCATTTACCATATTTTTTGATACTAAGCAGATTTCTCACTGAGGAGAAGGCGATACAAATTAAAACTCCGCTTTATGCTTTATGAGGAGGAATGGATATTTAAATTAAAATTACTAAATCGAGCACAAAAAAATGTTGATATAAAAATAGCTTTTAATTTGATTTCAATTTTTTATCTTTTTGCTAAAACTTATTTTATACCCAGAATACAAATCATAGCTTTCTGATATGAGACTATTAAACTGAAATTATGTTGAAATTCTTATTTTAGCTTTATAAGGAGAATTGCTTTATTTGTGGGGGTTATGATTTCAGGCAGATGCTTTAAAAATCAAAGGAAACCATTTAAATTAGGGGGGTTTATATAAGCAAATTTTACTTATTCAAGCCCTTAATTAAACACTTATTAGTCCCCCATTCAGTTTTAATTTTAATTTGCAAAGATTATTAATTTTTCTTTCTTTCTTTCTATTGTTTTCTTTAAGACAGACTTTCTTTTCTTTTTTAATTAAATTTCATTTGGAGGAGAAAAAGAGGAGGGGGTCCTGAAGATATTAATATACCTGAAAGCTAAGAAGTTGATTTCATTATAAATTAAAAAAAATACAAAAAATCAAAAAGCAATAATATTAAAAAACAACTAATCAAACAACTATTTAATATCAACAACAAGCATATTAAAATAATTCAAAATTAAACAAGTACTAAATTTACTAAATCTCAACATCTACAACAACAATGACTCGTGTTTCTGACTCTTGCAACTAACAAGCTGAACTCATGATCAAGAATAAGATCTTCATAGCCATCAAGAAATCAATTGCTAAAGAAGGAAAGGATAGCATGGTCTTTGAAAGAATTGAAGAAGAAGACTCCATTCACTCTTGCTCTTCTACTTTAAACGTAGAACAGTCAGCTATGAATGCTGAACCATAATAAAAGGAATAATAGCCTAAGTACAATTTCAAAAAACCTCTTGATAAGAGCAAAGTAAGAAAGATGAACGCTTTAGCTTTAGAATTAAACCAATTGTTCGCTGAATTAAAAGAATCTGCTCCCATTAAAAGAAGAAGAAAAATGACTATCTACAATCTTTGAAAAAACAATATAAATTTGATCTATCTTTAGCTTTAGCTAAGATACACTAAGCAAAATATTCATACATGCAACTACACAAAACTAACAAATATACTTCCTTCCTTCCTATATAATCAATAAGACTTAATATATAATACAAAGATACAATTCCAATTTAAATTAAAAACTTTTAAATCATTAAGAAAGCGGTAATCTTTTACATCTTTCTAATTCAAACATTTTCTTTTATAAAATTAAATTTTAATAACTAACAACCAAGCAACCTAATAAACAAATAACTAAAAACAAACTCAAACCTTTTTATCTTCTAAGAAGAATTGAGTGGAACAAAAAAAACGATAAACCAACTAAAAATGCTAAAAATGACGCTATTGATCATATTCAATTTTAATCAAATACTTTATAATACATACTAACACTCACTTTTAATATAATTTACTGTTTATACTTCCGCCTTATTGTTTATATTTTTATATTTTGTATAAATTCTTGACATAATAATACTTCAACTTAGAAATTAATACATTCTCTTCTAAATTTTATTGAAAATATAAAAATATACTAATGTTGTCACTTTAATCTCAAATTTTGTTAATAATGACATATTAGATGAATAATCTCTTTTTTGTTGTGCATAATGAATTTTTAGAAAGCATGAAATAATTTAGAGAAGCAATTAGCGAAAATATCAATGCAAATATTTGTTGAGGACTAAACTTAGGAAGTATTTATAAAATTTAAAGATAAATGTTAATGAAAAAAATAATTCAAGGAAAGAGAGCTATATATAAATAATTAAATACTATGTATGCTTCTAATTAAAAAAATGTGAGCATATTATTAGCTAGAGCAGCAAACTAAAAAAGAACAAAAAATAAAAAAGGAATTTAATTTTATCTATTATTTTATTTAACTTAAAAAATATCCTAATGTAAATTATTTATTAAGGGATAATAATAAGCACCTAAAATTTATAAATTAACCCTATGTATTTTAGCTTAATTAAATATAAATTTCAACTATCAAATTAAATTTATACTTCCCTAATAATACCGAGACTAAATCAAATGTTTCTACCTACCTGGTAGAACATTCTTCATTTTTCAATATAACAAAACAAATTTTTTGCCTTTGGTTTTCTATTCTAAATTTTTTCATAGTTGGAAATCTCTCTTGATTTACAAGAAATTTTCTTTCTTTTTTTCTTAATTTATAGTATCAATATGGAAAATGAAACACATGAATGGAAACAGGCAAATTAATATCAAAGACAAGTTGTGTGTGGTCGCAATTTAAGATTGTTGTTTTCCTTCGTTTTCACCTAAAAATAAAAAAAGTTATGGCAAAAATAAAGCTGTATTTGAAATTTAACAGATTTCTACTTGAGGTAATTAAAGATAGTGGTAGAGTAATGAAAAAAATTAAACAGTCAATTAAATACTTAGATGAGAGAAAATTTTTTTTATAGAGAAATCAATATATCTTATCCCCACATATGAAAGGCATCATCATATGACTTAAATAGCTAAAAATTGATAATATATTTAATCGTCCTAAAATAGATAGTTAATACTAAGTCAATTATTTTTATCACCAACGTCTGTACTATAAAGAATATCTAAACCTTAATTTTTTAACTTTAGTTCCACAAATATCCAACAAATTTAATTTCTAAAACTCTAATCCATCTTAAAATTATAAAAACTTAGAACAATATGTCAAATAAAATTTCTAAACTGATTCAGATACAATCCATCTTTGCAAACTGAATATTGTATTTTATCTTCTTGGCTGAGAGGTAAAAATATTTTAACTATGATTTCCATGAGAATTTTAAATATAAATAAAAATATTTTCATTTTTATCTGTTTCTACAGATGCTTCAAACAGTAAACACTTGAAAACAAGAGCACGTATAAAAATTTATAAAACTCACTCAAGCTATGCATATAAAACATATATGAGTCAAGCATTAGAATATTCTAAACAGATGAACCAAAATTATAATTAGTATAGTATTTAGACAAAAATATCATTATCAAAATTATTATAACTTTGAGGTGCAATTTGTATTTCTTTTATTCTTCTAAATTGATAGCATAAGAAGCAAATTAAAAACTAACAAAAATAATCTAAATCAATTATTCGACTTCTCAATATCAATAAATAAACAATATTTAATTAATATTTAAGGAGGAAAATAATCTTTTATTACACCCTTTTCTTTTACAATAATAAACTCTTTCTTTTGGAACTAATAAAAAAAAAGATAAAAAAGGCATTTTTTAAATTTGGCTTAATATCTATTATGAATGAAAAAATCTAAGATGAATTAGATAATTATAAAAAAGAAAAGAGCTTCTATGAATTATTGATATAGTCATTTTGATAGCCCCTACAATTATTACAAACTCACTACCTTAAAAAATATAGATTAGAGTATTCTTTCTTTTCTTAATAACAAATAAATTTAATAAAAAACTTAACTTTTTCCTACCCATATAAATTTGTACAATATTTAGTTATGCTTTTATTGCTTAAAATAGAAATTAATGGTAACTTAAGCTTGAGCTTAAATCTAATCTGCACCTATGTAATCAAAAGAAATAAATTAAGTAGTTAAATAAAGGTGGGCTTAACTCTATTTATACTTAACAATTTTGTATGAATTCAAATACTTAACAAATAAAGCTAAACATTTATTATAATTTTTCTACTGAGCATTTATTTTTTCTAAATTTTTTTTCATATTTTTATAATTTTATTCTTATAGTGAAAGATCAATTTAAAACATAGTAATTATATTTAAGCACAAAGCATAGAAAATCTATAAACAATTTAATTTTAATTATTTCTTTGTTGTGATATTAAATATAAATGCAATATCTGTCGTTATTGTTATATATTTTACATATTAGATCATTAAAATAAAAAATGAAATAGACTTATCAAGATTTATTTATAAAAGAGTGCAAAACTAAATAAATGTTAAATTAACTTTAAAAAGAGTGATAGTAAATGTATTTAATTTAAAAAATATGAGTTAACGCTCTCGAATAGAAATTATAACAGTAGTATTTAAATAATCGCCTCAAATTTGCTCTATTTCAAATATTTACTAGCTATGTATTTATTTAATACAGCCATAATATATAAAATAGTGATTGAATGATTTTCAAGTAATTAAGTTAATTTACATCAATTTCAGTTTTTTGAATCTCATTTGATGATCGTTAGTTTGATAAGAGCTACTTTACTTTTCACGCATACAGAGTATTACAAGAAGTAAATTATCACAAGAATTATCTATAAAAAGGAATAGCTTTTAGAATATAAAAAAGAATGGAATAATCTGGGATGTTAGTATATTCAAAATAAAAATATATTTATTCATTTTAAAAGTATTTTATTTGAAAATTAAGCTAAAAAGATTAAAGAATGACAAATTAAATAAATGAGCGAATAAATATTTAATTTTTTGAAATGATTTAAGCTTAGAATGAAAGGATGAATGAAGACTATGTACAAAGAATGTATAAATATATTATTTACATACATTAATTTAAGTAAATTAGGATTGAAATGAATGATAATTATTTTTAAACTAATATATGGTGTGAGCTGATTTTTTCTTATGCAATTACTCTATTTAAATGTCTCTCTTAATGTGTGTTATCTTTTTATTATATTCTAATTATCTTTTAAACTGTATGAATAGGACTTAGGATTTATTATTAATTTATTAATAAACAAATAAATTCTTGATGCTAATTATTCTAAGTTTTACACTCTAGCGTCATTAGCGAATTAATTGATTGATTGAGTTATTAAAAAATTAATTAATAATAGATTGCTTTAATAAAGCAATTAAATCAAATGAGAAAGAGTGGTCGAGAGAGTGATTAATTATTATTTTATTACCTAATCTGCGATAATAAGGCAATTTGAAGATATTTATAAATATATTGAAATAAAGATTATTCAAATTAGTTAAAGGGATTATTTGCAGATGGTTAATTAATTAATATAAAGTTATAAAATGAATTTTGATAATATAGAGTAGATTGAAACTAATTATTTTATTATTATATAGATAATATCAGGCATTTTTTATATTTAAAAAGTCGGAAATTGAAAAATCTTTGATACTGCTGCTAAGTAGGGTAGGTAAGTCGTTTGCGAGTGAGTGTTATTAATATTTTTATTACTCATTCTGTTACCTATTGCTGAAGACAATTATTGTCGTTTTATATGTTATTTGTTATACTTTATAAAGTCATCAAAGTTTTTGGGTATATGCTAATTATAGTATAATTTTATAATGGTAGTATGTAATTATTTTATATGCTCAGGATTATTATTATTTTTATTTGTACGATAGGTATAATTGGTATTCAAATAATATATTTTCTATTCTTTATAGAATCAATTTCATTCTAATGTAAATATTCCTTTGTAATTATTTCTTCTCTCAGATTTTTCACTCAAAAGAAGAAAACAGGAGCTAATAAAAATTTGCTATCAGGACCATCGAATTCAGTCTTATCAGCATAGTATTCGCTGTTCTCAGCGTGTAGCATTTAGGCATCGATAATCTTAACCTTGGCGCTTTAGCGTTTTTCTTCATCAGAGCTGGAAGCAGCTGAGCTATTAGCCAAATAGTTATTCTTTTTGTTGGATTTTTTGCTTAACTTGTTGGATTTAGTGTTGACGGTAATAAAGTCGTTCATTTTAGGATGCAATAAATATTTAAAGTGGGTAGGAAATAAGTGTAAATAATTTTATTATTTTTATTATTATTATTATAATAGAGAAGGTCTATTATATATATTGACCTTTTTTTTTTTTTTATTATATATTACTTTTTTTTTTAATTAAATTGATAATTAATTTTTTATCTATCATTCGAGCAGCTCTATTTAAATAAATCATCGTATTCTATTTCTTCATCTCTTAATAAAAGACAATTCTTTCATTAATTTATTAAATAGATTTTCTCTATTTATTTTTTAAAAAACCTAATTCGATTTCATTTCTTGATGTAGAGCAATAGAAAGAGACCCCTCAAAATTGAATTGTCTCTGACTATCATTTTTCTTTCTTATCCTCATCCATTCTTCTATTTTTGATAAAATTATAATTTTTAATTCTTTTCTTATGAAAAATAAAATTCTTTTCTTTCTATCCTTCCATACATATTTTTGTTATATTTATTCCTTTCTCAACCAATCTATTCAAAATAAAATTCATTTATTCAGGCCATACATAGACTTTTGATTAAAATTAAAGCAAATTTTTCATTATCCATAGTCCAATATTTATTTCTAATTTCATTAAAAGCTTTTATAGTCAGCAAAGTTAATCCATTTAAAGATAAATATATAAATTAGCTTTTTTTATTTATCTACTGTAATAAAATTTACATCCTTCATTTTTATCTCAAACCTTCTAATAAATTTGTCACCCTTAATTTTATCGCAAAATCTATTTTTGTCCCTCTAAAAAATTAATATGCCCTTTATTGTTTGAAAATGGCATTTTATTAGTATGACAGTAAATTCTTATTTTTTATTTGGAAAAATTTTAATTGGTGAATACTTTTTCCTATCAAATATTTGGAAAAATAGAAGTTCGTTTTTTGAATTACATTAATAATGAATAATAGTAATAGTTCTAGATTAATTTATAGTGATTGTTTTATTATCATCACCGCAAATGCCATAGTCTTTATGGCTTAAATCATCAACTTAAGTCTGATTGAAAAAGATTTTATATTTTTAAATGTTTTCTACTTTAATATTAAAAATATTTCATAAAATACTTTTATTTTTTGAAATTATTTAAAAATAATAATTAAATATTTATTTATTTATTTCAATTGATTGATTAATAGATTTCAAATTCAAAGTCTTTTTTTTGTATTCTGCTAAGCAATATTTATTTAATTTAAATAAGGATTCAATTTTAATAAAGCAAATCAATGAAGTAATAGATATAGACTATAAAATTTAATCGTACTTTAAAATAGATTAATAAAAAAGCTAAATTTATAGCTTTAAAATAATATAATTATATTTTGAGTAAGTTTTAGGTTGTTCTGATATAAATTAAAAAAAGAAACTTTTGTATATTATTTGAAATTTTCTAAACATTTTCATAACTCTAAAAATTTTCAACCGCTCTTGTTTAATTTTTATTTATTTATTAACATAGGATTGGTTACTTCTTTAAGAATTAAATCCCTTTACACCTATATTTGTTTTAACATAGAAGTATATTTACACAAAGATACAAGTCTTTTTCTTTGAAATTTTATATTTTAATTTGGTTAATAATCCAGCTTTTTTTCCACAAATTCACCATTTTACATGTATATATTTTGGTTCGAAATATCAATTAATTTTAAATACCCAATATATTACATATTAATTAATAAAATCAGGTGAGATACTTGAGTTAATTAAAAGCAACTTTTAAAAATGTGAAAAAACTTAAATGCAGTTATCTCTAAACATACCAACTTTTCGTAAATTTATAAAAATAAGAGTTCACCACATAGATTTATGGTTAACAAAAAGCAATCAGTAGGAATCAAATTGAATTAAAAACTAAATCTGTGAACATTATTAAGCTTTACTACTTTTTTTTAATAATTAATAGTAATTATTTGTTTTAAAAGAATAATATGAGGCTTAGAAATAATTAGTAATCCAAAAGATTACTGTATACTAAACACTGATTGCTTTGTTTAGTTACAAATCTTACTTTGCATTTCAATTATTTCTTCATAAAACCATAAAAATTAAATTAGCGCTCGATTTACTTACCTTTTATATTGGGGACTTTCATACAAACTCGTAACTAATTAATGTAATTTCATAAAATTAAGCAAATAATTCCGATTATAATCCGCCCATTAAATATCTATATAGTTTTCTTTAATACATACGAATCCTTTTAAGTGAGATCTAAGATTAATTTTAATAAATCTTTAAGTTTCTAAACAATCATTATCTACAAATTAAAACAACTATTTATACCAACCTGTTTGGCATACATAAAAATGAGAAAGGCTACAAAAGAAATTCTTTTAATCACTGGAAACAAAGATAAACTTAGCGAGTTCCAATCCATTCTATCTAACTCTAGTCTTAGTCTTACATCAATTAATATTGACTTGCCTGAGTATCAAGGGAGTCCACTTGACATAGCAAAGATGAAAGCTAAATTTGCATTTAACATAGTTAAAAAACCCTTAATAGTAGAAGACGCATCTCTTTGCTTTAATGCCTTAAATGGGCTGCCAGGGCCATACATCAAATGGTTCCTAAAGGAGCTAAAACCAGCTGGCGTTGTTAAAATGCTAGCAGGTTATGAGGACAAGAGTGCTTACGCTTAGTGCATTATTGCCTACATGAGCGAGGAACTCGAAGATCCTTTATGCTTCATAGGATAAACACCAGGTTTGATAACGCTGCCCAGTTCTCCCATTTAGGGTTGGAATTAAAATAGCTCATGGCCATTTTAACCCGAAGGATACTCTCAAACATATTAAGAATTACCTGCAGATGTGAAAAATAAAATTTCTCATCGCTCAAGAGCTATACACAAAATGATAGAGTACTTTGAAAACTTGCAATAAGCTGAAAATACATAACCACAAGCTTGATCCTAAAAAAAGCTTAAAATATTTTCATCAAAAAATCTTAAAATAATCAGTATAGGTAGCCATTCCCATTCTATTCACCAAAAATAATAAAAAACAAAGAAGCTATAGTTATTATATTTTTCAAAAAAATTCTGGTTCATTATCAATTAAAAATGACTAGTAAAAATTTAAATTAAAAAACTCAAAAAGTCCTTAAAAAATTAATTTTGTTGAACTTATGAAGATCTTAATATTGTAGAATGTTAAATTAATAAATAACAGCATTCAATATAAGAAACGCATAAAGGAGTTATTTTATTATGAAGGATCCAAATAATTATTTAAAAAAGGAGAATTTGTAATAAAATTTAACTATAATTGACAGAGTTAATTGTAAGGCAAACCAAAAAACTTAATACATTAAATGGATTGGCAAATAAATAAATAAATAAATAAATAAATATTATTTGTCAATTTAAAATTGTACATTTTTATATTACATTATTTATTTTGTATTTTTTAATGACATAACAAATTTTAAACAAAGCGAAAATGCATTTTTACAAACAATTTATATGTACTCTATAATAAAATGTAATTCAACCAAATTTGTATATTAAGAATCCTATTTAATTTATCCAAAACAGTATAATACATTTTGATTCGTAACTTACAAAAGACCCAAAATGTCTCCCTATATTTTAATAATTATTATAAACAATAAATTTAAGAAAATAAATTAGTCAGTCATCAAAATTGTAAATCGTATTAAATTGACAATAATTAATTGAATTAATTGCAATTAAATAATATTTGTAGTATATTAATATATTTATTGCAGCATCTGATTGATATAAATGCTTAAAAAATATATTTCCACATTGTTAAAAATTATCTTTAATGTTTGTTAATTGCAGTAATATACTCTTAAAGTGAGAAAGAGATCATTTTTTATATCAGCTATAATTACATTTAGAATAGTAAATAGCTTTAAATATTTTCTATTATGTAGAGAATATTATTAACTTCTATAAGCTAGAGTAAATTTAAAAAGAAAATTTATTTAATAACTTTAATTAGAATTAATCTAATTAATTAATTCAAAAATTGATAATAAAAATTTAAACTTATAATAATATGATTTTATAATCTTACCTTCCAAATATTACTTGATTTATTCAAAAAATTATTAGAATGAAATTTATGATAGAATCTAAATAGTAATAAATAGGGAAAGTTATTTAATTATTTGATTAGAGGCAGTAGCTTTAAATATTTTTCATTTATTTTAAAAAAATTCATTTAATCCATTCAATGTATAAATTAATTATTTATATATTTGATTGTTTAGTTTTCATCTAAGAAAATTAAATTTAATATTAACGAAATTAAATCCCAAAAATTCGAATTTTATGAAATTTAAATACTGGCTAATAATTTAATTTTTTTTCAAGTATTTATCCTACATCAGTCGAAGCATTCTTATTAATCCGTTTAAATCATAATTTAAAAATTAATTTTTGATAAAAATCTAGTTGCAATTAATAAAGTTTTATAGTGAGTTTATTTAATTTAATATCACTTTTCTAAATAATTATAGTTTGCAGTAATACTTAAATAGTTTTATAAATTTTAACTAATTTATTAAATTGAAAATATTTTATCATTTTTTAATGGAATAAGATATATCAAATTTAAGTATTTCATTCAGCTATTTAATAAATGCATTAATTTTAAAATTTATATTCTATTATGTTATCAGCTTTTGATAATTTAATAACTTAAATATTTTTATAAACTTTTATTTAGCATCTTAAATTAAAAAAATATTGTATCATTTTTTCATTAAATAAGATATAAAAATCTTAATAAAATCTAATTTCTAATCATAGATACAAATATATTAATAAAATCTAAATATAATAAGAGTCTTCCTAAAATTTATTAGCTACCAATATTAAGCTGTTGTGTTAGTTTTTAATAAATGTATTTTTTTAGAGATTTAGATTCTAAAGTATTATTTAAAAGTAAATAAATGATAATTTAATTACTTAAATTTTTTTAAAACTTTATTTAGCTTATAAATGAAAAAACCTTTTATAATTCAATATAAAAATGATAATAAAATTTAATTTTTAATTCATAAATATCTTCCAAAATTCATTTATTTACCAAATTTAAATTATTTTATTAATTAATTAAAAGCGATTGAATTATTTTCAAACATTTAGCTCTATTGTGTTTTTCAAAATAAAATTTGATTTATTTTCCTTGTTTACTTTTTTACTCATCTATGAATTAAAATATTTCATTATTAAAATCTGGATAAATTTTTTATTAAAAATTAATTATTTTTAATGTGATATTAGATATAATTTTCATATTTCCTTTTTATTTGCTTCATAAAATAAAATAATTGGATCTTGAAGGAAAGTATAACTTAATTTATATTCTCATTCTAACAAAACTTTATATTTCTACAAAAATGTCTTTGTTTCTATATTTAATAGAATTAACAAATTTAAGCTTCAAAAATTAACTGCTAATAAAAATCTCAAATATCTCTGCAAATGATCTCCAAAAAATATTTAAAATTGCTTTTTTATTTGTTTAATAACTTTTTTTGACTGTTATGCTTTTAATTTTTTTTAACTTCATTAATAACATTACCTACTATAACGTGCCAAGTTCCTCCAAACTTTTCATCGAATTAATCTTTTAGAAATTAGGCTGCGTCTTTATAATATTTCCAATCTTATTTAAAAACCATTTCTATTAATTATTATATTTTTAATTAATTTATTGATTTCAATATGTACAATTTATATAATTGATTATTATTATTATTACTATATGCATATTCTGCTCTCTCAAATGCAAATTCTTTCATTTCTGTATTCATATCTGCAAATGTAACAACTGGAGGTCTAATTTCTACAGATGTTATAACTACTTATTCTCTATTCATAGAACTTTTATTTATTCCGCTTTATAGATATGAGCCTTATGCCTTTGGGTCACTGCTTTCTGTCATTTTAATACCTTTTTGTTTATATTACTTTTTAAAGGGTCTTTCTTTATTCTAAATATTTTTTTTTTGGTTTTTTGATTCTTTAAGATTGATAGATAGATAGAAAGATAAACCTCTCGAATATATTTTTTGTATTAAAATTTGAAATTTTTTTATTAATCAAACATTTTTAAAAAATATATAATTTTAAATATTTTTCTATTGTTTCATTCAACTAAAAATTAAAATAATAAATATTAATTCATTAAAAAAAAATATTTTATTTATATTTAAATATTAATTCATAATCAAAAAATCTTTATTTATTTGTAATTTATTTTTTATTAATTGTATTTCTATCATAAAGTTGTTTTTTTAGCAAGCTTTTTTTTCAAATTTTCATTTTTAAAAAAAATAATTTATTTTTTTAATTTCTAATTTTATTTTACTCTAATACGATTTAAAATAAAAAAATCATTATTTGTTTTTTATTGTAAAATGATAAAACAAAAATAACTATCAAAACACATTCAACTTTTCTACATATTTAGTAAGAATTAAAGTTAAAACAATATCCTTATCAAAAAGTACATTCAAAATTTTATTATGAAAAAAAATAAGTATCAAAACACATTCGACTTTTTTACATATTTAGTAAGAATTAAAGTTAAAACAATATCCTTATCAAAAAGTACATTCAAAATTTTATTTAAATTATTTTTAAATTTTTAGGCCATCAAATTTACTAAATAAATATTTATTCTAAAAATGGTAACTTATCTACAAAAATTTGTTTGTATAGTATTTTTCTATAATAATTTTAGGATAGGCAAAAAAATAATTGCAGACAGATCATTCTTATTAAGAGAATTTAGTTAAATTAAAAATAGTGGTAGTAAAAAATAAAATAAATCTTCAAAAATTAAATGGCTGAATTTATAAAGACTATAACTAATTCAAAAATGAGAGGTGTTATATGTCATTCAAAGATATTAGGCTTTTGTAAATAGTAATCATGAAAAGTATTTATTAGGATTTAGTAGAATAATGTGAATTAAATTCAGTAAGGGTATATGAATAGTTAAATAACGGGTATAATTACCTCAAATTTTTTTTTAAAGGTGTAATTAAGTTAGTAATAATTAGTGATTACAAATAAATAGTACTAATTTAATTGATCGATAAAACATCGAAATTGATTTGATAAATTTGGATTATAAATATATCAGAAATTAAAGTAACTACTAAACACAAATTAATTTCTAAAATTGAGCTATGATTTTATAGAACCAAGTTTTTGATAGAAAATAATTACATTTTTTTACAATTTTTAGTGGAATGTGAAACTATTACTAAAAAATTGCTTAAATTTTTTCTTACATAAAGTAGTATAATTGCTTATATTACCAAATACATCTTATCATTATGAAGCTGTTAGAAGAATTTTTCTGATTGAAATCAGGCAAAAACTTCAAATATATTTTTTTTGTTCTAATTAAATATTAAGATAGAAAACTCACATTTTTTCTAGTTAAAAAAATAAATAAAATTATATCTTTCAAAATTATTAGAGTAAAAATGTAATAAAATTAGTCTTTTCATGAAGCAAATATCATTCATTCATTATAAATAAAATTAATTGTAAAATTAATTATTTTTATCTTAAATATTTTATTTGTAATAACTGATGCTGAACCTAATAATTTCGTTTTTCAAACATTTTTATATAGTATTTTAATTATTTATTTATTGCTTTTTTTTAGCTTTAGTTAATTATATTTACCCTATTAATCTTTAATTAATATAATTAAAGTAGTTTTATACAAATATTTTTTTACATTCTTGCTTTAATATATAAAGTCAAATAATAAATACTATGAAAATTCATTGAAGTTAACTTAATTTGTTCTAGCTAACTTTAAAAAAAGTTAAAGGTTTAATTTTTAACAAGTAATATTACTACGATGAATATTACTAAAAAATTACTGCTTTACTTCGTTAATTAGAGTATTAAAACGCAATAAGAAAGTCGTTCCCTTTATGATATTTAACTTAGATGATAACTGACTATTTGTTCCAAACAATATTTATGATAAAGCTGAATTTAATTTATCTAAATCATTTTTAAAGATTTACTCATAAAAGATTTTGCAATTTAAATTAATATTTTTAAAAGTAATTAAGATAACATGTAAGCAAATTTATATAATCAATAACTGTATAATTATAATTAGTATAAGTAATTGAGTTTTTCAAACAAGTATATGATAATAAATTTAAAGAATCAATGTTAGATTATACATTAAAATGTTAATAATATAAATACTATATAAATATATATATTTCTTTTAATATAATTTTAATTATTTTGAGTGATTATTATTATTTAGTTAATTTATAGGTTGTTTATTGGTTTTTTTTATTTAAAAGCCACTAATAAATAAATAAATTTATTCATTCATTCACAAAATGTAGTTAATCAATAAATTTTATAATTGACTTCTAAAGCATAAGACTTGTGTAGCTCGTCTATTTTATTAATTAATTTTGTCTTTTATTATTTTTAGTTTGTATTTGTCTATTTTTTTATTGGTTATACATTTATTTTTTCATCCATTTATTTTATACACTTTTTAAATTATGTTTTTTATTTTTTCTATTTAATTTTTATTATGAGTTTAGTATTAAAGAAAATCTTCATAATTTCCCTATTTAATTACAATAAATTAAATTAATTTCATTAATATAGTATAAATTTATTATTTACTTGAAGAGGCTCTTTCATTTCAGAGATAATAAATGGTAAAGCATTGGTCACAGGTAGTACAAAGAACTTTGAGATATATTAAATGCAAGTGACAATATTTTAAATATTTATTCCAAATGAAACACTTGCAAATTCATTGTAAATATCGTTGAAATCCTAGGCTTTTTTTGTAAAAATGAATCCTTATGCTACCTCATTTTATATGTCATCTAAAGTGTATACTCCATGAGCTTTTCCTAAAACAAGATACATAATACTGCAGTGTAATTTGGTAGCACTTATTTAGAGAGTTTGTACATCTAAAATAGAGAAGTCCATAATTTACATGTATTCTCTAAACAACTCATAGGACTAGTTGGTAGCTTATCTAAACTGCACAAAGCAGCTATTGTTTTCATAAAATTATAGGACTAATTTACTATTTTATGCTTTTTCAGAAGTTTGAATAAAAATATCCCATTAAGACATGAACCAGTTACCCCAGAACGAAACCGTAGGAGGATTTACCATAAAATTAAGTTTCTAATAAATGTTTGTTTTATAAATGTTTAAATCTTATTAAATTAATTGTAAAATTTTACCTATAATATATTTTTTTCAGTTTCAAAGACTAGTTGTGCTGTATATCCATTATCAGTTGATAAAATAAATTATTCCACTCTTTTTGGATAAATTTCCTTTATTATATAATTATTAAATTGTTAATTGTATTTAATAAACCAACAAATAATTAATTTTATTTGAGTTTAACTTAAGTAAAATGTTTTAAATTATTGATTACCTCTAATTTAGAAGCAATATGTAGAGAAGTAACACCAATCAACTAAAATTCTTTTATTTGTAAATTATGTTTACAAGAAAACATTCTGTCCACTAAGTTTACAGCAATGTAATAAGTTTCTCTTTTTAAGCCAAACTCTTCACTAACTTCCATCATCCAATCCAATAGAATTGCTCTCATGTTTGGACTGAATTACCTCTAATGCTTCATATAAAACGGATTTGGTTAATAATCTGATTCTCTAGAGAGTAGGTAGGCAAGATGTTCTCCTCCGAAAATAGGGAACTAGTTTTATATTTTATCAAAGTTTGCTAGTTATTCTTTCAATAAAGCTAATTTTTATTCTTTAGATAAGTTCTCTTCTGTTTTTTTCTATTAAATTTAATGATTGGTTCCTAAAGCGCTGATAGATTTATTAGCTTTTTTCTAGTTTTCCTCTTAAACAGGTTTTTCATCTTTTTCCAGTTATTTACTCTCTACTTTCTTTTAATTTTCTTTTTAGTTTTCCTTAGGATCTATATTATGTGACTTGCTTGCAATCTCTGAAAGATTCTTATTCTAGCTATTATGATACTTTTGATCGTATTAAGGCACATCTACAAAAGGAGCAACCATTGGGTTTGAAGAGTAATTTGTTTCATTTTCTTATTTTCTTTTTAAATTAAAAAATTTTAATTTATTTTTTGATATATAAATTTGAATAAATAAAATAAATTTTCTTTTAATTAAAAAATAAATATTACTAATTAGAGGGAGCATTGCTGTAAGACTAAGGAATTATTTTAAAATTGCTGTATGACTCAATATTAAAGCATGGTTAATCATAGTAATTATTAGAGTAGAAGGCTTGGTTTGGATCGTCATTATTTATTTGGTCAAGGATATTAGAAATATTGCTATTCATCATTTCATAAATTTATTCCTCATCACACATGAGTTGAGGATCTTCTATACTTTCTTCTTCCTCTTTTTCTTTCAACTGCTAAGAAATATTAGCTTTTTCTTATGAATCTGATTATTTATTTGAGTTTATACTTTCCTATGAGTTATTTTATGAACTTTATTTTAATCTTTGTGATTTTTCTTCATCATCTAACTCTTCTTCTACAGCCTTTAAGCTAAATTAAGAGCTATTTTAAGAATCTTAATCATAATATGGGTTAGATTTTAACTCATACTCACCCTCCTCTATTGAATAAAGACCTTCAAAACCATTCAAATTTTTTTATTTCAAATTTAAATTAGATTAACTATAAAACTCTTGCTGGTTGATAGAATATGGTTCATCTATAAAATGGTTTTACTAACTCTTAATTTTATTTAAACTACTATCTGATTCTATAGCTTCAGAAATATCATCTTGTAATTTCTCTCTATTTTTATAAATAATTGAATTTTTATTCGTGTTGCTAAAGTTATCATCAGTAGTGCTGCCTTTTAAAGCTAATTTTTAAATTTCCGAGAAATCTTCTTGGTTTTGAATTTTTATAAAGGGATCATCTTTTGTATTTAGAAGACGAAGAGATTCTATTGATGAACACAAATTTTTGTACTCTTCGCTTTCTAATTTTAACTGAGATTAAATTTATTTTTGTTTTTCTGATGATGGAGTGTTATTAGAAGGCTTTGTTCCGTTATTTTAACTAAAATATTTTGCAAGATCTTCAAAATCCATATGATATGAATCTTTTATTTCGTTTATATTATTAAGGATTGAGCAGTTTTCTAATTTTGTATTAGTATTTGTTGTTTTTTAGCAAAGCTGATAAGGCTAATTCATGTTTGTTTCTTTAATTGTAAAATCTTTTGCTTGTTTTGTGCTTTATAATTAACCCTAGTAATTGAATTCCTAATATTAAATATCATTTACCTATTTTCCTTAATGATTATTGAAATTATTAAATTATGAATCATTTGTAATGCACTTAGAACTCTCTTCTCTGTAGGTTGATATTTGAGTTAAACTAGAAGATTCTGAATTTAAAAAATGCTTATTATCAGGGAAAGTTTCTGTAACGTTTGCTTTATTTTACTTTTGATATATTTGGTCTTTAGTTTTAGCAACTTACTATTTTTGCTGCATTCCATAACTATTAAAATTATTAAGATTATCTTGCTCTTCAAACTAGGCCTATGAATCATAGAGGTACCACTTTACAGGTTGCTAACACTACTATTATTATTGCTAGATTGATTTGACATTCTACATTTATTATTTTTTATCATTTTGAGATGGTTTTTCATTAAAATTTTTGTCAATATTTATTTAACTAATTTGCTCATTTTTAATTTTATTGATTTGATTTTAGCTTAGATTTTTACTGCTGTCATATTATTAGATGATTTCACCTGTAGAAAATATTTTTTCTTGGTTAATTGAACTATTATTTGAAATATTATTATTAAGTATCAATTACTTTCCTGATAGCTAAGGTTGTTAAGCCTTTTCTTTTAAGCTGTTACTAGAATATTCTTACTCTTTATTTATAGTTAAGCTCTATTGAATTAAATCATATTCTCCTGATTTAGTATTATTTATGCAAGGTTTAGCTGTTTGCTTTAATTGATTTATATTTTGCTAATCTATAATTGAAGGGCTACTCTTTTTATTGCTGATTATACTATTTGTCCTTGTAATTTATGGTATGTCATTAGGTTTTTAATTAACCAAATCTTTGAATGCAAGACTATTTATTTACTATGCAGGTGCACTGGTTGGTAATAAGAAGTCAGATTCAAAATTATTTAATTTATTGTATTAAAGTGTATAATATTTTGAATCATTAGATGTGTTGGATGGTGCTATATATTTTGCTTATTATAAAAGTTCATTTATTTATTGCATTTCTCTACTATATGGTTCTTAATTTGTATGAATGGAATTTGAAGGTAAATTAACTCTATTTGAGTTAGGGTTTGTATAGTTATCATATGGTTTGGTATAACTCTATTAAAATTCGTTATTGTTTTTAACATATGTGTTTTATAGACTCGAGCTGTTTGAATTTTTACCTGAGTAAATCATTGGCTCGTTTACATAACTATTTTTATTGGCTTTATTATTAGAATTTATTGTGTTATTAGAAATGATATTGCTCTTCTGTGTGGTATCTACAGCATTTGTAATAGCATAAGGAGTACTTATAGCTGAAGTATTGTTGCTGTTATTGCTGCAGTAACTATAGCTGTTATTTGCTGTATTAGAAACAAAATTTTATTTGCTATTTCTTTCACTGTTTATGCCTAAATTTAATATATTGAGAGTTGGTTCTTTCAGTTTCTTTTGTTTTTCAATTTTTAATTGTTCTGCAAATGTTAGATTCACTTTATTTACACTTAATTTTGATTAATCTTAAGTACCTGAACTAACATTAGCCTAATTTAAGATAGGTTGCTAATTACAGATATTTTACTTTGATCCACTACTACATCCATTATTTAAATTACTATTACTGCTATAATTACTTTAGCTTTGCATGTAATTTATAGGACTAATACTTGTTGGAGTATGTTAACTAGAAGGAGCTAATCCAAAATTATTTCCTATTTAAGATACGTTCTATAAAATCATGTTAGTTTGTAAATTCTATTGGCCATTTTAAGTTTTAATTGGATTATTAGAATTAGATTTATTTGTTGTAGTTTATTAACTGAAATTTTAGTTATTATAACTTATAATCTAAGAGCTATTCTAGGGTAAATTTTAGTTAATCATCGAATTTGTGCTTTGTAAATGAGAATTATTCTAAGATAATTCTTATGCTTAAGCTTACTATAAGGTTGATTAAATTATTGCTTGTTTTAAATTGCGGGAATTACTATTAATAATGTTATTGGCTATGCTATGAGATTTTCTACGCTTTTCAATCATTGATTTTGGATTATAATCTTACACAATGTTAAATTCTTTCTCTCTATAAGTAGGATGAGAGGATAGTGATTATCCTTAGTTGTTAGGATTTAATGGGTTATTATACTATATTGTAGTATTTTTACTCACTAAGTTACTTTTTGTCTCATGAGACAGAATATTTTATATTTTACTATTCAAACTAATATTTTACTGTATTTAAAAATTATTCTCGTTAGTCTATGAATCATTCTTATTATTTGCTCTGGTTTAGAAGGAAGGGTTTGCTTGGCTAATGGAATTATGCATGATAGAAGTTTAGTTTGAGCTTGTTTAATATTAATTATTATTAATAGAGTGATTATATGACAAATTAGTAGTTGAATTTTATTATGAACCTTATCCATTATTAATATTAGTGAAAGTATTAACTAACTCTTTTTATTGTTATCCTTATTGTAGATTACTTTGATGAAACGAAGTGGAGTTAGATTTATTAATAACACTGCTATTATTTGATGGAACGCTATATATGTTTGCATTACAAGGCTATTAATCGTAATTAGTATTTATAGAAGTATGTTTATTATTTAAACTTCTATTCGTGCTTTAATAGCTTTAATTTTCAGTTAAATTCAAATAATTCTAGGTATTATCATTATTAAGAAGGGCAGAAACTCTTCGATTCTATAAGTTCAAGTTTTACTGAATTTCATCAGCTAATATAGAGTAATTTTGAAATTTATTATTTTTCATAATATTATCTCCTTTCAAGGTAGAATTAATATCTTATTAATCTACTTTTAAAGACGCATTTTGATATTTATCTTAGTCTTTTAGCTTAGCTAACTTTTAATCATTTTACTAAAATAAAATAAATATTAATTTAGATTAGTGTTTCAATGAATTTACCTTTTGAGGTTAAATTATGGGACTCATTTTTGTTTTCAATGACTCTACATCTATTTATATAAATTTTTAAAATTATTATTATTTTTTAAAATATTTAATTCAATATATTTAAAAAAATTAAAATATTTTATATATCTCAAATGTTAATTTTTTAATTGAACTTTTGTCTATTTAGAATACGATGCATACTTAGTTTTTTCAAAATTTTGATATGATTTATTAAATAATAAAAAATAATAATTATTTTTTTTGTAAAGTGATATTTTTATCTATTTTCAATGGTGAAATTTTTATTGTAAATTCATTTACTTTGCTTGCTTAATGTGAATGTTGATTTAAAATATTTAGTGAAATAATTTAGCTTTCATTATAGTTGATAGTAATAATTGATTAATTAAACAATAATTTGGAGGCAAAATTAAAATGTAAAAATCTTAAAAGGCAAAATAGGCAGAAAACTGATAATTTAAAATACAAAAATTGATTTTGAATTTTGCTGTTAAAATTTTGAAATTGGGATTATTCAATTTATTTATAAATTTTGTTAGATATTTAATAAAAAATCTTTAATTAATTTTGAGATGTTTTTGTTTTTTTGCTTGTTTATTTATTCGTGATTAATTTTGAAATAAAAAATTTAATTTCAAACTCTAAAGATTTAATTCACTCACATTTTTCTAATTTCTAAATAATCCTAAGTAGAAAAATAAAGGCAAGGCAAAGATTAAAAACTAAGTCTTTATAGTTTATTGAAAATATTTAAATTGAGAGATGAAAAATTAAAATTTTAAATAAATTATTTTTTACTTTGTTGTCTATAGTTTATACTATTATTCTCATCACTTATCATACCTATCTTTGTTTCTTTGTACTACCTGCTTGAATTTTTATTTTTATCATCGATCTAATTATGTTCAGTGGCATTTTATTTAAATTAATCGTGAGTTGGTAGAATGCTTATTGAATTTTATCTTGAATTTTTTAATCTCAACGAAATGTAGCTATTAATTACTTCTTTCTATATTCCCTATTCGATTTTTTAGTTATTTGACGAGGTATTCCCATCATTTATACTCATTATGCAGCTTGGATTATTAGCTGTAAAGCGTAAAGAAGAAGAATTAAAATTTTTTTCGTTATATAATTATTAACCTTATTGATTTTAGTTTTAATTTGTAACTTGGTCATTTTTATACTCTAGTTTCTTATAGCTATCAGTATTATGGGGTGATATTCCTTTAGGTTTAGCCTAAATCAAATTTTACTCATTAACATTGTAGCGGTTACTAGAAATTGCAGTATCATAAATATTTAGATTTTCTTTATTATAGGACTCCTTCTAAAAACCTTAATAGTTATGAATAGACATCTAAGGTGGAGGTTGCAGATTTACTCCTAGTATGCTGTATTACTTAGAATGCTTTGAAATAGCTATTTCTGAGTGGTGGCGTTGATGCTTTTTTGTCTTAGTTGCATACTACTGGTTCATTAGTTGTTATTAATTAGTACTGCTTGAAGTATTGGTCTACTAAAGTGCATATTCCCCGTTTTAAGCATAAGGAAGTAAATTAGAATGAACTGTTTACTATAATGATATTTATTACTGAGGTATATTTGAATTATCTAATTGATCATTCTCCGGTTTTTATTTACTTTTGATATTCACTTAAACACTTTTTTTAACATTATTGTGCTAATTAATTTCTTGACAGTATGATGAATTTTTAGTGAATTAATTGCTACAATTTTATGAATTAATTGAATTTGTGCCTAACATGTTCTATGCACTTTATTATGCTGAATTTGAAGTCTTCAATTAGGCTGCTTTACTAAGAGCACAATTTGAGCTTTACATCTAAAGCTTATTTTAATGCGTATTAATATGCTATTCTTGTAATATTTTCTAAGTATCTGTGGCTTAGGGCTAAGATTTTTAAGACTAAGAAGGATTTTGCTAAATTTATTGGAAGCTTTGGGGATTATTTAATTAGCTGCTTTAAAAATTTTAAGAGCCGCTGTATTTATAAACTCCCTAGTTATTCTAAAGGCTCATAGAACTATGGTGATTGAGGTTTTGACCTTTTACCTTTACAATTAAGAATAATTTAATAAAAATGCTGCTATCTATGTGAATATGTTTAAAAATAAAATTTTTCAAGCTAATATTACGTTAATTTGCATATTTTAGGAAACTGAAGAAGAATACTACGGATGAGAAGGAACAGAAAAAGCAGGTTAATCTTAATGAAAATGATTCTGGTTATAGCTTTGATTATCTTAAGTACCTTTATTAGATGTACTTTGAATCTACTTGGTTTGGCCTTAATGCTATGTAGGATTCTAACAAACTTTATTCTTGTTAGAAAAATTCTCTACCTATGCAAATGATCTGTTTCGACCTTGTTTCTTCTAGTCTTCAAAATACATCTGCGAAAGAAAGAAAGTATTTATTTACTCTATTTTATATCTCCTATTAGCTATTATTATTTCTAGTTAATTATTATTTCTTTCTCTTTAAGTATTGTTTCTTTATTTGACTTTTATTCTTAGTGTGTGTATTTTCTTTTTTTTATTAATTTTCAATAACTATGCCTATAATCTCAACAGTATCTTCTTTTTTTGCTGGTACTTGTGAATAAAGTTGATTTATATTTTGAAAAATTGTGAAAATTAAAAGCCCTAAAATATTGCTTATATATATAAAGATTTGCTTTAAATTAAATTCAATTTATCGTTAGTTTTAGGGCGCGTTCAATATATTTCGACTTCTAAATATCTTAAATAAGCAAATTTTATAATAGAAATACCAACCAATTATTAGTTATTTATAAGCAAGTATATTTTGTAAATAAATAAATGTATATTTTAAAATTTCATAATAAATTTTATTATTAATTAAAAGCTCAATAATAAATAAATATTGCATTAATTATTATTTAATTTCTAAGAATAATCTTATTTATTTATTTATTGAATTAATTCAAGTTTAATTTTGAAATAAAAATAATATATTATGAAATAAAATAATAGGTTAAATAATTTAAATAATCTGATTAGAAGTATTCATTTGGTATTTTTTTAGAAAAAAATTAAAACTTAAATATTTCTTTATATTTTGATGAGTAAATCTACATTTTTAGTTTTAAATAATTTAAAAAAAAGAATTTTTATAATAATAAATTGCATAAGTTATTAAATATGATAAATCAATCGAAATCAATTTTTATCTTTTATCATTAAAGTGTTTAATCTATTACTTATTTACTAGCAAACTAACTAACTAACTTTTTATTTAAATTTACATTTACTTCATTTTTAAAATTAAAAACCATTTAAAAAAGAATACATTTAATTAATTGGCAAAGAATTAACTAAATATTTAGAAAATTATTTTTATTTATTAATTAAGATAGTGAAATTTAAAAAAATCATTTTTATTTAATTTTATCTTAAGATTTTGGAAATATTAATAGTTGCCACATTTTGAAAAGAATTTTTTGTCTTTCATTTATTTTATCTAATAAAAAAAATAAATTGATTGAAATAAATAAATAAATAAATAAATAAATAAATAAATAGAAAATTTGAAATTATTTTAATTGCAAATCAAATTTGTTTACAAACTTAAAATAATTATAAAATTTAAATTTAGAGTTTAACGATAATCTCATAAAAAAAGAAAGAATCTAAAGAACTTATCTAATATATCAATCTCCTTAATTATTATTACATAATCATAAAAAAACTAAAATTATTAATAATGCAAGGAAGGGATGGGTATTATTAATTAGACAAAATACTTTTATTAAATATTTATGAGAAATTGTAAATATTTGTTTATGGTTAAAAAATAATATTCAGTATTAATATTTACTTTTAACGATAAATTTACACAATAAAGGAAGGAGTTAAATGCAAAATAAATGCTATAACTTTAAGTGTAAAATGAAATAAAGTGATTTTAAAACACAAATTATACAGACTATTGCATGCTTATATGCCTTCATGAAATATTGTAGTTTAGTTTAGTAATAATTAATTTTATGGATAATTTCATTCTATTTGAATTGTTCTAAAATTTGTTTATTCAAATATATTATCTCTATCAACAAAATATTGAAAAAAAACTAGTAGCAAAAAAGAAGCAATATTTCAATATCTTAATTGTTTAATTTTTTTTTTACATAATGCAGTAAACAGAATAGCAACATAAATAAAATCAGCAAAGGCATCAACTCTCACTCTCTAATTCTCCAACTAACAGAGATTCGCAGCAGATCAAATAGATAGGAAATTATATTTTAAGTAAATTTTTAGTAAAATTTCAACTATCTTAAAACACCAATACTAACTATCTCTACTAATGCAAACTTCAATCTATTCATAGATCTATTGACATTTTTTATAGAATATTTTATTAAATGCATTTTACACATAAATTTTAAAAAAATATTTCAGATAAAACAATTGGGAGAGGAACATTTGGCAAAGTTAAGTTAGGAGTTCACACGCTAACAAATGAAAAAGTAAATATTTTCTCAGTTAATCTTAGCACAGCGCAGAGTAATTCATATAAATTATTTTATATAAAAGGTAGCTATTAAGATTTTAGAAAAAAGAATGATTTAAGGAGATTAAGATATGTTATCAGTATAAAGCGAGATTTCTATTCTGAAAAGCGTTAATCATCCAAATATAAGCTAATTATACTAGGTATCAAAGATTTTAATTTATTGATTTGAATTAAATTTTTAGCACTTGAATAATTTTTAAGAATACTACAGCATATTAATTTAAAATTTTTCATTTAAAGATTATAGAAACTAATGACTGCCTCTACTTGGTGCTAGAATACGCTTAAAATGGAGAGCTATTTGATTTTATAGTTAGAAAAAGAAGGTAACATTTTAAAAAATTGAAAATATAAAGATAAAATTTATTTCAATAGCAGCAAATACACAGAAATACAATTAATTCCTACTTAAATTTAATACTGGACTTTTATTTTGATTTAAAAAATATATATGAAGCATTTATAAGCTTAGAAAAATAAAATAAGGTTAAACTTTAAAGGATATATTTTATTTTTGAGATAATACTTCAAATTCTAAATATTCATTTGTAACATCCAAGTTAAATTTATTATTAAATTCTTATTTATTTTTAAATCTTAACTGCATGCTCCTACATATTTAATTGTAAATTAACTTTTATTATTTCTTAATAGGCTTACTGAATAAGAAACGTGTTTGGTTTTTGCATAAATACTTAATGCTTTAGAGTATCTACACGATTTAGGCATTAGCCATAGGGATTTAAAACCAGAAAATCTTTTATTTGATTATAAATATGAGCTAAAACTTGTTGACTTTGGATTAAGTAAAATATGTTAAGAGGCAGATTAATAATTATATACATGTTGTGGTTCTCCTTGTTATGCTTCACCTGAAACAATATCTTCATAGCCTTATGTAGGAAGATATGTAGATTTGTGGAGTTGTGGTATCATTTTGTTTGCAATGCTTTGTGGATATCTTCCATTTGACGATGACAATTAAGCCTCTCTATTTGCAAAGATTATAAGCTGCGAATATTATATACCAACAGACATTTCGCCAGAAGCCTCATATCTGATTAGAGGATTGCTCAAGAAAGATCCAAACTAGCGTTTATCTATTAAAGATATAAAGAATTCAGCTTTTTATTAAAATTATATGTAAGGCACATAAGTTAAACCAGGAATTAGACTTGGAATTGATTTTATATATGTTGATGAAGCTATAATTGAAAAATTATCTTTGTTTGGAATTGAGCCATCTTAAGCAAGATAGAGCATAATTCAAAATCACCACAATTCAATTACTGCAACATATTACTTGCTAAAAATAAAATTTTAAAGGAACTACAAGTAGTTAAAAATATCAAAATAAAAAAAAGAAAATAATTAATAAGAGTAAGCTAATAATGATAGCTAAAAAGTTGAATAGTAGAAATAATAGTAGTAGTAGCAGTAACTGTAACAGTAACAATAATAGTAAATAGAAATAACAAGTAGTCCTAAGTAGAATATCATTTTTTCTAACAATAGCCCTGATTAAGAAAAGTTAATCAATCAAAATAATTAATAAAATAATCAAAAGCAGCAAAATCAAAATTAAAATTAAGGAGAACAAAACTTAAACTTGGGTGTCGCACACAAGCCAATAATTTCTTAATAGTTTCATGCTTCTCTTAATCAAAGTAACTAAGATATAAATATTTAACAGTATTCATCTTCCTCTACTTAAAACTTGAGCGAAAGTAAATCTCAGAAGCAAAATTAAGAAAAATAAAAATAAAGAATTAAAACAGAGCCTTAATAAAACAATTCTAAAAATTAATTTTAAAAAGTGGTTGCTAAAAATAACTAAATAGCCTTTCTTGATTTATATTAAAAATAAATAGAATTAAATACTTCAAACGAAGAATATTACAATGGTAGCGGAGTTTAAAATATGAGAAATGCATATGTAAGTGCTTTAGGAAACTATTAAAATTAATTACTACAAATTTCAACCGAATAGGAATCTTATAACTTAAATCAGGTAGCTTAAATTGCTAATTTATAAGCACAATCTCCTTACAATACTAATTTAGCATTAATCAAAACAGTTTAATTTCAAAAAAGTAATGCTTAAAACTAGAATCAGATAGTTGCTAATTCAGAAAATATTACCCCTAAAAATAATAATAATAATAATAATAATAATAAATAAAAAAATTCTGAAAACAAACAACTAGAAGATTTGCAATAAAATAACAACTAAAATAGCTATCAAGCTAATTTATAACAGTAGGCATCTGGTAACTTAATATCTAATATACCATTACACGTATACCATACAAATATTTAATCGAAAAAGACTTCTTAAGTAGATATTTCAACACAGAAATATTTTAAATACTCTCTTAAAAAAAGAAACTTATGTATAAACGAATATTCGGTTGACAATGCTAAGAATTATGATTAAACTCCTTCCCCTAAAGATCCACCAATTTTTTCTGTTTCATAAGATACATTTTACTAAAAAGCTTAGCAAATCTAATAAACTAAGCATTAAAAAGATATTTAATAGCCAAAAGTTGGAAATTAACTCAAAAAACACTCAGAACACATTAAAAGTAATGTCATCAATAATAATAGCAATCATAGTTTGTAAAAATAAATTTTTTATTTGAATGAAAGTGATAAAAAAATAGAGACAATTAAGAAAATTATTGATTCAGTCAGAAGTACCAAGAATAGCTTTAATCCACCTCAGTAAATAACACCAAGGATGAAAATTTTTTCTAAAATTTAAAACAGCAACAACAACACAAATTAAATACATGATATTTTCTCAAAAAGAAAGAGTGTCCCTTTATATTTAAGTCCTTAAAAAGAAGATGTATTTTCCTCTTCATAAAATGAGGCATATAGAAATATTTTCTAAAATAATTAAATGTAGTCAAAATAATAATAAATGATTGAGGAATCTAAACTCAATTAAAATAATATGAGTAATTAGAAGTAATTGTCAAACAAAAGTGTCAAAACCTATAAAACTCTCAATCCTTCTATGGTTTGGTAGGCAAATGAAAACTTACAAGTTAAATCTACTAACAGTGAAAGAAATCCTATTGTTAATTTAAAATAAAAAAATAGTTAACAGAACACATCTTAATCTCAATCACAATCTCTGTTAAATTAATAAAAAGATAACCTTCTCTACTACCCTGACTTTGCATAAAATATAAATAAAAAAAGTAATAAACTTTAGCTCATATTTAACAATAGCAGTAACAAATCTGAATCTAATGAAAAAAAACAGATTAATAATATTTATTTTCATCATCAAAGTAACAACTGTTCTTCTCATATCCAGGCATCTAATCTATATTAAAGCATATAAACAAAGTAGATATAGTTGAATTCTTCTTCAACCAAAGCATGTAGTAGTTCTCATTAGCTATTTTAATCAGAGAAAAAGCAGAATTAAAATATTAATAAAAAAAAAAATTAAATTAGCAACATTTCTAAAACTTAATCTTCATCTTCATAATTGATAGAATAGTAATAGTTTTAAAATTAAGAACAATTGGCATAAAATTTAATTTAGATGACTAGTTCTCAATATGCAAACCCAGAAATAGCTAGCAAATCATATAGCTTCCAAAAGTTAAACATTTTAAATCATACAAATTCAACATGTGAAGATGGAAGTGTTATGGTAATTTAGCCAAATGAATAGCTCATGAATTCTTAAAAATATAATGAAGATATAAGACTGAATACTTCAGAAGAAAAATTAGTTAGTGTTTCAGTTCATAAACATCTAAATTTACAAGAGTCAGTAAAGAGACCTCAAACAAATTCCCAAGTTAGCATTAATCCAAATAAAAATGGGATTGATTAATTAAATATTATATAAAATTTTGAAAAAAGTTCACCAAAAAACAATAACTACAGTTAAATCGAAAACAGCTAAAAAACTAACAATAATAGCTAAAAAATATTAAGCTAAAAACATTTAAAGGTGTTGAATAATTAACTTTAAAATGGAATGAGTTAAATAAATACTTAATTATTTAAAAAGTATTTAACATTAAATACAAATGAAAGTAAAATGTTTCCTCAATAACTACCTTAATCAACTAAAAGTGTCTCTGGTTAACTTTAATAACAATAATGGTAGAATAAAACATAACAGTAATCTCCAATACATAATAATTTCTTTTAAGAAAAAAAACCAAAAAAGTAATTAACAGCATAATAGAAATAGCTACTAATAAACAATAAAACATAGGTCTAAAAGCGTTTTTTATTTGATTAATGAAATTTATAGTTTTTTTTTTATATTTTATAAATAAATAAATAATTAGGAGTCTTATCTTTAAAACCTTATCTTAGTATTTATAAAATTAAATTACTAATAATTAATTTATAAGCAATACAAAATAAATACTCATTTTTGTTTAATATATACTTCGATTTAATTCATTTAGGAATTGTTTAACTATTTAGTTACATTTCTTATTTTTTTAAAATATTTGCCTAATCTAATAAGTACTAAGTTATTAATTCTTCTTTTTTTCACATATCTTTTTATATTGGAGTATTTTTAAATTTTGCACATTCAAATAATAAAAGTTAAAGCCTCATGTTTGATATAAATATAAATGATAATTAAGTTTGATTTATCTTAAATATTTTGTAATTCAATTAATTAAGTGAAAAATTTTAGTGAAAATTCACACAAATATAGATAGGTTGGTAGTTGATTAAAATTAGCAAGTTATGTTATTATTCTTATAACCAATATCAAATATGATTTTTATTACCTTTTTTAATTTCCTTATTAAAGAATATTTTAATTTTTAAAATTGAATAATATTTTTAAATCAATCAAATTAATTGTTTATGTAAGTTTATTAATATTAGAATTGATCATATCAAAAAAATATTTGAATAACATTTCCTTGATTAATTTTGTAGAGATTTGTTTCTTTATTGAAAATATTGAAATATTAATTATTGAAGTTGCAATTTTTTAAATATAAAAATTAGATTGGTAGATAGATGATTGATTGATTGATATATATGATTTTTAGAAAATATTAAAATATATTATTAAACATTTACATATAGAGGTATAAAATTTGTTGCATTATTATTTAATTTATAATTTTTGTTTTAATAAAGAAATTTTTATTTTTCGATTATGATTTTTTTTTAAAATTCTAAAATTTATCAGTCAGTTAAAATTTAATGAAGTAGTTTAAACTAAATTATCCTACTTCTTTTTTAGTAAATTTAAATCTCTCAGCTGAAAATTAATTAATATTCATTTCAATAATCATCACCACGAGAAATAACTTCTTTATGAGAAGGCTTAAGAACGATTGTATGTTCGTATTGAGCTACATATGAACCTCTAACATCAACAAGAGGAGGATAAGGAACAACTATACCAGCATCGCATAATTATTTTAATGATAAAATATGACCAGTCTAACCACCTCTATCTAACCATCTTCTACAGAAGGCAAGAGTTCCAAAGTTGTTATCAATAAACTTTAACAAGTTTTTGGCCTTAGGTTGTCTAAGAGGAACCATTTCTTTATTGAAATCTTTCATATAGTGAGAACATTCACCATCTTCGAAAATTGAGGCTTTACCATTTATGACACCGAAAGTTTCGATAGCATATTATTCTCCTTCCTCCATCTTAACATTTGGGCCAGTACGGATGCATGGAACACTTTTACCAGCATGGATTTGATAAGCTTCGATAGAATGACCATTAAGATTTCTGATAGCCTTTACAGGATATGTTTTTCCTTCAATTTCAACTTCGTAGCTTTCCATGACTTCTTAGATTGCAGCACCAACGTCAGGAATTCTCACATCAATACCAGCTTCCTTAATACCAGTGTTGGTAGCTTCTTTTACAGCTTCTAAAAGCTATTATTAAAATAAATTCAATTATATAAATTTTACTTAATAAACTAACTTAAATTTAAAACGAAATCTTAAAAAAAATTGTTTTGTTTGTGTGTTTGTTTACCTTATCATATTTAGGGTTAAAAGCAACAGTAAAAGCACAATCAATAATTCTACCCTCAACTTGAGTACCAAAATCAATTTTACAAACATCATCATATTCAATAGTTGTAAAGTCTCCGTTATTTGGAGTGTAGTGAGCAGCAACGTGATTAAGAGAGCAGCCAGTAGGGAATGCAATACCGGCGTCTAAACCTTTTTCTCTAACTAAAAATCTATTCATTTCTTCAATTGATTCACAGATGTCAATTAATTTTTTTCCTGGTCTGATTAATTGTTGGCAATATTTACGAACTTGTCTATGGCATTCTGCAGCTTTTCTTAAGCATTCAATCTTTTTATTAAAAAATATGAATTATTTTAGTGCCTTAATTTACGCCAAAATATAAATACCTAATGATCCATAAGTTTATCCTTCTCCTTCAATTCAGCAGAACTTGTTCTAAAAGCTTAGTCTTTTTGATAATATTAAATTTCACCAACAGGATATTCGTGGTTTGGGAATTATTCATCAACTCTCACAGTAGGTGGTTAAGTTTGTTTAGTTTCTCCTTCCTTCCAATCTCTATAAATTATTAATAAATAAATACATTTTAATGAGAAAAAAAATAATTCATGAGAAAATTGCTGCATAGAGCTCATAAAAATTTCATCAGTCAAAATTTATTTTAACTAACAAATAATAATTGCCTGTTTATTTCTAAATTTATAAAGGGCCCATTTTGATTGATGAAAGAACCACGAAAATAATTAATTGATTAATTTTTTACCCAAGTAATCTCAAAACAGAGTTATCTTAAAATCTAGATTTATTAAGTTCCATGCCTTCCTTATAAGCAGGGCCTAATTTTCCATAAGGAGCATCATTTTTTTCTTCTTCTTCAGAAATAGGTTTATTTTTCTTTTCTTATCTTTGCTTATTTTCTTCTTCTTGCTTTGATTTTATTAAAGATTCTAAAAATGCTAAATCATCATTGACTTAATTCTTGTTGTTTGCGTTATTGTTATTCTTCTTCTTCTTTTTTGTTTAAGTTTCATCGTTGTTAACTTTTTATTCTTCTTTTTTTTCGGGCTTTTCCTTCTAAGGTTGCTCCTATTTTTACTGTTTTTTTTTATTATCTTCTTTGTTCATTTCGAGGTATACTTTTCTTTTTTTTTTTTTTTGTCAAGTTAATTTAAAGTTTCTTTTTTTAGATTTATTATTTTCTCTCTTTCTTTTTTTTGCTTTTTATTATTTGTCTTTTTGGTCGTCTATTTTATGAACTCGAATATTAATTAATTAACCAATTATAAAAAGATAGATTTAAATATATTTAATCAATGAAGACTATTATTAATAGTTATAATGAAATCTAAAAAATTATATGTATTTATTTGAGTTAAAAGCTATTATCATAGATAATAAATAATTTACATAATATTTATTATTTATTCGCGTAGTAATTGAGATGCTAAAAATGATAAAATTAAAAACATTTTATTTAAAAATTTTTATATCTAGTAGAAATAAAGATAGCAGCCAAAAAATTCAATTAGATCTTAAATATTTGAGTAAAAATTGTTTGTAATTAGGCTTTAGACATATTAAAGTAATACATTTGATTAACAATATTGATAAATTTTGATTTGTCTCTCACTTTTTCATTTTTCTTTATAATATCATTATTATTATTCACAAGAAATTTCTCATTTAGTAATTAACTTTTAATTTCAAACTTGAATTTATAAAAAATTATGTAATCAAACATTTTTTGTTTTTCTTTTTTTCTTTATTTTTTCTTTTGTCCCTTAAATTTAATTAAAAATCTAATGAAATCTTTTAGGCTACATTTTTTTTTCTCACATAAATATTTTTGTCTATTGATTTTATCATGGTTTTTTATTTTTTTTAAAATCAAACTGAGTGTATGGCTTTATATTTTATCAGAAACGTAATTATTACTAATATAGCTTAAAAAATAATTTTGTAATCAGTTTAGAATTGTGTCAAAGTCAACTAATAAACAATAAACTTTTTAAAATAATTTGTAAGAAATTTAAAATACTTGATAAAAGATCAAAGATATTCCTAGAATTATTTTAGATGTTATAAAATTTCTTTCATGATTAATTAATTATAAACAAATTATATATCATATTTTTAATAATTCTAAATTTTTTATATTTTATATTATATAATCAAAATATACTAATTCTATTTATGTAGTTCTAATCATTTGTAAAAAAATTAAAAATTTACTAAAAATAGCAAAACCCTTTTCATATATAGATATTCACAAAATATATTAATATTAATTTAAATTATTAATAAATTAAATGTATTTCTATAATTTAGTCTACCACAAAATCTAAATTAAAATCTTAAAAAGAATTATTTGAAACTTCATTTTTTAAATAAAAACATCTAAAAAATAAAATCTTTTTTGCATTTGAAAAAAATAAAAATCAACTAATAAATTAATAATTTAAATTATTAAACTGCCGAATTTTTATCTTTAAAATTAAATAAATTAAAGCTAAAATAATTTTTTAAATTAAAGTTATTAAATAAATGTATCTTATTAAGTCTTTCTAGAAAATTAGTTATCAGGAAATGAAAATGGATTAAAATTTAAAATTTTATTTGATATGAACTTAATTTATATAATTAAACAAATAATAGAATGCCAAATAAAATTTTTAAATACTTTATTCTTTTTAATTAAAAATTTAAATAATTTTTTTCTCAAAATAAAAATAATTTACCAATCTCAAAAGTGAAATAAAAAACGAATAAAAAAATTTAAAATATTATGAAAATGTGAAAATAAATTTAATATTTTTGACTAATTTTATTGACAAAATAACAAATTTTTTTGAAATATTTTAGTTTAATAAAATGTAAATTAGTCTTATTTAAAATATAGCTTATTTATCATTTTAATTATGATTTAATAAATTTATAATTTCTATTTTGAATAAACATTAAAAAGTATTTTGTTTACAATTTGTTCAAACAAATAAATTAAAACCGTTTCAATCAAAAATATTTTTTAATAATTTATTAGAATTTTACATGTAAAAAATTCATAAATATTGCTTATTTTAATTAGTATAGATTGATGTGTGATTAATAAAATTTATTAAAATTGAATACTGCCAAAAGAATAATATTGACTCAAATTAATCTAAAAATCAACCAATCATTTACTATCATCCATTTAGATCTTTGATATTATTAGGATATAAATATTTATCAAGAAGTAATATTTTATTAAATAACAAGGTTTAGATTGTTTGCATAAAAGATAAACACTGTTACTCAACGGAAGTTTCAAAACTAGCATTAATCTCATCTAACTTACTTTAAGCAATTTTCACACTTAAGATAAACAACTAATATTTTATCTTATTTAGATAAGAATCATTTTTGTATCATATTAATAGAACATTTATTTCAAAAATGTCTGTAAAACCTCCTAAAGTATAAATGAATGTTTCTAAATAAGAGCTGTATTATATTTCTAGAAATCTATTTAGAAGAAATAAATCACTCTTAGATGATAATAGCGATAAAGATTATGTTTTTACTTCCCCTAAGAACAAAAGAAAATCTGCTATTCTTCCAAATCGCCCTTTTACTTCTTAATCATGTAGTCCCATAAAACCTAAGTATATGAGAGATATGGAGTAGAAAAATTAAGAAAATTTTGAAAAATTTTTCAACACTTCAGCCAATAAAATTAATTAGTAGTGTGAAGACGAATTTGCTAAATCTAGAGAGAGGTTTCTTTATTCAAGAGAGAGAAGTACTACAGCCAATACATCATTTAACCTTTCTTAATATATCTAATCCTCTCCGTTTAGGCGTTAGCAAAGCGGATTATAAGAATCTTTCTCTCCTAAAGGAAATATTTTAAACAAATCTATTCTAAAACTGTCTAATGATTAAATTGTTATACCAGATGATTATCATAACTTATAAAGCAACCTTAAATAAAGCAATAGCGTGATTAATTCAACTAATTTTAATAATAGTTATAACCCATAATACTATAAGAGGTTTTCTACAGGAAGAAATTCATTTGTCGATGATAAAAATAATTAAAATGCATAAACTGTAGACTAATAATTACAAGAAGAACAACAAAAAATGATGATGCAATAAGTCTTTGCTTAAATTGAACAATAAAATGCAGATGAATAATGGAAAAATGTTAAGTATCGTGCACCTCGCTATACTTTCTATAAAAATTCCCCTAGAAAAACAATTATAGGACCATAAAGTAACTCATTGTTAGATAATGAAAAAAGGTTTAACAACTTCTATTTAGAAAAACCAGATATTAATCATACTATTGATATGAAAAGCTTATCTGGAAGAGATTATAAAGTTTTTAAGTAATTTAAACTTCATGATTTAGTTTACCCTGCAAGTAATAAATAGTATGAAAAAGTTATTTATGATAACAAAACATTAAAATGCTAGTTTGATCTCCAAAAATAGGACTCAAATGATGGAGTTATTGGCAGAGAATTTTATCAAAAGCAGCATAAAGATGATATTCCTGCTACAGACTTAAATTGTGATATGGTTATCAAAGCTCACAATGATTTATTGCCATTTAAAAAAAATAGAATTCCATAATTTGACAAAATATCTGCAAGAGAAAGATAATCTTCATCTCCATATAGAATTCTTACATAAATTGAAAACCCATATCTTCATGAAAAGAGATAATTTTCACAAAAAAGAATTAAAATATAAAAATGCAAAGATTGATACAATTTTTTAAATATATATAATATTTTAATAAAATAAAAAACATAATCTGTTGATATAAGTTTATTTATTTATTATTTCATTTATTGTATTTTTAGACTATTCATTCAACATTATACTAAATTCAATTCTTAAACCTGTAAATATTTATTTAAAATGCATGGAAGCAAATATTTACAAAAAAATTTAAATTTTCTAATTTAAAATTTTATTTACTAAAAATGTTTTTAAAAATTTTTATTTTAAATAAAAATAACCCTCTTTTCTTAAATAAAAATTTATTAAAAAAAACAAGTACTTAATTTTAAAATAATAAATAAAGTAAATTTTACTAATTTCCATAAATTTTCAATTTATTTTTATCTCATTAAGAAACTTAAACAAGCTCAAAATTTAAAATTAAAATAATTCGAAAATAAAATAGAGAATGAGAAAAAATTATTTATTAAGTTCAACATAATATTTATTTTTTAATTTATAAATTTTTAATACAACAAATAACTTTTAAATATAGGGTATAAAATTCTAATAAAATTTATATTGGTACTCAAAAATCATCTCCACGAGAGATAACCTCTTTATGAGAAGGTTTAAGTATTAATGTATGCTCGTATTAAGCTACATATGAACCTCTGATATCAACAAGTGGAGGAATTGCATTTATAATTCCAGCATTACATAATTATTTCAGAGATATAATATGCCCATTCTAGCCTCCTCTATCTAACCATCTTCTACAAAAAGCTAGTGTATCAAAGTTTTGATCTATAAATTTCAGTAAAGCTTTAGCTTTAGGTTATCTTATAGGCACAGAAGTTTTTTCAAAATCCTTCATATAATGAGAGCACTCACCATCTTCATATACAATTCCTTTACCATTTATGACTCCAAAAGTCTCTATTGCATATTACTCACCTTCTTCCATCTTAACGTTAGGTCCAGATTTAATACAAGGGATACTCTTATTACCATGTATCCTATAGTATTCTATTGAGTGACCACATAGATTTCTAATAGGCTTAACAGGATAAATTTTTCCATCTATTTCAACTTCATAGCTTTCCATGACTTCTTAAATTGCAGCACCGATATCTGGAATCCTTACATCTATGCCAGCTTCCTTAATTCCAACATTTGTGCTTTCTTTAACAGCTTCCAAAAGCTATAAAATAAAAAGTTTTAAATAATTAAGAAATAAATTAAATGATAATTTACTTTATCATATTTTGGATTAAAGGCAACAGTAAAAGCGCTATCAATTATTCTACCTTCAACTTATACTCCTATATCAATTTTACAAACATCATCATATTCTATTGTTGTAATATCACCATTATTTGGAGAATAGTGAGCAGCAATATTATTTAGAGAGCAACCTGTTGGAAAAGCAATTCCTGCATCTAAACCATTCTCTCTGACAAGGAATCTACTCATTTCTTCTATTGATTCACATATATCAATTAATTTTTTACCAGGTCTTATTAGCTGTTGACAGTATTTACGAACTTACCTGTGACATTCTGCAGCTTTTCTTAAGCATTTAATCTTTGTTTTAGTTAAGAATTATTTACTTTATATTTTTGATAAATTAATTTACCTAGCTATCCATCAGTTTATCCTTTTCTTTTAATTCAGCTGAACTCGTTCTAAAAGCTTAATCTTTTTGGTAATTTTGAATTTCACCAATAGGATATTCATTTTCTGGGAATTGTTCATCAATCCTTATAGTAGGAGGTTATGTTTATTAAGTTTAACCTTCTTGCCAATTTCTATAAATAAAAATTATAGAAATGTATAAGTAGAACAAATAAATAAAATAGAATTCCATAATAAAATTTACATCAAAAAAGTTTAAAATTATTATTAATAGATTTAGATTAATTATTTTTAACTATTTTATCTTTCTTTATGATTTATTATTTATTAATAAAAATTACTTCAACAAAATAAATTTCTTCTAAATCCTTTATGAGATTTCCAAGGTTTTATTAAATAAAATTTGAGTAGATTAATTTAAAATAAAATATTACCCTAGTAATCTTATTGCAGAATTGTCTTGGAATCTATTTTTCACAAGTTTTATTCCTTCACTATAAGCTGGCCCTAGTATATTCTAGTTCTCATCAGATTTCTTTTCTAACACTATCACAGTATTGCTTTTTTTTTCCAGTTCTTTGTTATTTTTTATAAGAGATTCTAAGAAAGCCAAATCTTCATTAATTTAGTTTGAGTTTGATTTGATTGATTCATTTTTTTATTTTTTATTAATTTTAGCTTTTTACAATTATTTTTTTTCAAAATTGTTTTATTTTTCTGTTTATTATTATTTATTAGATTCAGATTGTTATTTTAATTCTGATTAACTATTATTATTATTTTTAGGTTTGAACATTTTTTTGTTGTTTCTGATTTTTCTTTTTAATTTTTAATTTATTAATAATTATTGTACATTTTTAACTCTTGTTTTTATAGCACTCACTCATTCAATATTTTAGAAGAATTATATTTCTAAAATAATAAAAACAATTAGAAATAAACAATAATTATTTATTTTTTAATTGTCTCATAAAATTCTTTTATTTCTAAAACGATAAGAGATATATGTAAATAAGAAATTTATTAAACATTATTATATTAACTAAGCACAAAAATTATTTTCTTTTTAAAACTTCACTTAAAAAAATAAAGGTTATTGAAAAAATTGAAAAAATCTTATAGTTAAAATATACCAATAAATTTTGATTAATTACACAAATTTTATATTTCTTTTTATAACAAGAGTTTATTAATAAAAGATAAATAGCTAATTTTATTATTAATCTTTAATACCAAACATGAATTTCTAAAATATTAAGTAAACCTTCAATTATTATTATTCTATATTTCTAATTTTATTCTTTAGGAAACTAAATTTCATTCATATATCCAATTAAATCTTATGGGATACATTTTTATAACTTTAAAAGATAGTTTTCATCTTTAAATGTATACAAAAAGTTTGAAGTCTATCCCGTAATAAATGCAATCAATTATATTTTAACAGAAGTGAAAATATAGATTATATTTTATAATCATTATAATTTTTTATAAGCTTTAGAAAATGTATTTTTGTCTAAAAGCAGAATATAAATAAATATCATAAGTGATAGATAATAATTTATATTGACTTTAAATTAAGAATTCGAAAGTTTATTTTATAAATTAGAATTTATAACTAAAATATTTCATGAAAATAAAAGTAAATAAATAAATAAAAAAATATACCAATTAAATAGAAAGAGATACGTATAAATTTAATTTTAGTGCTCAATTAACTTATTTTATATTTTAACTAAAATTATTGTTATTAGTAAAATAAGTATTTTATACTTACACACCACTCTAATCTTTTAAAGAAAAAATTATATCATTTTCTTCTTAACAATCAATTAGATTTTCACTCTAATTGATAATTACTAATGAGCAGCTTTCAGTAACGCTTTTTTATTTGATGTTTTACTTTTGATTGTCAACAACATGCTAAATTTAGTTAGAATTTCTTTTAAAATAATTAAAATTTTAAATGTTTTCTACACAATTATTATTTAAATTAGATTGGAATTAACTGAAAAGAGACTAATTTTTTTCTTGTGTTTTGCTATTCTCATCTATCATGCTATTTTATATTAAAGTATCATCAAATTATGGATCTAAAACTTAAATTGCTTCTATTTTATAGTTTATTAAATTTTAATTTTTTGGTGTTTTTTTCAATAGTTAAAGTTAGCTCACTTGTTTTGACTGTTACAGCTACTATGAAGTATTAGAAAATGCACTCTAATCTAATTACTTTTTTTATTAATCACGATAAACATAATCTTCTTACTATACCTTGTAATCATTTTAGAAAAATTATAGAGGCTTTTCTAGATTACTTTGACCTATCTTAAAACTTAATATTTTATTAGGGTTTATTTTCATTTACTGAATTAAAGTGCCATCTTAGAGTTTCTACTGAATTAGTTATCCATTGCTTTGATTTTATTTTTTTTATTATTATTTAGTCACACATGTTTCATCTCTAGATTAGGAGGTAAAAAATTTTTTTAAATCATTTGTTTCTTCTTCTTTTGAATGAAATGTAGATTTCTTTTTGACTAGAAATGTATTTTATAGCTATAATTAATGTTAAGTATGAGGTGAAATTTAACTTGGCTCTGTTGTAATTTATTTAACACGCTTTGTAGGAGTTATTTTGTTACCTTGAGTGATCATAATTGAATTTGATTTTGTTTTTTATAACTAGGTTGTAGGAGAGAGACTTAAAAAATTATCAATTTTCTTTTAGTTTTAGTTCTTTATTCTAAAGCTAATCCTTTAGCTATTACCTTGATTTGAAGAATTATACCCAGAATTTATCATTGAAGATTGCTAAGTAATTTAACTTTGTAAAATACTATTGTAATTCTTAGGTTGTCGGAGAGAAAATTTATATTCGCCTGGTTGATTTTTTTGGATTATATTTGACTAGAATAATTTTTTAATAGCAGCAGCAGTAGCGGAATTAACTTGCTTAGTTTATAAAACGTTCACGCAGGAATTCAACCCAAAGGTAATTCGATTCTAAATTTGAGCAAAAAATTCATCTAATTTCTAATTCAAATCTCCTAATTTACCAGCAATTTTTTCTTAATTTATTTGTAAGTGTAACTGGCCCTAATGGAGATTTATAAGACTTTCATTTAATTATTGATAGTTACTTGCTTTGTTTATTTCCAAAATAATTTATGCAACTTTATTATCGCTTTGATTAGAAAATACAGTATCTGTATTTAAGGTGTTTTCTAAATATTCTATGAGTTAGTTGTTAATGGTTTATCTAGTTTTTTCTAGAGATTTAGCAAACTCTTAGATTGCATTATCAAAAAGTTCATCAATATACTCAATATAGATTAATTGTAAATTTTATTTTATTTTTTCAGACTCTTCTTTAACAATGTCTCTCCTCAATTAGTTGTTTATTCCTTAAAAGCATTGTTGGATTAAACTTTCTTCTTATTACTGAGATGCTTTTGTTTCATTCTGAGGGGTATTTGATTTAGTTATGAATGTACTTTAAAAATCTTCTTTCTATTATTGCTAAGTAGAATTAGCTGAAATTTAATATTAGTCTAAAATGAAATTATTGTTTGAAAGTGCTTCTAAATTTTGCATAAAATCAGTGAATTTAACAAAGCTATGCTCCTTTCTAAATTATTGGCAGCATTTAAAGCAAAACAGCTTTTATCTACAGTTGTTATCAAGGCAAATGAACATAATTGGTGAGCTGTTATGCACCAAACATTCTATATTAGACATTATTCTACTAATAAAAATAAGTTGTTTTAAATATTAATTTATGTATTTATTTTCTTTCACAAAATTTTTAATTCGTAAAAACCTACAAAAAATTTGTTAATAATTCAAATTAACTAATTTACTATAATTATAAAACTTAAGACATCCTTTTTTCGAAAACTCTTTTTTCAGGAGAATTTTAGTTTTATTATTGTTTAATGTAATTGTTAATCATATTTCAATAAAAATGATTGGCGAAGATAATATGAGAAATTAGCTTTTATATTTATAATAAAAGGATATTCTTTATCATTATTCTAGTATAAATGTTTATAATTTTAAAAGTAAGTAATAATAATAATAATAAACAAACAAAATTAATCTATATATTTATCATAAAAATGTAAATAGAATATGAATTAAATAGATTAAATTTTTATTTATTCATTTTAAGCATATTTTTAATTTTGAAATTATAAATAGTTTTAAAAACTAGTGATATTTTCAATAATTAACTAACTAACTACCAATCTATTTATTTATTTTATTATTAATCAATCTATTTTTTTATCAATATTTCTGTTTAATATTTTTAAAATAATCAAAAATTAAAAATTTAATTGATATTCGAATAATTTACACAAATTAATCTTAAAATTAACAACATTTCGAAGATAAAAGCAATGAAATCAACAGGGAGAATTTCTGACATAATACCAGGAAACAGGAGGACAGAAACATCTCATAATTAATCTATATAAGGAGATTAATTCTTAGGAGATACTTAGTAGACCATTTAATCAATAAATTAATAGACTATAAACAATAATAATATAAAAAACAACTTATAAATGTAGATGGAAACTGTGAGTAAAGTTATTTAGAAATAATTGAGATCAAAACGATTTTAAAAAATAATTAGGATAGTAGATTTAAAATGAGTGATAGTTATTAGCATTTATTTAAGGATATTAATAGCTATTTAGAAGAAATAAAAAAATCAGCAGAGGTATTTCAAAATTTAATATTATTTTTGTTTTTATCATATAATTTTACTTATAGAATAATGATGATATTTTAAAAGACATGCAATAGCAAAGTGAAAAATTAGGAACATGCATAACTTACCTAAGATAATTTATGTTTATGCATAATATCCACTTTGATAATTCGAAATTTCTTAATGAATAAAATTAACAATCTGAATATGAATCGAATACAAATTTAAGGAACACTAATAAATCAAATACAATTAAATCTTAACAAAAAATAAGATAATAAAATACTGCCTTCTTTTCAAAATCCAAAGCTTCATAAGTAATAAATAATCCATCTACTTAAGAGCTTGTATCTTAAAAAAGAGATAAGTCTCCGATAACAAATACCAATTAATAAAATTATGTAGTAAACTAAACTAATGATTTGTATCAGCATTAAAATTCATAGTAATCATAAGCTAATCCTCCTTCCAAATTATCAAATATGCTAAGCAGTATATTGTAAGATAGGAAATCAAAACCAAATGCTAATAACAGCAAATCAGGAATAATATCAACTAAAAAAGTATGATAAAAGTTACAAATAATTAAATTAATAATGAATTTAGTTATAAAAAGTATTTTGAAATATTTAATTAATGATTTTTATTTATTTCAATAATTAACAATAAATTAATTATATATTCATTAAAAAATAATAAGATTAATTATATTTTCATTAAGTAATATTAATTAAAAAGTATGAATGTATTTATCAATTATAAAATATATATTTAGTAATATCAGATATTAGATTAAAGTAATAAATTAATTGTATTTATATTTTGTTTTATATATATTGATAAATTTAGTACATTTTATTTTAAGATATGAATTATTTAATAATTAAAATATTTGCTAATATCTATTTATTTTATTATTTAGTTAGTTAGTTAGTTAATTAGTTAGTTAGTTAATAAGTTTCTAGTGATTGATCATTAGAAGTAGGATAGTTTTAGGTAGTATTTATTTGAAAATTACTATTATCATTCAGATAAATCAAAATTCTTTTATTTGCTTTCAGAATCTTCATTACATTCATTTAAAAATGAGTAATACAACTCATAGATAAACATTCCTTCGTCATTTTCTTAGTTATATATATCGTGCATTTTTAGTTATTTTAAGAAATAGGCTAACGATTTTTAGTTATCAACAATACTGTTGCTCCTATATAACCAGTAAATATTGTAAAAACTACTTGAGTGATCATTTATGCTTCCATTACATAAGTAAAAGTCATCATCAATTTAATTAAAATAATTTTATACTTCTTCTTTGAATTAATAATCTATTTATGGACACATTATTTTTTATTCATAATAAAGTTTATCCTTACTTACGAAATTTCTATATTTGCCCACTATACTATTAAATACATCCTTAAATTTATTTTCTTCATCCTCAAGTTTAGCATCTTCAGACATATTTTATGATTCATCATTACTTTAGCTCTCTTCCTTTTAAAAATATTATTAAGATTATAATATAGTTTAGGATCCGTAAGAAGATTCTTAATCTGAATTAGAATTGCTTTCATCTTACAATTTTTAAGTAGAGCAGCTTGAATATTGATCACTTCCTTCTATCTCTTCATAAGTAATCAATTAGTTGTTCTAACCATCAAATTCTTCATTTTCTTGATCATTTTCAAAGGGGTTATTAAATTCACTAGGATTTTAATTTGTGTAATATGTTTATATATTATCACTGATAATAGTAGAATATTAGTTGCTAGGTTCTGTGTTTTATTTTTCTTTATTATCATATTCTTCTATGTTCATAGCTTATTATTAATTTTCAATATGATAATCTAATTTTTACAAATTTTTTTAGTTCTATTCATTAGACTCCTCTCCATCAAACAATTCATTATCATTTTAAGCAGGAGTTAATTGCTCTTAACTCATGATTATGGTAAATAAGTTGGCTTATATTTTCGGTTATTAGTAAAGAGCTAGTTATTTTTGAGCTTTCTTTTTTATTTAGGTATCTATTCTGAAATTTAATAGTGCAATATTTAATTTTTTATTTTACCAAGTTCAATCAAAAATCAAAATTTATTAAATAGTATTTTAGTAGTTATCAATAAAAAACTTGATAAATATGGATAAAAAATTTTTAAAAAACCATAAAGATGATGCATGGTTAAGTTTTTAAAAGGCTTCAAGAATTTTTTAATTTTTGTATAGTCAATATATAAGAAAATAAAATTTTAAAAGTCATTTTATTAAGAGTATAAAGTTTTTTATTAAATAAAATAATTTTGGCAAATAACCTATGCCTTTTCACTACTTACTGAAAATTTAATTACCATTTTCTATCTTTATCAGAATAAATATATTATATGAATTAACACTAAGTTATTAATAATAGATAATTCAATTTTAATTTAATAATAGAAAAAAATAAAATATAAAAATCTGAAATTTTAGTTGATTAATATTAGAATTCTCTTAATTTAATTATTATAAATTTATAACTACCTGATTAAATTTTCTTAGATTTTTTCAACTTAAATTTTATAAATATTAATAATTTAATATAGTAAAGGCTTAAATATTAAACGAAATAATTATGTTTTATTAATCATTATAATCTATTGTATTTATACATAAATTTAAAGCCCTTGTTAAATTATAATATTTTTAATTTATTTTACACTCCTCAAAAAAAAATTTTAATTTTTTAAATATATTTACATTCGATCATGATAAGATTATTTTTTAAAAGAACTTTTATACTTGAAAATGATGTTATATAACTGAGGATAAGAAGTGTCTATCGATGATAACAAAACCCCTTACAGAAAAAAATAAGAATAAAGTGTAATTTTTTTAATTAATGTAATAATAAATGATCTAAATAAATAAAAGGTTATTTTCTTCTTCTTTTTTTGTGTAATCTCTTTTTTATAATGATTAAAAAATTTTAATCTTATTATAAAAATCAAAGCATTTACTTTTATGCAAAGTAACAGAATAATAAAAATTGAAAATAAACTAGTATATTTTGTAGATGATTCAATCTATAAAATAAACTAGCATAGATTTTATCAATGTATCTATAATTCTAATATTTATTGCAAATAACAAGTATCAATATATCAATAAATTGATTTCTATAAAAGCAAAATCAAATCCAATATTTATTTACCTTAATATGTTAAAAATTTACTCATTTTTAAAATGTTACTTGTAAACAAAGAAAATAAGCAAAATAATTTTATAAATATCAAAGAGGCAGACTAATTTTAAAGAAAATTTTTCTTCTGTAAACATTTTTATATTAATATAATTTATACTTATCCAATTTACCTTACAAGTTGAAATTATATTTAAATGTTTGTTCTTTGTAAGTTAAAAATTGATTTATTTATTTTTTAAGTTATTGTTATTTAGATTATTTGCAATTGCTTTTAAAGAATTTTTAACAAGTAATGTAAATTAATTAAAATATAAGTAATATTTCATTTAGTTTTTTTTTTTTGGTCTAATTATTTATTTTTGCTTTTGTTTTTTGCTTTTTTTGGTTTTTGAATTATGAATTTTTTATCTAAGTTCTCTATTCTCCCTGAAATAAAAGTTTTAATTTTATCTTTGATTGGCATTACTGCATAGAAAAGTATTTACAATTATCTTAAAATATACTTAAGTAAAATAAGTGGGCGGTTTGTGTCTTTCTCTGTTGATCTATTTATTTGTCTGTCTGTCTGTCTGTCTGTCTGTCTGTCTGTCTGTCTTATTTTGTTTTTTAAGAAATTTTCAATAATTTAAAATTTTTATCAAACTTTTTTTAATGAAAAGCAAATACTAAATTTGGATACTTTTTTAAAAATTGCAAAAACATTTTATTTGTTTTTATGAAAATTAGTTAAAGTAGAAAGTTGATCTTAATAAATATTTGTATTAATTTATCCTTAAATTTGTTGTAATGTAGATATGAAATTAAAGATAATTAAATTAATTAATTAATCATTAATTGATTGTAACCTCTAGCTTTTAATCATAACAGCATGTAAAATGCGTTAATGGATATGTTAATTTTTTATTTAAAATGAAATTGAAGAGAAAGAAAAGACTATACTTAGCTAAAGTTTATAAAATATTATTTATATAACAAAACTAGATAAAAAAGAGCTTTTAGGTTTTAGTAATATCAAGCTTCAGGTATTTTTATATAAGAATTATGATTGAAAGAATTTAGATAAATATTAACAGAGAACAAAAGTATTTTTATTCCTTCTAGTACTTTTTTCTCACGAAACCAGTTTCGTATGGACGTTAATAATGCATTTAACATTTTATAAAAATGAGCTAGTTATCATAAATCCGGTAGAGTCAATGATTCTTCTAGACTGAATATATTTTTATCACTTTCATTATTTTGCAAATTTCAAACAAAAAATTTAACAGAAATTTACTGTCCATTTTTTCTATTCAATTTTTTGCCACTAATACTTTATTGAGTATAAAAATTTGAAAAGAAAATTTGAATGATGATTAACTATTTATATATTTACGTTTCAAAAAATTATATACTAACAGCCATAAATCTATTCACTATATCTAATGACAGCATGGATTACAGAAAATTATTGTTATTATTTAGCAAAGCTAAATCTTTTTTAAGAATTTCTATATTCATTGCTAATAAAATTTTGCTTCATTTAAATGTGTTTGCTTTATGTGTATCAAAATTTGAGTTTCAATTTAATTAGAAAGCACATTTGATTGATATTTGTAAACAGTATCAAGTTTTTATCAATTCAATAAATAGATCATTTTGATGCTAATTTTTTTTTCTCTCTTTAGTGTAAATAGATATTATTTTTTTCCAAAATCAAGTTATTAGCAATTCATTACAACATCTAATCTATTTATCCTGCAAGGAAGGTTTATAAAAAGTAAGCTTCATATAAATGTTATTAGAAACCATAGAAAGTATATAAGTATAAAAAATTAAAATTATCCTTGAATGAAATATGAAATATTTTTGACTCTCTTATTCAAAGTATTTTACATGTTTTTTAGATCATTTTAAATTCATTAAAACATAAGGTTCTATTTTAACTAAATTTCAATAACTTTAGCAGTAAAATGAAATGTTTAATTGCCACAGCCTTTTATTTTATTCAATAAATTAATTGAAAAATATACAAAACAAGTAAAAGATCATTACATGTAAATATTTTCATAAATATTTGTAAATATTTAATTTAGAGACTCAGCTTTTACGATAGGATATTACAAATGACTAAATAATGTTTATAATATATATTTTTTTACTGGATTAATACATTTAAATTTCATTAAATTATTAGGAATTATTTATAAAGTAATGTTTGATTTTTTGTTAGTTGTGACTGGCAGACTGATTGTTTTATTAATCAATTGACTGATTGTAAATTTAAATAATTTTGGAAAAATATAGATTATATTTTCGAAAATGCCAAGTAATTAGTAAGATTTTAATATGAGATTGCTTAAATAGACGGAGTGTATTTACGTATCCCCCTCTTAATTAACAATTTAGATAAGGTATATAAAAGTATTTAGATTTATAGGAAAATTGTTTGACAAATTCCGAAAAAAAGTTAAATAATTTAATTTATTCGTACTTTATTAGATCTTGATTTTCTTAAAACACATATTAATTTACTTTTATATCTTTATGGAGATGACTTAATTTTAATGTTTAAAATTGCTTTTTTATAAGATTTTACCTTTATGATTAGGTTTTTAATTCATACTTCCATTTAGCCCTTTAGGCCAGAAATAATAAAAGGAATGTGATATTACTTAAAATAATGAGGAAAATTGATGATCGTAGTTAACTTATAACTTTTAATAAAAATATAGCAAGATAGAATAGAAATATTGAATTTACACTGCGAGAAAAAATAATAAGCAAATGAGTGATTATATTTCCTATTAAAATATTACTAAAAAGTATGAGTGTGGAGAATGAGCAAATATTAAAGTAGTAAAAGTGAATGGTATTATAATTTATGCTTTATTTCAGTCAATTTGAATCAATATATAACCTTGCGAATAAATTTTATAATTAGAGTTGTAGTAACTAGATGAAGCAATAGGTTGAGAAAGAAGAAAAGGAAGAAAAAGAAGAAAAATAAGTATAAGGGGAAGAGTTTGGTGTAATTAAAAAAGAAAGGAAAAGGACAAAATATTCTCTATATCTAATAAATAATAAACCAAGCAATCAAGATTAATTGAAAGATTTTCTTTGTATAGCTTTAAAGTTTTATATAAAGCTATACAAATAGATAACTAGTTTATAAATATTTGATAAATAAAATAATAAAAATTCATAATTAAAAAAATACTCATAATAATTAATACAAACTAAAAAATCAAAAAGAAAAAGAAAGGTGTTAATAATACACTCTAAAATTCTTTTGAGAAATCCCCCCTACCAATAAACCTTTTATTTCCATCTTAATACCAGTCATTAAGAGCTTCTCTCATTTTCTTCATTTGATTGAATTACGATTAACGAGATAAACAAACACACGCATAACTGATTTCAACCCATTCGAAAAAAACAATTAAAGAAATTTATATTCACTCATATTTGCTTCTAACAAAAACTTTGCAAATTAAACTTAATATCTTTAAAATTGAACTCTCAGCTTATTTTAATCAATATTGACTAATAAGTAGGAGAATCTGTAATAAAGGAATTATCTCTCAAAGAATTATCAGAATTGTCTCCTTCGAATAAAATGGATTAATAACTTAAAAGACAATAAATAATTACATTTATCAATGAACTTTATGAAGAATTTATAACCATTAGAAGCAATTTATTTGAAGTTGCTGAAATTCCTCATCTTTCCTGCTGCTCTGATAGCAGCAAATTTAATATTTACTACGACTTTTATCATCTTGAAAAGTCATTGAAGTATATGAAAAAGAATCTCAACTCTTAAGTATACAAATAAATATCATAAGATTCTTAAATTCTTATATGCTAGCTTAAGGATACTCTTAAAGCCATCAACGTGATCTAGCAACGCTTGCATTTGCTTGATGAAGACGATGACTAGCAAATTAAATAGAAGTATCAACTAATGGAGAATTACTTCGACTACAAAAGCGCTGAAAATACTTGTTCCAAAATAAACATAGACTGAAATAAACAATATAAAAAGGTTGTGCTTAAGGAATAATTCAGACAATAACAACAAATAAATGAATATAATCTTTAAATTAATTAATTAATGTACATATTAACTTTTATCTGATGCTGACACTCACTCACTTTACCAAGTGAATCTACTGTCTATAGAATAATTAATTTTCAATTATTTAGAAATAATTAGATATGCTTTTTGCTATAACTATTAAAAAACTAAAGATATTCTTGATATTATCATTTTAATTTACCTAAAATTAATAAAGATAAATAAATGAATGAAATGCAATTAATATTAAACATCTTAGAAGTATTTTTGATCAAAAAAATCTTTTAAAAGAAAACAAAAAATTAAATAAAATATTGAGGACCAAAACGATTAAATTTACTCTACTTTGAATTAATAAAAAACATATCTGATTGTTTCACCTAATAAACTAATAAATATTATATATATTAAAAAAACTTTTATCTTGAATAATTTAAATGCATTAATATATGCATCCATTAACATTTTGCTGCTTGGATATTTAAAAAAGGGCACATAGATGTTATAAATTAATTAATAAATCAATAAAAAAACTAACCTATTTCAATTAAAATATTATTTATTCAAAATTATGTATAGTTTAAAACCTTAGTTTGCTTATTCAATTCTTTTTATATTACATATTTTATCTAAATTTTAAATAAAATTCTTAGTTTAAAATTTCATTGATTTTGTTTTACTTAATATTTGCCAACAATATTAAGATACTAAAATTTATTCAAGTAACTTTTACCACATTTTTAAATTAGATAATTCATAAATAAACATTTGAATTCTCAGGTTAGGTAGAACAATTTATTTTATTTACACGAGTAATTAAATGAAATGCAAATACATATTTTTTTTATATTTTCATTAATTACTGATAAATTTTTATCATTTAAAAATGTGCATATTACTTGAAACTTTTACCTATTCTTTTTTTATTTAGAATATTCATTCTTCCTTCTTTTTTCTTATTTAATGTTTGAAAGTAAGTAAGTAACTTTAATATCAAACTATCTCAAATCCTCAGAGAAATAAATATATGTACTTAACTTCAAAAACAATTATCAAATTATTTTTTGTGTTATGTAAAATTTAAAATGTAAAAAGAAGTTTTCGCAAAATAAAATTTCATACATTAACTTCTAAATAAAGTAAAAATGCTTAAATGGTTTACAAAACAGTAAAAAAAAAATATTTTCATTTAAAACAAAGGAGAAATTACCTGTAATCCTCTTTATTATAAATACTGTAAGTTAGAAAAGAAAATTCATTAATACCACCCAAATTAATAATTTGATTTAAATATAAATAGATGAGAAAAGTTAATTTTCAATCAGAAAGCTTGAATAAAATACTCTTAAATATATTCTTTCATCAGCTAGCACAGTCACATAATTTATCATTTTCCAAAATAAGATCGCTTTTTGCAAACATATCTAATTTTTTTAATATTATTAACATATCCTAATTTTTAAGATGAAAGATTCCTTTTTACCAGTATTTTTTAAGTAGATCAACTGAAAATCTTCTATCCATACTATCTATTTATTTATTATCCTAAAATTCAAACTAGATGCTTAGATTATTAGATATTAATTAAACTTAATTGTATGATGTTTAACTTGCTTTAGTAAGAACCATAGCTTTGATTTTATTTTTGAAATAATATGTCAATTGCTTGATCTAAGAGAAATTATATTGAATTTTTATAAAAGAGTTCAAATTTCCTTTTAAAATCATAAAAAATCCATCAAAATCTGAATCCATAAAGGCTCTCTTTATATTGGATGGTTTAGAATTTGATTATTTGTAAATGTAAACGATTTTTTCATGAAAACCAATAAAAAATTAAATTAGAATGATAAATTAAATACCTAAAAATTTTGATTATTACTAATGATCAAAAACTAGTCTTCTGGCAAATTTAAATTGAAAAACCATCATAAGGTCGACAAATGAATGCTACATTACTGTTTGAATTTTTAATAAAATTTGAATTAATGGATGATTATTAATTTATGAAGATATTTTATTTTTTAGAAAAGTATTTCATTCATATATAACCATATAATCTGTTGATTCTATAATAAAATTAAATGCTTGAATATCTATTAGATGCAAACATACTCCTTCTAGTTATCTAAACGCAATCATTTTTTAATTATCTGTAATCTCTACACATTTAAGAGTTTAAATTAATTTAATGATCAAAAAATGAAACTAAGTTAACACTTAAAAAAAAGATAAATCACCCCAAAAAAATAATAAATTCTTTTATTTTTCTCCACCAAATATTTTTATTCTGAATTTTATTTCAATTAGTTCATTTTAAATAAATTGATGTATATTCTCTTATAGTTACTTAATGCTCTTTTTAAGAGATCAAATAATTATTGTTTAATCTTATGTAACAAGCTATTCATATCTTCTGAATTTACATCAAAGCTGATAGTAACTTCTGAATTTTTATAAAAATTCTTTTTTTTAATACCCAACTCAGCACTATTACTAGTATATTAATTACTTATAATGCTCAAAACTAAAAGATATTAATATAGCTTACATTAAACCAAATATTGCTACAAAATTCTATAGTAAATAGATTTCAAACGATTTGCCCATCTATTTATCTTTTGAATGGTCTTAATTTTAAATATTAATTGTATGAATAAAAAAATTGATGTAAAATTATTCTAAAATAAAATCAATAATGAGCATAAAAAAATAAAAATATAATATAAAAAATAAATAAAATAATTTCAAAGCAATACTTTAGATTATTAAGATAGAAAATATCTTATTTATAAAATTGTTATATCTATTAACTCCTCATATGAATTTATTCAAAAAAAATAATAAAAATGAGTTAAAATTTATGTAAGGTTATGTTATCCAATACAAATGTAATTTTTTAAAGGTATTTTAATTACTTCATTAAAAGAAAATATTAAAATCGCCTTTAAATTTCGAAGTATTAGGCCATTTAATAAAATAAATCTCTAATTTCACTTAAAATCATGGAAAATTAATCAAATGGAACATAAATTTTAGTGTAAGCCATAATAAATGCCAATATTTAATTAACTAAATGTTACTTTGTTAAATTAGAACTATTATACAAATTAATAAAATTAACATTTACTGTTTTTGATAATTTAATAAATGCATATATAAATAAGGTATAAACTTTTATTGCTTTTGATCAATTTAGCATACTAGTTTAATAAATATTTATCACATTCATTTTTTTTTAAAGAAATTCGAGAACATGTCACTAGCTTTCTTTATATTTTTAGATAAAAAAAAATTTAAATAAAACTAGTCTACAGAATTTAAGAAAAAATAGAAATATATTAATTTTAAATAATTACATTTATAATATCGTCAACATTATTTTATTAATTATTTTATTATTTTGGTTTATTGTTATAAACATTTTGATTGGGCTTGAATCCTTTGAAAGGGTCAAATTCATATTTGTTTTGATTTTAATTTTAATAATTCTATTAATTCTATGATGAAGATTGTTATTGATTGAATCCCTTAAAAGGGTCGAATTCAAAATTATTTTAGCTTTAACTTTATTAGTATGAACTTTAATAGTTCTATTATTACTAATTATAATTTCTTGAAGAAGTATTCTGTGGTTTAAATCCATTGGCTTACTATTAATACTTTTCCTTTTACTCCTTGTGAAACTAGATTTCTTTTTCTAGCTTTTCTTGCATTTTTTTAAGCATAAATTTAACTGCTTCTTATTTAACTTTGTACTTGATTTTGTCTTTTATATTTTTTGGTTCTTCATTTAAACCAAACATTTTGTTAAACTCACTAAATTAAGGGTGATTTTATAAGTCTTCTAATTTAATTCCATTTTTTTTTAACTATTGCAAAACCTAATCAAGATCTACATTTTCGAATGGAGAACCTGCTCCAAAAGGGTTTTATCCTCCTCCTGCTTGATGAAAAGGATTTTAACCAAATTAATTATTAGATCCAAAACCTCCAAAAGGATTAAAACCATTTCCACCTTATCCAGAATTTTAACCTTCAGATTATCCAAAAAATCCTCTAAAATTATCATATTCTTATCTTTTTTTATCATCACTTAAGACATCCCAAGCAGCATTAATTTATTTGAATTTCTCTTCGTTCCCTTTATTAATATCTGGATGATATTATTTAGTTAATTTATAGTATTATTTTTTGATATCTTCTTTAGAAGAGCCAGGTTTCACCCCTAAAATTTGATAGTGATCTTGGTTAAATATCTTTTAGTCTAAAAATGTATATCTTTAGACATTATGCAACCTATTTATATTCTTTAAATTAATTTTGCTATTTAAACAACTATTATAAAACCCTTTTAAAAATATTCTTCCAATCATTTTCAAACCACTCTAATTTTAATTGGATATTTTAATATTCACCTATATTTTTTAATGCTGAATTTATTTGATTAAATTAAGAATGTGTTTTGTGATACAGTAATATTGTATGAATAAAATGTATCGTTTTAATGCAAATATTGTTAAACTAGTGCATAATTTACTTTGGAAAATTCTAAATTAGTATCATTAATTTACATCAAGGCATTATTTTTTTTTAGTTTAAAAACATAATTATTTTAATTTGTTTTTCATTTTCTCAAACAAATAATTTTATTAAGAGCATGCAGATTATAAAATTTTGTTCAGGAAAAATATTTTCAAAAATAATTTAAACAAAAATTTAAAAAATAAAACAAATAAACAAGTCTTAGAAAGCTCTGCGTTATTTTATTGATTGAAAATATTGGCTGAAAGTTAATAATTTTTTGATTTTATTTTATGATAATTTCAATTTAATAATTAATTAAGAATAATTAAGAGTGTTTTTAAAGCAAAGTAGACTTTTGGCTTTGATGAAATAATTATTCTAACAGAGTGGACAGAAAAATAAAGATTGCTATTTTTTGTCAAAAGCCTCTTCACCATAAAATTCAAACAACATGTAAGATAGTGCAGAATTGTATTATAAAAAAAATAGTGTTGAGCTTTCCTATTTAACAGATCGATTTATTGATTCCCATCAAAGCGTTAATGAATTGGAAAATACTTCCAGCAATAGGAAAAAATCAAACACATTAAATATAACTAAAGGAAGCGCAATCGATGGAATAATTACTCGTAATTCGCATGCAAATATAAAATTTCCTAGTCCTAGCAACTATGTTAATCTTTCTTATTAAAAATTAAAATTGTTAAATGCTAATGAGCCTAAAAAAGGATATGGATAGGATTCAGTTGTTTCAGATAAGTAAATGAAATAAAGCAATTTTTTAAATACTCAAAAGCAGAGATAAATTAGTTTATGTTAAAATGCAAATATTAATGCTTAAAATAACCAAGAATAAAAAAATAAAAATATATTTATTCAGCTAGATTAATTGAACTAATAGAGTGTCCAATCCATAAGAGATAGCTCAATAGAAAATAATAAATTTTAAGATTACAATTAAGATTTTAACTAATTCATGTAGAATGAATTAATAAACTAAAAAGATGAATAAAACCAATAAAATTTACTTTAGCTGTAACTATCGCCAATAATAAGGAGATACACGTTAGATGCTAAGAGCTAAGCCAAAGCAGGGTTTAGTGACTAATATTACTTAAATAATAATTTTATATAACCTGCAGAAAATTTAGATTATAAATCTCAAAGGCAAGATGTTGTAGAAAAACAGTAAAATTTAAAATAGATAAAAAAAGATAAACTAAAAAAAGTTCAATTATCAACAGACCACGCATTCCATTTTTCTTCTGGAAGGGCGAAGCTTAAAAATAAGAGATAAATGTTTAGTCCATGCTAAAGTGCAAGATACGAGTGTAAAGTATAATTTGAAAATAAATATCTCATAAAAACAGGCTTTATATAACCTAGTGACAAAAATAAAGATGTTTAAATGATTTCAGTTGATTTAATATAAAAAAGAAGAGTTGAGTTAATTCAAAAACTTGAAAATTTATAGAGCCTGAAATAAAAGATTTAACAAGATAAAGAAGATTAATCTTAGAAATAATTAGATGAAAACTCAATCAATATAAATAAAATAACTATTTAACAACCTATAAATGTTATTGATGGAATTTAAGAAGATGATAAGGAAGATTCATAAATTTGCATCAATAAAAATTAAAAAGACCAGCAACTTTTTTCAGAAAAAATTACTAAGCTGAAAATGCTTGATAATTTCAACATTAAAATGAAAGGTATTTAAAACTAAATTAAAGATATTAACTAAATTGTATCGAAGGAAGATAAACTTGCTTACTTAGCCAATGATTTGAACAAATCTACGAATACCTTAGATTAAACTAACAAATCTATTCAAGGGCCTAGCTTTTAATAGTCACTGCACAATTCAAAATTTAAAGAAATTAGCTTAAATAACTCAAATTAATCATTTAATAAACTTAATTCATCTAATTTTAGTAGATTGAATTCATCAAAAAGCACTAGAAAAAAGTATAAGGGTAATTAATTTGACTTACCTGTCTGTAACTCAAATGAGATATTAAAGAGATATAATAAAATTCAATAAGCTTAAAAATAAGCAAATCAAGAAAGCTAAAAAAACGAACTTAAAAATAATGAGAATATTCTTTAAATGTAGAATTAAAATTTTACTAATTAGTTAAAAACATAAAATGAAATTTAAAAATAGAAAATAGACTTAAGCATAGACAGCTATGGAAAAAATTAAGATTTGGAGATTTAACATTTAATTCAAAATCTAAATAATTAGACAGATTAAATGTAAAAGATAGATAAAAAATATCTAATCATAGATCAAGTTTCTTCTAAAAAGTCTCCATTTTTTGCTATAAAAGATAGCAACCAACAACAATAATAAAACGATGTTTAAGTTTTGCCAAAATATTAATTAAATTAATAAACCATATTAGATTTATAGTCTTAAAGTTCAATATAAGAATAAAACTTAAATAATTAGAATAATCTTCACTAATAAACATAATCTAGCAGAACTATAAATAAATAGCTTGTTGAAGAGTCTTAAGATGCAAAAAATTAAGTGAGTCAAAATGAAATAAATTAAAAATAGCATAATTAAAAGTAATATGATAAAGAGTTTCTTTCTGCTCTTTTAACTTCATGGCAAGATAAAAAAAAAGAAACAAAAAAACCAATAAGCTCTGGGTTTGTTAAAAGAAGAATCATTTTTTAAAGAAATTAAGTCAATGTTCCTAAAAAAAAGGTAATTAAATAATTTTTTTTTAACATTTTAATTATTTGAATCACTAATTAATCATATTAACTCTAAATTTTAGATAAATAAAAATAAAATAAGAAACAGTTTGCTTCTTTTTCTATAAAAACTAAAACAATCAAAGCTCTAACTTGAAGAGTTTTGTGAGAAAAAAGCTGAAATATTTATGGAAAAACCTCTCTAAAGGCTAGGGTCTTTTGTATTCTTTAAAGCTGTTAAGCATAATAACTTAATTAGTGTTAAAAATATTATAAGTTAGTGCAGATATTTTATATTCGATTTTGACTAAGTAATTTTTTTTATTAGAAATATGTTTTAAAAAGATATTTTTGATTTAGAAAAAGCAAACATGTCTTCATAAAGCTGCAAAAAAGGGATATACTGATATGTTAGAATATTTTATAAGTCTTGGTGCAGATTTGGAGTTCAAAGACATAGCTGGAAGAAAGGCTCTATATTATGCAATTAAGAACAATAAATTACCTTGTATCAAGCTATTATTATTAAATATGGCTAACCCATGGAGTTATGATAATGCTGATTATAATAAATTAATCAAAGATAAACCAGAAATTTAAAAAATTCTTAAGATATTTAGAAAGGTAAAAATTAATAAATTATTAAAAAAATAAACTCAGGTTTATTCTAAAAAAAGATTTTTGTTTTTTTAAATCCTATTTTGAATATCCTTATTTTTAAATTAATATAGTTGCATCTAATTTTGATGTTCACTCCCTATAGACATAAATAACAGCTGATAGAAAATACTATTAAATAGCTATAATATCATGATCTAAAGTGATAAAAAATAATTTCAATTGAAAAATACTTATATTTATTTTCATTAGAATAATATCAAAATTTTTATCGTAATTCAGTTTAAAAAAAAAAATAATTATACAGATATATGCATACATAAATACATAAATTTAAGATTTAAGATTCTAATTATTAAAGTTGTAAATTTAGAATAAGGAAAACGAATGGATGAAAATAAATATTAATTTGTATATGTTTTGATCAAAATAATAAAATTTAATTAAATTAATTTGTATCTTCTTAATCATCCAAATATTATAATTAATTTGATAAAATAATCAATCATTTAATTATTAAATAGTTATTTATTGAATATTTAGCTTATATCAAATAAAACTCAGTTAATCATTATAAACTAAACATTATTTTTGTTTAAAAAATATTGCATAAAAGCATCTATAAAAATTCCTTTTTTAAATTCCACTTTTAGTAAAAATGAATGGTACTATGATGAAAAGCTCTTTGGATTTCAATAAATCCATAGCCAAAAGAAAACAAAGAAGTCTTTCTAATGTATTAAGATTTATTTCTTACTAATATTGTTTAAAACAAATTTAAATGTGAAATATAATTAAATATTTTGAATAGACCAAACCGCGAAGCATTGTTAGTAGGAACTAAGATTTATCTAGCACTTGCAATACATTCAAAGAAACTACTTAATGTTCCCCTGATAAATCTGTTTACTTATAAAATTACTTAATGCTCAATTCTAATGGAAACTATGAGTAAATAAATAAATAAAATTAATAAATTAACTTTAAAAAAACTATTTTTTAATCACTCAAGTACATTCTACTCTATAAAGAATTAGAAGAATAGGTTTGCTTAAAACCTAGTACCCTAGTATTAGAAGTAAAATGGAAGCAAGAATGAAATAAATCACTATATGCCTGTGCATTCAAACTAAATGCATTTAATAAGGAATAAAAAATATACTGAGTAATTAATATTAACTATTAAATAAAACCAAACACACTATTATAATTATATTTTTTATTTGATGAATTTAAAAATATTTTATTTGATATAGAGAAAGAGTACCAGTAGATATACAAACAGGAGAGATATTAAAGAAATAAAATTATTAATAGATGAAAGAATAAAATGCAAACTCAATTTCATAAGTTAAAAGAAATAGAATATATTCTACTTAAAATTCTTAACAAGATACATAAATAGATTTAAACAGGTAGAATTTGTATATATCCAATTATGACAAAGACCTAAGAGTAAATCAAGATATTATTAAGAATAAAAACATTAGACATGTTTCGTAAAAGATTATTTGAAATTCATTCTTTTTAATTTTAATAAAAACCAAATAATTAAAAATAGAGTAAATAGTGATGGCTCACCAGATTGGTTCAAAACATCTATGGGATTCTTTTCTAAGCCATTTGTTCAAGGAAAAGTTTATACATATGCAGGCCCACAGTTTAATATTATCCCATAGAATCAAAAAAGTGTTTACTAAGATTTAAAAATAAAAAATAATAGCAGTGCTTTTAATGATTGTAGCAGAAGAGAAAGAAGTATTTAATATTGTTAACAGAGATAAATTATTAATTAATTTATTTATTTTAAAAAAAGCTAACATTTAAGAAATTAAAAAAGATACACTCAAAATGAGATGGGATGTTTCTGATAATGAAAGAAGCTTTCGTGTAACATAAAAAGTAGGTGCAACTATAAATTATAACTAGAACGATACAATAAGAAATAATGTTTACAGAAGATAGTAAACTGATTTAGTAAGTGATAAGATAGGAAGTAGTCCAAGAAACTCTTCATTACTTAAATAGCAAAGACCAATATAAATAAAGATTGGTCATAATAGTTTTGTAAATACCTAGTAAGTATTTTGATAAATATTTAAAATATTTAAAATTAAAATTAGCACACATTTTGAGTGAGTAAATGAGTGCTAAAGTATAAATTTATAAAATCAATAATAATTTATTTATTCAATCTTTTATTGGAATTTGTTTGCTATTTTTAAGAAAATATCAAAAAAAAAATTTAAGTGAAATTTAATACTTAAAAAATATCATTAATGTTAAATGGACAGATTAAATATATTAAATAATTTAAAGAATAAAAAATATTTTGATTTCGATATAAATATTTTTAAATAAATATTGATTTTTTGCAAATTTTTATACTTAAACAAAAAAAATGTAATTATTTTTGAATTTAAATTTTTATTTCGTTTATTTGTTTAAAATAAATGTGATAAATTTTAAAATAAAATATGTAGAAGAGTAGAATCTACTCAATAATAAATAGATCCTACTTACTTCTAAAAACTACATATAAAATAATCATGCAAGTTAATAAATAGCTCATTCTTATTATTAGTTTTCTTAAGCGTCCTTTTATTCTACTTTTGCAGAATTATCATCAACTTTTTCTTCATAAATTGGCTTTTATTTTTTTTAAGCAATCTCAGTTTACTAAGCTTTCTATTTTTGTTCAGCTTAGGGTTTTTGTTTTTGGTCATTCTATTAATTTTTTTACTTTTATTCTCCTTGTTGCTTCTATTTGTTTTCTCCCTAATTTTTTTGCTTATGTTCTCCTTAAGCGTTTTACTTATTTTCTCCTTGAGGTTTTTGTTATTTTTCTCCTCCATGCTATTTATTCTTTTATTCAGAGTTATTCTTTTATTTTTTTTCTTACTTTTCCTTTATTTCACCTTCAACTTTATTGCCTTCGCTATTTATTTTCTCATTTTACTATTATGTTTCTTTTTGTTTTTATTAGTTTTGTTTCATGTTATTAACTTCATCAGCATCAATACATAAAGTGACAGGTCCATCATTAACAATATGAACATTCATATATGTCTAAAATTATCCTCCTTGAACTTTTTCTTTTTTGTAATGTTACTACATCTTCTCCATAAATCTATTGTAAAGGTCCCTAGCTTCATCTGCATTCATAGAATCATGAAAATCAGGCTTATTTCCTTTCAAAACTCCATATAAAGTAAAGTTAGAAACAACCAAAACTTCATAATTGTTATCTTATACACCTGTCTTCCAACCTCCTTTTCCCTTAGGATTGTTGCTCTCTTTTTGTTCTTCAGATTAATTTTCCATATCAGGCCATAATTTTAATTTCAAAGCTTTTTCAGCCCATTTATCAACTAACTCAGCATTATCACCTCTATGTAAACCTAACAAAATACAAATTCCTGGACCTATTTTGGAGATGAATTCGCCATTAACTTTAACTCCTGCTTCTAAAACTCTTTAAATGATGAGTCTCATAGATTTTAAAAATGAATATCTGTAAAAATTTATAGTTTTTGATTAAAAAATTTATTTTTTTTATTAATTATTTAATTATGAGTCTAGAATCAACTTTATTTTTTCTTTTTTCAAAAATATAAATATATATTGATAGGAGTATCCACTTTTAATGATAGATCCCATGCAAAATTTTTAAGTTTAAAAATGTTTGTTGTTTTCAATTCTTCTAAAAAAGAACAAATAAACATATCAGAAGAAAGAAATATTATTGAAATATAAATTATATATTAAAATATCTATTTAAAATTTTAATTAGAATATACTTCAATATGTTTTGAAGTTAATAAATTAATTAATTTAATTAAAAACAACATCATTTTTCAATATAATATTTGTAAAAAATAAATTTTTAGGTAAAGCTAAGATTTTATAAAAATATACTAAGAAAGTGTAGTTTATTATACATTTATTTATTTTTGAGATTTAAATATAACCAAATGTATTAAATATTAAAAATATAATACAATCTAAAATAATTATTTTTTATAAACTAGCTAGTAATTTACATGCAGTTAGCTATTTGAATTTAACATCTTTATGACTAAATGATATCTAAATTTAAAAGAAATGCTGCTAATAGATTAAATATTCTCAATATTTATATAAAATTAATAATCAGTTATAAATTTATAGAATAAATAAAAATATTTTTGATATTTGTCTTTGTTATTGTGTTGAATTAACAACTTTTTAAACCTATTTTTTTACTTTAAAAATTAAAAGCTAATAAACAAAGTAAAGTTTAGAATTCATTTTTATAACTAAAAATACCACAATTGATTGTAAACTATATTGTTGATTTGGATTATTAGATTTTTAATAAAGTTAGAAACATATCTTATTTATAAAATATTTATTTACATAATATATAAAATAATTAATTACATTTAAGTAAATAAAATGTTATGTAAATTTAAAATAGATAAATTTTTATAAGCAAATACTACAATAAATATTTAAAATAAACAAAGCTTAAACAAGTATATTTTTAAGAACTTATTTCGCATTAATTTTATATTTGAAAGATTTTCTAAGAAAAATAAATAAACATATTACACAAGAAATATAATCTATGCAAATTTTTATTTTAAAAACTAAGTTATTGTTCATCACAAATTCCAATATTTTTACTAAAAAAATTATATATTTTATAAAAACAACTCATTGATTACTAGCAACTTCTCTACCCTTTTTAACTGCTACTGTAAAAGCATCATAAGACTTAATAACTATTTATCTATAAATATAAAGTAAGTTATTTAATATTTTATGCAAACTTATTTAATGAAATATACTCATTCTAAGTAGTGATTGTTACTACAGGGTCTGAATCTTCTTATTGCAATTTCAAATTTTTTGCATGATCACTTAAAAATTTAAGATAAGGTATAGCGTCTTTAGAAAATTATTAGCCTATCATAATTTTTTTATTCATATTTTTTTTATATTATTGAAATGGATTAATTTGGATTACTTTAAGATCCACTCTATGTATTTAAAGGAAGGCCTGTCTTATCTAAAATAAGTACAGTTTTGACATCTTCGTTTTCCCTGCTATATTTTTATGTATAATTAACATTTTAATATAAGAAAAATTGAATCAAAATTCTAAACAAATCTAATTTTCAAAATGTATTAATCAAAATATTTACGCAAATTCATCGACTAAGGAGTTAATTTAATTTTCCATTTACATTTATATCTAATTATTTATCTAAAATTTTATGCAACTAATTTATTTTTTAAAATATTTTTTTTTGAATACTTTTTACTTAAAATATCAATCAAATTTATATTTTTGCTTTTAATAATCTTTATATTTAACTTTTATAATATTGATTATTTTATTGTTAATCAAAACAATATGTTGTCAACTCATTAATAAAAGAAAATTTAGATATTTTGTAATAAATGTTCTATCTCAAAGTATTTTTTGTTTACTCAAAATGTAAATGTTAATGTTAAAAGTATATATTTAAGTATAAATTATTTTAATATATATTTTATCTGAATAGATAAATAAAAATCAATTACAAATAATTGAATTGTTTATTCAGTGTTTAGAAATTGCAAAAGCTTTTATGTTTTGTTTTTCAAATATTTATTTATTGCTTTATTTTGATATGAATTTTATGCACTTGCTTACATAGATGAACAAAAATGTTTTTATTTTGTAAATTTTTTATTCACCTCTTAATAAAAATAATTATCATATTAATTAAGAAAAATTTATTTGTTTTTTAATTAATACTTTACATTTTTTCAAGATTTTTTAGGATTTAGAAATGAGGAAGTAGTAATAAAAATAAATCAATTTAAAAATTTATTAAATTTAAGTAAAAGCTATAATTCTTTATAAATTTCAGATATAATTTGAGGTCAAATTTAAAACATATTCTAAACATTTTAATGATTTTGTGAGTACCAAATATTTATTTCATATTATACTTTAATTTATTGTATTTTTTAAACTTTTTTAAATATTTTATTAAACAGTTTAGCATGAAACTATTTCTTTTTGATAATAAAATATTTATTTTTTTAATTTGTTATTTCTTTCAGTTTAAAATATTTCGTTATTTTAAAAATATTAATTTAAATTTATATGGAATATTAAATAAAGTATGTTTTTTGTTGATATATTATTTATTTTTAATACAGCTTGAAAATATAATTTTTTAATAAATTCTAGATAAAATGTTAGAATATCTAAGATTTAAATAAAAAGGTTTTTATAGTTATTGATATTTTAAACTCAAAAATTTTTAAATATAAATTCTTGACTAAATATAAATTTAAAATTTTAGAATTTTTTAAATAAACTACTTATAAATGAATTTATTTTATTACATATATTTATTTTATTCTATTTCAACTGAATATTAATTAAATATTCTTACTTCATTTTATCTGATGGTAAAACAAATCAGAAATTCTAATATTTTGATTTTTAGAAAATTTTATCAATTAAAATAAGATTTTTTTGTCAAAAAGAAACCATCTCAATAAATAATTTTTCAATCAAATCAGTTATGAATATTGCCCAAAATTTAGACAACTGCAAACATTTTTAGGCATTTGGAGGAGAATATTCCTATAAATACCTTGAATAATATAATAACGAGTTACTTTAATCTCATTCGATAATATTTTAAGTATAAAATTAAAATGATGATCCAAAATAATAGCGCATTAACAAGCTAAAAGAATTAATAAAGTTGTAAAAATTGAAAAATGAATAAAACAAATAGGTCGAAGATATGAAAGAAGTAATTAGATAGAAAATTCTAAAATGTAGCAATAATTTTTAAAACAATTCCAAAAAAATATATCTTCAACTTTTGAACAAATAAAAAGAGTCTTTGTAAAAGTTAATTAAGAAGCTTAATGAAAAATATGAGTAGTAAATTAAAATAAACTCTTTAGGGTAATATTAAAAAGACTAATTAAATCAACTGGCTTTAAATTTGATCGAATAAAATTAGATTGATGAGTCTTTGTTGTTTTCTAAGCGCTCAGAACTTAGAAAGTTGTAAGCATAAAAAATAATTAAGGCTTATGATCTTTATAAATTAAATTATTCTTATGAAGACTTTAGGATATCTGAATTTTTAGAGAGCCATACAATAAGTAATATTGTAGTAGCAGAAGATGATACTTCAAATCAGAGCAGCGAAAAAAATATATGGAAAATTAACTATAAAGCTTAACATTTAAACCTATATTCATAGGAGCATAAGCAAATAATAAATTATTCCTTTGAAAATTTAATCAAATTTATAGAATATGTATTAAGAGTTAAAAATTTTGAAATACCTTTTTATTTTTATTTGGATTAACGCTACAATTTACCAAATCTACTACAGCCATAGTATTCTGAAGAATTAGTGTACATATATAATTCAAATACTTAGACATAAAAGGAATCTATCAAACTTTTTAACGAAAATCTTATGCCTAATTATGAAAACTTTGTCTACTGTTGGATCAACTATTAAATTTTATACAAAAGACTTGGGATGGACTTTAAAAAATTAGTATTAGATTAAAAACTAATATTTCCAGTGCACTAATTAAAAGAATTTTTTTAAAGTGAACTTGATAATATAAAGTCTTAGTTACCATCTGTAGAATATCAAAATATAGTATATAATAACTAATTAATTAATAGTGATTTATTATAAATTAAGTACCATAAAAACTCTTTAAAAGTAATAAGTGAAGAAATTACTATCTTTAGAGATGATCCAAATCTTTAAATAATCCATGACATAAACCAAGAGAGTAAATTGAGTGAAACAGAATAAGAGAATAGCGATTTAGAAAGAAGTTTTGAGTTTATTTGATTAAAAAAAATTATGATTAAATTAAATTGAAGCAGCTATTTGAAATAGAATTTAGAAAATATAAAATTTATAAAAATTATCCTAAATATTAAAAACACGAATAAGTAAAATAAAATCCCTTCAAAAAGTAGTCAGTGTATTTGAACAATAATTATGATATAATTTTATTTTACAATAAAAAGGATAAATTAAAATAATTGAATTTACATAAAATTTATTGTTTACAATCAAACAAATATTCAACAAATAAATAGTTAGTTTTATAAAATTCTTGAAAATTTTTATTAATTAATAAATGGCTGGATTTACAATTACGAATGAGAGAGAGTAACAGCTAATATTTTATTGGTTTTGCTTATATATAGTTATATATGTTATCATTTTAAATTATTTGGAGTTAATTTTAAGAGATTCTTAATTACTTTTCATATCATTTTAATATCATTTTCTTCAAATTTGTTAGATTTACTTACTAAAGATTTAATAGCAGATAAAGAGTAGCTTATTTTTTCAGATAAATAGCGAAAGAACGTTATTGGGGGTTCTCCTCCATTTACATAAAAGCAAAATAAATAGGAGTCGTATTACTTATTTTCAATATTATAATAGTTTTTACATTTTTCGATTTACTAAAATCCATTTTTTAAGTAAAATCGTTCTCCAGATTTATTATACGTAACCATATGCAAGTTAATATATTTTACTTTTTAATTTTTACTGGCTTCTACCTTGATGTAATTTAGTAAATAAGATGCCAAACCATGTTAGCGAAATTCATTTATAACTCCGATAGTTTGAATATATAAACAGTAAGAGTCTGTGCATAAATCTTTGAAGGAGAACTTCATTTCCTTAAAAGTTGTGCTCTTTTTATTATATATTACAGCTGCAATTATATATTTTGAGAATCCAAATCTTGATAGATCAAGTTCAAGAACTAAATTTTTATTATGTGTTAGCATATTATCATAATATGATTATTCATATTAAATTGGAAACCACTCAGAATGGAGAACTTATATTTATCGTATATCATTACTATTAGTCATTGTTCTAGAAATAATATCTTAACTAGTATCTATTTGACTAATGTCTATTTTTTACAAAATGGTATGAACTTCTGCTAGATAGCGATAGTTATTTTTTGTATTAGGAGGATAGGACTCACTAATCCTTTCATACTATATCTAATTTGTTTGATCTTCTAAATCTATCTCTTAGTATTTCATTTCTTAATTAGAAAATTTATAAAATTTACTGATTTAAATGTTAATTTTTTAACATTAATTGTAATAAATAATAAAAATAAATGATCAAAACTTTAAAATGAAAGTTACCAGAAAATAAAGGATTTAACATAAACTCAAATATTTAATGTAAAATAAATATAAGTAAGTTGGCTGCATAACAATAAATTAATAACTAACTATTGGTAGTAACTTTTTATATACATACCCCAAATCAATTAAATGTGACATAAAATTGTTATAATATAATAATTTAAATGTATATATTTATTTATATAGATGTTGATTATTTATTTATTTATTTTTTGGTTGATTTGTTTGTTGTTCTTTGATTTCTAGTTTTATGTATGGGTAATAAATTACTTTACTAAGCCTTTTTCATAATAAATATAAAGATATTTTTACTTATTGCAGATAAATTGGCAAGCAGCATTTGTTTGTATTTGTTTTATAGAAAATGTTCCTACTCATTAAATAAGTGTTTTTGAGAATTGAGAAAAACTATCCGACAAGAAAGGAAGGTAGAAATACTTAGTTATCTATCTATTTTCTTGATTAGTAAGCAAACCATTTATAATATATTTACTCATTTACTCTATATTAATATTATTTATATATACTAAGCTATTTTATTTAGATTGTATTAATTTATTCTGAGATTTATGTATTTGTTGATGAATTAACAAAATATTAATTAAGTAGCAATAAAAAAGACACTAATAACAAATCTACCTCTAAATAAGTTACAACTCTCCTTCTTTTTAAAAAACAAATTATTTTTATTTAACATTTAATGAATAAAATTTACCTTATTTAACAAATAGGCATTATCCTAAAAAAATAATGAGCTAATAAGTATTTTGTTTATTTATGTGAAATAATTATCACATTCAATAATTCTTCTTTTTATACATTGTTCCAGTTCCAAAACTCTTTTTAGATTAAGAATTTTAGTTAATAAAAGCATTTCCTACTTAGTTCACAGGTTAAACATTATTGTAGTTATATGTATTAGTGTTATAAATGACATTCAAGTTTTGTATTTTTTGCATATTTATATCATTTAGGAGTTTTGATGCCGTCATGCCATTAGCTCCTGCAGCTCCTGTGCTTACATTTATCTTTTGATTTAAAATTAATAAAATTTTAAAAAAACAATTTCTTTTGTTAAAAATGTTAAATTTATAATACTTAATTTGTTGGTGATTAGAAATACATTTTATTGTAATTTTATGTACTACCAAATGACATCTTTGAATGATGAGATGAAGGTGACCCTCCCTGTTAAGTGAAGAGTTAAAAATTAAAATTTTCTTATCAAATCAACATTAAATATTAAAAAAATGTTCAAAATTTATTACCTTTTCATTATTAGTAGCAAATTTTTTATTGTGATTATTAATAGTAGGCAAAGCGCCACCTGATATCCCTAATGTGCTCATTCCAATAGTTGAGTTATAACTGCTCTTTGGATCAATCTAAATTATCAAATTATAAAAGATAAATAATTTAAAAACAGCAATCACAATTTTATAAATGATGATTTTTTTTACTCTATCAGAGATTTAAAGTCCTCCTTAACTACCATGACCTCCAATGATGGAATGGTAAAAAGTTTTATTGATTTAATTTATTTACTTTGGAAAGGTAAAAATTTTTAATAAAAAAATTAAACATATGAAATTACTTGATTTTTTTTGAGGGAAGAGCCAGCTGGACCCATTTTAGGTGGTTTTTAAACGCTCATGCTGTCATACAAGAGTCTATTCTTAGTGTTTTCAAACTAGTTGCTATTCTGTAAGTTATTCAAAATAAATATTAATTAAATTATTACTTACTCAAAATTAAAAAATAATATTTACTCTTTTAGAATTTCCATTCGCTTCAGTAAAGGATGAATCATCTTTATCAATATTGTAATTATAAACGGTGTTCTGCATCATCTTAGAGTTTTGTAAATATTGAGGTGGTAGTTTGTTTTAAGAAAAATAGTTCTTCCCAAGTATCTAATAAAATTAATATTTTTAACTTTAGCACTAAAATTTGTAAAATATACCTTTTAAGATTAATTATTATTTTCTTTGTTGAGCTTAGCATATATTCCGTTTTTTTAATTTTATTCGTGGTGGATGGTTTGGCTCTAAGTAAGTTATATAAATATAAAATATTCAAAGATAAATATAATGTATTAATGATTTTACTTTCTTCTCAAATTAAGAATCTCTCTCATCTTGATCTTCATTCTTTTTCTCACTTTTTTAATTAAAAATTATGAATTATTTGATTTATTTATTCAGTCATTTTACTCAATATTATTTTTAGAACCATAAGAACGGATATTTTAGTTTTCTTGGTTTTTCTCTATGGATTTATTGTGCTGTGATTAACTATTGTGATCATTATCATCATCATATAATTCTCTTATGCCATCAAATAATGGGTGAGCCATAGCTTCTTAGACATTCATTCTTTCTCTTGGATCCATTTTCAGAAGTCCCTTCATAAATGTTAAAGCTTTTTTAGATAATTTTCCTAGATACCTCCTTTCGATTGTTTCAGGCTTGGGAATCTCAGGAAATTTTAATCCTACATACCTTGGATTTTTTATAAACATTTCCTTTTAGTCTGGTGTAAGTGGTCCTAATAATTTTTAAATCAAATATAGCTAGTCAATTTCATTTTCACCAGGGAATAAAGGCTATCCATCTATTAATTCACCCATAATACAAGCAATAGCCCAATTATCTACAGGAAAGCTGTAACCAGGATCACTTAATAGCAATTCAGGAGATCTGTACCATCTTGTAGCTACATAATCTGTTAAAATTTCATTTTATTTTGGTGGCATATGCCTAGCAAAACCAAAGTCACATAATTTTAGAGTTCCATCACTATTTACCAATAAATTCTCAGGTTTAATATCTCTGTGAATAATATTATGTTTGTGACAGTGATCAAGAGCTTTCAATAACTAATATATAATTCTCCTAATGAATTCAGGCTATTTAAAAATAATATATTAATGTAAATAAATTTAAATAAAATTTTATAATGAATTATATTAAAATTTCTATTATTTTTTATTTTACTATACTATGAAGCTACTTTTATTAAATTACTTATTTAAAAAATAAATTAAATAACTAAAAAATTTTATAGATTGTACTATATATTTATTTATCAAAATTAACTCCTAAAAGAATAATCAGTATCTTATTTAAATTAAATGCGTTATACATGTTTATACATTTTACTTTAAATAGCTTTTGAAAAAAAAGTAACTTTATACTTTGCGATTTCTTTAATTTCATAATTTTTTTAATGATAAAATAAAGACAAATTTTGTTTACATCTAATCCGCTAGGCTTTTCTTCAAGGACTTCTAATAAATTTTTTTCAACATACTCAAAGACCAAGTATATTCTTCCTTTGCTGTTGTTTAAAATTGAATAATTATTATAGATTCAACTCATTCATATATCAATTTATTTTATTGAATCATCACTAATAGAATTGATTTTTCATTAGTAAATTAAAAGCTATTTAGTATTCTGATAGTAGAAAACTTGAAAATAACAAAAATAAGCATTTATTAGCTCAATAAATTTATTTAGCCTTTCGAAACATGCCTTTTAAAATTTTTATAAAGACATTTGTAAACAAGGGTTTTTAGCATAAATGTATTTTTTTAGCTTTGCTAGTTTTTTATCTTTTGACTTATTGAATAGCTTTGTATTTGAAGTAATTATTTAAAGTAATTAATAATACCGCTTGAACGCTTCGACAAGGCCTACTATATTTTTGTGCTTAAGAGTTTTTAACATTTTTACTTCTCTCTATATATTTTTGCGAACTAATTCATCATCCTCAGTTTCTTTAAATTTTTTTATAGCCACTACGATTATTATAAAAATATTTAAACAAAGGATACTAAATAAAATGTTATTAATGTTTAGTGCCAAAATATGTAAAAAACCAGTTCTTTTAAATAAAGCATAAACTATTTGTTCTCATAAAAACTTACAAATTTCGTTTGTTTCGCGATTTCTACACTTGAGGACTACACCATAAGCACCTTCTCCAACGACTCCTAATATTTCGTATTTATTCATAATTCAAATACTACTTTGTCAAATAAAATATTTGTAAAACTTCTAATTCACTTAATCGATTGATACCTCTCTCCTTAATTATATAAACACTTGATTTATTTCAATTTGCTTTGATAATATTAATTTTTAATAGATCAGTTGTTTTCTTTTTCGCTTTGCTTAATCAAACTAATAATTATAAAAATCACAAATGCTTTCTTTATTTATTAACAAATTAATTAATTGAATTTCATGAAAAACAAAAAGTATATTTTTGTAATTAACTTAATTGAAACATCATTCATTTTTAGAGTTATAACTCTTTGCAATATATATTAAAGCCAATTCATCATTAAAAAAAATAGAAAATTTAGCAAACTAATTATTTTAAAATACATAAAAAAACAAAAAAATTAGATCATTAAGAAAAAAAAACTTTTCAAAAAAAAAAAAATTGATATTCAACCAATTTAAGATAATTAACATTAATATTGCACAAATCAATCAGCTTTTAAAAATATTTTAGATTAATCTTTCAAAATTATTTAATATGTTCAAAGTTAAGTATTTAATATAACTAAAAAATAGCTAAAGTAATTAGAATTACTGAACAAATATTTACGTTTATCAGTTCTATTTATTTATAAAATAAATAATTTTTAATTTAAAAATAGTAATAACCAGTTTTCTATTTTAGTATTTGATTTGTTAATTTGATGTTAAAAATCTAAAATACTATTTTTATACATTTCTATTTATATTATTTTTTTGAAAAATTTTTTAGATTTAAATGTATTGCTATCTTTTATTTGTATTAGGGATTATTTCAAATATTTATACCTTCTTGATAATATTTCTTAATATTTTAAATAAATTTATCAGAATTAAAAAAATAGATTATTAGATAAGAAAATTGTTTATCTTTATAAGGATTTTGCATGAGATTTTGTTGTTAAATTATGTTAAAAAATAATAAACAAATAATTTTTAATTAATAAGTAATTGACTGTATTATATATTAGTTTTGATTATTTAATGGATTATGCATTTAATTAAATTATCCTTGACAAAGAAAGTCCAATCAATAACTCATACATACTATTTATTTTTTTTAAAATAGATTTTTTTTAATTTTGTTTTTTATTATTCTTTTGTAAAATGAATGACATTTTTGACGAAGTCATATTTTTTATATCAAAAATATAGTAGTAATAAAGAAGATTAGTAAATCTGAAATTTTTAGTTTAAGCTCATCGTCTCTAAAAGTATTTAATAATTTAAGTGTATAAAGAATTAGAAATTTACTGAATGAAAGAAGACCATAAAACTCAAAATTATAAAAAATTGATTAAACTTATTTATTGAATTTGTCGATATTAACATAATAATTTAATATATTAATTCATAAATTTACTTATATTTGTTACTAAATTATTTAATAGAAAACGTTAAGAAAATCAATCAATTGCAAATAGCTGAAAAAAAAATCAATTTATTAGTTATAAGATAGAGCTATTTCTTAAAAGTATAGATTAAAAGGTCATAAAATATAATTCTACTCTTTAAAAGACAAAAAAATATATCGTTTTTATTAAATATTCTATTTCTAAATGGGAAATTGTAATTTCGCTAGTGAGCAAAATTAAGATGAGCTATAAAGTAAATATATCAAAATTAGAATAAAATATAAAGAATCTTTTAATTATTCAAACTAAATATTTTATTATTTTATAATTTTAGCTTATATAACGCCTAGGCTATTTAATTTTTTGTATGTAATTGGGAGAGGAGGCTTCGGAAAGGTATTTATTTATTTTAATATCCTTTGAATTATTTGCTGCAATTATTACTCAATGAAATTCTAATATGTTCTTCTTTCAGAGTTCTAAATTATGATGAATTGATTATAAAAGAATATAAATGTTGAAAATTCATAGCAAAAAATTAGAATTTTAAATATAATTTTTAAAAATATTTTTTTGTATTTTAAAAGGTATGGAAGGTTGAACATAAAAAGACTAAGTAATTATATGCTATGAAAGAAATGTCTAAAGCAAAGTAAAATTATCTTCTATCAAATTAAAATAATAAAATGGCAACTATGTATACTTATCTTATATTTAAAAATAAAGGATTATAACCAAAAAAAGCATAAATTCTGTAATGAATGAAAGATATTTACTAAGCACTCTTAAAAATCCGTAATGAATAACACTTTTTAATAGAATAAATTGATAGATTAAAAATTAATAACATAAACTAATTACTTTTTTAGTAAATTATTATTTATTAAATCAATAAAGATTTATAGTAAATATGGTTTGGGCCTTTTAAGACAGGGAGAATTTATATTTAGTTATGGACTTATTAGGAGGTGGAGATTTGAGATATCACATAGGAAGATAGAAAAAATTTACTGAAGAATAAACAAGTAAAAATTTATGTCTATTTTTCTATCTATTTTACATATATTTTTTTATTAATTATTTCTTTTTTATACTTGACTGAATAAAATTAACGATACAAAAAATAACCAAATGTTTATTTCAAAAATATTAAGGAAAAAAAAATACATATTAATTTCTAGAACAAAAGTTTTAATCAATAAAATATCTCTGTAGAATATAATTTAATTAACAAAAATTTTTAGCAATAGTCTCTTTTATCTTAGTAACGCGCTTACAAAAAAAATTAAATAATATATATAAAAAATCAATAACCTATTTTTTAAAATAGAGTTTTTTATTGCCTGCTTGGTACAAGCTTTAGAGTATCTTCACTATAATAGTATTTTACACAGAGATGTAAAGCCAGAAAATTTGGTGTTAGACGATCAAGGATATCTGCGCTTGACAGATTTAGGTGTTGCAAGAATATGGAAACCTGATAATTAATCAGACACAAGTGGCACTCCTGGATATATGGGTAGTTATTAAATTTATAATTGTAATTAATAATTAATATTTTCTATGAATAATAATATAATTAGCTCCTGAAGTTATGTGTAGACAAGTCCATGGGTAATCTTTGTTCAAAAATTAATTATCTTTTTATATTATTTAATTTTAAAAAAGCGTTGCAGCTGATTATTATGCAGTCGGCGTTATAACTTATGAATGCATGCTTGGAAAAGTAAAGATTTATTAAATTATTACCATTTATTTGTGTTTCTCAAAAAATTTAATAAATATTATAGAGGCCATATATAGGAAGAACACGTAAGGAATTGAGAGATTAAATAATTGCAAGACAAGTATAAGTTAGAAAGAGTGAGATTCCTCATGGTTGGTCTCTAGAAGCTGCTGATTTTATCAACAAAGTAAATAAACTTGAAAAGGATAATATTAATTCTAAAAAATATCAAAAGACTATTCAGAGAAAACCCTAAAATAGGCTTGGATTGAATGGACCAGATGAAGTGAAAGAACATCCTTGGCTAAGAGATTTTCCATGGTAAAAATTAGAAAACAGAGAACTTGAATCCCCATTCCTACCTAAGGTAAAAAGCAAAAAAAAATATAAAATTCATATATTCTAAAAATTTTAAAAGTCGGAAGACAATTTTGATGCTAAGCAAATGGAACCCAGAGATAAATAAGACACAAATCCTGAACTAATTTAATAAAATTAATTGCTTTTAAGAAGAAATTCAGTTTAAGGTAATTTAATATGCAAACAAAATGTTATGTTTTATAAATAAATTCATTTTTTCTATAAATTAGAATTATTTTAAGGATATGAATATGAAAAAGAAATACAGTAACACTCTAATAATTTTTAAACTATCTCAGGAAATAATTCCACAGCTGTTACTGCTAGGTATACCTAAAGTAATACCTATGCAAATTGAAATAAATTTGCATTAATAACCAACTAACCTTAATTATAAATACCCATTTTAATAATTAAAAATTAGTGGCTTTTAAGAAAATGAATGCTATTTCATTAAATATGTCACTATTTCTGAAAATTACTTAAAAACAATAAAAAATAAATAAAATCTATAAATTTTAAATAAAGCTCAACTTAAAATATTAGCTTATATATCAATTAACCAATAAATTAAAGTACTTTATATAATTTTCCGTTTAATATCTTTTTCTTCTTAGTCTTGTGTACATAAAAATTTCTCATAAATAGAACAGTTAAATCAATTCTGCTATGAAATTAACTTTTTATTTATTTATTTTTTTTTAAATTTATGCTTCTAAAATCTACAAACTAAATTTTAAACATAAAAAAATAAAGGATTGTTAGAATTTTACTTTCAAAAGTGAATCTAAGATAATAAAAGTTTGGTTTTAATAAACAAATAATATATTTTAATCTAATCAATTTTGTTGGTTTATTAGGTACCTTTAATTTTATAATAAAAATATTCTTAGATTTTAAAATAATATAAATTCTTTCTAAAGATTATGAATACGATAATAATTAATCAAAAAGTAATTATAAAAAGAAAAACTTTAAAACTATTTAAAATTAAAAAAATTTATCAAATATAATAGTTACTATATTCAAATAATAATCAAATAAATTCATAATTAAAGATTTTATTTTATTTTTTATTTTTATTTTATATTTCACTCAGATACTGCATTATCTGATTTTTCTTGTACCTCTTCTTCAACTAAATTGTTTTGTTCTGTGGTGTCTTTTTAATCACTATTTTATAACTCTTTACTTTCATTTATTTCATTTTATATCTCAATTTCTTCATTTAATTACTCTTATTTTTAGTTTTATTCATCTTAATTATCATGTATCTCATTTTATTAACTAACAGTAGTTTCTTAAACTTCCTCTTCTTTAATTTATTCTTCTTCTACTTATTTTAATTATTCTTATTAAGATTCTTATGTTAGTTCTTCTTTATTTTGCTTTTCTTCTGTATTCAAATTACTCAATTCTTCTTCTTCAGTTGAGACCTCTTAAGTTTATTGTAAATCAACTTAGTTACTTTATTCTGCTTATGATTAAGTTTATTAAGTAACAGTTTCTTCTTGTTCATCATCTAATTATTCTTATTTTAAATATTATTCAGCACACTATGCTTCAGTATCAACAATTTATTGCTCAACTTGTTCTTCTTCAGTTTTTGTTTCTTGTTATGCATTTAATTATTCAATCTATAAATTAGATTCCATTTCTGGTTCTGTAGCAAGACAATTCTATTCAACTTAAATCTCTTAGCTAATTAGTCGAGCAGTATCTCCTTAATTTACAGAATTTTCAACATCTTCTTCAACATTCTCTTATTTATTTCTAAAATAAATATAATTTTTATAAGTATAATTAAATAATAACTTTATTACTCATAGATAGGTAATGTGGATTTGCTTAAATTTTCTTAATCTTAAACAAATTAGACAAATTTATTCCAAACTTCTTCTGTGACATCTGACTAAAATCTATAAAAATTTTTTTAAAAAAATGATTAATTTTTAAGTAAGAACAACGAACGATTAATAAAATACCCAAATTATAATACTAACTCTTTCAAAGAAGGGAAATCAGTTAAGTATGAGACTAAAGTGCTGATTAGCATATTGCTTACTTTTAGTTGACTAATTTTAAAATTGTGAATTAAAAATGATTATTTATTTAATTAATTTATTACCCTAATGAGATGTTAAGTTAAGCTAAGCTATTCCATGATTTCATAATATTTATAAGGCTGATTGTTTCTATTTCCCATGTTTTTTCTATTGACTCTGATAAAAGTTGACTTCCTATAGAAAGCTAAAATCTAGTCATATTATTTAATCTACTTAAAGCATTGTTTAAGACTGTTAAGCTGAGTGGTGTTAATTTATTATTTCTATCATTAAATTAAATTAAAATAATTATAATTATTATTAAAAGTTTATTCAAATATTTTACTCTAATTTTAATGTGAGATCAATCAAATTATTACATTTTGATAAGAATTAGCTTAATTCATTTATTTTATCGTCTTCTATTTGGTTATTACTAAGAGAAAAAAATAAATATTATTTCTGCCAAAAATTCAAAGAATTAATTTACGATAAATCCAAGGTTAAGTGAGTCAGTGAAGTGAAAGCTTCAAGTTTCTAAAACAATGTCACATTTTATTGATTCCCTAAGTTTTTAGAGCTTATTATTTTATTTAAAATTGCATAAAAAATTAATACTTTTAATAATTAAAATTACTTTAAATCAATTCTTAAACGTTGAATACGAGAAATTTATTTTTTAATAGCTGAATCGTCTAAATTAATTAAAGGAATTTATTCAGCTTCTTAATTTTAAATTTCTTAAACGTTATTGCTATTATTTGTTTCATTAACTTAATTAGTTGATTCCACACCTTATTGGGAAGAGACTGTATTTTCTTCCTCTATTTAGTTTTAAACTTCATTTTCTTAATTTTAATTTTAAGCTTGAATTGCTTCTTAATCTAAAGTTGATTCTTAAGACTCGTGCTCATTTTGATCTTACTTTTTAGCACTAGCTTAATGGTTGTTAACTATTTCAGCCTCTTAATCATTCTCTAAAATTTCATATTCATTTTCATTAAAAGAGTTCTTTAGTGGACTGCTGATATTTTATGATTCATTTAAACTCTCATTTTTAGCTTCATTATCGCATTAAACTAATACATTTTGTTTTTCTACCTCTTCAGTATTTTACATTTGATCCTCTTCCTTTTCTTTTTCAAGAGCTTAATCTGTGTTTAAAGTTTTATCATCTAATATACTTTTAAAAAAATAATCAAATTAAAGAACTAAAGACAGTAGAAAATAGAAACTTATTTAAAATTTCTTAAAGTTATACAAAATTTTTTAAAAAGTTCAGTAGAAATTAATTATTAAATGTTTGAACACTTTTTATTTTATTCAAATTTACCTGAACTTAGTCACTTCATTGAAAAACTACTCACTGAAAGCCTCAATAAGCCATGTAATAGTCTTTCTATCTTAAGGAAGATAGCAAAGCATATTTTCGCATATAAAGCTAGCTAAATCTTAAAAGCCTTCCTTTACCTAAACTCCTTCAAATATACCTGATTTTAATTTAATTGCAGAAACGATATTAATTTCTTAACCTATCAGCTCTAGGAAAATTACACCTAAACTGAAAACATCAGAGGAGTTACTAATTTCAACTTAGCCCTTACCATCTATCAGGCTTGTATATTCAGGAGACAGATAGTTAATTGAAAGGAATCTATTGTATTGTTAAGGCTTGTTATAAATTTTTTAAGATAGTTCAAGGGTGAAGCTGCTATCAGAAATTTTGATGGTATCGTCTTCACTGATTAAAATATTACTAGATTTTAGATTGTGGTGTTAATAGCCATTTTCTTGTAATTCAAGAAGACCATTTAGTGCCTAGATAAAGTAGACAAGAACTTCAGATTTGGTAGGATTAGCTTTTCCTTCCTTAATTTCAGCAATATACTATTAAAGAGATTTCTAGCAAAGTTCCATCTCAAAAGCTGTAGCCACATGATCACCATTTTCGGCTACTTTCTTAATTTAGAATTTTAAAACATTTTGGGAGTTTTAAAATACTTTTGTTTGGTTAACTTGATTAGCTATTTGATCATATAGAGTTTGAGTGCAGGAAAATGATTTAATCACTATATTTTAGCATACATCATCACATTTCTAGGAAGCTTAAAAAACAGGTCCTAAAGATCCATAACCTAAGCTCTTAGTTATGACAGTATCGCCTGTTGAGTAAATGTCAAAGATATCATTAATACTTATTTCTGTAATTTCAGGAATTTAATTTAATTCAGCCATTTTTTTGTTGAGTTCAGTATATTTTTTTCTTTTTTGCCTTAATTTTCTTTAATTTTTTTAAATTTTTAAATTGAGTTAATCTTTGTCCTCCTATTTAAAAAAAACAGGAATAATATATTTAGTATTTCGAATTTTTTAAAAATAACGAGCTTATTTAGGAAGTGATTTTTTCGAACAGAAAAACTAAACACTCTAAATTTAAATAGAATTTTTAAACGATCGATTATGAAAAACATTGATTTGAATTTATATATTTATTTTTTGAATAAAAAAATCTATCAAAAATAATTGTACTGAATTTGTTAATTATCATTGAAGATAAAAAGACTATTTCATCATCTGTATTTAACTCGTTTCAAGAATTTATAAAATTTTATATTGCTTTAAAATAATAAATTTAACAAAATATTCAACAAATAAAATATAATTACTTTTCAAAGTATTCATGAAAATATTTTACTATCTTACTAAAGTTTTAAAATACTAATATATAAATGAAGAAATACATTTTTGACTTAAATTTATTATAATAATTAACTAAAATTAATCCTTTTTAATTTAAAAATTATTTTTTTTCTGCATTTTATTGGGTTATCTAACCACATTTAATTCATGATAAATTTAACACTTGATTTATTAAATTAAACTTTCATATTTTAAGAAATATTTTTAAGCTGATTATTTTGTTTGAATTTTTCTATGTAAAAAAAATTTAAAAACATTTTATTTTTAATTAAAATTTTAATTTTTAGCAATTTATTTTAATATTAATTAAATTAAGTTTTGACCATTTTCAAATATTTTAAGGTTGTTTGAAGTTACTTCTTTGAGCACTGAAAAACCCGTTTTTTCTATTTGATCTTGCTGTATCAGCCATCTTTTATGAGCCACTAGAATTAGTGGAATTCAAAAAATTTCCATAATAAAATTCTTATTCAAATTTTTCAGAGTCAAATTCAAAATCATTTTTAATTTCAAAAGTACTATTATTTAAGCTATGGTTTTAAGGTTATGATTTCTTTCTAAGCTTTCTAAATTGTTTATCTATGCTTCTCTCTTGCTTGCTCAGTTTGCTAATTTATGGAGCTATATTTATTATTTTTTTAATTATGTCTTAATCTATCATTGTCATCTAAACTTCTTCCTCATTTAAAGTGCTCTTGTTGTGATTAACACTGTTATTAAAATTACTATTATTATTGTTATTATTGTAAACACTTTTTTGTTCTGAAGGGAAATTATAACTGGGTTAAGGGCAGTCTAAATCTTGATTTGCAACATATCCTTTGCTAGCACTGATTGAAGTATATCCACTATCAAATTTGTTAGCTAATTATGGATCTTGGTCAGCAATTTTATCAAACAAGGCTTAATATTAGTTTTAAAATTGATTTTTTTAAACTGGAGTGGATGGTGAAAGAGTATTTTGATCATTGTTTCTTTGAGAATAAAGTGTTTATGCTTCTGGATTATACGATAAATATTACTTTGCACTAATTCTATCTTATTACTATTCTTTTTGATTAGAAGAAGAATTATTATTAACATTTTTTCTTACATTAACACTTTCATAACAACCAAGATATTATGAATTTTCTTTTAAGTTATTATTCCCAATTTCTTTACTCGCATCAAAACTTTAAATAGTATTTTTACCTGATGATTCTTCAAAGTTACTGCCTTATTTTATTTCTATATTAGGTCCATATAAATTATCATCTTATTTATTATACAATTTGACTCTAAAACCATTTTTATCTCCTCCAATAGCAGTTTATGGTGGAAGAATCACTTAGCCATCAACTAAAGGATTTTGATAATTCCTGTTATTTGCACTTGAAGAATTAACGCGACTAGGATGATTACTAACTTGATACATAAATCCTTATTTAGTTTTCACTGGATTACTTCCGTTTGATGGAGTTATTGATCTTTACTTGTTGATTAACTAATTTGGTTTTTTTGTTACTAAATCAGACTAATTTATTAAATAATATTCTTTTTTCTTTGGCTTGATAACTCCATTTTATTGCTGTGATTATAAACTTAGATAGTCTAATTATAAAATTCCCATTAAGTCTTATACTTATTGAGATAATTTTGGTGCAGCATATTTTCTTTCTTCTAAAATATTTAAATTGACCATAATTTTAAGCAAAACTGATTTGAAGATTTATTCATTACAGCTTTGCCCGTCATATATCTTAATTACTCTTTTACTTAAAACACTAATAAGCTATTCAATTAAATTTTCATAAAGTTGCTATTATTATCTTGTTGCAAACCCAGAAAAGAGAGTAGACATTTTGCTTTACCTAATAATTGTCTACCTGGCAAACTCTATTTAAATAACTAAAAATTGTGTATAAATTCTGTTAAAAATATCTTAATAAACTATAATTTTAAATACAGAAACTTTAAAAATTATTGACTACTAATTAATATTTATTTAGATGGATGGATAAAAAGTTAAATAAATAATAATTATCTTTTATAAATTAATGTTATACTAATAATAGCCCTTTCCTTAACCAAAAAAGTATTTAGCAAACACCACTCAATTATTTTATAAATCATTGATTATCTGATTTAAGATGGATAAAATGGACTAAAAGCAAGCCAATAAAATTTTTTATTTAAAAAATATGTTTGTATTTTAAATTATTTTATTTTTAATTTTTAAAAAAAGTAAATAAATATGCTAAATTAATTTATTTGAATTTTTAAAAATACTAAATTTAATAATAATAATTAACTGTATATTATAATCTATTTTTGAAAATATTAAATGATAATAGAATTTAAATTAAAATAAATTATAATATAAATTATTGGCTAATTTATTTAATATATTAATAAATTTATTGTAAAAATATGAATATTCAACCACAAATAATTAGATATGTTTAAATTATTGTTTTAAATAAAATAGCAATTAAGTTTATTACCTATAATAAGCAATTTATAGATATATTTAATTAATTTAAAATGTTTGTTTTAACATAAAATATTTAATTTTTATAATTGGTATTTATTAATGTTAATTTGATGGTAAGTAAATTTAAAAAAATATAAATACTCAACCACAAATAATATTAGATATGTTTAAATTATTGTTTTAAATAAAATAGCAATTATGTTTATTACCTATTTTTAACAATTTATAGATAGATTTAAGTAATTAAAATTGTTTGTTTTAAGATAAAATATTTAATTTTTATAATTTGTATTTATTAAAGTTAATTTGATGATAAGTAAATTTGTATTTTTATGTATGGTAAATATCTAATTTTATAATATGTATGATATATATTTGGTATATTTGAATATGTTTTATAGATTGTCTCTCTAGAACAATATTGATTGGTAAAATCAAATAATTACCCTTTAATTGCAGGTACCTATTTCAATAATATAGATTAAATTGAGTTACCACAAAAGGATAAATTTAAATTTATTTTTATTGTAGCACATAATAATTACAATTTTGAATTACAAATAATTTTGTAAAAATAAATAGTATTTTATAAAACTAACTTATTTAAAAAAATATGATTCTAAAAATTTTAATTCTTTTGAAAAAATTATATTTATGTTTCAGGGTAGATTTTTAAACATATTTATCTGCTTGAAGGTTTTGGTTTACAGTGTAATCAAAAATAATCTTTACTCTATATAGGTAAAACTAAAGGAAAAAATTTGTTTTTAAGCCTTTTGGAGTTATTAAATAATTATGTAAATTAATGTAACAAAATTAGTGTATTACATCATTAAACCAAGTATAAATTTAGATCAAACAGTTAAAAGATGCTTATTTGTCAAACACTTAAAAATATAATATGAAGCCAACTTTTAGGTGAATTTATACATTTAAATTATTAATATTTTATAAATAAAAATGGTAGAAAAATGATTAACAATATTTTTTTATAATGAATGACATATATTTAAAATTTTCTAAATATAATAAATGTATTCATATTTATTTCATTGATGATTTTTTTAATCTTATTTTTCAGCCTCTTTATCTTGTTATGTTTCAGCAGCACAACCAGAATAGATTCCAAAATAATGTAAATGATCTTTCACTGAAAAATTTAATAACTTAGAATTGGCACATAAAGAGCTTTCTCCTTTCTCAGAAGAACTGCAAATGAAAAAAGAAAAAGGATCTTTCTCATCAAATAACCAATATTCAGTTCCTATGTGCTGAAATCCAAGATTATTATATGGAAGATGAGGAACAATATCTTATTTATTAACCAATCTAAAGGAGTTGTTGCCAAATAGTGAATTGGCATAATTTACAAATTCCAAATTTCCAACCCTAGGAGAGCCAAATGTTATCAGTTCAAAGGACTAAAATTTATTCATTAAAAGTTTCTTAAGTTGCACAGCAAAAAGAGTAGCCATAGCACCTCCTAATGAATGTCCTGTAACTAAGATAGAAGTACTATTATATTACTTTTTTAAATTGATAACACACTAATTCAATTCAAATTAAATGCTGTCTAATATATTCATAAACCCTTAATGAATTTTACAATCTTTGCACTAATCATTCAAGTATTTAACTGGAACAAAATTTATGTTGCTCAACCAATTTTAAACTTAGTCTGTTCCTCTAAAAGCTACAATCACAGATTAAGCTTTTATATCATAACCACAATAAGCTTGAGATTGAAATTCTTTATTATTGAAAACTTAAGCACTTCTTAAATCTTAGTGATAAGAGCAAGACCCTCCGCAGTTCCATGTATGTATTTGGCTAGCTTCACAATAGCTAGCTTTGGAATAGTGATAGGCATCTAAAAATTTTTCAGTTAACTCATCATATTCTAAAAAGTTTCTCTTATATAATAAGACGGATGAAAAAAGTATTAATAAAAGAGACCCTGAGAAAAGCGCAATTTTTAATTTAGAAATGCTCATTTTTAATTTTTTTATTAATATTTTTATTAAAATTTAATTATTTAATTTTTTAACAAGAAAATATTTATTTTTTGTAAAGTTAATCATTAATCATTAATTGATTGGATTATTTCTTTGACTATTATGAATTCCTAAATTTTGATAAGGCAAAACGAAAAAGTACTATTAATTGTAGCTCTTAAAAAGATATATGATAAAAACCTAACACAAACGAAAATCATCTAGAAGATTAAATATTGCTTATCATTTTCCAAAAAACAAAATAAAAGATTTCATAATAAATTTTTAAACAAAAATTTATATTCTTGTAGATAAGAAAATGCTTTATCTGAATCAAGTAAAAAATCTCTACTTTTTTAAAGTTTTCCATTAAATAACATATTTTTTGAGTGAAGGTAGTTTTTTATCGAAAACTATTTAAATAAAAACCTTAAGAAAATTTTACTAATTTAATAAAAATTAAAGTAATAAAACATAAAATTTATATCTAAATCTCAATATTATATTTTATTTATTCATGTTAAAAAATATGGTTATTTAGGTCAAATCAAGTAATTAAAGATTTGATATCTTTTAGGTAGAGTAAAATTTTGCACTTTTTTAAGTTTTTGATTATTTAAATACAGCTAAAAGGTATGTATTGATAAAAATTTTCTTTAATTAATAAATGCGCTACTTTTTCTATGATATTATGCAATATTAGTTTGTTTTCACAATAATTTAGTCTCACTTTATCCTATTTAATCAGAAATTTACATTAAAATAAATGATTTTTCTATAGAAAATAAATAATGAGAAAAATAAATGCTAATCATTGCATAGAAGATTAATTAAAACTAATGAATCCTTGTAAAATATTCATGGTAAATTAAATTATATATATTTTTCATAGTTTTACTTTTTCTCATCAAAACTTATTTATTAAATTGTTTTTATTTCTCAAAGAAAATACTATTTAAATAATTAAATGCTAAAATCTAAAAAGACTTAATTTTGATTTGATATAAATTGTAGTTTGTCTAACAGAAAAATTAAATTGATTCTTTAAATGATTTTATAAATTTTATAGTTAGTCATAATGGCATTAATTTAATGCAATCTATATTTATTTTTATTCTATGGAATTTAATTACAACTTACAAGCTAAATTTTTGGTTTATTCAATTCAATTGTTATTAATATCAGCTATTAAATTAGATTAATTGAGATGATGAGCTTTATTATTTACGAGAGATGATAGCATGATTCATAACTATGAGATTGGTATTTATTCCACTTTAAGGAGAGCACTATCTTGCTAATTTAACACATGTTTTAGATTATGTATAGATTTAAGAGTAGTTTTTCATTTAGTAATGTAGATTTGTTAAACTGTTTAAAAAGGAAATAAAATGCTACGAACATGATGTTTGATGTAGGATTGATTCAAATACTATTGAAAAGTATTATCTAGATTTTTCAAATTTACCTTGATTTAGATAAGATAAGGCTATATTTTTAATAGAATTCAAATATTCTTCATTTTTTAATTCATCTTATGTATCTAAAAGTCTTTTTCTGATTGTAAATGAGTCCAAATAATATTTTTATTCTAAATGATATTCATGTAAATAAGAGTATAGCATAGCTACATTATCGCAAGAAAGTGCTACATCTGGATGATATCTTGTGTATAATTTTTCTCTAAGCTTAAGTAGCTTTAATTCATAAGCCAGAGCAGATTTTATGTCTCCTTATTTTTTATAACACTGACTTAAGCTAAGATATGAATCGACAGTATATTCATGTAGAATTTAGTAAATTTAACTAAATATTTTTATCGTCTATTAATAACATTTTATGGCTTCTTCATAATTTTCTAATCTGTAGTATATTGAACCAAGAGTGGAGAGGGATTCAGCGATATCTGGAAAATAATAGGGCAGTATTTATTTTCTAATACCATAAGACTCCTAAGCATACTCAAGAGCTTTTGTGTAATCACTAAGCTTTAAATATGATATTGAAATATTATTTATTGACCTTGCTACTTTGGGATGTAGCTTTGGGTATATTTATTACCTAATATTAAGAGCCTTTAAATCAAATTCTAATGATGTTTCTTCTTAACCTAACTTAGAAAAAGAAACAGCTAAGCTATCATAAGACTTTGCTATTTCATTATGAAATGAACTATAAATCTATTATCTTATCTATAGAGCTCTTTCATAATAAGTATGAGCAGTTATGTGATCTTTCATATGAGTAAATACTATTCCTATTTCTTCTAAAGACCCTGCAATATCTGGGTGATTTTCAGCAAAAAGTTCTTTTCTCATTTCGAAAGATTTTTAAGAGTATTCCAAAGCTTTTTGTAAATCATTTTTTTATAAATAGCTAAATCCAACACAACTAAGAGAGTCAGCAATATCTGTATGATTGTTCTAAAAATTAATCTACCTGAAATTTAAAGATATTTCATCTTCAATAAAAGACATCTCTTAGTTTTGTAAGAAAAAATATACAAATGCTAACTTATTATGAGTGTATGATACTAAAATATGTGAATCGCCAAGAATTCTTTTTTGTATTTCTAAGCTCTTCTGATAAGCTTCTAGAGAATCTGAATACTTTTGTGTATTAACTTTAATTATTCCTAGCTCAAGATAAGCCAATGCCTCTTCAAATGTGTTATTTTTATTTAATTTATTTAGAATATCCATGCATTTAAGAATATGATCTTCACATCTATTTTCTAAGTAAGTTTAAGACAGTACCAAATATTAGCTAGCCAAATACAAGTCATCAACTTTAACTGAAGAATTATAGTGATTAATATGATTTTCAATCCTTTAATATTCTTCCTCAACAGAAATATGTAAATCTGAATAGAAATAAATTAAACTTCTTCTTAATCTATAAGGTAAGTCTCGTTTATATCCATCATATTAAAGCATAAAATCAAATATAAAGGTGCAAAAACTTTTATACAAAGGATCAATATTCTATCTTATAGCAGAAAATTCAGAATTTTTTATATATTGTATTACTTTCTCATTAATTTCAACCTGTAATATATTTAAAAAACACAACCCCATACTGTATACATCTTATTACCACTTTGCATGACTCTTTTAGAATTCATTTGTTTGCATCAAACTTAACTTCTACTTTACCTCAGGTGCTACAAATATATTATATAAATTTTCTTCACTATATAATTCTTGAAATTCTTAAAAACTTAAATTCTATCCATTTAAAAGCTTGTACTTTCCATTAGATTTTCTAAATATATTTGATGGATTAATTTCTCCATGGACTATATTAAGCGAACACATCTCTATAAGAGAATAAATCATATTCATATACATTTAAACTATTTGTTTTTCACTAAAATTAATATTTTATTTTTTCATTTCACAAAGCTCTTCCTCCAAAGTTTCTTCATAATTTTCAAATATGAAAATGCAGATTTTTTCTTGATCAATCAGAATTTGCTTCAAGATTTTTATACAAAACTCAAAATTATTTATAGTTTAGTTTACAAAATAAATTCTCTTCTTTTTTTCGAACAATTATTCATCACAAATTGTAATTTATATTTTAACCTATTGGCCATCACTTAATTAAACTCCATCAAATGTGATTTAATTAATCAAATATGGTTTTGTAAATTAGCAATTAATGCTATTTAAATCTATATTTGCTTAGAAACCTTCTTAAATAAGTAGCTCAGCAATATTATCCAGCATTAAATTTTATATAATTTGTTTAAATAGTTTTTGATTCAAACTTTCAATTTTGTAAAAGTTTTTTCAATTAGAATTTAAGATCTTTTTTAATCAAATTTTTTATAAATAATAATTAAAATTTATAATTTTTGATGTTATTAAAGCATCTAATATTCATTTAATATTTTTAATAAAAGGGTAGTGATAATAGTCTTTTTTATATATTAATTTTTGACATTATTTCTTTATTTAAAGAAAGATTCAAATTACTTATCCACAACAAAAATGTTTACTAAAATCCTTTAAGAATGAAATGTAAATATAATTATTATTCTTTTTAATTTTATTATTGAAATTATTTTTATGTTTTATTTAATTCAATTTAATAACTGAGTAAAATCTTATAAAAAAAATGTCTATTTGATTAAAAATATTTTATTTGATATTTTCATCAGAAATTTAATCAGATTAGAATCTATCAATAATAAATAGATATTAAGAAAGATTTATGAATAATTTTTAATAAAACAAGTTTTTATAAAATACTATGAGAGATTTTAATAAGACTAAATTATTTTGGACAGTAGGGGGTCTTGCTGCATCTATAGGTGCTTTGGTTTATCTTTATAGAAAGAAGAGGCATGAAATAAATGATCCAATTTATATTTTAAGAACATGCATGAATAGGTTCTATTGCTCCCCTTAAAATTAATTTATAAATATGAGCAAAAGATTTAATAAAATAATTGACTTTTTTATTGGAAGCCATATTTTGAAAATAAATGAAGAGGGCGAGGAAGCATCACATTTGTCTTATTGCAAAAATAAAATTTAAATTGAAGGTTTCTATGAATGCCTCACATGCAATAGCAATAATAATGGTACTTCGTATTCTAATATTGAAGCAAATCATATATTTTCAGTAAATTAATATTGTTCTGATTGCTTCGATAGAACTTTTCATAAAGATCATTAATTTAGAAAAAGATAATATAATGGAAATTTAAATTGTGATTGTGGAAATCAAAATAGGATTCCTAAAGAAAGCTTTTGTAAAAATCATGATGGGTTAAAATTGCAAGAAGCGAAAAAATAAACTTAAGATTATTAAGATATGAAAAAAAAATTTATTGACTTATTTAAAGAGGTATTTTATTTTTTGATAGACAAGCAATCTGATTTTATCTATGAATCACATCAGGGAAATTTTGATAAAAATAAATAAAACCATTTTAATTACTTACTAACTATTCTTATAGAAAAAATATAACAGTTAGTTTCAGAGAGTAGCTTGTTGATTGAAGTAGTATGTGAATTACTATGTTCTCCTCTTGGAAAAGCTATTAAGATAGATACTTCTAAAACTTAAAATCTATGCTTTTTGTAAAATAAGGAAATTGATGAAAAAACATCTATTTTTGAGTATTTAGTTATGTTATACTCTTATGTTAATGAAAAAAATGATGATCTAATTTTTAGTTTATTGAGTGATTTAGTAGTTACAAGTTAATAATTTAATGAGTTTACTACTGAAAAGCTACTTAAGCTGATAAAATTTTAATTGTATCTCAAATAAGAGGGAAATAATAAACACATACATTAGGCTTAAATATTTTAATTGTGTCTTTAAGGTTTGTAGACGCTAAGTATTTCATAAAAGATTATTTAAAATAATACTAATGCTTATATGCAATCTCTTAAGTATGTTTATCATATAATAAAAAATATTAGCTTTATAAAGGCTTCTGAATATCGATTGATATACACAGTTTCAGTGATATTATCTTAAGTAGTTTAAATTGTTTCCATTTTTTAAAACAACTTTTAAGTAGTCATAGAATACTCAGTTGAATTAGTAAAACTGCATTCATTGATTTTTGATAGATAAACTCTTAAAGATTTAGATACAAATGAAGATTATTCTAGTTAATTTTTGTAGAAATATCCTCTAATCTTTGGATTTTTTGAGATATAAAAAATTCTGTTAAATTACTTTAAATTGCTTGTTACAAATGCATTATAAAAGAATACAAAAAAATAAATTGATTTATTAATTCACTCAATCTGCTTTTAGTTCGAATAATAAATATATAGGATATACGAAATAAGTAATAACTTTAAAGAAGAAAAGGATGAAGAGTTACTCCATACTTCTGTTTGTCTTTTCCCAATAATTATTTATATAATTTTGTTAAAATCCAATTCATTAGATTTTTCGTTAGAAACAATTAAATAAGCTCTTTCAGATTCATTCTCCTATTTGGAAAAAAGTTAATTGAATAACTTAATTTAAATTATGCTTGCTCTTATGAAAAATAATATACTTTAGTGCTTTGAATATCCTAATACCTATTGGAGATGGTACTTAGAAGTTATTTTTTAACAAAATGAAGACTGCTAAGTCATTCTTAATTCAATTAATAAAACGATGGCTTCAGAAAATAAGCTCTATGATCACTTTATGTTAACATATTAAATACTCTATTTATTAGTGGAAGACTAAGAATAAAATCTATTATATCCTCTAATTTAGAAGTTTGCTGAAAAACCAAAATACATTGAAGAATCAGAGACAGAATTTGGATTTACAGAAAGCTATTACCTTTAAATATTTTCGAATTAGTGTCTGTTTGATTAAACTCCTATTTTAAATATCATTAAATAATTCAATTAATCCAAAACAATTTTAAGTTTAAATGAAAGTGAACAAACCACAATTGATTTTGCTGTCGAAAATACAATTAAATAGATATTACTTTTCTACAAAGAAGAAATTAATTACTTTAGTGAATTAAAAAATTATGTTAGAAGATACATTTAGGTTGATGAGTAAAATTTAGAGAAATATTTAGAAAATGTGCTTTCAATCAATAAAGAAACAGATAAATTTTGTCTAAAAATCAATAACTAAAACTAAACTAACTACTTTAATTTAGGAAGATCTTTTTGTAATATGAGCAACATTTAATCAGATTAATTAGTTATTTTTTAGGGTTCTATTCGACATGAATTATTAGACAATTTATTTGAATTCTAATAGCAACTACTTATCAAATTTTTTTCAGACTCATGGTTACTAAAATAATTTATTCAAAGAATTGAATTAGAAGCAAATAATGATAGTTTTAGTAGCATAATACCATATCTCCATTCTTATGTTTTAGTATTTGATTATATCATAAGCTTAAGTGGAAAAAACTCTAAATTATTTAACAAAAAATAGCTAGAAGAAGTATAAACAATTTAATAAATACTTTATAATAAGGATAATTTTGATATGATTATAAAAGCTATGCAAAAAGTTTTATTAGATCTAAGCAAAGAAGAGGATAATAAGTAATAAATATAACAAATTACTTAAACTCTAAATAACTACCAAAATTAATTTAATAAGCAAAGTTAAACCATAGAGGAATCTGCTCAGCCAAAATAAAATTCAAACGAACACTCAACAGAAAATATTTAAGATTCAAAACATTCAGAAAATGCTCTTGTAAATGAGTAATTTCTAATATCTTTTTCAGATAGCAATTTAATTAATACACAGAACAACTAATGCTGAATAGAATTATATCTAATATATATCCCTATTTATTATTATTTGCATAATTATTTAATAAAAATTGCCATATTTAAAAAATTTCAAACTAAAAAAAAGTAAGAAAATCAGTTTATATAGTGATTAATATTTAATTATTCAATAAATAAAACTAAATTTAGAAAATCAAATTATAAGTTTAAAATATTTTAAGTTTAAGTGATTAAAAATAAACAAAACAACACCATAATTTTTTATTATAAAATATAAATTAATATAAATATATAGATAGGTATATAGATAGTATACATGATAATTATTTTAAAATTATTGGTAGATTTTATTATAATTATAATTGTTATTTACAAACATAGTAATTAGTCAAAATTGTCAAATCATTTTTTGGGATTGATTTAGTTTAGGTCTTTCAAAATTATTCAGTTAAATCATTTTGTTTATCAGTCATATTCAATTTCTTTATCTTCATCCTTATCCTTGTTACTCTTTTCATCGTCAATTTCCTCATCTTCATCAAGATCATTCATTCCTTCAACTATTTGTATTAAATTAAGTAAGAATGATTATTATTCAAAAAATTAATTAAATATATTTATTTACGACAATTTTCTTGGTTTTTATAGAGTCTTTTTAATTCTATTCCATCGTATTATTCATCAAATATAATTTCAAATCTATTATGCTCAGTTAATGAATCTGGGGCTAAATGCTTTTTTTATCCTGGCCAATTTTGTGGAGGAGGGAATAAAGGGTCAAGACCAATTCTATTTTGATAATTTTTTAATTAAAATTAATATAATATTTACAATTAATTACCTAAAAGCATTTTCAATCATTCCAGGTATAACTCTTAAGCATATTGGACATGTTGTTTCTATAGCTGGGTTAGTATTTATTTCTATCAAATAGGGTTTAAATTTATCGTCAATCATAAAATCTAAACCAAAAACCTATTTTAAAAATAAAAATAAAATTCTAAACTCTAATAAAGTATAAATTTATTTATTACTTCAAAATTATTCTGCTTTCTTTGTGGGTCTAACTTTAGAAAAGTAGCTCTGATAGAATCGGTAGCTATTGCTTTCATTTTCGGTAAAATTTAAGAGTAAAGGTTATACTTTTAATCAGAATACCATATATCCAAATATCTCTAAAATTCAAAATATGATAATTTATTTCCTGGTTCAAACTTATTATATTCTTCACAATCTTTTTATATAGCATCATTTGTTAGATGAATGAATACGTCAGAAACATCTGAAAGGTCAAATTCTCTTCCACTAGTTCTGATGTAACCTTCTTAATACCAATAACCTCTGAGAACTCCATTAATGCAAGTAATAAGCATGTATGCTCTAATATCGAACTTTCTTCTGTTATAGAGGAAAGGTCTTTCAATATATTTCTAGACTATATATGTTTTATCTTTTCCATTATTATGCTTTTCTTTACTTGTTAATATACGCTTTATATCATTTAAATTATCACAGACTTGTATACCATTTCCTATAATTTTATAACAAAATGATTTAACTTAAAAAAAAATATAGTAAAAAATTACCTCTATTAGTGATTTCTCCTGGCTTAACAATCCAGACATTTTTCATCTTTTTCTAAGACTTCTTAGACTCATCATTATCATTATTAGAGTTCTCTATCTCTTTAAATTTCTTTAAGAAATTTCTGAATTCTTTATCTTCTGTTCCTCTAGTTAAATGGTAAGTTAAAGGGAGATAATTAAAAACATCATCTTTCATGAGTTGATAATATTGTCTCATGTTATAGAATAATGCCTTTTTATTTCCTAACATGTAATTAAATTACAAATGATTATGAGTAATTTATTTTTAACTATTTTCAAGAATTTTATAGGGCTTATCAATATTTGTTCTTTTTAAATTTTTAAGACGAAAACTTAAATCATCCCAATTTTAAATATAATAATCTCTTTAGCCTGGCTAGCTATTCATATATTTATAATACATCTGATAGTCTTACTATGAGAATATTTTTAAGTTGTGATCAGAATATTGTGGGAAGGGGTTGGCTTACTTATTAATAGAGCTACCATTTTACTTAGCATCATTTACTCCTCCTTTAAAAGCAGCAGTATTACTACCATTTCCTTAATTACTGCTATTGTTGTTTTGATTTTGCTTTTAATTGAATCTTTTATCAGGGGAACTTTGTAGCTTGTTGAAAACTCTACTTGTTTAATTCATATCATCAGGAGAATCTTTACCATCAACTTCTTGAAACACAACTTTTGCTCTACTAATTTGAAATTCAGGAGATATGTAATCATCTTTATTGATATCCTCTTCAGTGTGTGGAGGATCTAAGTTTTCCTATTTATCGAAGAATGGTTATACTTTACATTAGGTCCAAAGGAAGTTGCACTCGAGGTGCTAATCATAATCTAAGACTTGCCACCACCATCTATTTTTGATGCAATTTTTTATCAATTTACTGTTATTTCCACGCCCAACACAGATTTTATAAATTGGATTTTCTTGTGGCATTGTAACAAAGTAATGACTGCCAAAATTAATTTTAAATATAAAATCTTTATAGGTGTTAAACTTTTTAAAGAATATTTCTTCACGTTAAAGATTGTTATCGTTCATAGAGAATTAAAAGTTTTTATTTCCATTATTTTTTGGTAATCTTCTTACCATCATCATCGCCTAATTACTTGGACGAGAATTCAAGGATTAGTTAATTCTTTTTCTATTTTAACCTCCTCCTGAAGGAGTATTTACCCTATCTTATTAATTTAATCCTTATAAGTTACTTTGATTGTTGTTAGATAATCCATTCACTTAACCATTTGATTCTTTGGTAGACTCAGATTCGCTTGAAGGTTAGCTATTTTTTTGTTCATAGTAATCATTTTGTTATTCGTTTGGATTATTTCCTGGAGTCAGAGATTGTTATATCAAATTTCCATTTTGATCATATCTTTCTTGCTAATTATTGTTTTCATTAAATCCAAATAATTTGTCTTTTCCCATAGGAGAGCTAGCTTACTCATTCATTTCAGCAATACCACTTAAAATTAACTATTGATCTGAGCTATTGCTTCTATACGCTTATCTTTTATCAACTAAACCCTGTTGTCCATTATTCATTGTCTGATTAAGCTTATTAGAACCTGCAGCCATCTGTTTATTATTTCTTAAATTAACATTTTGCCTATTCTCAGCTAAATTGCTATTTATCATTTCTGAAAGATTATTTATTTTTTACTATCTTTTGGTGTTCAAACTATTGTAATAAGCTTGATTAGCATTCAATCTATGAGATTTACTAATATCTTAAGGTGGTATCTATTTAATTTCCAAACCAAAAATATTCATGAATTATTTTCTTTCCATTTACTGCACTTTAACATTAAAGTGAGCTAATATTTTTTTAAGTATTTTATTTCGATCTTCTTAAGTTGTGTACCCATTTAAATTTTAGCTATAACCTTAGTTGTAATCGTAAAGTCGACTGTGCTAATTGTGTATTGAATTAATAGGACTCTAAGGAAATCTCATTTCTTTAATAATATTTTGCATTTTATTTTAAGGAATTTAATATGGATTTGCTCCTTACTAATTCTGCTAGTATTACTACTGTTAATTTTACCACTCAGGAGAAGCTGACATATAAGATTTATCTAAATTTTTAATACCATGGACTGGAGGTGATTAGTTAAAGCTTTTAGTTGATCCATTGTTATGGAGTTATGATTAATTTTACTGATAGTTAATTTTCTAAGCTCCAATAGTTAAGAGATTTGGATGATAAGTTTACTAATTTAAGCTATTATTTAGAGCATTATAATTGCTTAACTATTAAGCTGCTTGTTAATTTTAAAAGAAGTTTTTTGCTTCATTAAATTATTATTAGTACTGATTTCTACTATCTGCTGAGTATTCTCTTTTTCTGTAAGGATATGGCATTTTTTCAGGACTACTAATTATTTAGCTTTAAATAATATCTGGATTACTGCTCTTTTGTAATGAATTATCCCTTTAAGTAATTTAGTCTTTTTTAGTAAAAAATAAAAGTATAAATTATTTTTTTATATTTCAAAATCATAAAAAGGATGGTTTAAAATAAATTTACCTTATATTAATGAACTTTATAATTACTAAATCATATTCTAAGTATAATTTAAGTTTCTTTAATCGAGACTACTATTTGTCACTGCTAATATAATAAACAAAATATTTTCAAAATTTTAATCATAAGTTTACATTTAAATTGTTAGTTTTTCATGAAAAATAAATTTAATACTTTTTCCTAATTTTATGTTCTTATGAACATTGAAAAATTAACAATTTTTATATAAAAGTTCTATTTTTAAATTACCTCGAATCTGGTTATCATTTTTCTTTTTAATCCTATATGATATTCCTCCTTAGAGAACATTTTTATTATAAACCATAGGATTCCCTTAAACATTCTAAACATTTTATTGCTATTATAGTATTCTCTATTCATTAGTATTTATTTAGTTAGAATCATTAAATTACTTTCCATCGTCTATAAAACAAAAAAAATCAATTGAAGATTTTACTTTTTAAAAAGAAATTTTACTTTATCCATCAATATAATCATTATTCGCACTCTTAATCATGCTATTTATATCATTTTCTATCTTTTAAACATTTAAAGTATAGTTATCAGCATTTCCATTCTATTTTTTAAATAAATAAAATGATAAGTTATTTAATTAGTTAATTAGCTAGGCGAACTAGTAAATTAAAATGTATTAATTACTAAATCTAATACTTTATTGGCACTTTAATGATTTACTAAATTACTTGTCATTCCTTCTATTTATTTATTTACAAAAAGAATTGATTAAAATTGCTAATTCATATTTTTATATCAAATTTAGTAATCTCTTATAAAGCAAATAGTATAAATGCTTTACCAATATAAAGACGGCCTATTGGATGGTCTATTAATAGATTAATTTTATTTGGTAACAATTAGAACTAAAAAAAATAATTTACTTTTCCAATCTTAAATTTGCTATATTGAATTTTACTATCTCATGTGATTGCTCTCAGTCCTTGAATTCCTATTTCTATTCCTCTCTTAACTACTTTTTATGATAGTCTAGCGCCTAAATATATATTAATATGCCTTTAAGAATTTGTCAATAAAGGACTAAGCAAATAAAATTATTATTTAAAAAGCTTTATGCAATTTACGTTTGGTTAGAAATATTCGCCCTTTAATTTAAAGAGTAAAAGTTACTATCTTTTTAACCTTTTATCATAATATATCTGTTATTATTGAATATTTAACACAATTTATTATTATCTTTTATATGCCAAATTAGTAAAAGTTAATAATAAATTAATTGTTGGAAATGATGAATGATATTAAGTTTAATAAGGCTTTTTAGCTATTAAAATAAAAAACTAAAATAAAGAATCACCACTCAATATATAAATAAGCGAATTATATTTTTATTTGTTTTACAATAAATACAATTCCTTAATATTTTATAAATTTACAAATTAGCTTTTGTTCATGTTTTAATTTTTTTTTACTTAGTCTTGTTCGAATCATTTCCTAAATAAGTATTCAAATAAAAATTAACTTGTTAACCATTAATTTTGAAAAATAAAAATCAAAACAAATAAATCTATAAAATTATAAATTCACTATTTAAAAATATATTTTTTACTTCAAATATATTTGATGGGGGAAAAGGAAACAACTTAACGAAAAAGCAAAAACCATTTTAAAATATGTATTCTGTTAAATATTTTTTAATTATTTTTAGGAATCATTTTTTAAAAAAAACAAAGAATAATTTTTAAATCACTAAATTCATTCATTTAAAAATATTTTTGTTTTATTTTAAATATTAACTTTATAAATTTTTATACAAACAAATATTGTTTTTGAAAAATGTAAACTTCCTTTAAAAAACTTAATCTCTTTATTGCAACTATGATAAGAAATTATCTATTAATTTTATATTAGATCTTAATTGTTAATAATTAAATCAACATTAAATAAGATAATTAGATTAAACTTCAGATTGTAATTGTTATAAAAAGCAAGCTTTGGTTTTTATTTTAGATATAAGATCTATGATCAATAAATAAACTTCATTAATACATTATCATTAAAAAATTAAGATAAATGTATTAAACCTCAAATTTAAATTCTTAATACAGCTATTCATTTTTTACAATTTATATTTATTAGGAATAATATTAAAATGTCACAATTTTTATCTTGAAACCTATCAACTAGGAATGATATATATTATATTTATATTAAACTATTATAATAAATATTTTTCTCTTTGCAAATTTAAGGGAGAAAAAATTTCTAAGTTTCTAAAAATCTAGTAAAAATATATAATTATTATGCCAGTATCCTAAATAAAAAAAAACATAAATCAGGTATTTTCTATTTAAAATGATATTTATATGCTCATATTTCAAATCAGACAAATATTTGATTTATTTTTTAATTTATTTATAATTTTAATAAATTAATTTGTAAAAGTATTAATTAAAGAATATCTTATAAAATGAAGTTTAAAATAATAGAATACAACAAAAAATATGATTTTTAGCTTAAAAAGTTGTACTTAAATAATATAACAAGAACTGCTACTCCGGATGGTTAAATTTACTAGAGCTAGTTATTTGAAAAATATGGATATTTGAAAATGTTTATATGCTATTTTATTTTTGGTTTGCTCCTCTATATTTTGCTTTAATTGCTAATAAATCAAATAATGGCTGTAATTTTTACTGTACTAATTTTGTTAGTATTCTTTCAACAAGGTTATGTTATTGTATTAGTAAAAATTCTAATTTACTACTACTGCTTTAATGTCTTTATTCATGATTTTAGAAATATTGATTAATACTATGGTAGTAAAAACAATAAATTATGGCTTGCAATAGATGAGGAATAAGACGATGTTTTAGGAGTAGCAGCTTTAGATGAAAGTACCTCATTACTTGACGATTTAAACTTATGGGATACAGTCTTATCAGATGAAAATTAAAAATAAAAACATAAAACTCAAGTGTGTGAATTAAAAAGAATGTCTGTTTCTCCAAAGGCAGCTGGAAAAGGTATAGGAAAAGCTTTAACTGAGAGATTTATCTAATATGCTGAAAGTAAGGGATTTGAGTATGCTTTTTTGACAACATATAAATTTAATAAAGCAGCAACTAAATTATACGAGAAATTAGGGTTTTAAATAAAATAAATAATTCCTTTCGACTCTATTCATAATATTCTTAATTTAGAAGTATCATTTATGGTAAAATAATTTAACTCTACTAAATCAAAATGAGTAGCATATGTTTGTTTGTATTTTTATACTGAGTGTGAATGGCAACATTTGTAACTTTTACTTTTTTCAAATTATTTTTTATATATTTAGGAAATTTAAATTATTTAAAATTTAAAGTAAAATGTTAGTTTGATTATTTTTAAAATTTAAAAATTTTATTTATTTTTTAATATTAATTTAATTTATGTAATTACATATCTTCCTTAGATATGCGCTTATGTTGTCTTTTTCAATTTATTTATTTACTTTATTATTTATTTATTTATTATTTATTCTTTAATTTAGTTTTATTTAATTTGTTTTTGTTTAATTCTTTTATTAAATAATATCTTTCATTTTTTTCTTATTATTTATTTTTATATTTTTTTATTTTTATTTTCATTTTAAAATAATTTTATCTATGTTTCAAAAGCAAGGAGAGTGAGAGTTGCATGAGATCAGATGACTTAAGCAAGGTACCTATAAAAAATACTTTTATATATTTGTTTTATCTAAGAGAGAATTTGATGATAATTTCATCTTTTTTGTGATTTTTTTATTGACAAAGAATTTCTCTACAGTCAAATTTAACATTATTAATCTAATCGCTATGGGGCTTTCTAATTTCTACACTACCATTAAGCTTGTTTAAAAAACTTATCCACGAAAAACTGCGATTAAATCATTTTATAAATTTGTCGAGAAACTAGTGCATTTATTTTAAGCATGCACCAAGCAATTTTATTTATTTGGAATTTTCTTTTTTAAAAACTCTTAATTAATTTTTTTCCTCTTTTAATTAATTATGAAACAAAATAACTTTGAAGAAAATAAGAAATTAATCTGAAAGTAAATTTTTAATTTTCAATAAATGCAAAAGAAATACAAAGTGTGGAATATATATAATTAATAAAATAGATAAGCAATTTTTTTTAATGAATTTTTTATTTATTTATTTACTTAAAGTTTTATGGGTAATAAAGGAAAGAAAAATTTATTGTTATTAATCAAATTAATAAGAAAATAAATACCTTTAAAAATAACTTTGATGGAGAAATAATAATTTGCTAAGCTCAAATATATAATTTTGAACATTAAAGCTTTTTTCATTCATTTATTTATATGATAATTAAATTTGGATGAAATAAGTTAGTTGTTGATTTTTAATTTTTATTTTGTTTAAATTATTAGAAATGAAATAATTTTTATTTAATATTTTTTAGTTGGTTATTATGAATATTTATTTATATTTTTAGTAATTATGAAAAAATAGCTAGCAAAAATTCTAACTAACTACTGCATAAGGGTTTTGTATTTGTTTATTATAATGTTAAGTATAACTATACTTATTTTTATATTTTCAAAATATCTTTTTGATGATACTTTTGGCTGCTGAATATCCAATAGACATAATCATGAAGCCAATTAAGATATATAAAATTACTTTGGTTTAGCATATTTGATAATCTAAAGGGTCTAATTAAACAAACCCGATTTAGTTGTGATTTATATCAAATATAACGTATTAGTTTTAAAGGAATGGGTACCCTAAAATGAGTTCATTAGGAATATTATTTTTATCGCCTTCTTTAGTATTATTTTAAGTTAAAAAATTAATTAACATTAAATTTTGGTGATTCTTAACTATTTTCTCTTCAACATATTATTTAGGAGGTATAGAAATAACTAACTCTTAATTATTCTGGTCAATAAATGTAAAGCTCAAAGGTGGGAAATTATCTACTCTTCCATCTGGATTTTTACATTTTAGTTGGCAAAATTTCGATTAAATTCCACATTCAAGCTTGCACTAAAAATTATAATTGTTTATTAAGACATCCCTAACTTTCTCATTTAAATTCTGATCAAGAACTATATAGTTAGTACCAGAGTCAATATTTGCCTTAAACTAATCTTCTTTCTCAATAATATTCTTTTATTCTATTTCTTCAAGAATTGCTGGAATTTTTGAATTTAATCTTTGATTTTCATTTAGAATCGAATAATTTCCTACTTTAAAATCTTAAAGTTAAATTTACCATTTTTTTAAGTCTGTATCTATTGATATATATTGAATATCAGTTTTATTTTATGGAATTAGACTTTATTTAATTCCTCCAAGAATTAAAGAAGCATCATGTTTACGAAAATTTATTGAGAAAACTTAATCATTGTCAATTTTATTTTATTACTTAAATTGATAAACAAAGGGATTTATATAATTTTCATATTATTCATATTCTAATCCTATTAATCCATTATATGTCATTTCTAACAAATCATCACTAATATCTACAACATGACCCATATCTACTTTAAGAGTAAGAGTCCCAGTATTTTATAAATCATCAAGTACTAAATAATCATAGGTGTCATAATAAGTGACTTAACCAGTTCCATATTTAATTTCATCAAGTATATCTTTATTTTTGCAAATGTCTTCCTCACATTTTCTGGTTATTTTTTTATTATTTCTTTCAACGCATTTTTTACATTTTTCATTTTAAACCCAGGTTTTTTTTGAGCCAGTATCAACTAAGAACTTAAAATTTGATTCTTATACCTCCTTACCCATACTAGTATGAACATAAAATAAATTTTCAATACCTTTTTTAAAAAATAAAAATAAAATTCAAACATTTCTTTCATCTTTAATGAGATAATATTTTCAGTCAATTAATACACAAAAATGAAGATAGATTAATTAAATTATTATTATCTTTTAAACTATTTTGATATTTTGTTTAAGCCTAATTACAAAAATATACTAACTGCTCATTTAAATATATCAATTCGCCATTTTGGTTAATGATGCAAACTCTCTTTAAAATAACGATCGAAATAAGTAATTATTTTACTATCATGGTGGAGTTAAATTTCGAATATCTTCTCATTTTAATTACTCTCAGAATTCTGCCCATAAGCAAGCAATGGAAGTACTACCAAAGATAAATATATTAAGTTATTTATTTTCAACATTTTATTATTAATAAAGCTATTTTTTTATATTTTAATTTCTTTTCTTTTGTTTCTTTACTTAATTATATTGAATGTATACTTAAATCATTTAGTCAATCAACCTACTTCTTATTGATGATTAAATTTATTAAAATTTTCTTTATTCATTTTCAAATGAAAAAAGCAAACAAACAAAAAACCAAAAAGAGTCTAACCATTTCCTTATTTATTTATAAGGAAGAAATTTTTAAAGCAAGAAAAAACTTTATTTTGTAAATATTGTTTTATATTTGTTTATATTCATTCATTGATTCTTTAGCAAAATGAAGATCTAAAGCAAAGTATTGATTTTCTAAAAGAAAAAAAAAATAGAAAAAGGAATTACCTCAGTTGTTTAAAGGTAACAAAGTTAAAATAGCAGATAATTTTTATATATTCATATTATAGCCTAATATCAATAGCTAATTAGTTGAGCAAAAAATTACAAATCTTTGTTAATTTAAACAAAAAAAATTCTTCATTTCATCATCAGTTAATATAAATGAAAGTCCATCTTCTACAATTTTATTTCTTAATAATTTATTAAGAAAATTAAGGTTTTTAATGTTAAAGAAATCATTTTGTGATATTAGGAAAATTAATTTTTTTAAAGGAATTATATATGTTTTTTTTGTTTGTTAATTTTTTAAATTTTAACAAATTTATTGTTTTTCATGCTTTTTACACATCTTATTTTAATGAATAATATAAAAATAATTTTAATGTGCAAAATTAATATTAAAAAATATTTTTATTTAATATTCTTAAATTTAAAAACTCACTGTTCAATTTAAAGTTAATTTTCAAGATTTTTACAAAAAATGAATGATTAAATTGAAAAAATTATTTTTATTTTATCAGTTTTAATTTTAAAGTTTATTAAAAATATGCAATTTTAAAAATTAAATAGTTAATTTTATAAATTAAAAATAAATTTTAATTTATATTTTTATAATATCAAAATAAATTTAACATCTGTAAAATTAATTAGCAAATAATCATTTTTTGAGAAACTTTTGATTATTTCAATTATTGTTGTTAAAGATAAGGTTTTATATTTAGTAAAATAGCTTATCGTTATTTGGTTGATTTTTATTGTTGATATCTTCATATACTTATATTGAAGGTACGAAATAGCTTTAATTTAGTGAATGGTACTCACTAACTAGGTCAGGAATACTAGATATAATATCTTATTTTAGGATGTTGGAGTCTTCATCTAAGTTTTTTTAAGATATTTCAATTATTTACTTTAATTCATTTATTTAGTTATCTAGTAATTCCTTTTATTTTTCTTCAGAGCACTAAAATTTTTACTTTAAAACTGAAATATATTTTTATATATATTCTTTTAATTTAACCAAGGCATCCTAAAATCCTTTAAGCCTGCAAAGACATAGCCCTATTTTCATAATTAACTTATACACTTTAGTATTATACTCCTATATTACTTTTACTTCTTCCTATATAATGTCATTAAAGTCTGCTTAAATCTATTCAGAAGTGTCCATCATAGACCTTTTTTTATTTTAGATTGCATCTTTCTCTTAATCATCACTTTTATTACTCTTCTCAGCAATTTAGCTAATTGCATCATTACATTAGCAAATAGTTTTAGCTAGCAATTAAAATATTTCTTAAACACTTTTTTCAAACTATTTACACTCCTATTCATTTTCTTCTAAATTTTTAGAATCTAAATTGATATCTCTTATAGTTAAGGTATTCATTTACTATTCTAAAAGCTACAGTGTAGTATCTTTATTTTTTTTAATTACATCTTTAATATTTTCAATAAATTTATTTATTTTTGACTCACTCCCTATCTACAACTCTTCATTGCTTTGACCTTCTTTAGAAAGAAACTATTTAAAACAATCTCTTTTACTAAAATGTGGATTTTAATTGAGGAGATTCAGATAAGATTCTAGTAATATTTTTCTATAGATTATATCCTATTCATTTCTTGGGGAATAGCCAACTAGACTGTAAAAGTCAAACATTTTATCTGGCAAATGGGGTATGATCTTACCCAAAATTTCCTGATCAGAATATAGATCTTAATGCAATTATGCGAATTCACTGTACCTTTTAGAAATGATATAAGATTCATTGCAATAATAAGTGATCTGGATTTGATATCTGATATACTACTTTTGATATTTTTCTTATACAATTTTATAATTCTGTATTTCTATTTGCTTTATATCGAACCTATTTTATTTACGATACAAACAATTGTTTGCATGCTTTAAAAATTTTTCATATTCTACTATTTCTTTACAACCATAGTCCTTTGAAAATAGGCATTTAAACCTACTGCTACATAATGTTGAATAGACTATTGGATGTGTTTTGCTTGATTTAAATATCTAACTACAATTAGGACAATTTTCACATACTTGAATACATGATCTGATACATTTCCTGCAGTAATTCTTTTTACAAACAGAGCATTCATCAGGCTCCCATAAAATATCTGTGCATATATCGCATTGATATTATTTAGATAGTTGTTTAGCTTCAGAGGAGTCATAAAATAATTGAGTTGGTATCCCTTAATCTAATTCAATCTAACACTCTTCCTTTTTCCACTCTTCCTTCAATAAAGGAAATTAAGAGTAACAAATATCTCCCATTTATTACTTTTCTTTTATTACTAATTTAATTATTATTTTTAATTCTTTTGCTTTTGAATTTCAATAAGTTTGTTTATTAAAATGAATTACGATTGCTTAGAATATTTTTTTTTTTATCACCAAATTTGATATAGATTAGTGATAGATACATGCAAAAATATCAAGAATGATATAATACTATCTCAACCAAATAATTGCAAAAATAAAAAAAGTAAAGCTTATAAATTTTTAAATATATGACAGAGATGCATATAATCTGATAAGAAATTTTTTTGAACAGAAAGTTCTTATTATTTAAGACAATACATTTGTTGATCAATGTATACTTCTTACTTAAATTGAAAATATTTATTTTCATAGAAATCTTAAGCATAAATGCTTATAATAAGATTAAGTATATGATAAAATTTAAACTAAATATTGTAAAAATCAAAGAATATTTTGAATATTATACACAAATACAAACATATTTTAACTCATACACAATAATTGAAATTTTAAATATATCGATCGAGTTAATATCAATTTTATTTATTTTCCTATTCAGTTTCTTATTTATTTTCTTCAACTTATTATTCAACTAAATCATTTTGTTATTGCTACTAATTTTCATTAACATTTTGATCTTTTTCCTTTTAGTCTTCAGGCTGCTATTCTGTATTTTCTTTTTTTAATAATTCTTCATACTTTTTAAGCTAAGCAAGAAAGTTTTAATTTGGCTAAATTACTGGTCTTGCTTATTTTGTAATATTTAAAGCTTCATCTAATGTTTTATTTTGGTATTTCATTAAGTAAGCTAAGACAAGTGAAGTAGATCTTGAAACACCAGCAAAACAATGGACTAAAACATTTTAATTGCTTGATATAGCTTTATGCATAAATTCATTAGATTCTTCAAAATAATTAATAATATTTTCATTTTTAGAGTCTTTAATCCTGATTATTTTATATTCTGTTATGATATCTTAAAAGGGATGCTTAAATTCTTCCATTGCTGTTAATACATATTTAATATTTAATTCAACTAGCACATCTTTACTTAGTGCCGCTCCTACAGATCCTAAATACAAGTTTGGGATAATCTAATTAGGATACTTATCAGTTTTAGTATATTAAAGAGCATATAATATCTTAACTTGCTAAAATATCATATCAAGCTTCTTATTTAATACTTTTTATTTGTCTTAGTTGTCCTAATTTTCCTTTTCCTTGGCCCTATTTGAGTTAGCAGGAGATTTAACATCTATCTACTAATTACTGCTACTCATTCCAACTAAAAAACTTAAAATAAATCAAATTAATAAAAATAATTATTATTATTATTTAAACATCTGTAATAATTTTAAATGCGTATCACATTAAACTTGAAATAATAAAAAATAACATAATTAAATTTAATTTAATTTAGATTTTTAAATAAAAATAAATTATTTTATAAAAAAACAGAATATCAAATTAAATTTAAGAGTTATCTTTTTAAACATTTAATTACATATAATAGAATAATTTCAAGCAATCAATCAATCAACACTAATGTTTTGTATTTTTGTTAAAAATTGCTTCATCAAATAAATCAAAAAATAATATCAAAAATTGTAAATTTCGCAAAAATTTTGTGAAAAATTTAAATTAACAAAAATTAAAAAAAAAAGTAAAGTAATTTATGGAAATTATGGAGACAGCATCAGTAAAACCTTCATTTAATTGTAGCATTACTTGCAAATATCACCAAGAGGAAACTTTTCTTTGTATTTGCATGGAAAAAATTTGTTAAAAAAGGTATGAGCTATGCTGCATAAAGTGCTAAGAAGAAAGACATGTTAATCATAGTCTACTATCTCTCTCAAAGTTTTTTGAAGTATACAATAATGAGAGAGAGAAATACTTTCATGGATTAGATAATTAAATATAAAAACTTATTGAATCTTATGAAAATATAGATAAAGATTTTAATAGGGCAATAAATAATATTTCATAGGCAAGAGACCTGCTTAAAAACTCTATTTAATCATTTAAAGCTGAGTTTAGATTATTTGAAGATGAAATTGAAGCAGTTGAAGGAGTTTTATCAAATATAAAAAGAAATAATTTTTCATATGATGATACACAGTAGTTCTTAGATTAATATATTGAAAAATCATCATTTTACTGCAGTTTTAAAGATATTAATAAAAGTTATCAATTTTAGCTTCATGCAAAGCAGTTTTTAGCCTACTTTAATGAGTAAAGCATAAATACCAATAAAATATTTGGAGATTAGCTAAGATAGGAAGGAATGATAATGAATTTGAAGAGTTTAAATGGTTCAGCAGAGCTCTTGAAGAATTAGGCTAGAATTTTATTAACTTCAAAATAAGATTTCTCTTTTCTAAACAAGTAAATTTAGGAAGGAAGTTATGTAGATGAATCGGATAAAATTGAAATTAAAGAGTTAGCCTCAAAATAATGGAATGAAGTTTAACATATTATAGATACAGCAAGCTCAGAATTTCTTTAGGCTATGCCATAAATTGATTTGACAATAGGTAAATATTAATTTGTTTAAAATAAATAAATAAGCATTCATTTAGTATCAAATTTTTTAAAAACCTATTTAATTTTTTTATCAAAAAATATAGATCTTTCTGTCAAAGCTCATCAGAAAGAATAGGTTATTTCTTTACTGAAAAATAATAAGAAACTCAAAAGTTTTAGAATCAATTTAAAACAGTAACTAATTTTTATAACTAAAATTTTAATTAGATAGATTTTGTAATAGAGGATTTTACTATATAATAAATTCTCTACAAACAAATTTTTTTAAATTACTTCAGCAATTATATTAAAACTCAATTCTCAAAATAAAACTAATTATTGATTATTATTATCATAAAATATCTTAATTGCTCAATTTCTCGCTCCTTAATTCGTTTAATATTGTATGTACTCTAATGAGGCTTACTTTAAAAACTGATTACCATAATATAAAATTTTAACATTAATAGCCTAATTGAGGAATTAGGGTATTAATTTAGGAAACAATATTATTTCTTTAAATATATATTCTTTTTATAATCTAAAATCAAATATTATATTATAGTTTTTAGCCGTTTGAGGATGGTTCTTTAACAGAAGTCTTAAATGAATATTAGTAAAAGCTAGAAAATTTTGAAATTTTGCAAGAAAGTGGATCATATTAGGAGTAATATACTAGAAAGATGTTAGAAACATTGAAATTAACATCATTAAGGAAGTTAAAATTAGATATTACTTTCTTAAAGCCATAAATGCATAAAGAATTATTAAAATTAATATCAGAAAATCATTGGCTTGAGGATATCAATTTGAATCTAAGTATGCATGATATAAATAGATAAAAGATAAAGGATTACTTGACTGCGATATCTCATAATTAAATTTTAAAGAAACTTAAGCTAAATTTTAGTTGCATTAATAACCCACCTTATATCTCTTAAGACACATTAGAACAAATAAATGACTTCTTTGCTAACAATAAAGAAATTTAAATGTTTATTATAGGTTAAAATATAGAGTAAATTAAACATTTTTGCATTTTTGATATTTATATTATATTAAAAATATGTTAATAGATGTGAATATTACAAAGAAATCCACAATATTTTGCAAGTACATTAAAATCCTAATCTAAAGATTCTAGATATAGATGCCAAGCCTGCTCATAAAGGGCTTTCATTCTTAAATTTAAATAATTAGCTGTAAGAGTTATAGAAATGCAAAACTATCTTAGAAAATAACCCTAACTTGATATCTCTAAAGTTACATAACTTTGACTAAAAGTTAATTAACTTCTTTGAAGTTAAGAAAAAAGCACTTAAAGTTATAACGTATCTTCAATTTAGGATGAGGAATTATCGTAAAGAAATAGTAAAAGAAACATTTTCTTTTCTTGAAGAGCCAATTTTTTTAAGTTTAAGAGAAAAAAAGACCCCTGTAAAAAATAGAGCCTTAAATATGTTTTGAATTTTATTATAATTTATTTAAATTTTTGTAGAATAAATTGTATTTTCTAATTAAAATATCAAAAGCGAGCTAAATAAAATATTAATTTGCTATTCTAAAATGATAAATTTAGTATTTTATATATTTTATGTTTTTTTTTTAATTTAATTTATGCTGTTAAAAATAAAAGCTTAATTTCAAATCAAAGGTAAATTATAAAAAACGAGCTGTTATTCAAAAATAATTTGAAATAAAATTTAAATAATTAAAATCCAAATTTTTTTATTTAAAAACAGTTTTTAAAAAATGGCGAAGTGTTTTTTTTTAATAAAAAATTTACTTGATGATATATATGATTTAATATGAAAGAAAAAAATTATGATAGGCATGTTTGCTTATTTTAATTTTAAAATAATTTAATGAGATCATTTAATAAATATTGTAATTTTAGCAAGTATAATTATGTTTATTTTTATTTTTATTAATCAATTTACAAAGCTACTATAAGCTCGAAGTGAGAGTGGTGATTAAGGACTACTTAATTCTATTGTTTAATCACTTTTATCAGTATTTTCTTTAATAATCTGCTGATACACTTACTGTGTTTTATTTAATTCCCTTTCCAACTGCTATTCGTTTTTAGCATATCTTCTTTTATGCTAGAAAGGATGTGGTGGAACTTATTTCATATAAGAACGACCTACTATATCAAAGATTTCGTATGTTTTAGGATCATTTATAAATGGATCGTGGTCATATTAATAGAAAATTCTCTCTTCCAAATCAGTCTATTCTAAATACATATTGACTAACTTTTACTGCCCATCACAATACACTTTTAAATAAGGGTTCTTAGCTTTAACGTTGTAGAAAGTATCAAATTCTTTGGTTTAGTATTCTTTAAAGTTATTAAATGCCTTTTTTATATTATTGCAGTTTAGCTCATAGAAATCCTACTTGAAATTTTAATAATCTGGAACTTTATGAGGTGAATAAATATCATTCTCTTTTCTGACTAGTTTGTGTACTTTACTTTTTAATCTTCCCCTGTATTCGCTTTATTCTTGCTAACTTAATTAACTTTTCAAAAATTTTTATGAGAGATCATTTAAATCTATATTTTTTGCTAGTTGTGACTCATTTAAAGCTCCTTTTTTAGAAGGAGCAGCTTTACTAAAATTATATTTCTCTAATATGTGGTCTATTTTAGGGTGCATGATGTGTTATCTTAAAATTTAAGCTTCATTAGATACTGGTCTTGCTAACTTTAGAACATTTATTTATTGTTGCTTTTAGGCTATTACACTACCATTTCTAATCTTTTTATCTTTCAAATATGATGTGTTATTCATTTAACTATCTGAAGGGTTTTATCTTTATCTTAAAATACTTCTTTTCATACTTGATTAATTGTATTAAAATTAATCATAGAATCCATCATAATCCCAATAATCAACATGTTCATTAAATAATGTCTTTTTTGGTGTTATACAGCTAAATTAGGAAAGATGTAATTATGTTTGCTAGTCATCTGGAACCATAACTGAGTCACTTTTTAATGTGGTATAAGTATTTGCACTTTTAGAGTATTTTGTAGAACAGCTTGTGTTCATTTAAGATCTAAACAATCTTTATAATGTCTTTTAATATGTCTCTTAACGCTCTTCAGATCTTTTCTGTCTTGATTATTTTGAAAAGAATTTGTCTTTTACTGATTTACTTTTTAAAGGAGATTCCAATTTAGTATTTTATAAGTATTAAACCATTTCTTTTTTAATCTAAGCTTCTCTGATTTTTTCAGTATTTTCAGGCTTTGGTTTTATAATATTTTTTAAATGGCTTTCTAAAGTGTAATCTGTCTCATGTATGTGATGAAATATAACTTTCGGTCTTTACGAATGCAATTAATTTTAATTGTGCATCACACTGAATGTACTTTTAGAAGCTGATGTGCTTGATATTGCAGCTGGGGAATCATTATCTAATCTCTTACTAGGAGTTCGGTTTGAAATAATTTTTTCATATTTTTATTATATAGTTGATAATGCTGACCTGTGACTATCTTATGGAATTTGTTAGATATCAATTGCAGTGGGAAACATATTCTATTATATAATTAGAGGAAACTCTGTTTTTTGTTAATTTTTATATTCGTGTAGTTCCTACTTTGTTTTTAATAAATAAGATGTATGTATTATATGAAAAGTTAATATTAATTAAAAGAATCAATCAAATAGAAAATCAATTAAGATCTATTAAATTTATAAAATCCAAACCTATCCATTAATCGAATATTAATAAAAACAAAAATAACCACATATATTTTTAATATTATTCTTTCCTAAAAATTGTTAGTCAAAAGTAATGAAAATAATATTTTTCCTTAATAACCAAAATAGTAAATTTTATTTACTTATTAATTATATTTTTTTTCATTTATCTTACAGCATAATAATTAAATATTTATCTTCTCTTTAAAAATTAATATTTACAATTAATTTTTAATCAAAAATATTTCAAAAGTTATATATATTTTTATTTGAGTAAATAAAAATTTTAAATTTATTTATAATAAATAAATATTAATTAAAACATAAATGCATCTTATTATACTATTAATCTTAAAATTTTAAAATTTCATATTTTATCTCATATTTAAGTATTATTAAAAATTTATAATCAAAATCATTTAAAAACTTTTGTTTTTTATTTGAAGAAATAAAAGAGTTTAGGTTTATTTTTATTAAATTAATACAAATTAAAATCTAAATTAAGCTTAAAAATGGTAGCTTTATTTATGCTACTTATCTTACAATTTAAACATTTCATCAATATCAATATATCTCTCATTTATAATTATTATTTAAAATTAATTCATTCTTTAAAATTAAAACCTAAATGCATCCAAATAAATTTTAATTATATTTATGTTTCTCCTATGTATAAAAATTAAAAAATTTTATTTTAATTTTTAGTAAATAAGTATATTCTACAAATTTATTTATTATTAAAAATATTTCAAAATTTTTATTTGAGTAAATAAAAAATGTAAAGCTATTTTTTTAAAGAAATAATTTTTTCCATATCAATTAAAACATAATTTTAAGCTAACAAATTTAATTATAATTATATAATTTGGCTTGAAACTTAAAAATTAAATACATTTATTTATCTTCTATTAAAAAGTAATATTTACAAATTTATTTATTTATTATCAATTATATTTAAGAATTTTTATTTGTCATTTGAGCAAAATTAAAAATTCCAAGTAAAATTAAAATGGATGAGTGATAGATATATTTCATATCAATCTTGATCTAAATAAATTCAAAAGAATTTTGTTGTTAAGATCATTAATAATTTCTCCGTAATCAAAAAAAATATATCAAGCAATTATATTAAGAATGCTATTAATCTTTATTATTTCGTTTTCCAGTTCCTAGTAATTTTCTCCCTCAATTAAACCTTGTCTTATAAGATAATTTTCCCTATTAAAATATAAAAAATCAGTCATTTATAAATATCAAAATAGATTTTTTTACCCAAAATTAAATCCAACTCTAGTGTAATTATGAGGAATTTAATCTTTTATTTTTAACAACACTTATATTGCTTCTTTTTCAGTTATTTTCTTATTATTACTTTAAAATAATTTTATATTAATTTAAAAAAATTAGTTTGAAATAATATTTACCCTAGATATAAATCTGTAAATTTAGCTTTTTTATTTGCATTAATAAATTGAATCAATTTATGAAAGCCAACATTTGAGATTTAATTTTGTTATAATCCAATTTCTACTTGAATTAGGTGGTTTTAAGATTTTAGTAAAGAGTCGCATAATTTACTTATATCCTCATCTCCTAAATTGCATTTTCTGAATTTTTTGTGGTAAATATTTTCAGATAAACTTTTAATTAAATATAAATAAATTACTCAAATGACAAGCATAGCTTTTCTACATGTGATCCAACAATTTATGGTAAATGGAAACAAAACCTAGTGAAAGAAATACTATCACTGATGCTTTTTCTTTAAAATTAAGTTAATTGAATTTTCCTATAAAAAATTTAAATTTAAATTACGAGAGGTCTATTTTCAGTTAATTTATTTAATTATGTAATTTTTTTAAAGACAAACATAACACTTCAATCGACTCTTCATTTAAACTGTTACTTCTAAATTATTTTATAAAATTAAAATTTAATACAAAATTTTAACATAAATTTTAATTTTTGAAAGTCAATTGACTATTAAAAATTCAAAATTATTAAAATATTAATTTAATCACTTTAAACTCAGGTAAAGAGTGTTTATTTACACTGGCAGAGATCCTATATTCTGGAACATAGTCATATATCCTTTAGTTGAGATATCAGGATTATTTCTTAATTAATTGATAAATATTTAAATGATTTAAATTAAATTTTTGAAGAAAATTAACTTACTCAATATCAAGTTCTAAAGATTTTAAATTTTATGGTAGTAAATCTAAAATTAAGCTAAAGTATTTAAATGAATCATTTGTGAATATATTTTAGCTATTTTATTTAATAAAATTGATAATTAAAAACAAATTCTATAGCATTTATTTATTATTACTAAAATCCTAAAGTTAATGATTTTATTTTCGGTGGTAGAAATTTTAAGGAAGATGCTAAGTCTTTCAGCATTCTTTTATTTAATGACTGTTTCCTTTTAAATTATTTTTTAATTTAATTTAATTTCATATTTTATTGAAACTAAATTACTCTATATATAGGCCTATGTATTTAATTTTATCAGGTATTTTAGTAATCAAGTTTTAGTAAAAATCAGATTAGTCGCATGTTGTTGTTACATTTCTATTTAAAAATTATATACAATAACAGAATGACAAATTATTTTAAACATACCTAAACCAAAATGTTAGATTCTAAAGAGTTACAGGTAGGCTTTTTGTTTGTAGTATTAATTCTCTAACTGAAATTGCGTCTATTTAAATATCTCTTTTAAATAAATGTTTATTTTTGTTATTTTAATATAAAACTTTTTTTAAGATTAAATTTTTTAATTAAAAAATATTTCTTTAAATTAAAATAATTTCAAAAAATAAAATTTATTTATTTACTAAAAGGATAAATTTAGTTCTGATATTTCCTATGGCATGTTTATCAAACATTATATTAATTAGTATATTTCAGCTTAATGATGCTACCTAATATAAATATAAATGATATTAAATTCTTTAATTTAATTAATTTAGAATTCAATTACTCAAATGAAATGTGTAATCTCTTTATAGAGTCATCTCCTTTTCTTTGTCCGTTTAAAAAAAATTGTACTTCTTATGGATTTACTTCAAATCTTTATCATAATAAAATTATATTAAATATCAAAGTAATTTTATTTTCTCAAAATATTCACATTTTATGCTTATAAAGTGAAGAATCTGTTGGGAAGTCACCTGAAGAATCTGTCTAAGACCTGCTCACAACAAATCTTACATCAATTTCTTTTTGAATCATTTTTTTAACATCATCTATGATAGGTCTTTTTGAAGGCTCAGAATTTAGTAGTTATTTTATTATATCAGTTAAGAATTTATCAATAAAATTTATAAAACTAAAGTCTTAGTTATAGAGTAAATCAAGTGTTAATTATAGCTATTCTATGCTCTAAAAGTTGCTAACATATTTCAAGCCAAAGATTTCTAAAATAATGATTCCTAATGACCAGATATCAGCCTAATTTTTTAATTTTAGGTAAAGAAAAAAAATCAAAATTTTAATAATGAGTTAAGATTTATGTGAATTAATTCTAAAGTTTAAATAAAAGGAAGAATATTTTAATTAATTACTGGTTAATTAATATTTTGCAATATTCCTGGCTATCCCATCTAAATTTCTGGTGCAACATACCATCTTTATGAATTCTGATTAATAATAATAAATAAATAAAAAAGAGTATATGAGTAAAAATATTAAAGCTTTAAAATTTACAACTAAATCATCTTAAGATTAGCATTTTTGATAAAAGATATCATCTTCTCTATCCAATCCAAAATCACCTATTATTTTTATCAAAATTGCTTTTTTAACACTAATAGAAAATAAATATTCTACCTATTACCAAATTTCCTTGCTAATTTACTAATATATTTTGTGTTTTTAATTCCTTATGAGAGTGATTTACACTGTGTATAGCTTGAACACCTCTAATAACTTACATAGCATAATGAAACTATTCCTACTAGCTGAGACTCTTTTCTTTCAAAAGTTATCTTAGATTATCTTTATTTTAAAAAAATGAAATCATAAGTAGTCTTAAGGAGTTTCATATTGAATGTAAGTACTATTTATCAATAGTGATGAAATGTAAAAAAAAATTAGAATTTCTATCAAATAGGAGAAAATTATTAAGTAACTTACTTGGGCAGTATTCCATTTACATAAAAAAGACATGGCTAGAATTAAAATGTTCTTCGAATTGGACTACATTTGGATGAACAACTCTTTAAAGAATATTTGCTTGGTCTTGATACTCTTTTAATTATAGTTTACTCTGAAAATGTCTTACTTTGAAAGCCACTTATCTAGAATCTTTTGTTGCTATTATAACCCTATTTATATCCTTCATTTTTGCTACTATCTATCCTGATATAGTGAATCCTTTTTCTAGGAGGAATTATTTTACTTCCTGCTGCAACTAATTGTGCTAACTTGTTTACACACAATTTCCCATAAAAAATAGAAGTTTACTATGTTTATACTTTTGATTAAAAAATATAATTTTTATAAGTAGAGAAAATATTTAATTTAAGCACTTAAAGTGAAGTCATTAAAATTCCAAATATTTACTCTAAATAAAATAGAAGATATAAAAAAGTAGCTCCATTTATTATTCTCTTAAAAATTAGTCATGTCAAAATATTAATGAAGTGTAAGACTTTTATTTTAGCAAGTATAAAAACAAAAAAATTATAAAATACATATCTTTTTATTTTTGCTTTAAACATTTAAAACATTCCAACAAAATTATTAAATAAAAGTATATTTTTATGAAATAATTATCATGAATTGATTAAATAAACTCAAAGAGTTAATATTAAAATAGGTATTTAAAATATTATTTTAAATATATGCCTAAAAAAGTAAAAAGTTTAAATTTATAAACACTTTTATTTAAAGTTACTCAAACTAATTATTATAAAAAATTATATTCAATAAAGTTTGGATGTAATAAATATGATTTAAGTTTATAGGTAGTAAATTTTTAATTTATTTGGAAGATAATGAGTTGAGCAAATTATTTAATTGAGGTAATTAATTTATTTTTTTTTTTAATCAAACTAAAAATATATCTACTGTTATTAAAACTATAAAAAAATATTTTTATTATTTTAAAAGGAATTTTCATACAATTTGAAACAAAATAGATTTTCAAAATATCAAAATATTAATTTACTTTTTTAGTTGGCTTTATAATTATGAAATAATATTGTAAAAGCTAAACATAACAAAAAATATTATGAATAAATTTAATGATACAAAGATCAAACAAATTTTTTTTTACTGACCACATAAATTAAAAAAGATTTATTTTAATTAAAGCAATTTTGATAAAGATATTTATTTGTAGTTAGTTCTATTTTTTCAAAAAACTTTTAAGTTTCAAAACTGATATTGAAAGAAAATTTTTGATATATATTTTTAGCAAGTAAATGGTTTATGAATTAGAGATGTAGATTAAAAAACGAATATCATTTAGAGTATTTTAATGAGACAATAACATATATTATATATTAATGACTATTTTTATTGTTTTTATATAGATAGATAAATAGGTATTTTTTTTAGTAAAATAATTTATTAAGATATTTAAAAATCTGATGTTAAAATGTTTTTTTTTTTTGTAATAAATAGGTAGAGAAAGGTAGAATTTTAAACAATAAAGGTAGAAAACTATCTAGTTAGCTAGCTAACTAAATAAGGTATTTTTAAATTGACTATAACTAATCAAAATTGCAACTATACTGGACTTGAATAATCATAATAAAGACTATCAATTTACTAGCAGAACTATTTCAGGTGAGTGTCATCCTATAAAATAAAGATGTCTTCTTATTTTAGACGTTCTTGTTCTAATTATTCTTGTTCTTCTTTATGATCATTTGTTATTATGTGAATTTCTAATTTTTTCTTTTACTCAAAAAATAAGTTATCAAAATCATTAATAAGATCATTAATAGTGATTGCTTCTAAAATATGTGGTATTCTTTCCTCTATATTTTAAATATTTTTATTAGTTTTTTAAATTTCACATAAAAGATTAATTACTTCTATCAAATACAAATTTATGCAACAAAATCTCTTCAGACATTGATAGAAATTCTCTATGTAAGGTTTTAGGCTTTTCTGTGAGTTTGATTAGAATGGAATGTTTCATATTTTCAAATTTTTCTTGGGAAAGTTATCTTAATTCTTTTCTCATATTTACTAAAAACTCTTCAAGTCTATTTTAGATATGCATAGGTGAGCAAACGGAGGATTGAACTAAGAATGAAAATCCACTCACTCCTCTAAATGTCTCATCCCAGCACCAGACTATATAACCTAGTTTTTCATTAGTACGCAATTAATTAAAGAGAGGTTCACTTAAATAATTTTATATAAGCTTCATCATAACACGAGATTCTACTGATTCTGGACCTCTTTAGTAGTGTGATTATAAGCCTTTTCATGTCAAATAAAAAATTAGGTCAGTCAATAATAAATATAATATTTACATGAGTTGGTTTCTTCAGGATTAAATTCTTTTTCGTTGATTAGAAAATCAAGTTTATTTGTGGTGTTTGGAAGAATTTTGTTAGGTTTAATCAAAGGTATGTCGGATTTTTGTAGTATTCCAAAAATGTTTCTCAAAGTTTTCATTGTGTTTTCAGCTTTTTATATCCAAGATATTGCCTCTTCTTTACTAATATTTCCCATAATCAAGCTTTCAAGACGAGTATGGGATAACCACTATTTATGAAATTCAACGATGTCATAAAGTCTTATTTCTTTTAGTGCCATTATTTTTTACTTAATAGTAAATTTTCCTGTTGAAAGTAGACAGTTCTTACTCAAATCAGTTATCTAGAGTTAAAATAAAAATTTATATTTAATTAAATAATTGGCAGTAAAAAATTACAATTGAGTGAGGAGCATCACGATAGTAATTATCATAATCAGACATTTATCTTTCATAAAAAGTTGAAAATAATCTTTAACCTTCATCAGCTGGATTAAATGACTTAAAGAGCTTTAAAAACTCTTCAAACAAGACACCGATTTTATCACTATATCCTTTTATTCTTACTTTAAAAGAAGTGTAGTGCTACTCAAATTTTAAATCTATATTAGCCATTTGAGCTAAATATTTAGTTTCATTAACATAGTTTTCAAAAAGTATTAACCAAATTTCTTGCAATACAAATGATTTAGCTGTTTTAGATTGATTGCAATCATTCGTAAAGATAAATAAGTCACAATAAGTTTTGCAGATAAAGAACGTATCGTCTTATTTATAATAAAGTTCGCTCATTTCACTTTCAAAAATCTTTATTGGGTACTTACTGGCACTACTTGTATCATCTGTCTTAGGAAGTATATCAAAATTTTTAGGAATGAATAAATTTTTAACAGGTAAACCAAGTTTTTTTTTGCTATAAAGAGGCTTATATTCTGTATTATAAGAAGATTTAATATCTTCAGGAATTTCACTTACAAGATATCTAGCTCCTAAATATTTTTCAGTTATGAATGAATCATCGTCACTCTTGCTGTTATTCTATTTTGCATTAGCATAATTAAAATTTTCATCGCTACGATTATCTTAGTATTCCTCATCTCCATCATTTGTTTCAGATTTTTATGATAAATAGCTAAATTTTCTGTTTAGCATACTATAAATATGATTTTCATCGTCAAAATCTTCAAACTCTTCTTCAATTGTATAAGATTTTTTAGCAACAGACTTACTATATTTTCTTGCTGATATTTATGGGCTTTTAAGTTTTGGAGATTCTCCTCCATGAGAATCCAATTAATTTTGATCTGTATCATAACTAGAAGCTTAGTCTTCTTAAGTTAATTCTTTATCTTTTTTAACTTTTTAAGCAGCAGCTGAACCCTAATTATTAAAAATAAAAAGAATAATTACTATTAAATAAATTAATAATTCAACAAGGGTTTAAAGAGTTAATTTTGAATAGTTTATTGATAGCTAATGCTAATATCAATAATTTATAAGAATATTGAAAAATAAGTAAGGTAGTGAGAGAAGCAACTGTCAAATTAATGAAGAATTTATATAAATTGAATTTTTTAATTTAGATTGATGAAAATTTTACCCAAGCTTAGTTAGATCAAATAAATAAATAAATTAATTACATGTGGATGTGTTATTGAATGATTATGGCAGTGAGTTTCTATTAACTCTTAAGCTTTTTTTGTTAGCACCTGGCTAGAATCAATGACAGTGTCTAAATCTTATTGAGAGGTGTTAAAGGATTTAGAAAACTGTGAATCAAAACTCTTTGAGCTTAAATAAATTATGATATTATCTAAAGTTAGAGAATCTATTAGCTTTTATATTATAATTTCATCGTACTTTTAGAAATCATATCTCATTTTTAAGATTTTGGTCATAGGGATCCAATGAAGTCCATCTGCAATTTTAGTTACATATTCACTTATTGCTATTCTCTCTAAAAAGCGAAAATTTATAGCCTCAATATCTTTTACCTCTTCATATGCTTCTTTGTTGGCAACTTCTTTTTTAAGGACTTATATATAATTAAAAACAGCATGACAGACCCTTTTATATTCAAAGAATCCTCTTTGAGTTAATGTGATATTAAAGCCAATTATAGTAAATAAATTCATGCAATTTTCTGAATAAGAAGTCAATTCTACTGCTAATCCTTCATCAAGAAGTAAAGAAAGCAAAGAATTTTTTCCTTCGTGGCCAAAAATATGCGTTAAATAATCATCTGGCTTTATATTACAGTACTATTATTAATCCTCAACTACCCAACAGAACTCAATAATATCTTCATCTTTTATGGGAATGATTTTAACTAATTTGCAAAGCTACTCTCTAGGGAATGGGTGAATTTTCTCTAACTCCATTTCTTTCATCTGTTCATCACTAATTTAAATCATTTTGTAAAATATAAAATGTTTAATAATTTTGTTGGATTTAAAAAAATGTTTTGTTTTTTATATTCAAAATGCTAGTAGAAATACAAAAAAATCTAAAAATTTATCTACAAAATAGATAGATATTGCCTTAAAAACTCTTTAATTAAAATAATCAAGTAAAAAATAAATAAATTTATGACTTCAATCAAAGAATTATAAATTAAAATGTTGTAAAATTAAGAAGTAAGTGCATTTATGGATAGAGTATTACCTAATTTATTCTTTTTCTTTGTTTTGTATTGTAGAAAAATATTTTATTGCCAGATTTTTTAGTACTTCTATTGATTCCTGACCATATATTACTAAATTCATTTTATGAGCGCTATAGTATTTTTCATAAAATTTAAGCAGTTCTTCTCTAATATTTTCTTTTTGAAGAGTTTGTAAGCATCCTCCTCCATATTAACGAAATTTTGTTCCTTCCTTTGCTAGAGCTTTAAATATTCCCCATAAACGACTGGAATCTTCACTAACATTCATTTAGTGTTCATTTTCAATTGCATTAATCTCTTTTTCTACACAAGTCTCATCGAATAGAGGACTGATAAAAAACTAGCTAAATCTATCTAAAGCTTCTTCAAATGCATCTGATTTAACATCAAAGTAGTAATTGGTATTCAATATATCAGTATAGGCGTTGTCACTTCCTCCATTTTAGCTTAAATATTAGCTATATTCGTTTTATAAAGGATATTTTGCTGTGCCCATAAAAAGCATGTGTTCACAAAAATGTGCTAATCCTTAATATTCTTCTGGATCTTGTAATTAACCAACTTAAACATCAAGTGAAGCAGCTGATTTTTCTGCATGACTATCACTTATTACCATAACTTTAATACCATTTTGAAGTTCAAAACCTAAATATTATCTATCGTCATTAGGACTTTTATCAATTTAGACTATCGTATTCTACTTCATTGCTTTTTAAATCTTATATGGTTGAGTATTACTTACTAGTTTATATAACAAAATACTCTTTTATAAAATATAAAAAAGAATCCTTTTTACATCTAACTAATATATGTGTGACTTCTATTAATTTTGTTTAAATCCTTCCTTGAATTATCGATATATTATTCTATCTAACTTCAATAATAAAATGGATAATTAATTATTATATTAAGCTTTTATATTTTTTGTTTAAAACTACTAATTATTGTTATAAAAATTTTTTGGATTTAATGTATTTATAGTTTAGCTCTTCAAAGACTTTTAAAATTTACGAATTACTTTAAAAGTTAATTAATCGTTTACTAATTTTAGTTTTTGTTAATTAAATAATAGATGAATTCCCATCAGTAATACGCATTAAATTATAAAATAAGTATATCATAATTTTCCTGTTTAAAATTAATTAAAGGCATAATTAATTTTATTATATCATTCCGGCTTAAATAACTCCTAATTAAATTTAATAGAAAACCTAAATATTTAAAATTTTTCTAATTCAAAAAATAAATCTTAAATAAAAAAAATTAGTTTAATCAAATGAAAGTGTTTATTTTCAAGGATTATATTTTTATTTTAATTAATTATCTAGATAGACTTCAAATTCTAATTTATGTAAAATAAAGTAGAAATATTTTTTAAATTTTACATCTTTAAAAAAATAATAATCTCAGAGCATCACTAAGAGGATGTAAAAAAGCAGTTAAATTTTTTATAAATTCAAGATCTAAAATTAATTAATATTGTCAAATTTATCTTTTTTAAGTAATATCATTATTAAATCATTTTAATTAATCTATTCAAGATTTATAGAAAAGCTACTCTTAATTTACTAATTTGAATTAAATATAAAAATAAAAATTTCAGATCATATTTTTGATTTATTTTTCAATCAAAAGAAAATAAAAATAATCAATCATCAAAAAAAGAAAGAAAATTTATTATCAAAAATTTGAAATTAAATAGATATTTAATGAAAAAAAAAACCAAAATAAAGATAAATCATATTATTTGATAAAATGAAAGATAATTTAAAAATAATTTTCTAAATAAAAACTTGCAAAAAAAAAATATAATAAATTAAAACTAAAATAAGAAAAATAATTTAAATTTTATATAAAAAGAAAAAATGTAAACAAATAAAAATTAATATTTAAAATTGTAAAATAAAATATTAAATATGTATAAAAATAAAAAAAGGGATAAAATTGCAATTTTTATTATTTAATACCTTTTTGTTTAATTACATAAACGAATTAGTATTTAATACAAGAAAATATTAATCAATAATACAAATTTAAATATGCTTAATTTATTCAGAAATGTGTAATCAATATGAAATTATTTGACATAATAATAATTTATTACATTTTATAAAGATAAAGATAACATTAAAAAAAATAAATTTAGTTTATTAATCATAAGATATGCTTTTTAAAGGTGATTCGTATTATTGTTTGAATTTTTATACATGTTCAAATTCATTAAGTTTTGTGTAAGCTTTATCAATTAGGAGATTTTAATAAATTTTTATTTTTGGTGATAGTTAAATTTTTTAAGGGAATAATTTTTATTAATTGATAATTAATTTTATTACATATTATAATTTATTATTATTTTCACACTAAAATATTTTTCAAATTTAATCATAAAAGCCATTTTAATCAATCACTTTATTCTATAAAAAATACTTTTCATAAGTCTAAACTGTTGGGAGTAATTGCATTTATAGATTTTGTTTTATGCATATCTTGACTTGATATTTTATTACTTTGAATCTAAGAAGTTTTTTTACTTTTATTAATTATTTAGCTTGTAGGTGTTTAAGGTATTTCAGAATCTTTTTTAGGCCTGTTTATTAATTTACTGCTATAATCACGCTCAGCCCATTCATCAGAATTAGCTCTTCTTGGTTTCATACCTAAAGCAGTAGTATACACTCCTTCTTCATAAAAATATTCTTTCTCAAAAGTTTATTTTTATTCTTTCTTTAATTTAAATACATAGATACAAGCTACTATAGGTAAATAATAAACAAGAATCTTAGTAACAAACACTATGCTGGCGTCAGCAACATCTCTACCATTATTATAATCATCGTCTCCCTAAAAATAAAATAATAAAAATTGTAACTCAGTAATAATTTTTTGAATAAATTACATGGCTAATATATCTACAATCACTTCTTCCATTATATAATATTAAGAAATTTTTTACATTCACAGTTATGCCTGATATAATATTGACAATAATAAGCATCCTTTTTGAATAAAAATTATTAAATAATCAAAAAATTAGCTTTGATTAGAAATTTAAAGTGAAAAAATTACCAAATCTTTTTTTTTTGAGCAACTTTATTATTGTACTAATAAATATTTTCTAAGAGAGGAGCTGGTAGATTTTAAGTATCAAAAGTTTCAGCTGTATTTTATTAGATTCCGATGCGGCTTATTTGCTCCTCCATTCTGTTAATAACATATTTGCCTTTATTTTAAAATATACATTTTGAATGATAAATTTTCATTTGTATCAATCAATATTAATTACCAACTCCTGCAAATACTAAGGAAAAAAGTAATTCTATGGCCCTTATGTACGTCCACATATTTTCTTATAAAAAAATAAAGCTTAATATTGAGATTTAACTTCATATGAAGAAAGTTAAAATGAGAAAATTTGTTAAAATTTTAGAAATAAATGAATTCAGCTTACATTTACAAACTCTACCTGATTTTTTTACATATTACTCAACAAAATTCAATATTAGTATGCCAAAATTATATAGAACTATCACAGCAAAAATACCCTTTATAAATACTTTTACATTTTCATTCTCTATCAACTTAAAAGCCTTAGATGCAAAATAGTAAATTATGATAGCTAGCTGCATGCTCATGAAGAAGTTTTAAAAAAAATATAAGTACTACTAACCAGTGCTGCAATTGTAAGAAATAAAAGCTAAAATTTTTATTATCATAAAAAATATTTTCATTTAAATGTTATTAATCAATTAGATTATGTAATTCGGAAGAATCATTAATTACCTAAGTTGCAAATAAATAAACACCATAAGATAATGTTCTTCTTTTTTAAAACATGCCCTTTATATTTATAGCTCTCATATAAGCATTTACTTAAATAGAACTGTATAATTATTGCAGCTAAAAGATAGAATATCAACCTTAATAATTAATAATATTCAATAATTTATTTCTGAAAAAAATGTAATCTAAAAGAAAAATATGCAATAAAAAAGCTTTAAAATTTTACGGAATGCATTGTGTAAGCAGGAATGTCTGATCAACACAAGTGCTTAATCCATAAGATTAGTCATAAATGCTTAAATCTGGCTAATCATTGTAATTGTTAGATGCAAAAATATCCATATCTATATTAGCTAGTCTTATATTTATTTTTTATCTTCCTTAATTTTTTATGGTAAATTGTATTTAATATAATCAAATAGTTAGTTTAATTTTTATAAAAAATACATAGATAGTATATTGATCTTAAGATTACACATTTTTTTATTAATGATCAAAAACATCAAAACTTAAAAGCTAAATGTACCCTTTTCTTTGAATAATAGTCAGGACAATTACCTAATAAGCAAGCATTATTGATTTACAATATAGTCAATAAAAAAAGATTCTTCTTTATAAAAGAACAATTAATTATTTTTCTTTTACACTTTAAAAAATTCAATATAAGAATAATGAATTTTTAAAAATTACCCTTCTTTTTTAGCTGGCTATTTTTTTTTTGATTGGAAAATTATTCACTAACCAAATTCCAACGACTTTTATGTAAGCTTTTTATATTTTTTAATTGAAGAATAAAATTCTAATTTAAAATATAGTTAAACATAATAAAAATACATAATTTAACACTGTAAAAAAAAATTTTAATTATTGAAATGATGAATTTTACCTCTAAAAATAGAGTGAATCCAATTCACACATTTTATTTAAGTAAATAAATAAACATAGTGGCTTAACTTTTCTTCTTTCTAAAATTATGATTCTAAGGTGGAGTTTATTGTAGAGATTTATTAAATTTTATTTTGATTTTACAATGTATAAATCTTAGTTAAAAAAGCTAAAAAATTATAAAATCTATTTTAATATAAACATTTAATATTTAAAAAATTTTTAATTTAAAATCTAAAAATTGTTTTTTCTAGTATAAATAAAATAGTTATTTTTTTTGTTTTTTAAATAAATTTGTTAATTATATTACCTTGATAGTATTCCATTAATGTTTATTTCAACTATTTAAATAAAAATTAAAAAATTGAAAAATATTTTAGCTAGATTTTTATTATCCTAATTACTTTAACTTTTAAAGTTAATTTTTAATAATATAAACAGCTCGCTTTGTGTAATGAAATTTTTTGGTAAAGACAAGATAATTTTTAATATATTAGCAGTAACTTGGCGCTTTTGATTTGGAAAGATTTTATCTATTTTTTTAATTTTAATTATTTTTGATATCAATTTTTTAAATTTTCAAATGTTTTAAATATTAAATACTAAGATAATTAAAATTCATTAGATTTTAAATATAGTAAGAAGATAAAAAAGTCAATAAAAATGAGTTTGATTAGTGGAAATGGATTATAGAATTAAAGTGAAATTTTAAAAAGGAACTTGCAGAAAATAAATTATTAGTAGAATGTTTCATTTTAGGTATTTTAAGATAAAAATCCCATAATTTTTTTGTAAATTTTGCATTATGCAATAATTAATTATAATGTAGAATTCTACAAGAATCTTATAGATAAAGGATATGAGCTTTTTTCCAAAAGTGATTAAAATTTTATGCAAAGTGTATACAAATTTTTATAAAAGGAGTATGAGTACAAACCTCCCATATCATTAGAATAGTTTTTTACAAATATTTATTTAGAAAAAAAGCTAATAATATGCAACGATATATTAGAAATAGTGATTAAGAATACAATTGAAAAGTAAAAGAAGCAGAAACAAGATAAAAACACATCTTAAAAGAATTTAAAAATAAATTAAGAAAATGAAGAAGAGAGAATTTAAGTTAAGGTAGTGAAAGAAAATATACCTATTTAGTAAAATATATAGAAGAATTACTAGTCATATCAAAATGATGAAGATAATTATGAAGAAATGCCTAGATAATTTAACTAATAACTAATGCAATCAAAAGATGGATAAGAAAATCTTTAAAATAAATACTTAAATTAGAAATAAGATTAAAACCAAGCTTTTAATTAGAAATAGATAAACTAAAAGTTAAATAATGTTAATGGCTAAAATCTTTAAAATAAACTAGAATTAATAAAGCATGATATTTAAGAGATACCTTAGCAAAGTATTTAAATAGAAAAGTAAAAGCAAGAAATGTGTTCTTAATTTAGCTAAATAACTAATAAAATGTAGAATTTACAATTTTCAAATTAAGAATCTGAAGAATTTTCTAATAAAAACCACTAAAATACTGAAGAATAATATAATCAACTAAAAGGAAATAAAGCAGATCGCCCTGTAAGTGCTAGGGAATTAAATGAAGTAATGAAATTGATTATGAGTTTAAGCTAAACTATGTAAGAAACTATCCATAAGCTAGACTAATATTAAACAGCTTCAAATATAAAATTTTAAAATATCAGTGCCCAACTTATGCTGTTGGAAGGAGAAATAAAGCTAGTTAGAGCTATTCAAGAAAATAAATGATAATCAAACTATTATAAAAAATTACATTTAAATTTATTCAAAATATCTCTTTTAATCATTATTGTACTAAATAATTAAAATTTTTGTTTTCATCAAAATTCTATGATTTCATTTAAATTATTATTATATCTCTGTATTTAATTTACATAAATATCAATAAATTATTGCTATTATTGAAATATAAGTGTTGAAAAATCAAAAAAAATTTTTTTGGCATAATTTTTAGTGAAAATTAATATTAATTTAAAATAAGCAGTAGAAATATTAGAAAAATAGCATCAGTTTAAGTCTGCTTGAAATGCATTTATTATTTAAGTAATTGTTAATTATATTATTTATGTTGCTATTTTTAAAGTAAACTAGCAGCTCATAAAATATAATTACTTAATAGTATATAAGCTATCATGTGATTTAAGATTGTGCCAAGAAAATAATGGCAGAATTTATTATGCGAGAGAACATATGCCAAGAATAAAATTAAAAGAATAAATAGAAAATACTATAGAATATAATAACTAGTTAGCTAAAGATGAATAATTAGAAGATAGAATTAAATAATATTAGTGAAATTCTTCAATTAGTTGAATAAATAAAGCCAATCTAAGATTTAACAAAAGATTAAATGATTTTAGGCAATAATCTGAATGAAATTAGTTTTTTAAATCAAATCAGACAAATTGAGGAATTTCATTAAGTAAATAAAGGATAATTTAAATAAAAAAGTTAAGGGAATTTATAATAAATGATAGAAGAGTCTCTTAATAACAAAACTGATTAAATTTAAAATGAAGAGAGTTATTTTAATGAGCAGTAGGAATAAATGAAACTATATCAAAAACATTTTTAATTTAGACTCAATTCTTTAGAGGAATTGGAAGCTTATTAAGAAGAAAAAGAAAATTAAAATATAATAGAAAATGTGTAAAAGGAATTCGAATAAAAAGAACACTTCTCTTTAGAATCAGGTAAACATAATACTCCTCTTTTTTATTATAACAATATTTATTATAAAATCTAGATTAATATAACCAAAATCAAATTAGCTTAAAGCAAGAAAAAGATCCAAATTTTTGGAAACAGTAATTAGAATGGTTACAAGAATCATTTTAAAATGAAAAAAAAAATTATGAATAGGTTATTAGTAAATTATAAAAAGATAAAGAATAATTATAAGATGTCTTAAATAATATAAAAAATAAAAATGAAAAATTTTAAGAAAATTAAGATTTATAAAATCTTATAAACGTTCTAGAGACTATAAATTTAGATTTAGAGCCTCTGAAGCTAATTTAGAGCAACTCTGGATAATAATAGTAAAAAGATCTTTGACATTTTAATATTTTTAAATAAATTCTAATTACTTCCTAATTAATTATTTTTAATAAGATCATTTAAATAAATGAAAGAACCTTTAATTTCAAATTACTAAAGCTCTCATTATAATTATTTGTATTTATAACATAAATTATCTTTCTATTCTATATCTATCTTTCAATATATTTATTTATTTTACTTTTAATTTATAAATAATAAATACAACTATCAAAATTTAAATATTTACTTATATATATACTCATATATAAAATTGTTTGAAAAATAATTTAACCAGTTAAATCATATTAATTATACTAATAAAAATAAAATAATAAATTGCTATGCTTTAAATTAAATAATCTAAAGAAAAATACCAACAAAATACCTTGAAAAGCATATTAAGACTAAATTACTATCAAAACTTTTATCAATCAATTATTTATATCATAAGAAATATACATAAAAAATTGAGTTTTTAATAAAAATATACTCTCACAACCATTTTAAATAAGTATTCTAAAAAAATGAATTTATTTAGAATAAGAAAAAAAAATATTCAACTTTTTTTTTTGATAATAAATACATTTTAGAATTTGGCTCAATTTGATTATAAAACATATGAGCTTTTACTTATCCTAAATACAATAAAGAGGTAATTATATCAATGATAAATAAAGCTCAGTTTTTCTTTAAAAAAATTTTAATAAATAAATAATAACAATACTTTGATGATTAAGTAATTATATTTGTTTGGATGCTTAAATAAAAATAAATTTTTTACTATCTAATAAATAAGAAAAATAACTAAAAACGAAAACAGTAAAAGTTATTAAAATTTTGCAAAACAATAAATAATCTTAAAGAAAAGAAAATTATTATAAACAAATAAAAAATTCAATACTTTATTTAAAAAGGTACATTAATTATTTATCGAAGTAGAAATGAGCAAAGAAAACTAAATGCGTGATTACTTAGCTCGTATCAACCCTGTCATCGAGCGCTTAATTATCGATTTGCTAGTTGATATGCCAGAAAACTATGTATCCATCCATCAATAATTATTTTATATTTTATGGAACCCTAAGTATTGATAATAAAATTGGTTATTTCAAAGCAGAACATACTTTTCATCTATCATAAGTCTTAAGTTACAAATTTAAGAATTTCAGTTTTTAATGCAGTAATACGTTCAAGGGAACAGCTACATTTAAAAATATATCCAATTACCTATCAAAAAATATTTTGCATCGAAAGTGCATACAAAAGTATCAAGTTCAATATGAAAGTATTTATAAAAGGCAGAACGAAAGAACTATAATTAAATAATCATAAAAAAAAATATTTGTGTTAATAATTTTAAAAACACTTATGGGTGAATTTTTATAAAATAGCAAATCATAAAGTAAAAATTTTAATTTAATAGGTATAGTACTCAGTAAACTGGTTCTAAGAGAAAGGTTCAAGATTAGCATAAGGAGAAGATATTCCTTCTTCTTCCAACTTAGTAAGGATTTTTAAATAATGAAACGATGAGACAGACTATTTATTTAACAAATATTTTGTCAAAGCTTTTAGCATGCAAAAAGTGTTATGTTTTTTAATAACAATGATAAATCTTAAAAAGCCATTTATAAATATTCAAAGAATTAATAACTAGAATCAATACTGAAATTAGAAGCATCATTTTTCATTCATTCATAAATGTGCAATCAATATTGAAATAATTGAGAACGAATTTAAAATAATTTGAGTTTTTTTTGTTAAATAACTGGTTCAGTTGATTTTCTATCAGCCTATTTATTAATAAAACATCTTTTTTTAATAACTTAAAAAAATACAATAAATATTAATTAGAAAACAAACATCTAAGTAGGAGAATCTTAATAAGACTTTGATTTTTTGCCAGCTAAAATTCCTGATAATTATGAACATCCTAATCTTGACAGCGAAGAAGATGACGAGGATGAAGATCATGACTCAGTTGAACATCATATCATTTAATAGTAGTAAAAAAATAAAGGCAAAGGAATGCGCGCTTCAGTTAGTGCTGAAGCTTATGGATCATTCAATAAAAAGGGATCTTATGTTCCAAAAGTAGTTCACAAGGAGGAAGAATAAAAGAAAAGAATTGAACATCGTTTAATGTAAGCTTTTATGTTTTAAGCTCTTGACGAAAAAGAAAGAGAAATAGTAGTTAATGCAATGACAGAAGTTAAATTCAGGTATAAAATTCATTTATGAAATTTTAAATATAAAAAAAATAAAATTTATTTCGATTTCATTATTTTTTTAACAAAGAAAATAAATAATCATATAAAATTAAGATGCTTGCATGATTGTAACAATAACGCATAATTATTATTTAAATAATTCTTATTCTTTTTAAATAAGCTTTGAACATTAAAAAAAACTTTCTATCGAAATTAGGAGTTTAAATAAGAGTATTTTTTATTCAAAAAATAAATAGCTAAACTTTTTGATAATCAAAATAATTTGCAAATTATATTTACAAGCAAACTAAATAAATAAATAAACTTAGTTTATTTTTTTAAAAATAAAAAATTTATTTATTTGACTATAAAACTTCATAATTTAAACAAATATTTTTAATAATTTTCCCATCTATAAATTTTCTTTAAAATTATAACTAGCCCTGGAGATTGGATTATTAAATAGGGAGAAGATGGTGATAATTTATATGTTGTAGATTAAGGTGAGTTAGACTGTTATAAAAAATTCTCAAAAGATGCAGAAGATACCTACCTTAAGACCTATATGCCAGGTGAAGCTTTTGGTGAACTTGCATTATTATATAATGCTCCTAGAGCTGCTTCTATTAAAGCTAAGACTGATAGCATTCTATTTTCTTTAGATAGAGAATGCTTCAATAATATTGTTAAAGAGTCTGCCATAAAAAGAAGAGAAAGATTCGAATAAACTCTTCAAAAAGTAGAATTGCTTGACTCTATGGATCCTTATGAACGTGTTCATCTTGCAGATGGTATAAGGGATATTAAGCATAAAGCTGGTGAATATGTTATCAGAGAAGTATGAAACACAGTTTTTTAAAATATTAAAATAAATTTATGAATTAAAAAAGGGCGAGGAAGGAAAGTATTTCTATATGATTGAAGAAGGTCAATTAAAAGCCACCAAAACAGGTTTGCTTTACATTTTTTTTATTCGAAATTTAATGATATTTTAAAAATTTTTAAAAAGAAAATGGACACGAAGTTTAAGTTTATGAGTACAAAGAGGGTGATTATTTCGGTGAACTTGCTTTGGTTAAAAACATTCCTAGACAAGCAAACGTTATTGCTACCGTAATAAATTTATTTATCTTTTTATCTACTTATTTAGGGTTTTATTAAATAATTTATTAATATTTATGATAAAGACCGATGTAAAACTTATGTATCTTGATCACGATACATTTAAGCGTCTTTTAGGTCCTATTGAAGGTATCCTTAAGAGAAATGAAACTCGTTATGCTAAATACAATCCTGAAAATATAGTCAACCTTACACAATGAAGTGAAAATTAATGAGATGCTTTACTGCTTAGCGAAAGCATCTTTTTATTTTTTTCTCATAAAAATCAATTATTTTTAGATATAAAAAATGAAACCAATACTCTACCTATCTATCTATATATTTTTTTCTTAAAATAACCATCAGCTTGTGTTATTGTTTGTATTATTTTATTTCATTTACTAATAGTGTTTGAATTATTCATTGAAAATTGTTTGCTTAATTATTCTATCTAGAAATTTAATCTGTAAAATTAATTAAAATTCTACATTTACATAAAATATTGTGATAATTGATCAATTTATCTATTCAAATATTATTTTGATTTTATTTATTTCAAAGAAGTTTAAATAAATTTCAAATATAAATGGATTTATTAAGTATTTAAATTGGAGATGGATATTAACAAGTAGACACAGTCCTAAGAAAAATACTAAAAAATACTCTATCATTAATAGAAAAAAGAGAAAATTAAGAATACTTTCTGAAAACAAATAGTCTTCATACATTAACACTAGTTTAATATATTGCACAGTAATATATTTCGATTTGTGATTGCGAATACAATTATGCCTTAAATTGGAGTGAAGATATTGAACCTGTAGGTAATATAATAAATATAATTAATACCTTTTAATTATCACATATTTCAAATTGTATTTGACAAAATTATTATATAAAGATACCTAATAAAATCGATTCTATGCAAGCATTTAGAGTTCCTACAAAGTAGAAGTAAATAAAGGTTGATAATGATAAATAAATTAATGTACCTGCTTAAAAAATTAAATTATCAGTCGATATAAATACTATTTTGACAAAGGAATTGTAAGAAGAAAAAAAAAGATTACAAAGAGAGTACATTGAGAAATATTCTTAACTAAATTTTATTACAAAGGGTAGTAAGTCTCCATCTCGTGATCTGCAAAGCTAATCAAAATTTAGTTTAGAGTAATTCAAACCATGGGAATTATCATATGCTCATTTCAATTCAAGATAAAAACCATTCATGTAAATGATAAAATAGAATGAGAATAAAATTCAAGAGGTAAAATATTAAATTTATTACCATATCATTTTGCAAAATATTTTTGTAGCTAGCTATTGATTAATGAATAAATATTTAGATTCAGTTGCTTTTTAAATCTTTAGTGTTAATTGATATATTTTAAAATAGATAAAAAAACTCTAAATTATTGATTTGCCTAAATAATGTATGCATAAACTTTAAAATATAAACATATTTTAAAACCATTTAATTCAAAATCTTTTTTATATTTTTTGGTTTGGAAAATTTTAGAATTAATAATTCTAAATCCTAGCTAAATTTCTATCAAATATATTTTCAAAAACTAAAAATGAATTTCCAAAATGTTATGAGAATTAATTGTAATTGAAATTAGAAATAATTTTATATTAATTATCATTTAAAATATTATTTTAGGAGTAAAATTAATAAGATAGATCTAAATTTTTTATTCGGAAAATATTATCTAAAGAAGCTATCAAAAGAGCTACTGAAAAGGCAGAAAAAGAAGAAAAAGAGAGATAGATAATACCTTAAGAAAGTGAAAATTTATTTGGAAAGATATTTAAAAGTAACATAAAAGTTTTTAGAGCTGGAGATAGTAAAGATCTTCTAAATTTAACTGATATTTCTCAATATAGTGGTATGCTAGAATAGGAAGAATAAAATATGAAAGATGATATTTTAAATTAAAAATAAATAGAATTTACTGATTTTTTTGCAACTTAAGTTTAGCAAGAAGAACAGAATAAGGTTACCAAAGCTTATTTCAGTACAATTAAGGCTCTATCCCCTAATTCAGTTAAACCTTTGAATTTAAGACATAATTTTCCTAAGGCTCCAATTCCTCAACTTGTAGATGTACCTTTAGCTATTATTAAATAAAAATTTAAGAAAGACAATCTTTAGTTGCTTGAAGAAAAAATAGCAAAAGCATAAAATCCTAACAAACTAGAAGAGATAATGTTAAAAAAGATGAAAAATATTCGTGTTAGAAGCAATTCTCCTTAAAACATAGACAGAAATAATTAAAAGAGTCCTTAATATTATAATCGTCCTGCCTTAAAAGATAATGTAAAATATTTAATAAATCCTGATTTAAAATGTGAAGAAAATGAAGGTCTTAATCTTAAAATTCTTCCTAACCTAGATTTTAAATAAGTCACTAAACAAAATTATTAAGTTAGCAACAAATTAAAATGACATAAATAAAATAGAATGATTATAAATAATTCAAAATTTTAATCATTTGAATTTTATAGAATCTATGTTCTTTTTATTTGGTAAGAAATAGATTATTAAATTAATGAAATTCAAATAAAATCAAAACCAAAAATATGTTGGTACAATATTAACCATTTTACAAAAAAATTAACTTCTGATGTTAAATTTAGAAACAAATTAATTATTTATTTTCTATTTTAATATTAGTTTATATATTCTTATCAGAATTTATTTGATATAGAAAAATAAATCAAACATATTACTATTTAATCATTTGAATATTTATTATTATATTAAGTAATTTTTATAAATAAAAAATATTCTTATCCAAATATTTAATCATTTTAATCAACAGAAGCCACAAAATATTTGAATAAGTCAATAAAAATAGTTTTAAAAATTTTTTAGTATTTAAAAAGATACTATGAATCATAAAAATTAAATAGTTTATTCAAACTTTATTATTATCATTATCAAATTATGAAATTAAAATAAATTAAAATAGAAAAATGAAATCAGTCAAATTTATTTTAAAATAGATTCAAAAAATTATTTTTGTACTTTTAATCTATTAATTCTGGTAAGAATTTAATATTTGAATTTGCTTGATAGATGATTCAAATAATGAGTATTGATTTGAATAATTTATCATATATTTCATTTATTTAATAGCCATAGTTCAAACAAAATATAATATGTTATACTCCTTGTACTTTAAAAAATGTTTCCTACGTTCTACTTGTTAATCGTAGATTACATTTATTTTTTGTAATTGAACATGTAAAATTAGAAATGTAATGCATTTTATTTGTAAATTCAAAATGTATAAAAAATACAAAAAATTTTAATTTTGAAATTAATTGCCAAATAAACAAATAATCAATAAATTCATGCATGAATAATATTTCGTAAAAAATTCTTTTATTTAGATATGAACTTTTTTATAAAAAACTAAAAATTATTTTAATGCTTTAAATGTATGTTCTTAGATTAACAAAATGAATTTAATCAAATCAAAAATTTAATAGATAAGTAGGAATGATATGCATTTAAATTAAATTGAATTTTTAACTAAAAAGACTTAAATTTGAAATTTATAATGAAGCCAAGAGATTTACTTATTATGAAAATTTAAAAGTTCAAAAAAAGTTGTAGGGAAAAGTGTGGGAAGATTGGTTTTTTAATTAAATTCAATCAAGTCAATTGAAATTTAAAAATAAAATCAAAAATTTAATAATAATTATTTAATTAAAAATAAAAAAATAAGAAACAAGCAGTAATTAATAATCTAATTAACTTTGACTACTAATATAATAATAATCAATATAAATAAGAACTTAATAAATTAGTAAAAGATAATCAAAATTGAAATCAATCGTCTTATTTTTCTCTTGATATTAATTGAAATAATAAAGATAAATTAGATAGAAAAAAAAAATTTGATTGAATTATATAGCCAAATAAAAAAATATAGAACATTTTAAGAAAACAAATAGAAGTACATAGAGACAAAAGAAAAAGGCTCATAAATATTAAATAAAGAAACAACTCTAACCTCAACAAATTTTAAGATTAGCAGATATGGAAAAATTAGAAGCATTAGGAACCATGCCTCAAGCTCGTTTTGGGCATACAATTACCTTCATAACAAAAGGAAAGGCTATTTTATTCGGAGGTGCTACAGGTGACACTGGAAGATTCTCAATAACTGGAGAAACATATTCTTTTGATGTGCAAACAAGAATTTGGAAAAAGATAGATAGTAATTATTATGCTCTTCTTTTTTTTTGTTTCCATGCATCTTAATTATGCTTAATATACAAACTTGAATATTTTATGAATTAACTCTCACTTCGCATAGGACTTTGAAATTTAAGCTAGCTATTGAAAAATATCAATCAATATTGCATGCAAAAGTGATGTGAAAGAATTTCATTTCAATTTTATATCCCTAAAAATTAAATTGAAAGAAAATACCATTTTAATTATTAGCTTTTGCTTGTAACAAATCTTAAGAGATGTATCATTAGAATCCTTATCTAAAAATCACTAAATTTTATAAGTTAATCTTAAAAAGTATTGTGTGATGAAAAGAGTTAAACTTAAAAAAAAATGAGATGCATGGAATTTTTAATATATAAAACGATCTATTAACTTTATGTAACTAATAATATAAGCAACTGGAGCTTAGCCTTCTCCCAGAGCAGCCCACGCAGCAGTAGCAGTAGAAATAAATTAGATTGTAGTCTATGGCGGTGCAACTGGAGGTAATAATAAATTCAAAATTTTTTAGAATGCTAAGAAGGAAACAATAAAAAACAATATTTTGTATTTTTGCAATAAAAATACCAATTCAAAAATAGCAACAAATAAATCAAAAAAAAACTAAATATATGAATTGAATCACAAGCAATTTAGAAACATACAAGGATAATATTTTAAAGAAAGAGAGATAAATAGATAAAGAGAGTAGATTTAAAAAGCCAAATACTTCTAATGTTTAAATCTAATAAACAAACAAATAAAAAACAATATGAAACGCATATTTTTTCTCAAGAGTTAAATACTTTTCTTTCTCATAAAAAAAATTAGTCTAAAATATACTTTCTTGCTTTTTAATTTATTCTATCAATACAAATAATCATCTAAGGTCTTCTCTTTCTTAGGTTTTGTTGTTTCTTCTTCTTTTCAATTTATTATTATTTGAAGACGCCCTTCACCGTTCAAATAAGCGAGTGAGAATTGTGGCTGTGTTTTGATTTTACTATTTTCTTAATTTTATTAGGCAGTAATGGATATTCTTTAACTTTTGAAACATTTCAAACACGCAATTCAACAACTCACATAAACATTCAATCAACTAATTAGCCACTTGTTAGTTAGTTAGTTAGCCCTCATCGTCTTCAACTATTAAAGCAATAAACTAAACCTCAGCTGAACTTAGAAATGATTAAATTATCAATGAAAAAAGCTAAAAGATAAAAATGAAAGAATAACATCAAACGAAAGATTGACTGTTAAACGAATACTTACTTAGTGAGATGAGGAAACGATCGATCAATTGGTCGACGAATAAGGGAATTAATGAATGAATGAGTCAATCAGTCAATAATACAATCAGCTCTCGAATGGAGATGAAGATGATGATTTCTAGAAAAAATTTTTTAAATATAAAATTAATAGGATATGTTGACACTTAAGGAAGGAGACAGTTCTTTCATTCTTTATTTACTTTAAAAACGATTAAAATTCTTATAAAAAATTTAATGAGATAGTTTATTAAATTATAAGCAATTATTTCGAGCATAAAAATGAATATTTAAATTAATTAATAAATCATTTTAAAAATTATCAAAATATTTAGGTTAAGAATAAGTTAATTAATTAATTAATTAACTATTATAAAATCAAGGGTAAATTTCTACTTAAATAAAACAAAAAATTAATTAGATTATAAAAATACAAATATAAAAGAAAATATTAAATTTAATTTATTTAACAAACATTCTTTCAATTTCAAAATATATTAATCATTTTTTCATATCATCATCTTCATCGTCATCCTGAAGCTAAAATAGTTTTATTATTATTTTTAATTTAATTTAATATAATAGTTTGTTGAATTGCATCCCAATATGAACTTAAAAATTTTTGAATTTTCAATCAATTATCTAATATATTTAACAATTTTTCCAAATTAGATAATCAATCATTCACTTATGTTTCATTTCGATTTATCTTCAACTTTTAATTATAGGTGGAAGTTTAGCTTCAGATGATTTATACTTGCTAGATTTACGTGGCTCTGATGATACTGGTTTATGGACAATAGTTCCAGTAGTTGGTCAAACGCCTGGAAGACGTTATGGCCACACTATTACATATACTAAACCATACCTAGTAGTATTTGGTGGTAACACTGGTTAAGAGCCTGTTAACGATTGTTGGTACTTGAATGTTGAGAAAAGCCCTTTTAATTGGTCTAAAATTGATGGCAGTAAGCAAGAAAATCCCAGAGTTCGTGTCTATCATAGTGCATCTCTCTGTTAATAAGGAAGTGCTAATGGTATGGTTGTTATTTTTGGTGGTCGTTCAAATGATCAATCAGCTTTAAGCGATACATGGGGCTTACGTCGCCACCGTGATGGCAGATGGGATTGGGTACGCGCTCCTTCTAAAGGTGATAAAGATTAACCTACAGGTCGTTATCAACACTCTTCAGCTTTCTTAGGAAAACTTCTTTTGATTATTGGTGGTCGTACTAATAATGTTGGAGAGCATTTAGGTATGGAAGTCTATGATACCGAAACTTCTGAATGGTTACGTTTTAACTCAATCTAACGTTTCCGCCACGGTTCTTGGATTGTTGATAATTCTGTATACGTTTATGGAGGTTTCGAACTTGAGTCTCCTAATATTCCCACTGACTAAATAACTCGTATCAACCTACTTAAAATTTTCTAATCGAACAGTGATCTCACTAACAAGGTGATATAGTACACAAACAACAGTAATAATAGCACTCTCCCTTCATAGCCTCATTCGTAAATATTAATTTACCAAAATTTATAAATACATATTTATACATTTTTTTTATAAAAGTCCTATTTCTCCTAGTTTGAATGACTCTAGCACAAATGCTAATTCAAATAATAGCTCTATTAGGTCTGGATTTAGTACTCCGAACACTTCCCCTTCTATCTAAGGTCCTGTTTCTCCAGTTCTCATGGCATAATAATAAATGCCTGGTGGATCATACACTATGGGAGGCATATAGAATCCTAATAAACCTAATAACCTTGCTCCTATGAAGCAAACTACTCTTGGAGGCGGATAGATTTAGAGCAAACCACTAACATTCCTTCCTGCATTACAGGCTGATGAAACCAACAAAATGTCAGATATGAAGAAAAAAGGAAAAGTCAATAATATGATCAACTACTCAAATAATGGAATTTACAAGAACCCTACTGATACAAGTGCTATCCATCACTAATTCATATAGCATTTATTATAGCCTAAGATGTTCATTAACCTTCCAGAAAATGTTATTTTTAGATTCACTTCTTAACAAATTATTGAATTATGTGATAAAGCTGAAGATATAATTCGTTAATAACCAATGGTTCTTAGAGGTAATTTATTAATATTTAACATGACTAATCAGTTCTCAATTTTTCACTAAATTAATAAAAACAGTTAGAGCACCTTTGAAAATTTTCGGTGATATCCACGGTTAATATAGTGATTTAATGAGATTCTTTGATTTATGGGGATCTCCTTGTGAAAATGGTTAGGATGGTGATATAGAAAGTTTTGATTACCTTTTCTTAGGTGATTTCGTAGATAGAGGTTCTCATTCCCTTGAAACTATTTGTCTTCTTTTGGCTCTTAAAGTAAAGTACCCCAACTAAATACATCTTATCCGTGGTAACCATGAAGACAAATGGATCAATAATGGGTAGAATTCTTTTTTAAATATTTTAAAATATATTATAACTTTATTTTTATATTTCAATAGATTTGGATTTAGTGATGAGTGTAATCATAGATTGGGTGAAGATCCAAGCGATGATGATTCAGTTTTTAATAGAGTAAATAGACTTTTTGAATGGCTACCTCTTGCAACAATTATTGAAGACAAAATTATTTGCTTGCATGGTGGTATTGGTAGCTCATTACACTATATTCATGAAATTGAAAATCTTCAACGTCCTCTTGAAGTTATTCATGAAGTTAACACCCCTGATTAATAATTAGTTGTAGATATTTTATGGTCAGATCCTACTGAATCTGATTAAGAGCTTGGTATTCATCCTAATAGTATCAGAGATCCTGTTGGTTCTGGTAATATCGTGAAATTTGGCCCTGATAGAGTAAACTAGTTCTTGTAAACAAACAATTTGAGTATGATTATCCGTGCTCATGAATGTGTAATGGATGGATTTGAACGTTTTGCAGGTGGTAAGTTGATCACTGTATTTAGTGCCACTGACTATTGTGGTAGACATAAAAATGCAGGTGCCGTTCTCATTTTAAGAAATAATTTTGAAATTATTCCCAAACTTATTTATCCTTCTGAAGCAGCTCAACAACATTACTGGATTGAAGATGATGAAGCTTTAAAGAAAAGACCACCTACTCCTCCTAGATGGGTTAACAATAATAATAACATCAGAAAATCTTATGACTGAGAAAACCACTTATGTATTGAATCTTCATTCAAATCCTTCAATTTTTCTTTAAACTTAACTTTTGATCCTTCAAAATATCTTTCATTAATAAATACTTTTAATTATCACAAAACAATTTAATATAAATCATTTATTGAAAATATCAGTTCTTTTCTGGTAAATATAATCCTCCTTTTTTATAAAGTAAATAAAATTACTAATTAAAATAAACAAAACAAGTAAATTATGTTGAATAGAAAGATCATATAAATATACCTTCATACATACATAAATAAATAATTACATGCTTAAATACCAACACAATTAACGATTTGAATATTCGAACTCAAAATATTACATGCAAGGCAGTTATGAAAAACTAAATTAATAAATATATTATTATAAACTTTTAATTAAATTAAGTTAACTATATTTTATCTGTTGTTTTGTTTTTTATTTTTAAGAAAGTAATTTATTTATCCATCACATTCTTTCATTCATTAATTTTAATATCTATATATCTACTGAAAAAGGAAATTCTTGTAAAAAACATAAAATAATATATATAAGCATAATGTTTTTTTGTTTGAAAATATCTCCTTCTATTTTTAAAAGTAAATGAATGAATCCCAAAATATTAAATTTTATATTTTTTTCATTCTAAGTTAAAAGCTTATTAAAAATTCATTAAAAAAATCAAAATTATTAAGAATATTTTATAATATGGAACTAAAGATTTTAACATTAAACAAACTTTATATAATAGAAATATATAGTTTAAATGAGAAGTAATTAAATTAATAAATTTATAAAATATATATTATTATTTTATTTCCTTTAAAAATAAATTAGCTTTGTATATTAACAAAATAATATTTAAAACTATTAATTCAAATAATAATGTGAAATCTAAATAAATATTTTTCGTATAAATTAAAAATTACTTTTATTTTTTGAAATATAATTCAATTCTCTTTAAATTCGAATTGTAGTTAATTAAAATATCTTTATTATGAATATCTTTTATTATCAAAAAAAATTTAAAAAGAAATTTAATAGAAAATTTTAGTCCTTTTGTAAATAAAATGCTCCTTTTTGATATAGTACACCATATTATCAATTAAAGAAAATAAAATTAGTAAAAAAAAGAAAGAATACTTACATGTCCATACAATTAAAAATTCCAATATTTGAAATAAAAATATTTTATACAAAAAATCTAAGAAAAGTTTAAAAAATAATATTTTTTTTAAACGTTTAATTATGTTATGTTTAGTATAGTTCAAGTAAAAATGATGATCTTATTTTAAATATATAATGTATATATAATCTTGTGATTAATTTTTTTTTTTAAGAAAAATTTATTAATTTAATGATAAGAAGATTTCCCAAAAATTTTTAGTTCTCATTAATAAACATTATTCATTTTTTTTTTTGTTATTTTAGAATAATAGGTTATCCTTAACAATTTTATTTTTAAATTTACTTATGAATGTAATCTTTTAGAATTATAAATAGAATAAGTAATAAATGTAAATAAATTGATTTACATAAATAATTAGCTAATTTAATAATATTTATTTTATTGTATGACGCTTGGTTATTTCTAGAATTACTCCAATTTTAATTGCATATTTTTTTTTGTTTTACTAAATGAATGCAATCATTTTGAAAAACCATATTTAATTTTTTACACAAAACCTTATCGAGACATCATCCATAATAAAAATAATTGCTTTTATAATTTTAGCAAAATATTTTAGGGCCTTTTTGTTTAGTAAAATGAGTTAGTATTAGAAAGAAAATGAAATTTTAGTTTGATTTTATTTCATTAATTGTATTGTCATTTTTTGTTAAGGAGTGACCTTAAATAATGTAATAAATAATTTATTTTTCAGAAATATTTCTTTGAGATTTCTAAAAAAAGTATGTGATTGTATCTATTACTAAATTGGAAGAATAGAGTGATACTGTAAATTTGATTTTATTTTTATTAAAAAGAGTCAGTGTTTATGTAAGAATGATTGTAGTATAAAAAAACAATAAACCTTAGCAAAGAAAGAAAATTTCTAGAATATTATACTCTTAAATAAAAATCAATAAAAACAATAGATGAAATAAAATAAATAATCTAAAAAATTAAAGTTAATTAAAGAAAAAAAACTATAGAATAAAATCAACTCATAAAGTTTAAAATGTCTCATCCCTACATAGAAATTACAAGCACCAAGCAATTCGAAGATATTCTCGAAAAGAACGAATATGTTTTAGTTGATTTCTTTGCTTCCTGGTGTGGCCCTTGCAAAATTTTAGCTGAATAATTCGAACCTATTAAGAAAGATCACAAGAACCTAACTATTGTTAAGGTTAACATTGACGAAGAAGATTTAGAATCTATTGTTGAATCTCACAATGTTTCTTCTCTTCCTCACGTTTTCTTATACCACAAGAAGACTGTTGTTAAATGTAATTTCATTTTCGACTTTAAAAGTCTATTAACTGATTTTAAAAAATAATTTTTAAATAATTTATAAAAATAGAATTCATTGGTAACCAAAAAGACCAATTATGGGAAATGGCTAAACTCAGTGATGCTAAGTGATTTAGATATTATTAATATAAATTTTAATAGTATACTTAATATATATTTGAAATGTATTGTAATCAAATTTAAAAATAACTTTCAAATCAACTCAAATTGCATTTTCACTTTTATTTTACGAAACGATTCAAATTATTTAGAATACTTTTTAGTATGTTGCCTAAGATTTGAAAAGAATATAAACATTAAGATTGTTGAAATATTTTATTTTAAGAATAATATTTTGTAAACTTAAATAGAATTTTAAATAATTCATTACAATATCTTAAATATTGTGAATTCTTTTCTTTTTTCTTGACAAGAATCATTTTTATTCAAAGATTAACTTTAAATAAACTTGAATTACTTGCTTAAAATTGTATAATTAATAGTAATTAATGCTAACTATTACTTTTAATATATATTTATATTATAAAGGAATTATTATTTTTATAGTTAAAAAATACTTTCAATTTTTTTGATACCTTTAAATATTTTAAGCTATAATTAGTATTATAATGAAATAAATAAACTATAATCAATAAAAAATTTCATGACAAACAAATATTTATTCTTGTAAATTTATTTATTTTGTAATTTAATTCTATGTAGAATTGCTTATTGAAACTAAAATAAAATAAATTAAAATTATTAAAAAATAACAATGGTTAATTGATATTTTTATAATTGAATTCTACTTAATTAATAAAAATTTCTTTGAATTAGATCAATCTGATAAAATAACTAATAAAAAATTTATTTTTAAATTAAAAAATTTATTTAATATAAATAATTTTTATTATTGAATTAAGAAATATACAAAGGATGTAAAATTTTATTTTAAAAATTTTTGATTTATTAGTCTAATATTATAAATTCAGTTAAAATTAAATAAATAATTTATGTAAAATAAACATCATTAAAGTAAAAAATGATAAAAAAAAAGATTAACTCTTAATATAAAGCTTTTAAATAAATTAAAAATTTTATTTAGAAATTTATCATAAAATTATTTATAAATATTAGAAAATATAAAAAAAATATTTTTAATAATCTTAAAAAAATAAAAAAATATCAATTTAATTTAAAAAATATTTTGAAATAATTATTTTGATAAATCTTTATGATAGATAAAAATATACTAAAATATTATTTATTTAATATTTCTAAATATCTTTGAATTTAGTTAATAAAAGTAAATAACTACTAACAAACATATTTATTATATTTATTAAGCAGTTTCTTTTATTGAATTATTATTAATAATTTTTGATTATTCAATTAAGATTCAAAGGTTTAACTCAAATTAAATTTACAAGCTAAAGTAAAAAATATTGCTCACATTTTATCACAAAAATGAATCATAGAAGTCCAGTTTTACAAAACCTTTAAAAGTTAGGAGAAAGGAATGTTACTCGTAGTCAAAAAACTTCAATTGTAGAAGCTGAGAAATATTTAGCAGAAAACAAGATTGAAGAAATGTTTAATGTAAAACAAATTATCAGTTTTCAGAAGTTATTAAAATGATCTTGCATCATATGTCTAAAAATTTGATTTAGAAATAGAAAATTTAAATAACTATGTTAAAATTAATAGGAATTGTTAGCATAAGTAATTTAGAATAGACCAAAGGATGTAAAAAAGTTTTTAAGAGAATAACTTGAGTTATAAATCAAGTTGCAAGGAGATAATTATTACATTACTAAATAAGATATTGAGGCAATATTTTTGAATTATGACTTTTTTTAAGAAAATAAAGTGCCTTATACTATGCTTGTATAAGGTAATTAATTCTGTTGATATTTTTTATTTTTAATTTTTTTAAAATATAAAATAAATGGTTTATTAAATTAAATATTTTAAAAATATCTACAGCTCTTGGTTTAGTAGGTGTTGAATATAGTGTTAAAGAATTTCTTGAGAGATATCCTCAATATGAAGCACAAAAATATATTGTAAAGGAACAATTTATCATGATTATGACAGATGAATATCGTGAAAGACTTAAAGTAAAATATAAATCTTTTTTATCAGACATAATATTTGAATTTATTATCTCGCATAAAATAAATATTTTAAGTTACTTTTAAAAAAAATTAGAAATATAAAAAGAAAAACGAAGACGCTTATATGTTATAAGCAATCGCCTCTGATACTTTTGTTAATGATATTTTAATATATTGTGACTTAGAGCTAAAAAATCCTTTTGGAAAAGAGCTTTATGGATGTATGAAAAGAATTCTTGATTATATGATTAAAAATCCTGAATTATGCGTGTTAGAGTAATTTACATAGGCTCTTTAACCTGAATTAACAACTGCATAAATGAGTCTTATATTGAATGCAACCGGAATTGAGTTCATGGAAAGAGGCTACTTCAAGTAATCAGAATAATTCTTGAAAGGATGCTTATAATTTAGATTTTAAAATTTGGGTGAAAACAGTATTGAAGTAGCTAAGTGCTATAATAATATTGGTCTGCTTAAAAGGTAATAAGAAGAATTTGATGATTCAATGACAAACTTTTAAAAGTCTTTAAGAATATATTAAAATTTTTATGGTAAAGACCATATTGCCTGTTTAGAAATTCTTGAAAATATAGCTATTTTATTACGTTCCTAGTAAAATTATGATCTTGCTCTTAATCAGTATGAAAATATTCTTAAGATTAAAGAAAATCGCTTTGGACCTAACCATATTGAAACAGCATAAACAATTGAAAATATAGCAGTTGTGCTTATTAAAAAGTAAAGATTTGATGAAGCTATTGAGAAACTATAGAAAGTACTTGAAATTAAAAAGAAGAAACAAGGAGAGAATAGTATGACTGTCGCTGGTACTCTCCATAACATATCACTTGCTCTTGAAGCAAAATAATAATTTAAGCAAGCACTTAAACTCAGTAAAAATGCCCTTAGTATTAGTAAAAACGAATCCCTCACTAACAGCTTTGTAAGAACTGTAGAAAACCATGTTAAAAACTTAGAAAAAAATATAGAAGAAGCTAATGAACAATTGGATGTTTCATAGGAATTATGAAATTATAAAATATACTTTTCAGTTTAATTTATGTTTTTACTTTAAAATCTAAATTTTTAATTCTTCAACTAAACATTAATTACAATATTTGAGCATTGTTTTAAAATTTTTATCCATCTTTATTTTATTTAGTATTTTCTTTCACTTATTAATAGAAAAATATATTTTAGCAAATTCAGTTGATTTCCCATTTTATAGATTTACACTTATGAATTTTTAGAAAGTTGGATATTTTTTGAAACTAACTTCTTAGATTATTATCTAATAATTAATTAAAACAAAATCTCAATTTCTTAACCATCTCTTTTTGTATCATTTTTATTATAATCATGAATATAAGTTTATTGTACTTTATAAGTAAAATCTTTAATTATATTTTTTAACAATAACATCTAAAAAAATTAAGATTTCAAAAAATATCTTACAAAGCTCTTATAGTGATAGTTATAAATACAATCCATAATAAATTAAAGCAAAATTTTTAATTTTGATAAAGTCATGGCAAGTTAATTTAGTGAATAATCTAGAGCTTCACAAAGAACTTAGTAAATTTTAGAAGAAGTTGCCAAATAATCATAAAGCAAGTATAAATTATAATTTAGAATTAGCATTATATTAAATTGCAATGATAAAAATAAAATTTTTAACAGAATATACAGACTCACTGGTACATCCATTTTAGATGATGAATAAGTCAGAGTGGCATGGAATGCTTTTGGTATAATAATTAATATAGTTTAGTTTACAGCGTTTTGTAATTTAAAAATAATTTTTGTTTTAAATTAGGTTTATATATTTCAAGAAACTTAAGAATGGGTAGAGGTGTAAGCATTCCTAATTTTGGTACTTTCACACTTAGTGCACCTGAGATATCATTAGAAGTAAATAACTTTTTATTGAAAATAATATCCTTGAGTGAAAGTAAAAAATGTTTTATTTTATTAGGGAGTTACTAATAAAACCCTAAGAGAAAAACAAGGAAGATAGCCAGTATTTATAGTCTCAAAAGAGTTTTGCAATGGAAAAGATATAAAGTCTGGTATTTATTAAAATGGCTAATTACGCTAATATTAAGTTCATGGAGTTAATGGGTCTATCCCTTAAACTAAAATAAATTTTACTGAAGTAAGCACTTACTGTGATTAAAATAAGGAAGAAACAAAGGCTTGTGTAGAGAGAGTTATCAAAAACGTGCAAGATTCAGTGAGAAATGTATAATTTATGTTATTTTTTGAAACAAATTTTTAAATAAAAATTCTATAATTAAAGAAAGGAGGAATAGAAATAGAAATTCCTAATGTAGGAAATTTAAAGGTAAGAAATAATATAGCTGCAGTTGTTTTTAGTGAAATTTTATATAGAGACACTAAAGATATAGCTTCAAAGACACTGGCTGAAAGAAAATCAAAAGGTGATATGAGTTTAACAAGAGAAAGAGTTAGAGCGTTTTAGTAGATATAATAATTTGCAGAAACAGATAGAAATAACTACAGAAACGCCCCTTTATAATTAGATTAAGGAGCAAAAGATTATCTCAAATCATTCATGAATATCGATGTAGATTAGATTTATTAGTCAGAAACTAACTCGTCTTTTAGACCTTTAACAGCTAAAGATTCTGTCTTAAGAGAAAACTATGTTCCAGTAAACACTTGGAGAAGTAGACCTAAAACTGGAATGTTTAAAAAGACTTAAAACTCAATCACATAACACTCAAGTGGTATTGAAGTCATAACTGGTTGGGTTAGAAGTAGAAATCTTAATTCCGAAGACGTAAACTCTTATTAAATATAATAAATAATAATAAATATTTACTTATAATAAAAAAGTCGTTTATTGAGTTTTGTAAATTTTGTGTTGGAACTTCAAGTAAAAAATCTAAGTTAACAGAGGATAATATAATTAGAGGAATATTAAACATGGATATAGATATGAATTCTGATTAGGTTAATAGTTTATTTAAATCTTTAGATTATAATAAAGATGGTTTTGTTGATTTCAACGATTGGTGTAAAACTGTCAAGAACGAATTCAACAATCCCCATTTATAAAGAATCAAAGATATTATTAAGCGTTAGAACTTAAAGCTTGATGACATTTTAAAAACAATGTAATTGGATAGGGCTTACTAGTAATTGAATTTATAAAATTTAACAGCTGCTTTGAAAAGGCTAGATTCAAGTTTAAGTAAGATTAGAGTTAATATTTAATTTAGTTTTTATTTTTTCAAATTTAAATAGATGACGTTAAAGCTAAAAGTGTTGCTCAGTCTATCTTAAATGATAAAGAAACCATTACAGTTGATTATTTAATGGAGATATTTGGTTGTGATGTTGATTAATATTAAGAAGAGGCTGAAATATTTTAAGATCCTAATTGGTATTCAGATATGCTACTTAGAATAAAAAAAAAATTAGAAAGCATGGATGGATTAAATAAAATAAAAGAATCTTTTATGAAGGCAGATGTTCATAATACAGGAAAAGTTAACAGTTCTATTTTTAAAACAGTTATTCTTGATTTTGGTCTTGGTTTGAATATTTAAGAATTAAGTCGCTTGATGAGATATGTGGAAAAAGAATAAGATGGATTTGTTGATTATTCAAAGTTTTTAAAATCAGTAAAGAGAATAGATCGTAATATAATTTTTTATATTTCATAAAAATCTTTAATCAAATACTATGTTATATATAATTTTAGGTAGACCTGAGGGTGATAATGCATTTATTGACTTAATTGATTTTGGAGAAAAGCTCACTAAATTCTTGAAAAGAAACTATATAAGAACAGCTGATGAATTATTAAAATGCATTGCATAGTTTCACTAGAAGACTGCATCTGGGTTTTACTAATTTACTGTAGAAATGTTGGCTTAGTTCTTATTAAAAAATGCCTTTTAAGGAGCTAGTTTAAATGAAATCTTGACTTATTCTAAAATAATGGATATTGATTAAGATAGTTATATCTCCAAGGAAGACCTCTAGACATTTTTAGAGAGAATTAATTACTTAGAGTCTGACAATAAGTCTTCTTTTTCCTAAAGAAGTAAGCCTAACTCTGCTTGGGGTGACTAATAAAATAATGCATCTAACGGTATGAAAAAAAAAGGATTGTTTCCTACAAAAAAGCTGAACAACTAATAGCTTGAATAAGTACTAATAGAACTTCGCTAGATTTTGTTAATGAAAAAGATGCAGAATAGAGAATTTTTCAATATTCTTGACACAAATGGAGATGGTTTTATTACAATCACAGAATTTAATAGCAATCTTGATAAAATCATTAGGCTTTCAGCTGAAATGAAAGATGGTTTATTTGCTACTATGGATAGCTAAAAAATTGGTTTAATAGACTTCAAGAACTTTGAAAAGGTTTTAGAAATGTCAATAATCGAGCTTCAACAAAAGAAGGATGAAAATACAGTATTAATATTTATTTTAAAACATTTAAATTTATTCATTAATTTTGGATCAGGAAACTAATTTAGATAAAGAAATTTCTGACAATGATTGGGATTGGACAAAACAAACTATTGATTAAATGAAGGATTGGTTCAAGACAGAAAAACTAACTTTAGAAGATGCTTTTAGGGTTTTTGATAAGGATTTTGATGGAGTTATCAGTAAAAATGATCTTCGTTCATTCCTTGAAGATGTTCTTAAATGCCCAAAAGAGGAACTCACAAATGCTAGGTTAAACAGAGTTTTTAAATTAATGGATGAACATAAAAGAGGATAAGTTCAAATGTCAGATTTGAAAAAAATTATTAGTGGAAATTTTTTACAAAGATATAATTACAACATATCTCAAGGCTTTAAAACATAAACAGTCTGGGGTGGAGCAACATAAAAAACTAAATCTATGCTTTCTGGCCAACAAGGATAAAATGAAAGAGATGAAAATGAAGAATGGTTGAACCATGCTAAAAAACAAATTGGATTGACTATTTCAAGAAAATTTAATTCAGTTATTGAAAGCTATGAATGTAAATTTTAAATTAAATTAAAATGATGATATAAAATTTTTATAATTTTAAAAGTAATTTCTTAGCATTAAAAAAGAATGGTTTTTAAACAATTCAGTTAATGGGTAGATTAGAGCAGGGCATTAGTAGGATTTGATCTTACTGAAAACTAAACATAAAAGGTATTTTAATTACTTTACCTTTCTTATTTTACTGCTTAATTTAAATAAATATAATTAAATAAAATAAAATAAAAAGGTTTTTTCTAGTTTAGACCCACACAAAAAAGGATATTTGACTTCAAATGATTGGATAAATTAATTTAGTAAAAAAAATTAACCTTATTTAGAAATATTAACAAAAATGAAAATTTAATAGAAAACTTTAGCTGGAAAGACTAGATGTAAGTAGAAGTCAGAGAGGCCTTATAGCAAAATTTTGATAGCAAAAATAGTGCTTTTAATTTCTTTTTAAAAGATAAAAGTGATAATGTAATAACATTTGGATCTTTTGAATAAGGAATTAGGTCTTTGTTTGATCATAGATTTACTTAAAGCGACATACATTAGCTATGGTTCAAAGTATCTGATAAAAAGGATCATATTATAGACCGTAATAGGTTTTATAATTATTTATTTGATCCAGAATTCCCAGAAAAAAGTTAAGGTAATACATAAGATGGTTAAGGTGCATTCCGTCGTCCTCTAACTGCTCCTGCAGGAGGAGGTACTAATAAGTTAAAAAAAAAGAATGGAGAAAAACAAGCAGAAGAAAAAGCATAATCAGAAATAGATGAAGAGGCAAGGTTAGTTGTTGAAAAGGTAAAATAGTTAATGAGAGCAAGCAATAAATCAATTGAAGAGTTGTGTGCAAAAGTTGATATAGAAGATACTGGAATACTATCTATTATTGAATTCAAAAATATCTTCAGAAATATGAACTTAAACTTAACAGCAAAAGAAATTGATAAAATTGTCAGCTATTGTGATGAATCAAATAATGGAAAAATAGATTGGAAGAACTTCATAGAAAAATTTAAAATCAAGTAAATATTTTTTTATCATTTAATTTAAAAAAAAATATTTTATTCTAATTTAAAGGGAAAGTGTTTCAAGAATCATTGATAGATCTAAGTAAAGATTATAGAGGATGAATGAAGATATTCATTACTATATGATTTCTCCAATCGATGCTTTTAGAATAGTAAAATAATTTACCACAAATATATTTTCTCCCTTATTGCAAAATATATTTTAAAAATTAACTTTATTTAAGAATTGATTATTTAAAACATTTTGAATTATGATCAAAAATTTTTTATTTTTTTTCAAGTTTAATGAAGAAAGAAATGGAAAGTTAACATTTAATTAATTCACAGAGCTAGTCAAGAAATTATGCTAGATGTCTAAATAGGAACTCCCTTCATTTGCAATTATAAAGGATTTATTTTAAATAATTGACACAAGAAAAGATGGAATAATAGATTAGTAAGAATGGGTACAAACATTTGCTAAATTTAAAGCTCCTGACTCTTCTCTTTAAGGAAAACCTCTTATTTTATCATAATCCAATACATAGTATGAAGAACCTAAGCTCCTCAAGCCTCTTTATTTATCTTAACAAAAGGCTATCAATTCTGATACTCTTGATTCAGAAATTAAAGAATATGATTAATTGATAACTATAATAGGGAAAAACAGAAAATTCTTATTAGATTAATTCAAAGCTATTAACCAAAGAGAACCTGTCACTTACGAAAAAGCTTTGTAAGTAATTCATAAAATGTTTGTCAGCTTAGGTAAAAATTTAGACCATTCTTGCTACTAGAAACTTTTAAAATTTGCTGAAAGAGACGGAGTTATAGACTATAAATTCTTATTAGATGTATATAAAGAGAGAGTTTCAAAAATAAACGTGTAGCCTGTTGCGAAAATCTGAAAAAACTAATTATTATAAAATATTAATTAAAGCAGTTAGTAAATATGTATTACATATAAAATACAATTAAAAATATTTTAGGATAAATCCCTAAAATAATTGTAGAAATATCAATTTTATTATCATTTTAATTAGACTATGACTTAACTTTTATTTTTCATACATCATTAGACATTTACATTAGAGTCTTTTTTATTTCATAATGATATTGCGATGATTTTGCACACTATTTAAGAGGCTCATACTTAACTGATAAATTCATGTCTTAGAGAGACTATATATACTTATTTTATTTCATATACACTTCAGCTCTTAAATAATAAAAGGTTGCATCAGTATTGTTTAATTTTATTAATTCTGTTATCTCATTTTCTGCATTAGGATAGTCTCTTTGACTCATGTATTTTTGAAATTAAATCATTCTATTATTTATTTCTTACTATCTAGGATTATTTATTTCACCATCAAATCCTCCCTCATCAGATGGTTTACTATGAATTCTCTACTATTTATCTGAATTTTCTGAATTTTCAGACATTTTATTTTAACCTAATTTTGGAACTTCTGTAATTTAATCCTACTTTTTTTTCTAACTCATTTTAATATCTTTCTAATAAGTCTAAAATCTTTTTAATCTATTTAATTTTTTAATTAAAAGTGTTGTTATTAAAATAAGTAAAAATCTTGTTTCAATTTATAGATAAGCTGATTCTACTTTACATTAATATTTTATATTAGCTGAATCAAACTGATAATATTCTTTTTAGTTTCAAATAATCAGTAAAATAAAATGAGTATTCAATAAGTTACAAATTTTTAAAATGCTAATATTATATTTTATTTTAAAGTATGCTTAAAAGAAATTATTAAAATAAAACATACACACAAAATTATTAAACATTTAATTCTAAATAATTTAATAAAAAATTCAAACCAATTAGAATTTAATCAAATCAAACATTAAAATTTAATATGCTCTTGGGATATTGACCAAAGTTTTAGAGTAATACTTTAAAAATACAATCTTATTTTAAATATTAAATTTAATTAAACAAAAAGTCAAAATAAATTTATTAAACTTAAAATGAAAGAATTTCATTTAATATTAATTATTTTAAACATAAATTTAAATTATTTAATTATTGTTTGATTTAAATAATTTTATTTTTTAAATTGAATTTTCTTAATTTAATAAAAATAACTTCTAAATAATTAAAATTGATCATAAATATCAATAATGAGATCTAATATCTCTTTTTAATAAAAATAACAAATTGGCAAAAATTAAATATTATTTTGACCAGTTGTTAATTAATTTATTAACTTATTGATGTAAAAAGCGTTCTAAAGAAGACTACTCTTTGATTAAAAGTAAAGCACTTTGAAGCTATTTTCTTTTTATTACCTAATTAATTAATTTATAAATCTTTAAAATAAATATAATAATTGTTATCATTCAATAATTTTTTTTTTTTGCGGAGATAAATAATTTAACATTATAATAATTATCTTAAAACTAGGAAATTAAGGAGAATATTTACATTTAAAATCTTATTACTAGCATAAAATGTTAGCAGTCAATGAGGAATTTAATGAAGAAAATTCAATAATAGAATCAACGACTATAAAAACAATAAGAAATTTAAAGAGCAGAAAATCATATACGAATGTATTAAGTAGCAGAGATGATTATCCTAATTCTAACGATAATACAAATATTCCTCCTCAAACGCCAACGCAAAATGGTAATATAAAGTTGAATTGTTTTTTTATTGAATTACTGATTATAAAAGTTTATTTATAAATAATAATTAAAAACAAATTGATTTTATATAATAATAATAAAATTCATTTTATTATGAATAAAAGAGGAAGATTCTAACTATAAAACTGATGAAACTTCTGCAAGGCACAAAAAAGCGACAAGCATGCCAAATTCAGTTATTAAAAATCCTATGAGGAAAGCAACCAAACTGAAAATTCAGAAATTAAGAAGCGATATATAATTGCCTAGTGAATAAAACTAACAAAATGAAGGAAATTTGGATGCTTATGGATCTATGACTGACAACTTAAATCCCATTTATTATGGTGAAAATACAATAACAAATTAAAGTGGAAAAAATAATAGTAAACAAGGAAACGGAATGAGTAGCTCGCTTTCAAAAAGCTATAATAGGTAATCTAGCTTATCAAATCATGTTTAAGAAGAAATAAAAGTATAAAAAGAATATGTAACTATAGATATGGAATATGCTATATAATTTGTTCTAACAAAAAGCAAGGCTCTTAAAGATAAAATAGAAGGAGAAGGTATAATGCAAGCTTTTATAAATTAGCATATAGTAAAGAATAAATTTTTTTAGATAAGCTATAACTCATTTTTGCAAAATCTAATAAACCATAAAGTATTAAACCCAGATTTTAAAAATGTAAGCAAAAAAATGTTTGAAAAATTAGAAAAATTTTTCTTTGATAGACTTCAAAAATGCTAAGATACTGTTAGCATTTAATAAAATTATGTAAAAAAATCAAAATCTGTATATAGTGCAATAGAAAAAAGAATATAAGAGTTAAAAAAAGATTTAGCAGATAAAAATAAAATAGAACTTTGAAAAATAACGCTGAAATAATAATTAAAATATTATATTTAATAATAATATCATTCATTGATTACTAAAATTATTTAAAGTAAATAAAACACATCAAACAATATTTATTATATAAAAACTCAAAATTAAGTTATATTTATAATCATATTCTGAAAAAATTATGTAATTTTTTACTATTTGACTGACTTGAATAATACAACAAGAAATAATTACAAACCATAAAAAAAATATTTATTATAATAACATAAATTGATTCACTGATAGTTATAAATCCTATATTTAGCATACGTTCATAAAATTTTATAATGGTAATTCTTCTAAAAATATCCTTCCGTATTTATACATTTAATAAAAATCAATTGCTTGTGTTTACTCATTTATTTGAACTAAAAAATCAAACAATATTTTAAAAAATATTTTTTTTTATTGATTAATTATTTAAATAGTTGCTAAACTTTAATTTTGAAAATCATAAAAAAACTTATAAATTCTTTTTGATCAGCATGCATAAGCATTTAATTTTTTCCAAAAGCTTGAAATTCGTTTTTGATCCTTAAAATAATGAACGCATTTAATTATATTTATAGACCTTGAAATTTTAGTGAGGAAAAATTCTTTTATTAAATTTTTATGTAGAAAACTAAAATCAAAAAGATTTTATTGATATTTTTAAGTTAAAGTCTATTTTTTCTGGTTAATTAATCATTTTTTTCTTCAATAATGGTAATTAATTCCTTTTTTATTTAAACTTCCAAAAATAGAATCTTGCTTAATCTTAAAATTTTTATCTGAATGTGGAGTTTTATATTATCTATTTATTTATTTTGGTGTGTAAATTACAGGAAAATCTAAAATTAATAATCTAAAAACTATCCTGAATTCTAATTTGATTGAATTTTAATCTTTTGATATATATTTTACTTTCGTATCTAAATTTTATATAAATCAATTTAGGAACTAATTATTTTAGTTTTCATACGTAAAGATTGCTAACTAGATCCTTTATTAATTCAGCAGATTATCGATAAAAATTTTTAAAACCAGTCGTGCTTTATGTTACTATTGATTTAAAGTAATAGCAAAATGTGAAATACTGTCTATTTCAATATTTTAAATTAATCTCAAAATTTTATAAAATCTTTAGTATGAAAATGAAATCTGTATCTAAAACATAAAAATTATATTAAAAGAGTTTGATTTATTCAGTGTGTTATTGAGTTTTTATTAAAATAAAAGTATATACTATTATTTAAATAGTTTTTTGTCCTTTTATTTATTAAATATTTAAAACAAAAAATAATCAGATCTATTGAAATAAAAATAAATCCTATTTTTTTGATTAGTATAGACATGAAAAACATTACAGTTTTTCCAATTAATAAAAGTATCTGTTTTTCTGATATGTTCTAAAACCCTTTATGTTTTTGCTCAAATAGATTTAATTTAAAATAATTATTGTAAGAACTATCAAATTGATGTATTTAACGAAGCCTTATCCTGATTTATATATCTATTTTCATTTAAAGGGCTATGTTTTATTTGACAAATAGAATTTTAGCCAGTATTTTTTATTATTTAATCATTTATATGTTATGATAAAATTTTTTTATACAATCTAATTGACTCAAATTAAATATCATAAATACAAAATGTATAAATAGTAGACTTAAAAAATATTAAAGATCATATAAAATTTCATATGTAACGAAATAATAGATAGATTAAAAAATACTAAAATTAATTTGTTTTTTTATATTGTAATTTGCTAAAGTACTGATCAAAAAATAGTATAACATTTAGTTATACTTGCTTACCATCCAAAAATTAAATCAAACAGCAAACTATTACTATAATAAATCTTTGATGTTAATTGGAAAAGTTTTTTTTAATAATAATTAAAAAGTAAATTAATTCATATTTTCATTCTATATATATATACATTTTAGATATCTATTTCTATCAATCAATTTAAAGTAAGATTGAGAGGAGATAAATAAAAAGCTCAAGCTTAAATCTTCTAGAATAATAGCTACAAAGTTACATAAAGCAGTATTGAACAGTTACACTAAAAATGGGTGGATGTGCAAAATCAAGAAACTAAATTGCAGATGATGTTCTTCTTTCTAAACATGAAAGATTGAGACTAGAAAATTTTACTTCAAAGACTAATATTAGAGATGTTTACACTTTTTCTAGCGTTTTAGGTAAAGGAGGATTTGGCACAGTGAAGTTAGCTGCTCTGAAAAACGGTGTCTCTGATAAGAAGGTTGCAGTGAAAATCATAGAAAAGAACCGTTTGAAAAACAAGTAGTATATACTTTTGAGAGAGTTAGAAATTCTTAGATCATTAGACCACCCAAACATTATTAAATTTTATGAAGTTTATTAAGATGAAATGTTTTTTTATATTTGTATGGAATATTGTGCCGGAGGAGAGCTTTTAGATAGAATTACTAAAGCCCGTAATTTTAGAGAACAAGATGCGGCCTTAATTATGGACAAAGTATTTTCAGCAATAAATCATATGCATTCTAGAGGAATTGTACATCGTGATATTAAACCTGAAAATATACTTTTTGTAAGTAAAAGTCCTGATTCTGAAATTAAAATAATCGATTTTGGTTTGTCAGTAAAATGTGATGGGATGAAGGATTTAAGTACTATGGTAGGAACTCCTTTGTATGTCTCGCCAAACGTGCTCAGGGGTCGCTATGATAGCTCTAGTGATAACTGGAGTGCAGGAGTTATTTTATATGTACTTCTCGTTGGATACCCTCCGTTCTATGGAAAAAGCAGAGGTGAAGTTTTCCGAAAGATAGAAAAGGGAGTATACAATATGGAAGGTAACAAACAACATTACATTTACTTACACATTAAAAAATATATTATGTCGAAATATTTAAATTTTCATTTAAACGATTTGTAGCATAAAAAAAGTTTTAAATATACTTGATTTAATAAATAATTTTCTTTTAGATAAGAGAAACTAAATAAAGAAATTAAGCAAGCAGATTTATCACATAAAAACAAATATTATCTTTTATCCATAAATTTTAATTCAAAAATAGAAGCAAAGCAAGAATTTTTATTTGTACAAAATATAACTAACTCTTTTAATTAATTAAAGGAAAAGAATGGGATACTGTATCTTCAGAAGCCAAAGACTTAGTAAGGAAGTTACTAGTTGTAGATAGTAATAAGAGAATGACAGCAGCCTAAGCTTTAAAACACAAGTGGATAGTGAAGCACAAGAAAATTTAGGAGTGGACATAATTTAAACATTTCTCAACAATCGGTAGTATGGATTAAATAGACCCCAAAATATTGACTATGCTATAAAATTTTAGACAGCCTACAAAATTTAAAAATGAAGTCATGAAAATCTTGATTAACTAGCTAAATGAAAAGGAAATAGAACAGCTTAAATTTGCTTTCAAGTAGATGGATACAGAATAAACTGGAGAAATAGGAATAGACTAGCTTAAAGAAGTCATGGAATAAAATGGCTTTAAACAAACAAAAGAGCAGTTAGAAAAAATAATTAGAAGTATTAGTCCTAATTAAGATGGAAAAGATTTAGTAATTAGATATAGTGAATTCTTAGCAGCCACTTTAGACTCAGTCGTATATTTAAAATCTGAGAAAATATGGTCTTTATTTAAGTATTTTGATCCCTCTAACAGTAACTTTATTACAATTTAAGACTTGAAAGAAATTTTCTTGAGAAATGGTAGAAATATTCCTGAAGAAGAGCTTAAACAAATGGTTAAGGAAGTTGATCCAAATAATGATGGAAAGATATCTTTAGAAGAATTCAAATTATTGATGAAAGGAGAAGATATAGATTTTAAGAGTTGAGCTGTTAAAATTAAAGAAAGAAATAAATAAATAAAAATAAAAAAGATATTTTTAAAATTAGAAAAAGATAAAATTAGTTATAAAACATATTCAAAGCTATTTTAAAATATTGATTTACTATATAAAAAATAATCTTAAACAATTAAAAATTATTTTATAAATTATACAAAATTCATTTTGTACATATTACATACAATCATTTTAACATTTACTCTTTTATATAAAAAAGCTTTACTTATACTTTTTTGTAAGATTAATTATCAAAATTAACTTTTTTCTAATATTTATAGTCTTTTTAATAATTTGTGGTCAAATAAAAGTTGCTTATTTTCAGTTTATATCAAAAATATTTCTTTTTTAATTAAAAGCAAAATTTATATTTGGAAATCTATAAAAATAAAGATTGTGATTATATTTGTTCTCCTAAATACAGATTTTATTTAATTATTTTTGCAATTTTAGTTTTAGTTTTATTAAATTTGAATTTACATAAATTTTTTTTGAGGTATAAATTTACTTTTAGTATTATTTATTAACTTATTATCTCATTCATTCATTTTTCTTTGCATTTTAAAAATCAATATTTGATTTTGATTGACTTTAATTAATATTTTTGCAATATTTAAAAAAAATACCTTCAAACAACATCTTGAAATAAATAAAAAAATATGATTAAAAAAAAATAAAATCTTAAATTATTAAATTAAAAATTTATTAATATTCGGCAATATTAATTTTTATTATACTATATTCTTGTATTTGCATAGCTTTATAAACATAAATATCTTCAATTAGCAATATTTTTTTTATTCTTTTCAATCCTAAAATAAAAATTTTATAAATGATTTATTTTAAACTTTTCAAAATAATAATTTGCAAAAATTACTAATACTCTTCCTTTTAAAGAATCAAAAAACTTATTAATTATGTAAATTCTTTTTGGTCTTTATTATTTTTTAAAGAAAAAATTGCTTAGTTTATCGATTCAATGGCTCACACATAATAGATGCAGTTTATTCAAAATTTTTAATTAATAGTAAATAATAGCTTTGAATATACCAAAATAAAAAAATATATTAATCACTAGAAATAAATTTTCTGCTATAATTAATTAGTTTTAGTGAAATTATTTAATATTTATATATTTATTTTTATATTGAGTTACTTAATTTTTTTACAATTATTTTTCAAATTAATATACAATTTTTATTATAACTCAGTTTTACTTTAAAATTTTTTATTTTTGATTGGAAATATTTTATTTTCCCTTTGGTATTAGTTATATTATTATTTTATACATTTCACTTCCCATTTTTAATTAAATTTATTATATTTTATCTTTTTTTTAGATTTGCTTATACAAATTCTAAAAATGCTGACTCTGCAGTTTAGTTGAAAGCAGAGTTAGAATCCCATCCACTGCATTATTTATCATCATCATTAGCAATATTTTCTTTAGAATAGCTTTCCTTTTGAATTTGTTTCGTTAAAATATCTTTCCTAGCAGGTCTTCTAAAATTTATATGGTTAGAATTAGGATTTAAATTAACTACGCTAGATTTTAATACCAAGTTTTATGTTTCGTTATTTTAAGATTTCTCTGAATCTTTACCTACTGAAATAGTTTTCTGCTGGTCATTTAAATGTTACTCTTGTTATACTTCTTCTCGTATACAATTATGCTTACAGTTACACTGCCTCTTAGATGAGCATTATTGGTTTTAATATATTTTTTACACTTCAACCTCTCTAACTTAAGCTTTTGGATTTTTGTTTAGACTGTTTATGTGAATAAATTAATTACAAGAGAAATTGGGTTCTGAAAAATCTTTCCAGCATTAAAAACCAGAATTTTACTGCTATACTGATTGTTCTTGCTTTTAAGGGGAAAAATTATTGCCTTTCAAAATTAAAAATTGATTTCCTTACTTCTTTTATTATTTAAGAGTCCTTATTATTTTTTCTAAATTAACTTCACCAAGACGATGTTTAAGGGATTGGCCTTAAACTTAAATATCTTATAGCTATTTTAGCTAATTAATACTGTCAGAAGATTTATTTTAAAGTTTGCTTAGAATTTTTTAACTGTTTTTTATTTGCTTAAAAAAAGAGCCGTCTTAGTTGATTTATAATTTTTATTCATTTTCTTTGTAACTATTTAGTCTTTCTAATGAAATTTCTTCTTAACTATGAGGGAATTTAGATTGGGATTTATCATTTAAGTTAGTCTTATGAATTTAATTTAATATTATTTTAAATATTTTATTAGATTTTAATTTTTCTTGCTATTATTACAATTCTTCTTAAGCTTAACTTTAATCAATTTCATTAAATGTTAAATTTGATAGAGAATAATTATAATTTTAGCTAGAGTGATGGGCATTTGATAGAGAAATATATTTATTTTTATTTGATTTATTGGTTCTAAATTCACAAGAGCGAGTTCTGATAGAATATTAACTATTTTACTAATTTCCGAATTAAGCATTTTGCTTAGTAATAGTGCAATTATCCTAGCTAAAATAATTATTCTTTTACAAGCTTTAAGCATTTTCTAAATTTTAAGCTTAATCTATTTTTTTTCCAGACAAATACATTTTTTCATCTTGTTTACTATCATATTTCCACTCTGAAATTAGTATGTCACTCTTATCTTCATGTAATCTTTTTTTAACATATTAAAGAAAATTAGATTACATTTAATTTTATTGTATTTTACTAACAAAATTGTAATCTAAAAAAAGTTAAGATAAAATGTTAAAGTGTTATGAATAAATATTAAATATACTTAAAGTAAATAATATTTTACTGATAATTGTCAGGCGATTTAAAGCTGTGAGAATTTTAACTATTTATTTTACCTGAAGAGCTTTTAATTGGTCTTTAAAATGTACTTTAATCTAATTATTGCTACTCATTAGTTTGTGTCTCATCATAATCAGTTTTGACAGAATAACCCCAATCTTCTGGTATTAAATTTTTTTTTACAGAAAAAGAGTTTTATTACCTATAAGATCCTTCTGTTTTTAGATTATATCTATTATGAGTAGGAGAGTTGACGTTAAATTAATTTTTATCATCAATTTTATTTGCTTTTTTTTGAGCTTCATCAAATTCTAATGAAATATTTGATTATCTTTACTGATGGTTTTCTACTTTAAATGTTAAAAGATCACTTAACTCTATAGATTATTTTTGTCTGTACAACTAATTTATCTTCATAATTTATTTTGACTTCTAAATAAACCTAATAATTGGTCGTTGCCCTAAAGATTTTATTGGATAATTTTAATAAGAAGGAATTATTGGTTCAACTTATTTCTATGAAGTATCTTTCAATTAGGTTTCGCTTTTCAGTAAACTATCATTGAAAATCACATTTGCTTCTTAAGTTACTTCTGAAAATTTATTTTGCTTTTTACTCTATTTAATGTGATTTTTTAAAAGAGATATGCTAGCAGCTACTTTTGCTACTTTACTAGATACAGGAGGTGTTTAATATATTTTATTATCAGTCATATTCTGCAAAATTATTAATTATAATTATGTTAGCCAAATAAATACTTTTGTTAATTAATTAAAAAATCTTGATTGTAAAAATTAAGATAAAAGATATTGAAACTCTCTAGTAATTTAATTCAGCATAGATTATGTATTCACTTGTAAATTAAATTTAGTATTTATACAAGCAATTAGTGATTGCCATTAAATCTCAAATTTAAACTTACATTAAGTAGATATTAAAACCATCCAAATCTTTGCTTAACGCGAATAATTGGTTTATTCTTACAATTAATTTAAATTAATTTCTAAAAATAATTAATATTCCTAAAGCAATAAATAAATTTTGTTAAAATCTATTAGAAAATATTTAAAATGATTTTATGAATTAATACGATTTTGAATAAATTTATAAATAAAATCTATTGTAATAAATTTAACATTTATTTAATATAAAATATTTTTATACTTGTTTAATAAATTAATATTAAAGCTAAATAAATTAAAAATCAAAGATGAATTATTTATTATTTTATAATTTGAAAAAATAAAAAAATATTTTAATAAATGCCTTCATTCCTATGGTTTGAAAGCGGGATTGACATTGATAGTTTGCTATTTTTAACTAAAATTAGATTGAAAAGAAGATTTTCCAAATTCAATTTGAGGTGAATACTCCAACTTTGATACGAATGGAGATTAATAATTTATTTTAACAGAGCTTTATCTTTGTTCTTTCCTCTGAGGAGTATGTTCAACAAAAGAGTCTCTATATTAGTCTTACTAAAAATTGGTTTGCATTCCTTATTCAATAATGAATGCTTTTTCGAAGTTCTAACTCTCTCTTTAAGCCATAAATTAGTTGTTATCAATTGTATTTTTTTAAGGACTATTTTAGTCTTGTATAATATTCTTCTTCGCAATTGCTTCTTCTAAGCCATATTTTTGTAAAGTATCCATCTAAGCATAACCTAAGGGAGTAAAACCTTTACTATTTTTAATGTTTAAATCTGCTCCATAATCTAGTAGTAAGAATATCATATTGATGTCATTATATTTAAAAGCCATATGCATAGGAGTATTCATTTTGTTACACTATTAGTTCAAATCAGCTCCTTTCTCTAATAAAAATCTTTAAAAATAAAATATTTAATAACAAGTTCTAAATAAAATATCTTACTTAGCTATTAAACAGTTCCCGTTTTTGACTGCATAATATAGTGCTGTATTTTTCTTTTTATCAGTCATTAATACTTCTCCTTAGTCATAATTTAGCCCAGTTTTTTTTATTTTATAAAAGTTATTTTCTCTGACATACTAAATTAATCTATCAGCCCTACCTCTTGCTAATCTTTCCTTTCTATTATTTTTCTGATAACTTAGTTCAAGTTTGTTGATGTTTCTTTTCAAATCAGATTGAATTTATTAAAAAGGATCTAAAATATTCCCTATTTAAAAAATAACATTGAAAAAATTAACATTTTTAACAAATATTACTTTAATATTGATTAAGTATTATTTTATTATTGATAGATTATTATCTAGGAGTTTAAAAGTAAACCCTCTTAGTTAAGGGAGAACAACTCCTTGGAAAAAATGATTAGTTTATCTACAGTGGTTGCTCTTTGGTTTGATCTAAAAGCAATTTATTCATTCTTTAATTTTTTTGCTAAACGTACTTTTTCTCTTTAAATACATTTTAGGCAAGTTTCATTCTAAAAAAACTTTATATTTTTAATATCTAGACTTAATGCTCTTTTTCGTTAATTTCCCTTTTAAATTTAGGAGCAGGTCCTCCAGAATAAAATTTTGCAAATTTTTACTTATCTTATAATTTATCATCAAGTTTTTTAATACGAAGTTTATCTTTGAATTCTAATTTTGAAACATTTTTATTTTTTTCACTTTAATCTTAAATTTAATTTTAACCATTTTTAGGTGTTTTTTCTTCTTCTCCTGATTTTAAAAAACATTATTATGTATTTATAGTTGCAAAAGCTAATTTACCTAAAACTATTTTTGTTGGCGGATGATAGTTGTAGTATTTCATAATTTTATCAACAGATTTGGGATGAGTTAATTCGTGAGATTTTTATTTTTAGTTGATCATAACTTCTTTTGGATTTATAGTTTCTTAAGTAGTGTTTGCAAGTTCTACAGAAAACATATTTGAAGCTTGAGTTTTTTAAACTTAAGTTGCTTATTTTTCAACGATATCGTCTTCATTAATTTTTTTACAGTTTTGCTACTTTTAGTGATTAATTTTTTCTAAATAATTTAAAACTGTAGCATACATCTTACTCTTTTTTTTGTGAATTTCTAAATTTTTTAAAAATTCAGAATATTCTTGATCTTTTTTCTTCTTTTCATCATATTAGGTTCTAGTATATTCATTTTTATGACTTAAAAATGTTTCTCTGTGATTATACAAAATATTTTTAACCGTATTATATGATTTTAATATGTTTTCAGCTAATATTAGCTCAAATGTTTTTAAGATGTCATTCTTTTCTAAAATCTCAATAGCTTCTTTCATAAACTTCTTATCAATAAATTTATTTAGAAGTTAGTTAGTAGCAGCTAAAAATTCCATTTATTCTTCTAATAGAGCTTCTCCTTTTTAATACCTTTTCATTAGATTCTAAATTTTATAAAAAACTTAATTGGTTAAAATTTATTTTTCATAATTTTACCTCTCTGTTAATATCCTATACGTTTGTATTCTTTAAGATGAGTCTCATGAACTCATATATGGTTAGTTCACTAAAATTATTAGATTTTACACTTTGAAAATTTCTATGTTACAATTAATTTCTTTTTTTAACAAATATGTCCTCTGTTTCCTTTTTTAATTTTCAAGTTTAATTTAGTTAATTTTATATTTAAATATTTACTTAATTCCAATAATAATTATCATATAGGACTCTCTTTTATTTATCCAGGTATTCCTGCTTACTTAACCCTTTAATCATGTTATCTTTAAGCCATCTATACTCAGTTTCTTATTCTTATTCTGAAATAGTTTATCCAATCCTCAAGCAATTATCAATCTATTCTTAAAGCTTTACAATTTAAAAAGATTTTATATGCTTTTATCCTTTATATTCACTTTATTTTTATTCTATATATTGATTAAGCTATTTATTGTAAGTTTATCGAAGAATTTCAGGATTAAATTTTCCTTTTAAATCATTAAGAGATTGTGATCTGACATCTGATTTTGTTTTTCCTTAACTTTAAAATTTTATAAATACAATTAAATAATCTTTTAGTGAAAAATAAATAAATACTCAGGCTTTATTTTTTCATAGAGTTTCTAAAGAGGTTTTTACTAACTTTCTGTATTTTCAAGCTTTGAATTAAGTGAATCGCTTATTATTTTATCATTAACGACATTTTATTATTTATTATTTTCATTTTAATTAATTTAAATAAAGAGTAATTTATTGCTAATCTCGTCAATTACATGAGAATCTCTCTTTTCTACATTGTTTAAATTATTAATTTCGTTATTTTTATTAGATGTTTCTATTTTTATTATTTGAGTTTAACCTCTTTTTCTTTATGTTAAACCTTAATTTTCTTCTTAAAAATTATCAAATTAGAAATTTTTATCTTATGTTTATATCATACCTTAAGTTTTTCCTCTTCTTCTTGTTGTTAAACCCTAATTTTCTTCAGGTAAATTATTAATTTCTAGATTTTTATTAGATATTTCTATCCTACTTTAAGTTTTACCTCTTTTTCTTGTTGTCAAAGCCTAATTTTCTTCAGATTACTTAGTTTAATTATCGTTTTTAAATGTATCTTCATAAAGCTTTTGTTGAATTTTTGTAGTAGTAGTGTCTATGAGTTATTAATCAATTTTTTAGTTATCTAATGAATTTATTTAAAATATTTATGAGTTAGATTAGATATTATTAATTTCATTAATAAAACTATTTTCTAATTAATTTTTATCTTCACTTTAATTATTCTCATTATTTTATGAAATCTTCTTTGACATAATTTTATCAAGTAAAAAATTTTAGTTATAAAAATTATTTATTTTCATAACAACCATGCTTTTTAGATTATTTTCTAATTCACTGTAAAAAGTATTTATTTTTAACCATTTAAACTAATCTTTTTGTTCTCTCTCTCTCTTTTTATCTTCTTCTATCTTCGATTTAAACTAATTTTCAAATTTTTAAGCTTCCTTATTTCTAGCTTCATTTTTTGTTTACCACTGCCCATATTATTCTTTGAGTTAAGAAACTATCTGCTTTACTACATATTCCCTTTTGTCCTATTCCTTTCTCATAGAATCTAATGCCCTTCTATTTATCCCAAAAGCAGATAAAAATCTAATTCAATTAAAAAAAATATAAATATAAATCAACACTGTTTGTTTTCAATACTTTTAGGTAATATCTTGGTTTTCTGATTCTTTTTTGTCTCTATTCTATATTAATAATATTGCAGCGATAGCAAAATTTGCTAAATCTTATCCTATTAATTAACAGATTTTATTTTGTTTTCTTATTTATTCTTTATATTATAATAATTCAGTGTATGCAGAGCTTTGCAGATTTTGTTAAGTTTATGAAGCGGTGTTGAATTGATTTTATTGTTATTAGATGTTGTCAGCAAATGTAGCTGTATTTCTTTAGGAATAATTCATATTTTCAAAAATTCTTGTTGTTAATTTTCTTGCACTGGCCCTAGGAGTAGGACTTATTATATCTTTAATATGAATTGTATTGCCTCTTTATCTTTCTCTGATAGATTTTAGTGGACTTTAAAATTAATTGATTGAGCCACTAACTGAATAAGACTTTTATTTATCCTAAATAAATTGTGGACTATTCAATTCTTCCTTTGATAAAATAGTATTCTGCGAATGTAGAAGGTTATTCTAGACCTTCAAAGGGGTTTAATCTCCATTTTTGAGCACAAGAGAAGAAAAATTTGATAAAGAAGCTTACCTAGAAATTGCTTATTAAGCTTTTTAACTCTATGAAGAAAATATTTCAGTAGACGCAAAAGCAGAATCGATATCTAGCATACTATTTTATAACTTCTAGTTAGAATAACCTTAACCTGTCAAAACAGATATATCAGCTTACGATTATTGTTTAACAATATTTGATTATTTCTAATCAGCAAATTTGCTATTCATCTAAATGTCTTGTAAAGAATTCAAATTCTATTGAAAAGTTAATGTTTTTTTATTTTTTCTTTAAAAATTTTCGTTACTTGTTTAGCTGATATCCATAATACTATTAGTTTAGTTCAATTTATTTTAAGATGCGAAAGGTTATTACTACTAGTTATTTTACTTATTATCATTAATAGGGATTTAATCAGATTTGATGATCACAGTATTTTTAGTGGTTTAAGATCTAATAATATTTAACGGAGTATCTGCTAATTATCTAGTGCTAGAGAGTCTTTCTACGAGAGCTATTTTTGATTCACAATTATTTAGAAAGAATGTTTTGAGATCTTATAATTGTTAAATGCTTTATGCCTATTAGCTTAAAGTTGGTCCTTTATTTTTTAAAATACTTTTTAGAAGAGAGATCTGAACAGTGTTAGTATTCTTATGTGAATGGTTTCTATAATTTTCTGAAAATTACTCAAACTTTTATTCTATTTCTTCTATGTTATCATATTCAAAAGATTTTTCTTATTTTTTTTACTAAGATTTTGTTTTCCTCATATTAAGTAACTTCAATAATCCTCAAATAATTATTAGTCCTTTAATTTAATTGTATGAATATAAGTATACAATTTTATAATTTGCTTTTTTTTAAGATATTAAAATCACTTAATCTCAAATATTTATATAAAATTGATGGTCGAAAGATTAAAATCTAAATTATATTTTTTATTTTTAGAATAATATAAATCATTATTTCAATCTCAAAACCAATAAATTTTTCAAAAATTTAATGAGAAAAATTATAATTTTTAATAAGTAATTATTTTCTCATAAAAAATCTTCAATTTAAATTTATTTAAACTAAAAAACCATCTAAAATTAAAAAATAGTTTATATTTTTAATAAAATTTTTTATTTTTTTTCATTTTTCTCATTCTTAAAAAATATATTCAATTTTTTTGAAGAGAAATTGATATTTTAAATATTCAACAATCATAATATTGATAATCATTTATTTATTATGTGATATATTTGCTTTCTTTATTTTTTTTGGAAAAATATTAATATCTATTCCTTCAAAATATTTAATTTTCATATTTATTTATTTGATTCAATATAAATATTGTTAAAAATACTTTCTATTTTAATTAATAATTAGATTGTATTTTCTTCATAGAAGTTTGTCAAATATTAAAATAAAAAAAATCACTTTTTAATTATTTACTATTGGAAAATAATGCTTAAATTCCTAAATAAATAAAAAAAATCTTCTAAAACATTTTTTTTGTTTGAAAATTATATTAAAAATTAAAAAATCTTAAATATTTTCCCAATTAGAACTATTATGTTAAGTAGTAATGTTTATACAATTAATTTACTTTTGATAGTTTTTCAGAAATGTTCATAACTTTAGTAGAAGTTTACATCAACGAATGTAAAACAAAATATCAAAGTATATACTAACTAAGAATAATAAAAGCAAGGAAATTGCTTTAAAAAAAGAAAAGTTAGATCTCAAATTATTATTATAAAATATTTAAAAAAAATTTGCAATCTAACAAAATTGATAAATTATAAAATTTTTAGCAATCATATATTAAATGGATTTAAATATTAATAAGCCTTGTAAGCATTATGATAGAGGATGCCTTATCCTTGCACCTTGCTGTAATATATGGTACCCCTGTAGACTTTGCCATAATGAAAAGTATTCAGGTCCTAAAGGAATTTGTAGTGTAGAGACATTAGATAGATATTCAATCACCAGGATAAAATGTTTAAACTGTGGTTTAGAGCAAAAACCATAATCAGTTTGTGAAAACCCATAATGTAATCATGATTTAGGGAAGTATTTTTGCGATATTTGCAAATTATTCAACAATGATACTACAAAGTCTATGTATCATTGTGACAAGTGTAAAATGTGTAGGATGGGTACAAAAGAAAGTAATTTTCACTGTGATGTTTGCGATATATGTATGAGCAAAACATTAGAAAAAAATCATAAATGCATCGAAAAAAAAACTGAATAAGATTGCCCTATTTGTTTAGAAAATTTAAAAATTTCAACAAAGTTATGGTAACAATTATAAAGATGTGGGCACTGTATTCATACAGAATGCTTAGAAAATTATATAAAAAAATCTAACAATATTAATTGTCCTTACTGCGGTATGAGTATCTATTTGCAATCTGAAAATGAAAAATAAAGAATATAACTATACATTGATGAAATATATTCAACAATGGATCCTAAAATAAAAGAAGAATTAGCTGGTAAGACTTAAATCCTGTGCAATGAATGTGGTAAAAAATCATATGATGTTGATTTTAATGTTATTGCTATAAAATGTCCCCATTGTAATTGCTTTAATACAAAAGAGATTAAATGATCTTTTTGTAAATTCTTTATTTGTCTCTTCCCTACTAAAATTCTATCTATTATTAATTAAATCTGACTCTTTTTAATTTATAAATTTATGTATACTTTTTAGATATATATCTTTTAAGTCTTTCTATTCTTATCAAATTTAATCATTAAGTAAACTTCCTAATTATTCAAATACGAATGAAAAATTAAAAGATCTTTTATATTTAAAAAAACAATGCTTATTCACAGCCAATCTTTAAAAATTATACTAATATATTGTAAAAATATGGAGAAAACTATCATTAAGATTTAAAATTATAATTTAATCACAATTACTAAATGTCTATGAGGTGCTTTATTAAAGTTAGAAGAAAAATTCAAATTGAAAATGCAAGTCTTTACTTTCATCTTATATAAATATGATAAATTTAATTTTATACAGAATGAAAGATCAATTAATATCTTTAAGCTCGATGATAGATTTATTTTTTTGTTTTTTTCACCGATTAAATTTATTAGAATAAATCGCTTTTAGCCCTTACAGATAATTTAATTATTTGATTATTTGCAAAACCCAAAAATAGGTCTTGTTGTCGTAATAAAAACTGGAGTTTTATGAAATTTTCTAACTATGTTTTGATAAAAATTGCTTAGATTATTTATTTAATTACTTTGATCAAGCAAAGTAAAATCAAAAAAATGCTTATCAACTGTAAATTCATAAAAGTTAAAACTCCATCCATTATCATAAAAAATCATTTTAAAATGCACGGAAATTTTATTAAATGTACTTTATTAGCTGCTATAGATAGTAAATCAAATATATTTTCCAGATTGTTGCCTTCAAAAACCCTCTTTATTTATATATTTTTTTTTTCTTCCAAATGATTTAGAAATAATAAAAGTCTAAGATAATTGATTACTACAATATCAAATTTAAAAATAGAATCAATTAATATCATTAAAGTACAAATTTCGATTAGTTAATTTTAAATTAATATAATTAGACACCTACAAAGAAGGAAAATAGCTTTCTCCTTTTCTTCTTCTATTTTTACCGTAATATAAATTTTTTTGATTCCCCACTCAATTAAAAAATTAGTATTAAATTTCTGCCTATTTACGAAAACTTATAATTGATTTAAAAATAAATAAAATAACTTGCTTGTTCAATCAACTATTCAAAAGGAAAAATTTGGATAATATTAAATACTTTGAAAATTCATTTAAATACATACACTATTTATCAATCAACGCTGTTGAGTTGTAATAAAAAAAAATTGTCCCATAAACTTCTCGGTATACTCAAGTGAATAAAATTTTAACTAAATAAATCAGTAATATATAAAATGGGTTGTGGATAATCATTAAATCAAGTTAAAAATGATGGTTAGATGACTGAGGCTGAGAAAAACCGCCTCGAAAACTTCACTTCTAAGTCTAACATTCGTAGCCTTTATTAATTTTCTGGTGTCCTTGGTAAAGGTGGATTCGGAACTGTTAAACTTGCATAACTAAAAAGTGGAATTTCTGAAAAGAAAGTTGCAGTTAAAATCATTGAAAAAAGTAGACTTAAAGATAAGCAATATGCATTACTCAGGGAATTAGAAATTTTAAAAACACTGGATCACCCTAACATCATTAAATTCTATGAGGTCTATTAGGATGAAATGTTTTTCTACATTTGTATGGAATACTGCGCAGGTGGAGAATTATTAGAAAGAATTACTTCATAGAAATGCTTCAAGGAAAGAGAGGCTTCCCGTATTATGGAAAAAGTATTTTCAGCTATAAACCACATGCACTCCAAAGGTATTGTCCATCGTGACCTCAAGCCTGAAAATATTCTATTTTTAAATAAGTATAATGATTCTGAAATCAAACTCGTTGACTTTGGTCTTTCAAAAAAGTGTGATAGCACCAATTAGTAATTGAACACTATGGTAGGTACTCCTCTTTATGTTTCTCCAAATGTTTTGAAGGGTAAATATGATAAAACATGCGATGACTGGAGTGCAGGTGTTATTCTGTATATCCTTTTGGTTGGCTATCCTCCTTTTTACGGCAAATCACGTTCAGAGATCTTCAAAAAAATTGAAAAAGGAGTTTTCTCTATGGAAGGTAAATAAATACTTTTTACAATTAGTTAAATTTGATTTCATTTCGCACTATGTATAGTCAAATTATACCAATTTTTATAAATACTTTTTATATTTGATTACCCACCCAATCTAAATCTCCATATTTTATATTAATTAATTTTATTAATTAATACCATTTGAAATTATGTAAATTTTGATTGAATAGAGTCTTAAATTCCTCCAAATTTATCAGAAAAATATTCAAAGAAATAAAATCAAAGATATTTTTAATTTTAAATTCAAGCATAAAGATTAAATATTCCTTTTAAAAAACAAATTACTAAAAACATTTTATTTAAATAAAGGACCTGAATGGGATTTGGTATCTGAAGATGCAAAGGATTTGGTTAAAAAAATGCTCGTTGTTGATAGTAAAAAGAGAATGACTGTTGATCAAGCACTGAAGCATCCTTGGATTTTGAAATATTAAAAGAAAGCAAGCTTTACCCCTTCAATAACTAAATCAGGATCAACAACAGCTTAAGATCTCGATCATGTTGATCCTAAAATTATAAATATGCTTAAGAATTTCCGTTCACCATGCAAACTTAGAACTGAAATCATGAAAGTTTTGGTAAATCAGCTTAATGAAAAGGAAATAGAAGATCTAAAGACAGCTTTCAGGTAAATTGACAAGGATTAAACAGGAATGATCAAAGTTCATGAATTAAGAGACGTGATGGAAAAAGCAGGCCACAAATCATCAAAAGAATAAATTGAGAAAATAATTAGAAATATTTCACCTTCCTAAGAAACTAAAGATGTATCTATCAAATACAGTGAATTTATTGCTGCTACTTTGGATTAAATTATTTATGTTAAGGCAGAAAAAATTTGGTCCCTCTTTAAATATTTTGATCCTTCCAACACAAATTATATTACTATTGATGACTTAAAAGAAATCTTTTTAAGAAATGGAAGAAATATCCCAGACAATGAAATAAAATCAATGTTAAAAGAAGTAAGCCCTAAGACATCTGGTAGAATAACTTTAGAAGAATTTAAAAAGATCATGGTTGGTGAGGAATTAGATATTAAAAGCTGAACCTTAACGTTTAACTCTAAATCATAATAAAAAAATTATTTACTATCTTACTTAATAACACAATCAATAATAAACATATCTTAAATCAGTGAATATTTGAGAAACCTTTGAGCAAATTCAAAGAATCTTCTTTTCCCATTTTTTCACTAACAAAAAAACGAACCAACTAACTAACTAAAATATCTTTTATTTACAAATCTTATTCTATTAAATATTATATTAAATTAATTTCTAAAACCAAATAAAAAAATTGTATTTATTAATAATATATTTATAATATATATATCTATTTATCATTTTTGATAAATTAAATTATTTTGTATATAAAAGAATACATATTTATTTATGCATACATTAATGTCATTTTAGATTCAAATTGATTCTCTATTTATTTTATCTTCTCCTATTTAAAAATTTCGATATTTTCTTTAATAATTATTTGCACTAAGATTATAATACTGTAAATAATTCCTATATAAAATGGCAATTTAAAATAAAGCCAATTTTTTAGTTTTTTTCCCTATCACTTCAAAAAATAAAAATATGTGTTAATTAACTCTGACCTTGAAATATCTAGCTTTATCTTATATGTTGAATATATTTATCATCTTTACTATATTTTCAAAAGAAGTATGTAAAACTAAATTTAATTTTTAATTCAGAACAAATGTATTTTACTTCATTAACTATTATGGTGAAAACTATTGTTTTCTAGATAAATTGAAAATTTATTTCTAAAGCATGTATGTAAAGGACTTTAAAGAAAGATATTTATAAATAATAGGGCACAACCTTACTTTTATTTTTTTTTTTAATAACTTGAATTAAATAAATATAATAAAATCAATTGACATTTAAAGTTTAAAGCAATTAAATTCAATAAATTTTTACAATAGAGGTGGATTACTTTATTTTTAATAAGTAATAAAATTTGAAGTTAAAAAAACAAAAAAATTATGATTCTAACAACAATTCCACCTCCTAAAGTGCTTAATAAAAGTTTTTTGGATTTTTTTTTTAATTAAAACATCATTTAAGAAAATTTATTAAGTATTTAGTTAATTATTTGGAAATGTCTTTAAAAAGCTTATTTATTATAAAAACTAAATCATTTATTCTATTTATATCTTCTAGCTTTTTAATCAAAAATTTTATTATTTAACCAGTGCATTGATTCTTCAGAAATAAGACTATCCTCTAATATCAGAATAAATTCAATCCAAACTAATTTATTTTATATTTTTTCTTACTATTAAGTAGTTTTTTTTTGAAAAAATTAAGAAAAAGACTATTCAAATTTTAAAATTAAAACTGATTTTTCATAAAATTGATTTGATAATTTAGCAAATAAATATTTTTATATAATATTTCAAAACTATCTTTCTAAATAAATGTAAGCTGAAATAAATTTATAATCTATGTTAAACTTAAAATTTAAAATTGAAAAGTAAAAAAATTGAGGCCTTTAGTATAAAGATATTTCTAGTTATTTTTCTATTTTAATTAACTTATTGAACATTAGTGCCATAAAAAAACCAATAGTTTCAAAATAGGTATTAATAAATAAATAAACTAACAAATAATTATTTAATTAAGTTATTATTAGTAATAAGGAAGTAGAAGAATAAAACACATATTTTCTGGCTAATTTGTCATAATTTAAGTTTAAGTTAGATAGAAACATTTACACCTATGGGCTGTGTAAAATCGCATTCGACTTAGGTAGATGATTAAAAATTAACAATATTAGAGAAGAAAAGACTTGAATAGGTAGCTTCAACTACTAATATCCGTAGTGTTTATGAATTTTAAAGTGTTATTGGAAAAGGAGCTTTTGGTACTGTGAAATTAGCATGCTTAAAAAATTCTATAAATGATAAAAATATAGCAATTAAAATTATTGATAAAAGTATGCTAAAGTAAAAGTAATATCTTCTATTAAGAGAGCTAGATATGATGAAAAATTTAGATCATCCTAACATCATTAAGTTTTATGAAGTTTATTAAGATGAAATGTTTTTTTATATTTGTATGGAGTATTGTGCAGGAGGAGAGCTTTTGGAAAGAATTACTAAAAAAAAAGTTTTTAGTGAAAAAGAAGCTTCAATAATTATGGAAAAGATATTTTCTGCTATAAACCACATGCATAGTAGAGGAGTTGTTCATAGAGATATTAAACCAGAAAATATTCTTTTCTCAAACAAATATCCTGACTCTGAAATAAAGCTTATTGATTTTGGTTTATCTACTAAATTTGATGATAATTCTAATTTAAGCACAATGGTTGGAACACCAATATATGTTTCTCCAAATGTTCTCGATGGCAAATACGATAAAACATGTGATAATTGGAGTGCTGGAGTAATTCTCTATATTTTATTGGTTGGCTACCCACCCTTCTTTGGTAATAACAAGAACGAAATTTTTAAAAAAATAAAATCTGGAAGTTATACAATGGATGGTAATAAATTCATATTTTAATGCTTATTTCTAATATTTTTAATTGAAATGTTATAAAAATTTTGCATAAAAACAAAATTCCTTCTTCCAAAGCTAATACATAAATTAATTAATTATGAATTTTCAAATTAAATCCTTTTTCATTCAGTCAAAAGATACTTTTGTTAACTTTTTATAAAAATAAATTATGCTTCTTGCCAAATAAAAATACTTCATTATCAAATTTTATTTTTCTTTAACCTTAAAAAATATTCTATACAGTAACTGTGTATTCAAATTTCAAATGCTATAATTTATTTTTTTTATTATATTGAAAGGATTTGAATGGGCTAATGTATCTCAGCTAGCAAAAGATTTAGTATCTAAATTATTAGTAGTCAATAGTAAGAAGAGGTATACTGCTGCTTAAGTATTGTAGCATCCTTGGATTAAAAAATATTAGAAAAATAATTCAACAATCAAATCTAATAACAGTATTAATGTTATTAGTCCTGCATAATTAAATACAAATGGAATTAATACTACAGGACCAAGTAACCCCAATGACACTGTAGACCCAAAAATAGTTAATCTATTAAAAAACTTCTCTTCAACCAGCAAATTTAAAAAAGAAGTTATAAGAGTTATAGTTAATTAATTGAACGAAAGAGAAATAGAATCACTTAAAGTTTAGTTTAAAAAAATAGACAAAGATTAAACAGGTTTAATCAGAGTTGATGAATTAAAAGAAGTAATGAATAATGCTGGTTACACTTCGTCCAAATAGGAAATAGAATAGATAATCAGAAAAATTTCATCTTAAGATAATAAAGATTTAACAATTAAATATAGTGAATTCTTAGCTGCAACATTAGATATTGTAAGCTACCTTAAGTAAGAAAAAATTTGGTCAATTTTTAAGTATTTTGATCCTTCAAATACAAACTATATATCAATAGCAGATTTAAGAGAGATTTTATTAAGAAATGGACGTGATATACCAGAAGAAGAAATAAGACAAATGGTAAGAGAAGTTAATCCAGCAAATGATGGAAATATTTCACTAGCAGAATTCAGTAGGATTATGATGGGAGAATAAGTAGACTTCAAAAGTTGATAAAATTTAATTATAATATTTCTTTAATCAAGAAGAAGCAACTATTCCACATTACTCTTAAGAAGCAAATCAAAAAATATTTATTTTCCTTAACAATTTAATCTATATTAATATTATATAAAATTATATTATTTATAATTTAATTATCATTTTTAGTTATTTTATCTCTCTTTAAAGTTAATTGTACCCTTTTTAACTGTCTAAGATTATATCTAATTTTTTTTTATGTTTGCTTAAATTTCAGATAATCCTTCAAAATATAAAATATTACTATATTAAAATGAATATTTTATTATAATTAAAAAGAATAAATATAAAATTAAATAACGTTTTTAGGAGGAAATTTTTGAATAATTATTTTAAGATTTTCATCCAATACATCATCATGTTAGAATTATCTCTACTTTTTTATATATTCTACAATATTTGAACTCTAAGCATATTTAATCAAAAAATTATATCCACAAATAAGCGAGATAAATCTAAATAACTTTAAAAAAATTATAATTAACTAAGATATAAAAGATAGATAGATAGATAATTAACTACTTTGGAAATGAACAAATATATTTCTTACTCAAAAGTTCTTAAATAAATAGCAGTTGATAAAGGCAATTTTAAAACAGTTTTATTTAGAGAATTTAAAGGTGATTCTAAACTAAAAGAAGCTTATGGAATCCTAATAAAGGCAGTAAAAAACTATGATAAAATTGTAGAAATCGGATCATTAATTAATCAAAAGGAAAAAAAAAATATAATCGGAAATATGTAATTATTTTGCGTCTTAGTCATTGAATAGTTTTATAGCAAAAAGAAAAAAATCGAAGGTGGAGGCTAACTCAAAAAAATAATTACCGAAAATAAAGATTTTATTGCTAGTTAATTAAACATTGACTAAAATGCTGATAATAATTCTAATTTGATAAAATAAGATGTTCATGTTAGATGGATATCTAAGGATTCAACTCAAAATAAATAAACAAAGGAAAAGCAAGTTTCAAAAAAGAAAAGTAGTGAGGATAAAATGTAAATTGAAGACATTAGGTTGTAAAATTAAATGATATAAAAAGCATAACCAGATGATATTATTGAAAATTTGTATACTATAAATTACAATGATTATTAAGCAGTAATTAGCAAAGATTCTTCAGTTTTAGATTCTACAGATATTGTTATTTAAAGTAAATCATCAGCTATGCCAGTCTATCTTCTTTTTAAAAATATCATTGATTCATAATCAAATGAATCTTTATCTGAAGCTTCTAGACCTTCAAAATCTTTTGATATAATTGACTGCTGCTCAGCACCTGGAAATAAAACCATGCAAGCCGCTGAGTATATTAAAGGTAGAGGCAAAGTATTTGCATTTGAAAAGAATCAATAACGTTTTGAACTATTAAAAGAGAGAGTGTAAAAGTATGGATTTGAATAAGTTATTTCATGCCTAAATGAGGATTTTTTAAGTGTAGATGTTACATAATATCCAAATGTAGAATATTTTGTTGCTGATCCTTCATGCTCTGGTACAGGTATGCTTAACCATATTTATTTTGATGAAGACTAGATTTAGCTTGAAGAAGAAAATCTTTAAAATTAATAAACTAAAAAATCTTTTATGGAAAGAACATAACAAATTTTTGAATCATATGATAACAAAATGAAACAAAGAATAGTTGGTTTAGGATAATTTTAATTAAAAATTTTGAATAAATTAGCAACTTTTCCAAGTATTAAAGCTTTTTCTTATTCAACATGCTCCATACATTAACAAGAAAACGAAGATGTTGTTTTTAAATTTTTGCAAGAGAATAAATCATTTTAATTAGTTGAAGCTTGTCCTTAATGGAAAACTAGAGGTTTTAAAACAAAAAACCTTCCAGATGGTAATAAATGCATACGTTTCAATCCTTTTGAGGATAAATCAGATGGATTTTTTGTAGCTTTATTCTAAAAAAAGTGATAAAATATTTATTAAATTTTATATAATTATAAAGAGATTTAATAAATTCTAAATATATAATTAATTTTTATTTGTTTATCTGCCAAGTAGTATTCCAAATTAAATTTTATTTTAGCTTAAATAATTTTATCTATTAAAATATTAAATCATTTTGATTTTTAATTTTCCATTTGAATATTTTTTTAGTTTTATAGGTTTTCACACAAACAAAATAGAGAATAATTTTGAATAGAATATTAATCGATGATAATATTTATTTAATCTTATGATTTTAACCATAATTTAAGCATTTTATTAGATTTATTTAAATTGAATATTAAATAATTTGATAATTTTAATTGATTTAATTTTTTTTAAAATACTTTTTAAGTTATTTTTAATATTTTACACTTTCAATAACTATTTAAAATTTTTATATTTTTATCTTTTTCTTAGATGCATAATATAACTGAAAAAGTATGAAATATAAAATGAAATTTTTTTAAGAATAGAAATAAACTTAGAGCTATTATTTAAAAAGTATTTTATAAATATAAATATGTTTTAGATATATAATTTATTATATTTTACCAAAAATTATTTTATGATTAAATATTTTTATAAATTTTCCAGAGTTTTTCAATTGTAAATCAAATATTTTTCTCTAATTTTTTCCCACTCTTTGAGGTTATTTGAGCAAGAATCCAATATATCTTTTACTGTGATACTTTTGTTAGTTATTTGATTGTAAAAGTTTATAGTTCCAAACTCTTAGCAACTACCTTTTTTTGTGAGAGTCATATTTTCAGGGTATTATTGGAGTAAAACTTGCATTATTCTTGTTCCAACAAAAACAGAATCATATCTTTCCTTGTCAATAACTGTTATTTAAATACCAGAACAGGTTTCATTTACCCATTTACTAGCAGTAGGAATAAACGTAACAGGAGTAAATTATGCATATTAGTTAACAGTATTATCGTAAGTTAGGATTTGACTTATTAAAGTTCCATTCACAAATGGAGCTCCAATCGTTTAGAAAGGATTATTAGTTCCTCTTCCTTCGCTAAGGTTTGTTTATTCAAAAACTCCTGTACCTGGATAAACGTATGCAGTTTAATAAGTTTTCATGTTGGGAGAAGGATTTATCCATAATGAAGCATTAGGAAATGCTGAATTTCTGTAATAATTTAGAATTTTTATGACTTTGAAATCATTGATTTTGTGTGGTAAGTATTCCTCATTAAATAATGTTGCTAACTCACCAGTAGTCATAGCATATCGAGTAGGTATAGTAAAATTTTAATTGAATAAACGACCTATGTAACCAGATTCTATCTCAAGGGGGCATCCTTATATCTATTCACCTCCAAGAACGTTAGGACGATCAACTACAATAAAACTTATCTCTTTTTTATAATCATTATTTTATATCTCTTTAAAGTTGGATGAAAGCTTTCTCTATAAATTATTAAGTTAGAAATTATTTTTCAATTAAGTGTTTTATGTTAAATTGAAATTATAATCTCCAACAGCTTCTTGTGCATAACTCATAGTCCAAATATAGGTAAAGAAACGTGTGCCAACATCAACTATACAGTGAACAATTGTATCTACTTTTTACAACATTTCAGCTGTTGGTTATTTACGTGTTCCATATAAGCTATAGACAGTAATATTTGTTTGTGGATCAACATAATCATAAACTAAAGCACCAGCATCTTAGTCTCCTCTAATACCATGTTCAGGAGCAAGAGCATACTATTAAAAATAATTTTGTTTAAAATACTCAAATCAAACTAAAAAATAAAATGAAATGTAAGATTTTTTTATAAGTAATTTAGGTATTTATTTTAATCGAGATGCTAATTTACTTCTAATGTGAAGTTATAAATATTCTAGTTTTTGAAAAGCACATCAAATAATAGTTCTCTAGAGCTATCTATGCAAGAAGGATTTGTTAAGATTCCTATTCTTTTTCCTGAAATTTAAGTAAGCAATTCCTATGTTTAAACATCATAATTTGTAGAATTATACTACAAATTTGCTTGTATTTAAGACGCTAAAAGCATCAAAATGACAACAAAAAATGATTGTTACTTCATGATTTTTGAATTTTATTTTTACTAACTTTAATTATTTTTTAAGATCTTTTTGATAAGTCTTTTATGATCTATCACAAAATCTGATTCAGACAAAAAAGATTTTGTTGTATTCAATTTTCTTTAAAAGATCTTAAAAAATTATGAAGATAAATTTAAATAGAATAATCATACCACACTCACAATTGTCAAATCTTATACTTTTTATAAAATTTCAGAATGGATTTATTATTAAATTTGATAACATTTGACTAAAGAAAGATTAAATAAATTAATAGTGAATTGATAAATTAATCTAATAAAAATATATTTAATTTTGGAGTATTTTAGAAAATATCATTTAATTAATAAGAGCATAAATTTTAAAATATAGATTATGTATAACAAGCAATATGAGTTTTAATAAATTATTTTCTTTTTTTTATTGGAAAGTCAACTTTACTCATTTTTTATTAATTTGAACTAGTGAATAATTAAATATAGTTTTAAAGAGGGCAAGGAAGAAATATAAAGAGATATTACTGAGTAGACCAAGATTAAATAGTTTGTTCATACAAAAAATTTAGAGAATTCTTAGAATGAGATTTTATCATCATTATCAGTGTCAAATAATTTAAATATATAATTGTATTCATCTTCATAAATGTATTTGTCAATGATTTTGATGAATTTTTTGAACTCGTTAATATCTAGATAAGAGTCCTTTGTTTAATCAAAATTACGGAAAATTACTTTGATGTCAATATTGTTTTCTTTTATTATTCTTCTTAATTCACCAATAAGTCTCTTTGCTTTTTCCTTAAAAAAATTATACTGATTTTCTTAATCTTAGATTCCATACGTGAGTGCATTTTTAAATTCATCAAATGATACTTAGTTATCTTTATCTTTATCAAACTTTTCAAAGCATTTCTAAATTTCATGATCTTTTAGGGCAGGAGCAACAACACGTATAAGTTTCTCAAATTCTTGCTTATCGAGAGTACCTAATTTATCTTTATCAAAGTTTGAAAATATTTCTTTAAGATTGAGTTAATTAGCTTTTATAATTTCTTTTAAATCAGTAATCAATATTTAAGCAGGATCATCTATATCTGCGAAATCATATTAACAGAAAATAGATGCAAATTCTTAAAGAGAAATTTTTTTATCATTTGAAGTATCAACAACCCTAAAAATAGCCTTAGATTCAAAAGAAGTTATTCTTGGATCTATGCTTACTATGAATTAGAAGAATTCTTGTTCATCCAAGCTGCCTCCTTTATCTTTATCAAATTTGTCAAATATATGATTAACATTTAAGTTGTGAGATTAAACAATTTCTTGCATAGACCTTAGAATTTTTTTTGTCTTTTCATCGATTTTCACCTAAGGATTTTGTATTTCTCCACCTCCACCTACAAGTATCGGATGCTTGAATATCTTTTAATTAACATATTTTGTTAGAAAAAGGAACTCTTATAGTAAATAATAAAACTAAAATCGTTTTTTGTGTTTTCTTAATAGGTATTTTTAATAAGAAAGGATTGAAAATAGAAAATTTACTTTTATATACTTTAACTACTGTAAACTTGTTTTACTGTATATTTTTTATATAGATTGATTTTTTAATTAAATTTGGAGAAAATAATAAAAGTAATGATTTGAAATTTAAAATTACTTCATCCCAGCTCATTCTCTTATTTTCATCAATAACTAAGCATCTTGATATAAAGTCCTTTGTGTCTTTTCCTATGGGTTTATCATAAGGGAATCTTAAAGGAGTAGTTTTAATGTTTCTGAGGAATGAATACAAATCTCTTGCAGGCCATGGACTGTTTTTTATATTTATTTTAGTTGTTTAGTACTAAAAATTTATTTCAGAAATTATTAAATTTGGTGAATATGTTTAAACTAATTAAAATTAGTAAATATATATACGTCTTTCCAAATATAATCTCGTAAAAAGTCATTCCAATAGACCAAACATCGCTCTTAGCTGTATAAGGCATGTTTTCTAAAAGCTACGGAGCCATATATAGAGGTGTGCCAACATATTCTTTCATAAATTATTTTCCTCTTGGATCAACTTTTGTTGCAAAGCCAAAATCAGCTATCTTAAAAGTCTCCCTACTTAAAAGAATATTTTGAGGTTTTATATCTCTGTGAATATATCCTTTTTCATGCATTTCTTTAAAACCATTCATAAATTATTTAAGTATATCGATGGCTTACTTTTCTTTTAGCTTTCCACCTTTCTTTTCAATATAATGCTTAAGATCTCCTCCCTCACAATATTCCATAAATATGAAAGTTTCTTTTGTATTACCAGAACAATCTAGTAGTCTAACTATATTTGGAGATTTTAATTGCTTCATTATCTAAATCTCATTTTTGAGAGATGCGATCATGTCTTATTATTTAAAATTTTTCATATCAAGTACCTTTACTGCTACATCTTATTTAGTTTTAGTATTTGTTGCTCTATAAACTTTACCGAAGGAGCCTTCCCCGATAAATTTTCTATTTTCCCATTAATAGTCTCCTTCAATATGTATTTTATTCATACTTTTAATTATTTGACACAAAATTTATAATTAATTAAATTAATTAATTAGTCAAGTTGTTGTAATGCAACAAAAAATTGCTCAATAAATATAATAATTATCAATAGTCTTCTACTAAAGAATTAAATTAATTAACTATTGATTGATTGATAATAACTGGTAGAACAAAATTTATAAGTATTCAAAATTTTTTTTATTAATTCAATAATAATTTAATCTAAATAAAAAAATTACTTATAATATTTCAAATGATCGATTATAAAAAAATGTAATAGCTAAGTTGAATTAACCTACAATAATCTATTGAAATAACATTACCTAAATGATGCATGCTTATAACCAAATTTTTAGGTAATATAATTTATCTTTTTTAATTCATAATTTGATCTATAAAATCGATTTTTATGATAATAAAAAAAATATTTAAAACAAAATTCCTTCCAATAAAAATTCTATCGCTAAATTCACCATTAATATTTGTTTACCAAATTTGAAGCTTTCTTTAGAAATTTTTTATTTATTTGATATTCTTTTGGTATTATACTTTTTAATGAAATAAAAAAAAACAAAATTTTATTAATAATTTATTTTTGTTTGGGTAATCCGATAATTTAATTATTAATTTGAAGTTATTTTAATTTTCAAAAAAATATTTTTAAAATAATTTTTTTTTGTTCATAATTTTTTCCTATTAAATATATTTTTAGATTCTTGTAAATGATTCAGAATTTTATTTAATTAGAATTACTTATATCTATCTAAATTCAAATACACATTTACTATTTTATTAGTAAATTAAAATTTTTAGATAGTTGATAATCCTTAATTAATTGTTAATAGCAGAAATCATTTAATTTAGATTTTTTAATTTATGTGAAAAAGAAACGCTTTTTTAAATAAGTAAATAAATTATAAACAATTCTTATACTAATTAAAAATAAAAAATAATTAATTATATTTAAGTTTTTTATTGAAGAAGTGCATGAAAATACATATATATAAACGAAAAATAGCAAAAATAAATAAAAGGAAGATATGGTGATATAAAGATTAATTGACGATATTTATTAAATTAATATAATGTATATAAATAGAAAGCTTTCGATTTGTTAGTGATTTTAGTGAAAAATTAATTTATTGCATTTCAGAAAGATAGATTTTTTATTTTTGTTTTTATTTTTAAGTGCTCATTTTAAACCAAATAATTAATTATCTTTCATGCTAAGTCTATTACTTGTTCTTAAGATGAGCCTTGAAATTTAAGACTAATATCGAATTTAGAGTCTTATACTCCAATGAAAAACTCATTTGGTTAATTATTATCTTCAGAAGATTATTGTTAATATTATTTGTTTAAATTACTAATCTTTTGTAAGAAAATATTGTACTACTTCTCACTACGAATGTAGAAAGAAATGGAGAAATCACCTTCATATTTTACACATGAGTCTGCTCTCACCTTTTTAGGGAAGAAGGAAGACATTTCTTCATCATTCAAGTTCAATGGATCTTTGCATGCATTCTAATTATAAAAGTTAATTTAGTATAATTGTTAGTATGAATTAATTTTAAATTATTTACCTGTTAGACATGAGGATCGAGAGATAAAAATTAATCATTCATGTATCCAACCATGAATAAGCTTTTGTTTTTTATTCCACCAATAGCACCTACAAAATACTCTAAATCCATTAAGGATTTAATTTATTCTACATATATTTAATTTAATTTTCCAGTTCCTAATTTAAAGTGCAAAATAAGTAGAAGACTTTTTTCCCAGTTTTTCATCTTTTAGCGGATGTCTTCTTAAAATATAACACCGGTACTTGAGGTTACTATTTTAAGGCTCTTGACTAACTTTTATTACTTAAATTACTATTTGAGAGCCTTTATGCCCTAAACTGGAGTGTATTGTTATTTTAAAGGAACTTAAAATAAGTTTATAGCTTGAGTTAAAAGAGAATGGAAACCAAAAGGAGACTAGTCCATGTTTTCAAGAGAATTACTTTCAGCAAACATCATAATTAAGTGTTAGAAATCCAATTTAGTCTTATCGTTGTAAATAAATGACTATACTCTTTTTTCGTAGAGGTGGCGCTTAAGGCCTTGAGCTAGCATCATTTAAGAAGTACGTAATGAGCAACCCCAGCCATTATCTGTAGTAATAGTGGTAGATAAATACTAAAACTCTTTCATATTTTTCTTGTATGACAAAAAAACAAGGGAGCTTAATTCTTCTTAAAGCAATTCATTAGTTTTTTCTCCACAGTAGAAAATCTTACCTAAAATTTAGCACATAGGTCTTTCAGTGCTGGATAATGTAAACTTTTTGCTAGTAGAGAATATTGAATCCTCGCTTTTTATAATAAAAAAATAAGAATTTTTGAAAATTAAAAATAGATAAAAGAGGTACTTGACAAGTTAAATGCAGTTTTGTGTTGTGCTCATCGATTTAGTTTGGATTATATTTTAAGTTGTTGATTGTTTTTAAAACTGATTTGGTATGAATGAATCTTTTCTTGATTTGTTAGTATTACTATTAATCTTATTTTTAATATTTAATAATATTTATTTTTAAGAGGTGGTTAAGGATTTGTTTTTTTAAATTTCTTTCTTTCTTTATTTGTTATATTTATTATATGCTAAGATATAAACAAATATTCTTTGTATAATATCCTTATAAGATAAGTACTTTTTTGTATGATTTTCTGTAGAAGTGAAAAAATTTTTAAGTTTTATATTTATTCAAGTCGATAGATTCAACTCATATTTCTAGTTAACGTTTAGATTAAGTTAAAAATTTACCAGTTTTTAAAAAACACAAAAGAAAAGTAATAAACTGTGCATTTAATTACCAAAATAATTTCAGTTATTTGCTAGCCTTTAATTGAGATAGATAAATAGGATTGTAAAATATATTTTAAACAATTGTTACATGGATAATATGAATTACAGCTAAAGAGAAAATAACAAAATAAAAAAAGATTATTTAATATTTTTTACTAGATATTTGCAAATAATAATGAATTGAATAAATATATAGATAATTAATTTGTTTGTTTGTAAATTACTGAGCATAATCTGATTTATTATGATAAATTAAAGTTTACTATATTTTTGAAAAGAAATAGATAATTTAAACTGGTTAATGCATTTGTTATATACTTGAATTAATTTAAAATTGTTATTAGGTTTTATCAGGAAATGACTTCAAAATCATTGTACACTACATTTTTTTAAATTGTCTTATTACTATCTGAGTAATCTTTATTTTAAATTTTCAAATTGTCTAATTAACTAGACATATTTAATTTTTTTATACACGGAATGGCTAACGACATTTATTCTTATTCATTATAACTTTAATTTTTATCTAAATTCGAATTACTGCTTTCGCTAATAGCTGATCCATTAGATATATAAAAATCTTAAATTCGATAATTAATGTTACTACTGTTAATATTACTATGATTATTGTTATTATTACTATTTAAATGGCTGAAATTGCTTTCATTTGATATTATACTTTACTTGTCAATATTTTTGTTAATTACTCTTCTATTTTTATCCTCTTTTATCTCCTTTTTATATATGTCATTTATTTAATCTATATTTTAATTATGTTCTGATGACTATTTTTATTCCTCTCCCTCCTCGTTTTAGGAGATATTATTAACTGAATCTTAATTCTCCTAATCTTTTACCTCCTTATTAATTTGATGTTCTTCAATCTCCATTTCATCTGTTTCTATTCTATCGTTCAATATACTCAAAAGAGGTTCTTTGTGTTTTTCATTCAGTGTTAGAATTTGATCTATGAACTAATTTATTGATTGTTCTTCATTAACTTAGATAAAATATCCAAGCGATATATCACTAGATAAACATTCTAACGAAATGGATCTTGGTGTTTTATTGAAATAAGTGCAATAATCTTTATCAAGCCCTTATTCTCCTTCTGTTGATTTCTTTTTAAAAAATAAAATAATTTATATAATTTAATTATTTATGATGCCATGATTTTCAATATTTTGATAAAATTCTAATTAGCAACAAAAAAATAGTAAAATTATCATAAATTTTTCTCTCAGCTAATAATTATTCACATAAAGTAAGTAAATTATTTATCTATTTTATTTTTGGTATGAATCAAATTTTGAATAATTGAAATAGCCTTAATTTTTCTATCAAGAAAAAATAGAAAAATTTATAAATTAAAAATTCAAATATTTTATATTATAAGAAGAATATAAATACTTAAATAAAGTGAGGGTCTAAAACAATTAATCTGTCTTCTTGAAAGCCTATTATATACATTCCCTTAGTTTCAGTACCTGAAAGAGCTCCAACAAAATTTTTTATTTTGAGTAACTCTATGAAATAGTCTTTATGCTGCATTTCAAATTTGTTTATACCGAACTTTAAATGGACCATAACAAGGATATTATTGAGTCTGTCATTTTATTTTCTAGATGCTTCTTCTAACTCCTTTAAGAAAATGATTTAATCTGTAAAATTTAAAATATGAAAACCAAGTTTTGAGTTTAATTTAGATTAAGATTCTTCTAAGATTTCTTGCAGAATTACACTGACTTATATAGAAGTATACCAGTTTTTAACATTTTATTAATACTGTCTGAGAATAGCACTCTGACAAATATTTTGAATTCCAAACAAAGAATAAATATTATTTAAATTCTATTCATTTAACAGCATTTTACTTTAAATATCTTAATAACTACCAGGTTAATTTAGTACATCCGATTCGCTTGTGCAATCTAAAAACAATTTTATAATGTTTGAGTAAAAGTGTTTCTCATCATCTTAAGAAAGTTATTCGATTTATATATTTTAATCATTTAAGTAATGTCTTTTTAATGCTTCAGCTAAAAGCATTTAACTGCATCGTATCATGCAACCCCAACCATAATCATTAGAGACTGATTAATTATCATCAGCAACATCTCTGATTAATGGAAAATTATTTCTATATGAAAACCAAATTACTCTTTCATGATATTTCAAGAAATTATTATTTTCTTATTCAGGATTTCTATCATCATAATAAAAATCTTTCTCAAATAATCTTGCATATGGATGCTTAGAATTAATTTTTACAGCTTTCCAACTAGATTTTGAAAATGTTTTCATATTATATGTCGCATTTGAGCTTTTTAGAAAAATAACTTTAATATTTTTATTTTTTAATATGTGAAATAAAAATTATATTTAGCTTTATTATTCAATAAAATAAATAGCTTTCATTTATTGAAATTAATTATGTATATTCTAATTTTATTTTTTCTTTTTACTGATTTTTAAAATAGATAAAAAAGCTAATATCAAATAAAATAAAGGTTTATTTATACAAGAAGGCTTTTATTCTCTCTGAATAACTCATCTGTTTGATTTCTTTTTTAAATTCTTAAAAGTGGACTGCATTACGCGGGTTAAGATTGTTTTTTTCTTCTGTATAGCTAGTTTAGCTAAGATATTAATAATGCTTTTTTGATGCACTATTTGATTTTAATTTATCTTAATAGCCTTTTTTATAATATAAAAATTGAGAATTAATAAAATGTCATCTAATATTTCAGCTATTTTATACTTACTTTAATTGTTAGAACATTAAGCATCCTTGAAGGCATCAGCCTATATATTTTGTAACTCAATAATGTCAAAGCTTGAATCTTTATCTTGCATTACTCCCCTATACAATTTTTGAATTTATCAAATCTAAATTTACTTCTAGTTTCTGTTCCTAAAAAGTTTGATAATTTTATAACATTATTTTCTGATTAAATAATTAATTTCTTTTTTTACAATATTTATCATTTAATATATAAAAGAAAATCCCTTTTAATTTTTCTTTTCTAAAAATCATAAGGTTTCTTCTAATCTTTACAAATGATTGATACATATTCACTTTATTTACTTCAACTCGATTGTAATAAATTACTTTATTTGATGAAAAAACTAACACAAAATGAACAATCCGATTTTATTTCTCATAAGAAAAGGAAATTAATTTTCATGTAATTTAAAGGAAATTATTTTTTGATGAGGATATTGTTTAAAAATATTAGTTAAAACAAAAAGGGATTACAAATATTTTGAAATAATATTTAATTACAAAGCTAAAAGATTTTTCTAATTACTTTATTTTTATGAAAATGCATATAATTTATAATCTTAACTATCTTTACAAAACAAAACTCAAGCTTTTTATTCATGAAGCAAAATTTAATAGAGATAATATCAAAAAAAAATTATCTTTCATCTATTTTATTTAATTTTTATATGAATTTTTATTACAAGTTAGAATTTATTTGCCAAAAATTTTTAAAAGATATTTTTGCAAGAGCTTTAAAATTATAATTAAAATTAATATTAGCTTTTTTAATATGAATACATAAGGCGCTGAAAATTAGTAATAGGTCAGCGATGTTTTAGCCAGTTATTACCTCTAATATTTTTAGAATATGTGGGATGTTGAAGGAATAGATCACGTTCCTGATGAAATTATTGATATGATGTCTCCCGATAGTTTATTTCTAATATAAGAAAATTAGCTAGGTATGTCGTTTACTGGTATCTCACTGCTATTCTCAGAATGTGATCGTGTTCTTAAGGATATAAGTATTTTGTCTAAATAAAACTTATTTTTTTAAATTAGTTATATTTTATATTTTACAAAAAGAATCAGATAATATTTTAGAAGATTAAATATATGTAAGTGAGATGATTTCAAAAATAATGCTTTGCATTAATGGTGAACATCCTAAATGCTGCCATATAAGATAATTTCTCCTAAAAAACAACAAATTAAATGTAGAAGAAGAAAGGCATTTCAATGAAATTATTTGCAAGAGGTTTAAAAAATCAAGCATAATTTGGAATTATAGACATTAGATTATAGAAAAATTACTATAAGAAACGAAAATAGATGTTAATTAACTCTTAAATAAAGAAAATGAATTTATCAAAGTATTGTTGAATAAATTTCCTAGAAACTATCATGCATGGACTTACAAAATAAATTTAATCAAAAATCTTGTTGATAACTAATATAAAGTAAATCTTCAAAGCGAAGTTGAATGGGTAAAAACATACTGCTAGAATAATGTTCACGAATATAGTGCATTTAATTATCTATTGTTATTGATGAAAATCACTAACTTTCAATTTTCTGAAGATACACTGTTATGGGCTTAGCAACTCAAAATTAGATATGAAGATTTATATATTGATTAAAATCCTCTAAGTGAGATAAACTACTCTCAACTTTAATCTTTAAATAAATTCATTTCATTACTCACTGAATTAGAAGCTAAATAAGCTAATAAATGACTTATTAATAATATTATCTAAACTGATGTTTTTTAAAGCAAGTACTACCTTAATTAAATAAATATTCAATTACTAAATAAGCTAACAAATGATATCTTAAAAACGCTTTCCAAATTGATATTTTTTCAAGCAAGAAATATTTTGATTTAATAAAACTAATACAATTTTGAAAGTAATTTTTTAAAGTAAATAGTATCATAAAATATATATATAGTACGTAAATATTAAAATAACTATTATATAAATTTCTCAAATTTTTTATATTTCTTATTTTGTATAATTTTACTATATAGCTTAAGATAGAAAAGTAATTATATCGAAATAAACAATTCATCTTTATTATAATGAATTTTATTTAATTACTAAATAAATTTAAAGCCAAATAAACTAATAAACAGTAATTCTCTTATCCTAGTAAAAAAAGGAAAAAAAAAATTTTAAATAGGGAATTTTTTTAAAATTAATTGGATGAGCTTTTTATTCATGTAAAACACAAAAATTTTTAACTTAAGAACATTAATAATTTTATAACTTGTTTTATATTTTTAAATTTTTGAAAATATCTTCGACGATGAACTTTATACGATGATTTTAAAAAAATAATAGTTGAAAAATCAAAAAACCTAATTTTAATTGTTACCAGCACTAGAAATGAGATCTTAAAAATGTATTCTAATTTTATTTTTTTAAAGCAAGTAATGTTTTGATTAAATTAAATTAAATAATTTTTTAAAGTAAATAATTTTATGAAATATATACAATAATAATAAGATTTATTAAAATAAAATAATAATTACAATATAAATTTTTTTATTTTGTTAAGTTTTTTTTTTTTTTGGCTTATTTTTCTAGCGAGTTTAGAGCCAAAAATAATTTGAAATAAAATGCTATCCAAGCCATATTTATGAATCAAAAATTAGTTAACTTTTGTGATTCTATTATTTTATTTAATGTACAGAAATATTACTGATTTTGTTTTCTTTAAAATGGTAGTTAAAATGTTGAAAATTATTCTTAGTGTATCATTTGTTTGCCTTTACTGTTATTTTTATTCTATGGAGAACATTAAGGAGACATAAACATCTGTTATCTATAATTATTTTAATTAGCACTTTTGTCTATTAAGCTTTTATTAATTAGCATATTTTTTCTGCTAAATTAACTTGGTTTTTCAATAGATTTCTTTTTCAAGTTTTACAAAAAATTTCTAAATCTAATTTTAAAGCTTTACATCATGTCTTGAATATCTACTTAATGATTGACTATTTAAATTTAATAGAGTTAAATATATAAATATTACAATAAAAAAATACCTTATTTCTATGGTGAAGATGTAGAGCTAAAATTTCTTGCACTATTAATCATGTAATGATTTTGTATTTATTAATCTAAATTCTATGATGATAAACAAAATTTTTATAGATCTTAATAAATCTTAATAGGACTTTCATTGCTAGAATAAAATTTTGATTAACAATTTGAAACTGTATTGCTTGAAATTATTTGATCATCATCATTCTTTATTGAGTCTTAGTTTTACATTTAATTAGAGTTTTAATTGAAAATAGATTTCCTTCTTTGTTAGAAGCACTCAATGCTGTTTTTATTTAATTTTTAGAGTTGCTTTTCATCATTCGATTAATTAATTGGTAAATTATTTGAACTGCAGCCATTAACAAAGGATTTAACTAGAAAATTTTTAGCTTCACATGTGTTTTTTTCTAATACTCCAGAGTTAAAAAAGTTATTTTATTAAATACTTTTATTATCATATTTTATATTTTTCGCTTAACATTCATTAGAAATAACTTTTTACTGCTACTACATAGCATTTAATTTTGCTTTAGCTGTAGCTAAGTTAAACTGCTCATATAATTACTTAAAATTTTATGTTTATTAATTTTTATCTTAGATTATAAACTAGTTATACTACTCTTAATTAGAAGAATCTATTTGATCTAACTATCCAAAATCTGAGGTCCTTGATGAATGGCAAAGTTAACTTATCACTGGTGAAGGGGCAGCTGTTGATCCTTATAGAGAAAAATTGGATTCTGAAGGTTGTAGTTTATTTTTTGTTTGAGAATAAGGAATTTTATAATGATCAAGCAAATTTTAATATAAAACCATCTGCTTATATAAGATTTAAATGTAATCTTGCTAATCTTTGATTAATTACTACAATTAAGTATTCTAATCATACATTTAAGATAGCATCTATTCTTTACTTACATCCTCTTATTGCTTATTGTAAAAACCACTCTGTAAAACTTCTTATGCTTTTACTTGTTATTATTAATTTATTGCGTCATTAAAACATGTTGAGCCACTTAGTGAGTTTCTACTACTTTCTGGTAAATTAAAGGTGTTATTATCTTAGAATTGCTCAATTTGATTACTAAGAATACTCTTCTATAAAGTATTATTTTAATAATAACTTAAAGATTTTTTGACATATGAATTATCTTAAGTGCGCTGATCCTACTAAATATTTTGTATATCTGGATATATTTAGCAATTATCCTAAGTAGAATAATTTAAAGATTTTACTTATTAGCCTTTCTATTCTAAAACTTAACTAATAATATTATCATCCTACTTTTGATGAAAATGGTATGGACCTATCTTTTCATAAATTACTTTAATTTAACACTTAGCACACGAGCAATTTTTTTCTTAAATGCATTACTAATTTAAATGCAGTTATTAATCTAAATTTTAAAGCATATTTTGCTAGTGTTGCGATTTAGATTTTTTCTTGTCATCATTTGTTTACGATATCCTTGACGTTTTAAATTGCCTTTCATTTGCTTTTGTTTTTAAATCATTAAAAGTAGCTATCATGTTCTATTTTTATTTATTGTTTAAAAGGATTAAATTCTATTTTTAAACAAATTAATTGATATCCTCTAAGTTATCTTTACTTTTTTTTACTTGTTCAGTAAGATAATTATTAATATTATCTTTATTTTTTATGTCCTTGTTAAAAATTTGCATCAACTTTTTATGCTAACGAATTTCTGTGATAGTAGGAGAATCAATTTAATAATTTATGAGAGAGCTGTGTTGATTTGATCTAGATTAGAAATCGCTCTTTACAAATTGTAAGCTTGGGTCCAGAAAATAATTCATGTTATTTTAATTTCTATGCTATTATTAGCTATTGAAATATTATTATGAAACTTAATTTGACTGCATTTAACCTTCTGATAAAGACCAAGTACTAGTTGTTAATGATATCGTAAAACCTACTTAAAGAGATGATTTGAGTCTAAATTTATTTTATTCAAAAATTGTTAAACTATTTTTATTATTTGTCTAAATATAAAGCACTTACAGGTACTTATGTTATTATTGTGCCTAACTTTGTTTAGTAAATATTTTTGATGATTAATTAAGAAATTATATAATTATTAGTCTTAAATATAATCAACAATTAATCAAAAGAAATTATAAGAATATTGCTTCTAAAATTTGTGAGTAATAATGAATTGATTAAAATTAAAATTACATAAATTCTTTACTTTAATCATCCATCTATTTTTTGTTTATTTATTTAGTCAATATATTTCTCTTTAATGATGCTATTTTAAAATAAGAAATTTTATCAAGAAAATAATTTTTTTATTAATTGAAAAACAACTTCGAATATTTAGAAAACTCTTCTTAATAATAATAAAAAATCAATTGAAAAACACATTTTTTCAAATTTTTGACCATTTTTAAATAAAAAAATTAGTATTTATTTTGTTCTACTTTAGTCTTCTAAACTATCAGATTCAAATGTATCCATTTCATTAAAAATTATGATATAAATATATTATCTTCAAAACTATGATATTTACTGAAATCTTCATTAAGTAAAATAAAACTACTCTAACAGTAAATAAATATCTTTAGGTATTTTAAATGAATTATCTTTTATTAATTAATTATTTCTTGTATTTAGCAAAGAAAACAAAATTATAGTTGTTTTTGGGTATTTTAATATTTTCTGATGATTTATTTAAAAATATAGATAAAATAAACAAAAGGTTAATAATTAACTAAAACTCATGGTTTAAAGAAGCATTTTAATATGATTTTAAAAGCAGATAGATCATTATTTTGAGTTACTTAAAATTTCATTATTAAAAAAGCAATTTAAATTTGTATTATAATGAATGGCAATTAATTTAATTGACTAACAGTAATTATTGATTTTATTCGAAAATCTTATTAATCTAATTTATACGTTGAAATAATTTACCTAAATATTATTTAAAATCAAAAATTGAAATATCTCTTTTTTGAACAATTTAATATTAAAAAAATTAGAAGGGTCATATAAATTTTCAGTGAAAAATTTTTAGCAGAGTTTGAATTTAAATAAAAAATAAATCGAATATGATTCAAGAGTATTGTAGAAATTACTCTATCATTCCTCAAGAGAATAACAAAATTAGCAACAATAATAGCTTTACCTTAAATGGATGTGATAATATCTCCAGAAACAGTAAAATAATTTAATTTTAATTTAATCTAAACTTCTAATCAATTAGAAAGAACACTATCTTTAAATGCAGATATATATCCTTCTCAAGCAAACTATCAAATTTATAGCTAACAAGGTCAGAATGCAGTTTAGAAATAGAATTTTATTTAGTAATAATAAGTACATAATAATTTAGTTTAAGACTCTACTTTTTAGAGCTCATTACTTTAAACAAATAACTAATTGAAAGACTAGAAAAATTAAATCAATGATTGCTCTCCTGCTCAAGAAAATAAAATAAGGGTAATAATTAAATTACATATTAATATAAAAATGAATAATTATATTTTTAGTGAATGTAATTTCAATTTAAAACTTTAATTGCACTTTTTTATGAATTAGACAAAGTCATAATTGGATAATGAGATTGAAAAGCTAAGAATGAAACTCAAATCAGTTAAAAGAAATTCAGAAGATAATAGCAATTAGATAGCAAATAATGCTTTCCTTAAATAAAATCAATTTAAAGAGAATGAAATCCCTAAAAATTAAATTCAAAAAATAGAAATCAAAGTTAATTCAAATAGTGGCAGTGCACAAAAAACTGGAAAGGGAAGTTCTAGTTTACCAAATGCATTTTACACAGGAAATACACATTTAAATACAAATAATAAAAAAATATTCTCCGAATAGGTTTCAGACAAGATACTTATAGATTTAAAGAAATAAACAGCTCAAAAGGTAGAGGATTTTATAGAAAATTGCTACTCTTCAAAGAATTCAAAGATTCCCCAATAAATGCAGTCTAATAATAATTGGAGTTAGAACAAAGAATCTAAATATTTGAAATTAGGAGATATCACTTAGCAGCTGATGCAAAATTAAAATTAGTTAGATGCAAGTACTAGCAACAGTGGTAATTAGAGCAATTCTATAAATAACTCGAATGTAAATGCTAATGCAAGACAGAGTTTGAATATTCATACAAGCAATATGTACGCATTAGGAAACTTGAACAATAGCTTTAATGGATAAACTTCTAAAAATAGTGGAGTAAGACACTCTTAAGGATCACTTCAAATAAACAATATTTTTTAAGGAGCAGCTGGTCTTAATTATGTAACTCCTTAAAATGTCAATAATAACAGCTTTTCTCATAGCTAGTTTCATAACTAACAAGCTTGTGAGATTAAAAAATGCACTAGCTGTCTTAAAAGAAGAGAGAAGAGTGCAGAAAAAGTTGATAGAAAAAAGCTTGGTGAAAATAAAAAATAGTTTTTGAATAAATATAATATCAGTGATACAAGGAAGGAGTATTCTAGTTATAAAGAATAAAAGGTTTAATAGCGAAGATTTTCAATCCACACAAATTAAATTTAAGAACCTTTTAATTTTGTGTTATAAGGTAATTAAGATGTGAGTCTCAACAGCTCAAGTGTAAAAAATTAAAACTGGTTGTTATAATAGCAATAACTACATTAGAAAGCCAATTATGGAAATTTTGCTTAGTAGTAATAGTAGGAATCAGAGTCCTACTTAGATAAGAGCTGGAATATGAAGGTAAACTCTCATGTCAAAGCTCTTTAGCAAGCCTTAGCAGAAAACAGTAATGGAGTTAGTAATAATAACTCGAGGTTTATTACGCTTAATGATTTAAATTATTCACAAATTGATCATCCAAGCAATAAAGGAAATCATAATGCTGACACCACAAGTAATTATAAAAGTCTAAATACAACAAACGTAGTTGATAATAGCATTATTTTAGGTAATAATTAAAACAATTTAAGTAATATTTAATCACAATAAAACTCCTTCTTAAGCAACAACAATAACAACAATTTTAGATACTCTAAAAATTTATAGTAAGCATAAAACTCTTCAAACTGTGAAAATATTTCCAACAATTCTTACCAAACAAAGCTTTACTTGGAAGAAGAACCTAAAAATTTATAAAATAATGCACTTATACTAAATAATATGCAGCTGAGTGGAACTTCAAAATTTGCAGGGATAGATATTAAATAATTCTAAGATAATTTTTAAAGTAAAGAGAATTTTGAAATAACTGGCTAAGAATTATAAAAAGAAACTTTTTCTAGAGTTTTAGAACATTATGAGTCATTGATTAGGGAAAAAGAAAAGGAAAATGAAGAAAAAATTAAAAAATATGAATAAATTATTGAAGAAATGCATATTGAAAACGAAAAATTAGGTATAAGTTTGTATACATTTAGTTTTTTAATTTTATATTTTTAATTCAAAATAGACGAGTATAAATAATAGCTGGTAATTATGAACAATGATTTAGCTAAAGAATTACAAAATTAACAGTAGAAAAATAAAACCTTGCAAGATGAAGACCTTGTTACTAAAAATAAATTTTAAGACTAGGAAGTAAGGCTGAATTAAGAAATTTAAGCTTATTAATAATAGATGCAATAATTAGAGAAAGAGAAATCGTTTATAAATAAAGCTTTTGAATACAAAAATTTAGAATGTGATAGCTTGAAAGAGGAGGTACTTAAGTAAAAATAAGAACTGTAATAGCTATAGTAAAAAGTCGATTAGCAAGAGCTGATAATCAGTGAATAGAAATTTTAAAAGCAATAAGAAATCGAATTAATTAACGCAAGATAACAAGAGTTACATAGGGCATATAAAAGCTAATTCAACACATTTTTTGAAAAGATATAAAAAATTAAGGTTATAAATGACGATTATTTAATGGCAAATAAGAGAGAATTTGAATCAGTAGAAAAAAGGTAATTTTTTTTTTAATATGTAGATATTAAGTAAAAAATAAATAGATTTTATGAAGACTCTCTTATAACCAAGCCTTCTTGTATTTAATCTACTTAAGGTGATGATTTGGAAACAAAAAATATAAAATTAGAGCAGGAAAACAGATAGCTTATTGATAAATTGAACTCAAAAGATGAAGAAATTAACTTGTACAAAGATGAGTTAACTAAATCTGATCAAATGAATTAAAAAATTATTGAAATAGAATAAAAAAAGTTAAAAGAAAGGTATGAAATTGAAATTTAGAATTTAAACGAAACTGTTTCTTTAATGAAATCAAATGAAGCTAAGTTAATAGAAATAATTAGCGAATTAGAATAAAATATTTCATAAAAAGAATAAGAAATAAATAGCTTAAAAGATGGTATCCTCTAAATATAATAAACAAAGTAAGAAATGGAAACTGCCACTTAGTAATTAAAAGCCAAAATAGACATTGTTGAAGAGCAAGAAAATATTTTAGAAAAGAAGTTAATTGAGCTTTCTTTGTCTCATCAATCAAGCATTGAATGTAATTAGAGTAATAATTTGTAGAGTTCAAGAGGTTAAGAAATATAAAATCTTCTTTAAAAAGTTCATAAATTACAGCAATAAAATAAAACACTGAATGAAGGTAAACTATTTCTTATTTAAAAAAAAATTTTATAAATTTAATTGTATATGTAAATATAGAGCTTATTGAAAGAGAAAAGTAGGTAAATATATTGTAGCATTAAAATTAACAATGCTAAAAAGAATTAGAAGAGCTTCGTTCTGGATTATAAGAATTTGAAGCAGAAGTATAAGAAATGAAGAGGATTTATAATGAAAGCTTCGAGCAAGAAAAGTAATCAATAATTTAGTTTTATGAATAAAAATTAGAGCTGTAGTAAAATTAGATAACTTTCTTCAAGGAAAAAGAATAATCTGTTGTAAATGCTTAATCTGGGTAATACTGTAATACAGATGTTGGAGAAAGCATTAAAGAAGATAAAAAGCAATTATTAAATACATTATCTGATCCAAACATATCAACATTAAAAAAAAATGTAATGCAAAATGGATTACCTCCAACTAATTCCAAGAAAAGCTTAGTCAGCTTTAATAATTTAAACATGATAAAGCAAGATTCTAATTTGGCATTAAACAGGAAACACAACGAAACTTTTGAAGAGACATGTAAATTATTAAGATAATTCTGAAAAAATCATATTTTTAAACAAATTAAAAACATTAATTTTGCTTTTAAATTTAATCAAAAAAAATGCATTTCGTCTTAATAATATTTTTTTTATAGATTTTATTAAAAATTAACTCAAATTAAATAAATATTAATTATTAATTTATAAGTTGAAGATGGAAGAGGTGGCTCTTATTTAAAATTATCAAACATAGTAGTAAATTAAGGAGAATAAAATAACCAAAGTAAATACATTCATAAATACCTATTGATATTAAATTAATATTTAAAGAATGTAATTAGGAATAGAAAATTGAAAACTAATGTACTTTCCTAGAGTACATGAATAAGTTTACAAATGAAAAAGGAGAAATGAATTCAGATGACTTTTCAAAAGAAATATTTTAGTTAAAAGAAAAGGAGCTCCTTTAAGAAATAGATAATCTTAATAAAAAATATTATCTTTAGGGTAAATTTTTCAATTTAATTTGTAGATTTTTAAAATTAATCTTTTCGTTAAAGAATAAAATACCTAGTTAGAGATAAGCTGGATAAGAAAATAGACAGAGTCTACTAATTACTTAGATCATACATAATATAAGGAATAGTTAGATTCTCTACAAAATTAAATAAACTAATTAAAAATGATTAAATAGCAATTGTCAGCAGTCAGCAAGGAGATAGATTAAAGATTTGAGAAAAATTAATTAGAAGAGTTTGCCTAAGAGCTGAAATAAAAGTAAATTGAAATATAAATAAATGAGAAAGAAATTACTTAGAAGTTAGAGTAATATGCTTCAATTAATGAAGAATTTCAGCTAGAATTTTCTAAAAATATAAATAATTTGTCAGAAACCAGTGAAGAAAATTTAATGATAAATGTATAATAAAAAGTGAATAAAACTCCTAGCAAGACATTATCGAAAACTATTATTAAAAAACTAAATGAAATTGGATCTTGCTAAAAAGAAAATCCTTCAAATTATTTATTTGAAAATTAAAAAGAGATATAAGAATCTCTACAAAATACTGTTTGACCGTTAGTTAGTTATTTATCTAGTTAATTAGTTAATTAAAACCTGCATTTAAATAAGTTAAATATATCTTTTAATTTATAGTAAAAGTAAAAATAAATAAATGAATAAAAAACATAATTTTATTAAGAATACAAATATTTATTGTATATAATAATATTATTAATTTATATGTTTCTTCATCTTAAAACTTTTTTGCATAATTCGATTGTTATAGTAATTGCTCTAATTAGTAAATTATTTTTGTATTTGAGTTACAAGCTATAAGATTAAAATTTGAATTAATTTATTGTTTAATAAAAATAATATCTTTGTAGTTAATTAGCGTAATTAGTGATAAAAGAAAGTTGAACTAATCAATTGATTACATTAAATGTAATTAAAGTTAAATTAAAGACTTTTAAAATGCTATTTTACTTTTCAATATAAACAGGTTATTATAGTTTAATCCAGAGTAATTTTTAGATTTTTAAGTAGCAGCCAACAAAATTCCTACAACTAAATTGACTATAAGGAATGTTAGCAAAAATTAAGTGCTTTTTAGAGTAGATTTAAATTAGCATATAAAATCAGGTTTTAACATGCACTCAATATTTTTATAAAAAGATAATCCCTGAGTCGAATTCAATAAAATTATCTAAGAGCTATGGAATATTATATGAGTAAGAATAAACTAGAATATCCATATATTTAAATATATCTAAGGTAAAGAACCTATATTAGAAATTTTGTTGATATATTTAATATGTTAATTATTTAACTTTATTTATAAGAAAAGGATAGAGGATATTTATCAAAAAAAGATTATTGTAGAATATATATAGTATTTAGGGACTGAGAATTGGGTATTTTTACTTTTTATTTGAATTCATTTTTAATATCACTAATAGATTATGAATAAAAATGAATATTGTTCACTAATTTATCTTTGATATTTAAAAGGAACCTACTGATTTTATGAACAGGAGTAAAGGCGAAAAGTTTTAAAAACACGAATTAGAAGTAGTTATTAATAATATTGGATCAGCTGTTAGTTTTGTAACTTAAGAGTCATAGGAGTTTGAATAAAAAATAAAGGCATCTTAACTGTATTAAAATTAGAATTAAACTGATATTGATTTTACAAAGTTAGATTATTAATCATTCTGTGAAGAAAACTAAAAGAATTTTGAAATTTAAGAAGAATATGTTGAAAATCTAAATATTTTAAAGCAGCTAAATTCTGAAGAAAGGAAAATTAAATAAGAAAACTAGTCTATGTATTTATTATTGTTTATAATATTGTTATATATTAAACAAAATAAACTTTTTAAAATTAGATAAGCTGTTAGTGGTAATAAGCTTAGTTAGTTTTCAGAAATAAAAGGAGCTGATATGGTTCATTCATTTAAACCTTAAAATGTAGGATAAAATAATATTAATTTGGAGGTAAATTTAACAAATATATTCAATTATTTAATGTTTAAATAAATATGGATAATAGCTTTAAAATGGTCTAGGAACTTTAAACTCTTCAAGACACTTCATTTAAAACCCTATGCTGAACTCTCTAAATATGCAAGCTTCTGAATCAGAATTCCAAACAGGAAACTTTGGCACCGTTGGTATTAAAGCTGATAATTTCTAAGAAATGATTACCTCTTAAAAATAATTATAAATAAAGGAAAAACAAATGTAATAACATGAATAAAAGAATAAGTAATAGCTGAGTTAATATGCTAGAAATGACGAGTAGTTAGCCAATTCAAGTAGGGAAGAAGAAAAGCATAATAGTCAAGTACCAAGCTAAACAAAAGAAAAAATAAACTTTTTCTCACATATTAATAATAAAAATATGAGAGACAATCCTCAAATAGTATTTAATTAGCAATAGAATTTGAATGCTCATAATCATCAAAAATCTAACTCATTAACAGACATTAATTAATTTATCTAAAATAATAGTGAATTAATTAAAGATAAATTTTCTAAAAGTACACTAATTTAACAAGAGCTTAGACATGAACAAAATAAAAAATTACATAATCTGAATGGTAATTAGAGCTATGAGCAACATTTAGACCCATAGCTTAATTCAAAAAACAATTTTCCAACAAGTTAAAAAATGTTAAATCTTAAAACTAATTAAAAAATTATTTCAGCTAATCAATCTCATTCTGAAAAAAATGCTGTAGTTGGAAATGAAATAGGTCCAGATGAAAGCAATAATAACTTGATGTAATTTGATCATTATTAGAGTGAGCATTCTGAAAATGTACTTTCTGATAATCTAAGTGATTATAAACAAAAAAGAGAGAGAAAAAATAGCGAAAATGTAAGCATTTTAGAGAGCGAGCATTTAAACGAAGATATTGCTAATATTCCATATTCTCAAAGAGAAATTACAGAAAAAAATAAGATAGACTAAAGGGATAACTAATATTCAGGAAATAGATAATCATTTTAAAATTTATACTCAGACTAAAAAAATACATCGAATTCATCTTTTGAGTATTAATCCATACACTATGGGTCAGTTAATTAATTTAAAGAATATTCAGGATATGATAATACATCTCTCTCATAAAATTATGCTTCGTTTTAATAAGAGTAACTAAATTCCTCAAGATAATAAAATGTAGCTAATAACTAGGGTTTAATTTAAAATTAGAAATTATAATTAGAAAATGAATTTAATGAGTTTTCTGTAATAGGAGAGGAATAGTCTCATTAAGATAAAGAAAGCGATTAATAAATTTAAAATAGACCAAGCACTCAATCTAATATTAGTAAAAATGGTACCACCTAATAGCAGAGTCATGATATTGTGTTTGATTAATAATTCAATTATGAGAAATAAAAGAAGAAATAATTTTAATTTTCAAGCCTATAAGATGTGGAACCTAACAACTAATAATAAATTATTACTTAATCAATGAACCATTTAGCAAAATATAATAGATTAACATTAGGAACTGAAGGGATTCACAAATTTCATAATAGTTAATTAAATGATGATAAAAATTCTAACTAAATTTTTAACTTATTAGAGTAGTTATTTAGTTTTTGATATTATTTACTTCAATAAAAATAATTTTTATTTTATTTTATTTTATGAAAAGTCCTATAAAAAAAAATAATCTAGAAAGTAATAATCAGTTAGGAAGCAGCATTAAATTAGAAACACCAAAAAGGAATTCTATTTTAGAAGTAAAATTTAATCAAAATCATAAATATGAATAAATTAACATGTATTTTTTTATCAGATTTAAAGTTAAATTCATAAAAGATAATTCTCACAAGATTAGAAGTAATTTTTTATTTTTTCATTAGTTAATTAAAATGTTTAATTTAAAGATTTCCAAAACTTTTTTATTTTAATGGATAAAATCTATTCCTATCTCAGTTATTTCTTTTAAAATAATGAATTAAAAATTAATGATTAAATATCAGCTTCTTTCAATCTGATGATTATATTTTAAAAATAAAAGTGATGCCTTTGATACTGATTCTTAAAAGGCAGGATATTGGAAAGAAAAATATGAAATCGCAGCTAAAAAAGAATCATAATATAAAAAGAGCATAGAAGAATAAAAATAAACTCTGTAGTTTTTAAAATCTGATATAAACAAACTCGAATTTTTGCATAGAATGGAGAAACCTCTAAATACAGCACCATAAGAAAAAATTGAAAGTAAATTCTAATTTTTATGTAAATTATATTTTTATCTTTATTTTAAATTTAGCTAATTAAGCTAAATTTTAAGCTTGGCATCTGATATTTTTAGCTATAGCTTCAGCAATTTTTGGTTTTATGATGAAGAAATTAACTTTATGATAAGCAGGAATAAAGATAAATGCTATAGGACACATCTTAAGCTAATTGTTATCCTTTCTAAAAGTTAATAAACTAAATAGAGAAATATATAAAATTAAAAATAATTAATTTAATACGATTTTTGTATTTAAAATAGCAATTATTTATTCAAATTTTTTATATCTCGTTAGTTAAAATTTTGTAAAAAAGATTGAATGAAATATAATAAAAACTAATAGGTAGAAAATTTAATTATATCTAGAGTATTTTTAAATTATATTTGTACTATTAAGTCAGGATAAATGTATACAGCAAGGAAAAAAATAAATTTATCAATCTATCAATTAAATTGATGAAGGTAAGCATATATGTATATATGCATGCATTTAAAAATTAACTAATAAAATTTTCAAAGAAAAAAAAGAGAGTAATTGATTTATTCTGAATCAATAAAAAAATATGTTGAAACAAATGAAAAATTATTGATTTAAAAAGAATGAATGAAAAAAAAGTAAAAAAGGAATTAAGTAAGTAAGTAATTTAAAAATATTTATTTAGTTTAAAAGCTATATTTGTATGTATTATCTTCTCTTATTTTAACATGAGTAAAGAGCATAATTTAAGTACTTTATAATATAGAACTCAATATCACAGTTAAACAAACAAAAGTTAAGTTTGCAAAAAGTAAAGGAGATGATTATTTATTTATCAATTTATTTTGTGTGGGGTTCGCTAAAAATTTATATATCAAAAGTAAATCAACTTAAGAGTTAGTAAAAAAATATTTGATAAAATTTTCATATACTATCTCTTTTAAATTAAGCTAAAATATAAGTAGTGCAAAAAGAAAGAGAGAAAATACTTTTAAAATATAGTAATAGGTACTCAATTTTACTTCTTACAATATTTGTTGGTATATAAGCAAAACATTTTCCTATCGCCATCTATTTTTAGAATTAAACTTACTATAAAGCTTCTGCATTAGTTCAAGCATTTATAAGAATTTATTACAAACATTATTATTAGTAAAATAGAATAATATATTTAAAAAGAATTAATTTTATTTTTAAAAATTCTTAGAGAACACAAGCAAAGCATTTAGACTCAATAATTTTTTTGTGCTGTTTAAAGTTGAAACTTTCTTTTTATAGTAAAGTTAGTTAAATTTATAAGTATATAAATTATGATTAAATAAACTGGCATTAATTCTACTGACTCTATGAACGAACCATAAAACCCATAAGATGCATTTCCTTTAGTATATAGTGGATCGAGTGGCTAATTAAACATTTAGAATGAAAATTTTACCAAAAAAGAATAAGAACAAGTAGATGTTGCTGGAAATTATTAATCTCCAACTGAAAACAATAAATTAACTCAAGAAAAGAAGAACTAGTTTGGTTTTCATTCTTCTAATTCATTAAAAAGTTAAGTTGGGACAGATAAAAAAAGATTAGGAAGCCGAAATACTTTAACAAACAAGCAATTCGATTAAGATAATACAAATAGCATGAATCAGAATATATAATTCTCCATGGAATAGCAAGAATTTATAAAAATTAACTAATCTGATTCCTTAGCCCTTAGTGATTTAAATCAAGGTTTGCTATCATCATAAAATAATCTTTTCTAAAAGAATGTAAGTCAGTAAGATCTTGAAATTTAATCGATGAATCAAATAGCGGAGCAAGCAGAAGAGAATAGGTCATTTACAGAAATAAACATTGAAAAAGGTACTGGTAGCTTTAATTAAAGCAAGCAGATCTAAAATAGAAGTAAGACACATTAAAGCAGTCATCAAAATAGCAGCTCTAGTTATAGTTCTAAACCAAATCTAAATGCAAGAGAAATCCAGGACTTGAATTATACCTAGGATTAGAATAATCTTTAATTTTAAAGAAGAGATCCTGATTTTGGTGGAAGCGAACCTTTGATTTAACGAAATTTAAGTGGATTGAATACAAAATAAATGATCAATTCTAATATTGCTTCTGCTAATAAGAATTAGGCTGTTGCATAAAGACATCACACTACTAACACGTTTGCTGCTGAATAAAATTAAAGCTGCTATCATGAATCTTAAAAATAAGAAAGTGATTAAGAGTCTTCTGACTCACATTACTAAGGAGAAAGTCTTTCATCCTATGGTCCTTTTAAATTATTGTAAAAAGGTTATCTCAAAGAGCTCAAGGATCACTGTAAAAAAGAAGGAATTTTATATACCAGAGTAATTAACGAGCAAGGTAACAACATGATAATTAAAGCTGTTTAAAATAAAGATCTAGAAGCAATAAAATAGCTTATTTCGGATGCAAGAGAGTAATTGAGGGAAATAGGAAAATCAAAAGAATAAATTGATGAAGAAATTTCTCAGTGGATCAACCAAGAAAGTAAATCTGGTTATACTGCAGCACACTTTAGCTGCTATGTAGGAGATCCATCAATTTTGAAGCTTTTAAAAGAGTAGGGAGCAGATTTTTTAAAATTAAATAAAGAAGAATCTAGTGGTCTTCATGTTGCTGCTCAAAACGACTCCATAGCTTCGATTGTATTTTTATTATTGCTAGGCATAGATATCAATGTACAAGATTAAAAGGAAGCAACTCCTCTTCATTGGGCAAGTTTCTAAGGATTAGATTAGTCTGTTTAGTTTTTAATAGCATTTGGATCAAAAACAAATATTTAAGATTCTGAAGGCATGACTCCTTTAATTCTAAGCTCAATAAGTGGTAGTATGAAAATAGTTAGAATGTTACTGCTGGCAGGAGCAGACAGAAATATTTAAGATAAAAAAGGCAGAACAGCTCTTTATATGGTAACTGAAGATCAAGAAAACCTAAACGAAGATATTGCAGAAATGCTAAAACGTACAAATGGATTCTAAGAATATTGGAATATTAGACCTGTCTTTAAACCAACTAAGAAGAATCCTAAATAAGTTATTTATTATCTGATTATGTATATACTATCATAGATATGCCTTATTTATTTTAACTACTCTTTGTGGGAACAAAACACAAAAATTATTATATTTTCTATATTAGCATTGCTTGCTATCATAACAAAGTTTTTCTTCTTAAATTCTTGGCTGAGGAATCCAGGATATGTGGCATTGAATAAAAAAAAGAATACAAAAAGTAAATCAGAAGAATACACATACCTTGAGAAAATGAGCAAAGAATCATTTTAAAGAAAATAGTATCTAAGCTAAAGTCAACAAAAAATATACTCTAGCAAACCATTAGATGAAATAACAAGAAATAATTTGATTGAACTATTTCTTTTGTTACAAAAAGAATAAGAGTCTTAATAAATTTGTGCACATTGTTGTATTTTAAAACCTAAAAGATCTAGGCATTGTGATATTTGCAAAAATTGCGTGTCTGTTTATGATCATCATTGTCCTTGGATAAATAATTGTGTAGGAACAAATAATCATGGATACTTCTTAGGCTACATTATTTCAATCTGGTTAAGTATTATTGCTTTTACTATATTGAATGCAATATACATCTGGTAATTTAATTATCCCTAATAAAATTCTTCTGTCTCTCCAGTTTATATCGATCCACTTAATTTATTTACTTAAGATTAACACATTTTATTCTTTGTTCTAAAAGTTGTGCTTAATTCCATTGCAGTATTCTTTTGCCTTTTGTTTGGCATACCATTAACACTTCTTCTATTTGTTTAGCTTGGTAATTTCCGAGCTAACAAAACTACATACGAAAGATTTAGTTAATAAGCAAAAATTAATTAGCTCTCTCAGGTAACAGAATCGAATGGATTATCTGCATTAGCCCCTGCTGATGATACCTAACTTCATTAATCTCTTCTCAACGATACGCAAACCTAATATTAGCAGTTATCTTCATTTTAAAACTGCCTTCAAATGTGCTTTTATAATAAAAAGAATCCTAATTATAGATTTAGGAATATAAGCGAAAGGAATATTAGCTAGCCATGAAAATATAAATTATTTAAATATATTTACAAGTTAAATAAAATTCAACTATAATCATGAAAATAAAATAAATCCATTTTTTATTAATTTCTTATATTAAACATAATAAATATAATTATAATTTATTTACAAATTAATCATTTATGTATGTATGTAAAGCTCTATCTATTTTCTTATTTATTTTTTTAAATAACAAAATTTTATTTTTATATTAATATCATTAATTTAGTTAATGAATATGCTTTTATTTATTTTTATATATCTTAATCATTTTCTGATCACAATTTATTTTATCTTTTTTATATAATAATTTTTTTTTATCATGTACTATATTTTTGTATTTAACAGTAGAATATAAATAATAATTACCTTTTTATTAAAAATATATATTAGAATACAAAAAAAAATCCTCATTTTAATTTTAAGCAATTGGAAGAATTATTGATAAATAACATAAGTTAATTTAATTATCTAATTTTTTAATAATAAAATTCTAAAAAAAGGATTTATTTTGTGATAAAAATTAAATTAAAATTTTTTTAAATCTAATTAATCTATTAAATTATTAAATAGCAAATCCTAAAATTAAATTTTTTCATTTCTTCATCCAAATACCACGAGAATTAAAAACCAGGAAATGCTTTATAAAAAGTTTATTTTTAAATTAACAAAATCAATTTAATTAATTTGAAAAAGTTTAAGTAAAAAATTAAAAATATTTTTGATAAGTTTAAATGATAAAATCTAAACATAAAATAATATCATAAATAAATTACTAAATATCAATTATTTTTAGTTCAGTTAAATATTTCTTCAAAACTTGTTACTTATCCTTTTTGAATGCATCTGTTTAGAATTTTATTCAAATTGCTATATTTAGAAATTTACTTTAGGAGTTTTTCTGATAATTTTAGGTAAATAGTTTCTTTTTATTTATCTAAAGAATTAAGAATCATTTCAACACTTTTCTAATTTAATGCTTCTTCTTAATAATTTATATAAACAGCTCTACCCTTTTCTGATTCTATGAAATCACTAAATGGTTGATAGAATAAATTAATTTTTAAATCCTCATAGTCTTCTAATGATACTTCTTGGTAAATATTAATTTTTTCTATTTATAAATCTAATTTTATTGATATTAAAGATTTACAATTTTTTAATGCTTAGTAAAACTAAGCATAGTTTGTGTCAGACTAATAGTAATATAGATTCCTAGAAAATTATAAATAGTTTATGCTCTAATGATTATTTAAAAGAAACTCTAACGAGTTGAGAATATCTTGATTAATAGGAAAATTTAAAGACAGATTATCAAGATACTTTAAACTGCTAAGTCTTTTCAAAAATTCCACACTAGGATAGTTATAATTTTATTTTTCTCTACAAATTTTAGTATCATAATCATCAAAAAAAGTTAAATCCATAGATTGAATGTATGGAGATTTGCTTAAAGATTAGCATAATAAATCGATTGGAACTAGATTAGCTTAATCAAAAGGAGATGATACTATAATATATTTAAGTTTTTCAAGTTTAAAGGAGAATTAGTTTTAAAAGTGTAGGATTTACTTGAAATCTTTATCACTAATTGGTAGTATGTTAAAATTTAATTTAAAATAATCCATATCTTCAAAAATTTTACTATATTTAAAATTCATACAGTCATGCTCAATTCTAACACCTTCTAAATGCTTATTATAGTTGTTTTGCAAGATATCAAATAAATCTTACAAATCAATATTTAAGCACTCTTATTCGTTTTATTTTTCTTGCTTCTGTTTTTTATCTTTGACACACTCTTCATCAGCTTTATTTTTACTTTCTTTTTAATCTTTTAATTAAAAGTCTATATTTATTTACCTCATGTTTTTACCATTCTTTAGTTATGCCATGAGAATTTTATAAATAAATGGGTTGTATTTTATTTTTACATAATAATTCTCAAGTTAATTAGGTTCTGATAAAAGCTAAAACAATTCTTCTTCTTACTTATCATAGTTTATTTCTTCTTAATTCACTGGATTTTATCTTTAATTTTTCTTTGATTTTTCTTTTTTATCTTTTTTTATTTTTTCGTTCTTTGCATTTTTGTTGTTTTTTATCTCTTCTTTTTGATCTTCATTTTTTTATTCCTTATCTTTATTGTCTTTATGACTTATATCTAATAATGAATAAAACAAATTTTTTGCTTTACTTAAGCTATTAAATAAGCTTATCTATTATAGTTTAGTTAGCTGAGTTTCGACCAAATCAATATATAAAGTCAAAGCTTAAGCGTTTCCAAAATCAAATTTAGTATCCACTTCACTAGGTAATTAACTAAGGGACAAATAAATATATTTAAGCTTTTTTAATAGATTATTCATATTATCAAATGATTCTTATTCAGTTATATTTAAACCAGAAATATCCAAGTGCTATAAATAAGGAAGTTCATTTAAGCATTAAAAAAAAGTAGAAATTTATTATTGCTCAACTTCTATTTTTTTTATACTTAATTCTAAGAAGCATATGTTACTAAGAGAAAGGTTGATATTTGTCATAGCAGATAAAAAGGCTTCAAAGCTAATTGAATGTTAGCTCTTTATTTTAAGTGACTACAAATTAATATTTTTTAGAGCAATTTGATAGGATTCATCAAGTATTTCAAAAACTTCAGAATTTTTTATTGTTTATTTTGTGACCTTTTTTTTATTTTCTTTTTTCTTTTATTCATAATCTTTGATGAACAATACATTACATTTCATGCTAATTAAATATCTATAAAGAGAATAAATATTGGCTCTATTTTTTAGATTTTCTATTGCCAAAACAAAGAATTTCACATCTTATAATTTATTCTATTAAGATTTAAGAAGCTGGTCTAATTTAATTAAATCACAAAGTTGACTTAAAGATTTTCCTTTCATATAAAAACATATTTTTTATTATTACTCATCATACACATCAAATTAGGATTCATTTATTTATTCTGTTGTAAGTTATAGAATTTGAGAATTAATGCTACTAGTATTAGAATCTATTTATTCAAATTTTTTATTTTCTTTTATGTCAATTTCTTTTTTATCGTTTTCTTCCTTTTTTGGAAGTTTTGGTTTTTCAAATTGAACTTTAGAAAATTCTTTGTTTTAATTATCTTAAAAGTAATCTCTCCTAGCTTCTTATACTTCTTTATCTTAATTCAAGTCATCTTGGTCATCAATATGCAATTACTTTTTAATTTCTAATATTCTATTATCAAACTCTTTAAATTTTGATAGTATTTAATGTATTCCTGCTTTAGTTGAGAATTCTAATTTTCGAATAGGATAGTATATATTATTAATTATCTAATCTTTAAGGCAAGAAATATCTTTTGACTAAAATAGTTATGGTTATTATTAGTATAAGCTTTCATGTTCTTAAGCTAATTATCTTAAATAGCTTAAAAACTAATTTTCAAATACCTAATTTTGGGTAAATGAATTTTAAGATTTATTATTTGTTTTTTATTGCATTTGAATTATTTTTTTAATCTATTAATTAAAATATAATTATAATAAATCATTTGAAAAGTTTTGTATTTAAACGAAAAGGATTAGAAAGAATATTCCAAATTAATAATATATATTTCAAACACTTTCTATTTTAATAATAATCATAAATGGATCAAAAAAAATATCTAATTTTTTTAATTAAATTAATCTTAAATTAATCAAATAAGTTAAACTGAAATTTTTAAATTATTAACTTAAAACTCTAGTTTTAAAACATAATCATAGAGAAAAATTCAAATATTTTATAAAAGGTTTTTTTATTTGTTCTTCAAATTAAATGATCTATTTAAGTAGTAGAGAATTTAAGAAAAGTTTTACCAGAATTTATTCGATAAAATCAATTTGAAAAGTGTCGATTCTTTAGTATTTGAACATTTGTAAATATTTTTTGTAAGTAGACATTCGAATTTAAATTTGAAATAAATAATTCATTCTTTATAGAATATTAGAATAAAGAATAATATTAAAAATTATTCTAGAATACTACTGAATATTTTAGAATAAATAATATTGAGTTTTAATATTTTAAAATACTTTAGAATATACAATATAGCAGCACATCTGTTGATTTTAATACCTATTAAGAAAATTTTAAAGCAGTCATACTTTTTTTTTAAATTATGGAGGATTTTTAGAAAAATAATGGCTATGGTAATTAATAAGGAATTACATTATCTAAAATATAGTATTTAATTATAAAATTGAGAATTTTTGTTTTTTGGAAAATAGAATCTTTTAGAATACGAGAATTTAAGAATAATATATTCTAGAAACACCGAAATAATTATTTTAGAAGATAATTTAAACATTCTACAAAAAAGTTTTAGTAAATTCTTTTACTAAATAAGGAAATAATAGTCACTTTAATAAAAAGGTTTAATAATCTTATTTTATGTTTCAAGCTAAAAGATGAATAAGTTGATAAGATTAAAGTTTTTAATAATAATTAATTTAAATAAAATAAATCAAAGATATAATAAAATGAAAAATAAACTTGATAAAGATTCTAAGTAAGATATAAAACATTAAATCACTTATTTTCAAGAAGTTAAAAATATAGTCTAAAAATCAAAATCAAAATAGTAATCAAGACAGTTTGATGAGATTACATTTTTGAATTATTTAGAAAACTATAACCCAATTAATTAATCATCTGAGAGTGATTAGTGTGATGAAAACCTATACAATGAAAATGAAATATAAAATGATGAAAATTTAGAATAAAAAGTTTAAAGTGATGCGGATAGCCAAGACGATTAGTAGTTAGACTAAGAGAATTTAAGTGATGATTAAAATGATAGTGCTTAAAATGATTAAAAAGATTGTGAATAAGAATTAACTTAGGAATAAATGAATTAAAATATAGAGCATTAAAATAATATGTAAAAGTAACAAGATAAATAAATCAGTGATCTTAAATAAAAAATTACCTTCTACTAATTTATGAAATAATAAATTTTAAATATTCTGCAAAAAAATGATCAAGATATCACTAATTTAAAGCCTATTACTGCAGCTGATTTTACTAATGAAGAGACTTATCCAGAAAATTAAATGAGTATTGATTCAGAGTTAAGCAATTAAAGATTTAAGACAATGTCTTTAATTAATAGATTTTTTTCAAAATATTAGCATTAATTAAATTTAGAATACTAAGAAAAACTAAATAATATTTCCTCTTCTAGTTTAGAGTAAGGTTTTGAAAACTCAAAAATTAAAAGAAAAAATGTTTACCCTTTTTACTTTTCAAGTTAAGAGATCCAAATTTTGAACTATTTTGAATTTAGTCCTAATTCAGTTTAAAAACCAGACTCATTTAAAAAGAATCTACAATAAAAACTAAGTGAAGAAAAAAGATTAAACTTTATTAATCTTCAATTTAACAAAGGCGTAGATAAAAAGCTAATTCAAAAAATAGAAGATAATGAATTAATATTAGACTTAATTCCTTCAACTATCTTCACAAAAGTTATAGATTTGAATATAAGCACAAATAATCTTCTAAGTATTTTGCTTGCTGCTAAATGCTTATCTTAAATAAGCAATTTTAATGTACTAAATATTGAAGGAGATAATGCTAGTATGGATCAAAAAAATAAATCTAATTATCATAACTACTTAAGGCTTGTATTTGATTCTATTCTATAGTAGAGAGCCCTACAATCTTTATCCTTATTCAATATCCCTTTGTTTTCTTAGTCCTTTTTGGCCTCTCTATAAAGTATAGATCTTGGTTAATGCTACATTGATAGTTTATAACTAGAAAGCTATATATCAGAAAAAGATTAACAGGATTTGTTAAAAGTAATTTAATGTCTCCCTTATTTAAAATCTTTTTAGTGTTAAGGACTCATTTTAGACACAAAAGAAAAAATAGAACTTTTAAATAACATTTTAAGAAAAATTACTTGTGCAAAGATAGTGATTCTTTAATTACCAGATAATTTTGATTTTTTATTTGAGTTTCAGAATATTAAATTCCTTGAAATTCACATCGGTATTGGAAAATAAAAGTTAACCAACAGAAAACTTGAAAACTTTTTCAAATCTCTTTCTACTTCTAAAAATCTGAAATACCTTAAATTTAGATTTTTCTTATCCATCAAAAAGAAAAAAAATTTGAAGAAAAAAGAAGACAATCATGAATAAGAACATGATAACTAAAACGAAGATGATGAAATCGAAGAATAATAAAATTAAAATAATGAGGATTGTGATAATTAAAACGATAATGAAGAAGAAGAAGATAATGAGGAAGATGATTATGAAAAAGAAGAAGACGAAGACGAATAAAATTAAAATATTGATAGCGATGATGATGAAATTTACTTTGGTAGAAGAAAAAGTAGTCGTCGCTCAAGAAATTATAGAGTTAATTATGATGATGATGAAGAAGAAGAAGAATAGGTATTATGTGATGATGAAATAAATTTTTAGTAATCATACAAGTTTTTTAATTATCTTAATCACCTTGAAGATTTGTAAGATGTACATTTTGAATTAGAATTAAGCTAAAAATTAGCAGAAAGTTTGACTTCGTTTTTAAAACAAAGTAAAAATTAAAAAAAATTTTTCTTAAAATCAAACGAAGATTTTACTGATAATACATATTATCAAGCTTTTCTTTAAGAATTCTAATCATTAAATTCTGCCAAAGTAGATTTCAAAAATATTTATGAAATAATTGGCAATAAGAAAAATTTGTAGAATTTTCATTTAAAACTAAGAAATTATTCAATTTAATACCAGCAATAAGGTGAAAAAGATAACAATTATGTTCTAAATATTTAATAAGAAAGCTTACCATTAAACAATATTGGTTTTAATCCTATTGTTTTTTAATTACCTAATTTGGTAGAGTTCTGCTATAAAACTTCAAACAAAAATATAGATTGCTACTAATAATTAAGTTATCTTCTATCATCCCTATAAAAATCTGAAAATTTATAAAAAATTGATCTTTTAATCAATAATGAGTATTCAGATGATTATTAAAATCGATAAAAAAAATAAAGCGAAATTGAAGATATAAAAAGAAAAAATTTTAATTCCAAAATACACACATTATTTTCTAGTCTGAATGATTTAAGCCAACTTTACACAATTAAACTATCAATAGAATTAGATGAGATACTTTTAAATTCTTTGAGTAATTTTATCTAAGGTAATAAAAATTTAAAATATTTATACTTGGAAGGAGCAAATTCTTATTGGCATGCGTCAAGTGTAAACTTGAAAGGATTTGCTAAATTGATTTGGTCCTTAGGTAAATCTTAGTCACTCAAACTTATTTCTTTTAACAAAATTTTCGATTTTTATGGAATAAATTAGACGTAACAATAATTGTTATAGGACGAAATTGTTATTCCTTTAGCTAAACTTATAGAAAATAAAGATAGAAATTTGACAACTATTGAATTACTTTAAGAATTAAAAGAAGATTAAATTGAAATAATTTTAAATTCTCTTTTAGCAAGCATATCACCCATAAATATCAAGTTTAATTATAGAATAACAAATTCAATTAGAGAATCTGAAAATCTTTAAAAACTTTATGATTAATACAAAGATAAAAACAAAGAAAAAAATATTTTGGACAGAAATAGGAATAATTGGTGTGATTATGATGATGATGAAAATTATTGGTGATTCTAAAAAATTTAATTATTTTATAATCTTATTTTTAAAATAAAATAGCCTTTAGATAAACTTGTTTTTTAAAAGTTTGAAAACAATATTTTGAAATAATTCTAATTTATATTTTGTTACTTTTTAGAAGCTTAGCTAACTAAAATCAAAGCATTCTTTGAAATTCTTTATTATGTAAAAAAAGTATTTTTGTTTATGAAAATGGGAAAAAAGCTTGCCGTTCCTCAAACAATAAGTTTTTTATTTTTATTATTATTAAATTTTTTAAAAATTAAAAAAAAATATTTTAACTAATAAAAATTAAATATTATTTTTCTAATCAATTGTTTAAATTTATGAAGAAAAAATTTATTATTTTAATATTTGAATTATTAATTAATTTTAAACTCATTTGTTTGTTTTTGCTACTTGTAAGCCAAAATTAAATTAATTTTTTTAATAAACAAATAATTTTCCTTAATTTTCTCAATAATATAGAATAGAATACATATAGTAATTATTAGATAGTATAATATCTTTATTATTAGTAGACATTAAAAAATAAAATTTATAAATCAATTAAAAATTCCTAAGAACAATTATTAATTAAATTCAGTATATTTTTTTAATTCTAATTAAATATAAATTTGAAATGAAAAGAATAAAAAAGGGAGGGGAAAAACCTATTATTCATTCATATAGACTAAATGAGAAACATATGAATAATGTAGCGAAAAAAAAAAATCAAAATTAAAATAAATATATAACACAATTTAAAAGAAGAATAAATTAATTAATTAATAAAAATATCTTGATAAATAAATAAATAGATAGATAGATATTGATTTATTATAAAAAACTTTTTATATAGAGTTAGCAATTAAGTGAAAGCCAACTATTTATTTGCTTATTTGTTTATTAGCACAGGACATTAATCAATCAACTTAATTCATTTCAAGTAGAATTTACTTTATTATAAGGATATTTACTTGACAATTAACAACAACAACAATACAAGGTATTCGAAAAAGTAGAAAAATTAAACATTAACTTAGCAAAGATAATTGAAAAGATAATATGAGTTTTACTGTTGCTCGCGATGATAATAGGGACAAGCGTGGTTAAAATCAAACTGAAGTTATGGAATAAAGACTTAAAAAATTATATCAGGATATTAGCATCCTTTAATCCAGAACAGGAATCAAAAAGTAGCAAGTGAGCTAAAAAAATCTTGATTAGTTAATGTCTCTTTTAAACAAAAAGATATAGCAATATAGTTTTCCAGACACAATTATTGGATAAAACCACTACAAATTAGTCTAAAAAGGCATGGATGCTCCTTCCCTTGAGCGTAAATTGCAGGAATAGAGATTTTTAGCAGAAAAAGAATTGAGTAGTAAATCTAATTAAGAAAAGAGCCTATTTTGGATGGATATTGTATTCTCAAAAGAAGGAATTGATACTTATTTAGAAAACAATCAAAACTATTTAATGTTTAACTCTGTCGATACTATGAGAAGCCGTAACTCGAAAGGGGAAACTTTTGCTACTCGTTTGCTTGCAAAAAAATCCTAACTTCGTGGTATTCTTGGTGATACTTATAGAGGAAATGTTGCAGCATTAGCATCTGCACCAGGATTTAAGTACGATTAATTTCATCGCTTTGAGTAAGAGTCATCTTAAAATATTGATGATTATATTAAAGCTATGAGTTAATTTTAGTAAGGAAATTACACAAAGTACTGTGATTATCTTGCAAAGAAATCAATTGATTATAAAGAGGTTTGGTAACTTTTAGAGAAGATGGTTCCTACAGATGGATCAAACATATTTAAAATAAGTAAGAGATTGCAACGTTTAAGAAAATCTGGGTAGTAGAATTAAAATTAATTACAATGCTTGTAAAATAATTTCAATTTGTAAAATGCTTATCATAATGGTATTTAGTATCTCCAATAAATTTACCGTAAAAATGCTAAATAAAAAAAGCAAAACTTTTAGAGAATCTACGATGTTTATAATGTTGATTAGATCCGTGGTTTTGATGATGATAATATCCCTATATGGTAAGAAATTTATCAGTTATTTAGAGCTGGTGATTACGATGGTATTTTTAATCGCTGCCAATATTTCTCCAATGTAAGTGAAATTTAAGAGTTTTAAAAAGATCTTGACATTTGGCTCAAAAGTGGATAACGTAAAAATAACTAACTAAGCTAAAAAATACGTCCTAATTGGGATGCTTTCCGTTATCAAATATACCTCATTATGATAAAAGACCCTTCTTGTGTCGACGACGTCTTTATTGAAGATTTAGATGACTGCCTATGGATGAACTTAAAATGCAGTGAAGTTTATGTTCCTCCTAACTAACAAGATCCTATTAATCCTATGAACATCGAAGACGATATTGAAGATTAATACGAAGTACTTAATGGAAATAATCTCAGCACTAACGTATTAAATTAATCTGTTTAAGAGGATGAAAAAGATAATTTTTATGATACTGTTTTAAAAGCAAGCTTAGACATTTCTCAAGATGAAATTCTTCCAGGAGAAGATGTTTACTCATGGATAGACTGGAATTAGTTGCAAGACTTAAGGAAAATGCTTTATGAATCTTTCAAGGAATCTCCAGATGTCTTTAATCCTTCTCGTGTTCTTATGATCTAATTGCTAACTCTAGATTTCATTGGTTTTGTACAAACACTTTTACAATTAGAAAAAAGTGCTATCTCTCAACATGAATTCACTCATTTCTTAATTTTAATCTTAAAAACTGGTTTGGTGCGTGCTTCTGTTGAATGTTCTGTCAAATTTGCTGAATCTGGAAATTCATCCTATGGAGAAAGTAAGGACATTCTTGTAAGAAGATGCAAGGAATTCGAAGAAAGCGCAGAGAAAAAAATAATTCTTTATGCTAAAGATAGATTTGATAATTATCCAGATACTTGTTTTTCTTATATTGAATCTCTTCCTATAAAAGTTGAGGATTAATTGAAAAAGTATGCAAATATCTATGTTGGATCTAAATAAAATTTTATCCATCTGTTTAAGCCAAACCTTAATTTCTCTTAATAGCTTGATTCTAATTCAATGACTTCGAATAATAGTCAATCATAAAACAGAGGAAAAGTTTTTGACTAAATTTGTAAAATAAATAATCGTCTAAAAAAGATAACTTACACAACTAAGGCATAACTAAGAACAGGATAGAATGTTCAAAGCGAAAATTTACTTACACTTTTAGCCAAAATAGTAGCATAAACCTACATTCAAACATAGAATAAGGTAGAAGTAGCTCTTGAAATTCTTGATAACGTAGGTGCCTTTGAAGATATTGGTAGAATATTGAAGGAATAATTCCGCTTATGCACTTCTCTTTCATAGAATCATGCTCTCAAAAGTAAACTAAAAGACCATTCTGATAACTAAAAAATTCTAGAAACACTAGAAAAATATACTGAAAAATATTTCGGATTAGGAAAGAAGTTCAAAAAGGTGTATCGCGAAGAAAAGAAATAATATATCGACTGCCATATCATTCATTTCTATAAGCTTTTCTATAAGATTAAAGTTTCATACTAGAATCAAGAATACAATATTTCATCTGTCTTGCTTGAAATGCAAGAAGCAGAATACATCTCATCAAATAAAAAGAAATCAGCAGCATCTGAATTCTTTGCTAATTTCTAACCTGATGAGAAATAATCCTATTTCGATTTCTTATATTTAGTGTATCTCTGTACTAAAAAGTTTATGGATTAACACAAAAATCCTGGCTTGTACAATCAAGCTCATAAACTCTAGAAACCTGAAGATTTTGAAAAGGCAAAACCAATATTTAGCAGCATAATTAAATATTGCAATGATTTTGTTGAAAAAAATATTAGGAGCGTGGATTCCTAATTTGAAAAGACCTTATTAGAAGCTAAACACAATGCCTAAGTTACAGATTAAGTTTGAAAAATAATTTTATTCAAAATATTATGTTTCTTAAATGAGTATCATAAATATTATTTTAAAATTAAACTATATTTTTTTGATGCTTTCTTCATGTTATTATTTTTGTTCAAATAAATTTATTATCTTTCTTTAAAAAAAATTTATTTATTTATTTTTTTATGAATTTAATTAATCAGTGAATTTTTTTGTAAATAAAATGATTTTACTCTAAAAAGAGGAGAAATAACTTTTAATTTAGGAATATTTATAATTTATTTTTTTCTCAAGAATATATTTTATAATATTTAATATATGAATGTATCCGTTTATAGCAAATTGAATATTGCTCAGTATCTCAATATATAAATTAAAATCAGACTAAAATTACAAGTAGAGATATTAGCATCAATAATATTAAACGATTCATATTATTTAGAGATTAAACACTATTTATTAATTAATTAACTCCTCAACTATTAGGAATAGAATAAAAAATTATAGAGATTAAAATAAAATGAGTACAGCTAATTTTGATTTAATACATTCTTTTTCAAAGAATTTGATAAGTTAACCATAGATTATTGTAGAAAATGAGGATGATAAGGTCTCAAAATAAGCTCTTTCTATGATTAAATAATTGCATGATAATTTGATTAATCAAAGTAAAAAATTTAAAATAAAAAATGAAAATCTCGTAGTTAAAAATATGAATGAAGAATAAATATGGGAACAAATAAATATTCATTTAGATACCCTTGATAAGGCATTCGAAAAATACATTAATACTCTTCCTGAAGAGAAAGAATCTTAGTAATCTGATGATGAAATTGATGATAGTATAGATATGGATCTTGAAAAATCAAAATCAAAATCAAAGTCTTTGAAAAAATAAAAAAAATAATTAGAAGACTCAGATAATGATGATGATGATGACGATGAAGAAGATGATGGCAATCTTCATTTAGAATCAGAGTATGAAGATGATGAAAGCGAATAGGAATAAGGATAAAAATAAAAAAATTAAAAATCACTCAAAAAATAAAAGGATCAATAAGTAGAAGATGAAGATGAAGATGCTGAAGATGATGAAGAAGAAGATGATGATGATGATATTGATGCAGACATTGATGCAAAAGATTTCTTTGATAATGGTGATGAAAAAGATGAAAAAGATGAAAAAGACTATGAAGAGTAGTTAGATTTTAAAGAAATGGAAGCTTTCTTAGATAAGTAAGATGCTGAAGACATTGAGAGAGATAGTGAAGTTGAAGAAGAGTTAGGAAGTGATTATGAATTAGATGATGGCGATTCAATGATGGGAGAAGGCGAAAACGGATTTAAATTTAAGGGAAAAGACGATTATGATGAAATGGAAGAAGAAGAAGGTGAGGGTGATAATGAAGAAAATGAAAAACTCCGTGAATAGGATTATGATGCAGAAGATGAAATTTTTGATTTAGAAAGAGAGCATGAAATAAATTAAGAAAATAAAAAAGATGAGGATATGTAAAATTTATGTTTCAATTATCACAATTTGCATGTTATTTTTAAAAATTATTTAATAGGGAAAAGTTAAGGAATGATGATGAAATTGATAGATTAGAAAAAAGACTAATTGATGAAAAAGTATGGCTTCTTAAGGGTGAAGCTAATGCTAAGCATAGACCTGTTAATAGTTTATTAGACTAAGAAGTTGATTTTAGAAAAAATATTAAAGTTACTTAAGAAATAGATGAAAAATATAATAAGAATTTAGAAGCTATTATTAAATAGCGTATTCTAGATGAAGCATATGATGATAGATAAAAAATTAACATAGAATAAAATTTCAAGGAAACTTTTAATAGTTTTGCAGAAATATCTAAAGAATAAAGTAAGTTAGGTTTAGGAGAACTTTATGAACAAGATTTTAAGAACAGCTTAGGACTTCCTTCCAACAATAAAGAAGATAAGCTTAAATTAGAAATACATAATCTTTTTAAGGAAGTTTGCTACAAGTTGGATGCATTATCTAACTTGAGCTTTACACCTAAACCTATTATGCAATAAGCTTAAATAACTACTAATGTACCCTCTTTAAAACATGAAGAGAGAATACCAATTAGTGTTTCTTAAGCAGACACTTAACGTCCTGAAGAAGTATTTGATAAAAAGAAACAAGTTACTCACTAAAGTAAGGTAGAGATGACACACGAAGAAAAGCAAACAGAAAGAAGATAAAAGAAATCTGCTCAAAGATAGAGAAATAAAGAAAAGGAAAAGAAAAACCTAATTAAAAACTTATAATATAAGGGATAAACTAAATTTGAGTATAACTAATCTCAAAAAGCCAAAGCAAATGCCAAGAAATTGGTAGAAAATAAAAGATAAAAGAGTGTAGAATTTACCAAATCAAGCGAATTCTTTAGGAACATGCAAAATAACTAATAGTTAGAAGCTTCTGGTAAAAATAATTAGGCTGGAAATAAAACTAAATCTATTAAAAAAAAATCCAAATGATAAACTTGTTAATAATTTTTTAACAATAAAAGTTTATGTTGAATGTATTTCAATTAAAAATATTTTCATAAATAAAAGCAAAGTTAATTCAGTTTTCTTTAAATTGAATCATGATATTCAATAAAATAATTATATAAACTTGTTTAATTTTAGTAAAAATTTATTTCAAATTATTTTAAATGAATTCAGTTTCTTTTTTTTCAATCAAATAATGGCAATTTGTATAAAAAATATATAATACTCTTTTACTTTAAAATAAATTATCAATGAAACACTATTGTTAAAAAATTCCAAATAAAGTTATTATTTCGAGGTATATCTTTGATTGATAGCAAAACAACTTTAAAAAAAAAAAACCATACTTATCTAAAAATGAAAATATTTATTATTTTGTATTTCAAATTTATTTTTGTGAATATGCTTAAAATAAAATTTAATTTAGTGTTTACTTTATATAAATAAAATATTATAAATTTCCAAAATATTTAATTAAAATATAGCATTTTAAAATTTATTTTTGTGTGGTGAATCATTTACAAAATTGAAGAAGTTAACTAAAATATATACAATAATTATAGGATATAGTAACAAAGTTGAATGGTGGCAACTTCAATAAATTATATACTTATGTTTTTTATAACAAATTTATTTTATCTTTTATCAGCAAATATCAACTAATCAAAAGTAATAGAACTTTGTTTTTTTAATTTCTTATAGAACAAATTAATTTTAAAGTCAATGGAATTATTATTAGCTGATAAATTAGGTTATCCTAAAGGTTTTAACGGCTTTGAGTGGTCTAGCTTGCCTGGCGATGGAATCAAAAAAAGCCAAATGCCCAGCTACTTGGTTGAAGACTTGCCAAACACAGATGGGTTTTCAATAAGGCAAAAATTTAAAGAAGTTAGTTTCGCAGAGGCTCCCAAAATAGAATTCTTCAAGCCATTCATAAAATCTAATTACGAAATATTTAGAAAAGATCAACAAAAAAAATAAAAAATAAAGCAATTAAGGTAAATGAAAAAAGATGAAAAGTATATGAAAAATTTTATTAAGAGAGAAGAACTAAAGTAATATAGTGTTGACTTACAATAAAGCGTGAATTAAGATACATGTTATATGAGTTAGAATTAACAATCTGAGAATGTATTAGATAAATTTATTTCATTAACTCCTACGATTTAGGCCAAACCAAATAATTCAATTTTAAGCATGATAAAAGGAAAAATTATTTAAGAAAGAAAAGAAAAAAAAGAAAAAGAGAAGAAGAAGCAACAACTTATTGATGATCTTCATTATTATAAAATATTTGCTGATAAATATAGTAGATTAACAATTGAGTGTGTGGATAACATATATAAATTAATAGGGGATAATCAAGGCAGTTAAGCGACTGATAGTGATTAAAAAATAGATGACTTAAGAGATAGTCAAATTATACGTGATAATTTGTAGAGAAGCGAATAAAACCTAAAAACACTATAAGAGAGAGGATCATGTCTATCTCAAATGTAATAATAGCAGTAAAAAAATTAGCTTGAAGATATAATTGAGAGTAAGGAATAATAGCATAAAGTGAGTATTGATAATAGTCATAATTTAAGTAAAGTAAATGTAGCCAAAGACATTATAGTATCAAGGACAAGTTAAATTCCTTATTCTTAAAATAGTAATAAATCTAATTACTTCCTTGAAGTTGAAATTAATGAAAACAAAATGAGAGATAATGGGAATTTAAGAAGTAGAAACAGCACATTATCTTAAATGGCTTAAAATTAAGAAGTAAAAACATATTCATCAACAATGTATGGGAACTCAAATTAACAATAGAAAAGAGTTAGCTTAATCAATTAATTGCAGAATTAATAAAATAAACTTGATGACTCTTTAAAAAATTTTTTTAAAGGAGATGGAATACTTTACAAAACATTTTAAAGAAACAAAAGTTAATCAAAAAGTCATAAAAATAACAGCAGTTTTTTATAATCAACAGCAAACACTAACCTTAACTTTACAAACAAAACTCCTTCGAGTAAATAAAACTAACTTTCTACTAGCAATAATAATGTGAATAAAAATACTAGATCTGTTAGTTCTGAAATATAAATAAATTCTAACATAAGCAAAACCCCAAAACAATTTTCTAAAACTTAAAATAATTTCAATAATCGGTTTTTAACACCTTAAAAAGTAAAATAAATAGATAAACAAAGTTATACCAATACTAAAACAAATTAATATTCTCATGTAGCTCATTCAATAAATTATGAAAATAGCTATGAAACCAAGCAGTTAAATAAAAATTATCAATTTTTAAATTAAAATAGCTTGTATAATACCACAAACTACAAAAAGGATTACAACTAAAGTAAAACTCCAAAAGAATAATCAAGTTTCTTAAGTACAAAAAATAGATACTTAACACCTGATAAAAAAAGTATTATCGATTAATCAATTACATCAAATTATTAAGATATCAACATAAGAAAATCTATCAACTATGATTTTGAGGATTAGCAATCATGTTACATGACTTTAAAATAAAATCCAAATAAACAAATGAAAAATAATTACATTAACCCATCTAAAAACATAGGAAATACTTAAGATAAAAATTAAGAAAGTCCTACTTTTACCAATTATACCCATCATTCAGAGAATAAAAATAGCTTAATTTTAAATAATATAAGATCAAAAAGGGAATCTTAGATTCAAAACGATAAAAATAATATGAGTTATATTGATCCATAATTCTAGGAAAAATCAGATGTCCATCACAGAAGTGTTATGTATGCAATGAAAACCCTTAAAAAAAAATTTGGTTTAAATAAAGAAAAAGTTTAAAATAAATCTTCTAAATTAGACTGAAGTCTAAAAAATATTTATATTACTTTAACCAAATGCTTAGCTTTTTTATTTTTGATTACTTAAAAATTCTAGTTTATTAAAATAATTTTATCTTTTTCTGATTTATTTTTATATCTGTACATACACATTCACTAAATCATTATTTGCTTAGAAATATAAATATCTTTTCATTTTTATAACTTTTCGTTATGCATTTATACACTTATACCATACAATATTTATAAGCTTAACAGTTCATATTAACAACTGAAAGAACTCACACAATGTAGATTTATATCGGTTCTTACTTTTTTACTGCAATAAAAGTTAAATACCTTTTGATTTATATTGGCTATTTCATGCATGAATAACAATCTATGTTTAAATTTACGAATTTATTTGTTTTATATTTATAAATATTCATTTATTATTAAGGCTATTCAATTCTTCTACTTAATAATAAAAAGTAAAATAAAATTCATTCATCATTTTTAAGGTTGAGATTGTATATAAGTTGATAAATTTCCTAAATCCGCTCACAATTTCTTAATGAGCAAGCCTTGGTTTGTAAATATTTATAAATATGGAATAAAAAAAGATAAATTTAGATTTACCTTTATTTTTTTGATTGGATAAAAATTTATCTTATCACAAATAGCAATTACAAATATATTTTTTTTAATAGATAATAATAAATTATTGCAAAACCATAAAAAATTAAATTTTAATTTTGTATATAAAGCAATTAGCTTTGCCAATTAGGAACTTTTTTAAGACTGTACTTATACAGGATCTTTCTTATAGTAATTACTTACTGTAAGTTTCTTCATTTGAAGACAACAACTCAAACTAGGATGATTAAAAGGACACTCTCATCCGTAAATGGGATACAGAAACCATTAGTATTTTACTCTCTTCGGAGAGTAGGTATTTTTGCGTTTCACGATGATCATCCACCGCTGTGTTTGACCGATCGTCTATACGAGAAGTCACCAGTGGTTGGAGGGTGTGAGTGCTTCTGACTAGTTTAAAAAACCCAAACCCCCTAAAATAATCAAACAAAAAATATCTCTTTTCTTCTTATAAAAATTCAAAATTATACTTTATATCCATATGAAATTAAATTATTATATGCTAAAATTAATAATTATAAAAAGATTTGATATTTAAAACAATAATAAAATTTAATCTAATACTATCAAGCATAAAAAGTTATTATCTTTTGATACTACTTTAATATTTTGTGCTTTGAAATAAAATTATTTTAAAGATAAATGAATAAAATTTACAAAAAAACAGTTAAAATCTCTCAAAAAGTGAAAAAAAAAACTTTTTTCTAATAGAAAAAAATGTAAAAAATGAAATAAAAAATTTTATCAAAAATTTGTAGAGAGTATCTTAAATTATATTTTATTTAACAAATTTAAAGTATTTATTTTAATTACAACAAATAAATAAATAATACACAAAAGTTAATTTAAATTTTGAAATATTAATTTGGACTTCCTTTTTTTTTCATTAAATATTACTTTATACTCAACATTGTATTAGTTATTTTAAATTAATTAATTTTTTTATTATTTGTTCTATTTTTGGATCAATGCTTTATGTATCTGTAGCTACACTATTTTTCTTTTATAAACTATTATGCATTCATCATCTGAACAAGATTTTCTTTGTAGAAGTTTTCTAAAAATTACTGAGATAAGATAGAATATTCTACATCTTCAAAAAGATAAGAAAGTTCTTTGTTGATATAATCGTCGAGATTTAATTTCTTTTTATTTTGTAATATATTTGATCTATATTCAATTAGCTTTTATAAGTCACTGAAATCTACATCAAATTCAGTAAACCCAAAAGTAAAGTTATCTAAGCATGGTACTTATTAAGTTGAAAAATTCGGTATTTGAATGGTTCTTTTATGTTAAATAATTTTTATTGGAAAACCATCAAAAGTCTTAATTCTGCATTCATAGGAATCATTTTGAGTTTAATTAATAATTGAGTTTAATCCTTAGTAAGATAGATCAAAAATATCATTTACACTCTCTGTAAGATCAACTCTTTAACCTCTTAAAAATATTTAGGAAAAATTATTTACATCTATTCCTAATAGCTATAAGTAAGATAACGAAAACCCTCTGTGAATAAATTCATAATCTTAATTAGAATAGTTGTATCTTCCAATAGCATATTGGTACATTAAATAAGGTTATTTATTCTAAATTTCTTATAAAGCATCCATGCATCTATTTTTAAAAATAGTAAATTATGAATCCTTTTCATCTAATATTTCCTATGTCAAGGTTATATCCTTTAGATACTCTTTCATAGTCTCATTATAGCTTTTAAACTTAACCATTTTTTCAGCAATATTGTGAATATATTAAGATGGAATTTAAAAAACATGCTTGAGAGCTTCTTCTACAGAGTGAAATTAAGTTTTAGAAGGCATTGAACCAACTATTTCTACTATTCCAAGATTTTTATTTAACTAAATGAATTAAGTTATATCTTAAGAGTACCCAAAACAAAATTAGCTCACACTATAACAAAATCTAATAACTCCATCATCAGATAGAAATAATCCTGAACATATTTGTATGGTTTATTTAGGGTTTAAAACATCTAAACCTTTATCTTAAACAGAGCAAACTTATTTCTTATTAATTTTCCTATTATGATTCTTTTGTCTTTTCTAAAGCTTCTAATCTTTCTAAACTTACTTCTCTATAACTTTTTTCAAAAAGGATTAAACCTTATTTAATACATTTTAAGATATTTATTTTTCTTTTAAGTTTTTAAAATAAATCTCCATTATATTTATTTTTCTTATATGTAGAATATTAATTAACAAAGAAATATTTTCTCAATAGCTTTAATTAAAAAATTTGATTTTGTAAAGTAATTTACAATTTGTGATCATTCTTTACTGATAAAAAGATCAATAATATTTTTAAATATAGAAAAAATTAGTGGGAATTTTTAATCATAATAATTTATTTTTATATAAAGATAGTTTATAATAAAATAGTAAATTTGCTTATTAGCAAGCTATATTTTATTATCAGAATTTGAATTTGATTATTAATTAAATATTTTATTAATTTTAATTTTTTAAAATATATTTTTTAATCAAAAATCAAACTTAATAAATTTTATTAAAATTATTGTTATGTTTTTTATTTTATATTTTAATCAGTGTTTTTTTTAAATTTCAAAACTCTGTAGGCATATTCGTTCTTTGATAGTTTAATTTTGAAAAAATAGAATATATAATTAAATATATAAAAATATTAGTATTTAATGAATTAGAAAAGATATTAAATGATGATGTTTAGTTTTACCTACCATCATATTACGAAGTAATAAATATAAAATATTCTAAATTTTATTACAAATTCTAAGAATAAATTTATTATAAGTCTTAGTGATTCTTGCATACTCAATAATTTAAAATTAAGAGGAAAGAGATTAAATATTTTTGTTATATAATAATTTAATATAAATTTGAGTAAAATACTAAGAAGCATTTTTACTTGTAATTAGTATATATTAAAAGATGTATCAAAGTTTATGTAAAAATTCTTTACTTAAATTGATTTTAGGTATCAACAAAATATTTTATTAAAATTTTTAAAAATATTAAATTTATATGAATAAAATAAACAAAAATTAAAAAATAGTGAATGTATTTTTAAATAAATATTGTTATCAAAAAAAGTTCTTTTTCAATATTAAGATATATATATGCTTATCATAAATTGTATAATAGCATAATGAAGAATATTTAGCTGAATAAAACAAATTATTGTATGATTTAAAATTACAAAGTTGCAGAAAAATTTTTTGAATTATAGATAAAATATCTTCTACAACAACTTTTATGATTTATTTTAATAAAATTTATTATAAAATTTGTCACCCTCAATTAAATCAAACATTTATTTTGTGTCTCCTTTAAACTAATCAGTCATTAAATATGCAAGCATATATTCATTATCAATTAAAATAATATAAAAGTAAATAATTAAATAAAAAAATAAAATATAAAAAATGGAGATTGGATTTAAGTAAAGAGAATAAACTGATTGCACTGATTCCTCGAGCAATTCAAAGTAAGAAACTGCTTCTCAAAAAAGACTCAAAAATTTTGAAGTAACTGATTCTGATAGAGAAGATTATCATAATCTTGTAGATATTCTATTTGTTATTGACACTACAGGTATATATTTAATTATCTAATTTTAATTTTAAATTTCATATTGTAACTAACTAAAAAGGATCCATGTCATGGTGTTTCTAAGAAGCAAAAAATACAGTAAAAGACATAGCTGAAATGTTCAATAAGTAAGAATTCGATATAAAATATGCATTGTGCTAATATAGAGATCACCCACCTTAAGAATCATCTTTTGTTTACTAACACAATGATTTATAAGGTTCTTAATCTATGTAAGGTATTTTAGGAAATCTACAAGCTTAAGGAGGTGGAGATGGTCCTGAGGCTGTTATGGATGGATTGTATGAAGGAATTAATAAAACTAATTGGAGAAAAGATCATGATGGTACAATTTCTAAAAGATTTATTTTCCATATTTGCGATGCTCCTCCTCATGGAAATTTATATGGAGGTTACTCTTCCGATTAAGTAATTTATTTATTTATTCTTATTGAAATACTTATTTACCAAACATTTTTCAAAAATAGAATTGGCAAAAAAATGGATGTCCATGTGGCATTACTGCAGAAATGATTAAAAACTAACTAGAAGAAAAATAAATTACTTATAACTTAATTGAGTGTGGAGGAATATGTAAAATGGAAGAAGTATTTAGATCAGTATTTGGAAAAAGATTTGAAGAAACTATCCATATATCTTAAAGTTAAATTTAGCAATAATAATGCTCATTTTCTTACTCTTCTGTTCCTGGTAGTTTTGGAGCCTTTCCCTCCTCTATACCTGTACCTCTAAATGTAGCAGCTTCGCATGTACCTAAACCTTAATCAATGCTTTCTGATGGCCATTATTTTATAGGATATTCTTTAGGATTTTCTGGTCCTGCTCAAATGACCTAACCAGTTACTGCAAGCTTTAGTGGGTTATTTTCTTCCCCTCCATAAGCTCCTTAGTAACAACAACAATAACAAAATTTATACAGCCATTAAGTACAATAAAATTTATTAAGAAATCTAAAATGAATAATATTGATTAATTTTTGTATTCTTTTTAAATATATATAAACTTTATACTATATACTTGTTTTACTAATCAATTAACATTTAAGTAAGTAAAGTCCTTATTAATTTTTAATAAAATCTTTAATTAAATATTGTTAATCTCTTTTTTGATTTATTTTTTATTAAAATTATTTTTATTTTTATAATTAATTACCAACATTTTTAATAATTTTTTTTTTTATTAAATATTTTAATTTTTTTAATTTTTATTTTAATTTTTATGATTTTTTCCCATTTTTATTTAGTTAAATATATGTGTTTATCTGTAAATTTAAAGGTATAAAGTGGTTTATTGTCTAATGCAAAAACCAGATTTAAATTTAAATAATTAAAAGGAGAGTTGGTTTGATTATTTGTAAAATTTGGGATCTAGTAAAACTATTCGTTAAAATTAATTAAAAGTTAAGCTCAAAAATTTAAATTTAGATTTATTTAAAAGCCACCTCAAAATTTATAAATTTCCCGCAGAAAAGATATTGCTTCAAAATAGACTAGAAGCTTTACTTTTCAAATCAATAGTTATAACATTTACAAATAGATAATTAGAATCGAAAAAAAATAAAAAAACCAAAAGGCTTTCAAATTAATTAAAAGACATTAGCTAGATGTTTTTAAATTTGGTTTTTGATATTAGAACGCTGATAATTAATAATTTAGTTAGAGTACTATAGACGTCTAAAAGTATATATTAAAATATAATTTATTTATATTAGTTAGTTAGTAAAATTGTTTAAAAAAATTGATAGATATTTTTGCTTTTATTAATTAATAAATTTTAAGATAATGAAGTAAAAATATTCATTTTTATACTTCTTTCTATTTTTTTATAAATTATCTCTTGTTTCAATGTATGTGATTCTGTTCACTCAAATCTTATTTTCAATCTTAATTTTATAAATATCTATTGTATTTTTTTGCTTATAGTATTTTTTTTAACTAGAACTTAGGTGTTTACAAATAAAATTATAAAAATTAAAGATAATTTAAATTGATGTAAAAAACTAATTTCAAATTTTGATAGAATTTAACAATTAATAATTTTACACATAGTATTTTGTAAAAATTATTTTTAATAATTTAATATTTATCTAAGTCAATAAAATTCATTGCTTTTATTATTAAGTTTTTGCAAATTTTTTCTGATTTATCATAACAGTAAGTTTTATAGCTAATATTTTTTAAATTTACTTTAATAATTTAAATCTTTATATATAGATTACAAGGAAAACATAGTTATTTATATCTTTTCTTTTTATGCTGTTAAAGTAAGAAAGTTAAAAAAAATATAGGAACATACAATTAAGATATAATATAAGAAAGGAGTTTATAAAATACATACTAGAAAAAATTTATTTTTTTAAGTTTGAAAATAACAATTATTATTAATTTTGACAGAGACACAAAAATCATTTCCAAAAAGTGAATTTTAAAAAATTTCTATCTCCTGTTAACAAAAATGATATGCATTAATTCTAACTTTTTTAGCATGTTTAGATCATTCAAGATATATTTACTTTAAAAATAGCAAAATACTAATACTTTTCTATTTAATTTATGGGTCACGTTTTTAATAAATTTAGATTTATGGATTATTATAATGTAATTTTGAGTACAGCTTTAAATATTTCTGAGTTTCTAATTTTTAAAATGGTAAATATCGTTGAAGCTTATTATTTTGAATTTAAGGAGGAAAAATAAAATTGGAGTAAGAATTGATCAAAATGCATTGAATTTTAAAAATGAAGGTGACTAAAAAAATAATTAATTAGATTTTCAGTCATAACTTTAAATTATTAAGATAAGTGATCTGAAATCAAAATTGTACAAATAAATGAAAAAAAAGTATGCGAAACAGAGAGAGGATTAGAACATGAAAATTAATAAATTTTATGTATACAATTTTTATTATCAAATAGAAATGTTTTTGATTTTGAAGGAAACAAGAACTTATGAAAATGAAATCAAAAGTAAAAGAAATCAAAAAAAAAATATAGTCAAAATAAAAAAGCAAATAAAAATGTGAAAAGTTCAAAATCAAGATTGATTATTTATCGCTAAAAATGATATGTATTCAATTGAAAATAAGAGTTTTTGTTTAAACAAATCAAATTATTGATTGCAGATTAATAGGGAAAATGAACAAATAATAATACTTCAATAGATAGATATATAAATATAAAGTAGACCAAGCTATTGATTGATTGATTGATTGATAAATTAAATGAAAACAAAAAGAAAATGATTCTTGATAATTTAGTGATTTTAGATTATTGCTAAGCTATTTTCTTTGCTATTTTTTGGCTAATAACAATTTAAAATATAAATAGAATCAGACAATTAAAAGTAAAAAAAGTAGACCTTGTCTTTTAATTATGTATAAATAAACTTGGTTATTATTAAATAAAGAAGAGAGTTAAAGAAGAAGAAAAAACATGAAAAATCAAAAAAAAGCAAAGAAAACCCTTTATCTCTTTTTACAAGAAGAAAAAGAATTAATTATCAAATTTGCTTTAAAAAGATCTATATTTATTTATAATGAAAAAAAAAAACGAAAAAAAAAAAATTAAATATATTATTTAATATGATTGTTAATAACTAAAAGTAATTAAAAGTGGTAATACTTGAAAAGAAATACAAAATAAACAAACATAAGAATTATTGATTTACAAGTAAAAGTAGAATACATACATTAAAATCAGTTATTTATTATACAACTTTTTAAGCATATGAACTAATAGAAATTTATGAGGGTTTATTTTTGGTACGGGTGTTGATTGTAATGTACAATAGTACTGAGGAATTTTATGAATGAAAGGAGGGAGAATGAAGAAAAGAAGTCAGTCATTAATTATTAAATGCAAATTATTTCTGGATTTTATTTATAGAATCCAGCAAATCTTCTATATACAATGAATTATAAATATTTTTGTTTTGGTTGTGTATTTATTTAGTTATTTAATTATGCGAATTGTTAGCAGTGTATAAAATAGTGAATGAATAAGCGAATGAGTGAGTGAAAGAGTGAGTGAGTTTATGTATTTATTTATTTAGTTAGTTATTCATTTATTTAATTATTTATTGATTTGTGTGTGATATATTTTTTTAGAATCATAGGGGTAAGGAATCTTGATATACTTTTTTATTATTAATTAGACAAGGAGTAAGGTGAATAAATTTCTTTGAAATCAAATATGTATAGTATTTTAACTATCAAAAGCTGCTTAAGAAGTCATGGTGAAAGATTGTATTTATTATGGGTCTCTCGCTTGGATTTGGTAACAGACATTGTGCAATGAGGCTCATAAATTGTTTGAATACTTCTATGGCTTCTTCAGCTTATTGAGAGAATTATTAACAAATATCATTTTTAACGCAATTTAGAGCGGTTTTAATGACATCCTGAATGTACCTGCTTGGTTATTCATATGCATTTTTATATTAAAAGTCATATGTAGTAGCGGAGGACATAAATGGGACCTTTCCTCCTGTTAGGATGTAGAATATCATGCATCCTAGAGAGAAAATATCACTTTTAAAGGGATCCGCAATTTTGGTAGCTTTGCGATCTGCAAGTCCGCGAATTTCAGGAGCTGTAAAGGTATGTATTGGACCAAAAATGTATCTCTACTCTTCCTTGGGTTGCTAGCAAGGACAGTATTAAAGAAAAGGGAAGCATTGCAGCTAAAATCTCTACTAAGAATTGTTTTCAAAAAAGAGGAGGTTTGAAGGCACTATTTGTGTGTGAATCATATCGTTATCGTGTATTGAATATATAGAAAATATTAAAGATTTTATCGCCTCTATTTTGCTATTAAGAGAATCAAATACTATCTCTGGATTCTCAGCAGAGGGACCTGCCTATAAAAGGAAAAAAGAATTGGACTTGTTTGAAAAATTAGCACATTTAGAAGGGGCTAATGTAGTAAACTAGCTGGCCTTCTTTAGGTCATTAAGTATCTAGAAATGCTTCAATAATTCAGAGGGCTCCGCTGTTTCACCACAAGTAACTTTGACGTAGTAGTTTTCTGTACAATCGCTTCGTCTAAACGAGATCAGTTCTTACTTATATTGTAAGTCATTACTACTGGTGAAGGGCATTTAATTGTGGTTTAACTAATGATGATACTCGTCTTCGTTCATCTTGCTAGAATCGCTTGTTTCAAAATCCATCATCTCATAAAACTATTGCTACTAATATGATTGGCCGTATGGAGGCAACTCTTCCTGCATTTAAATCTAACTATACATTAATCTGAGCTTATTTAGCGTTATTAAGGTTTAATTTGATTGCTTATTGAATGGTTTGAATTGTCAAATACTTGCGACTTCAAATATGGTTGACTATTCTAATTCTTTGAATTGAGTAGAAATTATTACTAATATTGAATTAAGAAGATGTTTTTTTTTTTTACTTTTTTACTTCTAAAATTCTTCTTACTTAAGCTTAAATTTTTTGTTTGATATTTAATTATTTTATAATTTTTTTTCTTTATTTTACTATTTGACTGATAATTTGCTGACAAAAGTCTTATTTGATTATCTTTATACGCTATTTATTTTTCTTCGCATTATTAGTTTTTTTTTGTTTGCTTTTAGTCATTTTATGTTTCTTATTTTTTCCTTTTGATACTATTTTTCTTCTTTTTATATAGTTTCATTAGAGAGGCATTTTGAAGAGATAAGAGCAAAATAGACTGTAAAATGAATGTATGTTTAACAAAATTTTTAACTCATTTCTTATCTTCTTAGCTCACAGAATCAAACCTTAACTCAGAATAAGTAGAGAAGGAGGGTTTATATCACATAAAAATAGATATTTTCTCTAGAAGGGCTTTTTGCAGTTAGATGAGAGTCCCCTTTTAAAGCAAAAACTTAAATAGAATTGCTGATTGATTGCTTGGATTAGATTGAATTGGATTAGTGAGTGAGTTAGTGGAAAAAGCGAGGGAATGAAATACTTACAGTTAAAAATCAAGAAAATAATTTAAGTAAGAATGGATAATGTTGAATATGTTAATATTTATTGAGAATACATTGTCAACAGGTAGGTAACAAATAAATAAGTATTGACTTCATGCTTATAGTTTCATGTTCAAATTAAGAGAGGTTATTGCCACATTACTTAATTTTCAAACTATCGAGTTGAATTAATTTTTACATTAATCAATTCATACTTATAATTTGTTTCTTTATGAGTTTATTTTTAAGCTTGACTTAATCGAACTATAATTATTAGAAAATTTAATATCTATTTAATTACTTCATTATTATTACTTTTAAAATCGTGTTTCACAATCATCTTTCTAAATGCAAATAGAATTGTAAAATACAATCAGAAAAATATTATTCAGTTTAAGTTATTTTAAGATAGATTTATTCCATTAAATCCAACATCAAATATATAACCCTTTTTAAGAATAAATGATCAGAGTTATTATTAATATGTATTGATCAAAACTATCCTAAGTCATTTCAAAAGAATAATTTAAGTTTCGAGAAGTTTTTTTTATTTGCTCTTGCCAAAAATTAATAAATTTTGATATAGATGGGTTAAATAAAAATCTTTTTTATCTATTTCCTTTATTTAAAGATAAGCAAATGTCAAAATAACAATAAAGGGACTATTTGAAGTCATTAAGTAGATTTGCTAATAAATGGATAACAGATGTTGTATTTTAATCATTAAAATCTTTCATATGTTTAAGCAGTATAGATCTTTTTCAGCTTGCTTGATTGTTGAGAAAAGTAATAAATTAGCTATTGTTTTACACATTTTAATTAATTAATCAATAGACTCATAAATAGATTTATATTATTTGCATTGCTTTTTGATTTATTGACTAACTAGCTTATTTTCAATGCAAGCATTGCATTTTATTAGAGCTTTCTTTTTAATGGATTTTTAGGAGAATTGCTTATTAGTTTTACTTGATACATCAATTTTTTCGATTAAAACTTTCATTGCCACAACAATTCGGAAATTGATTAGTATTAAATTGATAAATTTTTTAATTTATTTCACATTTTTTAAGAGAGTTAAACTTTTGATTTACTGATATTTTATTGATAAAATTACTTTAGAATTCTTTTCAATTAAAGAATCTGGTAATTAGATATTAGATGAATTGATCTTTTATTAAGGATTAATTAATTTAATAAAATTAAATACAAATAAAATTAATTCTTATTAAATTAATTGTAAAATTGTAAGCCTGATATTAATGGCATTGAATTGAGAGCTTGGTACCTTTGCTCATCTCATTAGTAAGAATTTTTTATTATACAAAATTTTAAAGACTTTTAGTGATTTATCATTATTTGTTAATCATACAAAGCATGCCTCAAATGTTAATGTTGAGTTCCTAAGAAAGTTATTATTTTAATTTACTTTTAAAGTTAGAATCGAAGATTTTATTAGCTTAGCAAAAGAAATCAGGAGTGGTAAATATTATTAGAAATAAATAGAAATTTTATTCTTCCTCTATGTTTAAAACTTTGATATTTATTGAGACAAATTAAAGAAAGAATAAGATTTCTTTGTTCTTCAATATCGTCAAAGTTTTGAATTTATTAATTAATGTTTTTCAATTTCTATTTAGTTAATTATTTTTTTGATCTCGCCTTAATCTCTACCAACAAAATTTTCAAAATAGAAAAGCTTCTATGAAACAAAAATTTTTAATAAACATATTTTTTTTAGATTATTCCCACTTTAATTATAAGTTAGGAATATAAATTATAATTCAAAGGCAAAGTTAATTTTAAACAATTTTCCTCAAGCTTTCTAAATCAAATTATTATATTGATTGACTGATTGATTGATACATTGATTGCTTATCTATTTTTGTTTATAAAGACTTAAATTTATTCACAAGACAAACTATCAAAGAACCCTTTACAAGGAATTTTATGCTTAAATTATTAAATATTTCATAAAATATATTATAATACTTAATGAATTATGATAATTTCTTTTATGATATTGAATGAATAGTGTTTCTTATACTTTTAAGCTAAAATCAAAGAGAATTTCTAATTCTAAAGAGTAATTTCATATCTTTTATATTTTCAGATAATATTCATAATTTAAGCTAATCTTATAATCTAAAAATGAAGAATTCCTTTTCAAAAGGAGCGTAAATATTTTTAAACCCTATTTAAGTTATTTAAATATAATTTATTGTGATTATTAATTAATTTTTAAAATTTTTATTACTAGATTAAATATATATTATGAAATTTCAACTTGCTTATTTCTTATAAAGTTATTCCATCAGTTATGAATTGGTTTTTGTTTATTTCCTAAATCTCTTGCTCTTTCTTCTTGTTTTAATTAATTTATCTTGTTTTAGACTTATTTTTCTAAGGTCAGATACCAAATATCCTTAATTATTCAATTAATTTAATTGAAAGGAAAAAAATACCTATTTATAAATAGTTAAGAAAATGATTGGAGAAAATAGTTAGTTATTTAGTTACCAACTTATTCAATAATAATATGAATAAATCATTCAAATTATTTATGGATAAGATTTTTTAAATATTTCTAAAAACCTATTTATATCACAAAAAATAAATCATTGATTAATTAATTCATTTATTTATTTATTCATAATATTAAATTTAATTAGGAATCAAAGGTGAGTCCTAATTTAAAAAAATTATAAATGAATTTACAAATAATAAAATATTAAAATTATAATTAAATATAAAAATAAAATGCTCTCAATATAAATTTCTTTCACCCAATAGTGAACTGAGATTTTTATATGATACTTAAATTGAAAAGTAATATTTTATTTAATAAAAACTTAAAAAGCAGCATCAGGAAAAATTATTCTAAATTTAACTAAAGAAAAAAATAAAATATTCTTTGTGTTATTAATAAAAAATTTTATGAACGAACAGATAAGTATAAAATAATTTTTAAATTTTATAAATAAAAGTAACTTAAGGACTGGAAGTAATTTTTAGGAAAAATATTAAATTAATTAAGAAATTTGAAAGAAAGATACACTTTCTAGAATTATTCTTACTATAATTTTTTTGATACTATTTACTAATTACTCTTATTTTTTAATATATTTACTATACTTTAAAATTATTGTTTAAATTATGTTATTTATGAAATTAATAAATCAACAAATAAAAATATAAAATATTATTTTTTAAATAATAATTAGGCACTTCTTAGTTAATCTATTTAGGTTTTTTAATTTATCAATAAATTAGCTTTGAAGAAAAAGGTTATAAATTAGGATTAAATAGATTTTACAACAAAAAAACTGTGTTTTACTATTTAGAAAAATAAGAGAAGAAATAATTATTCTTTAAATTAAATACTATCAGTAGAGAAAAACAAACAAATTATTTTTTATATCATAAATTTAGGAATGTCCCTCTTTTCTATCAATTGCAAAAGATTGTGTCTCTATATGTCATCAACTCAATCAAAAAAGCATTATATATAATACTATCTTTCGGTTTCAGCTAATACGTTTAGACACATTTCAGATGTAATTCATGCAAATATTTCATATCAGAGAGGATTTTATATAAAATTTGTGAAATTATTTAAAAAAGGAGAAAGGTAATTTATTAGTTAGATGGTTTTAGAAAAACTGTACCTTATCTTTGATGTTCACATATAATAATATTCAAAGGAGATTTCCTTATTAGCAGCTAAATTTTATTCAAGTTTTTACAAATTACTTTTTTTTATTTTATGAATAGAAATCTTTATTTATAAATAAGAATCGGACATATCTTAAAAAAATATTAATAAAAAAAAAACAAATAAAAGATATCAAAAAGTAGTATTATAAAAGGAAACGTATTCACAGTAATAAAAGAAATGTTCGCAAGAGGAATCACAAAAGCTACTCAATTAACTTTGAGAAACACCAAGTAATTTAGCACCATGGCTGGATTCTCTGGCTTGAAATCTTACAGTCAATTCTTTACCAAATCAAACATGAATTTGAAGATTGGTTTGTTAGGTTTGATTGGCGTCGGTATAGCTGGTTATAGCACTTCATAATCTTATCACTCTGATGAATATTATGAAAAGGTTATTCCTGCTAATCTTTAAGAAGGTTAAAAAATAGATGTCCAAGTAGGACCTAAGGAAGAAGACAGCGTCCTCGTTGCTAAGGTTGATGGAAAATATTACTGTGTATCTAATAAATGCCCTCATTTCGGTTTCTCTTTGAGTAAAGGTGTCATGTTCTACGATAAGGTCGTTTGTCCTTTACATAATGCTGCTTTTAGCGTTAAGGATGGTGCTGCTGAAGGCGGTCCTGTCGTTAATGGATTAGAAAATTTCGAAATTGTTGAAAAGGATGGTAACTTGCACATCAAAGTGCCAAAGGCCAAGTTGAATGTCCCTAAACCTTTTGACATGGTAAAGCGTGATCCTAATGATAAACGTAAGTTTGTTATTGTTGGTGGTGGTCCTGCTGGTATTAGTGCTGCTGAAACTCTCCGTCAAAGTGGCTACACTGGATAGATTACTATTCTCTCTAAAGAAAAATTCATCCCCTATGATCGTACTATTTTATCTAAGGCTCTTTTCTTCGCTGATATCAACAAATTACAATATCGTTCCAAGGAATTCCTTGAATCATATGGTATCGAAGTTGTTAACGAAGTAGAAGTTACTGAAATTGACACCGAACGTCATTTTGTTTAAACAAAAAATTAAGATCATATTCATTTCGATAAGCTATTATTAGCTACTGGTGGATCACCTAATAGAATTCCTGTTGAAGGAGTTAATTCTAAAAACGTATTCACTCTTCGTGAATTTTCTGATCTTGAGTCTCTTAAAAACAACTTCCAAAGTTCTAAGAAAGTAGTAGTTATTGGTGCCTCATTCATTGGTTTAGAAACTGCTGCAAGTGTTAAAGATTTCTTAAAAGATAAAGTCGACATCACTGTTGTTGATTAGAGCAAGGTACCTTATTAACGTGTTTTAGGTAGCGAAGTAGGAGCTGCTATTAAAAAACTTCATGCTGACAATGGAATTAAATTCAATCTTGGAGTTGGAATCAAATCAATTGAATCATAAAATGGAGTTGCTAAAAGAGTTGTTCTCTCTGATGGAACATCCTTAGAAGCCGATATGGTTTTGATTGGAGCAGGTGTAAGCCCAAACACTAGATTTGTTGGAGAAAAGTTAGAAAAAGACAATTACGGAGCTCTCAAGACTGATGTTTTCCTCTAAACTTCTCATCCCGATGTATTTGCTGCTGGTGATATTGCAAACTATCCTTACCACTACACTGGTTAACGTGCTAGATTTGAGCACATTAATAGCTCTATCTATTAAGGTTCCATTGCAGCACTTAACATGGTTGGTCAAAAAACTCCTTGCGGTGAAATTCCTTTCTTCTGGACTCGTTTCTGGAATAAATCTCTCCACTACACTGGCTATGCTCCTAACTACGATGAAGTACATATTCAAGGTAGCTTAGATAAGCTTGAATTTGTTGCTTGGTATATCAAGAACGACAGAGTTGTTGCTGTTTCAGCAATGAACAAAGGACCTGTTGCTATGGTTGTTAACGAAGCCATGAAGTAAAATGTTATGCCTTCTGGTACTGAAATTAAGAATAACATAGTTAAATACGAAGATATCTAAAAGAGAATTGCAGATAGAGGTAGAAACTGCAAGTGCTCTAGAGGTGCTAATTGTTGCTCTGCTAGAAAATTACAACAAAATTAAGCTTCTTAATCTGCTAAAATTTGATAAAGTTGTCTTACTTTATTTTATTTATATCCAAAATTGTTTTGTTCTACTTTTAGAATATTTTTTTTCTACTTACTATTTCGTTTATTTATAAATTATAATAAAAAATTTATTGATTATTTTAAATGCATAATTATTCCAAAATATTCTTCAAAGCGATATTAAAAAGTAAACCAAGGTTCTTACTAAGTTTAAATAAATTCAAACAAATTAATAAACCTTTTATTTTTTATCCATTCAAATTTCATTAATTTGAAATATATTTTCATTTTATATCTAAAAGATTTATAAAACCTAAAGTTTTGCTTTACCAATAAGTCAACATCATTAATGAAGCTACATTTTTGAATTTATAATAATATTCTTTAAAAATCTTAACCAAAAATTTTAAATAAAATACAAAATAATCCATTTTTAAGCTTAAAAAATAAATCAAAATTATTTTTAGAAATATTAATAAAATAAATTGAATTTACCAATATTATTCCTCCTATTTTTAATGGAATCAAATTAAATAAAAATATTATTTTGGTGAGTCTTGCAATTCAATTCAAGTAGTAATTATTTATTTTTAATAGTTTTTAAATGAAAGCAGAAAGATAAATAGAAGTTCTTGACATAAAATCTAATATTTCAATTATATTTATGATTAAATATAAAAATCATCTTATTTTTTTATAAAAATTGATTAAATTACAATTCAGTAAAAGAAAATAGTTATAAAAATATGCAACACACTTAGGTACCTTAAAAAGCAACTTAGCAATAATAGTAAACATTAGAAGAATTTTCTGGATTATTAGACAAATGTAAGAACTCATTATTTCTAAGTTTATGATTAATTTGAAAAATAAAATTAGCATATTTTGAAATTTCAACTAACATTATTAATATTAGATAGAAACAATCCTAATGCTTTATCTTAAATTTATAAAATTATGAACTACAAACCAACACCATAGAATTAAGAGTCTAATTTGATTGATAATGAAACTATGAAAGAATTCTTAAAAGTAAATAAAGGAACATCAGAATTTGATCTTTACGACGATATATTATATTATGATGAAAATAAAATAAGAGAAGTTGTATTACGCTAAAATTTTCTGATTTCCAAGGGTTATTTTGATCCTAAGAAATACTTTCCTTCAATATAAATAAATGATTTAGAAGATACTTAATTCGATTAAAAAATAAAAGGTAAAAATATTTTATTAATCTAATTCTTTTATTAACATTTTCAACTTATTTTAATGATAAAAAAAGTTTAAAATTTTTTTTAACATAGAAATAATGCATTAATCAAATTAACATTTTACATTAAAAATTTTTGAAATAACAAATTTTTAATTAACTAAAAAATAGATATGCTTCACAATAACCATAATCCTCAAAATTGAAAAAATGTCATTTAATATCAAAAAAGCTTTTCTTACATTTAGAATTTTCCGTTTAATGCATTAGCATAGTCTTTTATTTTAATCAATTAACTTAATATAATATAATACAACACTTTCACATGTAGTACATGTTTTATGCCTATAATTTAACAAGCACTTATTTATTCGACTATATATTGCACTAGAATTAGGATTATTTTATTCATATTAAGTATCCATTTATAAATTAATTTTAAAGAGAATTAACTTTTATTTTATTAAAATGTAAATATATTCTTTATAATAAACGTTATTTGAAATTAGAATAATTTCTATTGTGTTTTAGTTAGTTAGTTTGATTGATTATTTTTTTGAAAAAAGTAAATAATATTGATTTAGAAAGAACTAGTTTATCTCTAAAATTAGAATTAATCTTAAAAGTAAATTATTACCAATTTCAAAATAGAAAATAAATTATTATTAATATGAATTTAAAGTTAAAAAATCTATTTGAAAAATTAATACCAAAAATAAAAATAATTATCTATAATTTGTAATAGAAATCAAATATTTCATCAATGTTTTTACTTTATGTTTTTTAAATAAATATAAATTCAAATTTCATTTAAATAGGCATGAAAAACCTATACATATTTACCAATTAAAAAATAAATAGAGATAATCAACAAAAGCTCTAATTTTTTTTTGAAAGTGATTTTAAAAAAATCAAACAAAGATCTAATAAAAATATATTCATGATATCAAAAGAACATATTAAATTTGAAAGCCAGTTTAAAAATAATAATTGACTCATCTAAAACACATAATTTAAAAAAAGATAAAGCCAATCAAAAATGTAGATAGTCTCAGTATTTTTAAAAGTGATATGAAATAATTAATCAAAAGGCTTACGAATAAACAAAGAAAACAAAGATGATAAAGATAATGAAAATTTATAAATCTCCTTTAAATTTGTTATGGCTGTTAATGGCTTTGTAATTTATTTTTTAGAATTAAGGGTTTTGCATATACATATTTGAAAACAATATATAAACAATAAAAAGATTATACATTAATAAATTGAGAGTCTTCAAGTGGAAATAAAATAGGAGAAGCAGTAAAAAGCAAAGAAAAAAAAGAAAATTTAATAAAGAAAGTTAAATTAAGAAAGAAAATTAAAATAAAAGATTAGAAAAGAAAGATACTAAAGGTAAAGCAAATATACAGTTAAAATTGAGAGATTAACAGAAATATGCATTTAAGACCAAGCTAAAACGACTTTGATCACTAATTAGGAGGATTTGGAAGTGGTCAAACTTATAGCAATTATCATAACAATATGTATTCTTAATAAGGCTCCAGTTATGGTAAAAATCCAGTTCAACTTTACAAAAAAAAATAATTTTTAAGCTATTTGTTGATTTTCATGTGCACGCAATTAGAGAAAAATGATTTAGAATTTTATTTGTTTTGAATTTTTTTAACGAAAAATTAATAATATTTCAAAATTAAATCAAGGATATGCAAATTCAAATAGTTATGGCCAACCTTTACACCATGGAGTTGGCTATAGTAATAGCCAAGCTAGCCAATCAGTTGAGATCTTTTCTCCAAAATCTTTTCTTTCTTAAAATGTTTCTCCAAAATCTCCCTTACTTTAGTCTTAGTAGTAAAATATTCTTTATAAATCAATCAATTTTTCAATTTATTACTTTTGCAATTATGATAATAATATCAAAATTTGTTAATGAATGAATGAGCACTGAAACAAAATACAAATTTTAAAAGAAACATATATAGATAGATAGATAAATAATCCCCAAATCAAATCAAATGCCTTTGAATGATTTATATAAAACAATCAAATTAATTTATTAAATTTTCAATAATAAAACAAGCAAACAAACAAACAAACAAATAATTTGACAAAAACTAAACAATCAAAAATCAAGCAAACACCTATAAATTTTGTTTGTTTCTTTCATTGTTTATTTATAAAAAATTCAAATCAAAAAATAACAAATAAGATTAAGAAAATAAACAAACAAAGTCATTAAAAAGAAAAGTTGATTTAAATTCAATTTTCATTAATTTTCAAATGCTAATCACAAACAATAGGACCTTAATGAATGGCGGGAAGATGCAAAATGGTAACGGACTTATAGTAAACTCCGGAAGTAGCATAAGCCAATAGTAACTTAATTAGCAAATAAATTACAGCAATAGCGCTTCTAATTTGAGTACAAAGAGGGATTATTTATCTCCCACTAATCGTCTTTAGCAATAGTCTGCAACTTCATCTTTGCAACTACAATAATAAATTTAATAGTAGCCATTGCATCCTCAGTAGAATTAGTTACTCTAACAATAGCAATTTTAGTAGAATCAGCCACTCAAAAACAACTTCTTCTAGCAATCCTCTAATCAAATAGATAATCAAAACCTTTACTAGGGTGGATACTCTGTTTTAAATTAACAATCTTCTCTCTAAAATTAAATGTTACCATAGTCTGCAACAAATGGATTTGGAAAGAAGCAATAAGCGCCAGCCTTGCAATAGCAGTAATAGCAATAGTAATAGTAATTTTCCTAAAATAATTAGTAGCATTATCAACTCCAACAATAACAATTAAAATAAACATAACTGGGCATGAATGCCAAAGTTTCCCCTTCGGCAGCAAATGCAAATCAAAACAATACCTTCAGTTAATAATAATCTTCATAAGTATAAAGCGGAGTAGTAGTTAGCGATATGCGCCACTTATCCGCTGACGCTTTGAAAGATAAAGAAAATCTTTAAAATCCTCTTCAAAAGATTTACTATGACTAGCCTTCAACCAAGGCTCAATCAACCCAAAAATCTAGCATGTAAAATATCAAAGCGAAATAATAATAAACTCTTTCTTATAAATAAATAAATAAATAAAAAATCTTCTTCTTCAAAATAAGTATCCTCTCATTATTTAAAAAAATAAACAAACAATTAATCAAGTAAATGAACAAGCAAATTAAATAACATATCTTTAATTAATTAAAAAAGTGTTAACGTTCTATTTGCGTTTCAAGGCATCATATATTTTCGCTCCCCATATATGATATCTTAACACTAAACATTTTTAATAACAAGAGGAATTAAGCGTATTCTTATGAAAATCCAAACATTTAAATTTAAAAATCTCCTACACTTCATCAAAAATCCATTTAAAATGTTTGACTGATTTATTATCTTTTAAAAACTCAATGAAAATTTACATGAAAGCAAAAAATCTAAAAACAAAAAACATTAAAGATAAGAATTGATTATGTCATAATTCAATATTAAGAAAAGTGGTAATTTTTAATTAAAGCTAATTTTTTGCTCAATATCCAGCCACTCCATTTTTAGAATAGTTTGATCAAAAAATTATTAAACAGAGGTGCTTTATTTGTGAAAAGATGATAATGCTATTTTTATTTTTTTAATTATCGAAAGAAAAGTATATTGATAATAATTTTTAAAATAGCCTTGGGAACTAAGCAATGAGACCATCATCCCGTGAAGGATATACAAACAGCACATAATCATCTACTTTAAATAGCAATCGTTAATAAATTAGAGCAAGCACAAACTCTAATTAATTAGATAATCGTCTTTAGCGCAACTCTTAGTAATATATTAATCAAATTTTCAAAATCTTCTTAAAGAATATTTAGATAAAATCCCAAGCAAAAAACTTAACTGACTTTTTTTTTAATTTATTTAAAATCTATTTAATCAAAAAAAAATTTGAATACAATTTTTAAAGAAAAAATTTTGATTTTTGGTAGTATTATTATCAGCTAGTTTTTAATAATTTACTTAATATTTTAACAGCAGCTAATAGAACTTGAAAACAAGTAACTTAAACAGCACAGCATTAGGTTAGAACATTAATAATAGTTAAATGAAAGAAAACTTGCTAATGAATGGAAACTATGCCTTCTCAATGACTAATTAATCATAAGTAATTAATTATTAAATGAGTTTGTTAATTAATTGAACTAAAATTTATAAATATAGCCACAAGGAATTTATGAATAACAAAGCTAGATTGGCTACCAACCTTAAAAAAACTCACATATGTATTAAAGTGGAATCGTTTAAACCAATTCATAATTAAGTAACCATAACATGAAAAGAAGTGAGATTATTGAAATGAAACACTCAAACTATCTCAACTCTCCAAAATATGTCCCTGCTAATGGAAATCAATAATATGTTTAATAGTAATTAGATACTAAAGAGTCTATGGATAAAAAAGAAAATTATACTCTCTTCCCTTCAAATTAAAACACTAAGGATAAACCTTTCACTGCTGACACTCGTTCTATAAGATAAAAGAGCTAATATAAGGATACATCTTCATAAGGCAACAATAACAGTAGTCTATAAATTGAAAATAATCCAAATTCTAACTCAATGACCTCTTAAAGAAAAGAACTCCAAAGAGTTTCTTCTGCCACAACTACCTATGCAGCTGCTTAAAGCCAAAAGAAATCTTAAAATTTCAAATACAAGACTGCTAAGACTTCTAAAATTTCCCTTCAAAGAGATTCATAAACTCCAAAATCTGTAATATTTATTTTCATTATTAAATCCATCAATATAAATGGATTATAAATTTATAAAGACAAAAAAACACTCACACACAATCAAATTCTGTTCTTTCTTTAACTAAATTTTTTATGCTAATTTGAACATTTAACAATAATTTTTAATTTTTACAAGTAGATTTTTTTATTTATTTTTATTGAATCTTTCATTTTTTTTTTTTTTTAAATTTTAATAATTAACATTAATAAAGGGGGAAGACAAGAAAATTAACTTCTCTTCTGATACTAAGCAAATGAGTGATATCAGTTAAAAGGAAGTATCATATGGAATTAACACTTCTTCTTCATCAACTACTCTCAGAAACAACTTTGTTGGTACAAGTTAATCATAATATATCTAACCAAGATAAAGTGCTGTTTTAGAAAGAAAAAATGACAAATCTGCAGCTCTCTTTAACGATACTAAAGGAAAATAAGCCTAATCTACCATTTTAACATCAGCTGAACAACCAAATATTTCTACTGTAAATAAATCTAAATCACCAAACAACTTAGATGGGAAAAAAGTTGGTGAATCAAGAGTTTATAGCGATGAATACTAAGAATATAAGAAATTACAAGAAAAATTAAACTATTTAGAGTCAAAGATCATGAGCATAAAGACAAATATTGATTCTACCTATTAAAAAGAAAAAGAAGAGTAGAGAAAGGAATCATTAACAGGTCAATAATTAACAGATTAAAATAGCGTGTTAAGTGCTACAAGAACATTAAACAGCCTAAATCAAACTCAATCAAATAAGAACTCCGCTTCAACTGCTAATTTAACTACTTTGCCCTCTACATCTCTCTAGACTGGTGCTTAAAGTACTCCTTAAGGTTATCTTTCCCCATCAACTCAATCAAAGATGAATCATGATAGCTACTCTAGAAGCAGTCTTTGCTCTCCTGATCAAGCACCATCTTCCAATTCTACAGCTAACAAATATAGCAGAGATGAAGAACTATTATATCCTAGCAGTAATACTTCTAATTTGAAGGCTACTACCAATAGCTTCTCATTGGAATAAAATTCTACTAAAGCTTCTGCTAGTAAACAAGGAGTTTCAAGCTCTACTATTAATTTATATTTAAAAAATGGTATGAACAATTAAACCCAGTCAACATCATCTCTTAATTAAGTTGCAAATACTTCTCTTAACTATACAAGTAATTCAACTTAAAATGCAACAGCTGTCTCTTAAAGTGAATAAACTATTTCCTAAACTTCTAATAAAGCTTCAGCTAACAATCCCTTAAGTAGTTTTGTGACTTAAGTAAACAGAGGATCAGGTATCCCTCTTTCCCCAAAAACAGCTACTAATACTGCAAAGCGTACTAAAATTGAAGAAAAGATAAGCTCTACTATTCAGTATGATCCAAGTTAGATAAATACAAGTCTCTAACCAAGCATTCCAAAAAGTTACTTAAATAAATCTCAATAGTAACAGTAATTAACACAATAAAATCAATCAAAGATCTAAGATGGATCAGTTGCTTCTTCTTCTGTAAATAATAGCAGCAGCAAGAGCAATAATGCTTCTTACAAGAAAAGAGACGACAGCGACTCTATTGATGGATCAGTTTCTTAATAAGGAACAGCTTACTATCCTTCTTCAACTAAAAATCAAACTAGCTAAGGAAAGAACTCATTGATCTTAACAAAGAACAGTGCAGAAACTTAGTCAGCATAATCCTTAAAAAACAGTAATATTCTTGCTAGCCCTACAAATAATTCTGCATACAAAAAAAATATTTAAACTACTCCTCCTTACATCTATTACATTTCTCCTATTATCAAGTCATATATGGAACCTTAAAATGTGAGTCCTTTTGCTAGCTTAGCAAGAGAGCACCTAATACAAACAATGTAAGCTATTAGCTTCTCTCGCATGCTTAAACCTGCTTCTTAAAAGGTAATTGATGAAAAGAAGGTTCACTTGCCAATCCGTCGTGATAGTAATTATTTTTTAACAAAAAATAAATTTCAAAGTTTTAAATTTAATTATTATAATCAATAGATAAGAAAACTTTAGTTTTTGACTTAGATGAGACTCTTATCCACTGCAATGAAAATGCTAATATTCCATCAGATGTTATTCTTCCTATTAGATTCCCAACTGGAGAAGTTATAGAGGTAAATTTATAAAAAAATTTTTAAGACACCAAATTTATGTAAATTTTTTTAAATTATTAGGCAGGAATAAATGTAAGACCATACTGCATGGAAATCTTATAAGAGTTGAGCAAGTTTTATGAAATTATTGTATTCACTGCTAGTCATAGCTGCTATGCAAATGTTGTCTTAGACTACTTAGATCCTAAGGGATAATATATTACAGGAAGACTTTTTAGAGAAAACTGTGTTACAACTGAAGAAGGAGTTTACATTAAAGATTTGAGAGTTATAGCAAATAGAAATCTCAGTGACATAGTGCTTGTCGACAATGCCGCTTATTCATTTGGCTTCTAAATAGATAATGGTATTCCAATCATTCCTTTCTATGACAATAAGAGTGATGCTGAACTAAAGCACTTGATTCACTTTATGAAATCTATTCATAATGTTAGAGATTTAAGAGAAATTGTTAGAAAATTCTTAAAAATAGGCTCATTCAGTGAATTTTCTGATCCTCATACATTAATCTAAAACCTTTTTGACGATTTAATATATTGAGCAAAGCTTGCTATTTTTATGAGAAGGAAAAAAAATTTAAAGATAAATCTTAAATTGTTAATTCTCAAACATAATAAATAGTAACTAACCCTTTTTCTATAATTAAAATGCCACTTAATAAAATAAATTTTTATATAATAATAATAATAATAATGAATAAATTGATTCTATTAAATTAAAGGTAGTAATAAATCACTCTTTAAATTTAATTAACTCACTTATCATTTATCAATTAATTAGCCTTTAAATCTAAACAACTTAATAAGCAGTTAAAAAATAGCTTCACTTACTTGTCTATATTTTAAGTTCTCAAAGAAAATTTGATAAAAATTGTAAAAATAAAAATCATTTGAGTGTAAAAACGAACAAAATAATTAAACAAACAAGCAAATACAACAAATAGTAATAAACAAATTTTATTAAAATAAATTACAATCAAAACATTTTTAAATCGAGGATTGAGATTTGAAATTAGCTGTTAGAAACAACACTACAACAATATATATAATAATTAAATGAAATATTTCTTATAATATCTTCCTATAAGAATTATAATTTTTTCTTTATAATTAAAAAAATATATCGATTAATCTTTGTATAATTTATTATAAGTATGCCATTTTTATAATTAAGTACATTATTAATTTCTTATTCATTACTAATAAATAATTATTTATTTCAATCATAATAAGATGCTGATTATATTTATTTATTTCAAAATTAACAAAATTTAAGGAAAGTCCTAGTTATTAATTGCTATTTTTCAGTAAAATTTTTATTTTTATTTTAAATAAATATTACAAAGATAGATAGATAAAAAAAGGATAAATAATAAATATTTTATGATGAGTTTTTGTTTCAAAATCTTTTAGAATTATTTGGCTGGACTTCAAATAATAAATAAGAATCCATTTAAATTATTTGAAATAACTTAAAAGAATATTTTTAGTATCATTAACATTTTATTTAAAAAAGAAAAGATATCAAAAGTTATTAATGAATAAATAAAGATTCAAAAAAAACTAAATTTTAACATTAATAAATATTTTCTAAATAAAGCTAAATTTTTTTATTTATTTATTATGATAAAAAATGTTTTTAATACAATTTTCATTTAAACTAAAGTAATAAAAAAAAAATTTATGTTACAATCATAAATATAAATATTTGTAATTTGGGTTTATAAATTGTAATGGAATCAAAACTTATGTGGATTTAAAAACATTATTTAATAACGCATTATATGTAAATTTAAGTGGTACTATTCAAAAGCCACAAAGTTATAAAGATTAAATAATTTGCTATCAAATTAATATTCAAGTAATTAACAATAAATTTACCTTTGAAATTAGAATTAAAACCTTATAAAAAACTTAATCCAGTAAATATTAATTAATAATAATATAAGCTTAAATTAGAATACTAAATATCAACTTAGCTACTGAAGAAAGTAATATAAAATGTTTCACGAAGGAGAATTTATTGATGTTAAGGTAACTATCACATATTTGAATACTTTGTCTTTTTTTTATTTATCTTTTAACCTAGATTTTAATAAATTTCAATATCCCTCCATCCTTTTTAATCCTTCCTGTTTTTTATTTATAGACTATCTTAATTATTCATAAATTTAAGCTTATAATTCAAACAAATGTTTTAATAATATATCTTTATTAATATTATAGAAATGTAAAGAAATCTTAGAAAAAAATGAGCCTTAAAAGAGTGATTGCGAGAAGGAATACATCAAAAATATTCTTAAGCAAACTACTTTATTTAAGTAATTTGAAGAAGAAATTAAGTTTTAAATGTAAGAGAATGAAGATTTAAAGTAGCATAACTCAGACTAAAATAATTAAAGAGAAGTTCTTGATATAGAAATATTGCTTAATAGAACTCAAAGAAATATTAAATATTTAAGAGTCCCTATTAACTAATTCCTATTTCATAAAGGTGAAGTAGGAGATAGATTATACATGATTATCAAAGGTCATGCAGCTGTTTATGCTGAAAGAGAAAAGGGCTAAATAAATTCAGATCTAAACAAAGAAAAAAATTTGACAAAATAAATATAATTATTGACAAACAAAATTCTTCACTATGAGCTAAGCATAGAATAAAAAGAAAAGAAAATATTAGATGGAATTTAATTTGAATAATAACTAATTTAGCAGCAATTATAATAATAGTAGCAGTAATAAGAATCAAATGATACTAGCGATATTGAGAATAAATAAATAAATTTGATCAGAAAATAGCAAAGGAAATAAGAAGAGCAAGCTTTAGCATAACTAAAAAATACTCTATGTGAATTAAAAGAAGAACTTTAAAATTACTAAAAATAATTAAATCATCTCATATCAGTAGATTAATAAATTTTAAAATAAGCATGCTCATCGAATAAAGAACTATAAGCAAAATATTTTACATCTGCTTCTACTAGTGGAAATATTTGTTATTACTAAAAGTTAAAAACATTAGATCCTTTTAATCACTTAGGTGAGGCAAGTATTTTGACAAATGAAAATAGAACTGCAACTGTTATGGCTTGTTACCCATAGAATCCTTCTCAAAGTAAAAATGAATAAGAAAACAATATTCTTGAAGAAGAAAATATAAACCAAGTAGAGAATGAAGAGTCTTTTTAGTAAATGGAAATTTCAAGTAAGAATGAAGAAGATCAAGATTTGCATTTACTATATTTAGAAGCAAATGTGTTCGTTAGTATATTTTCTTCCACTCTTGACTAAATAAACTATCCACTAACTATTTTAAGCAAGATTTTAAATTAGACTTCAAAAGATCTGCTTGTAAGAATATCTTATCTCTTTAAACTAAATGAATACAAGTTTAATAAACAAATATTTACAGAGGGAGTTGACTTAGCTAATTGTGTTTATTTAATAAAAAGAGGATCTATATAGCTTTAAAGAAATGCGCGCTAAGATGAGCTAGAAGGATAGAATAAAAATGAAAACTAAATTAATGAAGAAACAGAAAATCTTAAAAATAAAAAAAAAATTTAAAGCCTCAAAAGATAAATAGTAATTGCTGTAATTGGAGAGGGATAATTTTTTGGTTTAGAGGATATTTCTTTCAAAAAGAAATATAGAAGCGACGAGCAAAATGAGGACAGCACTGAAAAAGTTTTTGATAAAATTCAAAAAAGGACTTGCAGTGCTGTAGCCCTCACGAATTGTTTAGTTTATGCTGTACCTAAAAATTTACTACTTACTTCGAGTTACTAATTTTATGAGTTATAGTAAATTCTATATGATCAAAGTAAAGTAAAATAATAATTTTATCTGAATTAAGCAAAAAAGAATAATAACATTTAACATTACATGGAAAGAGAGATGAATCGAATTTAGTAAGAGCCATTAATAGAGAAGGCTATCATTTAAATGAGCATGAATCACCATAAATAAATGATGAATGGTTCAAACAAAGTATCTAACATGATGGATTCTTACATTAAAGTAAATAAAGATGTATTAGATAATTAAAAAAGTATACTCTAAATGGCTCACCTAACTGAAAAAGTTTGTAAAGCTGCTAAATAAGGATAAGGTGAATTAGAAGGTAATATATAGGGTTCATAGCAAACTTCTCCAACAAAACCTAATTATGGAAAAGTGAAATAATTAATCAATAGGAATCCTGCAGAAATTATTTATGCCCATTTAGTTTAAAGTGAAAATGAAAAGGCTTTGAATATTAAAGAAAATGTAGTTCTATCTGTAATGCCATAGTCTTAAAAAAATGTGAAAGATATTTTACTTGCTTAAAAAAACTACTCAAAGTCTAAAGATTTGCATAACAAAAACATCAGAATACCCTCTAGACAAAATTTAAATGAAACAATTTTTGTTTCATAAAGTCACAATAACTTACTTGCAAACCAACAAAACAATAATTTTTAACTATCATAATTAAACTCTAAAAGCAACAGATATATTAATTCTTTATGTGAACTAGAAGAAACACAGCCTTAATAATACAAAATCGAAAGAAAAAATAATATAATACAAGTAAAGAAAATTAAAAATTTTAAATCATAAAATTCTTAAGCAGTGGGGTTTGAAAATACCTAAGATCAAGAAAAAGAAGATAATACTTTGCAGACTCAAACTCAACATAAATAAATAAAATCTTTAGGATCCACTTAGTTTTCAACACCTTTGATAAAACCAACATCTCTTGATCAAGAAAAAAAGTTTTAATACCTAAAACAGATATAATCTAGTTTTTTAGAACTAAACACTCCTCCTACTGGTAATTTTCAGCTTGATGCCACTAACATACCAACTAATAATCTTGAAGACAGCTAGGAAAAGATACATGATAACAAAAATAGAGCTATGTTATTAAATACTAAAAGTATAGATTTTGATTCAAAAAAATCGTACTATTCTAATTTTCTTACAAAACAGATGCTCTCAACGAAAAACCAACAAGGTAATTTTAGTGATAGACAAGATAAAAGTATCTCAGCAAATCAAACTGAGAGATCTATTAAATAAGGACGACTTATACAATTAAAGAATGATTTTGATAACTTAAGTTCATCTTAGAATGATAGTTTTACAAAATCTGAGTTATTATTATCAAATTCGTAGAGCCTTTAAAATATATCTAAGCAATTTAATAATTAAGACTCCATTCAAGAAACTTAAAATACTGAAAACAATTAGAAAATATTTTAATAAAGCATTCCTTAGAGAGCTATCAACAAAAAATCATCTTATTTCAAGCAAAATTAAAATGATCTTCCGAATTCTGAATACCAAGACTAGAAATCTGTCCATTTTATATCTTAAAGCAGCTCAGATAAAAAATAAGGAGATTTAAGGTAAAATCATCGAGGATTTTCTGTTGGTTAAATGAGAAAAGAAAATAAATATCATTCCCCCTTTTAAATATAAGCTTTATAATCAAACTAAATATACAAAAAATAACCTTTAGATGTATAATCCGAGTAATAACAATAAGAAGAAAATGATTTAAAAAAATAAAATACTACTTAGTTACTTTAAAGTGAAAAATAAATTAAAAATTAAAAAAAATTCAATTACTTTTTGTCTTCATCAAATTTAGACTAACTAGAAAACTCTTTTAATTTTTAACAAAACCAAAGCAAAGATTAATTTTCTTAGACATAGTTTAGAAATAAATTCATAAGGCTATCAAACGAATCACGATTTAATAATACTTTATATAAATCATAAAAGTTTACTCCTTCAAAAAATGGAAAGCTTAAACCACTTCTTCCTCTACTATCACCTTAGCAAATAGAGCCCCCATAACTCATAGAAGCATTCAATCCCTTTTAATCAAGAAGATTATAACCTTCTAGAGTAAAATTTGATTGATAATAATAATTAAATCTACTACTACTATTACATATATCCCTCTCAATAATCAATAATTTATAAATTTAATTATATAAACTAATTACTAAATACTAAATTTACTAAAAAACTCTACTAATAATTTTTTTGAATAACTATTTATTTGAACTAATACCATAAAATTTAAGTTCAAAGTATTATATTAAATTTTATATTTAATATGTGTTTACTTCATATTATAAATTAAAGTATTACATCAAAAAATTAAATTAAATTTCTTTACTTAAAAAAACGGAAAAATTGTAGTTATTTCAAAAAATAAATAAATCAATATTTTAATAAATTTCAAAAAATAATAAATATTCTTTAAAAATATCATATTTATAAATAATCTATGTAAAATTTTTTCAAATATTTATTTAATTTAATATAAAATATATTCAAATCAATTTGGTTAAGGAAAGAAATAATTTTTTTTTTAGCTCCTTACAAAAATTATTAATTATGATAATACAAACCCATTCTTAACTTTTTTTATTTAAGTAATTAAACTTATAGTAAGATTTTTTTTCAATATTATTGCTCGTATTATTTGTAAAATATCTCAGAAAAAGAAAGGAAATATATAACTTAAAATGGTTCTAGATTAATTTAGCAATTTGTTAGTAGAACGAAAACAAGTTATTATATTTATTTATTTTTCTTAATATTTTTATCGAATATCCTTTCAACCCAAATTTAGTTAAAATTATTTAATTAGAAACTTAGATTATGTGTTTTGATAAAAAAGATATAGACTTAATAATATATGAGTGTAAACAAATAATTTATATTCATATCACTTTTGATAAAAATTAACTAAATAAATGTAAAGATAGAATGTAAAATAATTGCAAAATTGAGATTAACTTATAACAATAATCTAAAATAGTAAATTAAAAATGTAAGTATTACTTTTCTAATTATTATTTTAAATGCTTTAATGCTAATAATTTTCTCAAAATAAAAGGAAAAGGCAAATTTAAAAACATCAAAGATACTTTAATTGTTCTCATAAATATTCAATTTTAATTTAGTTTGATTTATCACATGATAAAGTCAAAATTTGAAATAAATAAATAAATTATATTTATATTATAGATAAACAAACTAACTTATCTTAATACTTCTCAAAAATACTGTTCTTTATGTATACAGTTAAGTTTAAATATGAATTTTTTTGTAATCTATTATATACACTATATAAAGTTAATTTAGTTATTTGAATCAGTAATATAAAATAAATGGACAATTTATTTAAATCAATTAAAATGACTATGTGATGTTATGAAAAATTGTTTAAATTAAAAAAAATTGTATTTGAAAAGAGCCAGCTTAGTCCAAACACAAATTGATTTTTATCAAATTATGTTTCTTATGGTGCCTTTGCTCTTATACTTAAAAATATATCGAATTTAGTGAAGTTGATTTTTTTATAAATTTTTATTGGAATCAAAGATAAATAAAATTATTGATTAGGAACATTTTAAAAAATAAGAATAATAAAAGGAATATACAAACCATTCTATATAATAAGGCTACAAACAAAAAAAAAGCTAATCTACAAGACATAGATAACATGAGCGATATATAAGCTATTAGCGTTGACATTAAGGAAGTTGGTAAAAAGATAAAGGCGTAAGATTGACTTTAAAAAAAGCATTAAAATTTTTTTTTACTTAAATTATTTTATTCATTCTAATGATGCTAATAATTAAATATAAAACTAATAAAAATTATACTCGAAAATAACAAAATAACTAACTCTCAAATAAAAATTAAAGCTCCAAGAAGAGATTCACATGGTTTTTCTCTATTAATGGTAAAAAGCACACTGTTGACCTTTTTGTTTCAAAATTATCAGGAAAGAAAAAACTTTTGCTTAATGGAAGAGAAATACACACAGAAAAAAGGTAATCAATTCATCACTTTTAATGAATATTTTTATCAAATTTATTTTTTGAGAAATGTTTAAAGAAGTAATTCCTTATTTTAAAGATAAAAATATAATTATTTTATTTTAAATCTAGTATGATGGGATCTTTCTCTCATAGATTCGATATTGAAAGAGACTCCATATAAATCCAAACAAAGGGAGATAGCTATGATCTTACTTTCAATAGAAGTCAAAGCTTTTCAGAGTTATATACCTAAGGTAAGTTTACTTTATCATAGAAAATAAAGCAGATATTTTAAATTTATAATTAAATTAGCACAAACAAAGCAATAATTTAGAGATGATGATGGTTAATTTGATAGTTATGATAACGATTTTGCAAAAGGAAAGTAAATGGTAAGCAAGTATTAAGGATTCAGCTCAGAAACTTACAACCAAAAGAAATAAAGCAGTTCTTACTAGCAATCATAGTATAACAATAGCAAAAATAATCGTAAAAATTATAACGATGATGATGAGGATGTGCACAACTCTGACGATGATGATGATTAAAAAGAAAGATATGATCAATTTAAAAAGTAAAAATTAGTTTATTCTTTGTAAATAAAAAATCTATAAAAACAAATAAATTTTTTTTTCTTTACTCTAATAATTTATTTTTTAAAACTTAGTGTTAGCAAAAATTCAAATTCTAATCCTCCTCCTAAATAGGCAAAGAAAGCTGATGAAGGATATGATTTTAATTCAGGATTCGAATAATTTGAATGGAAAGGAGGTAGTACTAGCAATAACACTAAGACAAAAAACGACTCTGCCTTTGACAACTTTAGTAATTAATTCTCTAACCCATAGAGAACTTAGCAAAGCTTTGAAAAATAATAATAGCAATAATAATAAAAGCAATCTACTTCTAATTAAGATTTCTCTAAGTTTACTTTCCAAAACAACATATAGCCTAATAAGCCTTAATAATAGCAATAGCAGCCATAAGTATAGAATAAGAATATCCAAAATAGGTAAGCCAACGATGCTTTTGAAGCTTTTGGAGCTGTACCTAATAACAATAATACAAAGTAACAAGACCCTTTTAATGATTTCTTCAATTAAGCTTTTTCTACTAATCAAAATTAGAATTAAAACAACAACAACAGCAATTAAGCAAATAATTTCTAATAAGCCTAATCATTTTAGCAAAACTAATAAAATCAACCAGTTTAATAGCAGTAGCAACCTCCATAATAACAATAACAATAAATATAGCAAGTATAGGCTCCTAAACCTGTCCCACAAACTAATATTTTAGATTTGCTAGATGATGAACCAGCAACCGCATCTACTCCAGTGTAAAATCAAAATAATGTAGGATTTTAACAATAATAATAAGTTTAGCAGACTGTGTAATAAGTGCCATAATAGCAAATTTAATAATAATAACAGCAGCCATAAGGATAGAATTTAATGAACTTATACGGAAATTAATAATAGTAGTAGCAATAGAATTTCAATAATAATAATAATAATATGGGCTAATAAAACTAATAATAGCAACAAAACCAATCAAATTATAGTGCCTTATATAATTTGAATGGCGGAAACTAACAATAATAGTAAGTTTTTTTCATTTAATTTAATTTTAAATATTTAATTTTGGTTAAAAATAGATTTGGTGGAATAAGTCTCTAGAGTCAATACAGTAACAACAGTAATAACATGATGTATGGTGGACAATAATAATAGTAGTTTAATTAATATCAGTAATAGAATTTGTATCAAAATTAAATGCAAAATCAAATGGGATATAACTAAAATAATATTGGAAACAACTATTCCATGTAAATGTAAATGAATAATTAAGGCTTTAATAATACTAATTAAATGGGAATGGGTTATCCAAATTAAAACTTTTAGAACAACAACAATAACTATTAAATGAATTAAGGATTTGGTGGTGGATTTAATTAATAGCAATCTTAACCGGTTGGTAATAAGGCTCCTTTCGAAGATCTGATTTGAAAAATTTTAGTTTCTAATTAGTTGAATTATCAATTTTTGAATGTATATAAAAAATTCCATTTTTTTAAGAAGATTTGATTGTATTTCAAAACAAATTGTATTTGTATAGTTAAAGAAAAATATTATTTGAAACATCGTTTATTATTTATTTAATATATAAAAATATAAAATGCTTTTTAATAAACTTATTTTTTTAAAAAGCATAAAAAATAGTTAGTTGTTTTGTGTTAAAATAAAAGCTTTAATTTATATAAAGAAAAGTGTAGAAATATTTTAAATTATTAAAATATTATTATTTTAATTCATTAAATATTATTTTATAATACAAATAAAATTTTTATAATTTTTTTTGTGCAAATAAAAATATAGATTTAAATTTTTAAATTAACAATTAAAAGTATTCATTTATAATACCATAATTTTTATATTTTTTTTTATTTATTAAGAGAAAAAATATCAATTTTTTAAATTATTAAACTGAAGAATCCTAATAAAAATTTTAAAAGAAAAATCCTAATTACTGGAATATTTCTGATACATTATTTTAACTAAGTACATAAAAAATATAAGATATTATTTTAAATAAAATAACTAAATTATAAAATATCTTAAAACGATAATTTTTTACTATTTCATTTAATTAAATTAGTAATTGCAGTTTCTTTCTTAGTTTATTTCTCAAAAATTTTTTTTAAATTTTTCATATTTTAATTATTGATTTCTATGTAGATTTTTTAGTCTTAGTTTTAAATATAATTTGTTATGATAAATTTAAGGAGAATCCAATTATTACGCGATCTTTCATCGTAGATCTAAAACTTTTTCTTTATAAAGCTTAGTTTATTTAACATTTTATATATTTATATTAAAATCTTCCTAATAACACTATTCTTATTCTTTAAAAAGTAATATAAATAAGTAGTTACGTTCAGCAAAGCAATTAGAACGTAAAGAAAAATTAAGGCATATGAAAAAGAATTAGCAGTAACCTCACTATCTGAATTATAAATAATCAAATTAAAACAAGGTACAAAAATCAGCAGGTAAGATATGAAGAAATCTAACATATTTATTCTTTAGTCATAAAATGGCTTATCTTTTTAATTAAAAAATTAAATTAATAAATAAAATGAATTTATATTGTAAATTTTACTTTTTTTTGTTATTATTGTATAGATAGTTAAAATGATGCATAATATTATTTGCTTTATATTTTAATTATTTTTGGCTAACTAAGTTATTGCAATTATTGAGCATTTTTATACTAAAATTACTAGATCCCAATAAAAGCAATCCTCGGTGTATTATCTGTAGAAGAATCCAAAATGTTTATAATATTTATATTTTTACAAGCTTTATAAGTTAATTCTTAGGAATAAAAATATTATGATAAATAAAGAAGAAATTGCAAGAAGCATAGGTAAAGCAAAGCTTAAAGAAATAATTCGAAACTTTTGATCACAAGGTATATTTAAATAATCACTTACATACATTTTACCATCATATTTTTAGCAGGTCATCTAAAATTAATTTATAATATATAAAAAATTAATATAATTTATTATATATTTTTTTAAATTATTCTAAAGTATTAAATAAAGTTTAAATTAAATCAAAAATAATTTAAATTTACCACACCCAATCCTATTTTCAAAAATAATGGGATATTGAAAAGCAGTAAAATAAAAGCACTATTTAAACAAGGTTGCAGCCTTTGTTTGCTTTTTGATTTAACTTAAAGAAGCATTTAAATAACAAAGCATGCAAATATCATAAAGGTGCAATAAATGAAATAGTAAGATAGCTTTAAAAACGGCATTGTCAAAAAGCCAATATTTTTATCAAGATAGCATGATAGTTCATCAACAGGTAGGATAAATGGAAATTTGAAAAAATTAACAAAATACATAGTAGCATCATCTTGAATATTTAAATTTACAATATTTGCTAATATTTGAAGGTTATTCAAAATTAATTTAATTTAATTGACTTGACTTTATTATCCGCTTGATACAATTTTTGAAGAAAATATTTTTAATATTTTAACAATAAAAACCTATTAGGCATCTTATAAGATTTTATACGAATAGTAGAATAAAAGCAATAAATGAACTAAAGCTAAGCAAAATATAATTAATACGCTTATAGCCAAATTATTTCTACACCTTATTAAAAATATTAATAAAAATTATTTAAGATAAAATAAATTATAATAATTTGTTTATTTAGAAAGATAATGGCATTTAATTAAATTTTTGAATAATTGAAAAAATTAATTTGATAAAAAAAAATACTATTTGCAGCTATTATAGCTAGATTTATAAAATTTAGAATCCCAAAAAGCCTGGTTGATATCACAATCCCCACAAAGAGCTCCAACATATCCTTATAAAAATAAATAAATGTTTTAAGTGTCTCTGAAAAAATGCAAAATAATTTATTTGAAATAAAAAATTTTGAAAATCCTTGAATAATTTTTATATTGAAAAATATTTTGATTACCTCTATTACAATAGTAGACTTCATATGAGTCTTTTAACTTATATTAGGATACTTGTTTAAATAATGTAGAATTATCTCCTATGCATTTTATAAAATCTGATTCGCACTCATAATATAGACTAGAATTTGAACTAGATCTCCAATACCCCTGAGGAAGTTAAATAAAACTTCCATAACATATAGCTTTCTAAACAGGACAAGGAGTGCAAACTTAAGAATCTGGATCAAAAGAATAGGACCCCTTACACATAATACAAACATCATAGTTTAGAATATTCTTTTTTGAAACATATCCAACAGGGCACTTTTAAATCATATTTATTTGCAGAGTTACTGAAAATCCTCTAGTATATGTTACTTATCCTGTAAGTCTATCAAAATTAGGTACTTTTATACTATCACTATAGATTTTTAGTGTTAAATTTTATCCGAAATTTCCATATATATTAACTTGCTTTGTTAAATTATATATACCGTTTATTTGACTTAAAGTGTTTGGCGATATATAACCTTAGCCACTTATTTTTTAAATCTGCAATACTTCAGGTTAATCAATATTTTAATATACATCTCCTTCGTTATTTGCTAGTGATATCAAAATTTCTTCCTTTTTTTATTAATAAAGTTTAACAATATAAAAAAACTAACAAAATTACCTCCATATAGCCACTTATATGATCCGATATTTATATTTTAGGTTTTTTATTATCATGTAATACTTTATTTATCGTAATCATCATTTAAGTAGGACTAACAAATATATCATTATTCAAAACTGAAGCTTTATTCTAAATAAATGTATTTGTTTTTTAGCTTTGTAAAGAATTACCTTATACTGAATAAACAGCTCCTCCGTTTAAAGCTGTATTTTACTAGTATAAACAATTAATTGATTCTAAATAAGAGTTTTACTCATCTTGACTAAAGATAGCTCCTCCATTTAATTGAGCATTATTTTAAATAAATTTGGATGTTTGAATTATTACTGGAAAGTTTTAGAGATAAATAGCTCCTCCGCTTAAAACTGATTAATTTTCTTCAAATGAACACTTACTAATAATAGTGTATGAATCAAATATAAAAGAATTTGTTTTATTTGAATTTATTTATTAAAGGATTCTCGAATTATTGCCATTCAATGTATTTTAAAAGACTCCTATTTAATTTGAAATGTAAAGAGCTCCTCCATTTAGTGCAATATTTTTCTAAAAATAGTTCAAGCTTAAATGAATTTTTACTGAATTAATTAGAATATTGCCATTTTAACAAACTGAGCAAGTGTTATTAGTGAAGTTAGAATGGCTTACTGAAACTGAATTAGAAAATATTTAAAGTAAGTTTGTATTTTGAAAAGTTTTATTTTATTTTGTAATCAAGTAATCATAATAATTTGTATTGTTTTAAATTGTCACATATTAGAATTAAGTTTGATTTATGTTATTTAAAGAAATCAAAGATATTTTATAAATACTATTTTCAAATGTAGTTAAGAAACAATCAAATTTTTTTAAACCATCTACTTAAAGAATATTCTAAAATATAAGCTATTCTATATTTATTAGATTTGATGGATCACTTATGATACTTAAATTTGATTATTCTAATTAAAAGTATTAAATATTACTAACTTAAATATTTGATGATACATAGTATTAATACTATTTGTTTTTCAAAATAAGAGCTTTTAAGAAGGTCATTTGCTAGAATAGCTATGAAATGTAATTTAATAACTAAATATTATTAATTTCTAATTTAGTCTTATCTTATAAATTTCCTTAGACAAAAATTTAACTACCTTATAAGCTCAAATTGTTGATAAATTTACTATTTAGTATACTTAGTGAGCAACCATATTAAAAAGGTGTTATTAAATAGACAGCACCTCCTCGAAAAGAAGCAAAGTTATTAGTGAAATTAGTTTATTAAATGGAAATATCGAATCCGTATGATTATTTACCGTCGAAGTAAATAGCTCCTCCTTGTAACTCAAAATTATTGTCTAAATAGGAAATGTTATTTACAAAATTACTTTATTTAATTTAGACATTACCAAAATCTACAATTACTAAATAAATACCAGCACCTTAAATTGCTTAGCAATTTGTTATGTTAGAACTAATTATTTATGTGGTAACGCTTTATATATAAGCTGCACCTCCTAACTTGTAAGAATTATTTTATTTAATATTTTGCAAATCAAATTTGTTGAAATTAACAGAAATTAGTTTAAATATGGTTGTTTATGAAAAAATGTTAAATAAAGGTGCTATGAGAAAAGGACTTATATCAGAAAAAACAGCATTTTCTATTTAAACTGAACTTATTAAAGCCTTTATATTTAAAAAAGCAGATATTTGCTATAAGCTAGCCTTTTATTTTGTTTTAAAAAATATAAATTAGGTATATTAAATTAAATTAAAAAATAATATTTACAAAACTAATTGTACTCTAAAGATTAGCTAATTGATATTAAACATCTTTTATACTGATTTCTGAGCTTAAGTCTGAGGATATATGTAAAAATGACATAGAGGTAGTTTGCTTGGAAGAAACTAATGTAATATTTTTTAAGATAAAATTTTATATTTATATTATCGTATTTGAAACTTAGTTCACAGAAAATAATAGTTTGATATTTATAGGAATCTGTGCAGCATTTATATTCTTAACATTTACATTTTTTATTGATATTTAATTGTAAGCATATTTTATTGATATGATACCTTAGGATATATATTACTCATCGGTTTAGGCGTAGTCTAAAGTATCAATATTAATATTATAAGTATTAGTAATATACATAAATTATAAGTTTAAATTATCCCTCAAATTTATCTGTGATAAAATTACAGAAATTGCAGATTTAATTTAAATTAAATTGTTACCTAGATTTAATATTTAGTTATTCTATACAGTTATTTTTGAAAAAGTTATGCTATTCACATTAATTCCATCATTTTTAAATAAAAACGACTAATAACCAGAAACTTAATTATTTGAAAATTCTATGTTATTTAAGTAAGCTTAGTTTTGTACCTGACCATTTTTATTTTTTACTAAATTAAATAACCCGTAATTGTTCATTTGATTATAGGACACTATTATTTAATTGGTTTAAATTATATTAGTTACTATTAAATAATTTTAAATCTAGTCTATTGAAAACTAGCAGTTTTAAATTGTTATTTATTGTAGGATCAAATAATTTATGCTATAATCAAAAAGAATTTATGACTAATCTGTAAAATTAGTTTTAGATACAGCTAATTGTTAAATTTATATATTTTTTATATTATTTGTTTATGAGGGACTATTAAATACTAACAATTAGCTGCTCAAAATATTTGAATTAATTATATTCACAATTTGTAATTAAAATTATATGTACTACATATTAAATCTAATAAGCATAGAGTCTTACATATAAACCTAAATTAAATAAATAAAATCTTTTAATATGAATTTTAAAATAAAAATTTTACATTGTCAAATGTGCAATTAAAAAGTTTTAAAGTTATGTTTTATTATTAAGATATGAACTAGTCTAATGTAATTAAAGGTGTTGAATTCACTAATACTATATTTTAAAAGTTACTATTTTGAATAGATATTGTTGTATTTTAAATCTATGCAAATTAAAGGTAAAAATAATTTGCATCTTTTTAAACAGAAATTTACTTAAAACTAACGAAATCAAAGCTAATCTAAAGTAAATTTTATGAATAGATATTTATACCGAAATTTGAAAATGGTATTTGCTAAATAAAGTCTATTCCACTAACAAATACAGTATTAAAACCAGAAATATTCAATATTTATTTTTGACTTAATTTGAAATTTTGCTAAATATTAAAATTTTAAGAAGTAATATTTAATGTAAGGCTTTCTAATGAAAATATTTAATTTCCTAGCTGAGAAGAAAGCTAAAAACTATTTTATTGTTCACAAAAATCATTTAAAAAGATAATTTTAACTTTTATTTCTCTTACTTATAATTCATTATAATAAACAATCAATTGATCATAAGGTAATTCATTTAGAATAATTTTATCAATATTTATATCTTAAAGCCTATTAAAATTTATAGGATTTTGCAAAGATCCATCTCCTAAAGGTTTACCTATATTAGAGCACTAAGCGTATATCACTTTTTATTTTTGATAATGACATCCTTAGTTTTTATTATTACATAAATAGCATTTTCTTTTTGATTTATCATATGCTATTTAATAGTCATTTAAATTTGAAGAGAATCCATTTAAATTGTCCTTACAAGACATGCATTAACTTTAGTAAAGAAAATATGGGTTTTTAGAAATATCACCCACATTAAAACAAGTGCTGCATCTATTTATAACAATTATATATTTTATAATAAATATTTTAAATTTTACTTTAATATAATATTATGTTGTTTTAAAATCCATAAGTAAATAAATTTTTTAAATTAAAACCAATAAATTCTAGAATTCATATTTATTTATTTTTTATTTGGAGTAACTAAATATATCAAGCTTATTATTTAAAAACATTTTAAATATATTTTGGAGTTTAAAAATAAAAATATTTGTTTATATGATTGTTAATAACATGCTTCTTTTTTATAAAAAATCTGTAAATATTATCAATTATTTTATAAATTTGAATAGTCATAATATTATTCTAAAATGTTTTTTAAATTAATTTACAATATTGGGCAAATCATACAATCAGTCCCATCTCCTGTGATTTTAATTAATTAATTGATATCTGGTAATTAATTTTAATTAAAGTAAAGTCTTGCAATCCAATATTACTAATCTTTTATTAAATTAGATAGTGCATTAGTATCGCAGGAAGAACAATAAGGTCTATTATTTTAATAATCAAATTAACAATACTTGCAATACTTCCCACATATAAGCTTTATACATTATTAAGTATTGGCATCCAAAAAATACCCACTTTAACAGCTTGTACATAAAATTTACTGTTAAGCTCCAAATCTATAATCTAAACGATCTTAATAACTAAACTTATATTTCATTTAAGCTAAATCTTCAGTATATTTGTAAAACTTAGATCCTAAATCAAGAAATTATCAATTACCAAATAATTATTTTAAAATAATTTTTATACCTTCATAACAATAAGCGCATCCTTCTGGGCATGGAAGGCATCCTTTTAAAGTTGGAATATATCCCCATTAACAAAATGTGCATTAATAGATTTGTATAATATTTGAGTTCCAAGTTGTTTTATAAGAGTAACATGCATAACAATTATAAATCTTAATTAATAATACAATATAAAAAATAAAATAAAATAAACTTAATTAAAATAATACCATATTTCTGCATTCTTAATTGAGACAAGCATTAGAATCTTAATCAAATACATTGGAACCACAATAATTTATTTAATTATTTGATAAATTGCAATTTTATTTATCTGCTGTCTATAAATAGCCATTACCGCATAAAGTACAAATTAATTAAAATTTAGTAACCTAGTTATCTAAATAGTATAAAGGATAGATGTTTAATTAAATTGAATCATTTATAAGAAAAGTTTATGACTAACAGTAAGGTATAATCTAATATTATGTACAATTTTAACCTTTTATTATTATTTTAAATTAAATTATTTTGAAGGTAGGATTTTAATTTTAATTACCTGATCCATCTACAATACCCTAATAACAAGACTAGCATACTTTTTTATAACCTAAGTTAATAATATCTTATTAAGTCATTTACACTAAATTATTCTATTGATCGTTTATAATTCCGTAAATATTTTCTTTTTAAATATGATTTTAATTATATTTTTTATTGCTACTTCAAAAAATGTTACTGTAAACGCATTAAAAACAATTTTATCCACAAACTTCACAACCCAGTAAATCATATCTGACTAATTACATATTAGGACACTAAAGACATATTAAAGTCCAAACAACATTTGCATATTATCCACTTGAAAGCTGCTTCTAAGAAAGTGAACTTTTTAATAAAGCTTTTTTTCCAGATACAAAAATTGCAAACTCACATTTGGTACAATTATTTGGACAAGGAACACAATTTGAAGATTCCAAAACAAATCCTTATTGACAAGATAAGCATATGGCATTATTGATACCTTACATTTAGCATGAAATACAATTTGTAGGACCTTTTAAAAAAATAAATTAATATAAATAAATACTATAAACCTTCACATATTAATAGCCAATTTTATTAAAATTCAACCAAAATAAAATATGTTATTTTTAAATCTAAAATAAGGGGATAATATGAGTATGTGATAATTAATAAGGATTTATATTATATAAATGTAATTATTTACAGTTCCAAAAATTATAGACTGAAATGTTATTTCCATTATAATTTACAATATAGCTCAAGGCTTAATTATTCATTTATTATAAACGGTTTTAATAATTATTCGTTTCGAAGTTCCTACATGTTTTAAATTACTAATTCTAATTCCTTTTTAAATAAAATTTATTTATTATCTAAATTTTTTGCTAAAAATTACCATAAATCTAACTCTGAGGAGCAATCAATACATTTTTAATAATAATAGTTTATTTAAGGACACAAAACACACTAATTGTAGTTATTTAATGTGTTTTTATACATAAAAAAACCTTTCTAACATTATGTGCAGTTAAATTAAGAGTTGCATGAAAAGCATCTAATTTTAAATAAAAAAAATTTATCCTTTTAATCGAATGAATATTTTCAAAAAAATTACCCATAAGGACATTTCAAAGATTAATTTGATAAGCAATTATTCTAATCATAGCAATCATCTTACATGTAATCTAAATTCATATTAAATACTAATTTAAGTTACAAAAATTGTTGAGTTTATTCAATAGAATAACAAGTCTGATTTCCAGGATTTCTATAGATGTTAGGGCATTATTAGCAAAGTTTAGTCCTATCATAAATGTTTTAACAAAAACCATTTATATCAGTGCAAACATCGTACTTAAAATATTTCTATGAATTTATGTTTAATATTTAACATAATCCATTGTTGTTTACTTTAATAGCACAATTTTTTTCGCCTAACTTTTAAATTAGTTCTTTTCCGTATAAACAATAGCCTTAGTTATCACTAAATTAGCAATATCCATCTGGACAATATGAGCATAAATTTGTATATATGAAAGTGCATTTTCCTAAAATAGAATTAGAAAGATTATTTTACATATACTAATTAGAAATTAATTAAAAACTATAAATTGTTTGAATAAATATAATTTAATAATTTAAAAATTTCTTGTAAAAAACAATTTTTTCGAAAGCTAAATTTCAAAAAAATTTTAATAATTTACTTTGTTATTAATAAATCTTCAAAAATTAGTTTTTTTTTTTGAATAATTAAACATACTCAAAAAAACTAATATATTTTATGAATAGAAAGGAAAATTTTTTACCTTCTTGATCAGCACAGTATTAATACTTGATACCTACTTCTTTGCAAGTTTAAAAATTAGTGATTGGATCTGTATAAACACAATAACCCCTAACACATTCTTCTATCTGGTCTCCAATTAGAGTAGCAACTTACTATGATAAACAGAAATCAGTATTTACTTATCTTGCAAATCTGCTATCTAGTATGTTAGAGGAAAGATACATACAAGAATTAGATTTTTGGTCCAAACAAAATTAATCTTTTAGGCATCTATTTTTAAAAAAAGTAAAATAGTATTTTAACAAATTTTATTAAAATACTTAATTGCATTTGCTTAGCCATAACTTAAGCAATAATAATTATGGTCATAACCCACATAACTATATGACATTAATTTGATGCAAGAATATGTTACATAAGAATGTTATTATCCATTGCTCTAGTACGAGTAAGTATAACTTTTAATACAGTGTTATGAAGCACACATCTAAATACCTTTATTAAAATATGCAAATTAGATAATTTTTTATTTTTAAACTTACTAGTGTATTCTTAATTTCTTTGAGCACAATAACCATTTGTTTATTTACCCTGTTTGTATTTTAATTATAACATCAATATAATTTTTTTAAATTTTACTGCATAAAAGGAAACAATATCATCTATCTATGCACAAAAGTTGAATGAAGGATCTAAGCAGCTATCTGCTCCACAGATAGGCATTAAATTTCTTAAATTGCTTTAAAATTATTATTTAGATAATAATTTATTTTGGATTTAAAGATTTCTTAAAAAGCTTATATTTTTTTATTTATTCTCAAAGAATTGAATAGATTGAGAGCCAGAAAATAATATACAATTTTTGTCTTTTAATTAGTCAAGAAATATTTAGCTTATTATTAAAAAATAAAATTTAATTTAAATATATTTATTTTGCTCTAAAATGATATACTTATAACTTTAAAGTCTATTGCAATTCCTTTCAAAAATATATTAAAGTGATAAATTGTTTGTATTGAATATTAAGAAGCTTTGAGATAATGTTAAGCTATCTGTATTACTTTTTAACCATTACCAAAATTCATTTACTTAAACAAAATCTATACCTAGTTATAAAAATATGCAATAAATAAAAAAATTTATTTGATAAGAAAATTACTTTAACTTATGAATTCATTTTTAGCTTATTAACCTAATGTTGAGTAAGCAAATGTTTAGTACAAATTCTATTAATTGATAAGAGTAATAAGAATAAATAAATAATTAATTAATTTAGGAAATATATTTACTTAAAAATAGCTATTGCTTCTTTCCTTACTTAACTTTAGATTGATTTTCCTAACTTTACTTTTATTTGAAAAAAAATATATTTATAATAATTTGGATTAATTTTTATATTTATTTTACTTTCCTGATGAACAAATAATCAAAATTGAATCGTCAATTTGACATAAATAGATTTCTTGAAATAAATATGTTTGTTTCAGTTAATGATTAATAAATTTCAAAAAAAATTTATACCCTTAAAGTCTATTAGCTCTACCTCTCCAATTATTATAAGAAATTTATTGATTTATTCCTATGTAAAAATCTCTTTGAATTACTCTAAAATTATTGATAACTTTTCAGTAGATTAAAAACAATATAAATGTATGCTCAAATTATCTGGAAACTCTTCAATACTTCTATTCAAGCTCTATGTGCCATAAGAATCATAGCCATACTCAATTATTTAATCAGAAATAGTAAAATTCTAATGATATTCCTTAGATTAAACATTTAAAACCAAGCTAAGTAGAGTATATACCAAAAAATACAAGTTTTTAAAAAAATACAAATTCATTCTTCTAGTTTTTAATATTTTCAATCTATCTCTTAAAATTAATTTTTGATTATAAATGAATTATAATCACAAATGAAATTCAATATTTAAAAATATACAGAGAATTCTTGTTTTTTTATATTATTCTCTTATTAATTTATTTCTTCCTGAGGATTAGTAGTAAAAATAAATATAAGAATAGTAAGCTGCTTTTTGTATCGCAATTCAGGTTACTAGTCGAATAATCCAAAAATTATCTATACAATAACTATGACTTTAATCATTAGATAATACTTTTAAAAATTTTACTTAAAATAAAAAATAAATAATAAAAAATTCTATTTTATAATTTTATTACTACTACTATTTTAGGCATAGTAATAATTTGATTATTTTCATAAAAAAAGAAAAGATTAAATAAAACTCAGGAAATTATTTTTTCAAAAAAATATTAATTAAAATCTACTAAGTTATCGTATTCTAAATTAACTAAATTTATTTTAAATTTTGCTTTATTATTATTTTTTTGAGTTTTATTTAAAACAAGAATAGATGTAAGCTAATATTTTTTAAATATTAATTTTGAACTTTCTAATAGAAAATTTGATAAAAAATACTATTTAACCTCTACCTTAAATGTAAAAAAGATATTAAGGTATTACTTTATTTGTAAAAGTAAATTTAATTAAAAAAAGAAAAATTGATTTTTCATATCTAAATAAATTAAGTTACAGTCGTTTAAACTGATTTTTTTTTTTAATAAAAAGTAACACAAATGTTTCTTAGATTGGGGAAATAATTACGAAGCTATTAAAAATAATAACAAAAATTACCTATTAAAATATGTAAAAGCTATTTTTATCAAATTTTATCAATATATAAAAAGTATATTTATCAATTCTTTCTCTCAATCATTTTTTATTTGACATTCATTTTTATATATTAGCCCATGTAAAGCACAGTTCTTTTGAAAATTCATATCATATTAATAAAGATAAATATATTACTTATTTAGTCAAATTTAGAATTTTTTAAGAAGAAACAAACATTCATATATTTTAACATTTTTTAGTATAATTTTAAATATTTTAGATAAAATATTTTGAAATCATTTGTTTCTATATATAAAATATTATGAAATTAGTAGTAATTTAATATTTAAATGTTTAAAAATTAAGTTTTCTTGCATGAATTTATCATTTTTTTAAATTTTTTTAGTTTTCTTATAAATAAAATAGCATGCTATTTAAAAATAGTCTAATTAACCATTTTTTGATTGTGAGTTCTATCAGTTTATTGATAATAACCAGTTCGTAAGTAATATTTTATAATAATTTTATTGAAATTCATGACTTAGATTGATGTGTTTTATTATCAAAATATTTGTTTTTTTCTTTTTAAATTAAAAAATGATATTAATAAACGTTTATAAATAGTCAGAGAGCTAACTCAACTTAATTTTTTACCCCCTATTTTTGTTAAAAAATTCTGTTATTTTACAAAAACATTTTAAATGTATTTTGGGGTTTAAAAAAAATATTTGTTAATATAATTATAAATAAAATGCTTCTTATTTATAAAAAATTTGTAAATATTATCAATTATTATGTAAATTTTAATTTTCAACTAATTATTTTAAAATCTATATTAAATTAATTTACAATATTAGACAAATTATACAGTCAGTTTAATTAGTTAGTTAATATATGGAATTAATTATAATCAAAGTAGACTTGCAATCTAATATTAATAATCTTTTATAAAATTAGATAGTGTTTTGCATGAAGTACAAATTTATTTTAATTTAGCTACCTAACTTTACAAATAATATATGAGATAGATGTCTAATTAAATTGAGTCATTTATTAGAAAAATCTATGATACACAGTTAGCGATAGTCTAAATTTCTGTACAATTTTAACCTTTTATTATTATTTTAAATTCAAATTTTTTTCAAGATTATAATTTAATTTTAGTTACCTGTTCTATCTACATTTCCCTATAACAAGACTTGCATACTTTTTTATAACCTTAGTTAATAATATATTATTAAATCATTTACACTAAATTATTCTATTGATCGTTTACTATTCAGTAAATGTTTTCTTATTTTAAATATTTCATTAAATGTTACAGTAAACGAATTCATAACAATTTTATCCACAATCTTCACAGCCCATCAAATCATATTTGACTAATTACTTATAAGGAAACTAAATACATATTAAAATCCAAACAACATTTGCATATTATCAACTAGAAAGCTGCTTCTAAGAAAGTGACCTTTTGAGTAAAACCTTTCTCCAGAAACAAATTTTTGTAAACTCACATTTGATACAATTATTTGGAAAATGAACACAATTTGAAGATTCCAAAACAAATCCTTATTGACAAGATAAGCATATGGAATTATTGATTCCTTAGAATTAGCATAACTTACAGTTTTAAGAGCCTTAAAAGTAAATTAATACAAAAAAATCATCAAATATTAATACCCAATCCTATTAAAATTCAACAAAAAATAAATCTTATTTAAATAATCGCTAAATTTCATTTCAGTTGAACATATAATGCAATGCTATCAAAACGAAAATTTTATCTTGAAAAATTTTTTCTTTTTAAATATAATTAATTACATTTTATTTTTTTATTATAATAATTTATTTGGTAAGTGAATTTATTGTTTTTGTGAATTTTTCATTTTTAACAAAAATATTTATCGAATAAAACAAGAAATTAAAAGGCAAATATTTATAACTAAAATCGTTTTAAAATTTACAAAATTTTTATTTTTAAAAAATATGACTTGTTGGAAAAATAAAATATTTTTTTTATTTTTTTTCTGAGACAGAAGGCACTTTTTTCTATATATATGGAAATCTATTTGATCTTTTATTTTAAATAAATACATAAAAAAATATAAAATATTATTTTAAATAAAATAATTTAATTATAAAATATGTTTAATACTATAATTTTTTACTATTCATTGAATTAAACTTGTAATTTATGTTGCTCTCTTAGTTTATCTTTTAAAAATTTCATTTAAATTTTTTATCTTTTAATAATTGATTTCTATGTAGATTTTTTTATCTTAGTTTTAGATATAATTTTTTATGATAAATTTAAGGAGAATCCAATTATTACGCGATCTTTCATCGTAGATCTAAAACTTTTTCTTTATAAAACTTAGTTTATTTAACATTTTATATATTTATATAAGAATCTTCCTAATAGCACTATTCTTATTCTTTAAAAAGTAATATAAATAAGTAGTTATGTTAAGCAGAGCAATTAGAACGTAAAGAAAAATTAAGGCATATGAAAAAGAATTAGCAGTAACCTCACTATCTGAATTGTAAATAATCAAATTTAAACAAGGTACAAAAATCAGCAGGTAAGATATGAAGAAATCTAACATATTTATTCTTTAGTCACAAAATGGCTTATCTTTTTAATAAAAAAATAAATTAATAAATAAAATGAATTTACATTGTAAGTTTTACTTTTTTTTGTAATAATAGTGTAGATAGTTAAAATGATGCATAATATTATTTGCTTTATATTTTAATTATTTTTGGCTAACTAAGTTATTGCAATTATTGAGCATTTTTATACTAAAATTACTAGATCCCAATAAAAGCAATCCTCGGTGTATTATCTGTAGAAGAATCCAAAATGTTTATAATATTTATATTTTTACAAGCTATATAGGTTAGTTCTTAGGAATAAAAATATTATGATAAATAAAGAAAAAATAACAAGAAGCATAGGTAAAGCAAAGCTTAAAGAAACTATTCCAAAATTTTGATCGCAAGATATATTTAAAAAGTCACTTACATACATTTTACCATCATAATTTGAGCAGGTCATCTAAAATTAATTCATTATAAAAAACAAAAAAATTTAATAGAATTTATTTTATTTTGTTTTAAGTTATTCTTAAGTATTAAATGAAGTTTAAATTAAATCTAAAATAATTCAAATTTACCACACCCAATCCTATTTTCAAAAATAATGGGATATTGAAAAGCAGTAAAATAAAAGCACTATTTAACCAAGGTAGTAGTCTTTGTTTGTTTTTCGATTTAACTTAAAGAAGCATTTAAATAACAAAGCATGCAAATATCATAAAGGTGCAATAAATGAAATAGTAAGATAGCTTTAAAAACGGCATTGTCAAAAAGCCAATATTTTTATCAAGATAGCATGATAGTTCATCAACAGGTAGGATAAATGGAAATTTGAAAAAATTAACAAAATACATAGTAGCATCATCTTGAATATTTAAATTTACAATATTTGTAAATATTTAAAGATTATTCAGGATTAATTTAATTTAATTGACTTGACTTTATTATCCGCTTAGTATAAATTTCTAAGAAAATATTTTTAATATTTTAACAATAAAAACCTATTAGGCATCTTATAAGATTTTATATGAATAGTAGAATAAAAGTATTAAATACACTAAAGCTAAGCAAATTATAATTAATAAGCTTATAGCTAAATTATTTCTACACCTTATTTAAAATATTAATAAAAATTATTTAAGATAAAATAAATTAAATTAATTTGTCTATTTAGAAATATAATGATATTAACTAAACTTTTGAATTATGATTGAAAAAATTAAAATAGAAATACTAATTGCAGCTATTATAACTAGTTTTATAAAATTTAGAATCCCAAAAGACCTGGTTGATATCGCAATCCCCACAAAGAGCTCCAACATATCCTTAAAAAAAAAAATAAATATTTTAAGTTTCTCAGAATAAATGCAAAACAATTTATTTGAAATAAAAAATTTTGAAAAACCTTGAATAATTTTTATTATGAAAAATATTTAGATTACCTCTATTACAATAGTAGATTTCATATGAGTCTTTTAACTTATATTATGATACTTGTTTAAATAATATAGAATTATCTCCTACGCATTTGATAAAATCTGTTTCACACTCATAAATTATACTAGAATTTGAACTAGCTCTCCAATACCCCTGAGGAAGTTAAATAAAACTTCCATAGCATATAGCTTTCTAAACAGGACAAGGAGTACAAACCTAAGAATCTGGATCAAAAGAATAGGACCCCGTACACATAATACAAACATCGTAGTTTAGATTATTCTTTTTTGAAACATATCCAATAGGGCACTTTTAAATCATATTTATTTGCAGAGTTACTGAAAATCCTCTAGTATATGTTACTTCTCCTGTAAATGTATCAAAATTAGGTACTTTTATACTATCGCTATAGATTTTAAGAGTTAAACTTTATCCGAAATTTCCAAATATATTAACTTGCCTTGTTAAATTATATACACCGTTTATTTGACTTAAAGTATTTGATGATATATACCCTTAGCCACTTATTTTTTAGATTTGCAATACTTCAGGCTAATCAATATTTTTATATACATCTCCTTCGTTATTTGCTAGTGATATCAAAATTTCTTCCTTTTTTTATTAATAAAGTTTAACGTTTAACAATATAAAGAACTAATAAAATTACCTCCAGATAGCCACTATTATGATCTGATATTTACACTTTAGGTTTTTTATTATCATGCAATACTTTATTTATCGTAATTATCATTGAAGTAGGACTAACAAATATATCATTATTCTAAATAGAAGCTCTATTCTAAATAAATGTATTTGTTTTTTAGCTTTGTAAAGAATTACCTTCTACTGAATAAACAGCTCCTCCGTTTAAAGCTGTATTTTACTAGTATAAACAATTAATTGATTCTAAATAAGAGTTTTACTAATCTTGACTAAAGACAGCTCCTCCATTTAATTGTGCATTATTTTAAATAAATTTGGATGTTTGAATCATTACTGGAAAGTTTTATAGATAAATAGCTCCTCCGCTTAAAACTGATTAATTTTCTTCAAATGAACACTTACTAATAATAGTGTATGAATCAAATGTAAAAGAATTTGTTTTATTTGAATTTATTTATTAAAGGATTCTCGAATTATTGCCATTCAATGTATTTTAAAAGACTCCTATTTAATTTGAAATGTAAAGAGCTCCTCCATTTAGTGCAATATTTTTCTTAAAATAGTTCAAGCTTAAATGAATTTTTACTGAATTAATTAGAATATTGCCATTTTAACAAACTGAGCAAGTGTTATTAGTGAAGTTAGAATGGCTTACTGAAACTGAATTAGAAAATATTTAAAGTAAGTTTGTATTTTGAAAAGTTTTATTTTATTTTGTAATTAAGTAATCATAATAATTTGTATTGTTTTAAATAGTCACATATTAGAATTAAGTTTGATTTATATTATTTAAAGAAATCAAAGATATTTTATAAATACTATTTTTAAATATGGTTAAGAAACAATCAAATTTTTTTAAACCATCTACTTAAAGAATATTCTAAAATATAAACTATTCTATATTTATTAGATTTGATCGATCATTTATGATGCTTAAATTTGATTATTCTAATTAAAAGCATTAAATATTACTAACTTAAATATTCGATGATACATAGTATTAATACTATTTGTTTTTCAAAATAAGAGCTTTTAAGAAGGTCATTTGCTAGAAAAGCTATGAAATGTAATTTAATAACTAAATATTATTAATTTCTAATTTAGTATTATCTTATAAATTTCCTTAGACAAAAATTTAACTACCTTATAAGCTCAAATTGTTGATAAATTTACTATTTAATATACTTAGCGAGCAACTATATTAAAAAGGTGTTATTAAATAGACAGCACCTCCTCGAAAAGTAGCAAAGTTATTATTGAAATTAGTTTATTGAATGGAAATATCAAATCCGTATGACTATTTACCGTCGAAGTAAATAGCTCCTCCATATAACTCAAAGTTATTGTCTAAATATGAAATGTTATTTATAAAATTACTTTATTTAATTTAGACATTACCAAAATCTACAATTACTAAATAAATTCCAGCACCTTAAATTGCTTAGCAATTTGTTATGTTAGAACTAATTATTTATGTAGTAACACTTTATATATAAGCTGCACCTCCAAACTTGTAAGAATTATTTTATTTAATATTTTGCAAATCAAATTTGTTGAAATTAACAGAAATTAGTTTAAATATGGTTGTTTATGAATATATGTTAAATAAAGGTGCTATGAGAAAAGGACTTATATCAGAAAAAACAGCATTTTCTATTTAAACTGAACTTATTAAAGCCTTTACATTTAAAAAGACAGATATTTGCTATAAGCTAGCCTTTTATTTTGTTTTAAAAAATATAAATTAGGTATATTAAATTAAATTAAAAAATAATATTTACAAAACTAATTGTACTCTAAAGATTAGCTAATTGATATTAAACATCTTTTATAGTGATTTCTGAGCTTAAATCTGACGATATATGTAAAAATGACATTGAAGTAGCTTGATTGGAAGAAACTAATGTAATATTTTTTAAGATAAAGTTTTAGATTTGTATTATCGTATTTGAAACTTAGTTCACAGAAAATAATAGTTTGATATTTATAGGAATCTGTGCAGCATTTATATTCTTAACATTTACATTTTTTATTGATATTTAATTGTAAGCATATTTTATTGATATGATACCTTAGGATATATATTACTCATCGGTTTAGGTGTATTCTAAAGTATCAATATTAATATTATAAGTATTAGTAATATACATAAATTATAAGTTTAGATTATCCCTCAAATTTATATGTGATAAAATTACAAAAATAGCAGATTTAATTTAAATTAAATTATTACTTAGATTTAATATTTAGTTATTCTATACAGTTATTTTTGAAAAAGTTATGCTATTCACATTAATTCCATCATTTTTAAATAAAAACGACTAATAACCAGAAACTTAATTATTTGAAAATTCTATGTTATTTAAGTAAGCTTAGTTTTGTACTTGACTATTTTTATTTTTTACTAAATTAAATAATCCGTAATTGTTCATTTGATTATAAGACATTATTATTTAATTGGTTTATATTATATTAGTTACTATTAAATAATTTTAAATCTAGTCTATTGAAAACGAGCAGTTTTAAATTATTATTTATTATAGGATCAAATAATTTATGCTATAATCAAAAAGAATTTATGACTATTCTATAAAATTAGTTTTAGATACAGCTAATTGTTAAATTTATATATTTTTTATATTATTTGTTTATGAGGGACTATTAAATACTAACAATTAGCTGCTCAAAATATTTGAATTAATTATATTCACAAGTTGTAATTAAAATTATATGTATTACATATTAAATCTAATAAGCATAGAGTCTTACATATAAACCTAAATTAAATAAATAAAATATTTTAATATGAATTTTAAAATAAAAATTTTACATTGTCAAATGTGCAATTAAAAAGTGTTAAAGTTATGTTTTATTATTAAGATATGAACTAGTCTAATGTAATTAAAGGTGTTGAATTCACTAATACTATATTTTAAAAGTTACTATTTTGAATAGATATTGTTGTATTTTAAATCTATGCAAATTAAAGGTAAAAATAAGTTGCATCTTTTTAAACAGAAATCTACTTAAAACTAACGAAATCAAAGCTAATCTAAAGTAAATTTTATGACTAAATATTTATGCCAAAATTTGAAAATGGCATTTGCTAAATAAAGTCTATTCCACTAACAAATATAGTATTAAAACCAGAAATATTTAATATTTATTTTTGACTTAATTTGAATTATTGCTAAATATTAAAATTTTAAGAAGTAATATTTAATGTAAGGCTTTCTAATGAAAATATTTAATTTCCTAGCTCAGAAGTAAGCTAAAAGCTATTTTATTGTTCACAAAAATCATTTAAAAAGATAATTTTAACATTTATTTCTCTTACTTATAATTCATTATAATAAACAATCAATTGATCATAAGGTAATTCATTTAGAATAATTTTATCAATATTTATATCTTAAAGCCTATTAAAATTTATAGGATTTTGCAAAGATCCATCTCCTAAAGGTTTACCTATATTAGAGCACTAAGCGTATATCACTTTTTATTTTTGATAATGACATCCTTAGTTTTTATTATTACATAAATAGCATTTTCTTCTTGATTTATCATATGCTATTTAATAGTCATTTAAATTTGAAGAGAATCCATTTAAATTGTCCTTACAAGACATGCATTAACTTTAGTAAAAGAAATATGGGTTTTTAGAAATATCACCCATATTAAAACAAGTGCTGCATCTATTTATAACAATTATATATTTAAAAATAAATATTTTAAATTTTACTGTAAAAAAGTTTTTTGTTATTTTAAAATCCATAAGTTAATAAATTTTTTAAATTAAAACCAATAAATTCTAGAATTCATGAATATTTTTAATTAATTTGGAGTACCAAACTTTAAAACATTTTTTATGTATTTTGTGGTGTTTAAAAATAAAAATATTTATTTTTATGATTGTAAATAAAAGGCTTCTTATTTATAAAAAATTTGTAATATTTCAATAATTATGTAAATTTGAATGGCCATAAAATTATTTTAAAATCTATATTAAATTAATTTACAATATTGGGCAAATAATGCAATCAGTTTCATCTTCTGTGAATTAAATTAATTATTTAATATCTGGTAATTAATTTTAATTAAAGTACAGTGTTGCAATCCAATATTACTAATCTTTTATTAAATTAGATAGTGCATCAGTATTGCAGTAAGAACATTAGATTTTATTATTTTACTAATCAAAATAACAACTCTAGCAATACTTACCACATATAAGCTTTACACATTATTAAGTATTGGCATCCAAAAAATACCCACTTTAACAGCTTGTACATAAAATTTACTGTTAAGCTCCAAATCTATAATCTAAACGATCTTAATAACTAAACTTATATTTCATTTAAGCTAAATCTTCAGCATATCTGTAAAACTTAGATCCTAAATTAAGAAATTATCAATTATCAATTAATTATTTTAAAATAATTTTTATACCTTCTTAACAATTAGAGCATCCTTCTGGGCATGGAAGGCATCCTTTTAAAGTTGGAATATATCCCCATTAACAATATGTGCATTAATATATTTGTATAATATTTGAGTTCCAAGTTGTTTTATAAGAATAACATTTAGAACAATTATAAATCTTAATTAATAATAATACAATTAAAAAAAAATTAAAATAATATAAAAAAAAATTAATTAAAATAATACCACATTTCTGCATATTTAATTGAGACAAGTATTAGAATCTTAGTCAAATACATTTGAATTACAGTCATTTATTTAGTTATTTGATAAAATGCAATTTTATTTATCTGTTGTCAATAAATAGCCATTCTCGCATTAAGTGCAAATTTATTTATATTTAGTAACCTAGCTTTATAAATAGTATAAGGGATAGATGTTTAATTAAATTGAGTCATTTATTAGAAAATTATATGAATAACAGTTAGGGATATAGTAAAATTCTGCACAATTTTAACCTTTTATTATTAATTTAAATTAATTTTTTTTGAAGGTTAGAATTTAATTTTAATTACCTGTTGCATCTACAATTGTTTAGCAAGACTTACATACTTTTTTATAACCTAAGTTAATAATATCTTATTAAGTCATTTAGACTAAATTATTCTATTGATCGTTTATTATTCCGTAAATATTTTCTTTTTTAAAGATAATTTAAATTATATATTTTATTCCTATTTCAAAAAATATTACAGTAAACGCAAGCATAACAATTTTTCCCACAAACTTCACAACCCATCAAATCATATCTGACTAATTACTTATAAGGACACTCAAGGCATATTAAAGTCCAAACAACATTTGCATATTATCCACTTGAAAGCTGCTTCTAAGAAAGTGAATTTTTTAATAAAGCCTTTTTTCCAGATACAAAAATTGCAAACTCACATTTGGTACAATTATTTGGACAAGGAACACAATTTGAAGATTCCAAAACAAATCCTTATTGACAAGATAAGCATATGGCATTATTGATACCTTACATTTAGCATGAAGTACAATTTTTAGTGCCTTTTGAAAAAGTAAATTAATATAAATAAATACTATAAACCTTCACATATTAATATCTTATTTTTAAAAATCACCCAGATTTCATTTCAATTTAGACTTATTTTTAAATCTAAAATATAGGGATAATATGAGTGATAATTAATAAGGATTTATATTATATAAATGTAATTATTTACAATTCGAAAAATTACTGACTAAGATGTTATTTCCATTCTAATTTACAATATAGCTCTGGGCTTAATTATTATTTTATTATAAACGGAGTTTAAAATATTTTTCGAAGTTTCTACATGTTTTAAATTACTAATTCTAATTCCTTTTTAAATAAAATTTATTTATTATCTAAATTATTTTCTAAAAATTACCATAAATCTAACTCTGAGGAGCAATCAATACATTTTTCTGAATAAGAATAGATTTAAGGGCACAAAACACACTAATTGTAGTTATTTAATGTGTTTTTATACATAAAAAAACCTTTCTAACATTATGTGCAGTTAAATTAAGAGTTGCATGAAAAGCATCTAATTTTAAATAAAAAAATTTTATCCTTTTAATCGAATGAATATTTTCAAAAAAAATTACCCATAAGGACATTTCAAAGATTAATTTGATAAGCAATTATTCTAATCATAGCAATCATCTTACACATAATCTAAATTCATATTAAATACTAATTTAAGTTACAAAAATTGTTGAGTTTATTCAATAGAATAGCAAGTCTGATTTCCAGGATTTCTATAGAATTTAGGACATTATTAACAAAGTTTAGTCCTATCATAAATGTTTTAACAAAAACCATTTATATCTGTGCAAACATCGTACTTAAAATATTTCTATGAATTTATGTTTAATATTTAACATAATCCATTGTTGTTTACTTTAGTAGCACAATTTTTTTCGCCTAACTTTTAAAATATTTCTTTTCCGTAAAAACAATAGCCTTAGTTATCACTAAATTAGCAATATCCATCTGGACAATATGAGCACAAATTTGTTTATATGAAAGCGCATTTACCTAAAATAAAATTCGATAGATTACTTTACATTTTTAAATTAGAAATTAATTAAAAATTATTTATTTATTTGAATAAATATCATTTTAGAATTTAAATATATCTTGTAATAACAATTTTTTCAAAAATTATATTACAAAAAAATTTAATAATTTACTTTATTATTAATAAATATTCAACTATTAGTTTTTTTGATTAATTAAATGTTCTCAAAAAAACTAATTAATTTTATGAATAGAAAGGAGAATATTTTACCATACAGATCAGCGCAGTATTAATACTTGATACCTACCTCTTTGCAAGTTTAAATATTAGTAGCTGGATCTGTATAAACACAATAACCTCTAACACATTCTTCTATCCTATCTCCTATTTGAATAGCAACTTACTAAGATATACAGAAATCAGTATTTATTTATCTTGCAAATCTTCTATCTAGCAAGTTAGAGGAAAGTTACATACAAGAATTAGATTGTTGGTCCAAACAAAATTAATCTTTTAAGCACCTTATTTTAAAAAAAACTTAAATAGTATTTTAAGCTAATTTAATTAGAATACTTAATTGCTTTTGCTTAGCCTATACCTAAGCAATAATGATTTCGGTCATAACCCACATAACTATATGACTTTAATTTGATACAAGAATATTCTACATAAGATTATCCTCTTCTTGAGTAAGTATAACTTTAAATACAATGCTATGAAGCACACACCTAAATACCTTTATTAAAATATGCAAATTAGATAATTTTTTTTTTTAAACTTACCAGAGTAATCTTAACTTCTTTGAGCACAATAACCATTTGTTTATTTACCCTATTTGTATTTTAATTATAATATAATATTTATTATTTTTTTAATTTTACCGCATAAAAGGAAACAATATCATCTATCTATGCACAAAAGTTGAATGAAGGATCTAAGCAGCTATTTGCTCCACAGATAGGCATTAAATTTCTTAAATCGCTTTAAAATTATTATTTAGATAATAATTTATTTTGGATTTAAAGATTTCTTAAAAAGTTAATATTTTTTTATTTATTCTCCACTAATCGAATGGATAGAGAGCCAGAAAATAAAATACAATTTGTGTCTTTTAATTAGTCTAGAAATGATAAGCTTATATTAAAGAATAAAATTTAATTTAAAAATATTTATTTTGCTCTAAAATGATATACTTATAACTTTAAAGTTTATTGCAATACCTTTCAAAAATATATTAAAGTGATAAATTGTTTGTAGCGAAATTAAAAAAGCTTTAAGATAATTTTAAGCTATCTGTTTTACTTTTTAGCCATTACCAAAATTCATTTATTTCAAAAAATTCTATTCCTAGTGATCAAAATAAGAAATAAATAAAAAAATAATAAAATTTATTAGATTAGAAAATTACTTTTACTTACGAATTCATTTTTAGCTTATTAACCTTATGTTGAATAAGCAAAATTTTAGTACAATTTCTATTAATTGATCGAAAGTAAAAAGAATAAATAAATAATTAATTAATTTAAGAAATATTTTTACTTAAAAAAAGCTATAGTTTTCCTTACTTAACTTTATATTGATTTTCCTTACTTAACTTTTATTTGAAAAAATTTATGGTAATTCAGATTAATTTTTTTATTTTACTTTTCTAATGAACAAATAATCAAAATCGAATCATCAATTTGACACAAAAAGATTTCTTGAACTAAATATATTTGTTTCAGTTAATGGTTAATAATATTTCAAAAAAGAATTTATACCCTTAAAGTCTATTAGCTCTACCTCTCCAATTGTTTTAAGAAATTTATTGATTTATTCGTATGTAAAAATCTCTTTGAGATACTCTAAAATTATTGATAACTTTTCAGTAGATTAAAAGCAATATAAATGTATGCTCTATTTTTCTGGAAACTCTACAGTACTTCTATTCAAGCTCTATCTGCCATAAAAATCAAAACCATAATCAATTATTTAATGAGAAATTGTAAAATTCTAATGATATTCCTCAGATTAAACATTTAAAACTAAGCTAAGTAGAGTATATACCAAAAAATACAAGTTTTTTAAAAAGAACAAATTCATCTTAAACTTTTAAATATTTATCTCCCTATCTCTTAAAATTAATTTTTTATTAGAAATTAATATTTAATTACAAAAGGTATTCAATATTTAAATAATTTACAGAAAATTCTTTGTTTTTATTTATTTTAGTCTTTTTAGATTATTACTTTCTGGGGATTAATACTAAATAAAATTAGAAGAATGATTAGCTGCTTTGTATCTTTATTAATGTTACTAATCAAATAACCCAAAAAATATCTATACAATAATTATAACTATGTCTTCAATCATTCAATAGATAATACTTTAAAAATTTTACTTTAAATAAATTAAATAAAAAAATAGTAAAAAGTTGTTTTTAATTATTTTTTTACTACTACAAACTTAAGTATTTTAATTTCATTATTTTCATATAAAAGAAAAGATTGATTAAATAAAAAACAGGATATAATTTAATATTGTATTGTTTATTTTCTTTCACAAATATGTAACATATATAGTTACAAAACATATATTTTTCTCTTCTTTTTTTTATAGAGCCAAGCAAATTTCAAAATTTAATATTTAAATTATGTTTCAAAAAATATTAATTAAAATCTATGAACTTATCACATATATTCTAAAATAATTAAATTTATTTTAAAATTTGTTTATTATTATTTTTTTTTGAGTTTTGTTTAAAACAAGAATAAATGTAAGCGAATATTTTTTAGTATTCATTTTTAACTTTTGAATAGTAAATTTGATAAAAAATACTTTTTAGCCACTACCTTAAATGTAAAAAAGATATTAATGCTTTTACTTTATTTGTATAGGTAAATTTAATTAAAAAAAGAAATAGTGATTTTTTCATATCTGAATAAATTAAATTACAGTCGTTTAAACTTATCATCTTTCTTTTAATAAAAAGCCACACAAATGTTTTTTAAATTGGGGAAAAAGTTAAGAAGATATTAAAAATGACTTATTAAAATATCTAAAAGCAATTTTTATCAAATTTAATCAATATATAAAAAGTATTTTTATCAATTCTCTCTAACATTTTGATTTGATATTGATTTTTATATATTAGTCCATGTAAAGCATAGTCTTTTGAAATTCCATATCAGAGTAATAAAGATATATATCTTACTGATTTAGTTAAATTTATAATTTTTTAAGGAGAAACAAGCATTATTATATTTTAACATTTTTTAAGCATAAGTTTAAATATTTTAGATAAAATATTTTGAAATCATTGACTTCTATACTTAAAATATTATGAAATTAGTAGTAATTTAGTATTTAAATGTTTAAAAATTCAGTTTTCTTGCATAAATTTAATCATTTTTTAAATTTTTTTTAGTTTTCTTATAAATAAAATAGCATTCTAAAAGTAGTATAATTTAACAATTTTTTTGATTGTGATAATAGCCAGTTTTTAAGTAATACTTTGATTTATAATTTAATTTTATTGATATTGGTGATTTAGACTGAAATATTTTATTATCAAATTAGAAGTTTTGACTTCATTTTGATTTGTTTAAAAATTTAGTGGAACCACATTTCATCTATTGATGAAACAAAACTAAAAATATTTTTTTATCTGTTTACAAAGTTAGTTATCCATCTTAATAATGTTCTCCATAACTCAAATTATCCTTTTAAAATTGTTTGAATTTCTTGTATCTAAATTTAATTTTGATTTATTTTAATTTTTCCTCCCTTAAATAAAATGACTGAATCAAAAAACAACATAAAATTAGTAAATAATATTGAATAAAAAATAATACAAAATTAATTAATCCCAAGGAATTTACGCTAGAGAGGGTAGTGGTTGCCCAACTAAAAAAAAGCTAAAATTTTTATAAAAAATGTGGTTTGGGTGTTTTTTTTATTTTAATAAAATTTCAAATTATTTAGCCTAGTATAGTATCTGTTCGTACATTTGAAATATATTATTTTTAATTTTTTGTTTTACAGCTTAACAAAAATTGATTAAATAAGTAAAAGTAACAATTGTTAAATTTAATTAAAATATTTTTAGTGTTTTTATCAATACTTTTTTATTTGATAATCATTTTTATATTATTCCATATAAAAAATATCTTTTAAGAAAAAATCAAGATATCTTACTGATTCAATCAAATTTAGAATTTATTAATAGAAGAAACAGACATACTTATATAAAACATTTTAAAACATAATTTTAAATATTTTAGATTAAATATTTTGAAATAGTTGACTTCTATTTTTAAAATACTATGTAATTGTGGAAATATTGTTTTTAAATGTTTAAAAAATTAAATAAATTTATTGATGCTAGACAATTTTGATTATAATTTTATTTTTGTGATATTAGTGACTTAAAGCCATATGTTTTATTAAATTAGAAAATTTATTTCTTTAAATAAAAAAATAGAATTAATAACATATTTTATTCTTTGTATAAAATTCAATTTTTTTATTTACTTAATTATAAAATTTATAGAGCTATTCTTTCTAATACTTCATTTAATAACTTAGAATATTCACTTCAAACAAATCTTTTTTACTACTTTTTTCATTTTAATATTTTATTATTTGCTATATTTTTTTCTAAATAGCTTATAGATAATATTAATAAGTATTATATTGAGCAACTAGTACTTACTATCTTAGAATTTTAATAAACTCAAACTATAAAAAATTACTATTACAGGCAGTACCATCTTAAAATTATAAACAAAAACTATAAAAATCATGACCTAATTTACTTTTTATGGCCTTCTAAGCTTAACATACCTTCTGACTGTAAATAATTAAATTCTGTTTAAAATCTAATTTAATGAAAAAATTTTTAAATAAATAAAATATTTTTTTGTTAGAAAAATGAGAATTTTTTTAAATTTTTGTATAATTTATATTTCGATCTATATTGATAAGCATATAAATAGGTTATTTATATTATTTCTGATGTTTTGTTATAAAAGAATAATTAATATTAATTAGAAATTGTGGAAGAGAAAAAACTAAATATTCTATTTGAAATCTGTTAAAGAAAGTAATAAGAAAAGTTATTAAATAATTAAAATGGAGTTTGTTTACAAATCGATATTTTTATTTATCTGCGGATTGTAGGATTCTTTTAGAATATATCCTATAAAAAGATACATAGTCACATCTCATAGAAATTCTCAAAAGATTTTTAAAATTCTAGGATAGAGCTTCATACATTTGTTTATCTATTTTATTCTGTCAATTGTTATAATGAATCTCTTATCTAACTCTGCTTTGTTTTAGAAATTAAAGGAACTTAGCCAAGTTGCAGAAACTATTTTCTTTGTACTTTACTATGTTTTGTGGTTAGGACCACTTTATTTAATTACAACAATTTACACCTTCTTCTGGTTTGGAGATATAGCTAATTTAGCATTTGAGATTGAAAGAGATCATTACAGAGTTAAAATAGTTCAAGCTAAACAAAGCATAGAAACAATGGGAGCAAATGCTCTTAAAAAAATAGTATTCATGATTGTATATATGATTCTTTCTATAAGTGCTGGTATCTTCTTAGGAATGATACCTTACATAGGAAAAATATTAATTATTATGTTATATAGTTTTTATTATTCACTTTTCCTTTTCATGCTGAAATGGAATTACAATCCATACATACTTTCTTATTTTGAGTAGTATGCAGCATATTTCCTAGGGTTTGGATTGATGTACAGTTGGTTTACTAATTTATTTACTGGCGCTCTTAATGATGGAATGTATTGGATACTATTCCCAATATACATATTTAACTCCACTTGCACATAACCCCCTTACTTGAAAGATCTCGAAATAAAGAGTTTCTCTTAGCTCAAAGATTTGATTTAAGGAAAGAATTATCAAAGAAGTAACGTTTCATATGATGAGCATTTAAAACAGTTAAGGGATGATCCTCAATACAAAAAATAGTGTCTGAAGCAAGGTAGTATCTTCTAAATAGTTAGAAAACTTACAAATAAAATTAATGATATAATAGGTAAATATTTAATTTAACAAACAATGAATGAATCTCCTGATTCTTAATCATCTCAAATCTCTACAAATTGAGATAATTAATTATTGTTAAATAAAGATAAAGCAGAATTTAATTAATATATAAATTTTGTATGCATATTTAAATATTAACTTCATTAAATTAATGAATGAAAATATTAGTAAAAATTTACTTAGATTTTTATCTTTTTTATTTAAATATTTCAAAAAAACGACAAAAAGTATCAAAATTTTTGCATTTCAAACAGATAAAAAAAAGACTTAACATACAAGACAACCTTTATAAAATAGTTTATATCGCCTATTTTACTTTATATTAATTATTCTTTATAAAATTATTTGAGAAAAAGCAAATAAATACTTTCAAATTTTTAAGATTTAATTATAAAGTAGTCTAAATCGCTTTTGAAGAAAACAAATTAATCTTTTAACTTTCTTATGGATTTTAACAAACATAATTTATTTATATAGTCTATCTAAACGGAAGGAGTTAGTTAGTTAATTAATTAATTAACTAGATATATGAAAACTTCGTAAATTTTAACTTCAAAACAATTCATTGAAATGCTATTCAAAATTTTCAAAGTTAAAAAAATTAAATAACTTTAATTAATTAATTTAGCTATCTAATTTATTTAAAAGGAAAGCTTATTCTTAATTTCTTTATACTGAATATACATTTGAAAACATTTTTAAAATATAAATATATTAAACTATTTCATTAGTATTTGTTTCCTTTTATTTAAGGCAAAGTAAAAGTACTTTTATTTTCTGGCTTCTTTGAAAAACTTTTTTTATTTTTATTGGATAGTATAGAATCGTTATCTTTAACTTTGAGTTATTTTAAAATATCTGCATTTGATTTTGTGACATTTAGAGCTTTATAAAATTAAATAAATTTAATTTAAACAAAATTTATTTTCTTTTAGATATTAATAGTTTACATTCGCTTATTATGCTGTTTTAAGCAATTTAGGTTTCTTCTTAGGAGGTATGTCCTATTAAAGTCTTATCTATCCTTGAAATATGTGGGATTGTTAAGGATGGATCTTCTGTATAAAGGTAGTTTTATACCCTTTCCTTTATAAATAATAGAATATGATTTAAATACAAATACCTCCAAAACAAATTTTTTTACTTTAAGTCTTTCGTATACATTTGATTCTTTGTCGTCCTAGAACTTTTCTACGTCCTTGAGCAAAGAAAGTAATAAGCTTTGGTTGTCTTTTTAGCTTTGAGAGATAATTGATCTATCTGGAGATTATGTGCTTAGAATCCCTAAAGAATGCATACTTTGTGAATTCTTTATTTTTCTTTGAATTAAACAAAAAATTTTTAAAAAATTTTTAAAAAATCTTATAAAATAAAAAAAATTTACTGAATCCTACTGTTTCTCTCTTCATCATACTTTTAGTAAGGTGTTTTCTTGTTAGGATGCTTTTTTTACTTAGGTTAAGGTGAATCTATGATAGATTATTCAGCAAACGAAGATTTCTCTTCTTCTATTTTATCTATTATCTTGGAAGGATCAAAATCAAGCAACTCCTTTTCTATAAATTCTTAGTCTGACTATATCTCACCATCAAGAGAAAGCCTCATAAGCTCTTTTGTAATAATATCCAAAGCTTTTTCTAATGAACCCAAATGTTCTTTTAAATTTTTCTTTTCTTCACGAAGAGTATTACACTCTCTTATTAAATGTGTATTTTCATTTTAAACTCTAATTACAACATCATCTCTATCAATTTCTGTTTATCTATTCAGCTTACTGATTGTCTAAATTTTTTTACTCATAAAATCTCTTTGTTTAATTAACTCTTCTCTTATCTAGTCAGAGTTATTCATATTTAATTATTTCAAAAATTCATCATCAGGAGAGTCTTTTAACGAAGATCCTATTGAAGTGTTTTTCTCCATTAAATTGTTTAGATTTACATTTCCTTCGAAAAATTCTTTATAAATTTTATTCATTTTTTGGAACCAATTTTCATATTTTTCTTGCTTAATCATATCTAAAATTGACTATTTTAATGAAATAATTATTAAATACTCTAAATAAAATTGCTTACGTATTCAAAGCTTTCAATTTTTCTCTTAGTTATGGCAAGCAAATCTTACTTGTCTTTTATTTATTGCTTGAGTTAATCTATAAATTCTTTATTTTCTACAAGTTTAGTATTTATTTTCTTGGAAGCTTCTGACTCATCTAGAAGTTCTTTATACATAACTCTAACATTTTTCTGATTAATAAATATAACATAAGTAAGATAAACTAAACAAAATGTTAAATTAATTATATACTTCCATATTTTTTAAATGGTCAATTAAAGGTGATCTTTCTTCTTATAAACTAGTGACTTAATAATCATATACTGTCTTAAAGTTTTACAAATGATTATTTTTTATTCTGTATTCTTTGATTTCTTATTCTTTAGAGTTAATTATTTCCTCTTTGCTTTATAGTTAGCTCTTTATTAAAAAATATATTACAATTAAAATATTCTTAGATATATTTATTACTTGCATCAAACCATTTTTATCACTAAAATTTTTTCTTTCTTCCTCAAGATGCTCAATTTAGCTAGTGGCTTCCTTTAAAATAGAATCTAATTCTAATTTTCTCTAATTAAATCTTTCAATTTCTTTTTGCTTCTTTGAATTAGATGTTCTAAACTCTTCTGATCGTTTAATCTCTTCTTCTTTTTCATTTTGAAGTTATTTTTTAGTTTTTATTAAATATTCTTCATGTTCCTATTAAAATAAAAAAAAAACAAATTAATAAATAAATAAATAAATTCATCAGTGGTTTAATTAAAATGTGAAAACAAAAACTTACATCTGTTTGCTACCTAAAAACTTCTTTAAATTTTGTTTAATCTTCATTTAGTTTATCTTAAGAAGTAGAAAACCTTTAAAAAATAAATTTATTACTTCAAGTTGTTTTAATTAAAAATGAAAAATACCTTTCATATAACTCTTAGTACTTTTTACTAAAATCGATTTCAGTGTCTTTAATAATTTATTTATATTTTACTGTAAAGTCAAACAACTCTTTATCAGAAGATTGTTTAATATTTTCAAGCTAAAATTTCAAGTCATCACTTTTTTAGTACTATGTTAGTAATGAAGCCATATTCTTTTCTTCCATAGAACTAACTTGCTCCTTATATCTTGAGCGTATAAGCTCTATTTATGTTATTAAATCTTTGTATTTCAGATCACAGTCTTCCATAATTTTGCTCAGCTACTCTTTTTATTTAGCTATAACATCTTTATTAGTATCCTCTTAGTTTTTTAAAAGCTGGTTAATTTAGTTCACTTGCTTTTCTTTTTCATCTTCTTGATCTGTTTTTAAGTTTGATATTCTAAATTCTAATTCTTTGATCAAGTCTTTTTTATTTTCTTAGCTAGAGCAACTGCTTAAGCAAAGTTGGTTAATACAATAAATACTACCAACCTAAAATAAAAAATATTTTTAATATTAGCTTTTTATTAAAAAATTATTTAAATATATATTACTTAAAATTTAGCATCTTCAACTCCAAAAGAAATTTCTACTTCATTGCCATTAGAAAATTAGCGAAGTCTAAGAAAATAGATGCTACCATTTTCCGAGCCAGTAATAAGATAATTCAAATCTTTTGTAATTTGCATTGTTGAAATAGCAGTTTAATGAAGAGTAATTTCAAAATACTCTTACTGCTTAATAGAGATATCAAACGGCCACAAATAGGTTCTTATGCTACCAGCTGAAGTACCAAATAAAATAACTCCTAATTCTTTAACAAGCAGAACTGTTGTATAGTTATAAGGGCTAACATCCATTTCATATATAGGATTGCAGCCTTTGTCGTCAAATAATCTAACCTAGATTATGAAAATTATTAAAATAATTCCACTTTAGGCAAAATTGGGTAAATTATAATACCTTTGAATCTGAAGTACAACAGACACACCAATCTAAATCATTATCATAAATAACTGAATTATACTTAGTTTGTTTGTATGCATGTTCAACTACTCTATTACCAGTCCATACGTTCCAGCAATTTAGGACACCTTAGCTACAATTTGTTACCAACATCGTATCATCTACTAACCATTTAATTCTTTTAACAAATCCAGAGTGACCATTTAATGTGATTATAGTTTCGTATGTATTAGGATTGTATACATTTATCATATTATAATTTGCTAAATAAAATATTATTTTAATGTCTTAAATATTTACAAAAGATTAAAAACAAAAACTTACCTGCTGCACACAAATTTCCCCATTCACTGTAAGCAACTGCATTAACGTACTTTACATTCTATTCGCTAAAGGCTATTTTTAACTCGTCTTCAAGGATGAAGAAAAATTTTAACCTTATATTTTAGGTAAAAAAGAAACAATTTAATCTTTTATTTTGCAATTGAGTAAATATTTAAGCTTAAATAAAAATTAAAGAAATTTATTTATTTATTACCCTTCTCTGTAGCCGACTGCACATTAGAAACTTAAAGGGTGAAGAGAAACTGAAAGAGGATTTTCATGGAAATAAGTTGTATAAATGCATTTAAATACACCAGTATTCATAGAAAACTCCCAATTCTTTAAAGTTTTGTCATCACTTAAAGTTAACAAAATAGATTTTGATGGGCATAGAGCACAATCAACTATCATTCCTTTATGTACTCCTTCAGGGAAGAGTGGCTCAAAAGCATCTTTTTAAGCAGCACTAATTACGTCAACTACTCCATAGTTAAAAATGTATAAATCTATTCTTCCCATATTTTATAAATCAATTTTTGGATTTTACCCAGCTCCTCCTACTCCTCCTAATGCTCCTTAGTTATTTTTTCTGACTCCTTTAGTCTATGGAGGGCTTGTATTCTATGTAACTAAATTTTATTAATTTTGTGTTGCATTTACAGGAGTGTTTACTGGTTAATTTTCAATATTAGATTTGTTTTTCTTGATAGCTTCAATCTAATTCACAGACTATATATTGAATTAAGAGGGATTTTACACAAGATGAGTGCTGCTCTGGTTGATATTAGCACTTTAAACATACTAATTTGAGTTAGTAGGTGGAGGGTTTTTTTATTTTGTTTCCATAACTTGCATAATCCTTGGAGCATGTTGAACACAAAGAGCAATTACATTCTCTTATATACTTGATGACAAATTTAGGACTTTATAAATATGTTAAGCGTTAATTCTAAAAGTTCCTTTCAAATAGAGCTATTCTGTCCTTTTATTCATTTCATAGGCGTTTACAACTCCCAAATTCTCAAAGCCAACAACAAATCCATTAAAAAGGGAAGTAATAGAAGCCAATTAGTAGGGCTCTGAAATCTCTTTGAGTTAATCTTGTATTTAGCTTGAACTATTTTCATCTTATTATCCTATTACTTATTATGAAGCAGGGACACTATTTTTCATGATATTCATAGATTTTTTATCTAATTCATCCTTCAAGTGGATATCGCTAACTGTCACTTATAAGCTTTACTTAAAAGTTCTTTACTTATAAAAATACAGTACATTTGCATTCGTTATAAATGCCATATACTCAGTTTCAGGGATTTAGCAGCACTCAATAATTTCTTCTTCTTGATTTATTAAATTTTCTTTGTAAGAAAAATGTTCCTCATTTAATTCTTTTTCTGAAACGTTTAGCTTCCAAACCTAAAAATATTAAGGTCCGATCAAATAAAATTCCTCTGGAATATCCTAACAAACTTCCAAAAGATTAATTTAAAAATTCTAAATGTCTCTAGTAAATAATAGTTTCTCTCTTTGAATACCATAAATAGTTATACAATATTTATTTTCTTCTTCAACGAGAGACACAATATTCTATTATTTTTAAAAAAATAATCTTAGATAAGTTAGATTGTTTGTGATATTGAAATAAAACGTTTAAAGTATAATATAAAATCAAATCCCTTTTTACTTTATTTTTTATAATAAAGGCGCAATCAATAATAATAGAGTTTTGCTAAACATGAGTATGTGCAAAAGAAACAGAATTAGTCTGCTTCTTCTTGATTACTTTTAGCTTTTAAAAAAATAGATGATTATTAATTATAATAATAAATAGCGAATGTTTGGACAAATTAGATATCTCTTGTCTTTATTTAAAATCTGCAAATTTGTTTTTTATCATTCAACAATTACTTTTACAATAAATTGGAGAAATCTAATTTTTATCCATTATATGAATAAGAAAAACATGTTTATACAGTTGGAAATCCTTTGTTTCCTCTTAATCCAACAACTAAATTTAAGGTATCAGATTATGACACTACATAATTCATTGCTGTTATATCTTCATCTTCGATATTTTTTAGCAAATAATGTTACTTTTTATGCAAAAGATTATATTCTACTAAATGCTTTCCACATTAATATATCATTCTATCATCATCAACCATCAAAACATTTTTGCGAATAGGAATTTATGAACATCCATAACTTTACTCTATCTAACATTTAACTCCATTGATAAATTCTTTGCTTGAATTCCACATTCTTCTTTTTGGTTGCTATATTTAACAAAATTATTCAATACTTGAATGTAAATCATTAAATAGTAACAAATCTATTTCAAAATATTTAAAAAATATAAACATTTTTTCTAGGCTGCATTATCTCTATTTACTCATCTCCCATTTTTTACTTTTAAGATACTATTTTAAAATATTCTAATCTGACTTAACTTGCTTTTTATAAATTTTTTAATATTTTATTCTGTACTCAGCAATTTGAAAATAATAAAACTTGCTTGATATTATTTAGTGATGATATATAATAATTATAACTATTATTATAACAGCAATATTTTATTTGTTTAATAAATTGAAGTATTATTTAAAAATGTCAATATTGAAATACAAATTTTATTTTCAAATATCTTAATTCGCCATAATCATTTGCCAAAGGAATTTCATAAATTTATTTTAATTTTTAATCAAAATATTTTTTTAATTTAAAAAAGTAGTTATTTAGTAAAGTAAAAATAATCAAAAATTTGATTTTGATTGCTATTAAAAACTAAATCTTAAAGTTTAAAGTGAAATATTTATGTGATAAAAAAATATAAATTTATTAAATTACACTTCAGATTAAAATATTTTATATGAAAATACTTATTTTTAAGCTTCTTTGTATCAAAATATTGGAAAAAACTAAACAATCAACAAATTTATTTTTAATTTAAAATTCAAAATAAAAAATTTATTTATTTATTTAATTAGATGACTATTTATTTTTATGGTTTTTTAAAAATATATAAAATTTAGCATTCTGTTTTTACTGTTTTTTAAAGAAAATTGGCTAACTTTCTCTCATTCTCAATATTTTTATTTTTAAATAAATTTTTCTATTTTTAAAAATATATTTAAAAATTGATTTAAAAAAATTCAATATAATAAAATATATTTTAAAGATAGATGTAATAGTTTAATTTAAGTTAATATATCATCTGTTAATTAATTCTAAGCAATTTAAATTTTCCTCTATTAATATGATTTTTGCTTTTATGATCTTAATCAATATTTAAATGAGTAAAAATCTTTTGCTATTTTTAGTAAAAATAACAAACATGAAATGTGAAAATAATATTTATCTTTTTAAGATATTTGTTGGCTTATTGTTTGTTATATTTTATTTAATTTCTATCAATTTTAGTGTATTTCAATAAAAACTCATTTTTTTTAAATTTAGCTTTTAGATAGTATTTTTGGATTCATTTAAATGAATTTATAAATAAAAAATGCAAAAAAGTTAAGAATTTTTATTAAATTCACTGTATTGCGTATTATAACACCTCTCTAATGTTGTTTATCTGTTAAGAAAAACTGGAAGAATTTATTGTCTTTTCTATAGGTCTATGTAAGAATATAAAAGAAAAAAAAAGAAATATCTATTTATATTGACAACTGAATTTGATGAAATAGAGTATCTAATATTAGAAATATTTTTGAGCCAATCAACTTGATTATTAAAATAAAATGATAGATAAACTTGTAAAATATATAGGGTGTCTGATAGTAATTGTTAGAAGGAAACCCAGTTAAATATTATTTCTTCTATTTCTAAATTTTTTGCGGACAAAAGATTTTTTTAATATGAGTTAGAATTTGGTGGGTGATTAAGAAAGCTAGCTTGACCAAACAAACATCAATTAATTTGTTACTAATTTCAGGATTTTTGCAGTTTTTATAATATTTGAATGTAATTCTAAGGAGGGAAAAGATAATTATTTAGATTAAGATTCTTTTTTAAATATACAATCAAATATTCATTTCTATTTCATTTTATTTTATTCATTTTAGCAAAAATGGTTTATTGCTTTTAAAAAATTCATATTTAATTAAATTAACACTGAAAATATTTTGCTGCTGTAAAAAACAGCAGAAAGCCACAAACAATTGATCTATAGTGGTTAACAGAATAAATTTTTGTTAAAAAATAGGTAGGTATGTAAGCTGGTGCAATATTAAAATTCTTTCTACTAAGATGTGTTCCCAAAAAATTGTGATTATTAAAATAAATACTATCTTTGATTTTGCATGCATTCTATTTTAGAAAATTTTAGAAAATAATTGGAATGGGGATATTGTTAGTATTTAATAATTGTATAAAGGTAAGCTCTTCATTCAAAAATTTAATAAGAAATACCATGCATGCTTGAAAGTGAATAACGAATAACTAAATTAATTAATTTTAAGTGCTTTTCTACTTTTATGTTACTGCTATTACTTCTATACTTTATTTTTAGGTAATCAAGAATTATTTAAAATATTTTATATCACAGACACCTATTATTACTACAGAAGATTTAGCATTCAGATTTAGTAAAGAGATTCTGCAGACTAAATTTTGCTTTGAATTAAACTAAATTAAAGAATATTCGTAAGCAAAAATTGATAAATTAAACAGATAAAGAAATCCCTTTTTTTTATTGATTCAGTTCACACAATTCTATTTGACCAAAGAAGAAAGGAGAGATTCTAATAATTTACTATTGAAAAAAAAAATAAACGAACAAGCAAACAAACAAAGAAACAAATAAACAAACAAACTAAAGAATTGATAATTGAGAAACACAATTAATTAATTTATTAGTAAGATTGTGGGTTGGAAGGAATCATAAAGAAAGAAAGAGAAAGCGTGCCTGCTAAAGATAAAACCTTTTTAAATAATTAAAGCAAAAGAAAGAAAAATACATTGAAAATCAATATAAAAATTTGAGCAATTAATTGATTTGGTGTGTCTTTAACAAGAGTCTCTTTAAAAAAAAAAATAAAGCCAAACTAAATAAAGAAAAAAAACAATAATTTCTTCTTTAAATTATTAAAGAAAAAAAATAATAAACCTTGTCAAAAGGATAATAAACTTAAGAGGACAGACAAATTTTTTTGTAGATTTCGCATAAGATGTCTAACTAAGTGGAATAAATCAGCGTCGAGCAACACTCAAAATACGTTCTCGAAAAAGTTCTTGTTGAAATAAATGCTGGATTGGCTTCCGAAAACATTTCAGTCAAAAAATAATCTGCTACTGCCTTTAAAATTGAGAAGCTTTATTGTGATTCCACAAAGATTATTTCTGTGGTTATGCCATCTAAATCTGAATCTCTTTTTGAGACTGATGATGAAGATGATGACTTAGAGTGCAGTAAGAGTATCAAAAATGAAAATGAAGACATTGACGATGTTGAATGCCACCAAAACAAGAAGTCGAATGCGAGCTGCAAAGAAAGGACCTCTTCTCCTAACCAAATTACAAACAATCTCACAAATAATTTGCAGAAGTCTGTCATTAAAGAAGTTATTAAGCCTAATAACTTAAGTGAAAGTGACTTTAAAAAGGAAGGAGGCTAATATTAGCTCCTTCTGAACGAATTCATGGTCAGCAAGATGATCCCTAAACACAAAAATATCCTAAAACCTTATTACTTTGAAGAATACAATGAAGGTGCTTGCCTTGTGATGCCTTTTGCTGCTTTTGGAGATGCGGATATGCTTTCTAAGTGGTAACATAATAACTTTAAGAATATTCAAATGTACAGCTCAGAATTACATAAATTACGTTGTAGTTCTTAAAGCTATGAATATCAACAGCCTCACATCCAAGAAAAAATTGAAAATTAATGTGAATACTTAGAAAAGTTGATAAAGGAAGAAATCATTCAAAAGCAACTTGGTACTTGTGTGAATGTGATTAGGGTGCTTGCCAAGTAAATCGGCGAGGCACTTTATCTCCTCCATAACAAGTATGATATCGCTCATAATGACATCAAGCCTGATAATTTATACATTTCTGAATTTAACATCAAGTAAAATAAGTATAATTTCAAGCTTGCTGATTTCGGCTATGCAAAGAAAGGCTAATTTTAGTCTCATAAAGAATCCTTTGAGTTTTTCAATCGCAAAAACAAGCGTTTCTTTTCACCTGAGTTGCTCTATCTAGTTGACGGATAGCTTGAAGCTAACTAAACTATTGTCGATCAAAAGAAGTGTGATGTTTATGCCTTGGGTCTTTCTCTTTATGAAATCTTAGTTGGTGGCTTCTTTCCTTTCAAAGATGATTTAAATGATCCCTTGTACATCAAATACTTGAACAAAACAATTTCCATTAAAGATTTAATGTAATGGTTCTACTAATACTTCTCTAAAGTAACAAGTGCTGACTAGATGATTGACCTCCTCTCCCACATGATGGATCCTAACCCCTCAACTAGATATAGCATCACATAAGTTCTCTAACATCCTTGGTTAAAGTCCTTTAAGCTAAGCAGCTCCAAAAAGTAGCCTATCATCAACTCTCTTTCTAAGTTTGAATCTGACTACTGAAGAACCAGTAGTGCTCCCTTCCTTCATTCACAATTTGTAAAACATTGAATTTCTTAATTTAAAGAATAAAAAAAATCTAAACCAAATTTAAAACACAAACAAACAAATAAATAAATTACCGTACTATAAATTCTAATAGCCAAACTACCATCTTATAAATTAACACCATTTAATTTAAATATCTTCCAAAAAACATTAAACCATGAAATAACTCTAAATAAATAAATAAATAAAACAACTTTTCATTAAAAATACCTAAAAACTAAACACAAAAAATAATAAAAAACACAAGCTATCAATCAAGCTTAAATATTAAACCATAACTACCTCAAACCATCATCCAATAATTAAATTTATTTATAATAATCACAAGATAAATTAAAATTAAAATAAAATAAAGAAACCTATTAATAACTTAAAAAATCTTAAAATCAAAAAACCAAAAACAACTTCTTCCTAATTTAATAAACCAAAACTTTGCATGCATTACTTGATTATCTTAACCTCAATCTAGTAATAAACATCTAATTTAATAAGAATTAAATAAAAAGGATAGATATGTGCTTGTTCATCATGATCACCATCATCTTTTGTAAAAAATAAGAACTAAGAAATATATTTATTAATAATTTATTTTATATATAAAATCAATAATTTAATCTATTAATCTAACCTATAATAAATAACTAAAATAAAATCAAATTAATAAAACCAAAAAGCTTACCAGAACTGTTAAAAAAACTATCTGTAAATCACTTAATAAATTAACTGCTAAATAAAATATCTTTAGACTAGCCTAAAATAAATAATAAATAAATAATTATATATATATTAATTCTGTACTTTACTATTGAACTATTAAGAACCACATCTAACTCACGAATGAAATGAAACATACCTTGAATAATTCAAAATCAAATACTTATTTATAAACCAAAATAATGTTAAATACAAGCTAACAGTACGCATGTTAGTTCAATTTTGTAAATAAAACATGAATAAAAAAAACAAACAAACAAACAATCCAACCAACCAACCTACCAACCAATCAATAAAAACATTACTCTTGACTTTAATCAGTTAATAACCTCTTTTGAATAAATATTTATTGTTACAAAAAGACTCATCATGTTTCTAATTTAATCTTAATATCTCTTAATCTTTAATTTTAAATCACATCCTCAGATTAATCAAGATTTAACAAGCTAGTCAATTTATTTTTAGTATAATAAAATATCAAACCATTTTATCCTTTTTATTTATCAAATAAAAACCAACAAAGCCAAGAAAAGGTTCATTAATAATAACAATATTCCTTTATAAATCCTCATTAAAAAATAAAACTGCAATTATTGCAAAATTTAACTTATTAAATAATATCAGCTATGGTGTAATTAACTACCTTCAAAGAATTTAAACTTTAAATAAATAGTTAAGATATTTATTTAAATAATTACTTATACCAAAGATCCAACCAAAATACTTCAATATTTTACCTTGTTATTAAAAAACCACGTCCTTCCAACAAAAGGCAACAAAATATCAAGAATAAAAATAATCCAAATCCAATAATTTATAATAATCACAATTATTATTATTATATTTATTATTATTTATTATATTCTAATTTTTATCTGTATCCCCTCTATAAGACAAAGCATTACTTATTTATATGCTTTGCTTCTTTATGTTATTTGAAAGAGCAAAATTAGATAGTTTCACCCACCTGGAGACCTAATTTTGACTTTATGTTGTTAAACATTATTTAATATTTAATAATTTTTTATCTTAATAAATTCTTTCTACAACTTTTAATAAAATTTGTTTTTCATTTTTAATTTTTTATAAAGATAAAATAATAATATTATAAATACAATTTATTTGTATATTTTTTCTATTTATAATTTTTTTTAATTTAAAAAAATGTTATTCTTAAATAATAGCAAAGTATCTAAAATTACTTAAATTAAAGAAAAATCTAGAATAAATATAAGGCCTTATCATATGATTAAATTATAAACTCTAAATATTTTTTAACTTTATATTCAAAAAATAAATATTTTATTTAATAACTAATTTTCAAAAGTTGATTGATAATATATATTCATATACCTTAAATATTTGAATAAAAAAAGAAATAAACATTAAGAATAAAATATTATAAAATTAATTTTTCTTTTGGGCTGTCAGCTAGCTAACTCATTCGATATAATTATAAAATCATAATTACAATATATTTGTATTTTTAAGGCTTAACTAGTTAGTTTTTTTTCTTAATGAACCAGAATCTCCAAAATAACGACTTTTTGTACTATTTTTAATAGATTCTAGAGGTAGTTCATCATCATCATCAGCAGATTTTTCGCTTGTAAATTGAATAGGTTTAATAAAATTCGGAGCTGAATCACGATAAATTGATTCTTATGAAAAAATTAAAGGAGATTTTTCTTGAGTATTGTTATTTTATTGATTCTTTTCTTGAACAACATTCACTTTTATTTACTTTAAAATAAAATGTTTGTCATCATAAATATTCAAAACATATTAACCAATATCTTTATGTTGTGTCCTTCCTTTGATTAAAATTACATTATTAGCAAGATCTATACTTTATATCCATGAAGGTATTTCTTATATACTAGAAAACTCTTTAGCTACTAAAGTTTAATTTCTAAATATTAATTTAGAAAAAAAAAATGTTTTTTTAATAAAAGGTCTAAATGTTCTTATGTTTTAAATATTATGAGATTTAATTTCAATGCATTCCCCTCTTATCTTTGGTATAATCCCTTATCCACCCTAGGTGAAGCCCAAAGCTATTGCAATTAAATTATCTTTGATGAAAGGAAAATATTTTTAATAAAAATTATTTATCTCTTCTTATTTAAGATCTATATTTGAAAATAAAATATTTAAAACTTTTTATAAATGATCAGTATCTACCTTTACTAATGGAAATTGATCAATATGCACTCTTGAGAATTGATGCTCAATGATTGTGTAATGTTTATACCAATCTTTTTCAAAGTATCCTTATTTTTTTGCAACTGTTTTTAAATAATCTATAGACTGCTATATAATTCTTTCTGGTAAAATATTAGCTATAGATATTGAAGCCAACCCGGTTAGTGCTCTATAAATCATAGACAGAGGATCATTCAGCTATTCAAGTAATTTTTTGTTAGGTACTTTATGATTCTTAATATACTATTCACGAATTTCCATTATAATTTTGGAATAATTCAAAGAATTGTCTTAATTGAAATAACACAATTTTAAATTTTACTAACGAATTTACTAATCTTATTACTCATTTTTTATAACTTGATTACTATTATCTTTGCTTTAATCATTTTAGTTAAAATGAACTGATTAAGTTTTTTTTCTTAAAGTTCTGTATAACTTCTTCTTTAAATTACTTGGGCTTTAACATGCAGATAATTTTTAATATAAAAATTATTGCTGCTCTGATAATTTTAAAAGTTTGCTATTTAGAATACCACCATTTCCAATTTAATGCTAAGCTTTAAGTTCGGGATTCTTATTTTCAAATATAGCATCTAGTTTTTATTTTTCTATGTCAAATTCTTTAATAATCACAGATTTGTCTAAAGTATTAAAGTATGAATTCCAGAGTGATTGTGCAGTTTTTAATTTATTTCCAAGTAATGGAATTTAAATAATAACTTCTTCCCCACAAATTATTTAGATTGGTGTAGTGCAATAAGAGCTTTTATAGACACAATTATAAAAATGTGAACGATATTTCCATAATCCTATTAATCCTAAAATAGGACTCAGTACTTAGAAAAGTAAAATAATTAAGTATGTGATAGGGATTGAATCAATATAAAAGACTAAAGATGTAGTGGCATAAGTGAATCCATCAGTCGCATTGATTAATAAATGTACAGATTATCCAAACTAATTTGATTTAGTTGTTCCAACAAAAGTCCTTTCTTAAGCCTAAAATAATAACCAACTTTGTTAAGTTAAAGGTAAATATTTTCCATTACTTTGAAGCATAAAAGCTTGATATTAAATATTTCTGTTATCTTTATTGATAAAAATTTAAGAGCTAAACGTGTAACTAAATGTATCCTCTATATTTACAGATTTTTTTGAAAATTTTTTCTCAAAATCTTCTTATATTGAAAGATCTGGGTTATTTAATATCGGAGAATTAAGTTTAATTATATTCTTGCTTGATGCATGGATATTTTTGGTAATCAGTTTATTTACTGTATCATCAAACGTTATAGTAATGTTGATATTAGAAGCATCTGTAAAGTTTGCTAATTAAATTCCATTTTATATAACAAGATTTATTGAATTTAAATCTCCTTCTATTTTCAGCCAATCGCTTTTATCACTCAGATAAGTCAAAACTCCACTATATGTTTATGGAATAAAATTTGCCTATTTCATATCCACAGTAAAATCAATATTAATATAATTATTCACAGAATAAATATATGGTTTTGCATTTATATCATCTATACTGACTATTAAAGAGTCATAGACATTTAATTAAATGGAGTAGTAAAGCAATTTACTACTTAGAACATAAAATATAAATTAAATTTGACTTTATTAATATTTTTACTAAAAATAATAATTTATAGCTTCAAAGGATTGACCTTAATAATAATAATTATTGTCTAACAATCCTGCTAAAATACTATCTACAAATATTTGATTTGATAAGTTTTAATCGATATTTAAGCTTTTATTAATAAAGTCAAAATTAAAAATAGATTAATTTATAATAAATATAAACTAAAAGTTATAATAGTCAGTACCGTTACTATTCTATGAGTAGATATTGTTACTACTTATAGATTGTTTTGTAAATGAGAGAGTAAGTGAGGAATCAGCTGTTGAAAAAGTCGCCCAAAAAGGTAAATCTTAAACCTTATAATTATTATAAAACTTAGCTCCTGTAATAAATACTTTTCTGGCTGGATTGACTTATTAAAGTGTAACTTTCACCTAGGTACCAAGTTCAAAAGGTTTTAAGAAATCTATAAATTTGTTTAATTGAGTAGAACCTCTTTAAAGAAGTAGTAAGTTCGTCTCAAATTAAATTTAAGGATAAAGGCTTACTCTAACTATAGAATCAACTAGGCCTAAATAAATTATTTTCTAATCACTGCTTAAGCACACATTATATCCACTTAATTATTTGTTTCTAAAATCATACCTTTATTATATTTTGGGATTTGTTAAGTCTCTTAGATCTATTAATAATAAATTTCCAAGATAACTAGATGTACATACAGCAAACAGATCATTCTAAACTAAAATACACTGCCTAGCAGATGCATCTTAAATTATTGTAGATACTTATTATGGATTCAAAACATCAGTTACATTAACAATCATAATTCCTTCTTAGAGATCAGATTTCAACAAAAAATTTTAATTTTAGAAAAATACTGTCTAGCGAGCACTTTAAGTAGTCAAATAAGATAAAATTTTAGGATTCTTAAAATCAGTGAAATCGTAGAGTATGATTCCTAAGGAAAGATATGATGCTACTGCATATTTTTCACTTGTTGGCATATCAACGTAATAGCAACTTGTTAAACGAGGAAAATTATGATAAATAGTAGTAACAAGAAAAGGATTTTTCAAATTAGATATATCAACGACTAAAACACCTTTTATATCTCCAGCAAGCAACGCATATTTCATATCTTTTGTAATATAAGAGCGACGAAATTAGATCCCGACAAATCCAAAATTTAACATAGAAAGTTAAATAGGACCTGATAAATTGGATATATCGTATATATAAATACTTGTACCTCTTCCAATTAAAAGATTTTAATCATTATTAAAAGCTCTTGACATCCTTAAAGTTTCAGAAGGAGTTGGAGGAGGGTTAATACTTTAACTTACTGATAAATAGTGGCTATTTTAATCTTCTTAAATGATATAAGTTCCATAAGAACCTTTAGTATAGATAAGATATTTTTTTGCTGATGTAAACTAGCAATCATAAGGCTGAACAGGATTTAAAGGTACTACAGGGTCTATATATGAGATTATTGAAGGCAAATTAAGTATACTAGGAAGCGTAAAGTTGTAATTAGGGTTACTTTTTATAAAGAAAAAGTCTATTGTCATTTAGTTTGAGATAATTAGAAATGAAAGATCATAAGAAAGAGTAAGAAATTAAATGTACTTGTTAATTTCAATAATTTAAAATATTTTCGCAGATAGTATGGGTTCATAGTTCATCTCTACTACATTTACATAGACATTTGCTTAATTAAGAAATATGTATTTTTTATTTTGAGTTATAGAAACAGTAGTAAATGAACTATTATTTGAATAATAATTATTAAACTATAAATCACTACATTTTCCTGTTTATAAAAATGCAGTTAAATCAGCTCCTGCAATAATAGTGGATGGCGAATTGAGAATTAAGTAGTTATTAAAGATATAGCTTAAATATATATAAGTAAATGAGAAAGAACACTAATCTTATGTTTTGATAGGTGTTTAAGGAGATTGAATAAAGTCGTCCATATTTGTAATCTTTATAATTCTAAAAGTTCCATCCACCAAAAATATATAATTTATTTAAGGTGAAATTTCTATGAGCTATGCACCTTAATTAGCCTTAATAACAGAAACAAGTTGAGGTTAATTAATATTCGATACATCATAAATAAAAACCCCTCCTTGACAGTTAAAAAATAATCTATTGCTAATAAAGCTAAATTATTTTATACTAGCTGTCGTTCCGGCATTCTTATCTTTTTCCATTTTCATAGTTTAACTTATTTAAAGATTTTATTATGAGATGGTGTATAAATAGATATTGGTAGAATCAGCAATCCATAAATTTTAAGTATTTGCTTATATCATCATATCTTGAACAAGTAAATTGATATTCTAATTTAATATAGAGGCAGATTAGCTATTTAAATTAGCGCAAACGATAGATATTCCACATTAGTCACTATAAACCAAGCAACAATTTTAGTTTGGTGGATAGAGACATCTTAAAAGTGTGGCGCTTTTTGTAGTAGTGCAAAAATCTTATTAGCTTATTTAATAAGAAGGTGATGATGGAAACCAGATAGGCACTATTAAGGAGTTATCTTAACAGAATATACCTATTATACTAGATAATAAAATAAGAAATAATTGCTGCTAATAAATATTCATTTTTTCTTTTTAAAAACAAAAATTGTTAATATAATAAATTATTTAAAATTTTGAAAAAGTCAGTATGCCATTTAAAAATTTATGTAATAATTCAAATAGCAGTTATTAAAATAGTCTGAAACTTTCAAATAAAAAGATTGGGGGTAGGATTACAACTGGTGTTTTTATTTTTGTGAACTGAAAAAACTCATGATATATATGTTAATTCAATTTGATTTTTTATTTATTTACTAATTTGACATTCCTCACTTTAGGAGTTATTCAAAATAAAATTAATTTTTTCAAACTCCCCCATTTATTTAATTGTGTGCATTTTTAAATAATAAGAAATATTCAAAATAAAAAATTATTCAATTATCATGTTAGAAAACTAAATTAAAAATTGAAGAGAATTCTATTGAGCACATATATTTTTGATAATAGTTAGTACCATATTTTTAAAAGTGCTTGCTGCTCTTTTTAATCAGAGAAACTAATTATTAACTCACCTTATTAGAATACTATTATTTATTGCAAGTAGGAAAAATTAAAAAGTTATCTTAATTTAAATTTCTTACAATTTTATTGATTAAGATAATACATATATTTAAAATTTATATAAAATATGATTTATTTATTGTCTATATTTCTCAATAAAATTATTTAAACGAGCAAAGATGTTCTAGTACAGAAGTTAACAGAAAACAAGTAACAAAATATAATTAAAAAATATATAAAAATTAGCTTGGTAATTTGATAATAAATACTTTTCATTTTTGCTTGATTTATTATTGGATTTTTTTAAATAAAATCAAAAAATTATTAGGTCAATATAGTTATATAAATTAACTATTAATGGATGGATGGATACAAAAATTAGCACAACAATAGAAGTAACTTAGTTTAATGCACCTATTCTTGTATTAAGATAAGTACCTTATTACCTCTGCCCTCAGCTTCAGATTTCAGAAAATCAGTCTCATGGAATTTGTCTCCATAAATTTTTAAAAACCAAATTCCTAGAATTAATGATGATTTTTTTTTACTTGAGTTACTACAGTATTACTTTTTGTAAATAAAAACAAATTAAATTATTTATTTATTTCATTGTAAAAGTTGCAAAGTGTTAATAATTTAATTAATATGCTGCTTTAATTAAATTTCAAAACTAGTTTTTGTGGGTAGATTATTTATTTATATTATTGCGAATATTTTTTTTATAACAATAATTTAATAACTAATTAAATATAAAGGTGATGATTCATACAGAATAGGTACTATTATCAAGTTAGATTAATTATATCTATTACTACAAATTTTAAGAAAGCAATATTTTTTATAAATAAAAATTCACTTTTATCGATTTAAAAATGATTTGTAAGTAACACAAAAATTTACTGGATTAAAAAATAAAGTGAATTTTATTGAGGATTTTTCTTTTTAATAACAGTACACTAATACATAAAAACCTTATTTTTTTCAGTTAAATAACCTAATTAAATCATTAAGTGATGATAGATACCAAATTGATGCTATTAAAGTGATATTTTATTTAAAAATATCATTAAATTTATATAATATTTTAAGTAAGTTTAATTGAAAATAAAAATCAATTTATCAATTTATAAAAAGTTAATCTGTAAGTTATTTTAGTAAAAAAACTATAAAACCAATTAATTATTTATTTAATTGCAAACAGTTTTTTGTTATTTGAATAATCAAAGGCAGTTCAATACAAATATTTAAAAAATCAGTTTAAAAATAGAATTAATAAAAAGCAATTGTAGATGCAATAAAATCTTTAATTAATTTTAATTGTATTAAATAAATTTAGTAAGAAGAGAAGAATGGATGGATGGATATTAAGTAGGTACTATTAAAAAGTTAACTGAACTCAATGTGCCTATGATTTTAGATTAAAATTATTCATACTTTTTGAAAATAAAAATGGATTTTTATCTATTTAGAAACTTTTTATGATTACTTTATTTTAATATAATAATTTTTTAAAAAGCACCAGTTACTACTTTGAAAATGTATTAATTTAATTGTACATTTTTTAAATAATACTAATTAAAATAAAAAGAAATCAAATTCAATAAATTAAACTATAAGCTAGAAAGCAAAACTAAAAAAAGAAGAATAGTTTTTTGAACACCTACATTCAATAACAACAAATATAAAAAGTATGTATTGCAATTTTTGAATTAAAAGAAATCTAATTATAATCATAATTAAGAAAGAGATCATTGATATCTAATAAGCATCATTAAAGAGTTATCTTAATTGAATAACTATTAATTTAGATATTGAGGTCATTAATATTTTTTGTCAATTAATTATTACATATGATTCCTTTATTTCAATTACAAAAATATTTAAAAAGTAACTGTCAGTTTAAAATAGAAATTATTTGAAAACATTTTTAAATATAGTTTTTTAAATAGTTTGTGATATTAAACTCAAAAATTTTTTAAAACAAGTTCAAAAATTTAAATTGATTAATATATATTAAAAAATAAAATTAAAAGAAAATAAAAATTTAAGATTACAATAATACCTTAAATCCTCATTAATTAAGGTCATGTATATAGTAAGTAGCACCCAAAAATAATAAAAAAAATTTCATATTATCTTAAAAGTTTAATAATTTTTAAATTTGAAATAAAACTAATTAATATATGGTATATATTAAATAAACAATATTAAAGAATTATTTTATATCAATTTATCTATTAATTTAGATAATATTTAATGGGAATTTTTGAAGGTTAACTTAACTGAATGAAATTATAACTTTAGATATTAAGAAAATTAATAATTTTAGATAATAAAAATTTATTGTTATATTGTTAGAATGTATTAATGATTATTTTATTTTAAATAGCAAAATTTTTTGAAAAGTATCAGTTTACTGTTAAGAAAATGTAATTATTCAATTACAAAAAATTTTAAATAACAGACATTTAGATAATTAAATTCAAAAATTTCTCAAAATCAGATGGAAAGCTAAAGTGTAAAAAAGAAGGAAATTTGTTTCTTCTTTTTTTTGCATACATTTTAAAAGTATTGTACATTTGAATAAAAAAAAATTTAATTATAGAAAACGATAATAGATACCAGATAAGCATTTTAAAAAGCTATTTCAATTTAATACTTAGTAGTTTAGGTTATAAGATAATTAATACATTTTTCAATTAGATTAATTATTTTAATCTATTTAAAAACAATTTGTGATTCATTAATTCTAAAAATATTTAAAAAGTATGTAAATTTTTTTAAAAAGTTAGTTGCAAGCATTTTTAAGTAATAGTTGTTTAAATAATCAGTGACATTTAAATACGAAAATTTACAAAAATCAGTTAGAAAAAAGAATTAAAAAATATTAGTAAATTCAAATGAGCACTTACATTTTTAATAGTATCAAATATATGCTCTAAGTTTTGCACTTTTATACTTCTTGAATTAGAGCAAGCATTTATCTCTTATATAATAAGAGGGCGATTCTTGCTTTTAAATGTGAATTATTTAATAATTAAATTAAATGAAATGTAATTAATAGTTTATAAATTAAGATAAATAACTCATACTTTTATTAAAAAAAATTCATTTTATTTAATTATAAATTTTTTATTTTAGTCTTCTTAATTTATTTTACTGTAGTTTTATTCAAGCCCTTGGGCCAGTTTTCAAAATTTTCACTAAAATTTACATTTTTAAAATTTTTTTCTTAGATTTTTACATAATTTCATCAATATAATTATTAATACAAAATTACAATATGTTTGTATGTTTAAGACTTAATTATTTAAACATTTTTAAAAAACAAGGACCAAATAATTTATAAAATATCATTTATGTAAGTAACTCTATCTTAGCTTATGGAAGGTTCTCTTTGGCGGAATATAGATTTCATGCAATTTAATCATATTAATTATGAACTTAATCACTTGGAATTGATTATTAAGAAATAAAAGGAGTCTTTTCCTTAATTTTATTATTTTCGTCTTGATTAATTTATGGTTTTAACTTTAACTGTTATTTACTATATTGATTAAAATCACATTAATAGCAAGATTTATACTTAATAACCATAAAGTATTTCTTCTTTACTAGAAAAATAACCAAAGTTTAATTTCTAAATATTACTTTAGAAATAAAATATTTATTTTTCTTATTTTTAAAATATTTTTAGATTTAATATCAAGGCATTCTCTTATCATTTTTGCTTTTATCCTTTATCCATCTTAATTAAACTCTAAAGTTATTGCTATTAAATATCTTCAATTAAATGAAAATATTTTTAATAAAAAATATATAGTATCAATTAAACCTAAATCAAATTTATTTAATTACTTCCAAAACACTTATTATATGCACTTTACTCTTAATCCCTAAGATAATTCTTTTAATATATTTAGGATTTTATAAGTCTCCTATATCTATCAATAATAATAAATTTTCTAAGTAAATAGGTGTGCATACAATAAACAAATAATATTAAACCAAAACACACTACTTATCTTAAATATTTTAGTTATTTTTTATGGGTTCAAAAATTCAATGCATTAAAAATCATAATTCCTTCTTCAAAATCTGATTTCAATAGAAAATTTTAATTC